CCCCAACCCCAACCCCAACCCCAACCCCAACCCCAACCCCCCTAAAAATAATGAAAATTTTAATAATGACTTAAAAGTAATTTAATATTACCAATTTTTTGAAGTAAATATTTAATCTGCTTTACTTTGCTAAATAAAATATTAACTTCACATAAAAAGGTAAAAAATTTTAATTTAACTAAATAAAAAAAGAATAATTTATTTATTTCATCTTATCTTTTGCTACATTTATTAATAAAAAATAATTAAATTTTAAATTTTCTATTAGGGAAATATATTATGAATAAAGGATATTCTCATTTAGTAAAATATAGGAAATAATTTCGACTCTTTTTGAATAAAAATATTTTTCAAATTATCAAAAAGCTTTGAAATTTATAAAATATAGTAAAAATTAAAATATTCTACTATCAGAAGAAATATTTTCAAAGAAAAGGTAATTAGAACTAATAAGCAATATCTTAAATTATTAACTACTTGACCATAATAAATAAAATGAATAAAAATGAAATCCAAAAGTAACTCAAGTTGCAGTAAGAAGTTGGTAAGTGGTAAGATATCTGTCTGATCATAATAAAATAAACTAATAAAATTTAACTTTAACTATACAATAAAATAAAGCTATTATGTATGTATTGATAAGGTATTTGTAGTGTGCTAGAAGAAAAATTACAAATTAATTGTTTTTTAAGCAGTGTGAGGATATATTCTTTAGAATCTAACTAAGATTATTGAAATTTATTAAAAATAAAGTAAGTAAGAAAAATTAAGCATCAATCATTTTATCAACTGTATTTAAAATTGAAATGTACTTTGTTATAAAAAGAATTTTTTAAAATAAATTAGAATTGATAGTATTATAATAATTTAATTTGTAAGGCTATAATTAGTATTTAAAAGTATTAAGTTTCTTCAAGATGATTGGTAGTTGGTCGTTTTTCTGAAACATTTGATGAACCAGCAAAATTATTTTTTTTATAACTTAGAAGTAAGGTGATTGATTTTTCAGACTTACTTTTTACTTATGTAGAAAAAACTTAAGAAGTTACCCAAATAGCTGAGTAAGAATAGAGAAAATTGTTAGGAAATTTTTATTAATTTGTAGTAGAAGAAAAATTAAAAAAATTAATGAGATTATATATTAAAATGAAATAGCATTTTAGTTTTGAAATATTATTCAGATTGCTAGCTACCTATTTATATATTAATAAGTTTCTCTTAAAAGTAGTTTAAAAGAGTTAGATAATTAATATTTAAGATGAGAGAAGAATCAGAAATTAATTCAAAAAGGTTAAGAAGGCTCTTTGATTTATTTTTTTAGTTATGAAAATTTTGAATGGGGTAGGGTGATTAAAAAATAAACAGCGAATCGGCTAAATTTTGATATCCTTTGATTTTCTTGTGTTATTTTAAGAATTTTATCATGAATTTTTGAAAGAATTATTTAATACATCAAATTAATCAAAAGAAAAGAGCTTTAAAGAAATCACATTTCTGAAGAATTAAGTTTATAATTAATAATTCAATCAAAAAAATAATTGATATCCAAAAACCCAAATAATTTAAGAAAAAGCTTAGAAATATTCTTAGTCATCAAATATCATTTATTTGATCCATTCAACCTAAATAATTTAAACTCATAAATATCCAAGTACTCCTATTACTACAATTATTTTATTGAAAATCATTGAAAATGTGCCTCTTAGACGCTAGATGTAGATGTGAAAATGGCTAATGCAGCCATATTGGTAACTAAATGCCATTCAACTAATTGTTTAATCCTCAATTCCTTAATCAAGATGCCTTCTAGGTCCTTGATTAAACTAAGAAGTTACTTAGCCAAAAGACCGAAATTATCAATCCTATTGTAAAAAAAGTGAAGCGCGAAAATGACTTTATTCAATAAGGTAAGCATTATTCTTTTAAAAATTTTATTTGTTCTCTTTTTAAGGGAATTTATGAATTGGAATCATTTTTATTTTTATTTGTTTTTTTTACAAGTAAAAAAAATTTTTAATTAATTTACTTGGCTAAATCAAACGACAATCAAAAAAATGATTCTAATTAAACAAACAATTTATATTCAAAATTGAGTGAAAATATTTTAAAATTGAAAATAACATATTCTAATAAATATTTTTTAAAAAATAAATAGCTGAACAAAACGAAAATGTTAACAATCTCAACAGTATGGTTGCTGAAAATGTTGATAATTCCAACTTCTAATTCTAATAGAATTTGCTTCCTTTACTCAATTAATTCTAACCCATCAAGCCTGTTAACTATGGAATTGCAAATACTTCCGCTGTTGCTGCTAACTAAACTCAATAAAACAACAATTCTATCCAAAACAGCTCTTTCCTTATCAAGCCTTCACCTTTCTAGGCTTCTAATAATGGATTACCTACTGTTTCAAATAATTTAGAAACTCTTTTGAAAGATATGTAAGCTAGAGTTATGGGTATGTTCGCTTTCCAAAGCAAAATGTTAACTGAATTGTAAGAAAAGAGCAACATGCAAGCTTAAACAATCAATTTATTGTTCGATGAAGTCAAACAATTAAAGTAATATTTTAAATTCTCTTACTTATTAAACAATTTATGGGATATAATTTGATAACTTTGAATAATTAATTTTTACTAGAGTTTTATGAGAAAAATACTTAAATTTGCAAAAATCAAAAAATGTTGGCTTTCTTATTTTATACAAAAACTTTAATTAGCAAAATGAAAAAAAAAATATGAAAAATTCATGAAAAATATAAATGAAATTTCATAGCAATTTACTTCTTTGTCTTTCAAAATATGAACAATTTCTAGAAAAATAAAATTCCCCAGTTGAATTTCCTTTTTTACTATTCCTTTAATTAATTAATTTTGGGAATAGTTAGGTTGAATTTACTATTTTCTCTTAAATTAATAAAAACTGATTGGATTTTTCACTTATCCATCCCTTTCAAAATATTATTCGCATTAAGCTGGCATTATTTATCATTCAAAGCAAATGGAAAGACAAAATCTTTTGAAGTATGTCTACTCCAAAAATATCAACCCTAAGCTCAATTTAGCATCTAAAACAGCTAATATTGATAGCGAATTAGATGCCAGGGTGTGAATTTTTTAACATATAAAAATGAATCAGCTGAAATTGAAGCATTTTTAAAACGCTACACCCATACATTTTTAAACAATTTTGATTACAATTTACTAACCTTTACTTATTTAAAAAAAGGAATATTGTCCAAAATTAGAAAACTGATTAACCAGCAGAAGTCACTTGCTAGCCTATATATACTTAAATTGCTGCTTCAAGCGATACCTGCTCATTGGGCGGTCCTATTTCACCTTAAGGATTAATTTAATACCTTTTCAAGAAGAAAGAATCTGACTACAAGTACAAGCTTATCTTGAACAATCCTCTTGAATAACCCCTCTATAGAGAAAGAAATTTCAACATTAATGTCAGCTTGGTAGACAGAGACGATAATGCCGTTTCTAATAACAATCGTATTCCTCTCAATATTTCAATATACACCTCTGAAAATCCCCCAAAATTCATTGATACCAACACTTCTGGTAATAAAATATTGAAGGGATTCACTGAAAAGGATTTATAACAAGGCTAAATAACATTTGACAAAATATAGATTAAGGAAGTTACTAGCCACTTCCGTAATGGCTGGGTTTTTATCGTTATATTCCCCAAATAACTTAATTACGAAAGTGGAAAATCTATCCACCGTAAGGACGATATTGATATCAATGAAATTAGACCTCTCATTATTGAAAAAGTTGTTGTCAAAGCCAAAAAGCTTAAAGAAGGAAAGAAATAAAAGGATGGTAACAATAGTAATGACGACTCTAAAGAATAATCAAATGAAAAGATCGAAGATAATTGAAAAATCTGAATAACTGACACAAATATCCCTGAAAAGTCTGCGTGCATGAATGCATGCATCTTTTCAGAACTACTTAACTCTCTTTACTATCTATCAATCTATACTCTTCTAAAAAACTTATTTATAATAATTTCATTTCCGACAAACTCTTCATTAAAAAATTGTCTTAAATTATTCTGAGTTAATTAAATGATTTGAATGAATTTATTCTAAGAAGAAAAAAAAAAAAAAGCTAACTAACTAAACATGATCATTTATTATTTTCAATCTTGCACTGTTATTCTTAAAAGAATTTATCATTCATTTTTCCATTAAAAAATACAAAGAATCTCAATATGAGCTTAACTCTTATTCTATTCTGCAATGAAATTAATTAAAATTAACTAAGTATACAAACAAAAGAGCATTACTTTCTTTCTTTCATGCTTGCTTGTTTACTTGCATGTTTATTTGCTAGCTTGCTTGCTTGAATGAGAGTGAAACTCATTCTTATCAATTAACAAAAATAAATATCTTTAGATAAATATTTTTGAGCTATAAATATATTATAATCAACAACCATAAAACAAATATAAAACTAAAATTCTTCAACCTATAATCTCTATATATTTAAATTAAATATGTCTTTATTATTTATATGTATTGTATAAGAGTCGAATTCTCTTTAAGTTATTATCTTCATAAAAAGCTAATTATAGTTCTATTTACTCTTTTTATATTAATCAATCAAAGAGGTTGCTTTATTTTTTAATTTGATTTTGATTTTATGTATTTTTTACATGCAATATTTTACTCTATATTATCTTAAAAATAGATAGGCTGGTAGATGAAAAGACGATCAATCAATGATGGTATAATTTAACCAATGTACAGAAAATTAAAAAATTGTTAAGTGTGAAGAAATTTCAATTAATTACTAAATAACTTTTTAGTAAACTTAATTAATAATTTATTAGAAATTTCCTATCACAATCAAGAGAAAAATTCTTTATTTATATTTTTTTCATGTTAATTTCACATGCAGAGTTATGAACCATGGAATGGAGCTATCTGAGGCGGAGTTAAATTTTGTTGATTCCTCTAAATTAAATAATTTCTACTGATTTTGAATCCTCATAGGCATATTTATTTAAATTAATTTTAAAATTGATAACTTTTGTATTAAAGGAATGCTTGCTTATTGTAAGTATTTAAAATATCAATAATCGGTCGGAAAGCTCATTAAGAAAATCAATTACAATAAAAAAAGATCCTTAGAATCAAAAAGTCGCATGATATAAATTCTTTATTGATGATACTGGAGTATTTATCGAAATCTTAATTGATTACTACCTTTGAATTTTTTTCAAAAAATTGCAAATAGATTTATAACATTTATATTTGATAGAATTTATTAATACATTAATATTCTATGCAAAATAAAACACAAATAATTTAAGCAATATAATACAGATATTAAAAATTCGCTGTTCATTTTTTATTGTCTTTGAGGAAAATTTTTTCATTTCTGATAAAAGTAAACAAAATTTTGTTTAATAAATATGGTTAATATAATATGTCTAACATAAAACAAATAATATTCCTAGCAAAAAAGCAAGAAGTTTAAAACATAATTTTTTACACTATTTCCATGCTGTGAATAATCAAGTGCGATCTGTTTTGGTAAATTTAGCGTTAAGGAATATCATAATTTTGTGTTGGGAAGAAGGACAAAATATATTTGACATAGATAAGTTTTATTAACTTGGCTTATATGCAAAAAGAGGATAAATTAAATTTTAAAATATTAAATTAAGAATGTAAATAATTATTTATATTGTAAATGTAACATGTTGTTGTGAGACTTTGGGCAATTTAGAAAAAATTTTAAAATGTCCCATTCTTCTCAGTATCGTCTGTATATAAATAAAAAGTCCTTGAAATTACTTAAAAAAAATGAAATAAATGATTATCTGTATAAATAATAATATAAATGTACTGATTTTATTTAATTAACTCTTTGAGGTTTCTGGACTCCTAAATTTTATTTTGCAGAAGATTACCCACTTTTTCCATCCATATAGCGTCATATTCTTTAGCTTTCAATAGACTTGTTAAGGCATAATTTATTGATTAAAATAACAAACCATTTATTTTGGCCATAGAAATGTCTAATAAACTTAAAAGATACATTCTTAGATCTCAAGTTTTCAGATAGTCAATTTCAATTCTTCGCTTTTATTTAACTCTATTTCCCAATAAACTGATGAACGTATTAATAAAATGATTTTATTCTTTCAAAACTTTCTATACAGATTTGACACATGAATTTTCCAAACAATTCTCTTGAAAAAGGAATAAGGAGTACCAGAAATTTATACACATTTATCCCTAATTAAATTGAAAAGAAAATTATATATTTGCTAAGTAGCAGCTTCAAAATTATTTCTAAATTTACTGAAAGAAGCAATATGCTTATCGATAAATCTTCTTGCACAAATGAAAAAACAAAAAAAAATATTTTCAAAATTTGGTTTAAAATAAAGTTTAAAATTTTAAATACTGCAACTAAACTAATTATCTTTGGAGCTAAAAGAATGATTTAAATATTTTTTATCTTTATTTTAGTAATAGAAAGCGCATTTTAGATAATTAATTACCCACTTTTGAATTAAAAAAATCCTACCCGTTTCTATTGATAAATTTAATTATATTCAAAATAAGTTTATACTAAGATCCTAACAAATAAAACGGAATATGTGATTCTGATAAAATCATTTCTACTTTATCTAAAAAAGAAATCTGTAAGTAGGGAAACAGAAATAATTTGAATTCAAAAACAATTGCAGCATTGCAGTATAGTCTTGCAATACAAAATTGAGGAATGAGATGATCTTAAATTAAATGTTTTAGCCAAATGTATTTGTTTATTTATTTATTTATTTGTTAATATTTTGCTTATGCTCCCTAAAAATAAGTAAAAACGAAAGAATATATGCGAATATTACAAATATCACTTTTGCTTAATTTGAGTGATATTTGTAATACAATAACTATTCCAAATATACTTGAATGGAATCTTAAATTACACTACATTTTCATAGCTCTTTGTAAAAGAAAAAAATTATATATAGAACAGAGATAAATAGAAAATTATTAGCACAAAAGCATTAGTAAGTAAATCTTAGCTCAAATAAATTGATTAAGTATAAACAAATACAGCTAGGAAATACATTAAAAAATTATAGAGATCTGCAGAGTTATAAAATATATGCTAAAATAAAATGTTTTTCAAATAAAATGATATTTTTTTATTCAAAAAGCATACCTTTAATAAACTAAATTAAGAAACAGATTGATAAAACCTGATAATAAAACGAATAAGAAAAAACAAAATAAAGTAATCAAGAAAGCTACCAAATAAAATAAAGCAAAATTTATTTATCCATATTAAAAAAGGTTCTTAATTAAAATATAAATTAAATAGTTGTTTTTAGTGAAATTATATTTTATATATAAAAATGATTTATTCTTTAAGCCTATAAAGTTGCATTAAAAAATTAAATGAAGAGTAAATAATTGATTTTGTATATAAAAATGGAATGTCCATCAATTTTAGATAACATGTCTAAATTACTGAATCAATTTAATTTAGTAAAAGAATTAATTATAGTCAACACAAATTTCTTTCAATTAATTAATTAGGTGTAAGTTGTATTCTTTAAGAATTTATCAATTTATATTCTTTGTTGGCATGAATTCTGTGAAAACTGTTTTATTTTATAAATAAGACTCATGAGCTATTTCAATGCTTTCGTTCAACATCGAGTTCTTTTCAGGACTTATCTCATATAAAGTAGGTTTTGATACATTATTTAATCTGGATTCTTCTACTAAGTTGTCTTGAGAAATCCTAAAAAGGCTTTTATTTTATTCAATTTTCAAATTTGATTTCACTTTAGAAACTTACTCTAAATTGTCATTTGATGCTTGTTAAATATTTTAAATAGATGCATCTTTTTACAAATTTTCTATTGGCTGTTAAATGTATTGATTACTGACAGTTTAAAAATTATTATTTTAATCTGCAAGATTACGAAATCCTCCATTTGCAGGAGAATTCTCATTCATCCTTAAATAATACTTTTACTATCTTGTTTTTTCGAAGTAGCTCAATATTTAAGGATCCAGCATACTCAGCAGCTTTTCATCTATTTCAGAGATATCTTTTGAGTCATCCTTTATTTTGTTAAAAGCCAAATAGGCTTCATGGGCTTTCATCAAAGTTGTCTTTTCTAATTTGAGATTATATAATTAAAATAGTTAATAAATTTACTTTCAAAACAAAAATATTATATTATAAATATATTTAAAAGACATTTTATTAATACTAAATTTTATTTATTATGTTGATAATCTTTAGTAAAGCTTCAAAAACCATTTAAAAATGAAAACCAAATTAATAATCTTTTTTGAAAATACTTCTAAAAATCAAAGAAACATTGTAAATTAAATATGAAATTTTTTAGAATTATTTCTTATTGATCTTTGCAAAATAATTTTTTACTGTTTATTTTTCTTTAATTAATATTTAAAAATATAAATTGTTTAGTTGGAACATCACATGATCATCATTTGGTAATTAAAACAATAGATTTTTAATATATAAAAATATTAATTAAAAAAAATAAGTATTTCTTTAATATTTTAAAACTCTTTATTCATGATCAATAAATATTTTGTGGGTGTAAAAATTATAAAAACTTAATATGAAAAAGAAATTAAATAAAGAAGCATTAATTAATTAATTACCTGAGTCTAATATACTCCAAGTTGATTTGAATTTACTCTCTTCTGGTTAATTGGTTGGTTTTAATTTAAGGGAAAGTCCTTTTTAAGTACTCATGTTCATATTTTCTAGCTGTAATTCTTGTTAGGTTTTTAGTTGATGCTGATACTAAGTTTTATTGTTTATAACTGGCTTTGGCATGTAATCAAATAACTTGAGCTAGTTTTCATTTAAAATTAACATCTTTAACTTATCTATTTCTATTAACTTATTGATTATAAATACAGCATCCAATCTATCATTTATTTTGTCTAACGTGTATCGTAACTATTATCTTTTCTTTTTTATTTTACCAAACGGTAAGAAGTATAAGATATATTCATAGGCTTTAAAAATTAAACCACCTGTTTTTGGTGTAAATATTTTCTTGAAAAACCAATCTCCTTACTTTCTCAGCGATTTTCTTTTTTTCAATTTTGCTGAGTCCGGATCTTAGTTTTCTTGGTAAACATGAAGTAAAGAAGAAATGTAATTTTAATCAGCAGTAAAATTTCTCTTCATCTTTTTAGATATTGATTATTTTTTAATAGGACTTTACTCTTAAGGTAAGGTAGAATTGTTCAAATCTTAATTGACATTTTATAAATTAATTAAAGGAGCTTAGTTAGTTTTTACATCTCTTTAACCAATATTATTGATATTATTTTCATTATTTTCTGTATGAGTGACTATCTAGTTATAATTTATTTACTATGTAAAATTATTTAAATTTCCTTTTTAAGTAAGAGTACTGCAATTAAATTTATTTTTTTAGTTTTCTATTTAATCTTCATCATTGTTTGTATTAATTTAAATATTGTTAAAGTTAAATTTAATTTCTTAATTTTCAATAGCTTCTTCATTATTTATATTGTTCTAAATTGTTTCATTTTCGAAATTTTCTTTTTTATTTTATTAAATCTCGTTAATGTTCTCCGTTTAAATCTGCCTATTAGAGCTTATAAGATTATTGCTTCCGTTTAATTTATATGGTGTTTCAAATTCAGCTGGTAATCCTGGAAGATCACTTTTTCTGATTTTATTGATTGAAGCAGATTATGTTGTTTCATTCGGTAATTCTTGAGTATTTACAGTCTATTTTTTTAGCGAAGACCTTTTAATTCCCATAAAATTAAACCCCAACATCTTTTTAAAATCATGAACTGAGTTATTATTTTCTTGTTTTATAATTTAATTCGATGCTAATTAAGCAAATCCCAGTTATTATTTCATGTCATTTATTGAAGGGTTCAGAGATTATAATCTATGGATCTAAGAATTAGGAATGATTATCTATCCTCCAGAGTCTCTTTTTTATCCAAATATTTATGGTATTTGGCTATTAAAAGGAGCAATATAATTTTTTGGATCATTCTATCTATTTTTATGTTTGTTCGAAAGTACTGGTGAAGCTAAGTCAGGCTGCTAGATAATTTATTATTCTTCAGATTCAGACTTTTATTTTTCTAATTCTTCATCGTCTTCAAAGCAAAATATTTCATTCATTAACGATGTTTAAAAGTTAATCTTAGCAAAAGGGGTAACAACCATACCAAAAATATATATAAGAGCTTTTGCTAAACCACCTATTTCAGCAACGACAGCAGACAGTTTAGTATATTATCTTCTATACTAAGATGCTTTTTCTTCTAATTAAAATTGAACTGTTAGTAAAACCTGTCTGCTTTAGTCTATTTCTTCTATGTCAAGAATTTTATTTGTGTTAGTTAATGCTTAATCTAACTAAGTAACTCCATTAAAAAATAAATTATCTTAAGTTTCTATTTCTGTGTATTAAAAATAGAGAGACACTTACTTTTAGTAACCAGATATAAACGAATGAGATTACACTGAAACAGTTTATAGCAAAGGTTTTTCAAAATCTGAAAAATTTTAATTATGATCGAGGAATATAGTATCCAAATTGAGTTAACTAAGTTAGTACTATTTATCAATACAATTAGTAGAGATACAATTCAGAACTTCAATAGTAAAAACACTCTTATTATCTGCTTAACTTTGCAATAAGAAATTACTAGCATAAGAATTATTTTTATCGAACTAAATACAGTACAAATTTTCATATTACATGTTAAGCTAAATATAATCTAAAAAAAATTTTTATTAAAGTGAAAAATTATCTTTGCTTGAGTCTTAGAATAAAGTGCTGCATTCAACAAAACTTACTGGTATATTTTGTTCGTTAATATTATGAGCATTCGAATAAGTACTCTTAATAGACACTTATGCATTAAAAGAAGTACTTAAATCAGATTTTATGTACTGTAAATTACTTTTAGTTCGTAAGCCAAATGCAATAGGTAATTAACCCTCAGCCAGATTTAATATCGGAGACTAAATAGCATTTGTATTAAAATTAATGTTTGGATTATTTTTATAAATAACATCTTGAGCCTCTATCCAAAAAGCAACAGCGAATATAGCAACTAAAAATAAAGTGAAAATACTTCCACAGCATGTCTTATGATGTGTGTCATGCTAAAAGCTCAACTAAACGCTAGTACCAAATATATCTATCTTTTTAAACATGGACTTCATTTCTTATCTTCTAATTTTTATAAATTATCTTTTTTCTAAAAATTAGATAAAAAGTAGAGTGTAATATTTATTACTTGTTACTTTTTGTACAAATATTTATCATTAATTTGCACACTTAAAATGAGAAGATAATAATTAATTTTGAGTGCTTTTAATAATTAAAAGAACTAAATTTTCATAATAATTGAGATGATGTTTATGATTAATTTTTATTATATATTTAGTGTTTTTATATCTTATCTTTTAGGATAAATAAGCTAAATTTATTATAATTTATAAAAAATTCTACCAATTCAACAATTAAATACATCCTTAAAATATGTTTTTAATTATTTTTAGTATTTAAGTAAGAAGATATAGACATCTTCTATACATTTTCAGATATGTTTGAATTTCATTTCGATCCAAATATCTTATTAAGTCTTAATGTAAATAGATTATTTTTTAAATAAATGTTATTAGATTCATATGATGCTCTAAAATATGTGGCAAATAAATTTTACTTAATAAAAATTATAATAATATTGCTAAAAACAAATTTAAAGCCGCTCATTAATATATTTGGTTACTTATTTCTAAATAAATTAGAAATTTTTCTTCAATTTTCCATCATTTAGCTTCATCTATAAATAAAAAATAAATTTCTTACACATTATGTAAAGATAATAAACCAAATTGTTTTCTTCATTAATTTTTTTCATAATTAGAAGTCCAACAACAAATAGAGTCACTTCATTTTAGCAAAGATCAATCCCCATTCCTTTTTTTTATATTTTGAATTTTTTGCTTTTAATTATTAATATTTTATATACCAATTATTAAATAAATAAATAGATTTTGCAAATAATAAATTGATTTTATTTAAAGAAATTTAATGTTTATCTATCATAATATGAAACATATTTAAATATTAAAAAGGCTTATTTTCTTTCAAACTTAAATTAATTTTAATATTAAATTTAATTAATTTTGTAACCACTTTATTAAATTCTTGACTCCGAATATATTTTTATAATTTGAGATATTAATGAGAGAAAAAAAATGAAAAATATAAAGTCTCTCTCTACCCCTCTTTATAAATTTAAAATATTAATCAATAGGACTAAATGATTTATTTAATATAATAGAACTATTGAAACACTACCTATATTATCCTAGTACTCTATCAATTCAGTTGTATCAAAAGATAATCTAAAAATAAATAATTCATTGAATATTAATTAAATCATTCTAATTCATATTAAACTGACACCCAAAATAATTAAGATTTGTGGAATTTACCAAAATAAACAAAAAAAAGAGCCCAAAAATATTAAAGCAATAAATAATAATTTTATAATTTTTGAAGTAAAATTTATACCTCATAAGTTTATGCAATCAAAACTAATAAAACTTCTTGGTACATTGTAGCCTAGCCTAGTTTAGATATGTTTCAGTATATTTAATTAGGAGAGATTTATGAAAAACAATTTTAATAACTCAAATTCCTTAACTATTTGATTAAATAAATTGTTATAAAATATTTTTTTAATTTTTTCTATAAATTGATAAAACCACAAATTAATTAATTGTTTAAAACTATTAATTTGCTTAAATAAGTGAAGAAAAGAAAATAAGAAATGACAAAATTAATTCGAAAAAATACCAAACAAAAAAAATCTAGTTTTAATTTGTTTATTAAGTAATTCATTATTTTATTTTGATTTATTTAGTTATTGTAAAATTGAAAATTATTTAAATTAAAAAACTATTAAAATAGTTCTTAAATTTGGAAATAATTTTATTTAGTTTAAAATAAAAAAAATTACCGTTTTTTAACACACAATAGTAAAGAAAGAAATAAATAAATAAAGTAATTCAAATTATTGTAAAACAAAAGTAAAATAAAAATTTTGTCTATACACTCGATACATTATTTAAAAAGTTTGTTATTTTTTCATGTTTAACATTTTAATTATAAACTCACTCTCATAACATTTTGCATACAAAGAAATTAAGAAAAGTATAAATGACGAAGAAACTAAAAAAGTGAATAAATTATTCTTCGCATTATATATTTCCTTTTTTAATGGTTCTTCCATTAACAGATTACAAAGGCCTGTTGTTTCCAGCTCCTTTAGCAAATTATAAATCTCCCTTAAAGAAAATACTAATATTTGAAAGTTGAGCTGAAGTTATAGGCTACACTGCTGAATAGACATACCAATTTACACTTTCTGTGCAGGGAGGTATTGTGAGAGATCCTTAATATAGATAATAAGAGGATGTTAAGTCCAGAGAACTTAAAGCTTAAGTCATATTTAAACTTATTTATGGAGCACTAGCTGCTTAAGCACTAGCCTTAGTAGGATCATATGATGAAAAAAATGTACTTGTAGATGAATCACTAACAGAAAACATAATTGAAACAATTGCATATTATGTGATAGGTTCAGTACTTGAGCTTGGAGCTGTCTAGGCGAAATTTGGATTTATAGTATGCAATATTTGTAATTCAACATCAGCTTAACTTCCATTTAAGTAATTCTCTGCAGGAGAGTGAATACTAAAATAGTTAGATTAATAACCACTAATAACACCATCCAAATTACTGGCATACAAGTAACTCCAATATTAATTAGCAGGAGCTGTACTGCTCAAAACTTAAGACTTTAATATCTGAGTACTTAAATTCTAATTTGAGAGTTACATTGTCAAATTCATCTATTTAATTAAATTTAATTGCAATAATTCATTTATATTTGAAAATCTTTAGATAAAATTCAAATATGTTCAAATAAAAGCTTTAAGTTTTATAAAATAAATTAATTTTATTTGATTGTAGCTTGAAGATTTTTGTTTTTTAGAAACAAATTTAATTATTTATAGTTGAAACATATATTAAATATAAATTTGTTAATATATTTTACTGTATTATCGCATGATCCTTAAACATCTGAAATATCAATAGGGGATTAAAGACTACCTGATAAACAAGTGCCAGTCCAATCAGAGCCTTTATTTATATAATTGAAGTCTTATGCCTAAATTTAAGCTATTATTAAGATAACTACTAAAGTTAGGTTTTTAAAATTGCTTTTTCTATAATTTTGCATACTTATTATTTATTTCCTACGCTATTCTTTTTTAATTAATTTATTTGTAGATCAAAATATTATTTGTCTTGCTTATAATCGATAAATTTTCTTTTTCTTAACAGAAAGACTCTGACTTGCTTACTTACTTACGTAAAATTGTAATTATTTTTAAAGTATAAATAACTTTTAGAAATTAATATAACTAAATTTAAGAAACAGCAATATTTTAAAAATTATTAAATTTGAAAAGTAGAAGATTAATTTTTTTGGTAATTAAAAAACATTAATTTTTTAAGTTATCTTGAATGCTTTTTTTAAATAAATTTTATAAAGCATACATGACTATTCAAATTCCTAAATCAACTTAATTTATAAATGTAATTTAAAATTTTAGATAATATTTATTAATTTAAGATGCACTTTATTACTTATTTTGATTAAAAACAAATATTAAAATGAAAATAACATGTATATAAAATGCTAAGTTGACATATATTTTAAACAAAAGTATTTAAAAATCTTAAGAATCTCAATTTTTAATTTAATTTTAAATCTATTTTATTATATATAGTTTTTAATTAATAAATTTTAAACTTTTACACATATATTCTTTAATTTAATTTTTATAACTTAATTTTCTGAAAATTAAATATTATCACTTCACTTTGTTAGGAGAAAACAATTTATTTTTTATTAAATTAACCTGCTATTGTAAAAGTTTTATTTTATTTGGTTTTTATTTTACATAAACAGAATAATTCGGAAATAGATTATTATTTATATATATTAAATAGATTATACAGAATTCTAAGACTTATAACTAAAGATATGGAAAAAAAAAACATTTATATTTATAATTATAATGAGATTTATTTTGGAAAATAGAATCATTTTTTAAATGTTTAACTAAGTTTTGTTTTTTTTTGGTTACATTTTATAAATATAATATTATAATTAAACTATTAATTGATGAGTTTAGATATAACATAATATAATTTTTACTTACAAATTTTTTATGAAATTATAGTTTTTTTTTATGTTTTTTTTTTTGTGTTTAATGAATAAAAATAAATCTATTTTCTTTAATTATAATATTTAATTATATAGGATTCAACTAATGCTTTTAGTTTTCACTATGTTTTTGGTTATGATGATTCTTGTTATTGTTGTGGTTGTTGCTATTGTTGTTAAGGGTTATAACAATTATCTTACAGTTCAATTACTGCATCCAAAGCATTTGAAGTGAAAAGATCGATTATGAATTTTTATTTACGGTGGTTGATTAACCTTTCCATAGCTAAAAATGAATCTAAGGGAGATTAGAATTGGCATACAAAGAAGTTAGAGCCTTGTTGAGTGATTTAAAACTTAAAGTTATTTAGTAGCTGTTTAAATGAATCTTAACCTCTATGAGAATTCTTTAAACTTTTAACTATGATATTTGAACTTGAAAATCCTTTCTTGATAATATCTGAAAGGAAACACTGCTAGAATTGTTTGTTGGAAGAACTAAACTTTTCAAATTCTTTGTATTTATTTATAACAAATACATGTTGGTGATATAAATTTACTCTTTCAAGTACATTTTTCTATAGTAACTGAGTTATTTGAGAAGTAAAATTGTTTTTGTTTTTCACATTTTAGAAGCATAGCCATTGGTTGCTCTCCTCAGTATAATAGTCTGTTCCATCAATTACAAGTTTTTTGAAAATTCTCTCTTTTTAGATTAGTTATTTCCAATAATCTCCTGTTATTAGGTAGCTGTAGAGCTTCTCCATCCACTCATATTGCTTTTCTACATAAGAGAGATTAGATGAGTTGTTGTTGTTTACAAAGATAGCGTTTTCTAAATTATTGTTGAGGTTGTTTACACCATATATGTTATTATTAAGAAATCCGGTATTGGTGCTAAGGTTGATATTATTGTTTCCATTACCTCCAAACATAGCATTATTGTATTAATTAGATTTTTTGCTTAATTGTTATTGCTTTTGAGAGTTTTGTTTAATCAAGATATCAGCTTAATCTTTATTTTATTGGTTAGAAGAAAAGGAATCATTAACCTTAAAAAATAAAGTATCATATTTTGCAATACCACACTCAACTTAGCAAGCTCCTATTTGTCTTTCTATTTAATCTCTAAAAGCTTTAGCATTATCAGAATGTTCAAAACCTATAAATTCTATTAAATTATACTTAACAATAGGAATTATTTTACTATCATCTGATAAATTTGAATAGCTTTCTCTTGAATTTGATTTACTAGAAAGATTTTACTAACTTTTTTTCTAATTTTTTTCTTTTATTTATCTCTTTTTAGAATCGTTCAAAATTTTTAATCCTCTCTTTTGTTTGATGTATTCTTAAGTTAAGGGAGGGCTGTTAGAGTTGTTTAATTCTTTTTAGCATTCTTCAACCTTAAAAGTTTCACTAACAATAGAGGAACATTCTTCGTTTAAGTTAGATTCTTTGGTGCACTTTACACTTAAACCTGGAGGGTTTATAGGAGATGCCAAATTAATTTATTATGGAACTTTTGATTGCATTTAATTATTGCTAATGTAAGTAGAAAGTAAGTTGAAAGGTTTTTCTAAACTACTGTTTTGATAATTTGCTGCTTGCTATTACTATTGCTATGCTTACAACTGTTATTACTAAGCAAATGGGCAACTTGCTTACAAGCCTTCTTTATCTGGTTCAGCTAGATTCAGCTTTTATGCCTGAATGCTAGGATTCTAAGCTTTAGAAAGTATCTTATTGAGTAAAGGCTCCCCGTAAATAGGTTTGAAAATTTTTAGCTTTTTGTCATAAATAGCACTAGTGATTTCTTTGTTTTTTATATAAACATATGTTGCATCAAGTTTTTAACCTTAATCTACAAACACTCTAATAATATATTTATCGGGAATCCATTGCTTAGTATCTCCAGAGCACTTTCTTTTGCTATTTTAGCTTGTTTCAAGAGACCAATTTGATGTTTAAAAGTTCCAGCTCTATTAAAATGAAGACTCTGCATTTGAACCAGGTTTATTATTAATATCATTTTAGCCGCCGTAATAAAAATTAGTGCCTGCGTTTGATGCATATATATTCTTTTTAGGGTCTATTGATGAGTAAAATGGAGTAAAAAGAATATCTTGCTCATTTTGACTATCAGAATCAAAGAGAAGAAGAGGAGGATAATTATTACTGCTACTATTGGGGTTTTCACTAAATAAAGAGAAATCAGCTGGGGGAGCTTAATCAAATAGCTTAAAATGAGTAGTTGTATTAGTGGTGGGGGCTTATGGCTTAATATTTTATTGCTAATTAAAGGGAGACTACAAATTTTCTTTTTAATTTGAGTTATTTGTGTTTAAAGGTTAAGGTTGTGAATTTAAACGATAGATGGGAAAGTAAGACACCTTACAAAATAACTGCTTAGAATTATGGATACTATTTTTTATGTTTGTCATAAATTTTATAAAGTCTTACTTTTCTTTTTAACTAAGAGTTATTCCTTGGACTAGCTTATTCTTTCCTAGCCCAAACATTATCAAACCTCCGTAGTTATTTGACATAGTCATGATAATATTGCGCACATTTTCGCAGTGTTGTTCAAAAGATGGACTACGCTCGTTCAAAATCTCATTAAAATCCTCTGTTTTGTAATAGTGAATGCGCTAGCTTGCCATGAAATTAAGCTTCTCTCCCTCCTAAAAACTTTCCCTTTAGCCAACAACATCTAAATTAGAATTATAAGTTTCATCTTCTTCATCATATTCATCATAATCACTCTCATTGATGAATTCTTCATCTTATTAAAGCCCTTTTTCTTCTGAATCATTTTTTTCCAGCTTCTAATTTTCTTCACACTAGATATAATTTTAGAGCTCTGAGTTGAGGTTCGTTTGTAGTTAATTTAATTATGATTAAGTATTAAACTAGCCTGTTTAAGAGATATTTTTTTAATCTGGAGTGTAATTCGATAAAGAATTCTATTAAAATTAAAATTAACGGATGCCTTATCCACTACCAGTTAATTTTGCTCCAAAATTGTCTTCTTATTCTAATTTTTCTACTCCATCATTTTTTAAATCTTCATAATTAAAACCCCCTCCTCCAACGCTAGAGAAACTTATCTTTTGATTGAGTGAATCAAATAATTTTGGATCAAATTAATTGGCTGAATTTGGATTATTTCTTGTTGGGCTTTCTAAAAAGTTAGAGTGTTCATTTACATTGTTGTTGGCTTTTGAGCTTTTCTAATTTTCTTCTATTTTTTGAACTTAAAACATCTTGTCATTACCCTAGTGATTCAATTTCTCACCATTATTATTCCCTGTATCTCCTTAGTGAAAGTATTCTTGGTATTCTTCATACTCTTCTTCGTCTTCGTCCTCATCGTCATTAGTATCGAAGTTACAACAGTTTGTTTTTTTAAGTTAATTTTTTAAATTGTGCATTAGATTCGCTTTTTTTCCTTTTTTAATGTTTGTAATTGAGGAAGAAACTGCGTTATTAGTTGTAATAATTCCTTTCAAAGAATTTGAAGAATAAGTTTTTGTGCCTATTGGAGGCATTTATTAATCATTTTATTCTTCGTCATCATCTTCATCAAAGAATTCTTCTGCTGATGCATCTCCAAAGTTATTAATGGGACTTCTGTCTTTGCTTTAGTAGCCAGCTGAACCATTATTTTGACATATATTTTCAACATTATTTGCAAAAGTAGAAATGATATTATTTTTAGCAATAACTTCACTGTTATTGCCAATCTATCTTTATTCATTAAGGATATCTCCCCATAAACTGTTTTATTAACTGGCACTGAATTAGTTGATGATAGGAAACTGTTTATTTGTGCGATTGTTATTTTAATTAGCCAAATCAATGCTATAGATTTAGTTGTAATTATTACTATATGAATTACTTCCGCTGGTATTTAATTTTTGGTTATAGCTGTCGGAGTTATGCTCATCTTCAAAAAATCCATGAAAAAGATGTTCATCCCCTGTCTCAGCTTTAGCTTCATCATGGAAATAGGAGACCGTGCTTCCTGAATCAAAGGAATGCTTATCTCCCTCCCAAATGTTATTCGAAAATAAATTAAAACTTGCAGAATTATTGTTGCATACCTACTTAGAAGATTATTATGCATTTTAATTAGTGGGATTGCATGTTTGGTAAGGTATCTATTGTTAAATTGCGCTAACTTGTTACGAAATTTCTTAAAACAACTTGAATAAATGGGAATCTACATCCAATTAGCACTAGTTGCTTGAACTGGAAGATCCTACTTAATTTTGAGTTTATTAATTGCTGTAATTGTTATTGTTATTTAGGCGACGGGTTAAAAGAGTCTTAGCTTAAAGTTTGAGTTGTTCAAAAGCTGCTACTACGCAATGGCGAGGAAATTATTAACTCTCTATTTTTTACCTAATCTGAAGCAGTTATTCTTCAAACTGAGACTTCGAAAGAGTTAATTGAATGCTGTCGTTCATCATGATCTAATTTTCCTTTCGAGCCATTTTGAGCTTTTTAAATTTCGCACTTACAATTCTTATCAAAATTAAATTATTATCAAAAGCATTGATATTTTTGTATTCTTAATTAATCATCTCAAGCCCTTCTAAAAATCAATTAGATCAATCAATCAATAATAATAATAATAATCAATGTATGACCTTTGTATCCAAATTTAATATTTTGTTTCTTTCTCTTTAATTTTTGTTAGTAATTTATAATTATTGTGGACCCTTCTTTTTTTAGTTAATGTTGATTATTTTTTTTTCTTTGTGCATTTAGAAATATTTAGATTTTGCTTAAGTTAATATTTTTTTTTCTTTATTTAATGAACTCTTTGTTTTACACTTCCATTTTAATTAATCTATTGATTTCATAATACCTGAATTATACTAAATGCTCTATTTCATTAGTCTTTCTATCAGATACCTTAACTTTTTAATATTATTTTTGCTTCAAATTCCTATGTATTTATTCTACCAACGATTTTTAATTTTTGTCTGATTAAATCATCCTATTTTTGATAATATTTCTTCTTACATTTTAAAGTATTTCTTAATTTTCTTACAAATTTGCTAATAAAAAATTAAAAAAATCTCATAACTTGATTTTTTAATTTTTATTCACTATTATTAATCTTCTGAAAGACCTTCAAAAGGTGTTTATATCAAGTTAAATTTAGCGAAATCTTAGATAAGAACTTAAGTAATAAATATTCATAGGAGATCTTATCTTAATTTATCTATTCTTACTATTCAAATGTAGATAATATATTTTTAAATCATAAAAATTTTTAAGGCTCATTAATTATGTTATATTAAAAATGCTAGCTTGGTCATTTAAACTATTTGAATTTATATTTAGAAAAATATGTTTAATTTTAAATTCTTTTATAAAAATTTCTTGTGATTATAAAAATCTAATGATATTATAATAGAAAAAATGAGTGTAAAATTATCCTTATTATAATTTGATATATAATATTCCAAAATATTTAAATAATTCAAACAAGTTTAAATAGGATTTATTTTATCTAAAAGTTTTTAAAAGTATATTTATTACTATTAATTCATAATTTTATTGCTAATGAAATTATATTAATTAAATTATTAACTTGTATTGTTAAGGTTCGTTTTTTATATCATATTATATGGTTTTAGCAATTTAAATTATTTAGTAAATTAAAGCAGTTAATAAAAATCTAATTATTGTAAAATGATTTTGTCTGCTTACAAATAAATTTAGCAAAAATTTAGATAACGTTTTTAGCAATAAATAAATATTTAATATAAGATTTAATTATATTAAATATAGTACAAATTTAATACAGTCAATCAAAGGTTTTATTGAACAATAATAAGGAGGGAATAATATCCTTATGTCTAGTGGCAGTAATTAAAAAAAAGTAGGTAATTATTAATGGTCTGAGTAAGACTTTTTAGGCAAAGGGGCTTTTGGTTCAGTCTTCAAAGGAAAAAATATTGAAACAGGAGAATAAGTTGCAGTAAAAGTGCTTTAAATGCAACATTTCAAAAATGAATAAGCAAAAATTTAGCTTGATGAAGAAATAAATGTCATGAAAAAACTTGATTCACCCTACATAGTGAAATTATTAGGATTGCAAGAAGAAAATGAGTAGACAGTTATTATTTTGGAGCTATGCCCTGAAGGGGATTTGAATAATTTATTAAAAAGCAAAGGCGGATCACTAAATGAATAAGAAGCAATCAATATATTGTGCCAATTACTTCTTGGATTTAAAAAAATGGTTGAGTAAGGTTATATTCATAGAGATATAAAACCAGCAAATATTTTAATAAAAGACGGATTTTATAAAGTTAGTGACTTTGGATTTGCTACTGGAGTTGATATTAAATCCTAATAACTTTTAAAAGAATGTGTAGGAACACCTTTGTTTATGGCACCTTAGCTTTTAAGAAGTAAAGAGTATTCTTCAAAGTCAGATATATGGTCAATTGGGATGATGTATTATTTAATGCTATTTGGTAAAACGTAATTAAATATTTTTGAGAACTAATTAATTTAAAATTATTTACTTTATCTATTAGAATGTTTTAAATTAATCAGTTATATTGACAAAAATTTATGAATACTTTTTATAAAAATTAAAAAATTTTAAATAGACCATGGCCTGCTAGAGACTTGAACTCATTCATTACTAATATAGAATTACTTCCATTAAGATTCCCTTACGATAAGCCAATATCTTAGGAAAGCAAAGATTTCTTAAGTTAATGTTTACAAGTAGAAGAGGAAAGTAGAATAGACTGGAGTAAACTATTTGAGCATCCTTTAACAAAAAAAGCTTTAGGGCCAGCTTAAGATCCTAATATCAGATTGGACGAAAGAGCTAAACGAATTATTAGAGATATCTAAGAGCTTGTTTAAATTAAAAATCTTGACATTAAACAGTAATTTGGAGAGTTTGCAAAAAATAAAAAATCTCTCAACCTAGATGAATTTCACTCCCTTATATGTAAAATAGATTAAAGATTAACCTCGGTCGATACAGATTATTTGTTCAAATAAATTGATGAAAATGGTGACGGTTCTTTGAGTATTCATGAATTTACTAAATTTTTCCTTGAATACGATTTTTCTGATCTAACTGACAAGGCTGCACATGTAAATCGAATAGTTTTTGATATAAAAATTCATTTTTAATTTATAAAAAATAGATAATAACTGATCTAAAGGAAATCATTAAGGCTAATAAAATGAATTTATTTGAAATATTTGAAAAATATGATGAAAATAAAGGTGGGACACTAGATTTGCAAGAGTTTACAAAAATGCTTAAATAAGTAGCAAACGGATTAAAAGATTATGAGATTCTAGTAATATTCAGGAAGTTTGACAGCAATAATGACTAAAATATTGATTTTTAAGAGTTTGTAAAAGTAATGACATATGGTTTATAGAGTGATGTGGGATAATTTGATTTTTCAGGTGAAAAGGCTTTAAGGGTTATTACTGAATTGAAAAGAGTTATAATAGAAAATAATTTAAACGAATAAAACATTTTTCAAAAATTTGATGTGGATTTCGATAAGCATTTAAATAGAAGAGAGTTTAGAGATTTAATTAGAATTATAGATCATCGTCTTACAAACCAAGAAATTCATTTTATATTTGATATTTTTGATATGGATTCCAAAAATTTGGTAAGCTTAGAAAATTTCGTTTAAACCCTAAAAGAAAAATCATTTAAATTAAGAAAAAATTGATATAATTTATTTATTTGTATTCAAAGTTAATTCTTTGTTATATTTTAAGTTATTTTTTATTTTAAGCCAAAAAGTATTATTTATTTTACTTATATAAAAGGCTGTATCAAATTTGTGTGCAATAAATAGATATTTTCAAATTGAAAATGAGAAAATATAAAATAAAATAATAAAAATTAAAAAAATTTTAATTAATTTAAAATTATATAAATTCTTTGGATAGGATCTAAAGTATCTATAAACATATTCTATTAATAAGAATTATGGGCTATTCAAAATATAATATTAATTTGTTTAATTAACTAAATAAATCTTTCAGATAACTAAATTATAAAATAAAATTGTAAAGATTGTTTAAAAATCTATTAAAATATGACATTATTAATAATTTTGATGGTTTTAAATTTATTTGATTAAATTTTTTATTTTATTTTATAGTATTTTGAATTCTGGATTTTGAATTTTGAAAATAATAAAAACAACATTGATTTAGAATACTTCAAAATGGATATAAAAGTAAATGTTGAATTTACTTTCAACAAATTTAATTATATTTGATATTAATCAAACTAATTATTTTCTTAAGTAAGTAAAAATGATATAAAATGTAATAAAACGATTTGCAATTGAATAAAAAAATTGATATCAAAAAAAGGATAAAAGATTTTCTACTTATTTTAGCAGATATTCTAAATTTAAAACAAAAATTGATTAAATACTTTAGTTTCTGATCTGTTTCTCTTACTAGAATTTTCAGTTGCAGAAATAAATGCCAATCATTTAAATTTAGCTTAAATTATAAAACAATTGTATTAGATAAATTAATGCAAAATAAAATCAATCCCTATATATTAAGTAATAAAATTACCTTTACGAATTAAAGTGACGAAATAATTCTCACAAATTCGCATAATTAAAATCAGATATGTGAATAATTAGAGATTTTTAAATTATTTATTTTGCTTGATTTAAAAAAAAAGAAGATTCTCGTATTTCTATTTCATTTATAGCAAGGAATATTAAACGAAGTGATTGTAGATTCTTAAATTATGATTTCTACTATGGAAAAAAAAAATTATACTTCAGCCTAAGTAGAACTTAAGAATTTGAGGTAGATTTAGTAAGAAAATATCTGCAAATATACTTAAAGACAATAAATTTTATGGATTTGAAAAAACAAATTCAGACAATAAGTAAAATATATAATTAAATATCAAATTTCTTGTAATAGTCATTAAGCTGTCATTTATATACAAAAATTAGAATTATTTAGAAGACAATAATGATGAATGAATGAATGAATTTGATTAAATATGCAGTTATTAAATGTCAATCAATTCTTGCTCATACAAAATAATTAAAAGCAAGCAAACATAAAGCAGACTTATTTTGTTAAAAACAAAAGATAAATAAAAGAATCATTAGGCTTTAATTAAACAACAAAAATTAAAAGAAAAAAAGACTCTCTATTTCTTAGTTTTTTATAGTTTATTCTGAGTAAATACGAAGCAAAAGAAAAAATAAGAAAAGGATTCTAAGGCAAATTAAATATTTAAAAATAAATAATAGCTAGTATATCATGGGTTCTTAGAGTTCAAAGTTAGTTAATGGATAGGAGATGATGCAATAGAGTTCTGGGGTAGTTAGAAACCAGTATATGAATTAATCTGGGTAATATTTTAAAAAAATTATCATCTAATAAAATGCTCTTTTTGCAAATTCTAACTAAAAAATTCTTCTTTAAAAAAGCTATTAAATTGATTTTTTTGTATTAATTTACATTTTATAGGAATTCTATTGGAAGTATGACAGATACTTAATAACGTGGGAATTGTAAAATTAACATTTTAAATATAGATTATTATTTAGCATTAAAATTCAATAACAATTTTTTATTTATTTATTGTTATTTTTTAGCAATATAAATAAATATCAAATGAAAACCAAGTAGTTAAAAAAAAGAGGATACTTAATGATAAAAAAGCATTTATTTTTTTTTATATAAAATTTTAAATATGTTAAAGGATATCTATGAACCTATTTGATTTTATTTTTAATGAAAAGTCATCAATACGATATTTTAGTGGACAAATGGTGCGAATTCTGTATAGTTAACAGGTACATTTAACAATTGGGTTAATCCCATACCATTAGAAAAAGTAGAGAATAACTGTTTTCAAGTGATTCTGGTAATATGAGATTCAATCAATGATTATTTATCAACAAAAAATATTTTTACCTTTATTACAAAGTAATCTTAATAAATAGAAATTAAGACCAGGAGTATACTAGTATAAATATATAGTAGATGGATAGTGGAGATTCTCTCCCGACGATCCTACTTGCAATGATGAAAACGGAAATATTAATAACTTAATTGATACAACAAACATTGAAAGAAGCATTTCCTTAATAGGTTAAAATAATGGTTCCACCAAATTTCTTACAATGGGTTCTCAAAATAACTCAGTTAATTTCATTTAGACAAACGCACGTATAATGAATTCCAACGGAAATGTTGCAATGCAGTAGCAATAAAATGCTTAAAATTAATAAAATATTATGGGAGTTAATGCTAGTAGTAGGAATAACTAACAATTTTAGTATTAAGCTTAGCAATAATAGTTGTTACACTAACTTTAATATTAAAATTTATTATAGCAGCAATAGTAGTAATAACCCTAATAACAATATAATGTATAAAATGCATTTAATTAGTAATAATAAAATCTATAAATGTTTTAGCAATTAGGTAACAATCCATAAAACATTTCACCTAATATTATTGGTTCATAGCAAGGTGGAACTATTCCTTAGCAAGAATTTTAAAAAATGATGCAACAAGGTGGGTAAGGTTAATATGCAAACTCCTTACATCCCTCTTCAAATATTAGCAATATGCAAGCTATGTACATAAGAGCTTCTTAAAATTCCAATTTCGATAAATCTTAGCTACTAATTAAAGCTCATATCACTCAGTAAAATCAAACTAATTTCGAAGTAGCTTTTAAAGATCAAGCTCCTGTTCTTCCTCCACACTTATTAGAAGTACCAACAATCAAAAGGAGAAGTGCTAAATATGTTTCTATGTGGAGAGAGAAAAAACCTAGACTAAAAAGTAATGTAAAATCTGTATTTGGAGGTTAAAATAGTGTGCACAATACTAATAATATGAATATTGAAGAGGAAAATACAGATATAAGTATGAATGGATAATAATTAACTTTGAGTAATACACCTGAAGACGATGCAGAGGTTTTAATGCACGTATTTTAGCCTGGACACGGCATTACACCAGTAGATCATGTTACACTGTATATTTAAAAAAATTTTTTAACTAATTTAAAACGAATTAAATATTTATTTTATGAAATTAGGAACCATGTTGGTATAGACAATTTAAATCATAATGACAAATACAATGTTTACTGCATAACCTAAAGATTTAAAACAAAATACACAACCTATAAATTTTATACATCCAAATATGATACTTAGATTATAATTTGAGTTTATATCTTATTTAGTGCTTGAAATTAATTATCTAATTTATGGAGTGAGCCATAGTAATCAAATAAAAAACTAAAATATATTAAGGCATAATAAGTTTTGAATCTTACCTAAATATAGTAAAAATATAAAATAATTAAGTAAAAGATCAATTCAATTTTAAAGAAATAGCTAATTAAATAAATAAATAAATATCTTTAAAAATATACTAAAATAGTTTTAAAATTAATTAATATGTAATTATATCCTTCTATAAAAATTAAATATAGAATATTATCTATTTATTTATCTATCTATCTGTTAATCGATCTATCTTTCTTTCTTTCTTTCTTTCTATCTATCTATCTATCTATCTATCTATCTATCTATCTATCTATCTATCTATCTATCTATCTATCTATCTATCTATCTATCTATCTATCTATCTATCTATCTATCTATCTATCTATCTATCTATCTTCTTACCTACCTACTTTCCTTCCTTCCTTTTTTTGAATACAAATTAAAAAACTAAATCACTCTCAAATGAACTTATGCTAATTTTGATTAAATTATTCATTTTTATTTAAAATTTTTCAAATATAATTTGCCTCTTTCTTCATCTTCTAAATATTTGCTTAATACTTTTACTAATTGTTTTTCTAATGATATTGATAGTAAATTTATTTTTTAAATTATTTTTTAATGCTAAATTAATTAAAAACGAAATTTATTTTAATGATACAATACATATTAAAAATGAACAAATGAAAGAAATTTTTTATTTTCTAAATATATTAATATTCAAATTCAATTTGCAGTTATTCTCCAAACTAAAATTGAGTTATCTTCTCCTCCAGTAGTGATAAGGTATTTATCATCATATGAGAAGCGGACATTAGTAATGTGTGAGCAATGACCATTTGATTCAATACATTAAGCATTTGAGTTGACACAAGGCCATCTAAATAGATTAACAGTGGAATAATCATCACCATTTGCTAATAAATAATAGCCGTTAATTTTAGTATGAGAGCGGTCACACCAGTTGATATCTGTATAGTCATTGTAAGATTTCTTCCACATTTTTTACACTGGCCAAGAGAATATACAAGAATGAGTATCCCATTCTTCATCTCTCAGTTAGGTAGCACCTGCAGTAAGCTAAGCACCAGTATTAACATCCCAGAAGAGAAGATCATAAGCACCACAAACAGATCTTAAATGACTACCATCTTATGAGAAATCTAAATGAGTAATAAACGAAGTATGCTTGTTTAGTTTATGAACATTTTTAAATTCAGGATAGCTGTAAACATAAATCATATTGTCATGAGAACCAACTGCTACAAGGTTGCCTTTTGGTGAGAATTTGATTGTTGAAACCCATTCTTTTGCATGCTTAAATACCTTCTTTACATGCAAATTAGCATCACAGAAACGAAGGGTGCCGTCTTTGAAACCAACTAAGAAACCCTCTCCATTAGGTGCAGCTGCTACAGCACGAGCCTTTGATGAATCAAAGTAATCATTATTGTTCTTAGTATCTAAAGGTAATTACTCACCTTATTCATTTACATTCAAGCTAGCTCCTTTAAGTTGCTTGTGTTGGGAAATACTCCATACACGAATAGTTGAATCATCAGATACTGTAACAAAGAGATCATGATTATCACGGAAGAGATCAAGACCCCAGACTTCATTAGTCCAAGAGCCATTAGGTGAATAATGACCAGCCATAGATTACTTGAAAGCTTATACTACAAAACCTTCTCCTGCACGCTAAAGTTTTAATTGATAGATTTCAGAACCAAAAGTAGAAACAAATAAGAAAGAGCAATCGCTGTTAAATTAAGCTGAACGAACCTTGGCACAAAGAGATGTATTTAAAAGTTTACCTAAATCAATTTTTTAAATAACTTTGTAGGTCTTTGCATCTAAAATACATAAATTTGAGTCACGACCACCGGTAACTATATAGCCTTCGCTAAATGTAAGAGCATCTAAAATTTTAGCTTCATGAAGTTGAATTACTTTTTCGCAGGTGTTCATCTTGAAAACCTGAAGAGTACCATCTGCAGCACCTACTAGAATATCTTTGTTGAGAGGGTTGATTGCAACACTAATAAGACGAGTTGAGCATTTGTGGGCACCCCAAATACCTCTCTTATAAGTAAAATCAGTAGCATTCCATAATCTAAAGTGCTTTTCACCAGCAGTGACGATAATATTATCATCACGCCACTCGCAAGCAAAGAGTTTATCTTAACCTCCTGAATTGCTTTTAATTACTGCTCCAGTTTTTACATTAATGACAGTAATATCGTGACCATCATTGCATGACAATGAGACTAGCTTAGAACCATCAGGAGAAAAAGATAGTAAACTGCAACCTTTAGTAGCTCCATTTTTTATTTCTTAGACTATCTCAAGGGTTTCAGGATTCCAAATATAAATTGGACAATTCTTTTTTGTATCAGATACTTATCCTGTAGCGACTAAAGTCTAAGTACTGTTCACAGCTATTGCTGTTACATCGTCAGTGTGCTTCAAAAAGAACTTTTGGGTGTTAGTTTAAATATCGAAGACAACAGCAGCACCAGCAGCATTGTATACCATCTTACCTCCTTTTAAATACTTAACATTATTACGGCAGTCTTTTGAACGATATCCGTGAAGATATTCTAATTGGATTTTAACATCAGGCTTCTTGCTAAGGTTTGGATCTTTCTTATACCAAGTAGGAGCCTTGATAGCACCAACCCATGGTCTGCAGCCATTAGCCTGTGTATTATCGTTGAAATTATCTTCTTCTCCTGCCTCTGGAGCGTCTCCATCTTCACCCTTTTTGAGTAATTCATGAGTAGCTTAACTACGTTTTAGCATAGCCTCTGCCTCACCAGGTTTAAGCTTGTATTTAGAAGCTGCATCTTTGGCTTTCTTCTCTTATATTCCTGAATCTTTTACCTTCTTACCATCATCACCTTAGAGCTGTTTAAGCATTTCTTCTTAATCAGCGTCTTGAATTGTATTCCAGTCGTCTCCTCCGTCCATTTATTTATTTAGCTATTTTGCTTTATTTTTCTTTGTTTTCCTTCTACTTTTACCTAATTTTTATAATTAAAATTTGCAAATTTTATTACTTATTTATAAATTTTTGTTAAGCCTGATTTTAAAAAATATATATATGAATGTATATCTTTGTGTTTATCTTCTATAGTCAATTTGTGTAATAATTTATACAAATTTAAACAAAAGATTTGCATACGTTTTTACTAAATATCTATCTATTTTAATTGAAGCGAAAAATCTCCTACTCTCTAATCTCTCAATCAAAAATCTGCTTATCTAAATAAAACCTATAAATTTATAAATTCATCAACAAAAATGCAAAGGCACAAACAAACCTGTCATTTTTAATATATTTTCTCTAAAACAAATCTTTTTAACTGATTTAACTTAACCTAATAAGAAAATATGAGAAGTATTTTTGAAATATGATTGCTATTTGTTTGTTTAAGTGAATTTTTGAGCAAATTTTTGTTGCAATAGAAAATAAATAGCTTATAGACCTACAAGAAAAAAAAATCTTTAACCAATTCTTATTATAAATTTATCAAAAAAATATGATTGGAACTATATTTAGAATTTACTTTACATTTTTTAGAATGTTAGACAAAAAAATGATAAAAAAATAATTAAAATCTATAAAAATATCGTCTTAAAAAATGTATTTTATAATTTTTCTTTACTCAATAACTTGATATTAATTAATAATATTTATTTATTTTCAAATATTATTTTTTTTTTTATGTATCTTATTACATTTTCATTTTTATTGATTCAAATATTTTAAAAAAATTACATAAAATTAAATATTTCAAATAAATTTAGAAGTCTTTTTGTTTACTAAAAATGTTTGGCTAATTACATTTTATTAATTATTTATCTTAATATTTTTTTATAAAAAAATCAAAAAAAATAAAAATAAAAATATTTTTTTCTTATGATAATTTTAAACAATTTTTTGTAATAGAGTTAGTTATTTAAACACATTTTGAATCAAAAAATTAATCTAATTGATGTAACGAATTAATTTCAGTCAATATTTAATTTTATAAAAAATATTATGCAAATTAATTTTAATTTGATAAAAATAGTATTCCCTAAACTGTAGTAGATTACTAGAATATGAATCTGTAAAGATACACAACATTGATCTGTTTTTATATACCTTACTAATCTTTTTGTTCTCCTTTAATATGAATATCTTGATAGCTTTCTGATCTTACCAAAGGAATACGATATCAATAAATAATATTTCAATTAAGGATATATCTTTTGTATAATAATTTCTGTTCAAAAATTTAATAAAAAAAAGTATTTATTGAAAAGCTATAGTTTAAATGTGCATAACTCATAAGGAAGTAGCTGATAGAATAATTCAATGTCTTACTGAAAAATAAGCTTAATTAAGATCCTCTATAGTATTAGCTGGTAGTGTAAACTACCATTTACGTATAAAGCTTCTTAAAGGACCTAACTATTAGGGTTTAATAACTGTTAGGTTCTTCGCATTAAAGCATACTGATGAAGTTTTTCTTGATTTTACTGGAAAAACTATTTTGGGTATGAGTATCAACAATAATTAGGTAGAAAATATAGATTGGGATGGTAACTTCCTAAAGCTTAAAGGAGTAAAGTAGGGAAGAAATGAAATTTTAGTACACTACGAAAATAAATATGACAATGATGGAAACGGCTTGCATAGTTTTATTGATGAAGACAAAAAGCAATATATTTACACAAATCTTGCTGTTATCTACTGTCGTCGTGTTTTCCCTTGCTTTGACTAACCTGACCTTAAGGGTAGCTTCTAGCTTACTGCAATTTCTCCTAAAGATTGGATAGTCCTTTCTAACGAAATACCCTCTGAAAAGCTTGATGTTTCTACTCATTTTAATTAAAAAGAAACTATTTACTCATTAGAATTCATAAAGCAAATTATTGAAGACAACTCAAGCTACGACTTACGCGAATTTCCTGAATCTAAGCCATTAGCTTCTTACTTATTTGGTATTATGGCTGGGCCATATGCCGAAGTAAAGTGCAAATAAACCTATAAAGTAATTAAGTAATTTATATTTTTATTTAATTAAATCTAGGAGATTCGCCTAAAATAAAAAAAATCTTAATATGAACTAAAATTTACTTTTATTTTGAATATTTTATTTAATTCAATATTTACTTTAAACTATTTATAGAATATTCCAATGAGTTTGTTTACAAGAGAGTCTATTATGCCTCATTTACTTAGAATTTCAGATTTTCTTTTTGAAGTAACAAATAAGTCCATGGAAGTATATGAAAGAATATTCGGATATGACTTCCCATTCAACAAATATGATCAAATCTATGTACCTGAATTCAATTGGGGTGCTATGGAAAACGCAGGTATTGTTACTTTTAATGATTTATATGTTTATCGTGAAGAAGTTGACAGTGTTAAGCTAACTAAACTTGCTAACACCACTTCTCATGAACTCTCTCATCATTGGTTCGGAAACCTAGTAACTATGAAATGGTGGAATGATGTTTGGTTGAATGAATCTTTTGCAGACTTTATTTCTCATTATTGTCTCTCTTAATTTTAAACTACCACTCGTCCTATGAGTGACATTTGGGTTGCTTTTAATGCTCGTAAGGCTTGGGGGTAATTATTATTATTATTTTAAACCAATTTAATTTTTCTAACAAAAATTTACAAATTTAGATATAGAACTGACGAGCAAGTTACTACCCATCCTATTGCTGGAAGTGTTCCTGATACCAACACTGCAGAAAATGTTTTTGATGGTATTACTTATGCTAAAGGTGCTGCCACTCTAAGATAGCTATTTTCTCTAGTTTCTGTAGAGAATTTTAGCAAGGCTATGAAAGAATATTTCCATAAGTTTGAATGGAGAAGTGCTACACTTTCTGATTTAATTAATACTGTTGATGAGCAATTCTAGTAATCAGGCTCTTCATTCTCTCTTTCTAGCTGGTAAAAGACATGGATTTGCAAAGCAGGATTAAATAAATGCATACCGTTATTTGATCCTTCTAGTAGAGACGTTAATTCTAAGTTAGTTATTAAGCAAACATACACATTGGAAATGCACCCAACATTAAGAAATCATAAAATGAAAATAGCTTTCTTTGATGAAAATGCTAAAATAGTTCACTAATAAGACATCCTTTTATAAGATTAACCTGAAACAGTTATAACATATGACGGTTCAAAGGGAAACTATAAAGCTCTGCTTTTAAATTACTAAGACGAAACTTTTATTAAAATTGCTTTCGATAGCCACTCTATTTAATTCTTTAAAGAAAATTTAAATAAAGTTGACTGCGAATTATCAAGGACTCTCATTTGGCAAGCTTTTTACAATATGGTAAATACTAAATTGAATAAATATATTATTCTGAATGTGAATATTTAAAATATAGGTTAGGGATGGTGATTTATCTTCTGAAGAGTACATCGAGTTATTTATTAACCACATTAATTTAGAAAAGTCAGATGGCTTAATCAGCAATCAATTATAATTTTTGGAAACAGCCTTCCTTTCTTTTACTCCAGGAAAATACTCAAAAATTTTAGGTAACAAAATCTTTGACTTTTTATGGAGTATGATTGAAGGATCAGATGATAGCTAAGTCAATAAAAAGCTGGCATTGATAGGTTACTTACCCTCATTTGCTAAGAGTGAAGAGAAGGTAAGAAAACTTTTAGAATGGTATAACCGAAAAGCCCTCACTAAGGAAACTATGGGAATAAAAACTCAATGGTAAATAGTGTAGGCTGTTTATAGAATTAAGGATATTTCAAAAGAAGAAAAGGAAGAATTATTTTAAACTTAATCTCAAAAAGATAAATCTGACTAAGTTCCTCTTTATGAGTAATATTGCAAGTCACTATTAGCTTCACCAGAAGAAAAAGAAAAACTATGGTAGAGCTATCTAGACCCTAATAATCCTCTCTCTACAAGACTTTTAGAATACTCATTAATGGGTTTTAAATCTCACTCTACTACAGAGTTAACCTAAAAATACTAACTTTTATGGTTATAGAACTTATCTTATGTTTTCAAGACCTGCAAGAGAGAATTATTTAAAGCATATGTTCTTTATTTATAACCATCATAAGAAACTTTAGATGAAGAATTTAATAATAGCTTGCTAAAAATAAAGTCTGAAATTACTGAAGATGTTTTACATAAGGTGCTCTTGGAGTGTTAAGATAACAATTCAAGAAAGCAAAAGGCTATTTCAACCTTTTTAGCAAATACAAAATTAACTGTATGATAAATATTTTAATATCGTTATTTAAGTTAGATGCTTGTGTTTATTTATGTTAATTCCTTATTTGTTTTGAAAAAATTTGGAAATGAAAATTTATTAAAAAGAGTCAAAATAAAATCAATAATTAAAAAAGTTAGCCCGCCGTGGGGCTCGAACCCACGACCACAAGATTAAGAGTCTTGCGCTCTACCGACTGAGCTAGGCGGGCAGCTCATAGTATTAAATCTCTTAATTAGTAGTTTTGCTAATCTTTTCTTATTTGACTTTTATTTAATGAATAAATTAATTTGATTGTATGCCATAAAGATATAGTATAGTATATTAAATCATTTATCTGCTTTAATTAATTTTTCAAACTAAAAAGAATGGCTAAAAAACCTAGTTTATATCTTTTTATAAAAAATGAGCTTCTCCTTTTATTTTTAAAGGGTATTAGAGGACTATTTGAAAACAAGTCATTCTTAATATTCATAACCTTTATTAGCCCTTTTATTTATTATATGTTTTAAAATTAGGGCTAGGGAGAGATCTTATAATTTTTATCCAAAATTATTCGGATTTGGAGCAACATTTTTTGGTTACTTTTGGCTGAAGCAGCAACTCAAATTTGTAAAAAACAAAAATTTATCGTTATTTTTTATGATTGAGTATTTTTAAAAATAGGAATTTGACTAAAGACCTCAAATAAATATTTTAATTCCTGAATTTATTTATAAATCAAGAAGAGAACATCATGTTTATTGGGAAATGTCAAGGTAGAATAAATAGCTTGATATAGTTTTTATGAATTTATATATTAATGTAATTAAAAAAGATTGGCAAGAGGTAAATCAACAACTTTCACTCATTACATTTGGGATGATGAATCTGTAACTAATTCAAAATTTATCAAAATTATTTTTAAAATTTAAATTATTTTCAAACAAACAAACAAACATATTTACAGAAATTTCTTATTTATGTTAGAATTTTTTATTTAATTTGAATAATTTATAGAAAATGGTGTACTACATAGACAAAAAAGGAAAGCAATCATTTGAAAAAAATATATTTTCAAGAGAAAGATTAGATGTTTCAGATAACCCACTCTTTGAAAAAATACTAAGAGCACCTTCAATAACTCCTGAGCTATTTAAAAGAGGAAACGAACTTATTGCTTATACTAAACATATGGATAATAGATATGACTTAGATGTAAAATATTTTCTCAAAACTTTATTTTAAAAAATTTGAAAAAAAAAAATGAATAGAACTATTTGCACTAGAAGAGTATAACTATAAGTGATTGGATTAGGGCTATATATTACTAAATTTGGCTAACATTCTAAATTTCTAATAGATATCGTTATGACCACTTTATAGGGAAATATGATTTTATTTACGATTTTGAAAAAGTGAAGCTTGCTCTAAATATTCAAGGAAAAAACTAAGTTTCTTAAACCACTGATTACTTAAAAGTTTTCATTAATTTTACTGATTATATTATAAATAGCATATAAGAACATGTTAATTAGAAGGAATAAACTAATAAATCAAATTGAAAAAAAACTAATATTCTAAAAAATATTTACTAAAGTTTAAAACAAAACCAATAATAAATCGATATAAGCTAATCATATCTTCTCAAAATTTTATAAATGTTTACTTTTAATAATAAATAACTTGATTAAAACTTCTTAAAATTAATTTAAGTTAATTATTTATAAAACTTGAACTATTAAATTTATTTTTTATAAGTAAATTTGATGTTTTATAAAAAAATTGTGATATTATTGTAACTATCATTAATATTTTTACTTTTAATATAGTTACCTATTTATTTTATTTTTAATTTAATTAAATTATTATGAATTTCATAAAGATTTTTTAACATAGTTTTTATACTTAAATATATTTTAGTCAAAGAGCATATTTGCAGTATACATTTCTTTTATTTTCTGTTTAAATTGTATTAAAAATACTCAAAATATCTATAAATAAATATGAATTCTAAATTTTAGGCTCTAAATTTTTATTATTTTGGCTTTGATTTAAATATAAAAATTTTCAAATTCATATATTACTTCTTTTACTTAAATTTATGGTTTTATTTTTTTTGTTAACATAAAGGAAAACTTATTTAAACTTTTAGCTTGTTTCAAAAAAAACTAATATCTTGCTTAGTATTTATGATTCAAATGTTTTCAAACCCTTTAAAATATTTAATTCTATCTCTAAAAACTTTAATTTTATTAAAATTCCTAAATATTAAGAGAGGGGAGTTAGAATTGATTAATAATGTCTAGCTGTATTTACCCATCAAGTAAGAAAATTATTTATTCTATGCTCATAAACAGTGTATTAAAATATGAGTCTTAAATTTGTTTATGTGTTTGAAATAATAGATAGTCTTAAAATAATAAATATAAGAGTTTATTAACAAGTTGCAACTTTAATAGTTTCCTCCATCACTCTTAATTAATTTATCTCCTTAAGTATATAAATTAATTTTTTTAAGTTATTTAATGACTTGAAATATTTCAAATTATGTAAGCAGTATTTAACTCATTAGGTTAATTAGTTATCATTTAAATAAGGCAGTTGGGTATATATGTTCTATATTAATTGCTCTTATGCTTGATTTTCAAAATTTTTAAATTTTTTTGAGTTTTATTTTTGTAATTTAATAAGGATGCTCAAATTATCAAAAAATATATTGCCAAAGAAATAATATTTAAATTATTAAATTATTATTTAACAACTTAATTTTTTAGAATATCTATTGTTGAATATTGTTTTAGATAAATTATTACAAATATTTTATTATTTTTTATCAAAATTTATCATAATTAATTCGTTTGTTTTTATTATTAAAACTAACTGAAAAATTTTTGTTATTTTTTAGATTTTTTAAATTAATAGTTTTCCAAAAAAACAATAATAACTTTTGACTATATTTAAAAAAATAATAAAATTTAAAATATTTATTTAAAGCAACTGATAAATTAATTTTCAAATATCTTACAAAATGCAAAGAGATGAAACAAAAATTACAAGGATAGATATTAAGTAGTTAAAATTAATTAATAAGTAAATATTATTCTAAAATGAATCTTAAAAATATACATAAGAATAAGATATTAAAATTGAAGGATTATATAAGGTTAAGTTAGTATTTATTTTTGTTATATTTAGCAAATAAATAAAAAGTGAGATGTAGCTTAATTGTTCATTTAAATACAGGATTTATTAGTACTCCATCCAATTTCCTTTGATTTATAATAACTAAATATTAACATTTCATCATTTTTTACTGAATCTACTACTTACAGCGCTGCTAAAACCGCTTTTATTATCAACTAATTTACAATAAAAAAATATTTTAATAATAAATTAAAAATAAATAAATAAATTATTTAAATTACCTGGTTTTTTAACTTATCCTGCTTATGGTGTTAAACTTCCTTTAGGATTAGTAGAAACAGTTGGTTTTTTAGCTGCACCTGATTTAGTGCTACCACTTCCAGAATTACTTTATGAAATTACATTTTTTGTTCCTACAATTACAGAATTGGTTTTTTAAATAACTGGTTTTTCAATAGGTGTATTAACTTTTGAAGGTTATTTAGTGGAAGCATTATCACTACCAGCCTAAGATTTATTCTCTTCTTCAATAAACTTTATAGTGATGTTTGTTTCTGATATGAAAGGATGATTCATCAAATCTACTGTGCTTATTCTATTTGCTGGATCAACTTAAAGAGTTTTTTCAATTACATCTAAACACTCCTTTGAAAGTTTCTTTTTTATGTCTTTTGGTATTTCATACACGCCTTCTGTAATTTTTTCCATTATTACATTATTATTTGGTCCATTAAAAGGGAACTCACCTACTATCATCATGTATAGGATGACACCCATAGCCCAAACATCTATAGCTGGAGTTATTTGTTTAGTTTTACCATTTAAAACCTCAGGAGCCATGTATCTTAAGCTACCTGCATCTATATTCTCTACGCTTTGCTTAGAAGCTACCCCTGCAATACCAAAGTCTACAACCTTTAAAATAAAATAAATTAATTATTAGCTTTAAAAATAAAATTTATTATCAATTATTGATTAAGATGTTTAAAATGATATTATTATCATTTTTATTTACTATATCTGAATAAAATTAATCTTTGTCTCTTATTAGTTCATTAAGCTAATATATCTCTTGAATATTAATTTAAAAATTAGAGTAGAAAAAACAAATTTGTAAATTTAATCTATGATATAAAACCATTTTATTTTTCTCTGTTGTAAGAAATAATTCAGCTATTAATTGTAGGAGTAATTGAAACTCTTAATTACAGTATTAGGATTTATATAAACTTTTAAGACTATGTCATAGTATATTTTTTTTGAGTATACTTCTCCCATAAAATATATAAAAATAAAAATAATGGCAGAATAACAAAAGAAATAAATTTATTAATTAATTACTTTTATTTGATCGGAACTTTCAGATACAAGGAGAAGATTTTCTAATTTTAAATCTCTATGTATTAATTTGTTCTTATGACAGTAATTCATGGCATCTACAATTTATTTAAAGTAAACTTTGGCTTATTCTTCAGTAAAGTGACCTACTTTATCAACTCTATCTAATAGCTCTCCACCTTCTAAATACTCCATAATAAAAACTACTTTCATATCTGATAATGTATAGCAATTCTTAATCTTAACTATATTTTTATGATTTAAAGACTTTAAAATTTCAGCTTCTCTAAAGACCATATCAATATCTGAGGCGTTTCCTATATTTAATTAAATTTTGGTTATTTAACAGAATTAGTTGTAGAAATTTCAGAGTCCAAAAATGAGAATTAAAAACAAAATTGATGCTTTTCTCATAGTTTTTTTTTAAAATAAGAACACAAAATGTTTAAGTTAAAGAATTATTACCTATAATATTCGTTTTAACTATTTTAATTGCAACCTTTTCTTGAGTTATCTTATGAAGTCCTAATTATACTTATCCAAAACCTCCTTCACCTAACACCTTTACAAGATTATATTCTGAAAAACTTGAGTTGGCATCAAAATCTTCACCTAAATATACCAATATATAATTACTTTTACTTATAAAAAACAAGAATACTTTTAAAAAAAGAATAAATTAGATAAGACAATATGGGGTTAATTAATAATAAAATCAATATTTTACATTCATACTTTTTTTTAAAAATGTATCAAAAGTAAATTTTAATCATATAAATGCTATCAATATATATTTTAGAAAGTTATACCTTTAGAAGCATAAACTATAGCTTTATCTTTCAAATATAAAAGATCATCATCATACAATTCAACCCCTTCTTAGTTAAATAGTCTAATTTCTCTAATATTCTTCATATCTGTCTTTTGTTCTAATGTATTTGCTATCTTATTTAAAGTTAATCCTTTTTGTATCTTGATTTCAATCGGCTTCATCATAGGATCACCATTTTTATAGACTTTCATCTAATAAAAATAGAATATTTTTTATTTTATAATGCAATATTAAGCACTTCTGGCTTTAAAAAATAAAGTCATTCATACAAATTTTTCTTTGACAACAAAATCTTCATCGAATTCCATTTTCTGCTACTACTTACTTACTTATATCTTAATGCAATTTAAAATCTAAATTTTTTGTTCACTATTTGATATACCAAATTTTTTCTTTTTAATGATTTATATTGTGAATTCAAACCAATTAAGTTGTTTTCTTTATTGATTTATTGATCGATTAAATAATTAATTTATTGATAGATAAATTGTAATATTGAGATACATATATATACACACTTAGGAATATAAAAAAGCTATTTATTTGAATTGAATCAATCAATTTTATTATGTGTGTGTGATTAATAAGATTTATCAAATTTAATTTGATATAACAAGCTATCTATATTACTTTATTTACTCACAAAAAATAGGGTACAAAAGCAATATTATTTACTTGTTAATTTTTATTAATTCTCCTGTGTTTTTATTTACACTTATTTAAATATCTTTCTTAAAATTTATAAATAGATACACTAAAAAATCTATAAACTAGTAAATTTTGTAGTAAGATCAAATATATTCATTTCTATAAGAATTATAAGGCTATTAAAAATTGTCGAGTAACAAACATTTTTTTTCTTAAGTGTATTCCAAAGGCTGATCAATATTTAAAATAATTATTAGTGTATTTTACTTCTTAATATAATCATCATATATGATCAGAAAAAAGTATTCAATAGTTATATGGATCATCATCATAGTATTAATTTTATTATTCATATTAATCATAATTATTATTATCGTTTATATGATTTTATGGAGGAATAAAATTTTGCAAATTATTTTAGAATTAATTTTGCTAATTATTATTCTACTATTGATTGTAAATCAATTTAGCTTCTTTTATTATCAATTAATTTCTAATAAAGGATATTAATTAATATGTATCATAGCTAGGATCCATTCCTAAATCGTCAAATAAATATAAGCATGTGTCGTAAATCCTAATTTTATGAGAAATAAATTTATAAATTACATATTTCAATAAACTTATCGATAAATTAGATATGAAAAAAACCTTGTAACATCTCTAATGTTATTATACTCTCTATTGTGTGCATAATCATTTCTAGCCTATTTTAGCTCAAAAAGTCTACTTCTAATTAATCTTTTATCACCCAAATTGAAAAAAACTAAAGTTTTATTTTATAATCTTAAAAAATAAAAAGTAGCTATAATCATTTACCTATTATATCTTCATAATTCTATATAAAAAAGGACAGCATTCCCAAAAGATCTTTATTATAACTCTTAATTATTAAAAATTTATTAAATTATAAATCATATATTTAGAATACCTTTTTCAAATCGTTTAGTGCCTACTAATTTGTAGTTTTTTGCATTTATCCATCAATAAATGCTTACATCGCTTTCTTAATTATATCATATAATTTTTCTAAGCAACCTTCAACCAATTACCTGTTAGTGTAAATATCTAAATTTATATCTTGATTCATTATCTATTTTACTAATATGTTCTAAATAATAATTCAGAATAATTTCTTCTGTTATCAATTCAAGAATTAATCAAATTTATTATACTCTAAAACTCGAAAAAATCTAAGATCTCATCCAAATAATTTCTAATAAAAATTAGCTATAAAAAATGAATTATACCAAATTTAAGTGTTTAAACTAATAGTATCATCAATATTTTATTAAAACTAACTAACTTATAAGAGAGGGGAGTGGGGCATATAAAAGCTATAAAATTTGGTCAGGAAACTTACTTATAATGATTTTAGAAAGGTTTACAAAATTAAAAATTGTTTATTCCTACAACTAAATATTTTAAAATTATTTTTGGCATTATAGATTTTTTTTATTTTTATTAAATTATTTAACCAAACAAAAGATCTGTAAGATTTCATAAAAATTTTGATAAAAAATATACCTTTAAATGATAATTATACTAGTTTAAAAAGTATTATATTATTTATAAAAAGATAGACCCTTTTTTTGTTTCATGATAAGCAAAATATGAAAACCATAAGAAAATATAATTGATAAAAAATTATTAAATTACTTAAAATTTATTTTAAGAAAGTAGAATAAAAAATTAAAAATGAATACTTAATTAAGTACAATAAGTTAAATTACTATCTTAAAACAACCTAATTAAGCCTAATAAGTGGAGATAGATAGATGGTATTTCTGAAATAACTATTTTACGATACAAATTTTATACTGTTTTTAAGATTTTATAAATATATAGGAGTTGTTTGTTGTGTAAAAAATTATTGAGTCAGTCATTGATGAAACAAAATTTAAGATTACCTTTTTTTTAAAATATAGACAAAAAACTTACTATTTTAGCAATTATAAATGTTTTTGATTTTTCAACCTTATAATTTATAATGCTAAAGAAAAAATAAAATACCTTTTTTGAAAAAATTTTATTAGTAATAAATATTAAATATGTAGGGGAAAAAAATGAAATTTAATATTATTAAAATAAAATATATTTATTTTTTAGAGAAATTTAAGATATTTTTTTTTTAAATAATGATTAAAAATACAAATTTTTTCATTAGCATTAAAATAATTAGTTAAAACCTTCTTTAAAAACATGCATAGTAAATTATTTTTTATAAATAATATTTTACATCTAAATACAAAAATAAAATGAAAAACAAATTTTATAATAAATAACTTCAAAACAGAATCCAAAGTTAATAAATTATATACTATATCAGTCATCTTCTTTTGATTTTTCTTTTCTTTTTTTATCTTTTTTAATCTTATTGCTTTTTTTGGATTTTTTATCTGATTTTTCACTGTCATTTTTTTTGTCCTTCTTTTTCTTTTTATCTTTTTTATCTTTTTTATCTTTTTTATCTTTAGTAACTTTTATAATACCTTTGAGTAATTGTTCTTACTCCTTTTTAACATCCTCTAGCTTCTTTTCTAATTTATTATCTTCATTTTCCTCCATAAAGAACTACTCCCACTATATTTAATTTAAATAATATTTTAATAAAAATTTATTCAAAAAATTAAATAAATACTCTTTCATCTTCATCTAAGAAGTATTTTTTATCCTTCATTGTTTAGATATTTTCATAAGCTTTTTCAGTTCTCTCTTAAGCTATTTAAGTTAATCTTTTTTCTTCTTCAATCATTAGTAATTCTTCTTCAGTGAAATCTCTGAATTCCCCCCATCCTCTGCCATCAGGACCTGAAGGTTTATACAAATTATCCTCTAAAAAGTCTGTTCCTTCTTCTTTTAGCTCTAAATATTCTCTAGGAGGTTTATATTTGGATACATGATTTACTCCAATAATTCTACCACAAAGATTTATTTAATTAAAATTTTCTACAGCTAAAATTGTGCTTCTTTAATCTTCATATGCTAGAAAGCAGTAACCCTTACTCCTACCTGTCTTCTTATCTCTAACAAGGCGTAGGTCTACTATCTGACCCCATCTATTTAATATCATAATATTCTAATTTTAAAAAGAATTAAGTTTGTTTATGAAAATAGTAAAATTTAGTTGGAAAATTAATTTATGATAAAACTTTTATTAAAATGAAATTACTGAGAAAAAACTGTTGATATATCTCCTTCATTTAAATCATAGTTTAATCCTCCTATAAAAATATAAGCACTATCTTTATACTTTAAAAAAAATAAATAATTATTTAGAAAACTTAATGTAATAGAGACTAAAATAAGTTATTGAATATTCTATAATTAAATAAACTTACATCATTATGCCATGATTAGCCAGTTTCAACTCCTTGTTTTAATTCCTTTTCTATATATTACTTTACTTTTGTTGAATTGTTCATTTACTAACTAACTAACTAACTAAATAATATTTGTTTATTTTGTATTTCTTCAGATTTATTTTAATAAAAATATAAAAATAATATTTATAATAGATGTCTAACAATTTAATTATTAAGATTTCTTAAGCTTAAAAAACTACTGAAATAGGATTTAGGATTAGAATTAAATAAATCATAGCCAATTTATTGACTAATTGAAGATATTTTATTTTTTTCAGAGGTAATTAAAATTAAAATAAAAAACCATTAAATTTTATAAATCTACAAACACAATCCAGTAAATAAATAGCCTATAAACATTTAATTTAGTAAGAGAATTTAAATTGGAAAAAATGATACATTTTTAAAATAAAATAAAATAAAATTAAGGAAACAATCAATATCCTTTTATAAAATAGAATGATCAAAATAATCTTTCACAATATTTATATGACTCAGATTCATTTTTAGTATTGATTATTTAAAAAACGCTTCCAATAGATTTAGATCTGATGTGCATAGAGTTATTGAATTATTATTTAGGCTAGATAGTTAATTTACTTCTCTTTGGAAATTTATTAAGTTGATTAATAGATTTTTTTTATCCAAATTATGGAAGATCATAATCTTCATCTTCACTTTGATGAAATTGATCATAATTATAATGTTGACTAACAAAACTTAGTTATTCATGGTTTTCATTATTATCAGTTTCACTATTTTAAAAGCTACACATACTGAGAGTGTTTCTTTGATTTTACCTTTTTTTTTCTTAACTGACCTGCTTTTATTTATTTAAATAATTTAGCTATTGAAGTAGTTGATTTTTTTTCTATTCTAGTATTTCTTTTTTTATCAACTCTTCATGCTATCTTTTTAAAATATATTCTTTTTACTAGTTGAAAATGTCCATGAACTTTTGCTCTTTTACCATTTTTTACTATTAAAATATCTATGAAATCTATTGAGGATCAACTATTTTAGGTTTATCTTAATTTTACTGAGAGATTTTAGCTTGGTTTAAGTACTACTTTTGCAATTCTATATTTAATCCTTAAAATAAGGGCATAGGTCTTATTTTATTATGAGAAAAGTGGTAAAATAGTGCTTTGAATAGACTCAGCAGTAAAGAAAGTACTCCAAAAATAAAAGAAAATTTTAGCTTGATTTATCTATTTAGCAATGATTAAATTATCCCAAAATCTTTGTGCCTTTTTATTTTTTCATAGAGAGCATGTTTTTGTTTTAAAATCTAATACAAAGCTTCACTTTCGTTTTCATACCTTAACCTAAACTCATCCAAAGTCTTCTTTTCTATTATGATTTCTTGATACTAGTTCCATAAATTGTATCCAAACATAACTAGTCCTAAAATAAGAAACACCATAATTTGTTTTTGATTTATATATGAATAAACTTCTTTCATTCTAGTTCTTAAATCCTTTTTTTGTAGGCATAAGTTATTTCCCTACACACACTAGCTGAAATCTAACTAGTTTATTTGGCTAAATAGGCAGTGTTTTAAAAATTTAATTGCATTTAAATCATTTTTATATTTGATGTAAAATGCCTTTTCTCTTCCAATAAAAGCTTTTTTATATTCATCTTAGTAGTTTTTGAATTCTTACTGTGAGACTAATTGTTTCTTACTACTGAAGTATGATTTGTTCTTTGAATCAATTTTATGCTTTAAGCAACTCCTGGTGTTTATTGAATCTTCATCAGAGTTATTTAAAGGACTCTGATATTCTTACTTTATGCTTTTACTTTCTCTCTTGAGCTACAGGTATCTTTTAGATACTAAGTTATAAATTGCCTAAAGGTCATTCTAATTTTTTTCCATTTCAATCAAGGAATTTTTTATTGTAATTAAAATTTATTTAAATAGTTTGAAATTAATTAAAAGTGTGCCTGTAATTTAAAAGATTGGAGTAAGAAAGAAAGAAGTTTTTATAATAAATATACAGGCTATATATAATTTGGAATATGAATATAAAAATGAATAAATAAATATTAAATTAAAATTTATTTTCATTTTAACACCATGCTATTATTTTATATTTATAAATCATCAAATTCCTTTTTATAATCCTTTAAGATAGGATTGTCTTCTTTTATTTATAGTAGAAATTCTAAAATTTAGTATTTGTGATTTAAAAATTAATGTAAAAGATTTTCACTACTAATTTTCGGTGAAAAATTTTGAGAGACTATTTTTTTAAGGATATTTAGATCTTTTTTCATATACTTTCCTGAATATTGCACTTTTGATAGCATTTCTATTTCGTTTTCAGAAAATTAAAGTCTATTTTTCTCTTTCTTTTTTTTATTCTATTTATTACTTCTTTTTTCCTCTTTTTCACTGCCACTTTGACTCTGGTTTTCTTAAATTTCTAGTTCCATTTAATCTTAACTACCTTATTATTCAATACTTTGTTACAAATTTTCATCATATTCTTCTTCTTAACCATACTCAATTGATTTTTCTTCATCTACACTATTAACTAATCTCAAGAGTTTTCCCCATAAATAATTATTTCCATAGCTAAACTCAAAAATTTTCAAAATTATTTCCTTTACAAAAGATTTTGAATCATCTATGAAGAACTCTACGTAGCTAATAATTTGCTGAACATATTCCAAATCAAATAAATCAGCGTTAAGTAAATCAAGTATCTCTTCTTTTTCTAGTTGATCACCATTTTCATATGCTAACTAGAAATATTTCTTCTTAATTAAGAAGCTATCAGCTCCATGAAAATCATTTTTATAGTTCTTTAAAATACTTAATACTTCTTCAATAGTCTTATTAAATGGATAAAGTTATATATATTGTCAACAATTTAAAATAAAATATACTTCTTCATTCTAAGTTTATTGTGCTAAATCTAGAATAATGTCTGTTGTAACATTTTTTTCTTTTAATATTTTTTCTTTGTATTATTTCAGCTAAAATTAATCTATTTTTAACAAACAAAAATATTTTAAAATATTCAATAAGTAAAAGTAATATGATTAGAAAGTTAAGGTAATTACTAGGGAGAGTATTGAATGTGTTGAGCAAGAGGGAAAATTTAATATTATTCATGTGATCTGAGTTAGAACTATATTGACTAATTAAAAAATCTGGAATTTATTTTATCTTATTAGTCATAAGCATGAGGCCAACTATTCTTTAAATTTGCATAAATACATTAGCATATTTTTGCTTACGTCTTGAAATTTTAGTTAAATGATTAAAAAACTAAGTGAATATTTCGTCTTCTTGAGTATAAAGGTAAATGATGAAAGTTAAATCCTCTAAATATTAAAGAAGCTAGGACTCAACTTTTTGAGTTTCTGGATTATACGATATCATTAAATAGTTAATAATTCCTATACATAAATCTAAAATTTTTGCATCAGATTCAACACTATACACAAATTTTTTCATTTTTTTCAAGTAGAATGCCAAGATACGTTTCCTCCTTAACTCAATAGGAGTTATGGAGTAATTTGTATGGTATAATAAAAAATTAGAATGAGGTTAAACCTTAGAATATCTATCTAAATATGCGTAACTTTTAGAATTCATTAAGCTCTATCAATCTTTAAATTAAAATTTTTAGATATCTAAATTAAAGAAATTAATAAATAAAAGAATCATTAATTTCATAAAACTTATAAAATATTAGCCCTTTATTTTTGTATATAAAATCTTCGCTCAAAATGAAAATTTAAGACATGCTTCTTAAAATTATATAAAACAAATACTTCTACTTTTTTAATTAATTTAATTACTGTTTATGTCTTACACTGTAAAACCCATTAATTTTGCTATATTTACTCATCAAAATTCATTTTGACAAATTTTATACTAGCTAAATATTTAAATATCAAGAAAAAAATAAATAGTTTTTCATCAAAAATTTAAAAAAACTTTCAAATTAAACCAATAATTCCTCACTTTAAAATAATAATCCTAAATTAAATTTACATAAACTATATATAAATTATATATTTTCAAATTGCATTATTAGATGATTACATATGTTTGAACACAAGAAGTCAGAAATGAAGATATTTTTATTGGTAATTTTTTTAATTATTTCCAAGATTTTTAATATTTATTTTTCTCTTTTTGTAGAAAAGTCAAAAAGGAATTTTACGATATTTTATGCATTTTAATAAAGATTTTACTATTTTAATCATTCAATTATTTGTTAATGTGTGATAGTTTAGCAAAAATTTTTATCTAACTAAAAGAAATCTAGTATCTTGAAAATAGGTAGGACAAAAATTTATTTCTTTGTTTCAAATGATTTATTTTTAAAAATAGTTTAAAGTTAACTACTTATTTAATATGTTTCAATTAAAAGAAATTTCAAAATAATTTAAATTGATTTTTGAGTATTTTTTAAAGAAATAAATTAAGATATTAATAATAAATTGTATTAAATATTTCAGTAAATATTTTACTAAAACAATTAATATCCTAATTAAAATTTAAAATGATTCACGTGTTAAATTTTAATAGTGCTAATTAAGCTTTTTCAATCTGTAAATTAAAAGAAATACAACTAAATAATATATTAAACTTATTATAAGATATAATTTATAGAATAAATAAGATGAAATAAATAATTTAAATAATATTTATTTTTATTCAGTTAATCCTCTTTATTGAATGCAAAAAATATAATTTATTCCTAGATTAGGAAGTACATGATATAGACCCGTTAAGCTTAGCAGATGAAGATATCGGTTAAGAATACAATCATCTAAATATTACAAGAACAAGATAATATTTAGTAGTAGAAAATATTGATGATTCATAGGATATGTGCTGGAGTTTCTTTTTAGAAGATTTTATAGATTTAGATTTAGAAACTGAAAATAGATTTGTCAGAGCACATTTTTAAAAACTGAATAACACTTCTACATTTAATGTTATAGGATTAGAATCTATTGAGCATAACAAATTTAAAAGAATATTTATTAAATAAGATGGATAAATTGGATATGCATATTCCGATGAGAAATTGATTAGCAAATCAGATGAGAAAATACTGATTGCTAATACAATTCCTATAGACTTCACTTTTAAATGGAGTTAAGGTGATACAATTTAAATATTTTATTTTGCAGAAGAAAAGTAAATATTGCTTTACAATTAGAATAAAGACAATTTATTTAAATTCTCAGAAAGCCTTATAGATAAGCTTGGTAGAAAATTTAAAATATTTATTGGTATATCTTCTTTCAATAATTAAGTAATATTAAGTAATTATTTGTCATGACAAAATTTTATATTTGTAATTAATTTTTAAAAAAATAATTTAAAATGGTAAAATAAATATCTATTTTATTTTTGAGAATGGGCATAACGAATGAGTGATAATTAAAATATTTTTTGTTGTATTTTATTATAAAAACGAAGTGAAATTATATTGGTGCAAAACTGCTAGCATTAAATTTTTTGTAACTATTGTTACGTTTCGAGTAAGTTAATATTTGAAAATTAAGATATAAATAAAAATTTCTGATAAAAGGTGAGAGCGATCGATATGATGGTTTGGGATCTTAATGATTTTTAACGGTATTTAATTTGAGAAATTGATTTATTTCCTTTATGGAAGTATTAATTAATTTATTTAGTTATTTAATTAATTAATAAATTGAAAAAGAAAGAATCAAAAGAAGCAATATTATTATTATTATAAATAAAGATGAAATTATCAAAAAAAAAAATAGTGGTGGTGTTTGTTTCATGACTATCTATCTTTCTTTACTTTATACAATAATTTGAATGATAAAAAATAATTAATTAAGTATAAGGTATTTGAGTTATTTAATTTACTAAATGTTTAGAATTTATATTTGTAAATTTCAATTTAGTTAATTTAGTAAATTAATTTAGGCAAGTATTAGTGTTAATAAGGAAACTAACAAATTAATTTATTATTCAACCAATAAGCTTATTGCTTAATAGTTGTAAAGTTAAGAAAAAATATTAAAAACAATATCAAAAGAAATAATTTATTCATAAATTAATCAATAGTTAATAGGAATCTGAGGTGTCTAAGTCTATAAGAAATTAGCAAAAACAACCAACATCTGTTCCTCAACTTTCTTCAAATAGATATAAATTACTTAAAATAGCATTAAAAATTAGCAATTTAACTTAAATATGCAATTTTATAATCCTAACTCATCATCATCTGCATCTAAAAATTCTAACATAAAGGTGCAATAAAACCTCAATAACTCTCAACTGAATAATGCACTGTCTCCAAAGGTAAATCTTAGTTTGTTTCATAAAATCAAAGCTTACATAAAATATTTTAAGTTGCAGATTAATTACTATTAATACTTTATAATAGTTGATCTTATTAGCGGTTGCCTTTTCTTATTAAAGAGGAAATTTTTATCAATAATCGTTAAAATACATTTTAATCTGAAATAGCAAATTAATGCATTGATTTATATGTAATAATTTTTGATTTTTTTTGTTTAAAGAAATATAAATAGAAGAACATATCGTTGGATTTAGGTTCTAGAAAAATATCTCCATTGGATAATAGTTTAAGAAAAAGGATAGAATATTAGCGTGATAGTAAATAAAGCATTAAGCAGCCAAAGTTAACATTAAACACAAGCTCTCATAATAACACATGTAATTTAAGTAATAATTAAAGTTTTGCTTAAAGTACAAAGCACTACTAAGGTAATTCTTCGATTCACATATCTGGTGAAAAGACTCTAACCTAGCCTAATGTGAATCCATCTGGCGGAATAAATACAAATACAGCAAGCAATGTGAATAATAGCAACAGTTTAATCATAAACCATATCCTTGACTCCACTAAAAGTCAAGGTGGGACAATCAATATAAATGCAAACAATATATCGTTTCATAATTAATACAACATAACTAATTTAGTGTCTTAAATGAATAGAAAAAGATAGCCTATTGGAGGAAATGTGATAGTAAATAATAGTGTTGGATAAAATACAATGATTTCGAATAATATAAATTAATTAAGTGCAAATGTATAAAATCTTAACAACATCCTAAATTATTAAAACAGTGGAGCTTCTACTGCAACTAACAGCAACGCACCTAGAAGCATATAATTTCATTAATATGGTGCACCAAATTCTACAAATAAAGTTAATAGCAGTTTTAATTAGTTCAATTAAGGAGGTTAAACAAATAATTTTATGAATTTGAGTTCTGTTTCTACCAGTTAGAATGCTTAAGTAAATAACTCGTAACATATCAACAATAATAATAATGGAAGCAATCCAATAAGAAGATCTAAATATAAAATAAACACTGAAACAATTAATACACAAAATGATTATTCTCTAACGATAGACCACTCTGGAGGTTCTATCCCTCGCTATCCTCAAACGGTAAAAATTAAATTTTTGATTTACAAATAAAAAGCAGCAATTTTTTTTTGCTAATAAGATAGAAAGATATAACTAAAAACTAAATAATTTTATTGGTAATTTTTATAGTACTAAATAAATTTGATTCTTAATATGTTAAGATAGTGTAAAAGAAAAACAAACTAAGAAAATATTACTCTAACGAATAAACTATTTACTTCAATAATCATTATTTATTAAAATAATAAAATATATATAAAAATATTTAAATTAAAAAACTATCAATTAATTTCTATCTGCTGTAAATTTGATATAAGATTATTTATTTTTTTGATTAATTTTAACGAATTTCTCTTATTAATTTAAATAGGAAACTCACAAAACAGGGACAAAAGAAATAATTATCCCTTAATCAAATAAAATAGAGTAAATTTCTAATAGATATAATCTAACTTCTACAAATAAGCCTAACTCTAGAATGCATCTTATGATAGGTACAGAAAACGATCAATCTTAAAATTAAATGGGAGGATTAAAAGGTAGTTTATGATTTAAACATTTTATAGCTATTACTATTCCAAATTAATTTAAAATTTCATTACAAAGATAAGTATTTTTTGATATTTTAAGTGAATTAAATAATACTTTAATTTAATTAAATTAAACAAACAATAAAATTTTAATAAAAAATTATATTATAATATAGACTTCCTTTCTCCACAAGGTGCAGCTTTCATAAAATCAAATGTATCAAGTAAGAGCACTTAAAGAAATTACTCAAATAAAAATAGATACTTAGGTTTAAATAAAATACAAGCTCAATAATAAAACTCATCTCAATCAAGAGTTAGAAGTAATATAAAATAAATGAGCAAAGATAAAGCACTTTCAGTAGATAAAACCTCTAATTACATAAATCGTCGTGACTCTACTTAAAATTAAAATGGAAATTATATTCAAGATAAGTCTTCATTATTGTAAACATTATAGCCTCCAGCATCTCAAAGCTATGACCAAGGAGGAGATAATGCTTACTATAAACATAATACTTTGTAAGATGAGCAACTAGGAAGCACATATTATACAATAGATAATTAAAACTTGCAATAACCTACAATTTAGTCTTCAGGTAGCTCTAAATTAGAAGAAAAGCATTTAACTTGGGAAGATCTTAAACTCCCTGTAGGTCCTGATGATGTCTTAAACAAGTATGGACATGAATTCCTCACAGATTATGAAAAAAAAGAAATATTATAATACATGAATATTTATTATGTAGGTCACAAGGCCAAAAAACCAGCTAGATCAGAAATCTAATAAGCTAATTCATACAATTTCGGATATGATGATGAAAAGTAAAATAAAATAAAATTCAAGTTTTTACTTTTTTACAATAAATTTGTATTTGAATTTCTAATTTATTGTAAATTTATTTTATTAACTTCCAAATAAATAAATGAGCTCAATTACTATTAAAATTGAATTATAAAATTTAAAATATCAACATTTTATTTACTTCATCAAATCGATAATAAAAAATATTTAATTAATTAATTTCGTAAAATTTAGTTTATTTTGTTAGATTAAAAATACTAAAAATATTTGATAAGAGTATGATTTAATAATGAGTCTTTAAAAATATTATTTAATAATAAAAAGAGGAGACTATCTTTATACATTAAATGATCACATTGCTTACAGATATGAGCTGATTGAGGCTTTGGGTAAGGGATCTTTTGGACAGGTTATAAAAGTGTTTGATCATAAAAGAAAAGAATACTCAGCTTTGAAAATTATAAGAAATAAAAAGAATTTTTATAATTAAGCAATTGTAGAACTAAATATATTAAAATATATAAAAGACAACGACCCTTAAAATTAAACGAATATTGTTAAAATTAAAGACTTTGTGATATTTAGGAGCCATGTGGTAATCAATCAATCATTTATTTTATTAAAATTATTTATTTAGAGATTTATTTAGTGACATATATAGATTAATTTTAACTTCTACTTTGAATAAATCTAAATTTTTTATTTTTAAATAAAGTGTATTGTTTTCGAGCTACTTAGTATCAATCTTTATGAATTTTTGAAGAATAATAAATTTAATGGGGTTTCTTTAGAACTGATCAGGAGGTTTGCTATTTAAATTTTATAGGGATTGCTTTTTTTAACAAAAGCGAATATTATTCATTGTGATTTGAAACCAGAAAATATTTTACTTAAGCAGGAAAATAAATCAGGTATTAAGATTGTTGATTTTGGATCAAGCTGCTTTGAGAACTAGAGAGTTTATACTTATATTCAAAGCAGGTTTTATAGAGCTCCCGAAATTATTTTAGGCTTACCCTATGGAAAGGCTATAGACATGTGGAGCTTTGGGTGTATTATGGCTGAGCTGTATATTGGTAATTAAACCATTTAAAAATCAAACCATTTTTTAAATTAAAAAATTAATACTTCAAAAGGTTATCCTTTATTTCCTGGGGAGAACGAAGCTGAATAATTTTAAATGTTTATGGAGATACTAGGAATACCAGAAGAAGAATTTGTTGAAGTAAATTTTTATTTGATAAAAGTCAAGTAAATATATAAGTTATTTAATTAAATAAACATTTTTTAAAAATAAGAATTGTCCTAGGAGAAATGTGTTTTTTGAAAATAATAAAACACCTAAAGTTGTCAAAAATTCTAGAGGTAAAATAAGAACTCCAGCTACTAAGCACATAAATTACTATCTCCGCTGTCCTGATGAAAATTTTATTGATTTTGTTTCAAAGTGCTTTACTTGGAAAAATCACGAAAGAATGTCGCCTGCTGAAGCCCTCGTTCACGATTGGATTTTAGAAGGATTGCCAGAGGAAATCAGGGCTTAGCATCTATAATAAATGCAACAAACATCTCCTGAAATAGACATGAGAGCTAAATTTAAAAAATATAAAATTGCATGGATTCCTCCTCCAAATCTCCAAGTATTTAAAGGAAAAATTCCCTCAGCTCCTCCTTAACAACAATATTCAAATAAAGTAAATATAAAATAATTTTTTATTCAATATTAATGTATTTTCATAACTATATTAGCAAGCAAAATCACAATCCAGTAATAAAGCAAATACGATTGAAGATTAACCTTAAAATAATGAAAATACAAGTGGAGTTGGATAAGGGAGAAATAGCTTTAAAAAGGCTGAAATGAATAACTCAAGCAGCTTTGGACCTTCAGTGGTAAGCGTAAATACTGGCCTTTAAGAGAGAAATAAAAATATAATTAATTCGCAGTCTCATCAAATATAAGATGTAAAGATAAATCCATAATCTTAAGCGAGTAATCCTTCTTCATCTTCTTGCTAAAATGCGATAAATAAATATGGATAAAAATAAAATAATGCAAAAAATTATGTTTTTAAAAATTAAAATCCACTAAATAGTGTTACAAATAATTAACCTCTATCTCAATCTAAGATCGAATAAGCTGAAAACCCTTCTTCAAATAATCTTTCATAAATTCCATTAAATTAAGGAATATCTTTATAAAATAATAAAAAGAAGACAGACATGATACACTTAAGTGATTTTAATCCATATGAATCTGATCAATTTTCAAATACATTTTCTGCAGCGACAACAACAAATGCCAAAAAAAGTAAAATCACTAGTATTATTTATAATTTATCAAATTAAATCTTCCATTTTATTTAAAAGCTTAACAATAATTTGGATTTGTGCAAAATAACACTCCTTAGCATCAAAATTTAAACGGAATTAAAGCAAATAATTTCCTTTAGCAAGGAAATTCTTAGAACCAATCAATTTACCCAAATTAAATTAAAATAAGAAGACCTGATTCTTCCAAAAAAAATAAAATAGAATAAAATTTTGTTGCTAATGAAGATCTGTAAAAAAACTCAAATCTCCAAATACAAAGTGGGGAAAATTGAAAAACGCATTCTAAATATCGTGATAATTGTAATATTTTTTACGAATTTAAAGAATGAAACATATTTAAGCTGTAATTAATTATCTCTGTGCTTTAAATTTTGTTGGTCGAGTAAGAAAATTAAATTTTTTTCTTAAATTAAAAAAGAAAAAAAGCATGAAAAATATCTATTAATAAAGTCTTTAAAAAAATAAATTAACTATCTATTTATATTTAAAAAAACAAAATCTTAATCCTTAAAAATAAAAAAACTCTTGTATTATTTTTTGTAATTATATTTACTTAAGTGTAGATCTTTCCTTTAATTCTAATTAATTAATAAATTAGCAAATGAATCTCGATAGATATAGTAAGATTGAAATTTTTAAAAATATGAAAAAATTTATATTTTTTTAATTAAAATATGATTACTTGACATAAATTGTAATCTGTGCTAATTAAATTCATGTCTATAGATATAAAAAATTAATATTTGATTAATATTGTGGCTTAATATTAAAAATACAAAAAAAAAAAACACATAAAAAAATATTTATTAAATAATTAAATTATTGATTTTAAGACTAATGTCTGACTCAAATAGGTACTAATAATAGCACTCATTCCAAGCCCTAGATACTCGTAATAGCAATACATTTAGTATTGATGGGACTTTTAGGAACTATTATCAAGCTTAATCTTACAACGGTCAAAACAACATAGTAGACATTGGATCTATGTAAAAAAATATATAGCAAAATAAGTAAAAATCATAGATAGACAACAGCTTTGTTGGAGAAGGTTTTAGCAGTTTCAACCCTTATTAGATTCCTCCTAACTGGAAATTAGCTGATATTCATAGAGTACTTTTTTTAAAATGAATTCTAATAAAAAATTTATTAGATAAAAGTAGAAATAATTAAAATATATATTTATTAATTTATTAGGATGCTACATCTGTAGGCAAGCCTAAGAAACAATTCAATCAGCCATTCAAAAACAATTAAGTTTGTCCTTGTTGCGGTTTTTAAATAGTAATTTTTTATATTATTTATTATGAAATTCATTTCACTTATGATAAATAAATAGAACAAGAAATAAATCAATATGATGGATAACTACACTATTCTCTCTTTCTTAGGTTCTGGCTATCCTTTATTTTTTAGTTTTACTAAATATTGTTTGTATATCTTAGCTACAATATTGTTTACTTCTGGAGCATACAATTTATATACCAATTATAAAGGCACTTATTGTCTTACAAAAAAACAGATAAAGTAGGGATTACCTTTATACTGTGAAGCAGATTATGTGTCAACTCTTACTATCATTAATAAAGCAAATGACGAGTAAGCGATGACTATGCAAAATATTTTGAATTTATTTACAACTATTTTACTCATTGTGCTGTGCTTGTTTTACAGAAATGAGTAAAAATAAATTGACTATGATGTCGATGCTGAAGAAATTACACCTGCAGATTACACGATTATGGTAATTATTTTCCAAAGAATTTAAAAATAAATAATGAGGATATATAAATAATGTAGATCAAAGGTATTCCACAAAATATGAGTGAATAGGAATTAAAAGAGTAGCTTGTTTCTTTTAGAGAACACGATGAAGAAAATAATGATCCCCTAGTTGTTTCTGATATTACATATATCTATAATGTGAAGCACGTTAAGGATATAGACAAAAAAGTGCATCTTTTAGTAAAATAGAAATAGGAAGCCCTTAAAAATTTAGATGAATACTCAGAAGAATTCAGGTTAAAAAAATTAATTTACTTTTGATTAAAATTATTAAAAAGTAAGCTGCAAATAAATAACTAAAAATAATTTTTATCAAATTAGAAATATTTAAAATGACTGGGATGATAAAATTTACTATGTCTTGCTTTAAAGTTTAAGTTACTTGAAATGTGTATAAGATGATAAAACTTAATTCACTGGATATGCATTTGTTTCTTTCGAGCAAGAGGATGACAAGCAGTTTGTGTTGTAAAGTATAGATAAGACTTTATGGGAAGCAATAAAAGATTATTTTTTTTCACTTGCTCCAGAATATAAAGAATTAACTCTTAAAAAAACTAATACAGTTGTTTAGTAAATATTTAACATATAAAATAAGAATTTATACTAATCTATTATATTTTTTAAATAAATTAAAGAATGACAGAATCTCCTGAACCTTTAGATATTATTTGGGATAATCTAACAATGAAGGATAGTGAAAAATCAGGAATAAGAAAAATAACTTTTTACTCAACTTTGGCCATTACTATATTTTGTGCATACATCATTTACTTGTTAAATTAATATCAAAATGCAAATAGTAATGAAGGTGATAATAATGCTGATGACCTGTCAATTTATACTTAAATTATGGAATAACTTTCATTTAATAACTTAATCACTTCAACAGCAATTATCTTTATAAACAGTTTTATAATAAATCTCTCTTTCGCTTATTTTGTGAATCTAGAGTGCTACAATACACGTACTATATACAATGTTTAACTTGCAAAAAAACTCACAATAGCTCTGTTTATTAATAGTGCTTTGGTCATTACTTTCATCAGCTTTTTTGTTACAAGTAAATCATATATTTTAATTTGTAAATAATAATTTTTTATTAAAATAATTAAAAAAATTAGAAAATGTCTACAAAAAGGGAGGACTTATTTATACTACTTTTTACTATTTTGTGATAGATATATTTCTTTCTTTTATATCAACTCTCATAGATGAAGAATATTACTATTACCTCGTCAAGAGATGGTGGTATAGCAGAAAAGGTTCTAAAAGTAGATTAACTTAAGAAGAAGCAAACAAGTAATTGATTTACTATTATTAATTGACAATTCTTTTTTATATTTTTTACTTTTGATTATTAAAAGATTTTAATATATTAAATCGTAAATATAATTTAATGAATAAAAAACACAAAATAAAACTTAAAATTTTTTGATTTAAAATTGACAAATAAAAAATATCATCTAAAAATAATAATTTTAAAAAAATATATTTAATTTGCTTAACATATTCTACAGCACAAAATAGAAAATTACTCTTGATAAATCTAGTTTTTTAATAAAAAAAATATTTTTACAATTTTCTAAAAAATTTAATAAAACAAATGTTTTTTTGTTAATAGGATTTATTAATACCCTAAACACGAAGTTGAAATGTGCTATGCTGAATTGATGAATAATATGTATATTTGTGTGTTCTTTTCTTCAGCTATTCCTATTGGTTTAGCTTTCTAACTAGTGAGTATATTCCTTTATTATTGGATTACAAAGGTAAATAAATTTAACTCATAATTTGCTAATTTTATATTGATTTCTTCTTTAGTATATATTAATAAGGTAGAAAAGAGTTGATTATTAAATTAGTGCTGCTCTTTCTCTTGAAATGACTAATTTCTTAGAAATGCTCATTCCTTTGTATGCTATTTCTAATGCTCTCTTTGAGTATTCAGCAACTGGTGAGATTTAAGTAATATAAATGGTCACAATTTTTATTAGTGTCTTATTCTCTGCAGTCCCTGTTTAAGTTATTCTCGAAAATATAGTTAACTTTGATATATAAGTTGAGGAAATTAGCTATTCAAAAGCTATTTTCTAATTCGCTTCTACTTACAAAAAAGAAGACCCTTTTTCTTCATTTGAAAGAAGACACTTTAGTAGAAAATTCAGAAATGAGTCTTTTGTTGAATTAAATTGATGGGAAATACTATTTTTTCTTACTAAAAATATATTAAATTTTAATTTAAAATAAAATTATTTATTTAATAATTAGTTTAAAACTAATTTTTTTATAGTTTATCCATTTATTGTAAATATATAAGTTAAAATATTAATAAAATTCAGGTTGATTAATATGTTTGATTTTTCCAAAGAGAAGAAAAAAACTTTACTTGCACACACACATACAGTTTTATAATATTATAAAATATTCTTTTATAAAAGAAAAAATAAAAAATTGGATAAATTTAATGTACTTTATTTCAAAATACATGTGAAAAATGATATCCTCAACTTCCTAATTTCTGTATTTTTTCTTTTAATTTCTTTGATTTACAGCATTTCAAAAGAATTTAGATTATTAAAAATACGAGCTTTAATAATATTATTAGATTAGGTATGAAAAAAGAAAAACAGACTTTCAAAAATTTAATAATATTATTAAAAAAAAAATCTAATAAAAGCGAAATAAATTAAAAACCAGATTAACAATGAAAAAGTATTTATTTCTATTCATTTTTATGTCACTGACTTTCTGCGCATAAAGTTCTAATTTAAGAAAATTCTTGCTTAGAGCTATACCATGGGAATTCAAGAACTGTGGCTCAGAGAACGATCCTATGGTCGTAACTGCTATTACTTTAGATGCAGTACCTGAGAAAAGTGTCAGTGATGAAATTACTATTGTAATTTATTTTGTAATATTATTTTATGTTATATTAAATATTTAATATTATAGGTTGGTGTTAGCAACGTACATGATAAAATAGTTTAGGCTAAGATCGATGTATTTTTATAAAATGTTAAAATTACATCTCTTAGTTAGCCATTTGCTCAAGAAGCAGATCCTGGTGATTAGTGGATCTTCAAGTATGGTTCCTTCATACCTAACATAGCACCAACAGGAAGATATACAATTTAATTTACTTTTGTAAATTCTCGTTAATAGTAACTAACATGTGCTTCACTTTAAATGGATCTTTGATGAATCCTTTCTAAGTTTAATATGGCAAACATATTTTTACCTTCTCTTACAAATTTCTACTTATAATAAAATTATTAATAATGTTCTTAAATATAAAATTTCAAATTTAAATTATTCTATGTGATATATAAGACTTTGTTTGCATTCTATTTTATTCTAAAATTTAAAATATTTTTTTAATTATTCATAATAAAACACAATAAAAAATTTTATGTATTATAATTTAATAACAAAGTAGTTCAAACTACTTTCTACAAAATAATTTGTAATCCCCTATAGTCTAGCAGGTTAGGATAGAAGGTTTTCACCCTTCAGACCCGGGTTCAAGTCCCGGTGGGGGAATTATTTTTTATTTAAATATTTTTAAAATCTATTATTCTATTTTGCTACATATAAAAATCAATCATTAAAAAAACCATAAATAAATTTAACTGATATTTTTTGAATGATAAAAATAAGAATCTCAGTGAAAAAACTAATAAAAATAACTCTTACTATTTTAAAAGATAAAAATAAAAGCCCTTATTTAATAATCACTGATCACAAACAAAGATACTAAAGAAATGTAATATTTCATAGAAAAAATTTTAATAAAAAGTGCTAAAATATTAAGTATCATAAATGAACATTTTCATTAATTTTTAATATGGCAAATAAATTCACTTTTATAAATTATTAATATAGCTTTCATAGATATTAAATTTCAAATTTATATTTATTCTGTGTGATGTATAAAATGGACTTAGATTTTATAAAGTAATAAATATTTTAAAAAAAACTTAAAAAAATGTTTGATGTAATATCATATTCAATTGATGTTTCTTCTTCATCATTAATTTTCTTATTTCACTATTCAAGTAATTCACGCTGTTTTTGACAAAATAATTTGTAATCCCCTATAGTCTAGCAGGTTAGGATAGAAGGTTTTCACCCTTCAGACCCGGGTTCAAGTCCCGGTGGGGGAATTATTTTTTATTGAACTTTTTTAATTATTTTATATCAAATAATTTAACTAATGAAGAAAATAGATAATTAAGATTAAAAAGATATTTTTGACTTAGAAATAATTTAAAATATAAAATTAATTTATTATTTTATATTTTAACTTTTATTTAATGTTAAAATTTATTTTTTTTTCAGATATTTTTGATAATTAATGAATGCATTTAAAGATTTTAAATAATAAAATACTTCAAAAACTTTTAACAATAACAATTTTTTTTTCCACTAAATATGAAATTTATTTTTGAATGTTTGTTAAATATTAATAACAAAAATAAATTTTAATTTTTTTAAAATAATTATTTTTCATTAAAAAGCATGTTTATTAATGTCTTTAAAGTGTAATTTTATACATTAATAATAAAATAAAATCTTAAATTGAATATATTTATTTTATTACAAAAATAAAAATTAAATTTATTTGTTCCTATTATAAATCTATAATAAATATATTTAAGCCTTAAAAATATATAAAAATAAATAAAAAAGCATTTAGAGATTTAGTTGTTTAGATTTTATTAGTGTATTAAGGAAATAGTTAAGAAAAGTATTTGTTGGTTGCTTTATAAATATTTTGATAATAATTAATAGAAATTTTAAGATATGTATGATTTCAATAAAAAATTGAAATAAAAAAAGAGTTGTTAAATTTTCTTTGATCTTATCAGCTGTAATAACTAATTTATTAAATAATTAATTCGTTTGGTAAATTAAGTTAAACTTCCAAAAATATCAAAGAAAATAATATCAAAAGTTAATTAAGGAAAAGTTAAAATAATAAAAAATGAACTTTAACATTTCGAACATTTAGTTGGCTTCACTTTAACTGTAGAAGCTACAAGAATAATAAATTAATAGTTCTAGATTCAATTCTACATAAAAATACAATTCAAGCTCAAAATATAATAGCAATTCAAAGTAGGCTTATAATTAAGAGTATAATTCAGTATCAAAATATAACTCTGCATCAAATTACAGCAGCTTATTGAGCGATGCCAAATCACCTTGCCCAGCTAGAATGCATACTTTAGAAAATGAAAACAAATAAATTAATGGAATTTATAAAAGAAGAGCTTTTATTAATCATTAAAAAGAGCTTATTTTGAAAGACTTGATTAGAAAGGACTACAACCCATATTAGATTCCTCCTGATTGGAAAGCAGCAGAAAAACATGGAGTAATTAATTCATAGAAATACAAAAAAAAATATATTTTAAAATATACAAATTAAAAAGTAAGCAAGAAAAGTTGGAATAGATAGGAGACCTTCCCCAAATGTCCCTTTAGAATATGATATTTGTCCATGCTGTAAATATCAAATAGTAAAAAAAAATAATAAATATATTAAATAATAAAGTTATTTTTAATTAGTAAAAAGAAATGATTAGCATATGGGAAGACCCTGCAAAATTATCATTTTTAGGTTCAGGATATCCTCTATTTTTTAATTATATGGAATACTGCATTTATATCTTAGTAGTTATCATTATTTCTTCTGGAGCTTTTAACATTTTTACTAATTTTTATGGCCACAGCTGTGATAAAGTAAGCGAAAATAGAGCTTCAAACGACCATACTTGTCAAGCAGATTGGATTTCTATATTTTCTCTTGCTAATAAAAGCTAACAAACTGCAGATATTTAAGAGCTCCTAAACTTCTTTACAATATTCACTTTGATGATACTGCTTATTTTCTTTAGAAAAAATTAAAAAGAGATTGATCTAAAATGTGATGAAAAAGAACTCACACCATCAGATTTTACTATTATGGTAGCATAAAATTATAAACACATAATTTAAAAAGAGCTCATTTAACTATTAAAAAATTAGATTAAAGATATACCTCAAAATGTGAGTAAGGAAGAGTTAATAGAGTTCTTTGAAAGCAATGTCGAAGGCTAAGAAAAAATCGAAGTCATGGAAATCAGCTATGTCTATGATACTAGAGACGTAGATGTTTTAAATGAGGAAATCGATAATATAGTAGAAGAAAAGAAAAAAGCATTATCAAAATTAGATCCATATTCCTAAGAATTCAGGTTTCTTATTTTATTATTTAAAAAATTTTTAAATTAATTAAAATCATTTTTTAAAGATTTAAATTTTAATTTCAAAAAAAATTTCTAATAATTATTTAAAAAATAATTTCTTGAAAAAATTTTAAAAAGTTTTTTGTTATTATTTCTCTAATAATTTATACTATATATAATTAGAGATACTGCTGATAAGTTTGATATGGAGATTAAAATGCAGCACAAAGAAATTTAAGAAAAAATGATGGAACTTTCATAAGATTAAACAAAGTTTAGTGGATATGCTTTTGTTTCATTTTAAACAGAATCTTAAAAATCTTAGATTTTAGATACCGCAGATAAATCATTCTGTGATGAACTTTATGAATCTATATTTTCATAATCATCCGAATTCAAAAATTTACCTTTTAAGGATACAGTCATAAAGTAATTAATTAATTCATATTTCAATTTAATAGATTAATGTAATTTAAAATTTCTATTAAAGAGTTTCTGAAGCTCCAGAACCTCTAGATATAATATGGGAAAATATGAACAAAACAGATAATGAAAAGGCAAATATTAGAATGTTTAGCTTCTTTGTTACAGTTACTTTGCTTATTACTTGTGCTTATGCAATTTACCAACTTACTATTTACTAAGAAAACTAAGCAAATTAATAAGACCAGTCTTAGACTAAGGATTCCACAGAATCATCAGAAATTGAGAAATTTTTACAAGACCAGTATCAAAGTTTAATGATAACTATTGCAATTATGGTTATCAACTCAGGTATCATTGGTTATGTCTTTAGGTATTTAGTTACAATAGAGAGCTACAATACACATACTCTCTATAATATTAATCTTGCCTAGAAGTTATCTCTTGCACTCTTTACAAATAGTGCTTTGATTACATGCCTTATTAGTGTTATTTATACAGGTATGCTTATTTTTTATATGAAATACATGAATTAAATAACTTAATTTTAAAAAATTAGAAAATGTGTTTGGAAAAGGTGGATTAATTTATACAATATTTTATTACTTCACTATTGATACTTTAACTTCTGTAATTTCTTGTTTCCTTGACTACTCAATCATATGGAATAAATTTTTAAAGTGGTGGTATATTAACGTCTAGGGCAAAAAGTGTTTGATGACCTAAAAAGAAGCAAACGAGTAAATAATTATTACATTTTATTAAAAAAAGTTTTTTTTTATTTTTTATATTTATTTATTTATTTTAATAAAGGCTTTGCTAGTTACCTGATCATGAGATAGAAGGTTGTTATGCTGAAATTATGAATACAATGTATATAACTATTTTTTACTCACCTGCAGTTCCTTTGGGCTTATTCTTTTCCCTTATTGGAATTTTCCTTTATTTCTGGGTATAAAAGGTATTTATTTACTCTTTAATATTAATTAATCAAATTTTACTGGACTAAGTTAAAATAAATTATTATTTAAAAATTAAATGTTTAAGCATTGAAAAATCAATAAAATCATTTTTTTTTTCAAATTTACAATAAAAAAAATGAAATAATAAATATTTATTTTGAAGAAATTTACTTTAATAACAAAAACTTACTTTTAGTTTTCATTTTTAAAACGTAAATTAAAAACAATAAATCTATTTATATGTAAAAAATTAATTTGAAATTGAATTTCTTTATAAAAAACTATAGTATATCTTACTCAGAATGAAATCGGTTGAGAAGTAAATTAGTGTAAAGCTCTCTATTGAAATGACTGAATATCTTGAATACGTTATTTCAATTTATGCAGTATCTAATGCTTTATTCAAGTGGTAAACAGTAGGAGGCTTCCCAACTTTACAAATAGTTGGAGCTGTTATTGGATTTGTATACTCAGTCTTGCCCATCTAGTTGTTTGTTGATAAAGTTTTTGACGCTGATAACGATGATGAAGAGTGTCCTTATTATAAAGCTAAGCACTAGTTTGTTACAACTTACTCCAGAACTAATCCCGTTACTGCATATAATTATATTGACAATGATAACGAAGAATTATAAGATTAAAACCTTTGAGAAATACAAACTTTGTGGCATAAATAAATAAATTAATTAATTAAACAGAAATAAATATAAAAATTGCATTTCAAAACAAATAATTAAAATATATAGATAGATAAATAGATAAAACAATTTATATCATGTAAATAAGTTTCTAATTTTAAATTTAAAATAGAAAAGTGATTCTAATTTATATAGATCGTATTTGATATATTATATTTCTAAAAGATAGATCTAATTATAAATCCTAATTTGATATAGAAAATATAAATAAGAAAATTTATTTTAAAGATAAATTGAATATTTATTATACACCAACACTCCATTATTTATGTATTATATATACTATTTAAAAAAGTAACAAAATTATTCTTAATTTAAAACTGTTTTTAAGTATCCATATTAATATATTTATCATCTAATCATTTTAATTTATAGATATTCTTTATTTTAAGGTTGATATTTGCTCTTTTTTCAGAGTTTTAATATAAATTCAGGACTATAAAATTATTAAAGTTGTATGTTTCATACAAAGTAATTTATTTGTTGATCAATTTATTTATCTTTTGAAAAAGATTGCTTAAGGAAAGTAGAGAGGGAAACAAATATTTATTCATAATTAAAAAATAAATATTCATTTTTCCTCTAAATTCCTTTTTTACTTTGACTAAATTATTTTTTTATTTTATTAAACAATAATTTAAAAGTAAGTTGAGCTTTGATTGGACATTATTTCATTCTTTACTTTCATCTACAAACTATGTAAGCATTATGGTATAAAATTTTCTATTACAAATAGGACATATGTCTTCATATAAATTTTCTTAAGTACAAGATTAGCTATTAATAAAAAATGTAAGTAAATAGATTAAAAACAAAAGAAAAATAAATTACCAATATCCTGCATGACCACAAGGCATAAATACTGTATTCACTTAATTTTAGTTGCAAATTAAGCAATAATTTGTGTTTTAAAAATATAAATTTAAATCGTTTTACAAGGCTTAAGAAACAAGATATTCATTTGCTTTTGTGGTAGAGTTTTAAATAGTAATTATCGGCTCCATTTCTTCATTTATTTATTAATCCTATTACTAATTTTATAGTTTCATTTTTTATTAATTTTATTATTTTTTTAAAGCAAATTATTTCTTCTTTTTATTTCTTTTTCTCTTCAAGTCTGAATCTGAACTATCACAATCAGAATCTGATACACTTGTTAATTCTTTGTTTATTTGTTCCTCATCTTATTATTTTTTTTCATTTTAGAAAGCATTTTTTTGGAACAGAAAATTGCTTGTTGATGAGTTTGAGTGGCTTCTTCTAACTTTAATTTGCTAGTTGTAGAATTTTTCTTAAAATAAAATTAAAATATATTTTTAAATTTTGGTAAATGTCTTACATGGGTCGTGCTAAATTTAAATACTTTGAATGAATATTTGTTATACTGAACTGATTTCTTTCTTTTTTCTTTTCATAATCAGATCAAGCTGATTGTTTGCATCCACTTGAAATACTCTTTAACCAACTTTTTCTTTACTTGACATGCTATTTTTTTAAACAGCTTTGTTTACTTTTTAGGGAATAGCTACTCTAGTTGAAAGTTAATTTTTATGGTTGTAATTGTCTTTCATTTCTAATTTTTTTTTTAATTTTAAATCTTCTTTTCTAAGACTTAGCATTTCTATGAATAAATTAAGATCTGGAGCAGGAATATTTTCATATTCAATTAAATAATTCACATTCTCTTCGTCGTACCCTAATTGCAACAATTTTTCTTTGAACTCATCTTTCATAGCAGTTTGCCACTTTTCAGGTATAATTTTAGCTGCTGTGTTTTGTGATTTTTATTTATCTCTTTTTTTATGCTAGTCTATTTTTAAACGCATATACTCAGTTCTAGCTGTTTTGAGATCTCTTTTTGTATCAATTGGGATAATACCTCTTTTATCCATATATTGTAAAAATTGCTAAGGTAGATATCTCATGCATTCTCTAGCTAACTTTAATTAATCCTAACAATATTCACTAAAAGTAAAAAAATGAATGTTGTTTCTTTCAGAAGATTTATTTAATCTTTTAGAATGTATTTTATAATCATTTCCTGTTCCTTTTAGTCTATTTAAAATATATTTATCGTTATATACAACAAATATGTTTCTACAATAATTTTACTCTTGCTGCATCTTAGGAAATGGGTTATCGCCGAGACCAACTATCAAATAACTAATTGGATAGGCACTTGCTTCCACTAACTCGTCTATCATAGAATCTAAATCGTTTGGATCACTATCTGTCACAATAAGCATTACATAATACTTTTAACTTTATTAATTAGTAAATTTAATTTAGAAAATTTTATCTTAAAAAATTACTTTTTTTAACTGACTGCTTCTGCTTTTGCATAATGAGCACCTAGCTTTATAATTTCAGAGAATATCGTTGGTCCATGAAACTAAAGATACATAAATTTTTCTTTATAAGTTTAGACAACTCCATCACTTCCATTAATTAATGGATTAAAGTAATTTCCATTCAGTGCAAAGCAATTAGAAACCACATTATAAAATGGTGGCAATTTTGCACCAAATCCATAAAGAGGAATTAAATTATCATGATCAAACTATTCCAAAATGTCATTCAATTACCTTAAAGCCTTGCAGTACTAATTTTCATCTAAGAAAAATCAACATTAAATAAAGTTTTTAAGAAAAAAAAAGTTTACCATTTGGATTATCAGGGTCTATACTTCGATGAAAAGAATCCTAAGATGTTTAAGGCTTGTTTGAGTTAGTAAAATCAATAGCAGTTAGCAGACATATTTGAGCATTAGAGAGAAGATAATTTATAAAACTCACTCTCTTAAAGCTGACTATATTTTAAAAGATGATTTCTCCTTTAAATAGAGAATTAATTATAATTCTCTGCCTTTTTTTAGTGTTTTCTTTAAAATAGCTGAGAGTATTTTCAAATTCTCCTAGAATCTATTCAGGTTTATCCTTGTAAAATTCCACTACTTCTAATTTGCAATAAGCTTTATCATCCATACCGAATTTAGATAAAGGGATTTCAAACTCATTCCAAAGAACTAAATTTTTTTTATTCTTTAAATTTTCAGTACGGTAAATAGGCTAATAGGTTCTACCGTCAATTTAAGAAGATACTCTAATGAATAATTCATTTTTAGATTAAAATTGTGAGCACCCTAATAATTATTTATTACAAATTAAAGTAAAAAACATTTAATTTAATAATGATTGTTACCAAGGTGAAATAACATCTTTTCTCCACCTGCATCATATTCATTACATCTAATAGTAAGGAAACCTCTGTTATCTTTTTTTTCATGAAAAATGGGTTTCTAGAGTTGGTAATTTGAGCTACACATTACTTCTCTTAATACAAATTCTACTGAACCAATATAATCTTATTTATATCTATTATTGTCATCAATATACTCTTCAATATCATCAAAATTGTCTATATCATAAGCAAGAAGCCTAAACTTTAATTTTATTTAAAAAAATTTGTTTCTAAATAGAATTATTCTTTAATTTTTTTCATTCTTACTGTCTAAACTTTTTCTACGTTGTAAGGAAAGATAAAATATTTAAGGAATTTAGGATTTAAATTTTCAGGAATGACTTCAGTTCTACCTTTAGGAATCCATTAGTCACTTATTTTATAATAAATAAATATTAACTAAGTTTTCTTTTTCATATTTCAAATTGTAAGAGCATTCATTCATTAAATAATAATTTTACCCAACTTTTTCTTCAACATAAATTACTGCATCTGTTTTACCAAGTAGATCCATAGCTGGTAACTGCTCACAAGAAAAATGCATTTCTACATTAATGGATTCATCCTTATTGCAAATAGCTTATTTTTGTGTAAATAAAATTTACTAAATATTCCACATTTAAATTTATTTATTGGATAAAATAAATTACCAATTGCTAAGTTAGCAGCATCATTTGTATCTTCATGGTAATCATCTTTTAGCTAATTTGCTTAGTCGTCTTTTATGTAATAAAAAGTAAGGATTAAATTTATTTATGTATTTAATAATAATATCTATTTAATTTACTAAGCTTATTAATGTTGCTTTTTGTTTTATCCTTCTTTTTCTTTTTACCTATGATAGCTCCCATCTATGATTGCTAAAATCTAAACTATAAAATATTAATTTTTAATTATCTAGTCCTCCTTCCTGCTTCTACTTATTGTAAAACTGCAAAATCACTTAAAGCTAATTTTTTTTGTTGTGATAATTTTTTTAATTAACTTTTACACAAGATTTGTTGTTTGTAACGTTATAATTAAAAAATTAAGCAAATTTGTATAAATTTTAAAGCAATTTCTTAAATTAACTAATAAATTAATGAATAAATTATTTCTTAATTCTACATCAAAAATGCAAGTAAGTATCCATCCAATTAATATTTATAAAAAGAAAGTAAAAAACATTTTTTATGAATTTTAGATGAATTATTTCTAAACACAAAGATTTATTAATTGATTTAATTTTAAGCTATTTTATTAAACTTTAAATCATTTAATTGAGTATTATTTAAAAAATACCATCCATTATATGAGCAAAAAAATGCTTTACAGTTTTTCTAACATATATAATAATAAATCTCTCTTTTTAATACTTATTTACAAATCATTTTAGGATTTTTTAAATACGAATAAATTTGTTTATATTTTAAACGTTTGAAAAAATTGATCATACTCATATAATTTACTCAAAGTAATTATCCTTTTTCAATAGATAATATGTGATATACTATTTAAAACAATTTATGAGCATTTTTGATTGATTAAGAATTTTTTAAATAATCGAATTTTGATAGCTATTTTCATAATTATCAATTAATTACACACTTTAAAAGTTAAAAAAAACAAAGATTACTTCTATTAAAAACAAAGTTACCAAGTATTTTAAAAAGATTAAAAATATTTGAATTCTAAATTGAAAAGAATTCAATGGATCCAATTGCTAAAAAAGAGCCTTAGAACCCTGGCTATGTCCATAGGACGCAAGAAGAAAGATCAAAAAGTTAAAATAAAAAACCTTATTCATAAAGGATAAAAAGCAGTCATCCAGCATTCAGCAGCAAAAAAGAAAATTTGAATTAAGAAGGAATTAGCTAGGAGCTCAGAGAATTAAATAAATTAAAATAGCTAAGTAAAGATGTTAATTAGAGTTCAGCATCAGAAATAATTGAAGTCTCTAGTGTAAAAATAAAAAAGGCAAACCAAAACAGCTAAAGTTATCTAAATGATTTTAACCATAATATGCAAGTCAATAATAGCTTAAATGGGAAAAAAATAAATGAAGATAAAAATAGCATTTAAACAATACAAGAGTAAAAAAATGAAGAAACACAAAAATTATTTGGCAATCAAAAAAAGAATAACTTCCTTAAGAATAATCAAATTTTAGATTAAAGACTGTAAAATGTAAATATTAACAACCAATAAAACAACCCAAACGTAAGCAAAGTGACAAAGTAAATTGCGATCAAGATACGATAAAGAAGTAACAGCCCAACAATCTTGAAAACCTAGGGCTAGCAGCAAAGTCACCAAAATAGAATCATTTCTGCTAATCTTTAATCAAAGGCTATAGCAGCGGCAAATATGCAGAATTTTAATGAATACAAAATAAACATGTAAAGTAATAAAAAGAGAGAATTCGAAGATGTTACAATAAATAGCAATGAAGAAAGTATTAACTCTATCTAGTAAAAAGAAAAGTTTAAATAACTACAAGGAGCTGTTAAACCTATTTCCTAACTCTAATAATAATTGAACAAAAAAAAATTTGATGACTCAATTTTATCTTCAAATAATTCTTCAGATGTTGAGAATAATGGGGATAAAATCTAAGATAAAAGAGTTAAATCGATCAGCCTAACGCCAGGAATAGCTCTCCACAATTAATTTAATCTTAAGGAAAGTCAAAACACTTTCGATCCTTTAGAGGCAACTAACAACTCTAATTTAACATAAAAGAGAAAATCATTGGATAATGAAAATAAACTTCCAAGAATTAATAAAGTGATTGCTAAGACAAAAGAAACAACTCTTTACAACTAATTAAGAGAAAGTAACTAAAAAAACGCATTAGAACTACCATCTATAATTGATAGTAATATATTATTCAATTATTAATTTAAGACATTCATTTTCTTTATCTAATAAATTATTGGATGAATTGATTGATCTAGACTATAATGTTAATAGGAACAAATAAATTTAAGAAATGAATTATTTATTAATTTTATAGAAATTTAATATTTTTATTGAAATAAATAGATATTAAGCAGAATGTCAATTCTTGTGAGAATTTGTTTAAAAATAGATTTAAAGACAAGTAAGGAGGGTTTTAAGGCTAGTTTTAATAGGCAAGTGTAAATCAAATGAGTAATATTAAAGAAACAGAAATTAATTATGATTTTGAAACTGAAAACTAAAATATTCATGAGCAATTTGATAAGGTAATTATGAAGTAAATCAAAATAAAAAATGATTAGGGTTTATTGAAAAAGAATAAACGCTAGGTAGAAAGTGCTAAAAAACGTGATTCAACTGTGATTATATAAAATAAAAACAAAATTAAAGATGACTCATCAATAAGCAAAGAATCTCCAAATCAAATATTCAAATACATAAGATAGTCTTAACACGGTGAATAGAGAGAATCTGTGAATAGGAGAGATTCATCAATCTCTCATAAGCAAAATGGAGCATCTATTTAATAGTTTATATAAGCTAGGAATAGAATTAAATCAGAAAATAATGTAATGCAGAATAACAGTAACAGCAATTACCAAGACAAATCCTTCAAAGATGATAGTGAAGGTGAATCTTTCTCTACTGCAGATAGAAAAAAATTAAAAAAGCTTAATTAAATTTAATCTTATTTAAAAAATAAAATAGAAAGCAATCAAAAATAAAATTTAAATGGCTAAAATTAAGGTTAAAGCTCAAATAGCAACCAAATTAATAATAGTTTAATATCTAATAATAATAATAATAATAACAATAACAATTAAAATAATCCATAAAAATCATAGCCCCACAACAAAATTCAAATGTAAATTCAGTAATAACAACTTTTGTAGATTTCCAAAAATTAGTAGCAAGCTATGTCAAACCAAAAGCAGCAAAACAATCTAGTACTAGAAAGTTATAATGATTAAAAGCAAGGAGCTTCTCCTAAACAATAAGATATGCAAGAGTTGCTGAACTAATAAAATTAAAAAATGTTATAATAAAAAGGAGTAATTGAAGTGTTAGATTAAGCACTTTGCAAAAGGAAAGAGGATAAAATTAGTAAATCAATTTCATAACAGATAGAAAAGGAGATTGATAAATTAAATGTGTTAACATCAAAAAGTTAAAATGCAAGAGATTAGCAGCTTAAAATTTAAGAAGAACTAATTAAATATAATTTAAAGGTAAATCAATAAATTAAAATAAGGTTTTTTAATTTAATTTTTATTATTTAATTAATAGATTAAACTTAACAAAATGAAAGTTGTGGACATAGTATAAGAAAATGAGTAAGAGGAGAATTTTTGAAGTTTATAAAAATAAAAAATTATAATTAGAATAATTATTTTTTCTATAAAATTGAAATTAATTCTATTCAATCAAACAAACATAATAAAAAATACTAAATATAAAATTTTCCTAAAATAAATAAATAAATAATTAATTAATTAATTTTGATTGATAAAATTTAAAAAGTAAAAAGTGTAAATTAAATTATATAAATAAGTAATTAAAATAAAATAAATTTTTTAAGAGTATTGAACAGAATAAAGAAAATCTAATTATCTATTTTTCAATTATTTTGTTTTTAGTAAAAAATTATTTATATTGTACATATTTTAATTCTTACATATTCAAAATTCAAAATTTTTTTGTACATATAATAAATTTATTTTTAAATTAATTTTTTTGAAAAATATTTGTTTGACAATAAAATTACTAACTTATTTAATATCAGTTTTTAAAAGATAATTACTTCATATTTTATTAAATTATAAATTATTTTATAATACATTATTGATTATATTCTTACCAAATGAGTGGTGGGATTTTCAAACAAAGAGAAATATATTATCAAATAAATTATTGATTATATAGATTATTAAAATATCCTATTGCTCTATTAAAATCAAAGTCTTATTATTCTGGGCCATTAATATCCGCCATCATAATTATCTTTGTTTTAGTTAAAAATAGAATAGATTATTAATTGATAAAAAGAAAATAAAAATTATTTTGTCAGCAAAATTATTGTCATCACCTTATCCATTTCTACTATTTAACTATTTATTCAGTTTTTTTAATAATAAAAATATTTTAAAAATTATTAAGACCTTAATATTTCATTTCTTTATATTAAACATTTTGTTAATTTATTAGTTAATTATTTGCTTCAATTTATATACCTGAATTAATTTTAAATTATTATAAATTTTCACAAAAAAACTTATTATTAATTAGTCATAAAAATTTTTTCCTTAAATTAAATTTCTCATTTAGAAAAAATTTAATTAGAATGTTTACAGCATATAATCAATTAAAGAAATATAAGGTAAGTTTCTGAATAGTAAAATATTATCAATTTTAAAATTAAACCATTATTTTTATCAATTTAATTTAATTTATTTTAAGATGCATTTTATTTAGGTTTGATTTTTTTTAACTTCAAATGTTTTAAATTAATGAGTGTGTTTGTTTAAAATTAAATAGTAAATTAACTAAATTACAAATGATTAAACGATTTGCTGATAAAACATATCTTTTTTATTTTTAATATTCATGATACTTCTTATTGCTTTTTCATAAAATAAAATCAAATTTTATAAATCTATCATAATTAATAAATAACAGTTTTGTTATGAAATTGAAATTTTCTGTTTTTTCATTAAAATATTCTACCAACTAACTTCTCAGTAAGTTTTAAAAAAATTTAAGTATTATTAATCCCTTATTTGATTTTTAATAAAAAATTAAATATAAATATTTTTAAAAGATTTGTAAAAATTATTAAATTTTACTATAACATATATAATTATAAAATTGCAAAATTAATAAAAATAAAAAGAGAATTTATATATACTTATTATTTATTTATTTATTTATTTTAATCAATATTCATTTGTAATTAACAGATTTGATGATACCTATTGCAACCACTACTTTCATGTCTCTAATGATGAAACGACCAAGTGGAGCATTGTTGGCAAATGTTTCAACACAAACAGCCTTTCTAGGTTTGAGCTTTACTATTGCACACTCACCATTCTTGATGAAACTGGGATTTTCTTCAATACTTGCTACTGTTTTTCTATCTATCTTTTTCACGATCTCTTCGAATTCGCAAGAAACAGAGGCCTAGTGAACATTCACAACTGGACAATAACCCTTCTTAATACTTCCAGGGTGATTGATCACAATAACTTGAGCTTCGAAGCTTTCACACTCTCTTGGAGCTCTCTCACCAACATAACCACAAACTGATCCTTTAGAGATATCCTTATATTCTAAGTTTTTTACATTGAAGCCGATGTTATCTCCTGGCATTCCTTCACTCAACTTTGTGTGGTGAGCTTCAATAGATCTAACTTCTAATTTAGTGTTTGCCTTTCCTTCATAGGGTGCAAAGCATATTGACTTGTTTGTTTGAAGAACTCCTGATTCAACTCTTCCTGATACAACAATACCAATACCATCAACCTTGTAAATACCTTGAATAGGAATTCTGAGATCCTTTTCAACAGGCCTGGCGGGAGGAGTAACTGAGTCCAAAGCTTCAAGAACAGTGTTACCCTTATACCAAGGCATACTCTCACTCTTCTCAGTAAGGTTGTGACCAATATATCCAGAAATAGGAATGAAAGAGACATTTTTGAGATTGAAACCTATCTTTTAGAGATAGAGAGAGACTTCAGATTTGATGTTTTCAAATCTCTCCTCGCTAAAGTTGACTAACTTGTCATCCATTTTATTGACACAGACTATGATTTGTCTAAGTCCAAGAGTATAAGCGAGAAGGACATGCTCTTTTGTTTGACCTCCTTGACAGAAACCAGCTTCGAATCCTCCCTTTTCTGCTGTGACGATAAGGATACCAACATCAGCTTGAGCTGTACCAGTGATCATATTTTTAACAAAGTCTTTGTGACCTGGAGTATCTATGATGGTGTAGTTGTACTTGTTAGTGTTAAACTTAAGCATGGTAACATCGATAGTGATACCTCTGGATCTTTCTGCCTTTGTACGATCCATGACATAAGCGAATCCGAATGATGACTTACCTTCCTTTTCAGCAAGAGCCTTAAGTTCATCGATTTTTCTTTAGTTGACTTCACCTAATTTGAAGACAAGGTGACCACAGGTAGTTGATTTACCAGAATCAACATCACCAAAAACAGCAACAGATAAATGCTACTTGGTAGTCATTGTTTAATATAGTTATTTTTATTTGCTAATTTTTTTTTAGTAATTTATTGTTAATTAATTTAATTACTTAAATAGAATGAATTGAAAAAATATTTTTAAAGAAACTTAGATGTAATAAATCTATTTGATTTATGAATAAGTTTAAGTATATTTTAAAATAGAATAGAATAAGCTGATGAATCATATAGTTTGAAAAAATTTAAGGATATCTTTATAGAATAATTAAATAATTAAGAAATACTAACAAAATCTGATAATCATTAATAAAAACATTTAATCAATAAGAAAATTTGTCTATTTTTAGGTTAATAGAGTCTATATTAATTTAAAAAAGCTTAAATTTTTTCAAAGCTTGCTTAAACAATAATGAAAGTATTGAAAAAGTTTAAAGAACATTTGAATATCTAAATTTTCAAAAATATATTAAATAAATTTTATTTATTCATTTAATAAAATGTTATAAAAGTATTAAAATATTTTTAAGGATAATTTTTTTAATAAAGCAAATTATTATTTAATAAATCTAATTATATCATTTTTTACTAGTCCATCTTGCATGTAATTTAGATGTAATCCATATTAATTTTTAAAAATGTTTGATATTTTAAAAATACAAAAAGATTATATATTTTATTCTTGATTTTTTCTAAAAAATTTTGATTAAATAAAAAAAAATTGTTTATTTTAAATGCTAATATTAAATTTTAAACCATTTTTAAATAAATGAATTTTATTTTTTTCAAAACTTTAAGAGAGTAATCTCTTCAAATTAAAATTTTAATATTTATTTTTGATGAATAAAAAAAAGAGACAACATTTATTTTTTATTTATTTGATTAACAAAAAAAATCTAGTAAAATTTGATTTCAAGATCTATATTTATTTATATATTTACTCATTTAATTTTGTTTTACTCTTAAAAATGCCCAAACTTGCTAAAAGCAAGAGGTATTTAAGTATATATAAGTTTAAAAACTAGAAATATAGCTATTTTAATCAAACATTTAGTTTTTTTTTAGCAAGCAAGTCCAATTCCACTTGTTGCCATTTTTTAAATAATTTACAAAGTTATCATTTAAATTAAAAAATATTAGCTGACCATTAAAAATTTTTCCGACAATAAAAAATAAGAAAAAGATAACAAAGAAGATGGATTTAGATATTGCAGTATTGATACTCTGTCAGAAACCTTGATTTTGCTGATAATTAGTATTAGAAAACTTGATTTAAATAAGAAGAAAAAGAAAATATCATCCCATTTACACATTTGAATAAGATTGACATTTAAAAAAATAAATTAAAAAAAAATCTAATTATTAAATATTCATCATATATCTATTAGATAAATCATATTTATGTTCAATGCAAAAACATTAAAAGGTTGAATTATTTATTTAAATTAAATTTAGCATTTTATAAATAAGATTTTATTTTTTTTAACATAAGTTTATGTGATCTAAATCTTTTAAAAATATATTAAGTTAGATTTAATAAAATTTAATTGATTTTGAATTATTAATAGTTTTGAAAAATTATAAGAAATTAATAGTTATTTATTAAATAATAATTCATCCTATAACTTTTTAATAACGAATTTTTACATAAAATATACAAATTAAAAACATTAATTAAGCTTAAGATTTATTTTAATTTTTATAATTATTTTATGGAGTTTCAACACCAAAAATAAAATTTAAATCAACTACATCTAGTAAATCTGAAATACAAAAGATTATTCAAAAAAAAATTTTTTTTTTTGCTTTTGATAATTTTTAGTCAAAATTTAAAATAAATTAAAGAATTTTGTTATAATTTTTTTATACTTTTTTAAATAATGTTTATTTATTTATTTTATTTTATCTAAAAATCATTAAAACTTTATTAAAAATATTTATTTATTTATTATTTACTTCCTTAAAATATCCAAAATCAAAACTGTCACTTTTTATCTATATCAGTTAAGATCTTATGAACATTATTTAATGCAGAATCATTTAGCTGCTTTTTCTTTTGTGAATTATAGCTGCTTAAATTTTTCAAAAATTACTAAGCCCTCTGCACTACTTTAATATTGTTTCGAGAAATACAACCAATACGACCTTCAAAATGAACTTCACATATTTTTTCATTCAAAAATTTAAATATCACACAGTCATCCTATTTCAAATTGAATTTTTCTCCTTAGAGTGTTTAGCAGGGCTAAATTATAATTCCAATATAAGAATCTATATTTTAAAAAATAATTAATTGAATATTTGATAATATTATAAAATACCTTAATCATAGATTTCCATTGACTAAGTCACATTTATAGGAGATATATAATTAGACTCATAAAGGAATTATGAAATATTTCTTGAATCTGCATCAGTGAATTCATTTTCAACATAACACTATGAATCTACTCTACTATCTTTCATAATCTTTGAAGAATTTGAATGCTAACTTTGCTGAGACTGATATTTTTTTAAGTTTTCTTTCTTTTTTTGTATCATCTCGTTTTGTTTTTAGGCTCTAAGTTATGCAGATGAAGTCATCTAGGGTTATACAGAATTCTATGGTTATTTAATAAACTAGGCATTTAAGTTTGAAGGAGTTTAAAAATTTCTATTTGATGTATAATCATCTACATATACATTCTATATTCTATTTGATGATTATGATATTTCACGAGTTTAACTTATTTCATGATTGGTATTTTAATATTCTTTACTTTATTAAATATTTTACTTTTATTGTGATTAAACAGTAACTATATTGTTAATATCTTATTATGGCTTCTATTGCTGCTTTTTATCATTTTATTATGATAAATTTATTTGATTTGATTATGTATTTTATTATTATTCTAAAAATTACTTTTTTTCTTCAAATTAGAATTTTTAATCAACTTATTTGACTGTTATTTTTTAATCTAAATTATCATTTGGTTATATCTTAGAAGAGCTTTAATTTTAATGTAAGTTTTGGTGGTTTTTTTAATTTTCTGTTTATTTTGAAGAGTTTTTGTTTTGCTATATTTATAATTAGTTGCTTGACAATTATGAGTTATTAAGATTTAAATTACCTTATGAAATATTTTGTTGTGGTGTATCAAATATTTTTTGTTTTAATAATGAAGCGTTTTACTTATTAATTTTATTTTCATAAAGTATCGGCTACTAATTAATATCCTGCATAACTTATGAATTTAATATTCTACTATTATTTTAGCTATGTGACAATTGATTATTACTGGCAGATTTTATTTAATCTTCTACAATTGCAATATTTAACTTCGAACCTTGGCTTGGTAACTAACCTTAAATTCCCATCTATTCTTAAGCTACTGGAATCTCATCTTCGATTTAATATTAGTCAGATCTTTCGCTTGGAAATATTTCAATATTTTTACTACCTTCTTGATATCTTTCCTTATAAACAGGCAATGGTAATTCTCCTAATTAATTTGAATCATAATTCAAGAAATTATTTTAGTTAACGTCATCCTATTGTTAATTTCCAATGAGCTCACAAGCTTTTTAAAATTCATCTTAATTAAGACGAACTTATTCCAGTCTTTTTTATAGATCTTGTTAAAATTTTAAATCTATCAGCGTTTACTCGTTACTTCTCTAATATTATGTTTTTTGCTTAAATGAGTTATTTTTATGTGAGTCGCGACTAAATTAATTTTGTAGATTATTTGCTGATTAAACATAAGTTTGATTATTTTAGTACTGTTACTTGCTTCCTAAATCTGAATAGGACAAATTAATATTGTTTAAAGATTTTTATTTAGTTGATTCATTTTTCTAGCCTTGCTAATACTAAATTCCATTTGAGTGTTGAACTTCTTGAGGATTGTTAAAACCTTATTAAATATTCTGAAAATCAGTCGTTTTGCATTTAAAATTAGATGCTTTATTTGGAGTTGCTGTATTAGATTTTTAGCTTGAATAGTAACTTAGAGGTTAGTTAACCTTTAGCTAGGAATTTCTTTAAAATGGAGAAGGTGATCTACTTTTTGTTGCTGATTGAATTGTAGAAAGTTAAAGTTATAGGGTTTTAATGCCATTACCAGTTTAAAAGGGGTTTTCTTCATCTTCTATATCTTGGATTATATTGTATGCTGATTCGTTATTTGCTGTTACTGACATTTGTAAAGGAATTTATCTTAAGTCTATTTACTAGTTTTAAGTTATTGCCTATGGATGATAAAGTCCTGATGACTTTTAATTGGTTTTGATATCAGAATAATTCATAGGAGTTATAATTCCTTAATTTGTAACATTTAGCTGATTCATAGCTTTCTGATGAGTTATCAAATTATTATTAAAAGGAATTTGGTTGTTTTATATATTGCCATTGTATGAATTGCTGTTATAATGGTTATTTTATTAAGCAAATTAGTTATACTAATTCTCTATATTTTAATGATTTCTGTTAAATTATTCCACTTGTTCTTGATATAAGAGTTACTAATATTAAGTTCTTTCTGACTCTATTTGTTCGAAAATTTCATTATCCAATTATTATTAATATATAGATGATTAGTCATGATTTATGTTTATACTATTATTTTTATGAGAAAGTTTAGTACTACTTCTTACTCCTTATTTTAAATCTTCTTCCTAGATAATGTGAAGCTATTTCATATTTGACTGAGAAATATTCATATTTTTAGTTTATTAACTGCTGCTTTTTTAATCTACTTAATTGTTATCTTGAGATTATTTTCTAAAAGTCCCTGTTTAATCAAAGTTATTTATAATCAATATTTATTTAGCCTAACTATTGAAATCATCTTAGACATGATTTATTCCTTCCAAAGTGTTAAATTTACCAGTTTCTGGTTAATTTTCATTTAAAACTTTTAATTCAAATAGCTTTTCTTGCTGGCTTTAACCAACAAATTAGTCTTCATATGATAGAGTTGGTTATTTCATAAATTATTTAGTTTATGGAGATTTTTAATGTGTTACAACCCCTCTATCTCTATCAGCATCTAAAGGTTCTAAATTTTAGTCAATTGAATGACTTTAATTAAGTTTTTCAATAATTAAAGAATTATCTTTAGAAATATTTTTTTATTTGATATTTGAATTTATCAACTAATTTTTTACTTGCTCTTCAAAAATTTTTTATTAAAACTCATCGACGTTGATTTTATTTTATGAAACATTAGGAGATTTTTATGGAGATATTGCTATGTGATTTACACTTTTCCTTGGTGACTGAATAGACTAAATTTATAAAGCAAGCAATCCTTTGGGAATCAAAGAATATATAAGGTTTTTAATTTTATTTATAGATTAGTGCTTTTTGATGTAGTCTTACTTTCTAAATATATAATACAAAGATTAAGCACTATCAGATAATTAAGAGTAAGGAATTTAGTTTATCAAATCTGTTTTTTGTAGAGGATCATAGATCACAGAAAGCGACTTTAGTAATGGGTATCTTATTGAATAAACATAATTTTAGTAATTATCTCTCTTTTCGAATGAAAAATTTGGATTATATGGCTCAGCTTACAAGTAGATTAGGGCTGTATAAAAGGTGTTGTATGCCTGTTAGGATGGGAAAGTTAATGCTAAAGCTTTGTTTTACGTTTTTTTGTCTCCTATAGATTAATGCTTTGTCATGTGGTAAACGTAAATTTTTATCATTAGCTTTTCAGGTATGAGCTCATAAGTATAATCGTATTTGCTTATTGACCATATTGATCTAATATTTTAGAATCTAGCAGTTGAGAGCATCAAATCAGCTTTGATTTAATTTATTGTGTCTTAAAATTTTGTTTAAGTTTTATCTTTGTTCACAGAAGAAGTGTCTAAATCCTTCTTTTCTGGTGAATAATTCTCGAATTAATCAAATTAATCTCTTTGGTCTTCTTTGTAAATATACAGCATTTGTGAGTTCATTTTTATTTAGCATTTAGCCATTCCTTGAATTGTAGAAGAAAATTTTTAAACCTAGCCTTGGTAATAAATTCTCTTTCTAAATAAGTATGTGATTTAAGGAGATATTTTTTTAAGTAGTGTGTCATTCTTTTCTGGCTAATACTGTGAATTGTGATGTATTAGCTCCATATATAATTCTGCGAAATCTAAGGTGTTTGTAGCTCCATTTTGATACAATTTCTAAAGTAGCTCACTCATGCAATCAAAATAAGATTTATGAAGTAGCAGCTTTAACCTTAAGCTTAATTTATACTTTAATGACTATTTAAGAAGGAAAAAAAGGTTATCATTCCAATAAAATTGAAGCGTTTTGTTTTGCTTTTATTTTTCCAAATGAGATAAATTTAATTTGTTTTCTTCTATATTAACAAAGTTCTAAGAGTTTTGTTAGGATATAAAACTGGAGTTTAGTGATTTCTTTTTTCGTTATTAGTTAGTTTAATTTTAGTTCTATCCTTCATTTTCGTTAGACTATAAACAAATCAACCTAAACAAATACATTTCAGTAATGGTTTCTGTAATTTACTCTTCAGGCAGATAGAAATAATTTTGTAAGAAGAATCTTAATTTTTCATAGTTAAGTTTTTATCCTTGCAGTGATAAGACTAACCAAATTAAATTACTTCTATTTTTCAGTGAAACTTCCTTTGAGTCTTTTAAATAGTTTTATGAACTGCTTACTGAGAAGTCTTCGTTCAAGCTAATTTATGATTAATTAACTTGATTACTAAAATATTTCTATTTGGGTAATAGAATCATTTAACTTTGTCTTTCAAATAACAAATTAAAAAAAATTGAATTATTTAAATTCATGAAATATAAAGGGCAATCAAAAGGACTTTCAAATATGTTGTCTTCTAAATTTTAAAAATTTTCATTTATTTCAAATGCTGCTACTTATATCTTTGGATCATTTGCCTCTTTAATATTATTGCTTGAAGGCTAATTTTAAAGTATTTAATCTAAATTGTTATCTTGCTATTTATTCGACTTGAGTGACTCGCTCATTTAAGAAATTCTCTTCTTTTCGTAGCTTTAATCTTAATTTTAATTTGTTTAAAAAACAATTATTAAAGCACATTTACACATGGTGTGAAGTAATAACAATATTTTTTGAGGAGTATTGCACTAATATCTTCTAAATAAGTAAATTAAAATGAAGTCTAAGGCCTTTTTTGATTCATTTTCATCTATCTTAACAGTATAAAAGTTTTCGATAGCAGAAATAACAAGCTTCTTCTATTCTTAGAACCCAATTTGGTTAATATTTAATCTTATTGAATTATTTTGAGTAGTAAGTTTATTTATTTACTAATTAAGAAACTCGTTATTTTTGTAGAGCTGTTAGCTTGTTCTTATCATTGGGATTATTTAAGGTTCTAATTATGTATAAGTAGCTATATCTTCATTGATCTCAGTTGGTAAATGGAACCTAAAAGTTCCAATAATTATTATTTTATAACTATTCTAAATGCTTGATTAAATTTTCTGCAATATACTCCAAGACCATTTATCTTAATATTAGAGATCATCTATCATAAAAATAATTAGTTTAGTATTCAAACTCAACAGATATTCTTAAAGCATAGCAAAAATTATTTAAATTATCTCATTCTGCATATTTTCTTGATACAATAATTTTTGTTCTTGCTATAAATCTCCTAAATTCAAGGAAGCATTTTGAAGAACGAGCGATTTTAATTACATTTTAGATGTGTCTCTTGTTAAAAATGTTTATAAAATAAGCGTTTGATTAATCTATTAAGCAATTTACTATTTATAATCTTAATTTTGTAATTGTAAATATGATTCTTCTAATTTTTATATATATTTCTAGCATTGCATAATTAAAATATCGTTAAAAGTATTAAGAAGGATTCTTCTTTAAGGTTATCTGATCACTACTTGGCTTGGCGGAGCATTTCTTTATTTTATTTCATTCATTAGACTTCCTCTTAAAGACTTTGTAAATACTACACACTGTCCTATTTTGAATGAATTAGCTATATCATTGCTTAAAAGTTGCATAAAACTACTTTTTCCAGATCCAAAATCACCTTCAATCAAAATCATTTGATTTTGATAACCATTTGAAGTGTTGATTGGCTAATTCAAATACTCTTTTAATTTAATAATAATTGTACTTCTTTTTTCTAAAAAAATCGAAGCATTTTAGTAGCATTAAGTGTGATTCAAAATAGGATTCCAATGAGTTTTAAAGGAAAGCTAGTTATTTGGGTTTTCACGAAAGTATTAGTTAACTATATCTAAATTATACTGCACTACACCTTCTTATTTCGAAATATATTAAACTTTTTTGTCTCTCAGACTATGATTTGAAAAAGAAGTAAAAAGCAAATCTTTAGAATTACTCTGCTATTCTTGTGAGGGGAATTAATGAAAAAATATAGTATAAAAAAAAGCTAACTAAGAAGAAGCTCTCAATTTTTTTATATTTTAAATCTACAATTGCTATAAAACACTAACGAATAAAGCAGCTCTTGAATAATAATCAATTTTATTTCTTACGATCAATCTAATTGTGAGTAAATTTTAAAACGCGCAGTAGAAAACACTATCATACTATAAGCTTAGTGTTTCAACTAATTCTTATATTTTGTTCATAATTTAATTTAAATTAACAGCCACATTTCTTCTCTCAATATCCCAATTAATTCCTTCTAAGCAACTTTTTCTGTAATGCTTCTCTGTGTTTTAAATTGGCTCTTTCTTAGTTGAGCTTAACTTACTTTAACTAATGTTATTGTCAAAACTATTAGAGTGTAAGTGTTCTGGCTAAATTGAAAAAACCAATTTTATAAAGCTAACTGCCTCAAAGCCTTCTTGATTTTCAGTTAGAATCTTTACTTTTTTCATAATTTTCTCTTAGTCTCCATCATTTATATCAGCAGATTATATAGATTGTATGTATTATTAATCACATGAGAATTAAGTACTCTTGTTATCTTTTATTGACGAGTAGGGCACTATATAAAAAGAACTCAGAATAGTAGCATCAGTAATTTTAACATTTGAAGAGTCTTTCTTTTTCAACATATATTTCATAAGATTTGTTTTATGCTCAAAATTGATAGCGAAATCTTAATGCAAAAGGAGATTTAATTGCAAGTCCAGTGCTTTACTTAATTTGCATCCTCTAATAGATCCATTTATTGCAGACCCAAAAAAGTAATAATCAAATTAATTTTCTTCATTTTCATAAAAGCTAACACATATATTACCGAAATATATGCTTGATAATGTAGCTATTTTATACTTTTATAGTACTTGTTATAAATTTGTAATCATAGATTTCCAAAAAATTATTCCGTTTTGCATTAAAGGCTTATTCTATGTTTTCATCACTAAAGTAAAAGTATCTGATCCATTAAAATCTAAAAGATGCAAAGGTATATCTGAATTAAAATTCACAAAAAACATTGAAAATTTTTGATTAAATTACTCAATGAATATTTATAAAAAGTCATTCACGTATTATAATATCTATCTATGAATCTCATACACTTTTTAAACACTTTCATCTCTCAAAACTATCTTTTCATCCTATTGCTTTGTAGTATTCTCTATGATATTGTTAATATCCTTTAAGTATATACTAAATGATGTACATTCATCTATTGTAAAACCAGTAGGAATTACATTAGCTTCTATTTCTTTAATAGGAGTAAACTTCTGTACAATCAATGGAATATACTTCTTTTTAGCTAATTATTTCTACATTCTTAATAACCTAAAATTTTAATGTAAAAGCTTATTTATTTCTATTTGCTAATAGAATATATTATATCTAATGTTTGCTTTCCCTTTGTAAATATATATATTAAAATAATTAATCTAGTTTTTAATTTGATTAAATTATCCTTACTCTTCACTTTTTTTCGATATATCTATTAAGTTTAACAATCTCTATTATTCAATTTCATTCATCCAAAACAAAAGTATTACTCTTTTTATTTGATTATCAACTTTAAAAAATGTATGTTTAAAAGTAATCTTTTGTTAATGATATTTTAGATAATACAAAAAAACCCTTGCTTTTTATTTAATTAATTACAAAACTTTTTAATCTTTCATTCATGGATAAAAGCATTTGAAGGTTTCTGTAACATTATTTATTTTCATCTTTAGAAAATTAGTAAATAAATACATGCAAACACTTAAAATACTAAACTTAAAATTTATTAATTTATTTATTTTTACTTTTGTTTTACTCACTTACTTATTATATTTATTATGATATTTTACTCATTTTTTTAGAATAAATTTTATGCAATAAAAAAGTATTATTTGTTAAATTTTAAACGATTAATTATTTCATTTAGAATTTAACTTTGTAGAAATAAAAATAAATAGTTTTTACTCAATAAATTTTAATGTTTGTTTCTCAAAAATTAAATATTTTGTAAGAATTATTGAATAAAAGAATTTGACTTTGTAGAAATAATTTTAATGTTTGTTTCTCAAAAATAAAATATTTTTTAAGAATTATTGATCATTTATTTTTTTTACAATGAAAAATGAATAAAAATTTTAATAAATATTAAAAAAATCAGTAATAAATTAAATAAATTTCAAGGATTTTAAACCCACTTGTTAGGTCTTTCTTTTTAATTTGCTGTAGAAGGATATCTTATTGTGTAATTAGTATTTGAAAGGAAAGAGTGAGGAGTAGTAGTAGTACTGTCTTGAAATAAATAAAAGTTTTAGAAAAATGTATTTCTAAAATTATCGTCATTGTTTTTGTTTGGTTGTTATTGCTGTCTGTCTTATTAAATTTAGCTTCTGTATTTAACTTCTGATGTTTTAGCTTATTCACGTCTTACAAGAAAATTCATATTGTTAACAGGTACGGTGCTAAAATTATTTTATTGATTGTATTTTAATTGTTTGTTCTGCTAAAATGCTATGTTTAGAATAGGGTTCTTATGGTGAGCATTTAAAATTAATCTTTGCTGCTTTTCTAACCACATCTGTCTTTCTTTTTCTTGTATTAATAGAGGCTCAGTAAGATAAAAATGTGATAAACTCTTTGTGCTTTATATTTTTTATTCTGTTTTTTCTTTGAAATCTAAATTGCTAAGCAGGTTAGAATCTCTTTTAGCAGGTCTTGCTCCATGAGAAGTCTGAGCTTTAGGTTATATTTTGAGCTTATTTTTTTAATTTTTGTGTTTATTTGACTACTCGAGTAGTTGATCCCAATAATTTTAATTTTATTCTACTCCTAGTCTCTTAATTTAATTCATTTTATCTTCGTGCTCTTCTTCCATTAATTTCATTTATATTTCTTGATTAATTTTCATTACTTTTTGCAGGGTATTTTCTTTTTTTTATTAGGTAGGAGCTATATTTTAAGTAGGACTATTTATGGGTTCTATTTCTTGATTGAAATCAATATCAAAGAAATTAATTGAGTCCATACTTTTGGCTCTTTCTAAATTTTCTATTTTTTTACTGTTTTAATTTGAGTCAAACAATTTGCATTTCTCATCAAAGTCTTTCAAAAATTTTTGCAATCTAGTACCTCCTAAATAGAGTTAGGACAGTTATTTTCTTTCTATTCATAATTAAATAGTTAGTTAATTACTTTGATTAAATATTAAATAGATAAATAAATATGTAAATAACATAATATTACCTTCAAAATATCTATTAATATTCTTGTATTTGTGGTCAAAGTCTACATGAGCTCCTTGAATATTATTAACTTTTTCTACAATCTATTCTACCTTTTATCTTTGATTATCGAATCTAGCAGCAGTTAAAGCAAACTCATTTTTTTATACAATCTCTTAATCCATCTTTAAATATTTCTATTAATCTTATTTGTTAGGTTTTTACTTTAAATCCTACTGAGAGGCTTTTAGGTCTTATTTCTCTTACTGTTCTTTTTCTATATATTTTTATTTTATTTCATTTTCAGCCTTCTCAAAATCAGAGAGAATTTATTATATTTCCATAGACCTTTCATTATCATTTTTGAAATATTGCAATTCTTCAAATTTTATGTCATCATCGTAGGGATATTTTTTCCTGAGTTTCAAATACTCATTTAGAATTTTAGACCTTTCTGCTAACTTTTACTTTTCATAATTTGATTTTTATTTCTATAATAGATGATCTAAGCTATTTCCAATACGAACTTTTTCAAGGCGTTCAGTACTATTTTTTATTTCTTTTAGCAGCTATTTGCTTCTTAGCTATCTTAACTTTTTTAAAAAATCAAAATCCTGGGCAAATAGTTTTTATATCTATGTAATTTAGACACACTCCATAATAGAATATAAATCCTTAAGACTCTATCTAAATTATTTTGCTATTAACAAACCTTCTCTTGTAGATTACAAAGATTTTTTATCAGGCATCTAAAGTCTAGACATCATAGCCTCAGTTTCCTCCATTTGATGTCCAAGGACTTCCTTAAATTTTTTTTATTATTCTGGATTCAAAATTGCTTAATTAGATTGCTGGCTTTTGATTATTTTTGTGAGTTCTTCATGTATTTTATCATATATTTCCTAGAGATCAAGCATCCACTCTTCTTTGTCTTATCTATTTTCCTTTTCTTGTTCAGGATTAAAGACTATTTAGTATGGTTTTTTTTACACTTCATGGATTTTAGCCTTATATCTTTATTCTATTTTTTTTCTTGACTGCTTATCTGCCCTTATAAGCGCAATTCTAGGTCTAATTGGCTAAAAAGGCTTATTTTCTTCTTTTGCTAAATCATTGTAACTTTTGAAATCTTTTATATTTAATTATAAATTAGCTACATTAACCTGATTTCCTATCCTTTTAACAAAATCATTAAACTAAAATTTTTTGTCTAAGTTTTTTTAAGAATTCATTTCGCTAAAATATTTTCGAAGGCCTTTGGAAATAATTATTTTATGCCAAGCCAGTGCAGTTTTTAAGAAAATTTAGATGTTATATTTTTTTGATTAGGATATTTTGCTACTTAAATTTAATGATTAGCAATAATATTAAATGAAATTAATTAAATTTTTAATAATAATGTTAAATGCAATTGATTAAATTATTAGCAATAATAGTGTAATAATATCAAATAGCTTTTTGAATTGGTATATAATATAACACATATAATCAATCATATTAATATATTTAATGATACTTAGCTTTAATCGAATAAGCCATATTTATTTATCACATAAAAAATTATTTAATTTATTTGAAACTGAATATTTATTTTAATACTTTTATTACTATTCATTCATTTTTTCATGAAAAAAATGGTTATTAATTAATAAAAAATCTTATTATTTTGTGAAACTTAAATTAATTTGATTTTTGGAATTACTTTTTTATTCTCAAGGATATTTTTTATTAATATTTTTTGCTATTATAATCTCTTTTCTATTATTTTCTAAAGCTGAGATTGCTTCCATGTATTCTACAACATTAGGGTTCTATTTTTTGTATTGTTCATAGAATTAGATCCCTTAAATCAAAAACAACTCAATTTTTTTTACTACTAAAGGTATGTATTAGATTTTATTTATAAAGTCGAATCTAATTTGTTGCAATTCTTTCTTAAAATAATCAATATCAACTAAATTAAATAATCTCAAAAATTTTCTGATTGTATATTATTTTGTTATCCTTAAAGGAAGAATTACTTTATCTAAAAAGACTTAAACATATCCCATTCTCCAGTCTTAGGAATCAGTAAGCGAGAGATACCTAGGTGTTTTTAAAAGCTGAAATTATATTGTCAGCTTGAACAACAAATTTATAATTGGATAAACATCGCTTTGGCAACATTCATATATGTCATCAGGAGTAATAGAATCGAAATTTTTATATATTTCTATTAGCTCTTGAGGGACTTATAGTATTTCTTCTTCAATAACTTTCTTATCATAAAGATCTTCCAGATCATTTTTCTTCTTCATATAAGGATTAAATTTTGTTTATAATTTAATATGAGATATTATTCCTTAATTCCACATTTTACATGTTAATCTTATTATTAACAAGTCTTAACATGAAAAAAATTAGAAAATACAAGACAAAACATTTTTATTCAACTTATCATTAATGCAAACGATTTTTTATTTTACAACTTTTAAACTACTCTGCTTTGTCACACTAAATTTTTTTATTTATTACTTTTATTATGATGTTTTAATTGCTGTTGTTGTTGTTTTGGATGTTTACTTATTAATCATAGATGTGTATTTATTATTTCTTCTTAAAATTACAAACTATTTAAATTATGAATTTTTAGATTTTATTACACTAATTGACTGATAAATACCAATTTCATTTTTCTACTAAAAAATTTCAACTTCATTTTTATTTTTTACAGACACTATCTAACAGATAGGAATAAAGCATATTCGCTAATAAAATAAAATTAGGTAAGCATTTTTAAGTTAAGTTTAACATTACAAAAATCCAAACATTACTGCAAATAAAAATCTATTTCTCTTTAACAATTTAATTCAATAAATTTTCATTTAAAACTTAAGCTAAAAAAAAGTAAAGAAATGGATTATATTTAATCATACATATTATGTTTTATTTGATCCAAAGAAAATTCTATTGGTTGATAACAAATATGTGGCTAAAATTTGGTATTAATCAATTTGCATTATCAAATAAATGTTTATATAAAAAATGAAGATTTTGTAGGAAAGTATTGCAAAAATAGCTGAAAAAATTTGAATTTATGATGAATAAAAAGAATATTAAAATATAAAAATGATGATTATAGTCTAAACATTTAGGTTTTCAAGTAAACTATTATCACAAAATATAATTTCACCAAAGAATTTAATTAAGCTACAATTAAAACCACTACTTAACAGGTTTGATTAGTGTTATAGATATTAAGCATAAATTATAATAAGCGTATTAAGGTAAGCAAACCAAGTTTTAGATATAATAATTTCTAATTAATAGAAATATCAAACTTCAAAATATTTATCAAAGCAAAGATTTCGATGAGCTCTTTTTATCAAGACTTATTTGGCATAAATAACACTTCTATAGCTCTATTAATAGGATTAGGCATAGGTGTATTTGGTTTTAACTTAAATGAAAAGATCATTAATAAGATAAAAAGCACCAAATAGAAAAAGGCAGCTGAATTATTGAAAAAAAAATATGAAAATTTGAAAGATAAAGAACTATCTTTGGAATTTAAAAATGTACTACATTAATATATCAAGGAATTTGAAGAATCATAAATATTAGAAAAAATTATAGAAAAGAAAGTTGATGATTAAAGCTAGATTAGAAAGCTCTCTAAAGGATTTACCTACACTTAAGAAGACGAGTAATAGCATGATTTGATCAAGGTATGTTCATTTTTAATTTATCCATTTTCATATCTTTACTAAAATATATTTATTTTTTCAAGTGTCTTTCTGAGCCAATATGGGAAATGTTAAAAAGAGGAGGTAAAAGAATTAGACCTATTTTTTGTGCACTAATCGCTGAAGCATATAATCATAAACTAGTAATTTATTTTATTTTAGCATAGCTATTTAAATTTTATAACATTTTTGCACAATTAAAAAAATAAATAGTCAGATGTAATTGAAATTGCAGGATTTATAGAAGTTTTGCACAATTGCTCTCTTATTATAGACGATATAGAAGATGATAGGTAATATATTTAAAATGAATTATTTGATAGTTTAATAAATTGCCAATTTAAAAAGCTTAAAAAGAAGAGAAAAAGACGCAGTACATATTATTTACGGTGTAGATATAAGTATAAACGCTGCTAATTATGGTTACTACGCACCTTTAAATTATTTGTTGAATTTGAAAAAATATAATTAAAAGACAATCAGCTAATTATCTCTTATATACGCCTATGAAATGTCTTAAATTCATCTTGGACAAGGCTGGGATCTTTTGTGGCACAATTAAAAAAAGGAATCGTTAAAAATTCCAACTGAATAGCAATATCTTTAAATGGTAGTTAATAAAACAGGAGCCCTATTTAGAATGATGATCAGAATGTTAGGGGTAGTTCTTAATCTTGAAGAGAGAAATGTTAAGATGCTTTCATTATTTACTGAAAAAGTGGGAGCTGTATTTTAAATATAAGATGATATAATTAACTTAGACTCTCCTGATTATACAACTAAAGGGAAAAGAGGAGAAGACATAACCGAGGTATTCAAAATAGCTTTTTAATTAAATTGAATATTTTATGCTAATAAATAATATAAATAAATAGGGTAAAATTACTGTAATTGCAATTCACGCATTAAACAACAATACTGAGGATAAAAAATAAAGATTATTTGAAATATTATGCATGAAAACTTAAGATTAAACTTTAGTAGATGAAGCAATAGAAATTATGTAATAATCTGGAAGTATTTAATATGCCAAAGAGTTAGCTAGCTAGATAATGGAGTAAGCTTGGCAAGAATTAGATAAATCTTTACCTGAATCAGAATCAAAATACAAATTAAAATTAATTTGCCAATTTATTCTCAAGCGTTAAAGCTGAGTTTTTGCAATAAATATTTTTATATAATAAGTTAACAAATTTAATTAATTATTCTATTAGTATAAAAATTTAAATTAAAAAAATCATTTAAATATTTAATTAAACTATAAAAAATATAATTACTAAATAGAAAAAAATTATTTTTAGCTTGTTTGATAATTGAAAAACGCTAATAATTTTTTTTCTTCTCAATTTGTAAAATTAAATAAAATATTTATGAATTTAAGTAAAAATTTAAAAGTATAAAAAAAGATAAAAATATGTTCCTAATGTAATAAATAGATCTAATAAATTTTGGTTTATTAAATAAAAAATTGTTTAGATTATATAGTGCTTAATTTTTATATTAATTTTAGTGACATTTTTTTATATGGGATAACAAATAAGCTGTGTTTTATTTCATAGATTGGCAACAAATAGGTGATTTATAGTTGTATTTAAACTTTTCTTAAAATAATAATTATATATATTAATAACTGCCAAAAACTAAAAATGTTTTGATCAGAATAATATTTTTTTAAATAGAATTTATGAGTATAGAGAGTAATCAAAAGAATTATTTTGATACCTCTTATTAGGACTAATTATTATTTTCAATCTACTAGAATCAACTATTTGTCCTTAAATTTTGTTAGCATTTCTTGCCTAAAATCTATGTTGTACAAAATACTTGTAACATTTGACATAAATGGAAGGTGGCCATCAATTTAATGAGTAAAATCAAGATTAATTATTTTAGATTGACTGCTTTGATTATTTAAATCTTCTATAGGATTTAAACCTATCGGGACACTCTTAAATTAAACAACTTTTAGCAAGTATTTTAAGACTGAATCTTTTTTTGAGTAGCAATTAAACACTCTATGAGATACTACCTCTGTTAGATAAGTTCTTTTTATGTAGTTGATGTCAACAACTCCCCCCATAAACACAACTGATGCTATCATGCTTGGCTACTAAGAAAAGGTTATCAATTTTTTATATTCATGCAAGCAACTAGCAATTACCTGTGTTCCTAAACTAAATCCAATTAATGAAATGGAACAATTAGGAAATAGATTTCCTTTATGTAAAAAGTGTGCTAAATATTAACCTGAAAGTTCTGCCTGAGAAAATGCTTTACTGAAAGGATTATCCAGCACAGAAGATGCCACAAATTGAAATAATTTTAAAATTTTTCCACCAGGAATAATTAAAGATGAAAAAGCGTTTGATTTTACAGAATCAAATACATATTAAACAGTTAAAGACTCATATTCTAATGCATAAATTTCAGAATCAGGATATAAATCATCTAATTCTTTCCACTTTATCTATTTATCTTCATCTTAAGAAGTAAACCCACTAATTGCAATAATCACATTTCTGCTTCGTTTTTAGCAATGGCTAACTTTTTAAAGTTGGAACATATTCGGTAAAGGTTGCTTTATACACTCTATTTTAAAATATTTCATGGCTGCTTGAAACTTTTGTTAAACTCTTTCATTAAAGTCTTAGCCTTGCTTACTTATCTCAGTTCTTAATAAATGAAGTATTTCATAATCTTGGCTATCGTGACTTAATTTGACTAAATAACCTGAATTTTATGCAATGTTTTCAAATTATGAGTAAGTGCCTAGCTGATAAATCATTTTCTTTTCTAAATAGGAATCAAGGAAATTAAAAAAGAAGGTGATTTTGTGTTATGGAAATTATTTGTTTAAGGGCTTAAGTATTTCATACCTCAATTCATACAAATAACCATAGTAAGGCTAGACTTCAACAATTTTTTTAGAATCGTTAACTTAAATGTTGGAAATTATCATGTAAAACTAAGTGAGTAATAAAAAAAATTCATCTTTGCTGCCTATTGATAAATTAATTTTTTAAATTTTGAATAAAAAAATAAATAAATAATTTTAAAAAAAATAAATTTACTATTTAACATTATCTAAACAAATTTTCCAGCTCCTTCTTTAATTATATTTGCATTGTTTTCTTTAAAATCTTAATAATTATTTAGATTGTTTAGTGCCAACTAAATGCTTTAAGAACTTTCATTATTTACAAGATTGCACAAATAGTCTAAAATTGATTTTATAATATTTAATGGCAAAATACTTTATACATGAGCATAGTAGATAATATAATAAACTACATATATTATTTCTTGCTAATTCTAAAAACTTTTAAAAGGCTTTCCTATTAATAAATTTTTTATATTCTACATTTACTATTCAAATTCTGCATTTCTAATGTTTGTTTATTGCTTTTTCATCTAAATAATTGCTTCACTATATTAGATATCAATTTTGTGTTGAAGATCTTGGAGTTCGTTCTTGTAAAATAAATCACTTATTTCTTCTACTTAATACTCTTTGCACAAAAAAATCTTGATATCTTAAGATAATCCTTTTTAATATTCTAATTTAAGCTTAATAAGAGTTCTTATGTTGTTTTAGCTTTCAATTGTATCTTCTTAAACTTTTTATTTAATATAAGGGGAAATACTATCTATAAAAGCTTTCAATAAATAGCTATTATTTTGATATAAGTTTTTATATTTTTATTTAAATTATTCTAAAACAATATCACTTAGATTATTGTTCAACTCTTCAAGCTCATATTGATAATCATTCTGAAAATTATATTCTCTAAAATCATTCAAAGTATAAAAGTAAATCAGCTTTAATCTTAACGTTTCAATAAATGAGTTTGCCAATTAAAATTGTACTATATCACTCATTTTAAATTATTCTTTCTCTTTTGGTTTTTTATCTAAGGCTGTTAAAATCTGTTTAGTTGTAGGCTAATTATCTTCTTATTATTATGAAATCCAACTCTCTAAATCCATAAAATAGCTAATATTTTTAAGGATATTAGTTAATTGGTTTACCCATTAATCTTTTATCTATTTGATTATACTATTTACCTTCTAATTTATGATCGTTTTTTCAATTACTTCCAGTTTTTCTTTCTGTTTACTATAAATAATATTTTTGCTATTCCTATTTTAAGTTACGTAAGCGGCACATTCCCTAATTATTTACAAATTTATAAATGTTTAAAATCCTATAACCTAATCAAATTCTTTTTAGCAGATTGCTAATTCTTCGTTGAAAAGCTATTCTAGCTTTTCAAGATTTTCCATTTAAGGAGTTTCTTATAAAATTAAAGATTAATTTAGGTTTTATTAATGATTTATTCTTTCCATTTTTTTAATTACAGGCAAATAATTAATTTTTTTTAGATTATTTTTTTGAGAGCTAGCTATTTTTTTAATAAAAAAAAAAATAAATAACATAAAAAATATTTAAATTGATGTAAAAAAGCTTAATATTCTATTTAAGATAATAGTATAATCATATTTATCAATCTATAACATATCAAATAAGTATTTTTTTACTGATATTTTTTTTGTTAAATATCAGGTTTATTTCATTAGAAGAATATTTCTTTATTTATCATTTTCATTTATTTTTATTAATAAAATAAAATTCTTAATTAGAATATTTTTTAATTCATTATGTATAAAACCAAACTTTTAATTCAAAGAAGAATAAATATGAAAAGAAGATCCTAAGAGATGTGACATTTTTAATTTTAAATAATTTAACTAGTATAAAAACATAATAAATATCCATTTTACTTTTAAGCAGTTTTTATCAATTAGTAAGGCATTTAATTAAAAATAAAAATATTTTATTTTAACAAACTTAATAAATGAATTAAATTAAAGTCAATATTGATTAAAGAATTAATGTTTATTCAATAAAAATTATCGCTAATATAACGATAAAACCCATAGACAAAGCAATGAGGAGAGCTTTTTCGCACAGAAGTGATCATGGATAACTTAAATCCAAATTTCTAAAAGTCTTGCAGTTGACTAATTTTAAAAATGCTTGATCACTGGTAATGAGTGATCAAGTGAATAGTTTTTTTAATAAATTTTCTTATAAATTTATATTTAGATTTTAAATAGTGAATGAATTTAAAAAAACTAATAAAAATTACAAAAATTCTACTCAAAATTTTAAATTTGGAAACATTTCCAATATTTAAAAAGAAAAATTTAATTAAACATAGAGTTTACGTTTTTATTCAATAGAATGAAAATCTATCAAATTTTGAAAATTCAGAGAAATATATTATATTTATTTATTTTACTATTACAAACATTTTTAATAAAATAGTTTTTATGATATATCTTCCAGAATTTATAAATTCATATTTGATACTTATTATAATTTATTAGTTCATTTTATTTAAGTTAATTTGAAATATAAGTAAATTAATTTTTTAATATTGCTATACAATTTTTCAAAAAAAATAAATAAATGATTTAATAGAAAAAATATTTTAACAATTAAGAAGAAGTAAATAATTATTTTTTTATTAATATTGTTTAAATATATTTTTATTAATAAAAAAAGTTTTTAAACTCTTCGCTTTTATCTCATTAGGTTCTCCATATAGCTCTGAGGTACATTTAATTTATTAATATTATTATTATCAATGTTTTTTATATATTTAATTTTCAAGTTACTTAGAATATTAGCTTTCTAATAGAAATTCTCATAAATAATCATTCATTTTTATTTACACAAATATTTTTTTAATTATTTAAACTTTTAATTTTTATTTTGATCATTAATTACTCATTTTTTATTATTTGATATATTTTCTTCATTTTGGCATCTATCTATCTAACTAACTAACTAACTAACTAATTAATTAAATATGTTTCTTCAATATATAAAAAGCTTCAAAGAAATTGATAAAGAAGGTGCATCATGTTTAGGTTCTGCATTAGCAAATTGCACTAATCTCACAACTTTGGATTTTGATCTTAGGTAAAAACAGGTTATTTATTTTGATTATTATATTTTTTAATTTTAAAAATAATTTAAAATAATATAACTCTTTTAGTTATTAATTTGCTTTTTATTTAATTTATTTTCCTAATTTTTTAATTTTCATTGTGTGTGTGCTTTTTTTCTTTGCTAATTTAACTTGTTTTTTTCATTTTTAAGTTTTATTTTGATTATCAAATTAATTTGTTTCTTATTATTTCATTTTTTTCTTTTATTTTTTTCCTTCTAACTAACCAATTAATTATTTATTTTTTATTTAATATATAAAAAGTTGTAATTAGATTGGTGTAATCGGTACATAAGACTTAGGTTCTGGATTAGCAAACTGCAAAAATCTCTCAAGTTTGATATTTTATCTTATGTAAAAACAATTTATTTATATAGGATTATGATATTTTGAAATTTAAAAATTAGATTAAAATCATATAACTCTTTTAATTTTTTTATTAGCTTTTAATTTGATTTATTTTTCTTATTTTTATTTTGTTTGTGCATTTCAATATTTCTTTCTTTGTTAATTTAACTTATTTTTAATTTCAACTTTTGCTTTTACTATTAATTACCTATTGTTTCATATTTTTTTTCAAAATTTAAAAAGTGAAAATTAAATTGGTGATGAAGGTTCATTATACTTAGGTTCTGCTTTAGCAAATTGCACTAATCTCTCAAATTTGGCACTTTTCCTTTCGTAAAAAACAGTTTATTTGCTTTGAATTATGATATTTTTTTATAAAAAAATTAATTTAATATATTTATTAGCTTTTGATTTTATTTATTTTCCATTTTTATTATTCTGCTTGTATGTTTTTTTTTTCTCTTAGTTTATTAATTTAATTTATTTTAAACTTTTTAATTTTTTATTATTTGATATTTTTTGTTCATTTTTTCCTTCTAATTAACTAACTATTAATTATATATTTATTCTTCAATATTTAAAAAGTTCCAATCAAATTGGTAATAAAGGTTTGTCAAGCTTAATATCTGCTTTAGCAAATTGCACTAATCTATCAAATTTAACACTTGATTTGAGGTAAAAATAGTTTGTTTATTTTGAATTATTATATTTTTTAATATAAAAAATAATTTAAACAATATTACTATTTTAATTTATTTATTTGCTTTTTAATTCATTTTTTTTATTTTATTCTAAACTTATTTTATTTCTTCTGTTAATTAAACTAATTTTTTATTTTTCAATTTTTGCTTTTATTATTACTTAATTAGATTTTTATTATTTCATATATTTTCTTTCTAAATTTCTTATTAATTCCATATTTTTTTATCAATATTTAAAAAGTTAGAATGAAATTGGTGATGAAGGTGTAATAGGCTTAGGTTCTGCCTTAGCTAATTTCACTAACCTCTCCAATTTAACACTATATTTTAGGTAAATACAGTTTATTTGTTTTGGAGTGTGATATTATTTTAATATAAAAAAGAATTTAAAATAATATTACTCTTTTAATTTAGTTTTTAGTTTTTTTTTATTTAATTATTATTTTTTTTATTCGGCTTATGTTTTTTTTCTTATTTACTTATTTTATATTTTTTTTTCTTCGATATTTAAAAAGTTGCAATAAAATTTATGATGGAGGTCTATCAGGCTTAGATTTTGCTTTAGCAAATCACACTAATCTCTCAAATTTGACACTTGATTTTAGGTAAAAAAAGTTTATTGGTTTTGGATTATGATATTTTTAAAATAAAAATAAATTTAAATCAATATTACTCTTTTAATGTGCTTTTTAGTATGTTTTTTTTTTATTATTTTTTTATACATATAATGCTTTTTTTTTAATTTGACTTATTTTTTTATTTTCAATTTTTGCTTTTATTATTAATTATTTTCTTATTATTTATTTATAATTTTTTCTAAAAGCTAATTAATTATATATTTTATATTTAATAATTAAATAGTTCCAATAAAATTAGCGCAATTGGTGCATCAGGCTTAAGTTTTGCTCTAGCAAATTTTACCAATCTCCTAAATTTAACAATTTATCTCAGGTAAAATATTTTCCATTTTCATTTTCAACTTTAACTTTTATTATTAATTATTTTCTATCTTGTTTTTTTTTATCTTCATTTTTTTCTTCAAACTAACTAATTAACTCTTTATTTTTTCTTCAATATTTAAAAAGTTGTAATAAAATTGGTGATAAATATGAATCCGATTTATGTTTTGGTTTTAAAAATTGCACTAATCTCTCAAATTTGAAACTTTATTTTAGGTAAAAACAAACAGTTTTTTGTTTTGATTATGATATTTTTTAATATAAAAATTAATTTAATACAATATGATTTTTTTATTACCTTTTTATTTTAATTAATTATTTTTTTTATTTTATTCTGTTTGTGTTTTTTTTTCTTTATTTTTAAAATAATTTATTTTTTCATTTTCATCTTTTACTTTTATTATTAATTTCTTATTATTAGATATTTTTTTTTCATCATTTTTTCCTGATAATTAACTAATTTAATGTATATTTTTTCTTTAATATTTAAAAAGCTCCAGTCAAATTGATGATGAATGTGCATCAGCCTTAAGTTATTCTTTAGGAAATTTTACCAATCTCACTAATTTAGAACTTTATCTCAGGTAAAAATAATTTATTTGATTTTGATTTTGATAATTTTAAAATAAATTTAAAATAATATAACTATTTTAATTTATTTGTTAGCTTTATATTTTATTATTATTCTTCTTCTTCTTCTTCTTATGTTTTTGTTTCTTTCCTAAATCATTTATCTCATTTTTCATTTTCAACTAAGTTTTTATTTTTTTATTAATTTTATATTTTTTCTTCATTTTTTTCTATAAAAAACTAGTAAATTATATATTTTTTCTTCAATATTTAAAAGTTACAATAAAATTGGTTCAACAGGTGCATCAGGTTTAGGCTCTGCTTTAAGAAATTTCACTAAGCTTACAAGTTTGTCACTTGATTTATGGTATAAACAGTTTATTTGTTTTTGACTGTGATATATTTAATATAAAAATTAATTTAAAACAATATAACTTATGAATTTTTATTTATAGATATTAATTGATTCATTTTTCTTTTTTTATTTTTTATGTGTTTTTTGTTTGTTTTTTTGTTAATTTAACTTATTTTAACATTAAAAGTTCCAATGAAATTGGTGCAATAGGTGCATCAGACTTAGGTACTGGTTTAGCAAATTGCACTAATCTCTCAAATTTGACAATTGATTTTAGGTAAAATAGTTTAGTTGTTTTGGTTTGTGATTATTTTTTTTATAAAAATCAATTTTAAAACAAAAAAAATATTTTTATTTTTTTGCTTTTTTACTTTATTTATTTTTTTTATTCTAATCATTTTTTTTCTTCCTTTGTTAATTTAAATCATTTTTTATTTTTACTTTTATTATTACTTAATTTCTTTCTTATTATTTCATTTTCTTTCTTCATTTTTTCCTTCTACGAACAATTCAATTAACTATTTTTTCTTCAATATTTCAAAAAGTGGCAATAAAATTGGTGATGAAGGTGTATCAAACTTATGTTATGCTTTAGCAAATTGTACTAATCTTTCAAATTTGAATCTTAATCTTTGGTAAAAATTATTTATTTTAGATTGTGATCATTTTTAAAATATAAAAATGAATTTACAACAATATAACTCTTTTAATTTATTTATTATCTTTTTATTTTATTTATTTATTTATTTATTTTTTTTTTCATTCTTTTTAAGTTTTTTATTACCTTCTTTATTAATTTAGCTCATTTTTATTTTCAATTTTTACTTTTATTAATTTATTTACTATCATTTCATATTTTTTCTTCATTTTTTCCTTCCATGTAAATAACGAATTATTATATAGTTTTTTCTTAAATTTTTAAATATTATTCGTTTTTTCTTCAATATTTAAAAAGTTCCAACGAGATAGCTGATACAGGTGCATCAGGCTTAAGTTCCGGTTTAGTAAATTGCACTAATCTGTCAAATTTAAAACTTAATCTTCGGTAAAACAGTTTATTTGTTATATTGTGATACTTTTTAATATAAAAATGAATTTATTTATTAGCTTTTTTTTGGTTTATTCTTTCTTTTTTTATTATTTTTTCTTCTTCTTCTTACTTTATAAATTTAACTTAAATTTTCATTTCCAACTTTTGCTTTTATTATTAAATATTTTTTCTTCATGTCTTTATTCTATTTAACTATTGAATTCAATATTTTTTGTTCAATATTAAAAAGTGGTAATAAAATTGGTGATAATGGTGGATCAGACTTACTTTTTAATTTAGCAAATTGCACTATTCTTTCAAGTTTGATACTTTATCTTATGTAATAATTGCTAATTTATAATGGATTGTGATATTTTTTAATATAAAAATAAATTTAAAAATATAACTCTTTTAATTAGTTATTTTATTTATTAGATTTTACATGATTTATTTATCTTATTCTTTTTTATTCTGCTTATTATTATTTATTTATTGATTTAAAATATAAATATAATTTAATGATTTAATTTATTTTGGTAATTTAAATTTATTTATATTAATAGAAAAAACGAAATCAATGAATCATAATAATTGAAATTAAAAAGCAGGTGTCTTAAATTAAAAAGATTAGTTGTCTTTAAAATATATTTAAAATGATAATAAAAAAGGTGATAAAGGATGAATAAATATAAAAATGTTTGAATAATAGAAAATAATAAATATGTTTTGTTTGTTTAATAATATTTTGTAATTGGATAATTTAACTCAAAATATTGATATATTTATTATTACTTATATATATAAATATCATAAAACTCTTACAGGTTTTAAAATTCCACTGATTTTGATGCATTTAGATATGGTATTTTTAAAATTTTATTTAAAAATTAAAAATTATTTTATTTATATTTCAAATAAATATTTAGTAGCTACAATATAAATAAATTCAATAAAATTATTAATTGTCTTTTTTAATAAATTTTGAATTCAAAAATCGATTTATCTTCACAATATCTAAAAATCAATAATTAAAATGCAGATGTATGTAGATTTTTGATATTTGCCTATTAAAAGTTAAATAAAATGACACTATGCAGAAGATATTATAAAATACTTAAGTATATTTTTAAAAATATTTTTATTTATTTATTTATTTCAAGTGTTATAAAATTTTCTTAAAAATTTCTTAACAACAAAGACCTAATTTAAAGCTAAGACAATAAGATAAATAAAAAAAATATTCATTAAGTAACTTTTTATAATACAAAACATTATGAAAAACTAGAAAAAGATATGATATGTTTCTAGTTTTTTACTATAAAACAATATGTATTATTCCTTATAATTTTAGAATGAAAATAATAACAATAAACAAATAATAAATATTACCATAATTCAAAATTTAAACAAACTATTATTTACTAGGTCTATAACTATATGATATAAAAGAAATTATTCCTTTTTAACTTCCTCTAAATTATATTTTTCTCGAAACATTACAGAAATAACAATTGTTTAATATAGAGTTTTTTTGATTAGTTGGCAGAACAATTGTTTATTTCTACCTATTTGTCTATAACTTTGATTTTTTATTAAAATACTCCTCTCTTTTATTTAAATTATGTATTTTTGATTATAAAATAGTTAAAAAAAAACTAATTAAAGGTTGATTTTATAATTCAATACTTATATTTTTAATTTTCTTACATTTTAATTCCTTGTTTATTACAATTGTTCAAAAATCTTTTATTAAATCAAATTTGCTTTGTATCTAAATTATTGGCAAAATTGACAAAGAAAATTGTTTTTGATTAATCAAAGTTAAGCTTAAAAATAAAAAACACTCATGCAATATAATTCAATTATGGTTTGTATATTTATAACATTTTAAGATAATGTCTAGAACTATTTTTAGAACAAATCTAGAATTATTTACGCAAAAAGCCAGATTATTACAAATCAATAAATCATGTTATAAAGTTGGAAATACTTTTTGAGAGCTCATTATTTAAAATATATTTTTTATATTATTACATTTGTTTATATACAAACACCTTTTTTAGGTTTAATAAATGGAAATGAAGAACATATTATCAAATGTACGCTTTAATTTTTTGTATATTTTATCATGAAAATTCTTCTTTGCTTAAACTTTTTGGTTTTCTATGCAAATAATGCCACTGAATTAATCAATAATTGTTCATTTTCAGATGTACAGATTTCTTCTTCAAAAATAATTTCAGTATGATGATGAATCAAAAATGATAAAAATCAATACAAATATACAAATTTTGAGTATTTTATTATTTTTTAACATAGAGATTATACTAGGCGCTTAGAGAGTAAAATTGTACAGAAGAAGATTCGATTTTTGGCTTTATAATTTTTAAGAGTAAAAATCAAATTTTTGATCGAACAATTGTCAAAGATTTACCACGTAAATAATTGTTTCAATCTTATGAAATCTTCAAATGTTAGTAAAATAAATTGTAAATTAGAAATTAAAAAGAAAATTTACAGAAAACTCAATCAAACAATTATTAATTTTCAGATAATATATAATAGAAGTTTTGAGGAATATATATCGCTCAAGCCTCTTTCTTCATTCAAAAAAAGCAAAAAAATAAACTCCCCACCCACACAGCTGCTTCTTTAAAAAATTTGTTGTAAACATTTCAAATTATATTGTTTCCAAATCGTAATTACAAACATATGGACTTATTATTGTAAAAAATGTAGAACTTTTAGAATAGATTTAGTCTAAAATATAATATTAGCCATTTCATTTTTTAGGAAGGAATATAAAAATAGTGTCTTTCTGAAAAGATTTGAATTGAAAGGAAACAAATAAATCAATAAATAAAGATAAGACGTATCTTTTATACTCTGCTACTTTTAAAAACAAAAAAAGACGAAACTAAATATTTTTCATGAATAGCTTTAATTTTATTAATAATTGTTTTTTTTAAAAGGGGGTCTCTCTTATGTTTGTATGTTTAAGTTAATCAAAAGTGCTATAAAAAGAAGCAATAATTATCAAATAGTCAAACAAATAATAATTAATTAACAAACAATTTATTAAATTAAAAAAATAAAGCAACAAATAAATACAATAAATAAAGATGAGTCTTTGGGAAGGTAACAGAATTAAGGATATTAACGAAGCTGATTTCGGTAGAAAGGAAATTGAAATCGCTGAAGTTGAAATGCCTGGTTTGATGGCTTGCAGAGAAGAATTCGGACCCAGCCAAATTTTGAAGGGTGCTAGAATTACTGGTTCTTTACATATGACCATCTAAACTGCTGTCCTCATCGAAACCTTACACAAGTTGGGTGCTGACCTCAGATGGTGCTCTTGCAACATTTTCTCCACTCAAGATCACGCTGCTGCCGCTATTGCTAAGGCTGGTTCTGCTAAGGTCTTCGCCTGGAAGGGTGAAAACCTCCAAGAATATTGGGAACTCACCTTTGAAGCTTTGAACTTCCCTAATAACCAAGGTCCTACCATCCTCGTCGATGATGGTGGTGATGCCACTATGATGATCTTAGAAGGTGCTAAGTGGGAAAAGATCTACGAAGAAAGAAAGGAATTACCCGATCCCGCTAGATACGAAACTGAAGATGAAAAGAACCTCTACGCTGTCCTCAAGAGAACCATCCCTGAAGATCCTACCAGATGGAGAAGATGCATCAAGGACTTAGCTGGTGTTTCTGAAGAAACCACCACCGGTGTCCACAGACTCTACCAAATCGCCAAGAAGGGTGAACTCCCCTTCCCCGCCATCAACGTTAACGACTCTGTCACCAAGTCTAAGTTCGATAACGTCTATGGTTGCAGACACTCTCTCCCCGATGGTATCTTCAGAGCCACTGATGTTATGATTGCTGGTAAGAAGGTCGTTATCTGCGGTTTTGGTGATGTCGGTAAAGGTTGCGCTGAAGCTATGGTTGGATGCGGTGCTAGAGTCTACGTTACTGAAATCGATCCCATCTGTGCCTTACAAGCTTGCATGAAGGGTCTCTAAGTCGTTAGACTTGAATCCGTCCTCAAGGAAGCTGATATCTTCATTACCACCACTGGTAACAAGAACATCATCATGGCTGAACACATGGCTTAAATGAAGAACAACGCCATCGTCGGTAACATTGGTCACTTCGATAACGAAATCGACTACCACGGTCTCTGCAACTGGCCTGAAATCAAGAAGGTTGAAATCAAGCCTTAAGTCGAAAGATTCTAATTCCCCGATGGTCACGGTGTTATCATGTTAGCTCAAGGTAGACTCCTCAACTTAGGTTGTGCCACTGGTCACCCTTCTTTCGTTATGTCTAACTCTTTCACTAACTAAACCCTCGCTTAAATCGAACTATGGACCAACAGAAACACTGGTAAATACAAAAACGAAGTTTACAAGCTCCCCAAGGAACTCGACGAAAAGGTCGCTAGACTCCACTTGAAGTCTCTTGGTGCTGAACTCACTGTTCTCTCTAAGGAACAAGCTGACTACATTCACGTTCCCGTTGAAGGTCCTTACAAGAACGAAGACTACAAATATTGATTTAAATAAATCCTTTTCAAAAATTGTCCTTAAAAACAAACATAAATCTTTAAATAAAAAACTCCAATTTGTAATTAGTAAAAATAAATATTAGGAATAAATCTTAGGGAGATAAGCAAGTAAAAAAGCAAGCTCTTAAAAGAGTAAAAAATAGATTTCACAATTTCAATAAAATAAATAAAAGATATTTGTAAATTTATGTTTATTTCTCGTAAAACCCTTAGAATACTAACTAATGTTTTGATTTACACAATTTAATTCTTTCGCATTTCCTATTTCTATTTTATCATTATTTTGTTGGTTGTTAAAATGGATACCAAATTAATTTTAAAAGTCCAAATATATGTGAAACCTTTCTTTGTTTTTTAGATATAAAATTAACAGATAAATTTTTAGATCCCAATTCACAAAAATTAATTCTGTGTTTTACTTTTTATTAAATTTTCTAGAAAACAGAATACAATTAAACATACTTGATTACATTTCACACTAAATGGATAAATAAAAGAAAATTAAAATTCATAAATATTACCCAAAAATAAAAATTAGTTGTACAAGCATAGATCAAAAGTATTTATTAACATTTATTAATTTATAAAAAAGAATATTCTAAATCTTTTTTTACAGTTTTTTAGTATCAAATACTATAAAAAAAGATTTTTCATTTTTATAAAGTTTCATTCATATAAAATCAATTAAGTTACAAATTTTATAAAATATTTTTTCTTAAAGAAATAAAAATTAATTGTACAAGCTTAGATCAAAAGTATTTATTAACATTTATTAATTTTTAAAAAAGAATATTCTAAATCTGTTTTTACAATTTTTCAATATCAAACTTTATTTTTTAAAAGATTTTTCTTTTTATAAAGTTTCATTCTAATTTTATAGCATAAAATCAATTAAGTTACAAATTTTATAAAATATTTTAATTAAAGTAATACAGATGAATCTTGAATTTTATTTAATAAGGAAATTTGAATTATATTTTAAGAGTTTTAATAATTATTTAGTAAAAATCTATTTAGGAAATTAGGAATTTTAATAAGGAAATTTAGATATGCTGTTTATGATTTGATTTCAGATAAATTTTTAATATAATTGGGAATGAATATTTTTTAGTTGAATAATTTTGATATGGTTTATTTTTTTAAAAGGAAAACTCACTCTTAAACTTTTAGCAAAATTGTTTTAATAAAATATAAATATATGTTTTACATTACTCTCAAAATTTTATTGTATTTAAATAGCTTCTTTTCATATTTTTTGGTTGATAAAATAGTTTGTTTTTATTTGGAAAATAAATATTCAATCAAATTTTTCTTTCTGAGTTATTTTCTTTTGTAAATGAGTTATTAGTATTGAATTATTAAACATTTTAATTTAAGTAGCTATTTGAAGAGGAATATATTTAAGGATTAACAAAATAGTTCATATACTACTATTATTACTATTACTAAGAATTGGGTGTTGAGCTTAACACATTTTAATAACTAGGTAACCCACCTTGTTGTTAATAATTAGGAAGAAGATTTATACCATTATTTTTAATTCCATTGTTATTTCCTCCTGAAGTGGTTATTCTTTCATTCATTGCAGAGCTTACAAGATTTTAATAACCACCACTCCCACTACCTCCACCTTTGTTTGTGATTTTGCTTAGATCACATGGGAACTGTTCAAATTCTGTTGAAATTTCTCTTTGCCTGTCACTTTAATAATGAGGATTTAAAATGCTTATACTCCAATTAAAGCTTGTCAGATTATCATCACCCATGAAAGTTCTATCTGTCTAAGTTCTAAATGAATAATTTTCTTCTGTATCTTATAAAATATCTTCCAATAATCCTATATTTTCCTTTATGTCCATTGATGATTATTCCCCTTTTTACCTACTCTTTGAAGGGTTTCTACTGTGAGTAGATTAATATTATGACACATCCACTTAATAGAATGGTGTAAAATACCCGTTATTGCTATTAAATTGTGTTCCATGCTGTTATAAGTATTGTGGATGATGAGGGTGATAATGAAAAATGTGGTTTTAATTATTATTTATATAGTTATTGTTGTTAGTTGGTTAGTTTGTTGTCATGCTTGTATTATTTTATCTAACTGCGCTACCTATAGTTAAATTTGGATTGCTATTAGTGTTTTTGTTATTACTGTGCTAAGAAAGACTTCTTACGTGCTAAGGAGTTTCAGATTATCCAAATGGATTTGTTTGCATATTTGGAGATATCTGAGGATTATTGGGATAAGGTGCATATCCAAAAAGCTAATATTGCTAAGCTAGTTATGTTTAAATATACTGTTATTGTAGAATGCTAGGGTTTTGTAAAAATTGCTGTTATTAGTTAATGAAGAATTGTTATTAAGGAGACTATTAAGGACCAACTTGCATACTATTAAACTGTGTTGGAGGTTAAATAAAATTTGTAGAACTTGTGCTATTATTTGGGTTATTATTACTGTTTTACGAAGAACTTCCATTATTGAATATATTAGAAGCACTCTGAGAAATAGCCATGCTTCTTTTTTTGGCGTTGCTTGTTCCTGTGCTCTGCTGAGTTTAAGCAGATTGCTTTTACTATTGCTACTGTTAAGTCAATTACTAAACTTAGTTATTTCCTCCTTATTTATTCTGCTACAAAAAATTCATCATATTTTAAGATGCTAAGTTCATGTAATTATTTTAAAAATTGATTAGATTTGGATTTTAAGAAAACTCTTAGAAAAATGGAGGATGCTAAAATTGCTGAGCATTTCCAGTCAAGCTATTCATTTAAATCATATGTGCCTAAAAGTTAGTATTGTAGTTTAATTTACTATTATTTGTTGTGTTCGCTGGATTTCCAGTACTTCCATTTATTTTTCCTATTATTCAATTAATTAAATTAATAAAAAATTTTAGCTTAATTCCTTACCTTCCGTTCCAAATCTATGATTTTTTTGGTAAATTACATAGTAATTTTACTTACACTCTATATCAATAATTGATTCAGCATAAGAAGTTAAAAATCCTAAAAAGTCCATTGATCCAAAAAGCCCAAACTAGAAATTTACTCCCATTGATTTACTTAATGCACTGTAAAGATCCTTAATATGTATTCCATTTGGATTCTGTTTAAGGATAGCTTCTATATTTTATTTTACCTTTTCTAAAAGCTCGTTAAGCTTCTCTAATACAATAGCAGCTTATTTTTAGTTTTACTCACTGTTAGAACCACACTGAGTCTAAAGAATTGCATTTTAAAAGTCTTGGCAATATTATTGGCTTTATTGATTTACATATGATTACTGATTATTTTACCCTATTCCACCATAGCCTTAGCTAAATCCAAATACTTGTCTATTTATTTAGTTTGATGCTCCACTTTAATCATTTTATTAAACTAAGTTTCCTTGATTATTTGTTGATAAAGGAGAAGATGTACAAGATTAATCTGATATATTATTTTCTGGTAAAAAAGAAGGAGCACATTTGCTTTTAGAAGCATTACATTTTAAAATAGCATATGAATTGTTTGTACCAGCTAATTCTATTTGAACCTTATCATTCATAGTCTGAATAAAATTTTTTAATTTTGGAAAACCTAGATCTTGCAGATTAAATTAGAAGTATACTTTTTTCTTAAGATACTATGGTATTTACACTAGAGATACACCTTTTGGATATTCTTAAAGAATTTCTAATAAGGCATCTTGTAAGTGTTTAACAGTAACATCTCTTTAAAGTCCATAAGCAGATTTTTCTAAAATATGCACAGAATTTTCTAATGAAAACACAGAGCTGGATTCATTCAAAACACTATTTTCTTCATTGTATGTATGTTTAACTAATAAAGTTCTATGATATCTAATGATTCCTGTATTGATAGCTTCCTAAACAAACAAACTCAATCTACCCAACGAAAGCTCCTACAGTTCTCTTGGTCCACAATACTTTACTTTATTTTTTACAAAAAATTCATAAATTTTAATCTTATAAAATAGTTTCTTTTAAAATATATTACCATATTATACACATCCATATCTTCCACCTGGAATTGCTCTTAACTCTTATTAAGATTGCGTGTTAATTGAAGCATTATTGACATTTGCAATGTTAGCAGAATTCACCTGAGAGTTGAGCTAACTTTATTGATTAGCTGAACTACTTTGGTTATTGGCCTATTACTTTTTACTTGATTTTGTGATTTTTGTAGTAAAATAAGAATTCTTTTTGCTTGAGGCAGAAGAATTTGATTTATTATCATCGCTTCCTTCGTTTTATATAGGTTGTTTAAAGTATTAGTCTAGAAATTCTTTAAAAAGTTTCCACATTTTATCGTTATCAAAATCTATCCTTCCCTTGTCTTCTGGAATCCATTCTTACTCTTTAATATAAATTACAGTAGTATCTGCTCCCATCAACGGATCGTTTACTTTTTGTACTACTAATTAAGGGAGATCTAATCCATTTTATCCATTTTAATAATTTTGAATGTAACTTGGGTGCTACAAGTGATTTAAAATCATATCCCAACTTTTTGGAGTTAGCTTTAATCCAAAACATTCTTTTATACGACTTAAAATGAGTTTATCAGTAGGAGTCATGAGGTCTTACTTAATTGATTTTATAATCCAAATTAGACTTTATAATGAAATATATTCTAGCTTTAAACTAACAAAATGCAATTCGGTGGAATTAGCAAATGTTCTTGTGGTCTGATGTATGATTCCAGCATTTTCTGCTTCATTGAAAATTTCAACACAGTCTTTTTCAGTGCAACCAGGAATATTGTTTTAAACCATCTTCAAGAATACTTCTTTGTGTATCATTAATTCTCCTTTATTTTAAAATAAAAATGAATAAAATAAATAAAATTTTAATATTTTACCTTTCTCAGCTAAGAAAGATAGCTGCTTTTATATGCCAATTGCTATTTGCTAGTTTTTAACTGACACAGTTTTTGGGTTTTAAAATTGCTGGAATGGCATCCCACAAGTGTAAGTGTTATGGCTATTCTTTGACTTTACCTCCAAAGCTCCTGATGAAGCATTTTTGTTTAGACCCTAGTTTAAGCTGTTATTTAATATGTTATTAGTACCTCCATCAATACTTCCTTTACTTGTGTTTAAATTTCTAATACTTCCACTACTTGTGTTTCGTGATAAGCGGTTACAGCTGGTATTACTACTGCCTTTGCTTGCTTTTTTGGATTTTTTTTACTTTTATTAAGTTCCAGCTCCACTACTGCTATTCTTATTATTATTAGCACTTGTATTAGTTTAAGGTTATTTTGTGCTATGTATACTACTTCTGCTTGTGTTTTCTGTATTTTTAGAAAGTACTTGATTTGTTATATTAGTAATTTAATTGGTTAAAATATTGTTATTGTTTGAGTTGTTATGATGAAATTAATTTAAGCTATTGTTTGTATTGTTAATACTGCTATTTATATTGCCATAATCTAGCTAGGGGTTCGTTACATTGTTACTATTTGTTTACTGACTATGTTTATGGTTTGAAGAGTTATTTCTTGGTCTTTAAGACGCCTATTTAGTCATGATATTAGAATTTGGGCTGTTTGTGTTATTGTTTATATTCAAAGTATTGCTATTATTAGTATTTCCTATCGTATTCTAAATGTTTAAATTGCTATTTTATTAGTTATTTCTGAGAAGACTGTTATTGCCAATACCGCTATTATCTCCTATTATATTTTACTAGTTTATTTGTTAAACACTGTTGCTTAAACTTCCTTACTGAATTTAATTATATAAGCTATTCGAATTGCATGCTTTTCCAGTTATAATATTATTGTTATTATTAAATATGTTGTTGTTGCTTAAATTGCTGTTATTTTAGCTATTGTTCATGTTGCTATTATTTATTAACAGGAATTTACTGTTTAAATTAGAAGGTGGATTGCCCTCGTTTGAGTGAGACTCGGAAGAGCTATAAATTTAGAATCCATCGTCAAACGACTAATTTTTATGTTGATATTATGAGTTTTTTTTATCTATATTTTATGAGTTACAAGGATTCAAAATTGTATTTAAACTTTTATTTCCATATTTCTTTTTGCAAATTTAAGATCCATTAACACTTTTAGAATCCACTTTTTGTGCTTATTCATCTATTATTAGTTAAATAAAAAATGTCATTTCATATTTATTAATTTTAAATTACCTTCTATTTGATTATAGACTGCACTGTTATTTTAAGAATTTTTAGATTCCTCGATGTTTGCTTTTACTTAGATTTATATGTTTCCGTTTGAATTTAAATTTGTGTTGTTTTTATCTGCTGTTGAACAATATTAAATAGGCTGATTACATTGAGCTTGCTATTAAGTGAAGGAATTGTTTCCAATAAATTATGTATTTTACTATGGAGCAAGAATGCTTTATGGCTGCTATTGAATTTAAACTAATTACTGTTATTGATCTTGCTAATTCTAGTTACTCCATGTAGCTTGCTAAATTTATTATTACTGTGCCTTTGAATTGATAGAACTTTATTTCATTTAAATTTGATTTATTGGAAAAATGTGCTATATTTGCTATTAAACTTAGTGAAGATGCTAGATTTGCTACTATTTTTGTTATAATATTATTTACTAATCAGTTGACACTGCAGGTGAGGAAATCGGTAGCTTTGTAAATATAACTTGAACGTTAGGAAACAATTATGAGAGAGAAGATTTCTCAGCAGCATAGCTTTCTTATTAAGTTTGAAAGAAAACGCATGTTGCTAACTGAGGCATGAATTTAAGCGTATTAAGAAACTTTTCAGATAGCCCGTTCGAGCGCTCAAATTATTCCCATTAATAATTCAAATCAAAGTTTAAAATTTCTTCACAAGTATTTCTAAAAACTACAACCAAAGAGCTTCTATCGCATTTTATTCTCTTTTTCTGTAATTTATCTATAAATCCATCATAAACCACTTTTTTACTATTAATTACTTCTGCTAAATTCTCATCAATGATAATAATTATTTCAATTAAAAGATCTCTTTGAAGATTCAGCTATTGTCGAGTATGCTTAGCTCTTTTACATTTATTGTGAATTCTTTAGTCGCATTTTGTGCATAGATTTTATCCACAGCTCCCACAGTAAAAAGTTGCTTCTATTTCGACTTCCTCGCATTCTTGACAAAAAATTGCCATCCCTGATGAATGATCTGGGCTTTCTTTCAAGTGTTTTCTGCAACATTATTTACAAAATTGTTTGATTTTTTCTCCTTCGCATGCTCTGCAACTTATTAAATATTCTATTTCATCTCCTCCACATTTACAGACACAACATTATAGATCTTCTTCACTCATTTCAAAGATTTTTAATATTCTATTCTAATAATGTTTTCAGTGATATTCCTTCAATCCAATATAAACCTATTAAACAAAAATGCTTTTGTAAGACTGTTAGAGATACAATTAACTACTAATTTACCTATTATTTAAAGATTGCTGTCTTTAATTCGTTTCTCTAAAGTTCAGCAATATTTAAACTTAACTATATTTTATGAAATTGTATGTTATTAATTAATTATTATTAATAATAAATGATGTCTCAAAAAATGTATTTTATTTAAATAATTTGAAGCATTTGCTTTGAAAATTGCAGATGGATTGAGCAAATATTTGAACTTAGTTAAAATTATATAAAAAATTACTATTTAGTGCTTTTCTATTAGTATGTACTTTATAAATGTTTAGTTTATTATAAATAGTAATGCTTAGAATACTATAAATCAGCTTATAAATTTCAATTGTTATTAGTAATTATTTAATTTGATTATATATCTAGAATCTATAAAAAAAAACAAAAGAAAAACATAAAGCTTCTAAATAATTAACTTTGTAATAGTAAATATAGTTTTTATTAAAATTTAAAATAGAAATAATTTAAAAATATCATGCTATTTATGATGGTCTTATTTGACTTTTAAATTAAGTAACAATTTAGTTATTTCTAATAAAATGTAGTATTTTTATTTAAATAAAAAATTCTGATTATCAATTTTTATCAAAAATTAAATCTTTTATAATAAGTAATAACTCCGAAACAATCATACAAAAATTATCAAATTTACTTTTCAATAAACAAAGTAAATAATTAGTACTTATACTAATTGACTAATTTAATTATAATAAATATTGCTTAAAATTGCGTTAAATTATACTAATTATTATCAATTTAAAAAAAAAAAATTATTTTTTTTTATTTAAAAAGTTAGCTGAATAAAAGAATTAAATAAAATTATTATAAATATTAAAATTGGAAATTAATATTTAAAATCAATCAAATATTTTTATTAATAAAATTTCACTTATTTATATGAGTAAGTTTGAATGAAAATAATTAAAAATAAATAAAACTATTTTAGAAAACAGAAGAAAATAAATTATTCCTTTTTCAATATTTTTATTTATGTAGGTTTTTATTTATAATCCTAAAGCATTGTCACTATAAAAGGATATGGGAGAAGATTTTTAATCAGCAGATATTATAAAATAAAATTTCAAACTTATAAATTGTACTGAGTTTGAAATATTTTTTGATTTAAGATAGATACCGAATTTAATAATAAGAGATAAAATAAAAAGATTTATAATCCAATTGTAAGGTCTATCATTTTAACATATCTTTAAACAATTACTAAGAATTTTACCTCAATAAAGTTCAAAAAAAATTAATATCAATCTAAAGATAATTTAAAATGACTCATACTTTAATATGATTTCTTAAGAAGTTATAGTATTTATTAGGATTATATTTTAAAAGAATAAGAATCAAATAATATCCTTTTAGATTTTTTGGATTTAAGAAAATCAAAAAAGAAACTATTTTTAGACAACATATTTAACATTGAGGATTTAAAATATAAAAAAGATTTGTGCATTGATTATATAAAAATTAAATGTTGTGAAAACTTTTAATTCTCAAATATCCTTTAAAATTGGTCTTTTTAATCTATTCTTTTACTGATGATGAAAATACATTAAAATTATGGTTATAAAAATTAAATGAAGGATAGTTACAAATATCATAAATGAGAATATTAAAAATAACTATAAAAGAAGAAAAAATAAAATTAATAAATTTAATAAGACAGTCAAAAAGACTAATCATATGTTGATTGATTAACTCATCTTTAAAATAAATATTGAAAAATTTCAATATAACTAATGATTTTAATATTAATGAATATTTATTTTATATTATATACGAGTTGATGATATATTATTGGTCTATTAGAAACATAAGAGAATCAGTAAATATAATGTATATATTCTCAATTAGGCTTATCAACTTGTCAAAAACTATTTATTTTGTGGAAAATTAAAAGAAATCAATTCTTTTGTATATTAAAAACATTATAAGATATTAGAATATAAAAAATAGTCAGTATATACTATTCTTCAATCAATAAATATTATTGATGGAAAAAACAATTTAAATTTAGATATTATCAATAAAAGTAGATAAAATTGTTAGTTAAAAATATTTATTTAACACATTTATAATTTCCTTTTTATATTTTTAATCTAAAAAAAGCTTCTTTTTCTCTTTTTTATATGCTTGTATTTTTTGAAACACAAAATATTAGATAATTAAATTAATATATTAGAAATTATATTATCCATAACCCTTTTACAATTATTTTTTTGTTTTAATCAAATGATGGAATAAAACTATTTATTAGATTCATTATTTAAATAAAATTAGAAGTTTGTAATATTCAATTCAAAAAATAAAATACTTTTATTTATACTTAAAAATAAATTACTTTTATTTCTACTTATTTAAGCTCTGGTTTTTGTTTAATTATTTATAATCAATTAATTTTACAAAAAAAATAAAAAAAATGCTTTCAATTTAGAAAAGTAATAACAAACTAATCTATACTCAAAAAGCTTTGGTAATTTTAGACTAAAAGCACTTATAAAATTTTATAAAAGAAATAAATTATAGTGCTACCTCCTTTAAAGAGATCAGTATAAGCTTGGAAGGTGATAACATTAGAAATAAATCTGTTTTAATCAGTTTAATAAACTAGATAAAGTTATTTACTACTGCTTAAAGCCTTGAAATTAATTTCGGCTATTTAAATATATTAGAAGTTGATGATCTTAAAGCGCTTTTTAAAAATATTTTGGAATTGAAGTAATTAAATAAGCTTTCTCTAGTCTTTGATACATATGTTGTTGGCATAAGAAAATTAGAAGAATATTAATTAATATCTTTGCTTTATAACGAAATGCCTCAATTAGATACTTTAGAATTAAAATTATGGAAAGATACTCTAATCGATTTTGGAGATTCTAAAAATTTCGTATCTTTATTTATTTAGTAGACATAAATAAAAACTTTAAAATTAGAACTAAAAGATAATAACTTAAATAATACTTTTATGGCTAATATAACAAACGACTTCTGTAAATTAATCTAACTAAAGTAATTAGATCTAACTCTAAAAGATAGCGAGAGTGCAATTGACCTTAAATCAATTATTTAGAATTTATTTTTGTTGAATTTAGAATATCTTTTTTTAACAGTAGAAAGGTGTTAGATTGACGAAAGTGAAAGTAATATTTGCCTAATAAATAATAAATCGTAAAATTTAATAAAAAGTATTGGCATAAGATTTGTAGAAATTGAAAATATTGGCAATACTATAAAAAGTATTTTAAGCAACATAAATAGCTTTCTTAATTTAGAGAAATTCTATTTTTATTTAGATAAAATTAAAGACTTAGAAAACTTACAAATAGAGAGGCAAACATACAGCGATGAGCTATCTAATTTAAAACATCTTAATGTCGAAATTTTAAATACAATTGTTTCTCAGTCATTAATTAGCCATATTAATAGAACTTTACTAAATGTGTTCTAAGATATTAAATAATTAACAATTTCCTAAAATAAATATAAAATACAATTAGAAAGTTTTGATGAAGATACTAAAAACTATAAATTTGTTTATGATTCTTTTAAAAATGAGAAATTTTTAAATTAAATCTAAGAATTAAGCTTCTACTAAAAATAGAATTAATACTTTAAAAAACTATAATTATCAGAATTAAGTAACATTTAATATGCTCATTTACCAAAAAATATTTCTTTAGATGAAGTTTATATTGAGTAAACTATCAATTAGGATTCTTTAAATGGTTTAGCAAAATACTTGAATTCATTAGATACAATTGGTCTTAAAATGTTTTAACTTGAAATACTCAACAATGAATACTAATAACTCAACGTAGACTAACTTGTAAAAGTTTTAATAAAATTTAGAGACATACTTAATATTACTGAGTTTGAAGTATTTTTTGATTTAAAATAGATGCCGAAAATATTAAAAATAAGTGATAAAGAAAAAAAATTTATTATCTAATTGAATAGTCTATATTATTAATATATTTTTAAACAATTACTAAGAATTTTACCTAAAGAAAGTTAGAAATTCGATATGAATCTAATGATAATTTAAAATGACTCATACTTTAATATGAATACTTAAGAATTTATTAGCATTTAATAAGATAATATTTTAAAAGAATAAGAATCAAATAATATACTTTTTGATTTTTTGCATTTATGGTCATAAAAAAAGGAGCTCCATTTAGGCTAGAAGTTTAGCTTTAACAATTTAAAATATAAAAGTGATATACCAATTAATAATTTAAAAATTAATTGTTGTGAAAACTTTTAACTCTCAAATATCCTTTAAAAATTTACAAATATTTAATGCTTAGTAGTAAGCAAGTAAAGCTATGAGGAAATTTATGATATTTAACTATTTTTATTAGAAATTTTAAATTTGAATTCATTAACTAGCTTCATCTTTTCAATTAATTGCACAACTGATGACAAAGATACATTAAAATTATGGTTAAAACATTTAAATGAAGGAGAGTTACAAATAAAATAAATGAGAATATTAAAAATAACTATAAAAGAAGAAAAAATAAGATTAACAAATTTAATAAAATAGTCAAAAAACCTAATCATATGTTGATTGATTAATTGATTTTTAAAATAAATATTAAAAATTACAACATAATTAATTATACATAATTTTAATTTGTGTGTGTGTATTTTATATTATATAATATATGCAGTTGAGGATAAATTACTATCTTTTTTAATTAATTTTTTCTTAAAAAAAATATTATAACAGCAAATTCTAAAAATTTTCCAATATTTCAGAAAACCTCCCATCTATTTTAGATATTATATTTAACATATTAATAATATCTTTTTTATAAAACTTTTAATCAAAATAAAAGTTTTTTTTTCCCTTTAATTTACTTTTTGAAACTCAAAACATTAGTTAATCAAATTATTAGATTAGAAATTATATTATCTATAATTATTTTATAATTATTTTTTGCCTTAATCGCATCATGGCGTAACATTGTTTGTTTGATTCATTATTTAAAGAAAGCTAAATATTTCAGAAATTGAATACAAAAAATTAAATACTTTTTTATTCAAAAAATAAAACACTTTTATTCTAAAACAAAACACTTTTATTCAAAAAACAAAACACTTTCATTCAAAAAAGAAAACACTTTTATTAAAAAAACAAAACACTTTCAAAAATAAAACCCTTTATTCAAAAAACTTGTTTATACTACCTATTTATGTTTTTATTTTTGTTTAAATTATTTATAATTAATTAATTAATTATACGAAAAATTAAAAAAAATGCTTTCAATTTAAAAAATTAATAAAAAACTAATCTATACACAAAAAGCTTGGGAAATTTTAGACTAAAAGTGCTTATTAGACTTTATATAAAAAATTAAAAATAGTGCTAAATCCTTTTAAGAGATCTGTATAAGCTTGGAAGGTAGTAATATTAGAGATAAATATGTTTTAATTAGTTTAATAAACTAATTAAAATTATTTACTTCTGCTCAAAGTCTTGAAATCAATTTCGGCTACTTAAATATATTAGAAGTTGATGTTCTTAAAGCGCTTTATAAAAATATTTTGGAATTGAAGGAATTAAATAAGCTTTCTCTATTCTTTGACACATAAGTTGTTGGCATAAGAAAATTAGAAGAATATTAATTAATATCTTTGCTTTATTAAGAAATGCCTCAATTAAATATTTTAGAATTAAAATTACAAAAAGATAATCTAATCGATTTTGGAGATTCTAATAATCTCGTATCGTTATTTATTTAGTAGACATAAATAAAAACTTTGAAATTAGAATTAAAAGAAAATAACTTAAAAAATACTTTTATGGTTAATCTAACAAAAAATTTAAATAAATTAATCTAATTAAAGTAATTAGATCTAACTCTAAAGGATAGTGAGAGTGCAATTGACCTTAAATCAATTATTTAGAATTTATTTGTGTTGAATTTAGATGATCTTTCTTTAACAGTAGAAAGGTGTTAGATTGACCAAAATGAAAATAATATTGGTCTAATAAATAATTAATCATAAAACTTTATGAAAAATATTGGTTTAAGATTTGTAGAAATCGAAAATATTGACAATGTTATAAAAGATGTTTTAAGCAACATAAACCGCTTTCTAAATTTAGAAAAATTCTATTTTCATTTAGATAGAATTAAAGGATTAGAAAACTTACAAATAGAAAGGCAAACATGGAGAGATGAAATATCTAATTCAATAAATGTTAATGTCGAAATATTAAAAACAATTGTTTCTCAATCATTAATTGACCATATTAACAACAATTTACTTTAAGATCATAAAAAATTAATAATTTCCTTAAATAAATATACATTTCAAGTAGAAAGATTTGATGAAATTGCTAAAAATTACAATTATAATTATGAGTTTTAATATAGAAATAAGGACTATTAAATCTAAGAATTGATCTTCTAATAAATTTAAAATTAAGACTTTAAAAAACTATAATTATATGAATTAAGTCAAACTTAATTAGCTTATTTACCAAAAAATATCTCTATTGATGAAATTGATATAAAGTAAACTATCAATGAGAATTCTTTAGAAAGCATAACTTAATTTTTGGATTCATTAGATACAGTTACTCTCAAAATATTTTAACTTGAACTATATAATCATGAGCACTAATAACTCAATACAGACTAACTTGTAAAAATTTTAATAAAATTAAGAGACTCTATGAATTGTACAACATTTGAAATATTCATTGATATAAGATCGTTTACGAAAATATTAAAAATAAGTGATTAATCAAAAAGATTTATGATCTAATTGAATTGTCAACTATTTTAATATCTTTTTAAACCATTACTAAGAATTTTACCTCAAGACTAAAAATTCAATATGAATCTAGATATATCGTAAAATGACTCATAAATTAATACCTTTTCTTAAGTAGTTATTAATACTTAATAAGATAATGTTTTAATCGAATAAGAACCAAATATTATACTATTTGATTTTTTGCATTTAAGGAAATCAAAAAAGGAACTACATTTAGTCTAGAAATTTAAGTTTGAGGATTTGCCAGTTCATACTTTAAAAATTAATTGCTATGATTACTTTTAAAACTCAAAACTTACAAATATTCGATACTTAGATGTAAGAAGTAATAGAAGATTTGAAAAAATTAATATTTAACTATTTTTATTGGAAGTTTTAAATTTGAACTCATTAATTAGCTTCATTTATTCAGTATAATGTTCAGAATAAGATTAAAATCAATTAAAATTATGGTTAAAAATTTTAAATGATGAAGATTTACAAATAAAATAAATGAGAATAATAAAATTAATTATTAATAATGAAAAAATAAAATCAGCAAATTTAGTAAGACTAAAAAAAATAATCATATGTTGATTGATTAACTCATTTTTTTAAATAAATATTGAAAAACTATAATATAATTAATAATATTTTATTTTTATGCATACGTGTTTTATATAATATATGAAGTTGAGGATAAATTACTATTATATTTGATTAATTCTTAAAAAAAATATATTCAAACCAAGCAATTTAGATTTAAAATACCAATTTTATAAAATAAGGCAATTTATTGCAATTTTAAAGCAATAAGTTAAATTTTTATATGAAATAAAAATCAAAGTTTTAATTATATATTTACTGTTATAAAAAATGTTTATTTGTAATGATTTTCTTGAATATATACGGAATATTCAAAATATTTTAAAGTTTCGAACTAGAATATTAGAATAATAGTTTTTTTAGAATATTGAAATAATTAGGATAAAGTTAGTTTATTTTTTTTTCTAAGTAGCGTAATGGGTAAAATTGTTTATTAGATTAATTATTTAAATAAAACTAAATTTTTCTGATATTCAATTCAAAAAAAAATACTTTTATATTAAAAAAATAAAATACTTTTATATTAAAAAAATAAAATTCTTTTATATCCAAAAAATAAAATACTTTTATTCTATATATTTAAACTCTAGTTTTTGTTTAAACTATTTATAATTAATTAATCATACAAAAGATAAATAAAAAAATGACTTCAATTTAGAAAATTAGTAACAAGCTAAGCTTTAAACATAATGCTTGGGAAATTTTAGATTAAAAGCATTTATAAAACTTTATTTAAATAATTAAAACTTGTGCTGCCTCCTTTAAAGAGATCAGTATAAGCTTGGATGGTGATAACATTAGAGATAAATCTGTTTTAATCAGTTTAATAAACTAGATAAAATTTTTTACTTCTGCTTAAAATCTTGAAATTAATTTCGGCTATTTAAATATATTAGAAGTTGATGCTTTTAAAACTCTTTTTTCAAATATTTTAGAATTGAAGTAATTAAATAAGCTTTCTCTAGTCTTTGACACAAAAGTTGTTGGTATAAGAAAATTTGAAGAATATTAATTAATATCTTCACTTTTTAAATAATTGCCTCAATTAGATATTTTAGAATTAAAATTACATAAAGATAATTTAATCGATTTTGGAAATTCAGGCAATTTAGTATCTTTATTTATTTAGTAAACATAAATAAAAATTTTGAAATTAGAACTAAAAGATAATAACTTAAAAAATACTTTTATGGTTAATCTAACAAAAGACTTTAGTAAATTATTCTAACTTTAGCAATTAGATCTAACTCTAAAGAATAGCGAGAGTCCAATTGACCTTAAATTAATTATTTAGAATCTATTATTGTTAAATTTAGAAACTCTTTTTTTAACAGTAGAAAGATGTTAGATTTATGAAATTGAAAGTAATATCTGCGAAATAAATAATTAATCATAAAACTTAATAAAATATACTAGCATAAGATTTGTTGAAATCGAAAATATTGACAATGTTATTAAATATGTTTTAAGCAATATAAATCGCTTTGAAAATTTCTATTTTTATTTAGATAAAATTAAGGTCTTAGAAAACTTATAAACAGAGAGTCAAACATGCAGAGATGAACTATCTAATTTAATACATTTTAATTTCGAAATTTTAAATACAATTGTTTCTCAGTCATTTATTAGCAATATTAATAGAACTTTACTAAATGTGTTCAAAGATATTAAATAATTAAAAATTTCTTTAAATAAATATAAAATGCAATTAGAAAATTTTGATGAAAGTACTAAAAACTTCAAATTTGTTTATGATTATTTTAATAATGAGGAATTCTTAAATTAAATCTAAGAATTAAACTTCTACTAAAAATAAAATTAATGTTTTAAAATACTATAAATATCAGAATTAAGTAGCATTTAATTTGCTCATATACCAAAAATTATCTCTTTAGATGAAATTTATATTAAGTAAACTATCAATTAGGAGTGTTTAAATGGATTAGATAAATTCTTGGATTCATTAGATGGAGTTGATCTTAAAATATTTTAACTTGAACTACATAATAATTAATACTAATAATTCAACATAGACTAACTTGTAAAAGTTTTAACAAAATTTAGAGGCGTCACGAATTACACGGTATTTGAAGTATTTTTTGATTTAAGATAGATACCGAAAATATTAGAAATAACAGATAAAACAAAAAGATTTATTATCTAATTGAAAAGTCCAAATGACTTATACTTTAATATGCTTTCTTAAGAAGTTATTAGAATTTAACAAGATAATATTTTAAAAGAATAAGAATCAAATAATACACTCTTTGATTTTTTGCATTTAAGGAAATCAAAAATGGAACAGCAATTAGGCTAAAAATTCAACTTTAATGACTTAAAATATCAAAAAGATATGCAAGTTAATACTTTAAAAATTTATTGTTGTGAAAACTTTTAACGTTCAAATATCCTTTAAAAATTTACAAATATTCAATGCTTAGATATAAGAAATTATAGGTTCAAAACAATTTAAGATATTTAATTATTGTTATTTGAAGTAACAAATTTGAATTCATTAATTAGCTTTATCTTTCAAATCAATTATTTTTATTTTCTTAGAGATGAATTATTCTAATAATTGTTAAAAAGTTTAAATGAAACAGAGTTTAAAATAAAATAAATAAGAATATTCAAAATAATTATTAATAATTATAAAATAAAATTATTAAATTTAATAAGACAGTCAAAGAGGTTAGTCATATGTTGATTCATTGACTCTTTTTAAATAAATATTGTAAAATTAAAATATAATTATTGATATTTAATTTTAATGTATATGTGCTTTATACATCCATTTCTGGTTTTAAAATCCCTCTGAATGGATGGATATATGTAAGTAAATCAACATAATTTGTAAAAATATTGATATATAAATGACTAAATGGAAGATTACATATTTATTTTTTTTAAATCAGAATTTATCTGACAGATATATATACTTTGACTTAAAAACCAATCAGAGTATTTTAATTTTTGGTGCAAAAAATTAAATTTTTACAGTAAAGTGTTATTCTCTGATAATTGAAAAACATAAAAAGATATTAGAATATAAAAAAAAGTCAGTATATATATATATATATACTATTCTTTAATCAATAAATTTTTACAATTATTATTTTTTTTTAATCAAGTGATGGAAAAAATCTATTTATTAGATTCATTATTTAAATAAAATTATACGTTTGTAATATTCAATTCAAAAAATAAAATACTTTTATTTATACTTTTATTTCTACTTTTCAATTCAAAAAATAAAATACTTTTATTTATACTTTTATTTCTACTTATTTAAGCTCTGGTTTTTGTTTAATTATTTATAATCAATTAATTTTACAAAAAAATTAAAAAAATGGTCTCAATTTAGAAAAGTAATAACAAACTAAGCTTTAAACATAATGCTTGGTAAATCTTAGATTAAATAAGCTTATAAAAATTTATAAAAGAAATTTATTATAGTGCTACCTCCTTTAAAGAGATCAGTATAAGCTTGGATGGTGATAACATTAGAGATAAATCTGTTTTAATCAGTTTAATAAACTAGATAAAGTTATTTACTACTGCTTAAAGCCTTGAAATTAATTTCGGCTATTTAAATATATTAGAAATTGATGTCCTTAAAGCGCTTTTTAAAAATATTTTGGAATTGAAGTAATTAAATAAGCTTTCTCTAGTCTTTGATACATAAGTTGTTGGCATAAGTAAATTAGAAGAATATTAATTAATATCTTTGCTTTATAACGAAATACCTCAATTAGATATTTTAGAATTAAAATTATGGAAAGATACTCTAATCGATTTTGGAGATTCTAATAATTTCGTATCTTTATTTCTTTAGTAGACATAAATAAAAACTTTAAAATTAGAACTAAAAGATAATAACTTAAATAATACTTTTATGGATAATATAACAAAAGACTTAGGTAAATTAATCTAATTAAAGTAATTAGATCTATCTCTAAAAGATAGCGAGAGTGCAATTGACCTTACATCAATTATTTAGAATTTATTTTTGTTGAATTTAGAATCTCTTTTTTTAACAGTAGAAGGGTGTTAGATTGACGAAATTTGCCTAATAAATAATAAATCGTAAAATTTAATAAAAAGTATTGGCATAAGATTTGTAGAAATTGAAAATATTGGCAATGCTATAATAAGTATTTTAAGCAACATAAATAGCTTTCTTAATTTAGAGAAATTCTATTTTTATTTAGATAAAATTAAAGGCTTAGAAAACTTTTAAATAGAGAGGCAAACATGCAGTGATGAGCTATCTAATTTAAAACATCTTAATGTCGAAATTTTAAATACAATTATTTCTCAGTCATTAATTAGCCTTATTAATAGAACTTTACTAAATGTGTTCTAAGATGTTAAATAATTAAAAATTTCTTTAAACAAATATAAAATGCAAATAGAAAATTTTGATGAAAGTACTAAAAACTACAAATTTGTTTATGATTATTTTAATCACGAGAAATTTTAAAATTAAATTTATTAATTTAGGTTACCAAAAAATATTTCTTTAGATGAAGTTTATATTGAGTAAACTATCAATTAGGATTATTTAAATGGATTAGCTAAATTCTTGGATTCATTAGATATTTTTGCTCTTAAAATATTTTAACTTAAATTACATAATAATGAATACAAATAACTCAATATAGACTAACTTTTAAAAGTTTTAACAAAATTTAGATGCATCATGAATTGCACGGTATTTGAAGTATTTTTTGATTTAAGATAGATACCGAAAATATTAAAAATAAGAGATAAAACAAAAAGATTTATTATCTAATTTTAAAGTCCAAATTATGTAGATAATATTTTAAAAGAATAAGAATCTAATAATATACTCCTTGATTTTGTTTAGCAATTAGGCTAGAAATTTAACTTTAACGATTTAAAATATCAAAGAGATATGCAAGTTAATACTTTATAAATTAATTGTTCTGAAATCTTTTAACTTTCAAATATCCTTTACAAAATTACAAATATTCAATGCTTTGAAATAAGAAATTATAGGTTCAAGGAAATTTAAGATATTTAATTATTTTTATTTGAAGTTTCAAATTTGAATTCATTATTTAGCTTTATCTTTGAAATCAATTCTTCTTCTTCTCATTTTAATGATTAATTAACATTATTGTTAAAAATTTTAAATAAAACTGAGCTTAAAATAAAATAAATAAGAATATTCAAAATAATATTTAATCATTAAAAATTAAAATTATTAAATTTAATAAGACAGTCAAAGAGGCTAGTCATATATTGATTGATTGACTCTTTATAAATATATATTGTAAAATTAAAATAAAATTATTGATATTTAATTTTAATTCATATGTGCTTTATACAGACTTAATCAACTAGCTCTGAGAGCGAGAGTATATTTCTAAAATTGGTCAGATCTTAACATTTACAATAAATAAATGAGGAGATGATATAATTAAATCAATTATATATTTACTGATATAAAAAATGTTTATTTGTAATGATTTTTCTTGAATATATTATTCAAATAATAAAATACTTTTACATTCAAAAAATAAAAAACTTAAATATCCAAAAAATAAAATACTTTTATTCTTTGTATTTAAACTCTAGTTTTTGTTTAAATTGTTTATAATTAATTAATCATACAAAAAATAAAATAAAAAATGACTTCAATTTAGAAAATTAGTAACAAAATAAGCTTTCAAAAAAAAGCTTGGGAAATTTTAGATTAAAAGCATGTATAAAACTTTATTTAAAATAGTAAAACTTGTGCTGCCTCCTTTAAAGAGATCAGTATAAGCTTGGATGGTGATAATATTAGAGATAAATCTGTTTTAATCAGTTTAATAAACTAGATAAAGTTATTTACTACTGCGTAAAGCCTTGAAATTAATTTCGGCTACTTAAATATATTAGAAGTTGATGCTCTTAAAACGCTCTTTTAAAATATTTTGGAATTGAAGTAATTAAATAAGCTTTCTCTAGTCTTTGACACATGGGTTGTTAGAATAACAAAATTAGAAGAATATTTATTAATATCTTCGCTTTATAACTAAATGCCTCAATTAGATATTTTAGAATTAAAATTACATAAAAATAATCTAATCGATTTTGGAGATTCTAATAATTTCGTATCTTTATTTATTTAGTAGACATAATTAAAAATTTTAAAATTAGAATTAGAAGATAATAACTTAAAAAATACTTTTATGGCTAATATAACAAAAGATTTAGGTAAATTAATCTAACTAAAGTAATTAGATCTAAGTCTAATGGATAATGAGAGTCCAATTGACCTTAAATCAATTATTTAGAATCTATTATTGTTAAATTTAGATTCTCTTTTTTTAACAGTAGAAAGATGTTAGATTTATGAAATTGAAAGTAATATCTGCGAAATAAATAATTAATCATAAAACTTAATAAAAAATACTAGCATAAGATTTGTTGAAATCGAAAATATTGACAATGTTATAAAATATGTTTTAAGCAATATAAATCGCTTTGAAAAATTCTATTTTTATTTAGATAAAATTAAAGTCTTAGAAAACTTACAAATTGAGAGGCAAACATGCAGAGATGAACTATCTAATTTAACACATTTTAATTGCGAAATTTTAAATACAATGAATGTTTCTCAGTCATTAATTAGCCATATTAATAGAATTTTACTAAATGTGTAATTAGATGTTAAATAATTAAAAATTTCTTTAAATAAATACAAAATACAATTTGAAAATTTTGCTAAAAGTACTAAAAACTACAAATTAGTTTATGATTGTTTTAATAACGAAGAATTCTTAAATTAAATCTAATAACTCTAGATAGATTTTGTAAAAGCTATCATGGATTGTAAGGTATTTGAAGTATTTTTTGATTTAAGATAGTTACCGAAAATATTAGAAATAAGAGATAAAACAAAAAGATTTAATCTAGTTGTTAGTATTTAATAAGATAATATTTTAAAAGAATAAGAATTATTTTATATACTCTTAAATTTTATTCATTTAAGGAAATCAAAAATGGAACAGCAATTAGGTTAGAAATTTAACTTTAACGATTTAAAATATCAAAAAGATATGCACATTAATACTTTAAAAATTAATTGTTGTGAAAACTTTTAACTTTCAAAGATCCCTTAAAATTTTACAAATATACAATGTTTAGATATAAGAAATTATAGTCTTGAAGGAATTTAAGATATTTAATTATTTTTATTTGAAATTTTAAATTTGAATTCATTAATTAGCTTCATCTTTTCTATTAATTGTTCAACTTATGATAAAAATATATTAAAATTATGGTTAAAAAGTTTAAATGAAGCAGAGTTACAAATAAAATAAGTAAGAATATTAAAAATAATTATTTAATAAGAAAAAATAAAATTAACAAATTTAATAAGATAGTCAAAAAGGCTAATCATATGTTGATTAATTAACTCATTTTTAAAATAAATATTGAAAAATTAAAATAAATATTTTGATATTTAATTTTAATGCATATGTGCTTTTTTATATTATATAATATATGCAGTTGAGGATAAATTACTATCATTTTTAATTTATTAGTTCTTAAAAAATAAAAATAAATATTCAAACCAAGCATTTTAAATTTAAAATACTAATTTTATAAAATAAGTCCATTTTCGCTTAGTGTGGTTAATATCTGAAACCAATTTTTTTGAAATGGATATATTTTTAATTTAATCTTAAAACTAAAATTTTGTAGTTATAAATTAATAAACTAATTCATTTTTTAAATACTGAAATTCAAGATTAAATATTTTTTATTTTTTTTATCTATCAGGTTAGAAACCTGCTTCAAAGCCTTTTTTTTATTTCTTTTATTTTTTTAAAATATTTATTAAATAATATTTATTATTTTACTAAATGAATATTTCTTACTCAAGAAATAATTATCAGAGAATAGCTTTTATATTTTTATTAGATTAAGATCTTGTTGAATATTAATATCTTTAAACTTTTCAATCAAAAATGAAGAAAACAATCAAAATGAAATTAAATTAATTAATATTTATTTAACTTTGAATCAATAGTAGTATTTTTGAAGAAATAATACTAATATTGAATTTATAATATTTAAAAATTATTTTAAATGAAAATTATTTTGAAATAATGATTATTTTTATATTTCTTTTTGAGCATATATTTTTAAATCAGTAACGTTTTGGTAAGCTAAAATATAATCATTTGATATTTGAGCAAAATGAGATTATGTTATTAATCAAATATTTTTAAAGCGTTATTCAATTAATAATGTTAAACATATTAAGTAATGTGCTATAATTATTAAAATATATTACTTTTAATTGTACTAATCATAAGAAAAATATAAACTACAGTAACTTTTTTAATCTACTTTATAATATCCTATCTATTCTATCTATTTGATAGTAATAACTAAAATAATATTTTCAAAAATTTAATAATTCAGAGTAATCACTGCAATAAAAATCATAACTTTTTGATAGAATTTTATACAAAACATATTTTTATAATACAAATAATATATTTATCATCAAAAAATTAATATTGATTAAATTTGAGAAATCATCAAAAAGTGAGTTCTTTAATATTTTTAAATTCTTTACCTTTTTAATAATTTAATCTTATGGATTTTGATTATAATGCTTTAGATTAATAACTTATTGAATATGTTTGTATTTTTTAACTTCCAAATCAAAAAATGATTAAATAAAAGAAAATTGAATTAAGTAAATATTTAATTAATTCAAAATAAATAAGTATCAATATAATTACTTGCAAATAATACTTAAAAATTATTTAAATCATTTACTAATTTTAAAAAAATCTATTCAGATAAATATCTTTTTATATTTTTATACTATTTTATTTGTAAGAAACAATACCTTTTGAATACTTAATCATTCCATATTTAAATAAAATCAAATTGCATTAATAAAAAAATTCTTATTAAATATAAAATCCCTTTAATCTAAAGATACAATTAATTACTTTACGTTTAGAACAACTCACCAAAAAATTAAATAATATTAAAGATATCAACTAAAGTAATTTTTCAGCTCGCTCTTGTGATAAACAGCAAATCCAAAGAATTTAAAAAGATAAAACAAGCTGTAATGTTTTAAATTTAACAATCAAGTGTAATTCCCACAATAAGAATCATCAATTTTAATTGTAAATATGTTCAAGTACAATTGATTTTAGATAATAAATAAATATTATTTTTATTTAAATATTGATTAAAACTTGAGAAACAAAATCAAAGATAAATAAAATGAATTCATTAATTTCATTTATAAAATTTGCTGACATTTTTGGACAAGGAGTTCAAATGAATTTTTAAAAAAGTCCTGCTTATAAGACAGTGTATGGAGGTTTAGTTACAATTATTATTGGTTGCTGTTTTATTTCAGGCTGCTACTTTTTTGGATCTATCCTTATTAATAGACTTGATCCTACAATTATCACTTAGGAAAGATCAGTTACTTCAGCAGCAAGAATAAATATTACTAATAATAATATTGTTGCAATGTTTGGCGTTTCTAACGGTGCTTCTGAAATTTGGTCAGACCCCACCATATTTAGGATGTATGCTGTTTAGTAAATTATGCAGATATAAAAAAACTCAGACTCAGGAATGGAGTTAAGATAGCTGATTTCCCATAACAAAACTATGAAGATCTGTGAAGAAAAAGATATAGGAATACCAAGTGTTAAGCCTTATTTTAACAAATTAAATTTAACAAACCTATATTGCTTAGATTAAGGTTAAGATATCTACATTGAAGGAGACTTTGATGCTTAGAGTTTTGCTTAAGTTTTTGTTTATGTAGAAAAGTGTTCAAATGGAACTGACCCTAATATTATTTGCAAACCTATGGATGTTATCAATTAGAAATTATAGTTGAGTAAAATACAAATATTTTTATCAAATACAATAGTAGATCCTTTAAATCATGAGGATCCCTTTTCCTCTAAGGGCATGAATTTATATACTTAGACTTCATCGAGCTTTCCAAAAGAAGTTCAACTCTATTTTACAAATCAATATATCTAAGACGATGTTGGATTCATGTTTAGGGAGATTAAAAATAAGCACAGTTTTGTTTTTACAATATAGTAAGAGACATCCTTCTTTAGTAATTATAATGTGCTTGTTCGAGTTTTAATTAGGCTTTAAAAATAAAAAGAAAATCTGATGTAAAGACGCTATTAAAAGTTTTAAGATATTGTGGCTTAAATTGGAGGGCTTATGAAATTATTAACAACCGTTGGCTCTATAATTACATACCGCTTTACTTAGCTTTATCTACATAAAGCTATAGGTGATGAGGTATTAATTTATGATGATAGGAATATTAAAAAATTTGAGACTGAAAAAGTTACAACAAAAAACAAGAAAAACAAAACAAAGCATATTAAACCTAAGCAATCTGTAATCTAAGAAATAATAAACTCAGATAAAATCCTTTCAAACAATAATATATAATAAATAAAAAGCTTTACCAATTATGAAGAAGGTGAATAAAGAAATGGTGGAGATTCTAATTAAGCAGATAATAACTTAGAAACCAAAAAAAACAAGCTTGAAAAAATAGACATATATGAGTAACCCAACTTTTCTTAAATAATTTTTTAAAAATCAAAACATTTATTAACGACAATTTAGTATTAAAAATTCTTTAATATTATTAAAAATAAAATAAAATACAACTTTTATGATTATTTTAAGCAACTTTTTGCTAAGAGTTTGCAAAATAATGATAATCGAGCTAAACTGGTTTAAAAAGGAATGTAAATGATAGAATAATAACTAGATATTACCTATATTATTAATAAACTAAATGAAATAGATAAGCTTAAAGCTGTAATTTTTAATAAAGATTAATTAAAAATATTTGATTGTATCCCAAAACCCATTGTGTCTGATGAATAATTATTCAATAAATAATAAAAGGGGAATATATATTTAGACAAAAATAGAATTAGAGAATAAATTACTGATATTTAAATGTAAAGTCCGAAGTAGTTTGTATATTATGATATTCATACTTAAAGAAGCGAGCAGTCAAAAGTTGATGATGCTATTTAGGGGCTTTAAAATATAATTAATAATAAATATCTAACAAAAATAGATAAAAATTTAATCTAAATTATAGATCCAAATATTTTAAATAGCTACTAATATTAATAATAAAATAAATTACCAAGATTTTAAAATATTGATATTTACTCAAAAAGCTAAAACGATTCTATTTTCATAGATTATTAAGAATGTATTGATGAAAAAATAGTCAGCTAATCACCAGAAACTGTTAAAAATTTAAATATAAATACTCAATAATTAAATCAGTAGTTTACAATATCACTAAGTAATGTTAAATCCCAAAGTAAAACTATTTATTCATAAAATAAACTCAAGTAAATTATTTTATTGTATTTTTCTTTTAGCAATATCTTTATTTAATAAATAGGTAACCTGATAGGACTGAAGAGTGATCAACAACCCAATCATTATCCTAACCCATACTATATACATTTCTTAAGTTTTATATGTTATACAATTTATTTAAAATTGAAGTTTATCTTAATAAAAGTTTTATTCAAGTAACCAAAATATTCTTTCATTTTGTAAAAGATATTTTGTTTAAACTATGATAATTCAAATAAAAAAAATAATTTAGGTAATTGTTTTGAAAAATAATATTATTTTACTATTTATTTTATAAAGTTTCTTATCAAATACAAGTTATTTTTAATTAGTCTCTTTTATTAAATTAAATTGATAGATTTTTCATTTTAAAATATTAAAAAATTAATAATTTAAAATATTTTTAAATAAAATCTCTCATTCAAAAATAAATGAAAAAAAATTATAAAAATTCATCAAATTTTGTTACTTTTTGAATAAAAAATTTTGAAAAGTCCTAAAAGATTATACTAATTAAGGTTTTAAATAAATTAAAATTTAACCAAGTTTTATAAAAACTTTTCTTTTGTTTCTCTTTTATTGTATATAAAAATAAATAATTAATATGATAAAATATTTTGAATAAGAAAATGTTTTTAAATGAATGATAAATTACTAATATCTTCAATTTAAATATGAATAATATCAAAAATAAATTTAGTACACCAGCATGAAAAAATATGAATAAAGGTGAAACTTAAGTGATTCGTATATTAATATATCTAATTTTATATTGGTTAAATTAAAAATTTTTCTTTATATTTTTTGAAGGACAAGTTATAATTTAATGTTTTTAAAGGTTCGTTACTTTACTCCAATTAAAATAGTTTGAATAATTCTACTTTAATAATGACAAATTTTTACAAGAATAAAAAAGCAAAATAAATAACATTTATCTTTACTAGTGATTAGCAAAGATTTAAGATTTGACGTTATAAGTTTTTAATTTATTTATAAATATTCTTTCATACATTTTTATTTAGAATAAATACATGGCTAAATTGTACAAAATACTATCAAAAGTTATTTGATTTAATTAAAATTTAAGAAGAAGATATATTAATATATGAAAGAAATAAATTCCAAGCAATTGATTTTATTTTAAATTAGTTAACTAACATCAAATTATATGAAATTGTTTTACATTTTAAATAATTTGAAAAAAGCCAATTTTATATCTAAAGCTTTAAATAAAGTATTTTAAATTTTTTTATGAAATAATAAAAAGCTTAAAGATGAATCTGATTGATTGTATTTTAGTGAATAAAGAGGCAAAAGTATATAAAAATGAGCTATTTTAAATATAATTAAGGTTTTTTATTGCATAAAAGATTTTTGGAAAGACAAGAAATTTTCTGTTCGTGTTCAAAGAAATACATTGATAAAATATAAATAAGTATGTAGACCTACCTAAATTGACTGTACTATTTTTAATTCTTTTATTATTGTGAATTTTAATTTTGTTCTTTAATATTTAAAATTATGTAAAAACTTAAAGAAAAAATTTTAGGATTGTATGACAACTTTTGTACTTATGAAATAGTGATACATTTTTTAACTTGTTGGATATAAATATGCCCATCAACAAATAGAAATAGAATTTATTAAATTTTTAAAAATTTAATAGAAAATACAGTAGCTTAATTTATTCATAATGGAATTATAACAGTTTTACCTGCAAAAAATTTCAAAATACAAAATAAATTATTTAAAGATTTTATTCATCTTTTAAATACCTTCAATCTTAAATACATAATTATTTTTTAAAAATATTTTTTTAAGGTTTCTTATCTTTATATTAATTCTGATATTTAAAAATGTTTGATAAAGTGTTGAAAATCCAATAATTTCACTAAACCAGATCAAAAAAATACCTTCAGGAAAATGGCAGATATCAAAAACATTAAGAAAATTTAAGTTTTAAATTTTGATAGACTAAAATAAGAATATTAATTCAACTTATAAGAGGGAAAATACAAAATTATTTAGAAGCTTACTTCATGTAACCAAATAAAATTAGATAGAAAAAATTGTTATAATTCTAAAAAGTAAATACCTTTAATTACAATTTTCTGCTCAATTAATTTGTAAGATAAGAATGGTAAAAAGGATAATGTGGTAATTAATAAGTAGCTCATAAAAGTATGTTAATAATTTTTAATTTCTTATCGCACTTACAGTTTTTAATAAATGAAAGATTTAAATCTGTCTTATCTCAAACTAAATTTATAAACATTAGTAATTCGAAAAAATATTTAAAAAAAATTCAAATGATAAAAATTGTTATCTTTGCTTTTTGTTTGGGATTAGTACTTTCAAATACTATCTCACTACCTTTGACATTCAATTCACATGGTCTTGGAATTGAAGTCAGATATGGTACTTAATAGTGTCCAACATTCATGGTTATTGATACTTTTTCCTGTGATTTCCAAGTCTTTGATAAAGAATCTAGTCAATGTGGAATAAATGAGCTGAAAATAAAGGACAAGAACTATTATAACGCTCCTTTCTAAATTGGATAAATTAGTACTGAACTTAATTTCACTATTCCTAATAGTGATAAAGGTCTAAGTTTGTTTTGTCTTGCACCAGTTGCTTAATCATTTAATGTAATTTAAGAATTATATGACTAAAAGCTTATCAACAACAGGACTTTCTTTTTCAATGTGACAAATTTAGACAATTCAATTGCATAAGAAAGTATTGATGTTGGCTTTCTTAATATTGGTGAACCTGATTATTCACTCATTAAATCTGGAACTAAAGCCAATTAATTGAAAAGTTATGATTATGAGCATAGATATTCTATTCGTGGATCTAATAAATTCAGATATGATGGTGAATCTATTCCTCTACATTCAATTTAAACAGACTAATATTTCCCATTTGAGTTTTCCTATATTTAAAATTGCATCACATTAAATAAAAAGTCTATTAAAGCTATGCTCAAAGCATTTGAATTAAAAGCAATCAAATATAGCAAATACAATGAAGGAGATATTTATGTGGATAAAATCGAAGGAATGGGTGATTTTGAATTTGATTTATATTAAGAAGATGGATAAATTTTTACTGTTTCTTTGGCTCCTCAAGAATATTCTGAAAGACAATCTGATGGAACATACTATTTAAGATTTTGTGAACCTTTTGGTAAAGTTGGCTAATAAGTTGTATTAGGATAGTAGATCTTTAATAAATATTATGTAGGATATAACTTAGATCATAACTCTAACTTTATTGCTGAAAAAGCTCAAATTTAAATTGAATAAATTTGATTTAAAAAAGTGATATAGTAATAAAACAAGTATTTTTATATAAATTTAATTCATGTAAAGGTATTAAATAAATGGTTTAATTTGAATACATTTATTTAAGTTTTATTCTCAGTATATGATTGATTAATATATTTTTAGCTTTCTTTATAAATAAGATATTAAAATTATTTTTAAAATTGTTTTTATTAATTTCAACAAAACTATATGTAATAAAATAAATAATCAATTACAATATTTCCAAAGACATACTTTATATAAAAGATACTACAATTCAAATTGTCTTATTTGGGCACTTTTTTCTAGTGGACACCTCTCTACAGTGCTAAATTATTTTATCCAAAAAACTAATTTTTATTTAAATTTGTATATTATGGGTACATTTTTATGTAGGTACGTTTTAAAAGTCTCTCCTTATTGGGCTAATTTTTTGGCCTCAAGATGACAAGTATAGATAGACAAATGGTACTTTATTACCATTTTCTTAATATCTTAATTAAAAACTTTTAGTTTCTTCATTTACACATTATAAATTTTAAAAAACAATTATAAATACTCACTCAATGATTAGGTTCAATTTATTTCAAATACTTATGACAAAATTTATTTAAAAAATTTTTGTTTCTAATAGCACAATACAGACCTCTTTAAAAAAAATAATTTTTTTTAGCAAATGAATTTCTTTGATAAAGAGAGAAAGTAATTAAATTTAATCATATATTAAAATTTTTCTTTAAACAAGAAGGTTTAATTCCATATTTTACCATTTTTTTAATAATTTATTAAATCGCTTATTTATGAAATAAATTATTTAAATTTAATTAAAAACTAGTAAATAGCCATCAAAATTCTTTTTTGGCTAATAGTATTTATACTTTTTTATGAATAAATATCACCAAATATTTGTAAGGAAGCTTTAAAAGCTATTTTTATTGATTAGCTTTTAGTAATTTAATTTTTGTTAATTGTGGATTGATAATTTTTAAGTATTAATTTGAATCATTGCTTATGCGATCTTAATGTACTTTAAGATATTGCTAAATTTTTAAAAATTTATAAAGGTATTTCATTTTTTGATAAGAAAATTAAGTACAAAAAAAAGATTTAATAAGCTAAATAAAATAAAAAACTCTCTTCTCAATTAAATTTGATAATATAAATAATTGAATCTTTTTTTAGTATTCTTAAACGATAGGAAATAAAATTAATAATTTATTTTGCTAAAATTTTATTAAAAATAAAATATTATTTTAATTTGTAATCATATTCTTTTTAAATAAACGAAGTATTTAAAATAAAAAAATACATTCGAAATATCTTTTTTGGGTTTCAAAAGAAAGATTAATTAAGTACTTTAGATAGAAATTAAAATTTTAAACGAATAATTACTCATTTTTTGACGAGAGTACGCCAAATTAAATACTCTGAATTAAAAAGATCCGAATATTTTATTAAAATCAATTAAAAAATTATAAATTGTTAAATCAAAAACTTTGAAAAATATCTTTTATTAGCAAGGAACAAAAGTTAAAATGGAAATTGAGAAACCCAATTTTATGACTTAAGAACAAGCTGAAAAGCGTTATAGTATGATCAAGTAAGGATCTATTAACTATAACCTTCATTTGGCATTAGAAAAAGGAACAACTTTTAGAGGATTAGGTAATATGATAGTTTCTTAGTTCATAATTAAAAGATTAGAAAAACATTTAATATTCGCTTTGGCAAAAAATTGAGCATAGTTAAATTAACAATATTTGTAACTATGTAAATGAACTAATTTATTTTAATAAAAAAGTTGAGGCAAGCTTCGAAACTTTGAATCTCACTGAAGATTTATTCATCGATTTCAGAGGAAACGATTTGTTTAAAATAGTCATCAATGGAAACGAGATCAGCTAAGACAAGCCTAATTTTGCTCACGTTTTTGATGGGTTATTCATTAAGCTCCCACTCAATCACCTTAAAAGCAACGAAAAGAACACTGTCACTATTGTATATTAAAATAAATATGCTGATGATGGTCTAGGCTTACACTCTTTCACAGATACTGATGGAAAACAATATATCTATTCTTAATGTGAGTCTTTCTGGTGTAATCGTATCTTCCCTAATTTTGACTAACCTAATCTCAAAGCAACTATGAAATTAACTGCAGTTTATCCAAATGATTGGATTATGCTTTCTAACTAATTTGCTGAATAATAAGGGGCTTTTAATAAGGAAAGTTTCACTTCTGCTGGAAGCAATGCAGATATACTTCTCTAAGGAATGTCATTAGAAAATAAGAATATTTCTTACTTCAAGACCACTTAAATTCTTCCTACTTATCTTTTCGGCTTCGCTGCTGGTCCTTATGTGGTCATCAAAGGACCTAATTCATATAACGTAAAAAAAAATATTTTTTTTTTATAAACTTATTGAGGTTTTTAAATATAATTATTTGGAAGTTAAATATTATAAAAAAAAGATAATATTTATATGCTTATTAAATATATTTAAATTAGAATATCCCTATGAATGTCTACTGCAGAGAATCATCACTTCCTTATTTGTAGAAATATTCTGATTTCATTTTCGAAATTACTAATGAATGCATGAGATTCTTTGTTGAATTTTTCGGATACCCTTATCCATTTGAAAAATATGACTAAATTTTCTGTCCTGAATTCAATTGTGGTGCAATGGGTAAATAAATAAATAAATAAATAAATAAATAAAGATATTTTGATTTTTTTTAAATATCCATCAAAAATAAAAAAGTTTTTACTTAGATTAATTGCAAATTTGCTATTTTAATTATAGATGTTTACTAGTATTTTATTAGAATTTAGTGTTTTATAAATTAAAAATAAATTAATTAATTAATGAATGTAAATGTATTTAATTAATTATTCAATTTTCATATAAATTAGAAAACGCTGGTTTGGTTACTTTTAATGATACTAGATTCGTATTCAAAGAGGAAATTTCAGACACAAGAATGACTGTTTTCTTGAATGTTATTGCCCATGAATTATGTCACCATTGGTTTGGTAATCTTGTTACCATGAAGTGGTGGAATGACTTGTGGCTTAATGAATCATTCGCCGATTTTATGGGTCACTTTGTTTTGACTAAAATTTCATCAAAAATTAGACGTATTGCTGATGGTTTTGTGCTATTCAATAACAGAAAAGTTTGGGGGTAAAAAGAATCTTTTTTAATTCTTTAATTAAAATTAAATTTTTTTGATATCTAATTAGTTATAACACTGATCAACAAATAACAACACATCCAATTGCTGGTGATGTTCCAAACACAGAAGTAGCTGAAAATATCTTCGATGGTATTACCTATGCCAAGGGTGCTTCCACTCTTAGATAACTTCTTTCATTAATCGGAGAATAAAACTTTTCTTCTGCTATGAAGCGTTACTTCAATAAGTTTGCTTTCAAAAACGCAGACTTAAATGATTTCATTGAAAACCTTGATGTCGAATTCCAAACATTGAATTTAGGTTTCAGTTTGAAGGAATGGTAATAAGAATGGATTTCCACTGCTGGTTTGAATGAATGCTAGCCTGAATTCGATCCTAACAACTAGAATTCACACGCTTGTCTCTGCATCCACTAAACATGTGCCCTTGAAATGCATCCTACTCTCAGAAGACACAATATGAAGGTTGCATTCTTCGATGAAAATTGCAATATCACTGAATAGACTGTTATCTTAAAGCCTGCTGAAAAGACAACCATTGAATACGATGGCTCAAAGAATTTCAAAGCTGTCCTCTTGAACTATGGAGACTATGCTTTCATAAAGACAATTTTAGATCCTGTTTCTCTTACTTTCTTATAACACAATCTTCACAAAATATCTGATGTTCTTACTCGTACTCTTATATGGAAGGCTTTCTATGATATGGTAAAAATAAAAAAAACAAAATTTCTTCATAAATTTTTTAATATTAATTGTAATAAAGGCTAGAGATGGCAAGATATCTTCTGAATAATATGTTGATATCTTTATTAGCTGTATCAAAAACGAAGTAAGTGAAGAAATAGTAGCTCCTTAATTTACTTACTTATCTAATATTGTTAGCTTATTTACTCCTCTTAAATATAAATCAATTTTGAAATAAAAATTATTTTCTTTCTGTTACAATTTCCTCTTATCTACTTCTAAGGAACAAAAGAATAAAATTATTACAATCAAGACTGCTCTTATTTAATATGCTGATTCTTAAGAATAAATATCTTCACTAGTCTAATGGTTTAAAGGATAAAATAAAGAGCTTGAAGGATTCGAAATTGGAAATGAAGGCGAATGGCAAATTGTATGCCTTGCTCACTAATCTTCACAATATACCTTATAAGAAAAGAAGCAAGTAAATTTTTATACAATTATTATAATTACTTAACTTAATTACTAAATTTAATAGATCTTTGATGAATAACTGAAGAAAGATTCTTCTGATACCTCTAAGAATATGGAACAAAAATGCAGAGCAATTGTAGCTTCTGCTGAAGAGAGATAAGTTTTATGGAATTAATATATTAATAAGCTAGAATTCTCTTAAAGAATTCTTTAAAATTCTATGGAAGGATTTGTTAGCACCAAGGATTCTGATTTAATCAAACCTTACAATGAAAAATTCTTCGCAGACATTAAAGTTGTTTATGCAAACCAAATTCCTGAATATGCAAGTATTGTATATGATAGCTTACAACCTCAAAGCGATGATCTTGATTGGCTTATTGCTTAATACACTAATGTGTTATCTAGTGTCCCCTCCACTCAAGTATTCTTTACTCGTCGTCTTAAAGAAACCCTTGACTTACTCCAAAGAAAGAAGAGAGCATTTACATGTTTCTACTAAAGAACTCAACTTCAAGTATGATTAAGAAAAATACAATTTATTTTTTAAACTCAATCCTTGTATTCAAAATCTATTAATAAAAAAGTGTTGTTTTTTTAATGTTTTAAATGTATAGTTAGTTATTAAATAAGCTTGATAATAAAGTTGGAATCATACTTTTTTTTTATTTTTGTTTTGTACCAAGAATTAATATATTAATATATTTTAATGTAAGTTCTAAAATTTATTTTAAATTTTTAACTAATTTAACCATTAATAATAAATATTATTAGATTTGAAAATGAAATACTTAAATATATAGCCGTTCCTAGTTTTAAAATTCTGCTGATAGGATATATGTAATAAGCGGAGTTTGTAAAAATAATAAAAAATTTGTTAAAATTTGATAAAAAATGTATGATATAATTAATGAAAATATTGCATTAATAAAATTAATTTAAAAACATAAAAATTAAATGAAATATTGCCTTCTGCACCTACACAGTTAGCAATATTTTAATTCTAGGATTAATTATATAATGGACTTTTTTTTAATTTTACAAAATTGAAACAAAATAAAATAAATAAATAAATTTATTTTAAGTTGAAGCTTAATTATTTATTTGAAAGGTCAAAAAATTTAGTTTAAATTAAGAAAAATTAATTTCCAACTCAAAAATAGTTTGTTAAAATAAAATCTAATTATTTTATTAATTAATTTATTTTAATTGTTTTTTAACAAAAATTTAATTTTTTAGAAGTTAAATTTAATTACTAATTATATAATAAAAATACCAAAAAAGGTTTAATTTAGAATTTAAATGATTATAAAATAATTATTATTAGAATATTTTAATCTTAAAACATATTTTATTTATTTCACAAAAGAATAAACTAGTATTAATTTAAATGTTATAATAAATACATGATTAAGTTAAAAATAATTATATTTTCATAGAATTCAGTTCTTCTTGTAAATATATCCAACAGCTTTGGTAATTGGAACAAGTTCATAGAAATTCGAAAGCCTAAATCTTAGAAAATCGTAGGCCATAACTGTATTGTTTTAAGCAAAATCAATAAATTCTTTTGTTTATCCTTCTTCATGTATTTTCAAGAGTTTATGTCTCTTTGAGATATGAGTCAAGAGAATATTTTTTGATAGTGACTGCAATGCTACATCAATAGCCTCAGTAACTGTGCTATGCAAAGCCTTTTCAGCTAAATCAACTTCATCATGTTAGTAAGTAGATTCGTGAATAATAAGCGATGAGTTATTAGCTGCTTCTATGAACTTTTTGCAAGGACGAGTATCTCCTGTATAAGAAATTTTAGTTTGATAAGGATCATCTGCCTCTAAAACATATCCATAAGCTTACTAGCAATGAATAACTGGTATCATTTTCAAAGAAGAATACCCTACTTCTTTAAGTTTTAATTTCAACCCTTCAATATTTTAATTAAGGCGTTCTGCGTTAGAAGTTAAGATTTCTCCTATTCTTTTATTTCTAATTATAGCTTTATCTTCCTCATATGTGTTGTATTGTGCTTTTTGGCAATCAAATTCTAACTTTTTAAATCCATGAGTGGCATATTCAGAGAAATCATCATTATTATATGATTAAATATAAACTTCATTAAATAAAATATCTCCTTCCATGTGTCTTAAAGCATCTACCCATGTAGCCATGTCCCAAGGTAATACTATATAAATAGGATCATCACTATATTTGATACCTCTCTTTCTTTAAACCTCTTGCCTTCTCCAAATTACCTCTTAAAACCCCATGTAGTGGTCAGCATGGAAATGAGAAATCAAAATAATTTTAATTTTTAAAAGTTCTTCATCTATTTTTTTATTTCCGTATATTCCTAATAATTAGAAATAGGTTCCATCACCTGCATCTAACATTATACCTATTTTTTTAAATATTTTAGAGTTATATAGATTTGTCTATTAATATTATATATAACTTTTCTTTTTTTGATATAAAAATTTGAAGAAAAAAAAATTACTTGTATCATTTTTTTCATTTTTAACAAGGATAGAGCTGTTGTTTCTATATTTTGATGGCAAAGCACATGTTGTGCCTAAAAGAATTATTTCAGGATCAAATCTTTTATCGTCAATTTGTTTTTTTTAAGCTTCCATATTTTATTATGCATTTAGTGAGTTTTGTTTGAGCTCATTCACTAAATTTAAATAATTTTAATTATAGACAATAGTTTTATTTAACTCATTAGAAACTACAGCGTCTAAAGGAATGTAATCATTATTTGAACCACTTACAGTAAATTCAAAATTTCTTTTAGATAATTAAAGATTCTTTATATCAGGAAACAATTGATTCAAAGTAAGAAGCTAATTATCCTGTTTATTGTCTTACTACTTAATAAACTGGCTTTAAACAGTTGAAATATTTAAGAAATGTTCACTAAAGTCTTCATAAAGTTTAGATACTACCTTTTGATGTCTGTAAGGAACATTTATAATATCATAATGATTATCTTGAATTACTTCTTAAAAGCCTGGACTAATAAAAATGTGCTGGACATTAGCCTCAAATTTGCTTAAGAATTCTTTGTATTTTGGTAAAGAAACAACTTCTTAAGGAGCCATATGAACAACAAGAATTAATTGATTATCTTAAGAAGGTGCATATAAAATCTTATTGTTAGAAATAGCTTCATCTAAAATCGATTCTTTTTAGCAGTCAAACAAAAGTACACTATTACCTCTTTTATCCTCACTTTTAACATCATCTAGCTTGACTGTTTCTCCTGTTTCTAACTAAACTTCTCCATTTTACATTAGATTTTTCATTTAATTTTTAGGAATTTTAAACTTATCAAGTTTTTCTTTATCTAATTTTCCTTTAACTGGAGGAAGATTTATTTAGTAAGCAAGACATTTTTAATCATCAAAGGCTATGTAATCAAGTGTAATTTATTCTTGGCCTTTAATTACTCTATTGTGAGCATCAACAATAGAAGCGGGATCAGTGATGAGTTTTTCATTAAGGTTTTGTTTTATAAATTCATTCCATTTTTCAACATAATAATGCTAATTGAATTCTTAAGGCTTTCCATACTTTAACTTCCTAGAAGCAGTTATATCATTAACTCCTACAATTTTTTCATTAGTTGAAAGATCATAGAAGCTATAACTTACAAATCTAGTATAAGGGCATCTAAATTTGTCAAATATTTTTACTAAATTTTTTGGCCCAAAAATTTTAGTCCCAAAGGAGGCATCACTTCCATACATAGACGTTATTAAGTTTTAAATACCATTCATACAATCAAAAGTATTTCTAGTGAAAAAAATGTTCATATTAGTAACTAACTTAACATTGTGCTATTTGTAATATCTCAGAAACGGTTCTCCCATATTAAACAAGAACTTATGTTTCCCATGAGAAATAATAATGCAGGGGTTTCTTTCATCACTATAATTCTAGAGGATTTGCAAGGTTACGCGAGTCATTTTTTAAATCTTTATTGTATTATTTGAAAGCAATTTTATTTGTTTTAATTTTAATTCAATAAAAATCAGTAATTTAATAGCAAATAAATCTTATGAATACTAATTATTTATACTTAAAAGAATTTTTTTTATTTTATAGATAGATACTTTAAGAAACTTATAATTTATCTATCATCAATTCTTTTGTTTGATCTTTCTTTCTTATTTCGAAGACACTTTAATTCTACTTTGATAATTATTAAACTAAAAAATATAATGAAGAATGATTTATTTGTTAACTTGAATACAATTAACTTTTTTATCCAAATATAAAATGGTTTTTTAAAAAGATAATTTTGAAAATAATTACTTAAAACTAAGAATAATTTATTAAATATTTTGAATAATTAATTTATTTATAATCAAATTAATTTAGAATTATTTTTGTTACATTCCTAAAAAATGAAATATTTTAATAATGATTGATTTATTTAATATTTTTATGAGATTTGATTTACTTATTATTTTAATTCTAATTTTTAAAATGAAAAAATTTATTATAAAAAGATTAGAGTTTCTTTCTTTCTTTATAAAAAAATTTAGGATTAAATTTTTTAAAAAAATTTTTAATAATAATTTTATTTTAGGTTTTTAATTATTATGAAATAAATATGTTTTTATCAAAATATTTCAATAATTAAAATTTATTTGCTTACAATTACCATTATTCCTGTCATAAAGTTAATAATTCTTAATAGTTCTCCTTAAACGTGTAATCTCAATTTTTCTAAAAAAAACATTCTAGATCTGTTAAGAATTTAAGAAATATATAGACCTAAATTAAATCTTTTATTAATCTTAATTTTCTTCTAGAACTAAAATTTATATTTTGCTATGTACTCTGGTTGAAATTATAAATATAATTTTTTATAAATTTAAAGCTTATAAATTAATCAAGATTCCGCTAACTTAAGCTAACTTAAGCCTTTTAAAAAATTAAAATAATAAAAATTTTATGGTTATTCAAAAAGAAGCAATTTAATGGCTGAGATATTTTATTTTCAGCTAAATATTTACAAATTTCAAACATATGAAATTAAAAAAATATTTAATTTTTAATTTTAGTTTTATTTTAAAATTAACTCTTTAATATCAAGTGAAATGAAATTTATCAATTAGATATTTTTAGATAAATTTAAAAATTAATAGATTAAAGTATTACACATTGCTAATAAATAATGTGTAAGTTTTTAAAAGCAAAATTAGCATATCAATATTAAAAACAAAAATTTATGGTAATATCTTCTTTTTATTTAAAGTAAACTGAATACTTACATATAATAAAAGGAAAAAAATTTAAGAAGATGAAATCCATTTATATATTTTATTTAATTTTAAAAGTGCAAGTTTACTTTATCAAACATAAACAATCTACCCTACTTACTAATGTAAAAATAAATATGTATTTATTTTTAGTTCATTTTAATTAGAGATCTATCTATCATTTTATTATTGAAATCATACTAGCCTTTGTTAATTAAATATATTTCAAAAACATTTAAGTTACTTATTGAAAAGAAATTCTGACTTTTTAAAATAAAAATTAGTATTTTTTTAACTTCGCTTTATAATATAAGATAAATGTTAGTAAAAGAAATATCTGGCTTTGGTTGAGGTAAAATTGGTTATTGGTGTGAAATTTACAGTGTTTAATGCTTATCTATGGTGGTAGTGGACTTAACTTAATCTTTAATTTGTAAAGGTGGAAGCTTATTATCTATATTACGTCAAATGAATACTTATTGAGATATTGAAATTTTTTATAAAACAGGTATTTTCATTTCGATATTACAAATCTTTACAAAATCAATAAGTGTTTTAAAAGTTTTTATCAAGCAATCCTTTATTTTAATTTAATATTACAGATAATAAATACAATATCGCAAAAAAGAAGTATATTCAAAATGTTAGATACTAAATAAATTGCTTTTATAGCATTAACTGCTATTACTATTGCTGGGCTTAGCACATAAGCATATTACTTATATACAACACCTTCTTTCGATCCTTAGCTAGCAATCGATATCGATTACTACTCAAAGGTATCTTATTGTGATGTTGATGCTATTTAAAAATGGAATTGCGGTGACTCTTGTAATTATCACTCTGGAATGACTGATGTCTAAGCTTTCAATAAAAAAACTAAAGAAGCATAAGGTTACTGTGGGTATGATGCCTCAAATAAGCGTATTGTTGTTGCTTACCGTGGTAGCAGTAATATATAAAACTGGATAGCTAACTTCTAAGCAATTCCTGTTAAATATGCTGGATGTTAAGGATGTCTCGTTCATGATGGTTTCTAATTAACTCTTAAGGAAATCTCTGATAATATAAATACCTGTGTTTAAGGTTTAGCTAACAAATATTAAGACGCACAAGTATTTGTCACTGGTCACTCTCTTGGTGGTGCTCTTGCTACACTCTCCGTTCTTGAAATAGCTAAGATTGTCGATCCTTCTAAAATTGTCTTTATGAATTTCGGCTCTCCTCGTGTTGGTAATCAATAATTCGTTGAATATTTCGACTCAGTAATCACAAACGGAATTAGAGTTGTGAACTTTAAAGATATTGTTCCTCACTTACCATTAAAAATAATGGATTTTAAGCACGTAAATACTGAAGTATGGATGCTTTCAAATGGTGCTGTTAATGATTATAAGGTATGTCCAACTGAAGAAGACCCCTAATGCTCTGACTCAGTCAAGCTTCCTAATGCTGCTGACCACACTAATTACTTTGGATTCTATACAGGATGTTGATTAATTGAGAATACATTAAATTAATTTAACAAAATGGTTTTTCATATAAAAAATAAATTTAACTAATAAATATAAGAAATCACATTTAGTATATATTAATTCAATAAATTTTCTTTTATAAAAGTAAAAAATTTTTAATGAATCTTTAACTTTCTTTGTTAATTAAAATTGCAAGAAAGAGAGATACATAAATAGTTATTAATAACTATAAATTCCATTTCATTATTTATACTTTTTTTTACTGAATTAAATGACATATAAAAAATTAAATGGATTAATTACTAAATAGCCTTCTTTTTATTAAATTTAAATTTACGAAATCTAACAAAAAAGAATATAATATGTATGTTAGTCTGCAAAAATTTAAAAACACAATTAGATTTTTTTCAATCATATCAAAAACTTTAGTTTAAATCTATTTACAAAAAAAAAATAATTATTTATTATTGTTGAAAAGTAATTTAGTTTAAAAAATAAAAATTTTTAATCAATTCACTTTAATAATAACTCTTCAAAATTTTAAATTAGAATTATTCATATTTATTTTTTAACAATAAAGTTTATATTAAAAAATAGAAATTGCTGCACATAAAATACGCTAAAAAAGATAGAACAATATTATTTGTTTAATTCTTAGCTTATTTATTATCAATATATATTAAAAAGGATAATGAATGCAAAGTGTTCAAAAAAATGAAGCTAATTATAATAAATATATTTATTTGCATAATTAGCTAATGCTTCGATTAAAATACCAAAAAAATAAAATTTAACAAAATTTAAAATGATAAAATAATTATTACAATAACATTAGCTATTATTTTTATTAAAAATGTTATTTATTTTTTGATATAAATAATATATATGATTGCTTTATAAATATATGTGTTTATGATTGGTTATTTCTATATTCATAAACAAATAATTAATATTTATATCATAGCAATTAATAAAAATTTCAAATAAGTTAGCAAATACAAGAAACAAGTTAGGATTTTGTTTTAGAATTAATTTAAAAATAATTTATATTCTTAAAAATAGAGTGTAAATAAGGTTATAAATGCAATTCAAAGAGGACACTCCTTTATCAAAAAAAGGGAGTTTGAATAAGATGTATATAAGTTAAAGAAGCATGATTTAAGTAAACACATTTTCATTCTAATTAAAGCTAATTATGATTGATTCCTATTCTAAATAAAATGTTGAAAATAGCAAAGCATAGCAGATAAAATAAATAATTAAAAATCATAATTTGTTTTATTATATGATGAGAATATTTATTAATTTTACAAACAATTAGTCATGCACAATTGAATCACCGCGTAACTAGGAAGGTAGAATTCTTAGAAAAAATATAGATAACTCTATGGTCTACTCAGATATAGTAATTATTTTACAATGACTTTAAATTAGAATTATAAAATTAGTATGTAATTTGTTCATATCTGATTATTTAAATAATTAGTTTAAAATTAACCATAATGATTATTCTACAATCACTATGGAGGGAATCGCATCAAATCAAAGAGACATTCCTTAGATAAACTTTAAGACAGACTTATAAAATAACAATCCTCTCTCGCAAAGAGAAGCTGAATAGTAAAAAAAAATTTTTTGGTTCAACAATAAAATTATTTCAAATTGCATTAAAAAATAAGAATTATTTTAGCTCATCAAGTATATAAACACTATTTCATGTTAAAAGATAATTTGTCAGCTAGAATATGATGATTATGATGATGAATAGCTCTGATAACAGCAAGTTAGCAAATAATATTCTTTACTCTTAAGGAGTTTTAGATAACAACTAGCAACCTCCTAAAATAACTAAAAGTATTTCTCTTAGATAAAAAATGGATTTTACCTTTAATGTATCTCTTTCTATAAACTCAAAACAGATACAAGACGCATTCTTTGCTCTTGCAAGAAAAAAGTAATTATTCAAACAATTTTTAGTTCTATATATAGAAATATTGGGCTAGTATATTTATTTAGTTTAGAGCAATGGAATTTTTTATTAAAAAGTGAAGAACTTAAAATTTATTTAATGAATTTAATAATATTAATAGAGGATTTGAAGTTCTTGAAAGTGGTACAGACGAAGGGTTAGTAATAAAGAGAGAAAAGGTATCTATTATTTCTTAGATATGTAGAGAGTTATTTAACAGATAAAATAAGTCCATCAACTATGCTAAAGAAGAGAATCCTCCTTTAATTATAAAAATAAAAATAGAAAATAATACAAGAAAGTGTCTAAAGGTTGTTTATCTGCAGAGACTTTGTGGTGTAAAATTATTTTATTATTTTAAACATTTAGAAAATAAATAAATTATTTTGTAAAATAAGTATCTGAAATAGGGAGATAACTTAATAGCTAGTTTTTAATAACAGATTTAAAAAATCATTAAAAAAGAAAGTAAATTGGAGTAAATAGATGAAGAAATAGTTTTCGATGCAGCTTTTTCAAAACCCAAAACAACAAATTAAAGTATTTAAAATGCAGAAACTCCCTTTGAGTTAGAACCCACCTCTTACTTTATGTTTTATAGAATACTCTCTGCAGATAATTACAGCGTAGGATAGAAAATAAAAGAATTCATTTCTTCATTTAAAAATTGCTACTCCTAAATGAATAAAAAAATGAGGCATTTAACTGACCCAGTGAGTTAATTAATTAACATATTTAATCATATTCGAATAAAAGCTTGATTAATAAAGAAATAATTTTATTTTTAAATTAAAATAGATCCAGAATATTTAGATGTTTACAAATGAAATAGTTTTAAGCTTATTTAACGAGTTTAATTATGGGAAAAACGATACAAAGAAAGTCATGCCATTTTGTAGAATAGCTGTAGAGACCTATCTTTACTCCAAACTATACTATTTAATTTTTAACATTTATAAAATAGCTGTAAGCATAGAATAAGAAAAATTTAATAACATAAATACTAAGTTAAAAAAATAACATCCAACAATTTAATCGTTAGTAGAAAGAACAGAATTCAAAAAATATTAAAAATTAGATATTTCCTAGATGGTTTTCTACTTAGATCAAATAAATATTGTTAATAGCCCTAGTGAGGCATTAAAATATGTTAGTATGTGCTTTAATGCAGCTAAAATAGCTTTAATGGAAAATTAATAAGGTAACATGATAACATTTTTTATTTATAACTTTTAAATATAAATCATAATAAATGTCAGAACGCAAACCAGAAGATGAATTTTCATTAGATCAGTAAGACGCGTTATTGCTTATTATTCTTGCAATAACATAAACTGAATGTAAGGATTTCGTTGTCAAGATTTACTTACTTTTTGATATAGTGCTAAATGACTCTTACTATACATCAAGAGAACACAAATGCATAAACTAATTAAAAGTAAAAATTATTATAATTCAGTCTTATTCAATATTAATTTATTATTTAAAAAACAGTTTTGCTTGTAATATATGCTAAAAAATTATTGAATTAAAGGTAAAATCATAAAAATCAAATATTATAACAATAATCAAATACTAATTTAAATAAAAGAATCACAATTCAGCAGAAAACTAAATAAATAAATATATAATCAAATATCTAATTAATTTAAAATTATTTATTATAAAGTAATTACACTATAGTATATGTAGAAATATGATAAGTATGCTTTAATCCTTCAAAAATACTCAAAATTTCTTCTTTGCTTGATTGATTTACTATTATTGAATAAAATTAATTAATCTTTGTATTTCATCAATAGAATACTGTTTACACAAAAAAAATAATATAGAAATAGCTTATTACCTTTAACTTATTGATAATATAACTGTTTAATAAATTGACAAAAAAAAAAAATATTAATTTTTAAAATTTAATAAAATTTCTTAATTAATTAATTTAAGAATTATCTTCTATTTTAATACATTTTTAAAGATTTATAAAATAAATTACTTTTTTTTATATTTTCACAAAAAAATATTAATGAATTAATTGAAGTTTAAATTAAAATATATTCATTTAATATTTTAGTTTAGATTTAATTTATTAAATTAAGAAATTTTTAGATTAATTTTTTTCGTTTTTGCTTTAAAGAAACTATTTAATTTAATAAATATTTAATAAAATATAAAATTAAATAATTAATACATTCATTTAAGATGTGGTACATTAAATTTGAATTGTTAATTGATTCAAAAGTTTTATTTTTTTCACTAATTTAAAAACATCCTTTTTTTTACTTTTTACTAAAAATCAAACATAACTAAAAATGTGAAATATCTTATTTGAAACAATTTTTTATTAAATTTTTTATCTAGTTAAAATAATTTTTATTCTTTAGATAAATTTAAAATGAAATTGTTCTTATTGCTTTTTATAAATTATTTAAATGAGTAAATATTTTATAAAAATATAAAATTAAATATTAACTATTTATTATGTTAATTATTTATTTTCAAGATTCATTTCTATAAATCTAAATTAAAATAAATCAAAGTGCATGGAAAGGATTTTTAACTCCATTTGAAATTTATCTAATAATGTGGTCTCTATATTTTTGAAGTGCCCATCTTACATCAGTGGGATTGCTTTCTGCTAATCCTGTTATAAATTTTTGAGGTTAAATTAATTTTAATAAGAGTTTAGTAAATTACTTATAAGAACCTTCTTTAAATCAAAAAGTTCAGTGTCTGACATATCACTGTACCATGTAGTTACAAATATAGCATTTTCTTATTGATATTGAAAATTATATTAATTATTATCCAGTATTATAGTTTTTGACAAATCTCTCCCCAGATTATTTAAGTCCTATAAATATATTTTTGTCTCTCTTAAGAATGTTTAAAATAAATAAAATAATTTACTTTTATATGAACTAGACCTTAAAGATTACAATGCTATCTATACAAGCGATAACTAATTAATCCCTTTTAGTCAAATGTCGGAATTATTGAATCAGCATACTTTTTATTTTTATAAATTTTATGTGTTTGTTTGGATTTTATAATTTAAATTTACATCTTTCAATCCTGCTGTAAATATGACTAACTCATAATAATTATACATAGATTCTAAAAACTCATTTAAACCTGGTCTTTATAAGAAGCATTATTTATCTTAATCCTATTCATAAAAAATTATATAAAATACATTTTCTATCAATCAAACTTTTACATAATGTCCTAATGTTTCATCTAAATCAAGAACTAAGGTGTAAGGCTTGTTTTTAATATCTTATTAATTTCTAGGTGGCAAAAAAGGAATATCTAAAACGGGCTCTTCTCCAGGAGGTAAGCCAATGAGATCTATGGGAGAAAAGGGTTAAGCAGGTTCTAGGGGATGATAAATTGTTTTCATTATAGAGTCTTCGTGCTAATTTTATTATCTAATCTGTTATTTTATTCATAAAATCTATTTTAAAATTATTAATATTGTAGAAAATGATTACTGATAAAAATGTTCCATTGATGATGTTTTCTCTTAACTTCGTTACTTTGTAGTTTCATATTAATAATTAATGTAATTTTTTCATTTTTTAATAAGTCTATTTTACATTGTATATTATTTCTTTCTCTCAAGCAAAAGCTAATGACTGAGAAAATTGGTTTTATTCTTTCGATTTCACTATTTTCTAGTAAAAATTGCTTCTAAAATTCCCTGTTTTTTCATTTAATATGATAAATTATTTTGAAGAATCTTAATGCAAATCTAAAAATACCTTAAAACTGACTTTAAATAAGATTCAACAAGTTAATTATTTTTTTTAATGTCAAACAAATCATCCTTTTTTATATTTCTTATTTTTTTAATCTTAATAGTTTTTTCTATGCTTTGATACCACATCTTATTTTTTAATTTGAAAATAATTTTTAATTTTAATATCTTTTTAAATAACTTACATTGCCTCTGTTTTCTTAGGGAACTTTGCCTAAAATTTAGCTCATAAGGATTAGGAGAGTTTAATAAATTTGCTCTAAGATGTTTCTCATATCACTCAATACTTTCGAGAAGAGAACAGTTTAAATAAGCATAGGATTTTCGTGAAGTTTTAAAGAAATACATTAGAAAAATGCAATGCTCGAAATCTAATTTTATATGAAATTCATTTGTTAAATTTAGAAAACCCTAAGTTTTTACATTAAGGAGTAATGCAAAATCTATATTTTCTTTCCACTCTGGGTTACTGAATAATGTCTAAATATAAATTTAAAATTTATTTTAATTGAATTTGTCATAATCATTTTTAAAGCAGCTCTTACATGAAGTTTTTCAAGTTTTAATTCAAAGAGGATTTCCCAATAACTTTAAAAACTAGGATAACCTACTTCATCTCCCTTAAATGCAAACTTTTTTATTAAATTTATAAATTATTTAACACTTTTAAGTGAAATTTTAATAATTCATTTATATAATTAAGCAGTACATCAACTATCCATAAAAGCTTCTCTTCAAGTTCAGAGAGTTTTATCAAATCTATCTTAATTTTTTTAAAAAAACATTAATTTTTCTTTCCATCTGTATTGATTATTTACAAGAAAAGGTTCATAGTTCATGTCTTATCCTTCATATATGCTAGAAGTTTGAAATGAGCCTTCAGTATCCTAAAATTTAAAATATTTAGCAAATTAAATAAACATCTAATAAAAAAGAGACCTTTATTGTGTTTAAATAGTGGTTTGTTTTCATTGAGATGCTAGCTTTTGTTTGATTTCTTTTTAAACTTTATCCAGCTAAATTAGAATCAGATTAATTTTTGCCACTTCTTAATTCTTATTCCACAATGAATCTTAAACTTTTTTGAGCATTGATAAAAGGAGTATTTACTTATTCTTTTTCGTATTATATTTATTTTATTAGTGGAAGCGAGTCATTATATTTCTACGAGAAATGCTCTTTTTTAAAATTAATTTATAATAAGAATTGCTAAATAATATATTCAATTTTATTTTATTTTAATTTGCAATTTACTGTTAAATCTATGTTCAGGATCAGGGTCATTTTTTTAAAAATTATTTACAAACTTAGGAAGTTATCCAGGTTTATTGCTAGCCTAACTTGTAACTGATTAATTATCTTTTTAATTGTCTTTTTTTGACTAAGCTCTTGGTTTCTTCATAGTTAAACTTTATATTTTAAGCTTACTTTGCTAATGCAAAAAAAAAAAGATTATATAAAATTAATGATACTTATTACAATAAAAATAATACTTATTATTAATTAGATAAACAAGCTTTTTATAGTTATCTTTTTTGATAACCACTAGTAACTAGCTAAGTTATAATTTTAAGCTTAAAATATTTATTTGTTATAAATCAGTTTTAAACTACCTAAACAAAAAAAGTTAATATGAATATTCTACTTTTATTTTTTTATAAAAAAATTCATTCATTCATAATTAATTTGTTATTATTTATTATTTTATTTATAAATATTTACAAGATAAAAATATCTTATTCTAAATAAAACTTTCTCTTAAATAGAAAAATTAAAGTTTAAGTTGTTGGATATTTGATTAAGTTTTATGGAAATTCATTAGTAATTTAAATAATATTTTTATATTTGTTTATAAAATTAGAAAATAAAAAATATTTTATTTATTTTAGACATTATATTTTTATTTCTTTATTAATTAATTAAATGAATTAATATAAATTTTATTGATAGAATAAAAGATAGATTTCAATGAATTTAACTTTTAGATTAATAAAATAAATTACATTTTAAATACATTTAATTAATTCAAAAATTATTATCTAAAATGAATCAAAGCATTCTATCTTCATTATCAAATTACGTATTCATTTCTTCTTCATATCTTTGTAGATTATAACGTATTTTATCCATTACTTGCAAGAAATCTTATCTTTGAATCTATCTTGTATTGTTACGATCATAGAAATTAATAAGAAGTTCTTAAAAACCTTTGATTGTTGAGTCTTTAAATTCAAGTTGAAGAAGAACAGCATCTATTTCAGTAGCATCAATAATGTTATTCTAGTCTACATCTAATATTTTGAAAATATTGTCGCAAATAATTTGCCATCTTGTTGTATCTCCCAAAACCCATAACAAAAATTTATTAGTTTCTTTTTTGTCTGAACATTTTTCATTAAATTCTGCATCTAAATCTTATCCTTACTTTGCTTTACGGTGACAGTCGTTATACAAGTCCATTTCAAAAGCTACATAATTATAAATAGATCTACCTGTTTTTAAATCTGATTTTCCTACTACTGTTGAAGTAAACACTTTTTACAAGAATTAATTAAATTCATCCATACCCTTTTTATACTAAGCTAGTGTTATAGTGTCTGAACCTTTGTTAGCTATTTTAGAAAATATTAATTTTTGGTCTTTTATTGCCTTTTGTCTATCTGCTTCTGATAAAGAATAAGAGAAGTATTCTATAGTGTCTTCCCACTCTTTTTTAGTCAAAACATCTCCACCAGTTTTGCTTCTCAGACGGAAGGAGATAGTAACTAATGCATCCCAAATTCTTTTTTCATTAATTATATGGCTAACTGAATTTAATCCTTCTTCAGATAAGTCTTCAATTACCTCAGAGTGATATTTTTGAGTTTCAACAAGCATTAAAGAAAGAAATGTATCTCTCATAGATAATGCCTTTCTTAAATTATATTCTAAATTGATTTTCTCTGTAATCAATTTTTTTGATAATTCTTCTTCATTCCACTATTAAATATCTTCTTTTACTCTTTTAACTGTTGTTTCACCAAAATAAATAATAGTTAAGGTAAACATAAGTAGAATGCATGAAGAGCATATCTTAAATTTTCTTCCTTCTTTTCCCATACGAGATGTCGTATGATATGTATTTAAAAATTCCTTAATTTCCTAAAATAACTTTTGATTGCTCTTGTTGGATTTTAGTTTACTAAAAACCTAAAACAAAAATTTTCTTTTTTTAAATTAATTAATTAATTACAAATATTTTAAAATTCAATAATTCAATAAAAACTACACGCTTAAATATTCATATTATTTTCAAAACTAATATTTTCCTATAGCATTTTTTTTGAAAACAAATCAATTATATTTATTGGATAAAACCATCAATTTTATTTTAAAATTAAATGAATATATATCTATAATAAGAATACTTTTAAGCTAATTTTAAATTTTAAGAAAAATTGTTGAAATAAAAATGTAAATTTATAGCAAAATTTAGAAATTTTAAAAATATTTTATAAACAAATTCAATATAATTTTAATAAAAATTGAAAAGATTATAATATATTTTCTAACAAAGGGCATTTATTTTTTTCTAAAATTTAATATCCTATGTTATAATTGAGTAGTAAGTTGTATAAAAAATTAAACTTTTAAGAAGAATAAAGAACATTAATTGAGAAATTATAGTTTGTGTTTGTCAACAAAAAATAAAATCCTCTAAATATAAAATTAAATCCAAAAAAAGAGCATTTTCAAATTGAATTAATTTAATTTACAAAATTAATAAGTAAAAAATAAAAATATTTTATGTTAATTGAGGAAATAAAAACTTATTATAATATTTAAAATAATAAATTTTAAATGTTAAATTATATCTTATAAAGATTGAAAGTATGTTGTATTCTATAATATTAATAATTTATCAAGAATTTTAGATATGAACTACATTAAAATCAATATATTAATTAATTTAAAATTAGATATTTTATATATTTTAAAAAGAAAAACTGAATTATTTTGTTAAGCTATTAAAATGATAATTTTAGATTTGAGATTTGTGTAAAATAGCAAATTTAATTTTTTTAAATCTACTAAAATATCTCTCAATTAATTCAGAGTAAGAAAAAAAAGATTTTAGCAATTGAATGAAAGAAATTATGGATAAATAATAAATCATTTAGTAAAAAAGTAAACTAAATTGTATTATTTAAAAGAATAGAATTTAAATAATAATATTTTGATTTTATTTGATAAAATTATGATTAATTTTAATTGCTAATATTAAAAAAATTATACTTTTAACTAAGGCAAGAGTGTTAATTTTTAAATTGCTATTTATTTGTGATTATTATAAATTTATAAATTATAAATAAATCAATACAAAATATTTTAATTAAAAAAATAATATTTTTATACTAGAAACATTTATTTAAAACCTTTATAGGCTTTTAAATTTTAGAAGATAAATTTTTTGAATACTTAAAAAATAAATAATGATAAAAATTGTAAAGAAGTATTAAATCAAATTAATTTTTTCATGTCATAAAGCTAATATTTAAGTTTAAAACTTATCCTAAATGATTAATATATTGTTTTGATAATAAAATGTTTTAATTAAAATTTAACATTTCAAATTTTAAATTAAAGATGAAGTAAAGAAAAAAAAAATTTGGTTTACAGAAATTTATTTAGAGATAATGAGTAAAGCTAAATAAGTAAGACTATTTCAAAATTTATAGATAGAAGAAAGAAATGATAATGTCGATGAAAATTCTTAAAAGAACTAAAAATAATTAGTTTTATAAATAGCGAGCAAGAAGAACCACAAATTAACTGTCGAGAACATGAATTTATAAAGTATACGAAATGTGATTAACGAAGAGATAAAAAGGAACAGTATTTTTATTATATTATTAATTTACTCAATTAATATGCAAATTTTGAAAATTCAAGGTTATTCCAATCAATTATATATTAGCATTGCTATAATTCAATTATTCAGTGAGCACTTTAATTTATGATTGAATATAAGAGATAGAAATTTAGGTGAATATAATAAATGATTGCAATATTAAATAATAATTTAACTAAAATCAATAAATAATAATTATTATTATTATTTAGTATATTTTACAATTTATTAGTCACAAAGCATAATAAATAAGTAAGAAAAAGGACCAAGCAAAAACAATAAAAAAAAAACTAATATTATTAAATTTCTAAAGGATTAATCACTAACTTAAAATAATACAAAATAGTAATAAATAAATAAAATAAGTCTGTTTAGTTTTTGACAAAATATCAGATCTACTTTTTATTTAGTATAGCAGAGCAATTTTACATTAGTCAATTAAAATTTTTGCAACCTCCGCACTTATTCTCAAACACTTTAGAGAAAAACTTTCAGCTATTTTATATTACTCGAGACCTATTTTCGCAGTTAAAAAATGGGTAATTGTTTTGTTTCTAAAGCTAAGGGCAAAACAGAAAAGTAGTCTACAGTAGATGGCGAAAATGATGCATAAAATGAAAATAATCAAAATAAAGATTAATAAAATAAAGAAGCTGAAGAATTTAAGAAAGCGCCAAAGACTGATGTTTCTGAAACGCCTTAAAAGGATTTAGGAGGGCAAGCTAATCCTAATGAAAATAAAAAAAAGGAAGAATATCCTAAAGAAGATCCTGAAGAAAAAAAGAATATAGAAAATTAAAGAAGCTCGTTGAAAGAGTTTTAAGGTTTACAAAATAATGGAATTTAGTTAAAAGTCGATGATAAAGATGAATCTAGTATGAATCATATGTCAAATAGACAAATAGATACTTATGATTTAGAATCGCGCATGGATTCTGTAATAATTTAGATTTTATTAGATTCATAAGCATTTAACTAATTAAATTAAATTAACTTAAATATAAATAAATATGAGAGATATGATTAAAATATTTTTTATTATTTCATAGGAGCAATATAGATTGCGCAAGCGTTTTGGTAACAAAAAAGTCAAAAAGGTTAGAGCAGAAACAGTTGATGATAAGATTGTTATAAGCGAAAAGATTACTTAGAGATAAAGGCAAATGACTCCTGCCGATTAGCAATTTATTATAAAATCGTTGGGGAAACACTTTGTTTTTTCTTTGCTTAATGAGGTGAATAGGTAGGATTGTTTTTTTGCTAAAATATTCATTTTTTTGCTTAATAATCGATTTAGCGAACCAAATATTTTTGTAATTCTTTTTTGCATTCATTAATTAATAGGGATAAAGTTATAGGCAAAATGTTTTATTGCGAAAACTCAGAAGAATATATATTTAAGCAAGGCGATGCAGCATCTACTTATTTTATTATTGGTATTTATAGTTCTTTTGCAGAAATTATTGCTAAAATTTTGATTATTTAATTCCTTTCTTTGAAAACTTCTCTCAAGATTTTTAAAATTAAAAACAGAGAAAGGTGAATGCTTTGTAGAAATAAATGGCGAAGTAAAGAAAAAGCTTAATATGGGTGATGCTTTTGGTGAGCTTGCACTTCTGTATGGAGCTCCTAGAAGTGCTTCCGTCAAGGCTGATGGAATCTGTGGTCTTTGGGGTATTGATAGAAGCACATTTAGGAAGGCCGTTGAGGAGATAGTGAGAACTGAATTTGAAGAAAATAGAAATTTTATTGAAAAAGTAAAATTCTTCAGTAAGCTAATTTGAAATTGAAATATTTTTTAATTTAAAAATAATCATTTCATTAATAATTAAACTTATTTATAATAAAAAGCTACAATGACAACTGCTCAAAAAGATGCCATTACTAACGTTCTAATTACTCAAGTATTTAAAAAAGGAGATTGTATAGTAAACGAAGGCGATATGGCCTCATCTTATTACATCATTAAAAAAGGAAAAGTTGGAATTTTTTAGGGCAATAATGAAAAACCAATTCGTACAATGGGACCAGAAGATTCTTTTGGAGAACAAGCTTTATACGAAAATTCTAAAAGAGGAGCTACAGTAAAGGCTTTAGATGATGAAGTTAGGTGCATTGCATTAGGTAGAGATACAATATAAAAAGTTCTTGGAGATAAAATATAAGTAGTCATGTATAACAATGTTATGAGATGGGCATTTGAAAAAAATAATATCTTAGCTAGGTTTACAAAAATATAAATTGAGAAGATAATAAATGCTTCTTCACAAATTTAGTATAAAAAGGGTGATCTTATCTTTAAAAAAGAGTAGCCTTGCAAAAAGCTAATTTTCGTACTTGAAAGTTGTTTGGTCAATAAAGTAATTAAGAAATAAAATTCAAATAAAATTAATTTATTTACAAATTTATAATAAAGAGCAATCAGAAAAAAGTTGTTGATAAAGGTCATGCTTTCGGTGAATAGTGGCTATTTGAATAAAATAAAAATAAAGTGCTTGACGATGACTTAATTATGGAAGATAAAGGTTTGTTGGGAGAAATCAGTCACGAATAATTAGTCGAATGCATAGGAGGACCAATAGAAGCTATTTTAAAGAAAAATTTACAATCTCACGAAGTAAGATACATGAAAAAATACGATGCATCATCAAATTCAAAGTATGCCGAATTAAAGCTTGAAGAAATGATTTACATAAAAAAACTAGGTAAATAAATAAATAAATTTTTTTTCTCTTTTTGATAATTGAATCTTTTTTTAAATTAGGTTTTGGATAGTTTGGTAGTGTTTACTTGGTTAAAAACAAGCATGATAGCTAATTTTATGCTTTAAAGGTTATTTAGAAAGCTTAGGTCATACAACAAAATTTAGAAAAGCACTTGATAGTATTTATTTATTTATTATTTAATTAATTTATTTATTTTCTATGTTATTCATATCTATTTTCTAATATTCAAAATTTAAATATTTTTCATTATCAATCAATTAAAAGTAAGAGAAAAAAGTATTAGAAGTTGCTTAATTCCCTTTTATGATGAAATTTATCAAAACTTTTAAAGATAATTAAAATGTCTATTTTCTTCTTGAGTACGTGAAGGGTATGGAGCTTTTCGATGTTATCAGAGAAATAGGTAAAATTTTGTATGTTCTAATTTGAAATTTAAAATGTTTTAATAAAAAATATAGGATTGCTAAATACATATGATTCTTAATTTTATATTGCGTCTTTATTGCTAAATATTGAGTATTTGCATACGAATTCTATCATTTACAGAGATATAAAACCAGAGAATATTATAATTGATTACAAGGTAAAATTCACTCCTATAATTCTATAATCCAATTATTATTTTCTATCATAGGGATATATGAAATTAATAGATATGGGTACTGCTAAATTCTTGAAGGGATCAAGCGGAAAGACATTCACAATTATTGGTAATAATTTTATTAATTCAGTTTAATATTTAAAAATCATTTTAATAAATTTAGGAACCCCTCATTATATGGCGCCTGAAATCTTGACAGGAGCTGGTTATACTTATAGTGTGGATCTGTGGTCAATAGGTATATGCTTATATGAATTTATGTGCGGTGGTGTTCCATTTGCTGAAGATGTTGAAGATCCTTATGAAATATATGAAGATATTATCCATAAAAATCTTGATTTTCCAAGTTTCTTGAAAGATAAGCTCGCTAAAAATATAATGAATCAGCTTCTAAACAAGTAACCTTAATTGAGATTAGGAGGGTCCTTTGCCGCTCTTAAAGCTAATTAATGGTTTACTACTTTTGATTGGGTAATATTTAATCAACTTAAAATCATTTTATCAATTAAAATGTCTTTTAATTAATAGGATAAATTAATTGATAGAGAATTAAAAGCTCCATATATTCCTCCAAAAGATAAATTAATTTCAGATTAAGAAATTATGAAAATGGAAAATGCTGCCAAATCTGTAATCTAAGAAATCAAAGTAAATTTAAATTTTATTGATTCCAAAATTAACACAAACTTAAACACAATCAGATTGAGCAAGGAAATGTAAAATACGATAAAGATAAAGCTAAAGACCCTGAATGGGATAGAGATTTCTGAAGAAGTAAATCAAAGCATAAACTCGAAAAAATTAACAGATTTTTTAACATCAACCAACCTATTTGGCAAATAATTACAGAAATAAAATAAAACCATAGGCAAAAACAAATATAAAATATAATAACACCACATATACATACATATAAATAATAGATAGATAGATAAAAGTAATCTTAATTTCATTTATTCTCAATTTATAAATAATAAACAAATAAATTAATATAAACACAAACCATCACCATCTAAAAATAACACATAAAACACTCACTAACCAAATAACTCACTAACTAACTATTTATCTATAAAAAAATATTTTAGATGACATTATTGTCTAATGTCACTTCATATCTAGTTCACTTGATCAACAAGAATAATAAATATAAAAAATTAATGATAATAAAATAATAATAGTAATAATAATAATCTCTTCATAAATTCTTATTTTTGATTTTGTAAATATATTGTTTATTAGCTCTATAAAAGATTAAAATAAAAGAGGTAAAATTTATTACTTTGAAAAAAAATAACAATAAGAAATATCTCTCAATTTAAAAAATTATTTGGTTGCAAAAAGATGTTAATTATGATGTTTTTATTTATTTATTTATAGTTAAACTTTCTTACATAAAAATAAATAAATAAATATCTAATATTAAAAATAATACTTGTTTCTTCTGCAAATAAAAATTATAATCAGCATTTTTATCCAACATTTTTATGATAAAAAAAATATTTTTATAGATTTTTTTTGTGTATTCAATATCATTTATATTTTCTTATTTTATTGATTCTAATAACTGAAAACTTAGGCAGCAATTTTATCGACCTAACTCACTAATTAATTAATTTCTTTTTCTAAAAACTTACAGTCTCTCTAATTTAGGCAAAAAGCAAAAGTTAAATAGCAAAAAAAACTAGTAACAACGCATTTTTCTCTTAAATTTAAACACCTTGATTTGGCAAATAACATTTATGCTAATAATCTATCTTTTAATGCTTGTTATTGTATTACGCAAATAAGGAGTGAAGAAGAAAGAAATATTTTTATAAGTAACTGCGAATAATTTTTTTAACAGAAAACTTTTTTTTATTCAGCTTCTATTTATAATAGATTGATATTGAATTTAATTTTAATGATAAATATTTTAGTATTTTTATAGTAAGTATAGAATAAGAAATAGAAATTTATTATATAAAATATAGATAAATACATTAATTAAATTAGAAATTGTTTCAATCAATTTATTTTATTAGATATTATTTAATATTGCGACTTAGGTTTGAAGGTAAAATTTTATTCAGATTATGAAAAAGTCATCAAAACTAAGTTTAATTTAACTATTTAGGTATAGAAAAGGAAAAAAAATAAGTAAATAAACAAATTATTTATTATCTATCTATCTATCTATCTATCTATCTATCAAGCATATAGAACAATAAAATTTCAAGATTTGGATTTTTCAATCAATTGATTGTATAAGTGAAAATTTTTTCTGCAAAACTTATGAAAGCTTATAATTTCTGTAGCTGTTTGTGTAGCAAGTTTATAAATGTGCTTCGTCTTAATTCTACTCACTTGTGTGAGATCTGTAAGTATTTTGAGGTGATTTATCATTAAGTGTGGGCTTTTTAAAGTAAGCAACTATGCAAGTTCTTTTAAGTTATCCTTCTTGGATAAGAGTTTCAGTTCTTTTACTTATACTTTTTTTTCTAGCATCAAGTAATACTTTATTACTGCTCTTTAGAAATGGAGCTAACTTTGCCTACATCTCTTTAATTTTTTTAAGACTTTATTTTAGATTTGTGAAGGTTTATTAGTACAATTCCTCACTATATATTTCTTTCATTTCTTTAAGCCTCTCAAACAAAAGATTTTCATCTATATTTACACAGGAGAGTTCTTGTTGCTCATCAATTAAATGAGGGATTTCTAAATCATCATAAAGTTTAAATCTTATTTTGTATATTTCTTCATAGTATATATCAAACTACTCTACTAAATGTTAGAGTATTGCATCATTTATTTATATTTTTTTTTTGTTAGTATTACAAGAATTAGTGCATCCCATTATGTTAATTGCTTTTTTGCAATTATTTATTGGGAAATCTTTTTTTTAAATTTTTTTTTTTCCAAAGATTATTTTATTTAGTAATTATGATTATGAGTTAAATGAAATAAATATATTTCAAACCAAAGACTAATCTCAAAGAATAAATAAATAAATGTTAGTCTATTGTAAATTTTTTAATGAACAAAAATTTTTTGTATCAGAAAGTTAAGGTGAATTTAAAAATACAAAAATTGTAAGCCTATAAGTCAGTCTTTATTATTTAATTATAACTAAGGTTTATTCAATCCTAGCTAGTAAATAACAAAAAAAAATAGATAAATAATTCCTTATTTAATCTCTACTTTAATTATTAAGTAGAAAATGTACCAAAAGAATTAAAATTTAACAAATTTCTGACAAATATTTTTTAATTGCTGGTTAAATTTTAAGAACATAGTCATTTGTTTTTCAAAATTTATGTTTATTTAATCTCAATAATGCTAAGATCAAATAAATAAATAAATACTTAATCAATAATTTGTTTTTAATCACTTGAAGCATAATAAATATTATTTATTAAATGTTTAAATATTTTAGAAAATAAAAATACCTCTTATCATAAATTAAATTAACTAATTTTTTATAAAAAAAATAATAGATAAATATAATTAATTGATTATCTAATATTAAAAAATATATTTATATTTATCACTTTTAATAAATAATAAAGCAAAAATTTTTAAAAACTAATGCTTAAGGTATATTTATTTATTAATTTATTAGTTTTTGTTTGCCTTTTTAATTAACATGTAAGTAATTATAATATTTAAAAATAAAAAAATGTATTAATTTTGTTTTTGAAATATTTTTTCATTCAATATTTTGTTAAATATCGTAAAAAGAATAATTTAATTTGCTTATTGATTGTTTAAATTTTAACATAAATATTTCCTAATAGATAGATTTGAGTAATTTTTGATCAAATAAATTATTAATTGAGCTAAATTTATTAATTCAAACAATATAAAAGAATATTTAAATTTGATTGAGATATAGAAGAAATAAATTAGCTAAAAATTGGTATCCTCTATAATTTTTAACGTGTATTAATCTGCTTAATCCAAAAAATAGTTTAAATTATGCACGTATAATAAATATCTATATTTTTAATAATTTATACTTAAAAAGAATATAATATTCAATTTAATTCAAACATATAAATATGAACTCTAAATTACTATTTTTGACAATTATAATTCTATAATTTTATTTCATAAATTCATAGGATTTAAAAGATAATATTATTAATTATAATATTTAAAAATAAAAAAATGTATTAATTTTGTTTTTGAAATATTTTTTCATTCAATATTTTGTTAAATATCGTAAAAAGAATAATTTAATTTGCTTATTGATTGTTTAAATTTTAACATTAATATTTCCTAATAGATAGATAGATTTGAATAATTTTTGATCAAACAAATTATTAATTGAGCTAAATTTATTAATTCAAACAATATAAAAGAATATTTAAATTTGATTAAGATATAGAAGAAATAAATTTGCTAAAAATTGGTATCCTCTATAATTTTCAACGTGTATTAATCTGCTTAATCCAAAAAATAGTTTAAATTATGCACGTATAATAAATATCTATATTTTTAATAATTTATACTTAAAAAGAAAATAATATTCAATTTAATTCAAACATATAAATATGAACTCTAAATTACTATTTTTGACAATTATAATTCTATAATTTTATTTCATAAATTCATTGGATTTAAAAGATAATATTATTGGGATAGACTTTGGCAATACATATTCTTCTGTAGCTATTGTATAAGAAGGTTAATTAATAATCATTCCAAATGAATATGGTAATTATTTATTCTCATTTATAATTCTAAAATGAAACAAATTTAATTGATATATCTAGCTTATGATTCTGATTCATTATTTTTATTCTAATTATTAAATTAATTTTATTCTTCTAATTTATAATCTTAATAACAAAAGGTAATACAGAAACTCCCTCTGTTGTGTCCTTTGCAGAAGATAAAATATTTGTTGGAGAATAAGCTATTCATTAATATTAAAATAATCCATCTAGATCAGTTTAAAAAATTAAGAAACTGATAGCACAGGATTAAAAAGATATTGTTCTACAAAATAGTCAGGATTTTCTGTCTTAAAACATAACTAAAAATAATACAATTTCTGAAATCATAGATAAAGAAGGAAGTGAAGCCCATACAACTGAAGAAGTTACTGCTAAGATACTATCTAAGATGAAGGTAATTAAATTAAGTGTTGCAATAATATAAATTAAAATAAAAGTAAACCCCCCAAAATAAAAAACAATTAAAAATTTATTTTGGATACCCCATATTAAATATAGAGTGGGTAAGAAACAGTGTAACTAGAGAGAGTTCAATTAATTTACTAAAAAAAAATTAGCAAATTAATTATTTTTTCAAAATCAAACTAAATAATTAATTAATATATAAATTTTAGGAAAGTTTAATTCTTTAAAATAAATTTAATAAAGCTTATTTTTTGAATTAATTATTATTTTTAAGTAAATAGCAGAAAATTTCTTAGGAACTGAAATTAAGTATGCTATTTTATCTATTCCTGCTTATTTAAGCTATTCCCAAAAATAATCTATAGTTAATGCTGCTTCAATAGCTGGCTTAGAAGTTTAATTTGTTTTAAATGATTATAAAGCAGCTATTCACTCTTATGATCTTGAAGACTAAAATGATAAAAATGCTTTGGTTTTTCATTTGGGTGGAGCTACAATGGAAGTTTCAATTTTAAATATTGATGAAGGTGTTATTGATAATATTGCTTCTTGTAGTGACATAAACTTCGGTGGTGAAGTTTTTGATCAAAGAGTTGTAGAATATTTCATTAAGCTTATTCTTTAGAAATATGGCAAAGATATTTCTATTGATTAAATAGCTCTCTAAAAATTAAGAATAGAAGTTGAAGCTGCAAAAAAATAGCTTTCTTCTTTATTAAAATCTTAAATAAAAATTTAAAATTTAGTTGATGGTTTAGATTTTAGTGAAGAACTGACTAGAGAAAAATTTGAAGAAATAAATACAGATTTATTTTAGAAAGTGACGAATACGATATAAGAAGTTTTGAATCAATCAGGTCTCAATAAGATCGATATAGATAACATCATCTTGATAGGTGGTTCTACTTATATTCCGAAAATTAGAAAATCTATTTAAGAATTTTTTGGTAAAGAACCCAAAGTAAGTATTAAACCAAATGAAGTTGTTGCAATAGGCTTAGCCAGTAAAATTAACTCAATTTACAATCGAGATAATTATTTGTGCAGCATGTGTCTTTATAACAGTCATATCTCTCTAGGTATTGAAATGGATGATGGTGTTATGTCTATACTAATCCCAAGAGACTCATATTTACCTAGCTAAAGAACAAAAAAATTTATATTTAATCAAGACAACCAATAGCAGAAACTTAGATTAAAATTTTTCTAAGGTGAAAGATTACTTACTAAGGATAATTTTTTCATAGATGAATTAGAACTTAAAATTCCTTAGATACAGCAAGGTAAAATCGAAGTTGAAATTACAGCTTAAATGATTTGTGATGGTACAGTACAAGTAACAGCAGTAGAAAAATCTACAAATGTAATGAATTCAATAACATTTGAATCTATTCCTATAGAATTTGGAACTTTAGATTTTGAGGAGAGTAATTTTTTAATTAGATATTATAACTTGAATTTAAAGTAATTAAAAAATTATAAAATATATTTTTAACAAATAGATATCAATTATGAAGCTATGCTTTTTTAATTTAAAGATTAGATCACTAAAGAAAATATCTAATCAAAAAAATCCTTGAAAACTTATCTGAACTTTGTAAAAAGTATATTAGATACAGAAGAGTAGAAGCATGTTTATAAAATCAGTAATTGTGATAAAAAAATTATCAATTAGACAATAAAAGAAATTTAGAACTGGCTAACTACTAATCCTGAAGCTGATAAAACAGAATATGAATTAAGAAAAAAAAATCTAGAAAAGTAATTAATTAATTAGAAATTTAATATCTTTATACTGATTATTTTAAAATTATATAGTATTTTTAAGCCTATATTTAGTAAGAAATAGCAAAATAATGAGGATTTGTAATACAAATTAGAATATTAAAGGTTTTTGATCTCTGAATATGATTATAATTTATATTATTGAATTTCTTCAAATAATTATAAAATAAAATTAAATATTTAATTAAATATTCATCATTGATTTTCTCAATAAAAAATAAATGCTATTTAGCTTATTTTATTTAGAATAATACTATTATCTTTTAATGTATTTTAATATAATATTTATATTTAGTAATTAACTTTTATTAAAACATAACCTAATTCATTAGACTTTTCATTAATATACCTTAAATTTTTATATATATTGTGGAATATTAGATTAGTTTTTTTAAAATTAATAATAAACATAACACTTTTAATAAATAAATAAATAAATAATTCAAAAATTTTTAAAAAATAATAAATAAGGTATATTTATTTATTTATTTATTAATTTATTACTTTTTGTTTACCATTTTAATTAATATATAAGTAATTAGAATATTTAAAATTAAAAAAACTACTATTTTGTTTTTGAAATATTTTTTCATCTCAATATTTTGTTAAACATTTGAAAAAGAATAATTTTATTTTCTAATAGCTTGTTTAAATTTTAACATAAATATTTCCTAATAGATCAGTTTTAACAATTTTTTGATGAATTTATTAATTTAAACAATATAAAAGAATGTTTAAATTTATTGGGATATAGAACAAATAAATTTGCCTAAAATTAGTAATATTTTTTATTAATTTAAAAACTTCTATAATTTTCAACGTGTCGATTGTCTGCTAAATCCAAAAAACTGTTTTAATTTATGCACGTGTAATAAATATCTATATTTTTAAGAATTTAGACTTAAATTGGTAGCCTATATAATTCATATAAAAATTTCTATAATTTTCAATTTGTCTATAGTCTGCTAAATCCAAAAACTGTGCACGTGTAATAAATATCCATATTTTTATGAATTTAGATTTAAATAAAAAAAAAGAATAAAAAAGTAATAAATTAATATAATACAATATCCAATTTAATTCAAACATAAAAATGAACTCTAAATTGCTATTTTTGACAATTATAATCCTATAATTTTATTTTATAAATTCAGAGGATTTAAAAGATCATATTGCGATAGACTTTGGCAATACATATTCTTCTGTAGTTATTGTATAAGGAGGTAAAGTAATAATCATTCCAAATGAATTTGGTAATTATTTATAAAATGATAAATATTTTTTTATTTAATTCTATTTATAATTCTAAAACTTAACAAATTTAATTGATATATCTAGCTTATGATTCATTATTTAACAATTAAGGTTTTATATTTTATGTTTTATTCTAATTATTTGATTAATTTTATTCTTCTTATTTAAAACTAATCTAATTTATAATTTTAACTATAAAAGGTAATACAGAAACTCCCTCTGTTGTGTCCTTTGCAGAGGATAAAATATTTGTTGGAGAATAAGCTATTCATTAATATAAAAATAATCCATCTAGATCAGTTTAAAAAATTAAGAAACTGATAGCACAGGATTAAAAAGATATTGTTCTACAAAATAGTCAGGATTTTCTGTCTTAAAACATAACTAAAAATAATCGAATTTATGATATCATAGATATAGAAGGAAGTGAAGTCCATAAAACTGAAGAAGTCACTGCTATGATACTATCAAAGATGAAGGTAATTAAATTAAGTGCTGCAATAAAATAAATTAAGATAAAAAAGTAAATCCCCAAAATAAAAAAACAATTTAATAATTTAGTTTTGATTAAAAAAATTTATGGAATAGTTTCTCAAAAATTTTACTCTTTCATAAAACTCAAACTAAATTATGAATATAATGTAATATAACTTAGAGTTTCAAAAGTTATTTTTATTAATAACTTAATTTTTATTTTAATTTTCAATCAACAATATTTTTTAATTTTATGGACTTTTTGATCCCCGTAGTAAAATATATAGTGAGTAAGTAACAGTGTTACTAGAGTTCAATTAATTTACTAAAAAAAAGTTAACAAATTAATTATTTTTTCATATTCAAACTAAATAATTAATTAAAATATAAATTTTAGCAAAGTTTAATTCTTTAAAACCTTTAATCAATTTAATATAGCTTATTGTAGAATAAATTTTATTATTTTAAGTAAATAGCAGAAAATTTCCTAGGAAATGAAATTAAGTATGCAATTTTATCTTTTCCTACTTATTTAAGCGATGCCCAAAAATAAACTATGGTTAATGCCGCTTCAATAGCTGGCTTGGAAGTTAAAAGATTTTTTAATGATTATAAAGCAGCTATTCACTCTTATGATCTTGAAGACTAAAATGATAAAAATGCTTTGGTTTTTCATTTGGGTGGAGCTACAATGGAAGTTTCAATTTTAAATATTGATTATGGTGTTATTGATAATATTGCTTCTTGTAGTGACATAAACTTCGGTGGTGAAGTTTTTGATCAAAGAGTTGTAGAATATTTCATTAAGCTTATTCTTTAGAAATATGGCAAAGATATTTCTATTGATTAAATAGCTATCTAAAAATTAAGAATAGAAGTTGAAGCTGCAAAAAAATAGCTTTCTTCTTTATTAAAAACTTAAATAAAAATATAAAATTTAGTTGATGGTTTAGATTTTAGTGAAGAACTGACTAGAGAAAAATTTGAAGAAATAAATACAGATTTATTTTAGAAAGTGACGAATACGATATAAGATGTTTTGAATAAATCTGGTCTCAATAAGATCGATATCGATAATATCATCTTGATTGGTGGTTCTACGTATATTCCGAAAATCAGAAAATCTATTTAAGAATTTTTTGGTAAAGAACCCAAAGTAAGTATTAAACCAAATGAAGCTGTTGCAATAGGCTTAGCTAGTTAATTTGATGTAATTTAGTATAAAAATGATTTAGAAATTTTACTTTAATTTGAAGTCAATCCTATTTCTCTAGGTATTGAAACGGATGATGGCATTATGTCTATACTAATCCCAAAACAATCATATTTACCTTACAAAAAAACAGAAAAATTCATATTTAATCAAGACAACCAATAGTAGAAGCTTAGATTAAAAATTTTTTAAGGTGAAAGATTACTTACTAAGGATAATTTTTTCATAGATGAATTAGAACTTAAAATTCCTTAGATACAGCAAGGTAAAATCGAAGTTGAAATTACAGCTTAAATTGAATGGATGGGAGGACTTGTAAATATAACAGCAGTAGAAAAATCTACAAATGTAATGAATTCAATAACATTTCAATCAAATCCTATAAAACCTGAAATTTAAGCTTTTGAGGGTATATTTTTAATTAGATATTATAGCTTTAATTTAAAGTAATAAAAATCTTATAAAATTTATTTTTAACAAAAAGATCTAAATTATGAGGCTATGCTTTTTTAATTTAAAGATTAGATCACTAAAGAAAAAATCAATTCAAAAAACTCCTTGAAATCTTATCTCGACTTTGTGGTGGGTCTATTAGATACCGAAGAGTACAAGGATGTTGATAAAATAAGTAATTATGATAAATAAAATATCTAGTAGACCATAAAAGAAATTTAGAACTGGCTTTCTACTAATCCTGAAGCTGATAAAACAGAATATGAATTAAGAAAAAGCAATCTAGAAAAGTAATTAATTAATTAGCAATTTAAAATCTTTATACTAAACTGATTATATTAATATTATATAGTATTTTTAAGCCTATATTTAGTAAGACTTAGCAAAATAATGAGGATTTGGAATACTAGTTATAATAATAAAAGATTTTTGATCTCTGAATATAATTTGTATTAAATCAAATGAATTTCTTCAAATCTATATAAATTAAAAATAAATATTAATAATTAATCAATTATTTATTATTGATTATCTCAATAAAAAATAAATGTATTTAGCTTATTTTATTTAGAATAATATTTTTAATTTCGTATGCATTCTAATATTATATTTATATTAAGTAGTTAATTTTAATTAAAACATGATCTAATACATTATATTTTTCATTAAAATACCTTAAATGCTTATATTTTAAAGAACTTTAATGTCTTGAAAATCCTTTGTAAGGACTATAAGATAGTCTTCTTTCTGGCTATTGAAATATATAAAAAACAGTTATTTAAAACAACTTATATAATATATTAATATTAATTTTATTAATTTAGTTTTTAACTAATTTGAGACAAAAATAATACCTTTTGGAATGTAAGTAAAATATATGTTGTATAATTAACCATAAATTTGCTAAACAACCTAATTTAATTATAATTAATTGAATGCATTTTTTGTAAATTAAATCATAAACCAAGTTTTAATAATAAAAAAACAATATTAAAAGAAACTTTATAAATCATCTTAAATCATCAAATAAATAATTGTCCATTTATTTATTAATTTGATTATTATAAAAATAAAAATGTCTTTACTAAATTATTAAAATTATTTTTTTTACATGAAAAATCATTCTTAATTTTGTTCTTAATACATGAAATTAGAAAAATAAAAGTATTTCATAAATTTATTAACTTTTAATTTAATAAAATTAAATTTTTAGAAAGTGAGATATTCAAATAAATATCCTTCTTTCTTTCTTTGGCTAATAAAAATAATTATTATTTAGCTTTATCTACACAAATAATAAATTTTTATTACTCTGTAATCACTTTTATTTTACTGATTAATTTTGAGATGGTTGAGTTTCATATTATTGAATTAACAATTCCAGCAATAAATACCTTAAATTATTTAAATTCATCATAAAAAAATTTCTAATCATTATAAATTAGATAAACTCTAGATCTAATTAGATTACAACCTAAATAAAACCAATATAAGTCATTAATCTTAAGATTAGAAGATATTAATGATTAAAAACAAATTTAAGATTAATTTTAGCGTTAAGCTTTTTTAAGATATAAAATACAAGTAAAGTGGGAAAATCCAAGAGGTAACAATCAAGTGACTTTTAATTTGATCTAATATTTCAAACAAAACTAAATTCACAAGCAGCTTGTAAATTTTGGATTTATCCTATTCTTAATTTTAAATTACAGTTTGTATTAATGAATTCAATGAGGCTAATTAGAGTAGAAAGATTTAAAGTGATAACACTTATTTTTCTTTAAAGGGAAGCTATATCAATAAGTTAAATTTATTTCTTTTATAGATAAAAATAGGGACTTTATTTAATTTTTATTCCTAATCTTCAAAAATTTTTATAAATCTTGAGCTATTATATTATCACCATTGCAAATTCAATATGCTAAATGTAATTTATAATAAAATCTGATGGGATAATTTAATTAGGATTGTCTATTTATGACGAGCAAAATAGGATTATTAAAAATAGAAAACAAAATTATTATGAATACTATTATTTTTGGTAAACAAAAAATTTTTATGAATAATTCAAAACTTCTGATTTAAGTTAATAAAATATGTTTAGATTCATACGATTTTCAAAGGAGATCACTCCTTAAAATGTTAAGCAATTATTGATTTAATTATTGCAAGGGAATTATTCAAGATATAAAATTTGTCATTTTATTTAAAGATTATAATTATAAAGGTATTTCCAAATAGTAAAAAAAATGAATATTCTATACTTTAATTTTCAAAGTAAAGATATTTTTATCTTACAATCAAATATTTATTAGCAAATTAGAAAACAAGTCAATCTATTAATTAATAATATAAACTTATTAAAGGAGGTAAACTTCACTATTTATAAGAAAATTGCTTGGATATTATTTAATTAATAATATTATTCTGATGTTGTCTAGTGTTTAAGGTTTATGCGATAAGTAATTACAGCCTATAATTATAAATTATTTCTAAATGATGTTAAATTTATTACAAAAGTTAAGCAAATAAATACTGTTTGTTATGTATTAGGGAAAATTTAATTCCCTAATGAATCTATTTTATGAAGTTATCAAAATATAATGAATCTAATTTTGTTTGATTCCTTTTTTAAAAGAAGTAATTAATTTATAAAGATATTTTAACTGCATCTGCTAGCTGTAAATTCAGGTTAGATATTTATTTATCTAGAAAAATTATAGTTAATTAAAAAATGATTGTTTACAGTACGGGTTTCAAGTTTTTAGCCAGAAAGATTTACTTGAAAGGAAAGATGTATTGTCTCTTTTTAAATAATAAAATTAGTTCGTTGATCTCTGAAGAAAGCTTTTCCAAAATAATCAAGAAAAGTGTAAAATTAGATTAGAGTTGCAAATGTAAAGTAAAATAGACCTAATTAAATTGATCGCATTATTGTATGTAAATTAGAAAGTTATAATATATGAAAAGAAGCAAGTAGTAAACTACATATAGCTATTTCAATATTTATTAAAAGAATCAAGGAAGCTGGGTGGGGATCAATCCTTTCTTATATTTTAAAATGCATAATAATTAATTAAAACAGAAAAAAAAATATAAACTCATAAATTAATTAATTAAAAAAGAAATATTATCCAATAAATTTTGCTCCTAATAATTTACTGCTTCCCTTTAAAAAAGTAAAGAATCAAAAATAATACTCACTAGGCACATATTATTATTACATAAAAATGTTATCCTCATAATCTGATTTATTTTAAGAGCCTTCTTGTGATGATAGCAATCAAGGGATATTTAATGAGAATTCTGTTTAATATTTGTGTAATCACAATTAATCTTTCTTTTCATAGCAATCAAGCACATCTTCTTAGGATAAATGTCCTTCTTACTTACTTTGTGATGAAACAATTCCAATAAGAAAGGATCAAGCAACTAACGGCTAATAGAATTTAAAGATTCCTTAGTAGCTATTCATTAAGAACCCATAAAATAAAATGGTCATACTCAGTAAAAAGAATATGAAAAAACAAGTCGAAATCAACAGTAATACTTCTTTGACACATTTCGGTTGCAACCTCGGTACTTCAGAAACAGTTGAATCTGATGATAACAAATCTGAGAGTGCAGACGAAAGTGTTAAGAGATCATCCTGGGAAAATTTATAAATATCTTAACAAGCAGAAGATGATGATGATTCAAACTGTTTTTAGCTTAAAAAGAAATTTATTAGCCCCCGTTCAGTTGAAAAATTAAATGCTGAAAAGAATTAAAAAAAACAAAGTTAATTAGATTTAGCTCTCTCATCTTACATTCCTAAAAACTATCAAAACAATAATAAATTAGCATCTTTAAACCGTAACCCTAGGCTGAATCGCCTAAAAAAAATGAATAATTAATAAGATGTAAATTTCTAGGCTAATGTTGTTAGAAACCATTCTTTAAATGAAAGAGTCAATACTGAACCAGTAGCTTCTAGGTCTAATACTCCAATTAGAGAAAAAGTATCAGGTCCAAAGAATTAAATTTATGTTTAAGGTAAACTATTCTAGAATCGTAGCAATTCAATAAACGGTGCCTATTTAAAATAAAATCCACAATAGATTTAGTAATAATTTGAAAACGAAAAAAGAAGGATATAAAGTCACAACTTTCGTTCTAATTCCTTAGCTATTTAAGAAAAGATACCTGCTAGTCTTTTGCAAAAAGAAATTGATAATCTCTTCTAAACACCATCTTCTTAAAAACTAAAGACCGAGAGTAGTCTTAATACACGTAAAAATTCTCATAATGCTCCTTTTATGATAAATCGTTAAATGATGTCACCTATGAGAAAAAGACCTCTTCTATAACCTGTTAAGATTCAAAGTAAAATAGAATACGAAAGAGAAGCTATGGAATTAATAAAGTACTACGATTGCAAATCAAGCTAATAATAATCATTTTCAGAGTCTCCTGTCAAATCTAAAATGATCTCTCCAGTAAAGCCTAATAAAAAATTTACAGATTCCCTTTTCAAGCTTTCTAACTAAATAACTGAACTAGAAAAATCAATGCTTTCATCATATTACAAAGACTTTATTCGCATAACTCCTATGTGAAATAAATAAAGTTTACTTACTTTATGAGTAAAAAATAAAATCAAATGACTTATAAAAATGAACAAATATTGAATTCAAATATGATTTTATTAATAAAAAATATTTAAAATTTAATAATTAATTTTCCAAACACAACTAAGCATTAAAAAAAATTATAACTAATATGAAAAAGTAATAACAAATAAATAACAAACATTTGAAAATATATAAATTATATACATAAAAAAATTAACAAAAATCATAATAACTGTAAAGAAACTAACAAAATTGAAAACTAACAAAATTAATAAATATTTAATTAATAAATTCAGTAACAAATTATATTTAATATCTATATTAGATTGTAACAACATTTTCCTTTAAAATATTCCTATTAATTTTATCAAAATTTAATTTCCTTTTTACAATCAATCAATCAATCTTATTTTCTATTATGATAAAATCTTCCATAAAATATTTATAATTCTTTAATATCTCTATCAGAATATTTGTTAATAATAAAAATGATAAATTTTTATTTATTTATTTATTCATTTTAGCAATTTTAAATTTCATTTGGAGTTTTTCTTTTTTTTAATTTAAAAATTTAAATATCAAAATCAGTAAGACTCATAGGATTATTAATTTTCCTTTCTAGAATTGTGTAGTACCATCTAATATCTATAAGAAATAAAGTAATCAGCTTAACTATAAAATAGATAAATATAGAGGGCTGCTTTTCTTAAAATTTTAATCAAATTCATTTTTATTTTGAATAAATTTTCAAAAATGGGGTCTAAATTAGCAAAGGATTAAATTAGTGAGAACTGATAGTATATTATATATTTTTGCTAATTGTAAAATTTAAGATTGATAAAAATTTTAAGTAAGTAAAAATAATAAGTAAATTTGATTACAAATTAAAGTTTTAGATATTAAAATGCTTACATAAAATTGAATTAAAAAAGGAAGGTCTCTAAATTAAATGAAGTTACTTCTTTTTTAAATATAATTTAAAATTAAAGAAAATTTTTTAAATTAATTCGAACTAATAAAGATTTTAAAAATTTTATTATGTAAATTTTATTTACATTCATAAACCTGATTACTTCATAAGAAGTATTTAGAATATTTTTAGATTAAAGTAAGTAAGTAATTCATTCATTTATTAATTGATATATTAGAATTTTATTTCCTAAATTGAACTAACAAGATAGATATTGATTTTTTTACAATGAATTAAAAAATTCTTAAATTTTTTATTTTTTATAATATATTAAGAAATTATTTTTGAAATATTGTAATAGTAAGATTTTATTTTAATTTTTTATTTAATTTTAAGATAATAATAAATAAATACTCAATTTATTTATATAAAACAAATTAATAAATTTAATAATTTAGGGTAAAATGAATTAATTTTTAAATATTTAAAATTTGTTAATAATTAATTGATTTATTGGATAAAATTAAATCAATAAAATTTTATTTAATTTCAAGCAATATGGTTAGTTAATTCTACTTCGTTGTAAACTTCAGTTAGTATATCTTTAAATTTCTTTTTGGCATCAGGTCTCTTTATTTTCAAAGTATTAGTGGTAACACCATGTAAAACTAGTGGTTTAGGATCAAGCTTTATACCTCTAACTTATTCAAAGCCATTTAAGTTAGCTTTTTTACCTTCTTCAATTATATTTTTAAAGATATGATCTCTAATTTCCTTGTTATTACATAGTTCATTTAAGTCTCCAGGAAGATTGTTTTATTTAGCATATGGAATAATATATTCAGGATCAATGATTACTAATGCAACTAAATAGCTTCTTAAAGCTTCACCATAAACGTAAGCTTCAATTACACCTTTAGCCCTTGAGTAAATATTTTCTATTTTTTCTGGAGCAACAAACTCACCTTATGAAAGTTTGAAGAGATTACCCTTTCTATCAATAATTTTCAATGATAAGTCGCTATTAAGTTATCCTACATCTCCTGTATGTAACCATCCTTCTTCATCTATAGCTTATCTTGTTCTTTCTGGGTCCTAAGATTTAAATATTATAATTAGTAAGGTAAAAAAAATAAAAACTAAAAATAAATAACTTACTTTGTAGTAACCACCGCAAACTTATTAACCTCTAATGCATATTTCACCTCTAGGAATTGGATTACCTTTTGCATCTACATCATCTGCACTATATCCCATATCAGGAATATCTATTAATTTAAATTCAACACTGGAATTAACACCCCCAACATCACCATACTTTCCATCGAAAGGAGCATTCTAGAAGCATCCACCAAAGCTTTCAGTTTGGCCATAACCTAATAAAAATTATAATTTTTAAAATAAATTAAAATTTAAATATATTTACCTTCAAAGAAGCAACAGCTAAAGCAGACCTTTAAGAATTCACATATTTCTCCTGATAAGGCAGCTCCTCCTGTAACAAATCCTCTAACTTTACCACCAAGAAGTTTTCTAATATCCTTAAAAACAAGCTCATCCCATTTTTCATGGTGAACAATATCAGGTCTCTTATGGATATTAGCCAATTTTTCCTTAAAAGCTAAATCTATAATAGCCTTCTTTTCAGGTGAGGCAGCATCAAATCCTTCTTTTATCTTGCTATAGTATCTATTGAAAATTCTAGGAACTGAGCAGAATAAGGTAGGTTAAAGAATGTAAAGATCTTCTGTCATTTTAGAAATATCACCACTATAAAAACCTGATTTTTTAAAATGAAATTTTAGACTAAAAAAAAAAAATTTGGAAAGTCCTTTAATTAAATTTTAAAAATATATTAGTATATCATTTACCTAAGGAAGCGCCATGAAGGACCAAAGATAAAAATATTTGTTTCTCGTAGATGTGAGGAAGAGGCAAGTAGCTGTAATGGACATCAGTTTCTCTAGTCTTATAGACACCGATTGATCTTTCACAAGTAGCTAAAAATGCTAAGGCATTTTGGTGATAGTGAATAACACCTTTAGGGTTTCCAGTTGTTCCTGATGTATAGCAGAATTGGTAAACGTCTTTTTTATCTATCTTGGCAAATGGAAGAGGAACTTTATCTTTAAATTCTTCCATCAAGTCCTTCAAGTAAATAAGATTGAATTGTCTTTCTTTGACTTTTCCTTCTAATTCTTCAGAGAGCTTATCGAAACAAACTATGTTCTTAATTTGGTAGGTGTTAGCTAGCTTTAAGATTTTAGGAACATTCTCGCCACTGATATAAATAGTATTCATGTTAGTTTAGTTGACTATGTACATCATTGAATCAGCTCCAAGTGTATCTTTATTAAAGATAATATTTTTAAGTTTTTTGAGATTATTTTGGGGGCAAAAAAAAATTTAAAAATAATTTATTGATTGATTAAATTTTTTATCATTTAGAAAACAAATATGATGTCATTTAAAATTTGATAATAATTTAAATTTTGTTTATTTTGCAACATTAAAATATAGCTAGCTAATTAATTATATATCTAAAATTTTTTCCTTTTGTTATTTTTATAAAGAAGTTTTGTTTCTTATGAACTCAAAAAAATGAAGTCTGACTTGAGAAGTAAAAATTAATTGCTTACCATAAAGAGGAACGATGCTAAAGTTATAATAGTAACCAGCTATTTCGAGCATAATCCATTCTTCTCTGTTCTTTGAATATACACCAAAAAGATTGATGTTAGTATTGAGACCTTCACTGCTTGTGTTGTAAAATAGATTGTTATTCTAAATGGAGCTACCTAATTCTATTGAAAGCTTATTAACTTCCTAGTATGTCTTCCATTCATATACTTTCTTTTCTTTGTTAAGAGTACCAAGGAATTAGTTATTTCCAAAATCGCGGACAATCTTCTTGAAAAAATCTTGCATATTTTAGACATCAGGGTATGGAGTCCATTCTAAATCACCAACTAAATCCTAAAGTAGAAGTAATTAGTTAGAATCAATTTGAGAAAATGACAAAAGTAGTCAAAATATAATGAAAGAAAAAGTAATTTTACAATATGTCTGTAAATTGGAGTTTCTCCTTATTTTTTTTCTGTCACTGCTTTAGCATATACGTACTCAGCACCTGTTTCAATCATTTCTATACAATTTTATAATCTATTTAAATTTTTTGTTGAGTATTTTTTTATTTATTTTAGTTTTTTTAAAATTTTTTTATAAATTATTAGAACCGTGTCTGTTTTAAATAAGGGAGATTATCTCTTCTTAGTACTTATGATTATACACAATAATTTTTTTTTCTAAATTGAGTAATCATAAAAGTCCTATTCTAAACACTTACATTATTTTTATTCCATCTAATTTCTCTGGCTCATATATTAATTATTATAAAAGATATGCCTTTTAAATAAATTTTCTTGTTTTGTTCTAAAAAATCTAACCTTCATCAAAAATCCCTACAATTTATATAAGAATTTTTACATCAATGACTGGCTGTATGCCTTTTGATGATTTTCGCATAAATAATCATTAATCTTACAACTTTAAATTGGTCAACTACTATAAAAATTTCTATTCAAACACGCCCGCTTCTATTAAATAGATACAACATATTTTATTTTAAGTTAAACTAAAAATGGTTTTAGGTTTTTAGCCTGTTTCAAGTAATTGTGATCTAATCTGATAAATTTTATTCAAAGTGAGAAAATAAATAAAATAAATCAAAATTAATTTGATTGGTATATTAATATCTATGTTTTTAATAACTAATTTTTCATTAGAAAAAAATTCTTTGATTAACCAATTTTAAATATCTTTTAGGTTGGTTTAAATGCTAAGAAAATTAAATCTTATTTGTTATTATAATTCTTTATAAAAAATTAAAATATGTTTAAATTTTATTGATAAAATTATTGTCAAATAGCTAATAGCTCTGCTTTATTGAAGACGAGATAACAATTTATTTCTTAATCTATTGCTTAAGGTTGGTTGAGTACTTTTATTAGAAGTATCGTCGTAAATGAAATTTATCAGACAATTTTAGCTTTATCATGTAAAAATAGATATTTTGATTTTCCTTATTTTACTTTTTTGTTAAATTATCCAAATTATTTTGTAAATTAATTTGGTAAGTATTGAATAGAAATACAATTAAAAGCTTAACTTGATAATTAGCTATTTTGTGGTTTAAGCACAGGTATATCTTTAAAGCTTTAATTGAATGATTACATATAACTGTAAATTAAAATAGAACTAAAAAATGGACTTTATCTTTTATAAAAATAAATAAATTGAAAAATAGAAATATTTAATAAGAAATAAATTTAAATGTTGATATTATTATTATTATTTTATTTAGGTATTATAAATTTAAACAGATAATTCTGAATTATTTAAAAATATTCATTCACTTTTCATTATATTATTTAATGAGAAAAGTTAGTTTTGTTAAAACTTGTAATAAGGCATTATTATAAAATAAATGCAATTAACATAAAATTGCTTAGATTACTATTCTCAAAGAAAATCTTGTTTTTTTTTTCCTTTCAATTTTCTTTAAACTGTACAGTTTACATAGATTTAATAATATATAAATTATATTTCTTCTTCATTAGTTAGAACTATTATACGAAATTACTTTATTTTTCTCAAGTTTTTTTGGAAAATATATTATTGTCTAACAAATGACATAAAAATTTAAGTTAATACTTTCAAAAATTATGCCTCATTCATAGAAATATTCGTTTTATTTAAACTAAAGGAGTAAATATTGACAATTTTTATGAGATTTTTGAAAAATTTAAATAGTATTCTTCATTGATTATTTGATATTTTTATACTAAAACTTTAAATTTATATCAAGTTGTAAGACATATTTTATTTTTTTATTTTGATTGAATGTAAAAAATAAATTTTTCTATGAGGGTTATTAAATTAAAAGTACTTCTTACATTTAGAATTACTGCATAATGCTAATAAAATTAATTAAATTTAGTTTTTACTTAAATTAAAAACTCTCCCTTTTAGATTTATTTATTAAATTTTAGATAAATTTTTATGTTTAAAAAAACAAAGTATTAATTTTTGGAAGAAATGAATACTAAAATGTGTTTGTTTTTTATTAAATATTTAACTAAAAATTAGATTTTTATAGTAGAAATAATTCTATTTTTTTATTTCCTTTAATAAAGATTTTGAGGATTATTAATTTTTAATTGAATAATGTAATTAATTTTATACTTATTAAAATAAATAAATTTTTAAAAAGAAATAAATGATGATCAAGAAATGCAATATTTTCTTTTGTAACAAAAATATTTTTTAGATTAAAAATTAAATTTATATTTGGCTAAAAATTAACTCTAATTTCGATAATAAATTAATTTAATTTATAGACTCTACTAGCATTCTTTACATTTTTATAATTTGTTTTTTTTCGTTGAGTTTTTTAGTAAATCTTTTCAATAAAATCTTGGTTTTAAAAATATTTAGTTTTTATGTTTTCATGAATATTTTAAAATAAAAAGTTGTAAAATAGTTTAATAAATTGAATGATAGTAGTAGAAAAACTTTAAACAACTATTTTGTTCGTTAGTAACTATTTTAAATACTAAAATATACTTATCTATCTAAAAATTCCAAATCTTATTTTTTCATTTGAGATGAAATAAAGTATTGATTGCTATTTGATCTCAAAGGAAATATAATAATAAATTTCGAGTTAATTTATGAATTGATTTATCTCATAGAGGATGAGGAGGTTCTTGAAAAGTAATATTTATTTGCGCTGAAACACTATACTAATTTAAAATGGTAGAAATTATTTAAAAAAATTAGGATTTTGAAAAGCAAAGAGCAAATTAGAAGAAATTAGAAAAAAAAATAGCTTGCTCTAAAATCCTTGATGACAATTACAACATTGAGATACTTTATCTCTACTAATTATGGAGTGGAGCAAATAAATTTTTTTGTTAAGGAAGAGTAATTACTGGACCTAAATACAAGCCTTTTTTGATTGCAATACTCTTGATATTGATACCAACTATTATGGTTATAGTATTCTTCTAGGAGCATAGATTAATTGTAATAATTCTTGCTAGTGTTGTGTTTTTTTTTAAGTTTAAGGCTTCGTTCAATGATCCAGGTATAGTTGATAGATTAAACAACACTTTCCAAGATGATGAAGAAATAAAAATGATTCCTTCAAAATCTTACTCAACTCAGTTACATGGAGTGTATATAAATGATACAAATGGTCACTTATAGCAGTATAGATTATGTGAAACTTGTTAAATTTATAAAAACAAAAATATGAAGCACTGTAGAACATGTGATAATTGCGTTTCTTAATTTGACCATCATTGTATATTTAATTATTTTATTTTTTCTATATTTTTTTGGCAATTATTAAAAATAGCAAAAGCAATTTCCAATAAAAGCTTAAAATTAAATAAATTTACTTTTTTTGAAATTGAAATATTTGATTTTAAAATGATTTAGGTATTTGGTTGAATAACTGCATAGGAAAAAGAAACTACACAGATTTCATAATGTATTTGATATTTTTATAGTCTCTAATAGCATATACTATCTATTTATGCATATAATATATAATTGATGAGACCAATTTAATAGCAACTAGCCAATTTATCACTCGAAGTATAGCTTTGAATAAAGTACTCTCACATCAGCCTCTTTCTATCATTCTTATAATATATGGAACCATATTTCTATTTTTAGTATCGACTCTATTTTTTTTTCATGTATATTTGCTATTCAAAAGCTTAACTACAGTCGAATTTACCAAAATCTAGAAGGGAGTTAAAAATTATTTCAGTTTGTCCCTTATTGAAACTTTTAAATAAAAATTCAGCTTATTTAACAATTCGTCTTCTTTGGATTTCAGAAAGAAAATAATAATTAAAACAAAAAAAGAACCAAAACAAAATACTTAAGTTTCAAATAATTTAGTTTAGGCAGCAACTTTCAGATAATAGAGTTAAAGTTAGGACAATAAAAACGAGATTAATTATTGTTCGAAGAGCAAAGAAACTCCTTAACCTGTAATGCTAGAATAAAGCTTAGCATTAAACATAAATGCAAATTAAAGTTAAATAGAATTATAAGGCAAAAAATAAGATGATTAACAAGATGATAATGTATAAAATGGTAATACTGAATAATTTTAAACAATTTATATAAACCAAAAAAATTAGCTTAAAAAGATCAAGCTTCCTTCTATAGGTGTAAGAAAACTAAATAAAAATTAAAGCTAATTTAAATATTCCAATTTTTCTAAAAATCAGAAACATAATTAGAGTTTAAAGCAGTTGTCAGAAATTTAAGGCTCAGAAAATTACATAAAAAATTTTATTGAAGGATCAGGAATTTGTTAAACAAATTTAATAAATCAAAAAAATCAATAGAATCTCCCTTCCCCTAGTGATGCAAATAAGGCATCTCAATAATAATTAAATTAGGAAGATATAGAAGCAAGCAATATTAATAACAATGAGATTTCTATACAAAAAAGCTAAATTTATGAAGAAAATGATGCTGTGTAAATCAGCTATTATTCTGACACTATTTATAATTGATTAAATTAGATTACTTTTAATTATCCATAAAATAAAGAGAAAAAGAAATAAATTTATCATACAAATAAAGATAAAGAATTAAATTTGTACAAATTTCTAATTAGGATAAATCTTATGAGTAAATATCAATTTAATAATAAGGAAGCAAACGAACAAAGTCATAACTTAAAATAATTTAAGATCCTTCCTTTGAAAAATCTTAATTAAAAGATATTGTAAATTAATAACCCAGCTATAACAAAAATTTCATCAAATAAATAAATAAATAAATCAAACATTCAATCTAAAAAAATATTATAATGTAAATTATCAAATGTAAAAAAAAATCAACTTTAATTATAAATAAGTAAATAAGATAATTAATACAGTTTTCCTACCACTAAATTTGTTCACTTTAACTCATTATAATCATTTGATGAGATCATAAATGTTCATTATAACTTATATAATCATGTTAATAATAATATATAATTTCTCAATTACTTTTTTCTTAAAATTAAGATTTTTTCATTTTATTTGATCAAAAATAATTTATTGTATTCATTTATTCAATTCAATAGATACTTTTACAATAACTTTGCTAATTTTCTAAAATACCAATTTATACTATTAATTTTAATAATTTAATTTGTTATTAATTGCTTCACTTTTGCCTTCCCGTATCTGATTGTTGCTTAACTTAACAAAATAATATCTTCTTCATTCTCAAAAAATTGAATAGTGATTTTATTTTTAAGTATAATCTTCTAGGGGTGTTTACTGCTCGTCTTACTAGTAAAATATTAATATAGATTTTTTCATTCAATATATTGTATACTGATATGATTTACATTTTCCGTTTTAATAGTAACTTATTGAAAAATGTCCAACAAAAATGAAATTTAGATAAATATTTGATCAACAAAATTTACGAGTATCCCAAATACTTAATTTATACTTAAAAAGCTATGCTAATTTAGATAGATTCGCACTTAAAAGAAATTAATTTAGTGTTGTGAGATTTGAAGGGCGTATTCGATATAGAAATCGATGCTTAATTATTAAATCTTATGACAAAAGTTGCCAGATAGAAGATAAAGAGGATGAGAAAAAATTGAATTCCTTGTAAATTCTTAGTAGGGTTTGTAAAATAAAGTGAATGAAAAGAAAGAATTACATAAAGCACAAATAAATTAATAAATAATAAAAACAATATTGAATAATATATTAGCTCTATTTTTGATAATTTGCATAATCTTTTTTGATTTTATAATAATAACTTTTAATTTTTGTTACATTTGATTCCTTTTTCAATATAAAGCAAAAGAAAATATTAAACAGTCTTTGAATTATCATAAAAAAAATATTGCTGATCTTTGTAAAAGAAAAAGAAAATAAACAAAAAAACAAAGAAACAAAAGCAAAGAATAAAAGGTGGTTTTCTTAATAATTTAATTAATATTAATTTTATAAAAACAAAAACTTACTAATATCTATTGCAAATTAAAATAAATAGCTATCCTTCTCAAAAATCTAAATAAATAAACACTATATTTATTAGCAAAAAGCGTGTGTATAAAAAGCTCAAAAATTAATAATACTAATAAAATTATTTCAAGAACAAATTATCCTTTAAATAATGTCTTCTATTGATTAGACTAAACCGCGACGTGACTTAGATTTTCTGGAAGGACCAGATAACAATTTAAGTAATTTTCATGACTTTGACAATATTAATTTAAGACTAGAAGATAATGTCAATGACAATTTCGATGCCGATAGCTTATAAGGATACAAAATAGGCTCTGGTGCTTAGAATTATCGTATGCAATAAGGAGCAAATGATTTGATCTAGTCTTCGGCTGGCTAACCTATGAAATATTCTGAATTTTACAACTAGCAAGCAGGAGTGAACTAAGGAAATGATTCTTCCTTTGCATACTAGACAAACTATGATTAAAATTAAATAAAAAAGCAAGGTAGTGGAAATAATGGAAAAGTGTAGAATTAACAGAATGGACCTAATTAATTTAACAATTTTTAAGGTGTTTAAAATGGAGGGAGTTATTAAAACTACTCCTAAGATTAATTAGGAATCAAAGGAAATGGAATTAGAGAATAAAGCACAAGCATTGGATCTTAAAAGCAGATTCAAAAAGTACCAAGTAGTAATGGTTTAGACTAAGAGCAACAAAAAAATATAAAGTTGATTACAGCATTAAAGTCAAATCCATAAGATTTGGAACACATACTAGAAGAGTAAGAGAAGCAGTAAATACAGAAAAAAATGAAAGTTGAAGCAGACCAAAAAAGCAATTTACAAAGACATGCTTCATCTATTTAGCTGACAAACTATTCCCCAACAAGGGAAACACTCAAAAGAGTTGAGTCTAACACCTCATTGAATGGAGAAAAGACTACTAGCTCCAAAAATCTATCTAAAATAAAAGGAAATGTGAAAAACGCTTACATTAAGAAGATTACATCCCTGCTTAACCTTTAAAATCCACCAAACGTTGATTAATAAGACAAGTAAGTATTTTATTATTGCCATCTTTTATATCAAAGCTTTCAATTAAAAACTACTAGTAATAATAATACTTTTAAAGCACAATTGCTAATTTAAATAATACCTCAAACAAATAACTCTCTAATTTGAAAATATTTAAAAATTCTAATATAATATTATGCCAATTTATTAAATATTTTATTTGGAGTTTTACAACATTAGTGTATTATGCAAAGAAAGCAATTACTTTCAATCAAGAATATTCCACTATTCCAATATAAATATATGTATAAGAAAATTTTATTTTATAAATTAAGCTTCTAAGAGCCTAGAAGACCTGATAATTCTGATGATTCGGATGATTCAAGATCAAATTCTTTTGATAAAACTAAGTAAGAAGAAGGTAAAAAAGTGATGAAGAATAGAGAATCAGCAAGAAACTCTCGTCAAAGAAAGAAAATCTATATTGAACTCTTAGAGAAGAAAGTAAAATTTAATAAATTATCTTTGTATAAAAATATTATAAACTTACGCAATAAAAATAAATATATTTTAAATAATTCATTATTTTTAAAGATTTCAGAATTAACAAATTAAATCGAAGAGCAATGCGTTAACATAGAAAAATCATAAAAAGAAATTTGTAAAATACTAGACAACTACACCCACGTAAATATATTCATTTTTTTGTGATGTTTAATGATAACTTTTATAACATTAACAGATTAAAGCATTCGTTTAAACGAGGCACGATTACTTGCAAAAGATAGGTGAAATGGCATATACAGAAAAGCCAAACAATGAGCAGCTAGGATACATTTTAGATTCTCTAAGGGTAATTTTAGTGATTTAAAAAGCATTAAAGAATACAGCAAATTTCTCTTTACATCAATAACTTCTTTTAATTTATAAAGCTTAGAATAGGAGCATAAGGAACTTGTAGACAAAAAGCTATCTCACTCTACTTTAGAACAATAATGAAGCAATTCATGCAATCTACCTTTCCTTATCTAATTTACGGATACTAGCCTAATATGGGAGGTATTAAAATACTTTTTTAAGCAATGAAATTAATATTTTAATATAATTAGAGGATCAAGAGTTCAATAGATGTGTTGAAATTTTCAAAAAAATTTGTACTATATCAGATGAAACTCAAGTATTTAAGTTCCTTCCATATCTAAAGAAATTTTTAGAAATTAGATAGAATTTTAAGGAGTAAAATTTTTGAATAAATAATTAAAAATTAATAATTCTTTTTATAATTTAAAACAGTTGCTTTTAAAGAATGAAAAAAATCAGAAAAAATGTTTTTAAGAGAGAAGAATCGATTGAAAAGCTCTTAGATGGTCTTTCATTACTTCATCCTACATAAATGGGTAAATTCTTAAAAGGACTAGATAAGGTAAATTTAATGATAAGATATATTTTATTGATAATAATATTTGTTTAATATTATTTATTTAGTTTAGAAAATTACGTGAAATCCGTTTACAAAGAAAGATGAATAGCGGTAGTTAAGAAGATTTCGAAGTTGATTAAACTTAATTGTAAAAATAATATACAGCTAATCCAGATAGATAACTCAACAAGTTACGTCAGCAAACTGTTTAAAATTAATATATAAATAATAACTAAAGCAATAACTATGCTTAGTTCCATTCCTAGCAATAATTCTATTAGCCAATTTCTCATCCTCCTTAAAATTTAGAAATATTAGAGGAAAATGAATTACCTTAGCAATAAAAGCCTTTAGGAGTTCCATAAAATTATTATTATCAAAAATAGCAATAACCTTAGTAATACTTAGCAGGACCAATGGCGTTCTCTAGCATTAAATAAGACTCAGCACAATAAAACGGATAAAATTATATATACCCATCTTAGCCCAGTAACATGAATAGTTAAAATATAAATTTAAAAAATCCAATAGACTATGATTAATATTATCACTAGCAGCCTTATAAAAAGTAATTCCCCTCAAATTAACAATACTGACTACTAATAAAACAATAATAATTACCTTAATAAAATAAAAGTTATTGATATATAAAGAAAAATAAACTTATAAACCAATGTGATAGATATACTTACTTATCACACAAAACAAAACAAATTTTAAAATAATAAGTATGTTAATAAGATATAATTATAATAATAATAAAAATTAATTTTATTTAATTCTCAATAATTTTGTTTATTATTTGATTTTATGTCCAACATTTCAAAAAATATATAAAATAAATAAACTACTTTATTTAGTATTTCATTACATTTTAATTAAATCTTTTTTAAATAATTACTTTATTTTAATTTTTAAGTCTCATTCATTCATTTATGAAGATTATTCCAATTAAGTAAACTATCAAATGAATAGCAAAATGTTCTCATATACTATTTTAATAATAATATTTTAAATTTGTGTAGCTAATTAAATCTAAAATTTTTGAAAATGAAGAAAAACAAATTTTTTTTAAATAAGGAAATTTATTTAATTTTCAATAAATTGATTTTCTCATTTTGTATCAAAATTTCCATTTTTTAATAAAAAAAAGAATCAGTCAACACAATTTTTATTTTATTTTATATGAAAAATTGAATATGATTCTTTTAAATCTTACAACCTTTAAAATTTTAAATATAATATGATGAAGAATAAATAATTTAAATTTTATTAAGAATAAACAAGTAAATACAAAGATAATATAATATATGTGTAGATGTTAGTATCCTAAAGTTTATTTTGCACATAATATAAATCCTAAGATGCTTACTCTTAAAGATAAGTTGAATATACTCATAACTCAAAGATTAAGTTGCAAATAAATAAAATGGAAATTTGTATGAAAAATACACACTAAAAAATTTTTTTTAATTCTTAAGAAAAATTTATTTAAGATTTAAAGATATGAAAAAAATTAATGAGTGAGTGAGTGTCTATATAAAAATATGATAAATAAATAAATATTTTTATTTTACGAACCAAAATTTATTTATTCAAAATGTAATAATTAAGAGCAAGATACTTGTCATTTTAATATAATAATTGCTAAACAAATTGAATTAAGTCTGCTTAATTAAATCCCCCTCCTGCATATTTAGAAAAAATAATGTGGCATTATTTTAGGGCTTAGATTTAGTTTATTAGGAGGGCGACAAATATAATTGATTGATAGGTTTGAGTTTATAAATTATAAATTTTAGAATGTAAGAAAGAATTGATATAAATTGAAAAGTAAGTTAGACAAATATGTAAAAGTGAAATAGAAAATATTACAATGATTTACTTTTTAATATAAATTGAAGATTAATAAATATATTATTAACAATTTATTTTTATCTCAAGAGCTTGCTTGAATCAATTAATAAATTTTTAAATCAATTTTGATAAGAATTGTTTCCATCCTATTTTGGAGTAAATAGGTTAGGATTAGAATTGCCAGAAGTTTTATAGAATAAATTTTTGCCATCAACAAAGTCATCTCTTTAAGATGAAGGTAGATTTGGAAGCTTGCTATCAGAAGGGATTCTATTATTTGATAAAGCCTTCTTTGAACTTGAAGTATTTATCATCTTTTTATCAGAATTCTTTGAATAAGATTACCCATACTATTTATTCAATATAAATAATTAATTAAGACAATTATTAAAAAAATTTTTTATTTTTACTCTTCCCATCTTTTCAGGTGAAGTCTCTTTAGGAGGGAATATTGCCCAATTATGATAGTTTCCTAATTTTCCCTTGTATTAGTTTAAGCTTTTGTCACATGAAATACAACTCCACTTATTAAGAGGTCTCTTGACAATTAATCCATCATCACCTTCGTCTTTGCTGAAGAAAATATTATATATATTTGTAATCTATTTTATATTAATTTATCTACTTAAAACAAACATTTTCTAAAATATTTTTTAAATACCTTCTTTTCAAGTTCTGAGAACTTCTTAGCTGTTTCAGGACCACTTGCACTTGTTTTAAGTTTATTTAGCACTGCACCAGCTACTTCGTCAAGCTTTCCAAGAAGCATTTGCTCTAATCCATATAAATCTTCCTTGTCTGCTTTTCTGTCAATTAAATCCTTTAACTAATTGATTAGAATTAATAACTCATTTCTAACCTCATCAATAGCCTATCCCCAGTCTACGTTATTGTTATTATTATTTGCATTTTAATTATGTGTGTTGCTATTTGATCCATCTCCACCATATATGTGAATATTTCTATCACCTGAATTATTGTTACCATTATTATTATTGTTGTTATTATTATTACTGCTATCATTATTTTTATTCTTGTTATTATTGCTATCTTTATTATTATTGCTTCCTTCATGAAGAGAATTTAATTTACTATTTTTTCCACTTTGGCTATCTTTCTTGTTCATATTTTAATTGTTGTTATTGTTTTAATCTGAATTTTGATTGATTCCATCTTTACCATATCCATCTAATGCATTGGTTGGGCTTAAAAGATTAACATCTAACTCACCTCCGTTTTGACTAGCTATTAAATTTCTTAGTTTATTTAATTGCCTTCTTAATTCGTTAATGAGAACTTCTAATTAATTAGTCTAAAAGAAAAGAAAATTATTTTTAAGTCATAAAATATCAATTATTTTAGTTTTACCTTATCAACATTTTTATCTAAGCTTTCTCTTAAACTCTTAACTTCAGATCTTAGTCTTTTTAAGTCGTCTTATTTAGCAGTTTGGAGCATATTTTTTTCTAGTTCATCAAGACGGCTGTCAGTATTTTGCTTATTTAAATCATAATTTTCGATGTGATTGTGTAATTCCTCACGCAAGGCATTTAAAAAGCCTTCTAAGTCTTCCATTTTTTCTTGCAAATTATTTAATAGATTTTTATCTTTAGTAGATAAACCTCCACTAGCCTGATTTAATTCATCTAATTCTTCAGGTTTAATTTATTTACCATCATTCAATCTAATTATTTTAATTAAAAAATAAAAAGGATTATTAATTAATTAATAGCCAGCATTAAAAAAATTTTAGTATATTTTTAGAATTTATTAATTTTAACTACCTGCTTTATATGAAAAGGTAGAGTTTATCAAAATCATCACATTTCACTCTATCGTCAATTTATTTTTGCAATTTTTGTACAATTTTGTTTATTTCATCCATTAATTCTTTGCTTTATTTATCTTAATCCTTCTTTAATTCTTCTTTGGTTACCTTTTTATTTATTTATTGTAATTTAATTAGAATTAAGTAAGTTTCATTTGTTTATTAAATTTTGAAAGAATCTAATATAAAATTAGAAATATATTTTTACAAATTGGCTCTTCATCTTGGCTATATCTTGGAGTATCTTATCAATCATTTCATCTTTTTATAATAGTTATAGAATTAATATTAAAAATATAAATGATATGTAAATGTTTTACTGCTAAAATTGTTGTTACCATCATTTAAATTGCTTTGTGAATTTCCGTTTCTATTAGTATTAGAGTTAGCACCTTCATTCTATCTATCTGATAAACTACCTTATTTACCAAGGTTGTTTTGACTGTTACCGCTGTTATTATTGTTGTTATTTTTATCATTGAGATTGTTGAGAATCACTTATAGATAGTCCTACTTACTATTTAGTTATTCTAACTTTTCTTTTATTTTTTGGATTTCTTCAGAAAACTCTTTGCTCATTTGATTAAAATGATTGACTTCTTTTTGTAGAGAAGGGAAAGCCTTTTGTATTTCTTTCAGTTCATCCTAAAATTTTGAAAAATGATATTAATTTATATTAATCAATTAATTTTAAATTTACGAAATCAACATTTTTGAGTTTTTCTTTTAAACTATCAATTTCATATTGATGCTAATTGAGAGTTTCACCATGTTTTTAAAGCTTTTTCTATAATTAATAAATAACTGTTAATCTGAAATGCGTTTGATTTTAGTTGATTTACTTATATTTCAGAGATATCATTGGTGTTCTTTTCTGTCTTCTCTTATTAATTTTGAAGGTTTTTAATTATTTCTTTTTCATTGTCCTTGATTTAATCAACATCATCCTTTATTCCAGTTACTTAAGCATTAATTTATGAGCATTAGTTTTCAACATTCATTATCTTTGTGCTATATGAGCCAACTTCGTTTTTAAGAGCAGAAAGTATCTTTATAATTGTATCAAAATTATTTTTTAAAGTGTTCTCATTTAATGTGACTTGCATCAGGTTATCAATTTAGATACCTTTTAGTAAGTCTTGTGATACAGAACTCATGAATTATGAATTGGTCTTTTATAAATAATTATTTATATTTGTTTTTTATTAATTATTATAAAAATTTACCAAATCTCTAAACATCTAAAGATATATAAAATTCATATAAGCAAATAAGAGCATGAATCAATAAAATTTGCTGACTAAAAATCTTCCTTTAAATTTACAACCACTAAATAATTCCTTTTTTAATATAATTCTGAATAGCATATAGCTTTTTACAAACTTTTTTAGGTAATATCCATAAAACAATATCAAATATTTACAAATAAATCGCATTGATTAAATTAGGTTGAATTGATATTGAGAAATCTCAAACTAAACACGTTTATTATGCACATTATCAGCATTTAGTAGTTTATTAATAGATTCTTAAGAAATATTATTTAATATATTAATCTATACATAACTAATTTTCTACTGACCTCAAAAATAAACAAATATATATATAACATCAAAAAGGTATAACTAACTCAATCTAATTAACTGATAAATAAATAGATAATGTATTGACACAGAGAGAGATAAGCATTTTTAAAATTATTCAGTATTTTCAAGATAGAATAATTTTCTAGAAAATTAAATCTTACTAAGACAGTTAAAGAAGGAAAATCATATTTTTATCAAGCTCTGCTTGGTAAACAAAACCTAAATACTGATAGAAATATTCAATAAAGAAAAATAAACATTTTTTTCAATTTATGATTTCATATATTTATAGAACTTATAATTATTTATTGCTAATGGCCATATTTTATTATTAATCATTTATATAAAAATTATTATCATTAATAATGACTTCAATAATAAAAATTACAATTTCATTCAAATTATAAACATTACTGAAACACAAAATTTAAGAAATATTATTTAATAATTTAAGCAATTATATGGTTTTTTTTTTGGCAAATTTACTATTATATTCACTGGTTAGAATTAGTTTTTTGCTTAGGTTAACTATTTTTATCAATTTTTTTAATTATTGTCTGATAGAGTTTTGATGAGCTCAGTCAATATGCTCTTTTATGTTTCAAAATCAATAGTTGTGAAATGGGGCACATGAATAAATAAAGATGGACAATTGGGAAATTCAATTTTTGTCTTGAAATATACGTAGTTGCATAAAAATCTGCCTGGATCAGTACTTAAAGTACATTTTTCCTTTAAATATAAATTATTCTCTAATAGATATTTGCAATCAATTATGGTATAATTGCACTAATCTAGCTCTTAGTCCTCGCTAATTTTTGTATCTTTTGGTTGCTCATTTTAACGATCACGCATTCTAAAATTGGCATTATTATATGAACATTATTCTAGATAAATTTTTTAAATATCTCTTCTCACTCCGAAATGTAAAAATATACAACTTTCATCCATATTTAAATCAAGATTTTTAAGTCTATTGTGATATTATTAAACCCCTTTCATTGAAACTTCAAGGGTATCTACATCAATAATATTAAGTTGTTTTTTCTCAACATCTGAAATGCTCTTCATTAATTAAGAAGATGGATTATCATCTACATCTCCAAAAGGACCAAATCCTGTAACAAAAAATTTTTTAGCTTTGTTTTCCATTTTTTAAACTTTTATTTTTGTAAATTTAAGGTTATTTTGATTTTTATGCTTGAATATATCTTTCTGCGGAAAAAAATAGATAAGTGGGAAATTTTAAGGTTATTTTGTTATTTTCTATGATCAACAAAATATTTTTTTAGTGATTGTAAGAATAAATCGTCAAAACAAAGGAACAATTAATTTATCACTTACTTTTAGAATAAGAAGGAATCAACATCATTTTGATAAACAAGATAAAATTATCTACTTTTCAAATAAATTTCTTCTATAAAATAAATAAATAAATAAATTCATTGCAATTGCAATTGCAGGTAAATTATTATTTAGAAATGTAAACTAAAATTCTTTATAATATTTTGATATATAGATAGATAGATAATTCATCTTAAGTAGAATTTAATTATGAATGCAGTAAGTAAAACCAAGTATCTATCTTTCATTCAAATAAAATATTAGGATTTTACTACAATTCATTTAATCACTCAATTTAATTATTCCACTTCAAATAATATTTTTTATCAAATTAATTTACAAAAATATTAAAAAAACAAACTCATAAAAAAAGATAAATAAAAAGCTTTTAAGAAATGGGACAAACTTGTGACAAACTTTAATCTCAATAAAAGGATATTGAAGATATGAAAGAAGCCATTAAATAGCTTAAGGAATTAATGGATGTAATAAATACATATTTTACATTTTATCATATGGCATATGTTAATTATTTTACTCTAATTTAATAAAAGCAAACTAGAGGAGTTTAGGATACTTTGAAGCAAAGTTTAGAATAAATTACTACTACCACAACTGATGTAGTTAACAAATATTAGTCTATTGTTTCTAAAGTTGATACATTTGAATAAACTATAAAAGATGTAATCATTTTTAAATTCTCTACCACTTTTTATCCTCACTATTTTTAATAAAATGTAAACGAATAGTTGGAAGTAAAAATGCAAAAAACAGTAGAACAAGCAGTCAAATCAGGTGCTTCAAGTGCAATGAAGAACTTCTTCTGAAGAATATTATAAACAGATTATCAATATCTAATCTACTTTTTGTTTTATAGAATTAATTTAATTATTTTATATAAATTTAAGATTATGTGCTTTCTTTCTATAAATAATCTTGAGTATAAAAGTAAGTATTTTTTCAAAAAAATGCAAATTATTCATTGGCATTTATGTAGTAAATGATTTTAATTAGATCAATATAATCATTTAAATCAATTATTATCGAATCACATCTGTTTTTATGAACTAGCTTAATTTAGCTCATATATTTTTTTGATTCTTAAGAAATATAGTTTTTGGTAGATATTTATTTTATCATTAAATAGTCTGGTTATATTTCGTATTAATAAATATAATTTATTATGGATTGTATAAATAATTTAATGTCATACAGAATAAAAATTGTTCAAATAAAATTAATATCTAGGAATAAAATAAAACTCTTAATATTTACTTTTAAAATTAATAGTTCAATTTAATTATTTGTAATATTATTTTTATTCAAAACTTAATAGTAATAGCTTTAAACTATTTTACTATGTTTCCAAATACTCTCTTGCTTGTAATATTAAAAATAATCTATTAGAAATAATAATTAAAGAAAGCATAATAAATAATTTAAGAATATTGAGTTATTTTGAAGTTAAATAAATAAAAAAAGATATTTTATAAAAAATGAAAATGTAAAAATAATTTTATAAAAAGTTAATTAATTTTAAAAAGAATGAAATTTGAAATATAAATGAATAAATAGATTATTATTTCTTTATTATTTAGCTAATTAATTATGCTTTTATTTGAGAGTAATTAATATTGTTTATTTTCGATCAACCAATTTAATTTCAAAGATTTTTTATTCATTTTGCAAAGATTTATTTACTTTTGAAAAAATTTAAATATCAAAAATTAAATTAACAATAAAAGTTTGATTTGAAAAAGTACTGAATAAGAATTACATTAAGAATAAACTAATTTTAACTTTTAAATTAATGGAAGAAGCTGAGGCTGTAGAATTTTCTCCCTCTTACAGAATTTTAGAGGTAACTGAAGAATCTGATGAAGAATCAAATCATAATCACTTGAAAAATGAATTTTCTAATTCTTAGCATGAAAGTCATTAAGATACTGCTTAATCAGCCAAAAATTAATATCAAACCCAGAAATAGCCATAAGAAATAATAGAGATAGATGAAAATTTAGATGATGGTGAAGAATAGTCCTTCCAGTATAGTAAAAAAAAAGTGGATAGCAGTGGAAAGGAAATCGAAGAATTTTATTAAAATATGTCCTTTTAAAACTCTCCAAATTAGCCTTAAGTTTTATAAATAAATAACACTAGCAATATTCAGCCTTCTTAAAAGATAAATCAAAATGTAATTAAAATTAAATAAAATATTCCATATTTAATAGCTTTATTATTTATTATTTTTAAACTTTAAAGGTATAGAATGCTTATGGATACATAAACTAATAATAATAATTATAATAGTAATAATAATAACAATAATAATTTTAGAATGGAGTTCCTTCTTTTAATATTTAAATTCAAAGAAATGGAGAAAAATATGAATTAAAAAGCGCAAGCAAAAATTTAATGTAAACTTTTTCAAATACACAAAATCAATAGAATAACTAACCAATTGCTTAAAACGCTCCGATCCAAGTCTTTAAACCTTAACCTAATTTCAATAATAAATTACAATAAAATCAAAATTTACCACCTTAAGAGGAAGAAACTAGAGAGAGAAAGCTTAGTGTTTAGCCTGTAAGGCTGATAGATTAAGAAGCTTTTTTAATGAAAGCCTCTCCTTAGAATTAAAATAATGGTAATAATGCAAATGTTAATTATAGTAGTAGCAATAATAATATAAATACTAATACAAGTGTAAATACTAGTTAAAATTCTCGCAACAATTAGAGAGCTTAGACAAATTCTTCTGATAAGAAAAGACACGAAAAAAATCCTTAGCAGAACGACTAGCAATTTTCAAACTAAGTGTAATATTTAATAAATAAAAGAACACAGGCCTAGCTAAAAAAAGAGTAAGCTCTTTCATCCTAAAAAAAGTAGATGCTAAACTAATAACTTCTTAATGCAAGTGATGACGAAATGGAAAATATTGTTCCTATGAGCTCTAATCCAAATAAACTCCCTTTAACTCTAGTGCAATAAGAAAACTTAGAAAGATAATACAAAGAAGTGCTACTTGAGCTTGAGTCTACTTAAAAGCAACTAGATGAGGTTGAAAAATCTCTAAGAATAGAAACATTAAATTTCGAGGAATCGAAGAGACATGTATTGATATTAAAGATGGCTCTTTAATAAAAAGTTGAAGAGGAAACTCTTAAACAAATTTTAGCAGAAGTTATTCATGATGCAAGAATAAATAAAGTAGATTTGTATACTTATTTAGCAAGGTAAATGAATCAATAGTAGTTAGAAGGAGATAAAAATAAGCATAGAGTAGTAGATTTAGAAAGGTAAGTTAAAAAGCTAAAGTAAATTAATGAGGAACAATCGAAGCAGATGAAGCAGCTCTAGGAATTTAATGAAAGCATAAATGTAGAGTTAAAAAATGCAATTTATGCTTTATAAATGGCAGAAGATGAAAAAGAAAGAATGCTGGCTGAGTAAAGACAATAAATTTTAGATTAAAACTCTCATGAAAAGGATTAGCTTTTGGATTACTTGACTGATTGCAAAAACTAAATAAATGTTTTATAGCAAGAGATAATTAATCTTAAACATCAAGTAAATTCTAAAGCATTAAATTATTCTATAGCTTCTGATCATTCAAATCCAAACAAAAATAGCTAAGTACAACAACAAATTACTGCTGGAGATGTAAATAATATCTCAAATGGCTTTTCTAATAATAAATAGCAATTATCTGCAAACTAACATTAATCTCCTGAACAATTATTTAATAATTTAAGCAATAACAAATTGCATAACTAAGATAATTCTTTTAGCCATTAAAATAATTAAAATAGTTTAAATTTTAGTAAGAACATAAACAATGATTCTGCTGAAGGAAAAAATAGTTTACTTGATCATCACTAAGAAGGAAATCTAGGAACAAATATGTAATAATATATTCATCATCCTGATGATTCATAGAGAGACGATTAGTCTCATACATAAAACTATAACTTAATACATCAGCATGAAGAACAATAAAATTATCATGAGAACTCATAAAACTCTATACATTAACCTTAAAATCTGTAAAAAAAATTCTAAGATGAAGAACTAGAAGAATTGCTAAAAGAAATAGAAGAAATTAATATAGATGATATGCAACCAGAAGTAGTTGTAGAAAAGCTTAAAAAATTAGGTGGAGAAGCCAAGAGATTAAAATAGGAAATAGAATAAAATAATTTAGTTATCTAAGATTATAAAATGCGTTAAGAAAATGAAAGATCAAGATATTCTGATTAAATAAAAGAATTGTTTGAGTAGTTATCTTAAACAAGATAAGAACTTCGTTCCAAAAAAGATTAATTTGAATAACTAGTAATAAAATTAAAATTTAAACAAAGTAAAAATATTTATTTTTTAAATAGGAATCTAACTAAATAGGGTTAGAAGAGCAAATAGAATCTTATGATTAAATTCTATAGTAGAAACAAGAGGAATATGAAAAGGTGAATGAAGAATTAAGATAGCTTCGTTAAATTGCAGGTGATAGACTCTAAGAAATGAATGAAATAAAGTTAAAGTATGAAATAGAAAACAATGCTCTTTAATAAGAGGTAGAGCAGCTGAATGTCATAGTTTAAGAATATGAAAGTTCTATCAACTAAGATAAAAATTCAAGTGAAGAAAGATCTTCTTCTATGTAATTTAACTCTTAAAGAAGTGGATAACAAACAGCAATCAGATAAAGTAACTCTCCTAAGAATTATAGCACCTTCTAAACAGGAAACTTAGCCAAATAAGGCAACGAATAAAATTAATTACAATCCAGATAAACTTAAGAACAAGAATCTAACTAACATTACAACGTTTCTACACTTAATAACTAGGTTGAAAGACTGTAGAGCGAAATATACTCCAAAGAATAACAAATCTAACAATTAATTGAGGATATAAAATAAAAAGACTTGCATATTCTCCACATTACAGATGATTTTTAAAAATAGATTTAACACCTAAATCAATAGTAAATATTAAAATTCACAGCAAATTTACATTATGATTTATTTGCTTAATTATCGAAATATAATTTAAAATAAAAAGGATTGAAGACATTCAAAACGAGAAAGAAACAATAATTCATGAAAATGAATATTGTAAAAAAGAGGTTTAGAAGCTAATGGAGAAAGACCTAATTAACACAAATAAGCTTAAAGATAAAAAAGAAGTCAAACAGCTTTAATAATAACTTGACACAAAGCAATTAGAAGTTGAAAAATTAATTTTAGAAAAAGAAAACTTAAACTATTTTGTTGAAGCATACAGAAAGTTTATTTTTAATGAAAATATTAAAAGAGCAATTTAAGAGTATATAGGAGTAATAGAGAATATATCTTCTTTAGAGTATAAAAGAAGAGAAAATGTTCATAAAATAAATTCTCTTGAAATGCAACAAACATTAGAAGAATACTAAAATGACATTATCAAAATTAAAGAAGAAATTATCTCTTTGAAAGAAAGTTAATTTACACTAGATGACCAAAAAAAGGTTCTTCTAACACGTAAAATTTAGCTAGACAAAGAGCTTGAAAGTATAACAATATCACAATCAGACAGATATGAAAGTTGGTAAACCCTCGAAGAAGATTATCAAGAAGTAATTATTAAAATAAATTTTAGTTTTCTTTTCAAGTAAATCATAAATAAATAAATAAACAAATTGAGTGCAATTACTTATAAATAGAAAAATATTTTAATAAATGTTTAGTTTTATTAAACAAATTAAGTAAAAAAATAATAAAATTTGTAATTAAATTTAAATTGATTGTTTAATTAACTTATCTGAATAGTTAGATAGATAGATAAATTTATCATTTTTATTAAATTTAAATTGATTTGTGATTTAATAAAATTTTTTGTTTAAATTATAAAATTTAATGGAAAAAAATTTTTAATTTATTTTAAAAAATATATTAATAACTTTTCAGTTATTTTTTATTTATTAATTAATATTAGATAAATGTTTATTTGATTTTAATTTATTTTTTTAAAGATAAAGAAAAAAGTTGAAAGACAAGTTAGAGAATTTACTTTAAAAGAAATTACATATAATAATGTATAAACTGCATATAATGATTTATTGAAGGAATATGGGTAATCTATTTATTTCATATTTATTTTTAAAAGCTTAGTTTTAAAATATTAATAGGCGTCTCTTAAGCTAAAGCATTACTTAGCAGAAGAAACCATTAATGAGAAATTAGTCTGCTTAAGGTGGATAAACATTCATACTGAATAAAAGCTTACAATCTAATTTATCTTAAAATCGTAAAGTTTATTTATTAATTGGGATTTCAGTAATAATTATTTTAATTTAGAATTTAGTCCAAATAAAAAATCAACCATTTAAGAAGTATCAGCAGAAGAAAACTCTTAAATAACAAATAATGTAAATCAAAAATTATTAATATAAATAATAAATCAATATTATTAAACTAGTATACTATTAAAATATCTTCTGATGAGGTTTAGGGTAAAAAATCAAGATACGACAGCAGCCATCATAATAATGACATAACTTCTTCTAATTATTACGACAATATGCTAATAATAGATAATGAAGAAGATGTTTACAATTAATAAGCTAGTTAAAATATTAATAATTTTATATAAAATAAAGAAATTCAATAAAATCTCGAATGAAATTCTCTTTATGTGTAAAAAAACATTTTCCATTTTATATTAAAATAAAAGTTTATTTAGCTTAATATTACTAAAATAATTTCTATCTTTTCATTAATTTGGTATTAATATTTGTTTAATTTAAAATATCAATAATTTTGTTTTATTAATTTTATTCATTCATCTCTTAATTTAAATTTTTAATGAAGTCAGGAATAGAAAATTGATAAGACAATATAATAAAATTATTATAATTGTGTTTTATATAAAAATTATTTCATTTAAAACATTTAACAATCAAAAATAAAAATTATTAAAAACTATGCATAGATAGATACTAAAATAATTAATTGGTTTACTTTAACCAAATAAAAGTGAGAAATAAATAAATAAATAAAAATATTTATATAAAATATATATAAATTCTAATAGAAAGATATATATAAAATATAATAAAAAAATGGACTAATAAATAATTATTTATTGGTTTATAAATGTATTTATAAGATAAAGATATAAATATAAAATAAAAATGACTGGACTGATAAATGATATATAATTATTTATTCGTTTATGCTTTTATGTATGCATGTATTTTTAAAGACTTCAAAATTAATCTATGACCATTCTATCTATATACAAATAATTCAGCAAATAAATTTTATTAATAAATAAATTTATTGATTATATTTTTACTCTTCTTATTAGTGATTAATAGTTTAAATTAACAAAATTCTATTTCTTTATTTACTTTCTTTCTCATAGAGTACTATCATCAGCGATAAGAAACAGTAGAAAAATTAATATATGGCGACTATAATGCTTATTTTTTCTATGGAGCAGCTTCTTAAACGCCCTTAATGTATGGATTTTAGTGATATGTTGAAGCATCGTAAAAAATGTTCTATTTTTTTCTATTGGTAAGGAGAGCTGATTAGCTATATCCTAAGTCTATTGATCTATTCATGCTTAAGTTGTTATTGATATTAGATACTCCATACATAGATTAGTTTGTTTGCTATTGTTAGCCACGAATTGCTAGTCCATTTGGTTAAGGCTATCTAGCATTATTTGCAAATTGTATTGTATTTGGTCTATTAGAATTGTCATTTTCATCTCTTTACCAAGGACTATCATCATAATATTTTTTAATATCTTCATAAAACATAAAGTCATTTCCAAGTCTTTCAAAATCTATCTTCTTTTTTGGATTAGCAGCTGGGATCTAAGAACTCCCATTTACATAATCGCTAGCTTTGTAGTTATAATCCTAGTATCTATTTTAAACAACATCACTTCTATATTCCTCGTTTTCTTTTATGTTAAACTATTGATTTTAAGCAAACTATCCATGATTAGCTACTGGTTTTGTTCCATCATCCTAAATACCAGCCTAAGGCTTATTATCCATACAATTACCCATCTATTTACTATAACTATATTTGACTTTCCTAATCTATTATTTATTGATAATTTTTTTATTAATAACTTATGTTTTATATAAAAAATTAATTAGAATTAAATCCAAAGATTCTGAGGATAAGAGTTTTTTAATTTAAGCATAATTTATTCATCAAATTTTAATGTATTTTTATGAAAGGGTTTTATAAGTTTGATATTATTTGAATCATCAAAATATCATTTTTTTACAAATTAATTCTTTATTTATCCAATAAAATGAAGGAAAAGAAGAGATCTTAGTTACATCATATAAATATTCAAGCTACATTGACAATTAAAATAATATTAACTTTTAGGATTAGAATAATTTATTAATAATATTATTGCTAGAACTTTAGTAAAATTAATTAATTGGTTTTAAAAAGTATTTTATTATTATGTATTTTTTTAATAAAACTTAGATGAGAATCTTTAAATTTTAATATTAATTTTGATTAAATTGAATAAGATTTTAAATAATTAATAGCTTATCCATTTGATATCAAATTTATATTTATTTTTAATAATTATAAATCATTAGGAATATAAATATTACTTTAAATTCTTATGTATTAACAATCATTTATTTGATTTTATTAAACCAAAAAAAATAAAAACTATTACTTAATTAGGATACAAATTTCTATAAATTTAAATAGATTTAATTCAAACTATTCTTGAATAATTATTTCTCTGGTAGGAAATAAATATTGGTTAGAATAGTAAATATTATTAAACAAATGAAAAAATATATATAAAATAATTAAAAAGGTATCGAAATAGGTTTGGAACCTAAAGAAACAAAAAAATAAAAATTAAAAATAATATTTTTAAATAATTTGATTCTTATTCAATAATGTTGATTATTGCTTTTAAACAACGATAGATAAAAATTAAATTTGCAAATTGTTTCATTTATAAAAGATAGATCTAATTTTATATTAGTAATAGATGAAAAGTTATTTTTGAAAATAAATTAATTATTTTTATTATTAAAAAAAACCTATTTTAATTTTTTTACTAAAAGTTATATTTTAATTCTATATAAAAAACATTTAAATATGATAAATTTTTAGGTTTAAATATATGGGATACAAGTATAAATAAATAAAGCTTTAAATAACTCAAAGGAATAGTATTTTATCATCTAAATTATAAAATTGATATAAATATAAAACTTTATTTTTTGTTATTCATTGTTAAAGCAACTTAAAAAATACCATTTAAGTACAAAATAATAATTATTATTTGCTAAAAAATAAAATAAACTTTTAATAATAAAAACTATTTAAATTAATTAAAATCATAAAAGCTTAAATATGTAATCATATGTAACTATAATACAAAAATGTTATAAATTAAAAATTTTTTTAAATAAAAATAAATATTTCAACTTATATAATAAAAATGCTTAAAAAGAATTTTAAAAAAATATATTTAATCAATCTTTTGATTTTGATTATATCAGTAATTAAAAATATATTGAAAGAAAGATGATGATGATAATAGATTTATGTTAGGTATATGACAATAAATAATATTACTCAATTTTTGACTAGGATAAAACATAAGTTTAGTAAATAGAATTTATCTAAATAGTTTGAAATCATTTTAAAATCAAATTTTAAAAAAATAACTGGCCTGGCATATTTTAGTTAATTTTATTTTTTAAATGTGATATTTTATAGTGTAGAAAAAAATATATTCTATTATCAAATTATCTTATTTTATAAATAAGAAATACTATTATGTATATTTATTTCTAAATCAAATCAACTAATTAATTTATACAATATCGTTTTTTAAAATAATTTTTATTTTTAGCAATTATATTTAAAAATATTTTAAGCTACTTTAATTCAATTTATTTAGAATATGAAAGTGCTTCTTTTTCTGAAATAAGTGTGAAATAAGTGGATGTAAAAAAAAAGTTAAGTCATTATTTTATATTATTCTTATTATAAAAATATCGTAGTTAGAACATCATGATTTAACTAATGACGCTATAAGCAAAAATCTGTAAAGAAAATTTGATATTTTCCTTAAAATTAATAAATTAGATGCTTTTTACTTATGTTATTCAATAAAAATGCTTAAATTACTTTTCTATTTGATACGCTTGAAACACAAAGATATTTTTAGATTTTTAAATTGAAAAACTTTAATTCATGTGAATATTAGTATGAAGTCTATGAATCTTTTATTTTTAAAAAAAATTGTTGGTTTCATTATTTTATTATTGAACCTTTTTTTACTTACTCTGTAAAATATGGTAATATCTAATTATGAAAAATTTCTTAAATTATGAATCTAAAAAAGCTGTTTACTGGATATAATTAAGGTAGTAGTTTTATTTGAAATATTTTCGTTAAGAGTCTGAAAGGTTGAATTTCTAAAAGATACTTTATGAAGAATTTTATAATTTGATTATTTTCTATTTTAACAGATAAACAAATAGGTTTTTTTAAAAACTGAAACAATATAAAAATATTTTTAAAATTCAGCATACTAATTATAGTAGATAAATCATGTTTTTCAATAAGTTAACAAAGAAAGAGTTGTAAATAAATATTGTTTGCTAGTATTTTTAAATTGTTTTATTTTATACTTTATTATAGACAAATTTTCTTTTTTCAAATAATTTAAATATTCAAATATGTATTCGAGTTAAGCAAATTTACTGAGTCTATTACATAATTAAATTAAAGCCTACTTATTACTTGAATCTATTAAAGTTGAAGTTTCTATAGCAACTATATAAACGAAATGTAGCTAATGAATAATATTTGAAATTTTATAAAGCAGTATCTTTCTTTGTTTTTTGAATGCTAAATTCAATTTAAATTAAAATGTATTATGAAAAATGAGTTATAAAATTAAAATGATTGATTATAAATAGAATAAATATACAGAATAAATAAATAGATAAAGAAATAAATAAATGAATTAATTAATTAATTTGATTTTAGATTAGTATATTAGTAAATTATTTTTTTTTATTAGTAATAGATATTTTTGTTGTATTTCTCTTAGAGATTTTAATTGAGAATGTAAATTTTGTTTTGGTTTATTTTGGTTAGTGAATTATTCAAGCAAATCTTCTGTGTATTTTGAAAATCAATCTGCTTAAACATCTTACTAATTAATTTCTGGTAAATTTTAATCAGTTTGATTCTAAATATTAATGATTACAGCACCTTCGATTTAATTTTAAGGCACTTAGGGAGCTTCTATTTTATTAAAGTTAGATGCTTCATCAATGTTATGGCAAGAATTAATTGCTGTTTTTGGAAGAACTTGATTATGTTATGTTGCTTATGAGTGGTTGTCTGATTAATTATCTGGTTATTTATTTTCGTGTTGTTCATTAATAGTGTGAGAAGCTTGCATTTTCAATTTATAGTCGAAGACTTCTTTTTCTCCATCTTATAAACTTCTTCTGCAAACAGGGCAGCAGAAAGATTTACCTCTATGAGCGAAGCTGTTGAAGCAGTCATTGTGGAAAATATGGAAGCAAGGAGTCAAACGTACTTCGCTTTGATCACTAAACTCATCCAAACAGACAACACATTCAGTTACTTCTCTAATATTAGGATATTTGCTCACAATTTCAGAGTATTTTTAGTTTGGGATTTTTGTATCTATTTGAATTGTCTTTTATTCTTTTTAAAATTAGGCAATCTTCTTTTATTGATAATGTCTCAGTATACTTCTTGTAACACAGAAAACCAAGATTAAGAGTACTAAACTTATTAGTGAGATGATAGTTATAATAATTACACCAAATTGAGTGCTGAAATCAATCAAAAATGTATCATATCCTGAACTGATTTGTTAGAACTTTAACTCGAAGCTAGCTGCAAAGTGGTTAGTATTTTTAAACTAAATAATATTTTGGTATTTGGAGACTTAGCTGCTCATTTGAATTTTAATGTTAGTAGGGCTGTCAATAAAAGTGCATATATGTCCTGAATTAGCTACTTTCAATTCAAATACACCTCCATAAATGGTATAATCAATACACTGACTTGATTTTACATAGATGCTGAGATAAACATCTTAATTCTATTTTAATTAAAAAAGGATTAGTTAATTTGCTATTTAAATTGAAAAAATCAATCAATCGATTGAATAGTAGTAATTAGCTTTTCGAATTTTTTTTAATTAATGTAAATTACATTCAAAAAAATTTAAATTCTTATAAAACCCTACAGATGTTCATAGTAGAGTTCCTCAAAAATGAAATTAAAACTCTTTTTAGAAATTTAGAAATAATTATAAAGAGATAAAATTAGATTTTTATAATTATTTAATCTTTTTATTAATGATTATCTAATTATCTTTATTTGGGAAAATAATTGTATTGTGTCAAATTAGATTGATTGATTTGCTTCGTTTTTTTAGCCAAATTACCTAAAAATAATATTCAAAATAAATATATTACGGATTATGAAGAGATATCATTGTTAATGTAAAACACAGAGGATTCATTTTCTTTCAATTCATAAATTTTGTACTCTTGATCAAGTAAATTAGTTAAGGGTTATCCCTCTAAACCACAGTCAATTCCTTTGAAATCTTTTTTTTAGAATATTTGTTTAGATTATTAAAAAACATATCTAAATTAATATTTAAATTTTAAATTGAATGAGCTTATCAGTTTAAAATGAAATAACTGACTGAGCTAAATATAAAATAAAAAGAATCATTACTTTGTAAGCAGGAGCATTGACCATCAAATTAGCTGCAAACACCATTGATACCACTGCAGTTAAAAGGACAAGGGTAGCTTTAAATTGAATTTAATAGAATACCTTGAAGATTAAGATTGAATTTGAAAGTAGAACTTGTTGGGAATAAAGAGTTTGAAATATAGGAAAATATCAGACTTTTGCTGTTGAATTATGAGTTAATAGGTATGTTAAAAATAGCTCTATTGCCTTTAATTAGAGATTAAGATGGTGAAGCTAGTAGCAATTACATTTAGTCTTACAAAATCTAGAGAGATGAGCCAATAGGAATATTTGAGCTCTCTAATTCTACTTCAAGGACTAAGCTTTAGTATTTAGTAAAATCAATATTAGAAAAGCTATATTAACAAGCAAAGCTCAAGCTGCAGTCTAATTAGTTCATTTGAAGGGTTTCATAATCTGCTAAACAGAATTATAATGCAATTAAGTAAATAATTACGCTAGTCAGTAGCTTAGAAATAGCCATTTTCACTTCTTTTTTTTATTTGAATATATCGTGTTTATATATATATGAATGTATGTATTGATTATTTTTAATTTTAATTTTGTTTTTGCTTTATTAAAGATTATATTTTTCCCCCACTTCTTAGCTTTTAATATTGTTTGTTCCTTTTCTTTGTTTCTTGAAAAGTGATAGATTAAAACTTGAATATTTAATTAAATCATACAGTAAAAAATATTGGCAAATTTTCTGTAAGGAATTAAAATAAAATTAATTGAATTTAATATTGTGTAATTGAGTGCAGAAAAATTATAACATACAATAATTTTTGTTTTTTAAATAGAATTTAAGAAGATTGCTCGCAAAATTAACAAACTATTTTAATCCTGAAATTACTATGAAGCCTAATTAATCCTTAATTCATCATTTGTGTTGACCAAAAAAAAATTTAAATTCTTAAAAAATAACTTACAAACAATATAAAGAGTCATGAAGTTTCTATTTTTTTGTAATTTCATTAAGTAATCTAAAGATTTTGGCTAATTTATGATGAAATCCAAATAAATTATTTCAAATAATCTTGAAGGTGTCTAAATATTTGTTTACATAACAAATAAAAATAATAAATAAATCTGTAAGGATAACTAAGCAGTGCTATGTAAATGTTCTTTTAAAAGTTATAGACTTATCTGTAACATATAAATACATGTCTTAATTCGGTGATTTGCATTTTTGGTACTACTTTGCTTAATAAAATAATAAATGATTAATTTTTTAGATACCTCATTAAGGTATTGCGTCAGTCAGTCAAATACCAATTTACTAAATAATTTATGCTATGTAAACCAATTATATTTGCTATGTTAGAATGAATTTATCAGAAGTAAAAGATTCAAAATATACTTTTTATACATTTTTAACATTATTTCGAAAAATTTCTTTAGACTTTTTAATGAAAGACTGCTAAAAAAAATTAAGATAGATTTAATCATATACACAAATAGATTGCGTCATAAACAAAATCAGATAGATAAATAAATGAATGCATGAGGTAATAATGTTTTTATCTAAAATCTAAGTTAATTACGGATCATGCTTAGTTATTTGATAATTAAATTATTATTATTAATTTGGATATATATTTTTAACCAATTTTACATATTTATTGCCAAATTGCTTACAAGCATTTAACTTATTAACTTAACATTAAATTCTTCTTTAATTCTTAAATTTAATTTTTAAATGAATGTAAATATTTTTTAATTACGATATAAATCGTAATCATTATTTGAGTAAATCTTCACATTCTGTCTAATTCTAATTAATTCAATTGTCTATTTTTCCATAGGATTTTTTAAAGAGTATTCTATCATTCTATTAGAAATCTTTGAAAGTAACTTTGGACAGTTTTCCAAATTTGTTTTTTTTAACATTATTACAATGATTCTCTTTTATTCTTAGAAATATTCATTTACCCTCACCAAATAAATGATAATATAATTTATAGTTTATATCTAAATATACTATTATATTTTATGAGTCAAAGTTTAAATATTCTTATTAATTTTTTCCTTAAAAGTTTTTAGGTTAAATTTTAATTAGAAGAATTTATCTTGTTTTATAATTCTTTACTTTAAAATAATCATATTTGTTTACTTAGTCATGTTGAATTCTAGTATAAGAATATTTTAGATCAGTTTAATTTAATTTTTAAACATTTAATTATATTTTTTAATCATATAAAATAAAGTAAATTCTAGAAAAAAAAAAATACTTCAAAGTATTTAAATTGAATTTTTTCTAAATTTAAATTATATTTAATACCAATAAAAATCTTACTTTTAAGTATCCCTACTTAATCAGAGTTTTTTTAAAGCATTATTGACATACATTTTAGTATTTGGATTTAAAATATTTTAAGAATGAATCATTTCAGCAGCACATACTTCACATTATTTTAAAGTAAAATTAATAAGAAAAATAAATAGATAGCTCCATTTTATTTACTTAAAATAAATATTTCTTGTTTTAATTTAAGGATAAAATAAATAAATTAATTAATTTTCTTTATTAACAATTTAAATTAATGGTAAATTTTAATTTAAAATGGCGAATATCTTTTACTCGTTTAAAAATAACCTTTTTATATTTATTTGTAGTTTTGATTAAATTGTGTAAGATTTTCCAAACTATCTGAGTAAATTACTAAATCAAAAGTCAATAAATGAATCAGTCATAATATTATACAGCTTATTTACTATATTTAAAATTTTTATTAAAGATTTGCATAACTTTAGTTAGTGGGTAAGCAAATAATTAATTGACGTCAAGCAAATTGCATTAGTTAACGTCACTAAAAAAAACATACATAGGAGTGATGGATTTAATTTATTAAATATAACTATTGAGTGAATTAATTAGAAGGATCTTGAATAAATTTACTTCAAAAGGGCTAAAAATTAGCTTTAAAATAAAACAGTTGGAATATTAAGTCTTAGATATGATGAATTTAAATAATATTTGGAGTGATTTAATGTATGTTTAAAAATTTTTTAAATTAGATAATTATAGGAAATCAAAAGTTATAATTTTATATCTATATTTTATTTAAAGAAAAAACAATATTTATTTATTTTTTGCTTGTTTTTAAGTAGCTAACTAGATCCAATTAATTACTCTTGAATTATTCTATAAAATATTACAATAAATAAGATGCATTTAAATTTTATTTTAATAAATTATTCATTAGTATTTTGCGTGTTTGAATACAAGAAACTGGTTTTACTGGACTTCTTTACAACCCAAAAATATTTACTTCATTAATCCAACAATAGCTGATGTTTTGTATATAGCTATTTCTAATTTCGACTAATCAATAAATTAGTCAATCATTTTAGAGGTTAATTGCTATTTTATTTTTAGCTAGAAACTAGTTTTACTGGATTGCTTTGTAATCCATAAATATTAATTCCTTGAGATTAATCAAAAATAGATTATTTAGTATCAGTAATTTCGTAATTCTGATTAAGTAAATGTTAGCGAGATGCTTCAGAACTTTTAAAGATCTAAGAAAAGAAATCATTTTTAGCTTTTTTTGTAGTATAGTGAATATTCATCCCTTGAGTATACATCTATTGTTTTGGGTTGTTCTTACTTGTATTTAGGTTTTTATTTTATTTATTTATGGTTTGTACATTGATTGCTGAAGAAGTGCTTTAACTTTGAGATATTTAGATCTTGCTCTAATTTGGCTATATTGTTGGGACTAGGGAATTATTAAATGCAGGGTTTATATTTGATTCTGTTTAATGTATCGAAGGCAAGGTATTGTTATTTTCTTTTTTTAGCTTTTGAATGATTTCGTCTGCTTTATACTTATTCTGTGTATTCTTCTTGCTCAGTATCTCAAATTTTATTGTAGAAGACATTACAAGACTTTCTATCTGCTGCTGCTGAGGAATTATTCTTTCTGTAGATATATTTTATTTTGTCGCATTACTGGATTAATTCTTTTTACAGGCTAATTTATTTAAGAGACTGTATTACTTCAAGTAGTAAATTTAATTTTATAATCCGCTATCGCGAATTGAAAGAGGCTGACTAAAATCTGGTGTAGATTACTTTTAACTACCTAGGATATTTCTTTGTGTAAAACTCTAAAATATATAATTTTCTTCATCATTCTTAGTTATCTTGCTCAGTGGTAGTATTAATTACTATTTTTTTAATTTTAATTTCATATCTTCTTGACTTGCTCTTCTCTGAAAATTATTTGGTTTCTCTGTACTTTATCGACTCAAATTCGTCTCATTTTCATTCAGTTTAGTATCTTCCTAATGTCTAAAATTAATAAATAAATATTTTAGGGCTTTTAAAAAAAATAATTAAATGAATCAAACAAAACTTACTGATTCTAAATTTAGTCGTGAGTGTTTAATGCTATGTCACTAATATCGGAGTTATTCTAAAAGATTAAATCTTCCCCTTGTTTATTCATAGCTAATTCACCAGTGTTGTATTCTATGAACGAAGGTTTTTCTAAATCTAGATTTGTCTCTACTATGATATCAACTCCTTTTTTATTTTAAGTTTTTTAACTATTCATAGTATCAGTAAATGATTAATTGATTGAGCTTAGCATTATTTCTTCCAGTTGACTGGTATTTTGCTTTTGAATTTTATTTGAAGTTTTGCCTCTTTTATCTTCATATTTGTCTAGATGTTTGAGATAGTTCTTGAGACTGTTTTTTTAGTTACTGCCACCTTTAAATTCCAAATAAAAATAATTTAATTTAAACATTAAATAAATTAAAAAATGCTATTTACCATTAATGAGTTAATTTGAATCAATTTTTTGCAAATTATTAAATAAATAGGATTTATTTTTTAATTATTTCTAAGTATTGTTACTGACTTCCGTAATTTGATTACAACTTAATCCATTTTATGTGTTAGAGCAATAACTACTTAAATCTCTATTAAAGAATTTTTGCTTAATTAACTAATACTTTTAACGAAGATGACTTAAATTATTTTTACTGCTACCATTTTAAAGAACCGATGATGTCTTGTCGCTTTTAGGATAAATTTAGCTACTAGAGTTAATTGCGTTAAACCTTTATTAAATTTACTCGTCAGATATCGAAAATATATTAAATGGATTGGTGATAATGCCGTTCTTTTGTTTTGCTTAGCTTTCAATTTCATTGCTTACTATATTGAATATGTTATGCTTTTTTGAAGAATTTGGATTTTTATCTTCAATGTATTTCAGCAAATTCTCATTAAAATTTTACTTACTTTGCAATTCTTCAATCTGATTTCCAAGCAATCCGTTCTTTTCTAACAATTAAAAGACTTTTTAATCAGATTCTCTTCTAGTATAATAATTATTTGAGTCTAAATTTGGTATTGTTTATTTTTTAGAAGTTAAATAATTTCTATCCTCCGAGAGTGGTTGCATTTGATTATTCTACCATTTTATTTAGTTGCTAAAAGCATTTACTTCTGGTTAATCATTTACAGCAGCAATAGTGCTAGGTTTTTCAGGAGATATTTTTCTAGATTGGTGAATAGCCTTCTTACCCCTAGGCGAAATATTAACCACTTACAGAGTGTCTAATTCGTAAGGTTAAATATATATGTTTTCATTATTTTTACTCTTATTAACTAAACTATTGGTTGTAGAACGTCTTTTTTAATTTTCTATGATAAATTAATTGGTAGCATACTTTTAATCTTAATGAAATATGCTGTTTTATTACTTAACAAATTCTTTAGAATCGTTTAACCTAGGTGATTAGCTTTATCCACTATTATGGAAAATGCTGTTATACTACACTGACTATTCTTTTGAATTGTTAAGTCTGGGTGATTAACAAATTGAGTATCTTTATTGGCTATCAATACACTATTGAAAGTAATCAAAGGAATCAATTTGGTTGTTTTAGGTCTTTGATGTAGGAGAATCAATAAATCCCCGAATATGCTATAAAACAGACTTTCTAGGAGTGAACTGTCCATTATTTAATTTATTTTTTGGCTGTTATTTTTACGAGGGACTCAGACTCTCAGATTCTTTTGTTTTAATTTTATTTGATTGACTAAAATCCTAATCTTCATCTTAATCTTATAGAGGCAAAACATTTTCGTTTGTCAAGTTTTTGCTTTCCATTTTGAGTTTATTTAACATATTTTCTGTTTCAATATTTTGTTTAATTAATATTTTTGCCTTTTATTCTAAATCCAATGTTTAAATCATCATGGATTATCTTTCAGAAGTAAATTTCGATCTGTTTTAAATCGTCTTTAAAAAAATGTCTAAAGTATTATTTAATTTCAGGCAATCTATTAATTTCTTTAAAAAAATATCCTATTAATAACCAACCAACCAACCAATCAAAATCATTATTAATTTTTTACTAAAAAAATACAAAAAATAATTGAATTTTTTTGAAATAACTCTTACATCTTTTCTTATAATAAAAAGAGTTGCTTCTATAGAGTAAACTATTGCTTCACATTTCCTTTTATTTATATTTAGTTAGATTTCTTCCTCTCCAAAAAGATTATTTGGTCCTAAAATAGAGATCGGTATTTTCTTTTTTAGTTTCTTTGAGATTTTATTTTAATCAACAATGTTATATTTGATTTACTTTTTTGGAGAGAAAGACTTATTATTTTCTTCGTCTTAGGCTAAGGAATCCAAACATATATTTGTGAATAACTCTATTTCTCCCGATTTAATGAAGTAAACATAATCAATATCATCTCCTTACTTATAAATAACATTTTTCTACTCAAACTTTTCTATCTATTGTTATTTATTTTAAATTAGGATTAAAATCTAATGCTATTATTTAAATTTACATTCATAAAGAGAAGAATTGAGAGTAGCTTAGAAGGGTGTATTTCTTTGAAAAAACTAAATCTCTATAAAAAGGCTAATCTTTCTCTAACTATGTATTCATGGTAAGCTCCTACTATTTTTTCGAATCCTTGCTTATTTAAAGTCATGAGGTAGGTGTCTTCTCTGCAAACCATAGTAGCAGTTCTTTTTCAAATTTAATTAACTGAATTTATTTCTTGAACATATAATTTCACTTCATAAAGTTAAATATAGCAAATATATAAAAATCAAAGCTTGATTTAAAATAAAATAATTTTTACCTTGATGAGTTGGTCATTAAGGAAATCTCACCAAAAGCCTCTCCAGCCTTATAAATTTTTACACATTCAAGGTTAGGATAAATTTTTTTAATTTAATAAAGATCTTCTTATTCTTCCTCTGTATAAACGCTTGCATCTCTATTTAAATTAAATAAATGAGTATATATATACAAATGAAATAAGGATTTTATTTACTTAGCACTTTATTTTTTATTTACTTGTGGTAATACTTCACGACTCTTCATTCTTTTTATATTATTAATGTCCTATGAAATCGTTTTAGGATCATTACTATGAGCATTTTCATTTTAATATGAGTCGCCTTAAGGTTATTACTGCGTAGCTTCTCGTAATAAACAAAAAACTGACCCTAATAAGATTATAAAATAAGTCGAGCCATGATCACCTAATTTTTTATTTTAATTAAAAAAAAATTTAATTTCCTTAAAATATGTTAATAATCAATCAATCAAAACGCTTGCAAAAAGATAAACTAACGCGCTCTCTCTTAAATAGAATTAAAAAAAACAAAATAAGCAAGCAAACTCCTACCAATATTAAAAATGACTTCGTTCTTTTTGAAGCACTTTAGCTGAATCTCCTTAAATAGCTAGTGATTCATCTGGTCTTCTGAAAATATGTCTTTGTATTCTTAGAAAAGTTGTAGTCCCTGAATGCCTTTCATTAAAAAGTTTTTTTCTTGTTTGGTTTTAACTGGTCTAGTAAGTATATTGATGGCAATCTAAAATAATTAAATGATTCAAATACAAAAAAATTATGAAAAGAAATAGAAATTTCTACCATAGAGACATCTCTTTCTCTAAAATCAATAATCTTCGATTAAATTATGTTTTTTGTTTTTTGTGGGTCCCAATTATTAATATTAAGAATAGGATTATTTATTATTAAAATACTCTACTTTTTTAATGCTACTTTATCAGTTTTAGTTATTACTGATCTTTTACTGAGCATTTCATAATTGATAATCTAATCATTGAATATCTATATCTTTTTATCAGTTGTTGGTGGCGTTTATTATTTATTTTCACATTCTTGGTTTTCTTCATCAATGATATCGTTGTTATCATCTTGATATTCCATTTTCTCAATATAATAAACGAGAGAAATTAATTTGTTATTAAGCAAGCAACTTCTACTTAACGAAAATTAGTTTTAATTACTTTTATTTAAATGTATTATAAGCTTTAGAAGCAAATAAAGATAATTTAATTTATATAATAAAAAGATATATTGCTTAATTAAAAAGTAAAAGTTATTTTCATTAAAGACAGACAGACAGACGCATGGTTGATAATGAATTGATTATTTTATAATAAATATATATTAGTTTAAATTTTAATTATTTATTTATTTTCTTTTTTTATGCAAAAATATAAAATACTTATAATTATAATTATTTTTTTTTAATTTGAAAATTAAATCTCACCATTCATTCATGTTTTAACAAGTATTCTTTGTTTTAAAGATAAGAGCTATCAAACTTAGCCTCTTCTGTATTTTCAGATTAGTGCTTTTGTGTAGTTATTTAATCTAATTATTCTGAATTAGTTTTTAAGTTTACTTGTGAAGAAAAAAGATTCTATAAATTATTTTATTAATTTTGAAAATAATTTTTTTATTATTAGACTAACTTGCTAAGCATCTATTTGTCTTAAAAATTCCGAAAAACTTTTTATAAATTAAACACTTTTGCATATTTTCCAAAATCTTTAATATTTTAATTTGTTGTTTGAAAGGCATTTTAAGTTTTGTCAGCAGAGCTTTCTAAGTGTTAGTTAAATGTATTTAACTATTTTTAATTTAAATAAGATTGGTTTTTGTCAAATTAAGAATTGCTATTTAAATAGAAGGATTGGTCTTTACTAGAGTTTATCAGGTTGTATAGAGCAAGTTATGGTTTTTTAAATTTATCACAACTTTTATTTTTTTTTTCTAGTTAAGGAAAGGCGATTTAGATATTATATTTGGTTTCTAATTTATTATTAAGACTTGAATTCAAAGCTTTGTTGTTAATTTGGATGTGATTTGTTTATAATATTTAGCTAAAGTTTATATTGTCATTAGAATCTCTATTTTGCTGTGATTTATTCAAAGAAACATTATTATTTTATACCTATGATTAATTCATTCCAGCATTATTGAATTATTTATTTTTCAAAGATTTACCAGCTCCTCCTTAATCAATAAATTTATCAAAAGATTCTTTTTTTTGTATTTAATCCTTCACATTCAAGTATTCTTGAAAAACTCTATGATTCTATGATAATAAACTGTCTTGAGAAAAGTTTCTCATGAATGAAATGACATTATGTGGTTATTAATTTACTGAAAAAGAAGTGTTAGATAGATCTTAGGCAGTTTTTTTTATTTAATTTTAATTATTAAAAATAGAGTTATTTAAATTTTGTTATGATAACTTATTTGAAGAACTTACATATGTTTAGAACATCAAATTTTATTATTGTTGTTGTTGTTATTTTTATTGTTATTAAGAAGGAATATAAACTAAGCTTGAATTGCTAATTTCTTATTATTTTTTAAGTACTTAAACATTTTTATTAAATTTATTTAATATTAACTGACTTTGATGTATTTTAAAATCCTTGTTGTCTTTTGGTATTTGCAATTTTATTTTTGATTAAAAATTTGATTTATTTGAATTATTTTGAACATTTTTCTTTGATGTTTACCTAAATGCTTGCTAATGTTTTTATTTATCTATTTCTAAAAATAGCATGTGAAAGCTATTGGTATTGGAAGTCTTTTCTGGAGAAGAATTCTAAGCATTAGTTTAATTTTAACCAAAAGTGCTGAAGAATTAATATTATTATAATTAATTAAGATTATCCTTTTTAGCCAACAAACCTTAGTGTATCTTTTTAAGGTAGCTCAAATGGATTGAGTTATAAGGGTTGACATTATCATTTACAGATACAACTGATGAAATCGGAGAATTCCTTTTATTAAAATAAATATTTTTAATTTATCTTCTTTAATTTATAAATTATATTTACCCGTTTTAAATTAAACTCTGTTTGTTTTGTGGAATATAAAAAAATAAATTCCTATTCTGGATATTATATCTTGCTTGATTAGAATTGCTAGAATTAAATGTTTTTTAAATAATATTTGGGTCTTCAGCCTGAAATGTATTTTAAAAATAGCCATTTTATTCTATTTTTATTTCTTTTGGTGAATTCTACCTGCTTAAAAAGTTTATTTACAATTCTTATTTACTTTTTTATTAATTTTAGTCCTGAAAATTAACTCCATATTAAGTCTCAGTTTATATTTAAGTAAATTGGATGTTTTTAGATATTTAGTTTGAATCAAATTGACTTTAATTTTTTGGACTTAAAAATGGTTTTGGCTTTATACTTGAGTCAGGTTAATTTTAATTTAATCCAAAACTATATTATGTTTTATAATTATTATTTTTTTTATTAATATTAGCTTCTGAGCTTTCTTCATATTAAAAACTATCCTTTGAACTAGTGAATTTAGATACTTCATCTGGTTCTTATGAATATATAGTGTTAAATTTTTATATATTTTTATTTTATGTATTTTGAAAAATATTAGTTTTGTTTAAGTTTTTATTCCTTGTTTAGGCATAAAACTATCGCTTTCTTTAAGAACTAACGCTATTATTCTTTTCTACTACATTATCACTTTCTAAGAATTACTAAAATTTTGACTATACTACAATATCGTCACTCGAACAATAAAAGCTATTACCTTTGCTAGAAGTTTACTATGTAATATAATTATTGCTGCTCTTACTGCTAGAAGGACTTTATGATTCTTCAATAGCATTTCTATCAGAACCATTATTATTGTTATTACTATTATTATTATCATTATTACTATTGTTGTTTTTTTATAATTAAATGTTATAAGTCTATTGAACTTAATTTAGTCTATTTTATATCCAATCACCTCTCATTTACTCTTCTTTTCTGATAATTTAGATAGAACCATGATTCATTTTTATCATATCATAAAATTTCTAATTATAGTAAAAAAAATAAATTTAATTAAAATAACTGCAACTAATTAACTAACTAACTAACCAATGATTTGTTAGAGATTTTTTTTTAATTTCATTTTTATTTTATTTTGCATTTGTGATTTTGCAACAAAAATGAAATTATTAAATTTAAAAAATATCTAAAAGTGTTTTGTTAAAAAATTTTTAATAATTAATCAAAATCAATAATTTATTTAATACATTTTTTGGCAATATATAAACATGGGCAGTCTAAGATATGCATAGAGCTGATTGCTATCTTTTTTGAATATTGTTCAACAATTCGATTTGACCAAAATACTGATTAGAGCCTAAAATTAAAAGTTGAAGTCGTTTTGTCTTTTATTTATTCACTTTTTTCATAAGTGACAGATTTAATTATAAAATTTTATTTTCTTTGCTGACCTACTTTGAAGATGGAGAATCAGACTATTCCTAAGCTTCTTAATTTTCATTTATTTCATGATCCTGAAATATTTCTATTTCTCCTGATCTTATAAAAATAACAGAGTTACTAATTTCTCCTTATTTGTAAATAATGTTTTTTTTGAAATAGATTTGTTCTTTCATCCAACAAAGAATTTAAAGTAATCTAGATCTAACAATATTTTTAAAATAATGAAACGATCTTAAAAATTTTATTGTTTCGTCCAATATTCTAGTCTCATATACACCTATTATTTACTCATATCCTTCTTTTGTAAGAGTTAAAAAATGAGTGTCTTCCTTGCAAATCAAAGTTGCAGTTCTTTTTTTAAATAAAAATTATATTTAAAAAATTTAATTTAACATTCAAAATTACCTTCTTTCATTCGTAATAAGAGCTATATCTCCAAAACTTTCTCCTGAATTAAATGTATGAACTAACTTCAACGTAGGAAAACACTCAATTAAAAGTTATATTTGCTCCTTCTCAGTTTTTTTACTACTCTAATCACTTTCAAAGTTTGCTTAACTTTTCAAAAATTAAATAGTTATAATTTTTTTTAAGCAAAAATAAAAGTAAATAAATAAATAAATTACTTGTTAATTACTTCTGAAACCCTAAAATTTTTATTATAAGGGTTGGTAGTAAAATATTATTTCCTCTTATTTAGCTAATCATTTAAATATTTTTCTTTTGTATTATTGTAGTCTGGATCAGGAATCATGCAAAACACTTACCCTTTGTTTATAAATTTATAAATTTATTTATTTATTTTTTGATTCTTTAAAAATAAAAATTTTATATCATTAAGTAAATTAGCTTAATAATGATTTTCCAAATCTTTTTACTAAAATAAATTTAATAATTCAAAAATTAAATTTATTTTTTATTTATTTTTTTAATAAAGAATTAATTATATTTTTAATTTTTTTAATAAAGAATTGAGAAGTAATAATAGTTTACCTTATAGAACGATGTAATAAGTATTTCCATACTCACCTTTATTTATAAATATCAATTAATTATTTTAAAAAATAAGATTTTCAAAATACCTTGGTTAAATACAATAGTATTTTTTGGCATATACTAATAAGAGAACCATTCTGTTATGTTTAAAGATGAAGCATTATCACTAATCAAGTTTTTATTTTTTTGAAAAATGCTACAACATTTTAAAATATTTAAAATAAACTATTTTTCTTGCTTTGTTTTAGCCTTTTTCTTATTTAATATTTATATGACAAGCTTTTTTTAATAAAATTTAAAATGTTTAAAATCTTTTAGTTAATAAATTTTAATTACTTCACAATGTTCGCTATCTTTAATATCTATGTTTTAACTATTGAAAATTTAATTTGCCGTAGCTTGACTTATTTTTCTTTATCTATTTTTTTTTTCTTTAAAATCGATGTTGGACTTTTAATTCTAATTATCTTATATAGTACTCTAGAGTAGTTATTAGTGTTTTGCCTTTCTAATAGAAAAATAATTTATTTTAATTTAAATTTTTATATGATATAAATAAGTAAGTAGAGGTTTTAACAATATATTTAATAAATGTATTTACTTATTCTCATTTTCTATTCCTAACTAAAATCGCTTTTAATCCTATGATTTTAATGAACTTTAATCGCTCTATCTTTTATTTTATTAATTTTATTCATCTTAATTATTTTAGTTCATCTATTTTTCTCCATCATAGTCACTACCACTACTATCGCTGTTAGAGTCTTCATAATCTATAGTTATTAAATCATTCTACTATTTTGATTATTAAGAATCTCTACGAATCATAATAGCTTAGTTTTTTTGAAGCTAAGACCCTACAGTTTAGCATCTTTTTCTGTTAAAATCATCACTTTATTGCTATAAATTTACATCAGAGTACTTACGGGCTGTATATAAGTTGTTTGAAAATATAGATTTCCTTTAATGAAGTTATTAATTTTATTCTTCATATAGATTTATGGAGCTATCTTGATCAGATTGTTTAGAATTTTGTTTAATCTTTGAAATGCTACTTAATGAAGGAGAACTTATATTTTGGGATTCATGTAAAGTCTAATATAAACTTGTTTAAGATGGCATCTAAGAACTAGATGTTATTTTAATATTCTTATCATTCATTAATAAATAAATATATAGTATTCTTTTTTATTAATTAAATAGGAATATATATAAAAGTTTTTACCCTAAAACTCACCTTATATTATTAATAGGTTTTGTTAGAAAAATAAAATTAAAAGTTCTACCATCAAACAAAGAATTATCAAAGGTAAAAAGACATCTTCTAATATAGTTTAATTTTTACAGAAATGTAAACCTTTAAAAATAAAAATAGTCTTGGTGTATTTTAAAATTTTCAAAAATACTTGCTTTTAAAATAAATATTTCTTTTTCTTTTGCTACTTTAAATACTATTCCCAATTATCTACTTGAATATAAATGGATTTTTAGATTGCTTTTACTAATCATAATAATATCTATGCTCTAACTAAACTATGTTAATTAACATTTACTTTGAATCAAGTTAATATTAATATATGTATTAACAAACTTTTTTTATTTTATTTTCGATTTTTCTTCTTCTATTATTATAGCCACAATAAATAGAGAAATTCAAAATTTATACAGCCAAATTATTTTAATATAAATTGCAAGGTAAAGACAGTAAATCATTTAGTTACCTCTTGATTTTATAATTGATACCAAAGCAGTCTATTCTGATATTAATTAAATTTGATTCAATTATAGAAATGAATTTATTTTTCTTTTTTCAATTATGAATTATGGAATATAAAAATTATTTATTTTTAAAGGCTTTGAATATTTAAATAAATTTTTATTTAAAAATAAGATAAATTCTTCAATTGATATTTCAAGTTTTATTAGATAATAAAAAAATAAATATAAATTAATAATTTGAATGTTTTTTTTATTTAAAATATTTAAAATTAACTTTAAATTGATTTTAAGAAAAGTAATGTTGAGTTTAACAGCAAAATAATTAATTGTATATCAATAAACTATTTTATTTAATAAAAATTTATACTTTTATTTGTTTAATTTTTAAGTTAAAATTACAGTTTGTTTTATAACATATAGAATTAAATTTGAGTAAAGAAGATGTTTTATTTTAAAGAATAACAAACACACACACACAATTTAGTAATATATAAATATTTTGGTTATATAGTTTGAATAAGATTTTAATTATAAATAAATTACATTTTTCCAAATTAAGATAAATTTTATTTTTAAATCAAATTATTGTATAATATTGAGTATAAAAGCTATGTTTGTTTATAATGATGATCTATTGTATATGGTGCTCAGCAATTTACAAAAAAAAATAAAATGTTTATCTATTCTAACAAAATTTTATAATGAGAGGAGATTTAAATATCAAAAATATAATTTAGAATGACAAGTCTATTTCTGACTTCTTATCACCTATATCTAGCAGCTTTAGAATTCCACATTACGAAATCTTCTATATCTAATTTATTGTCTTCCTTTTTATTGAAAACCTTACTATGTTCTTAATTACCTTTTATTAAATCTTTATAAATATCATCAGTGTCTGAGTTGGCTGCACTAGGTCTGTTTATTTCTGTGAGTGAGGAATTTTTATAAATCTTAGAGAAGTTATTATTATTTTCAGAAAGACTATCGGCATTTGTTGAATAATTTTAGTAGATTGTACTTAGCGATTTTGGCTATTCTAAATTGCCTAAACCCATATTTTTAAGCCTTTCTTCTATTTTTTACTATTAGTTGCTTAGGATTTCATTAGTTGTTTTCTGAAATCCATCATCGTAAGTGACATAATTGACTTTATTGATACCTCCATCATTATAGTGGATTTATATTTTCTGAGAAGGTAATTCACCTTCTCTTAATATTCTTCCTATGTCTTAGTTAATTCTGTCTGGCTCGTAGTTATACTAATCATCAAACTCGAAGAAAACTTTCTTTTAATTTTATAAATCATATCTTGTAAAGCCTGGGTTTTCTAACAAGTTTTTAGAAATCTCATCCTCTATTTTTTCTCTTTCACTTCTTTCTTTTTCCAGCATTCTTTGTTCAAGTTCTCTTCTCCTAATTTCGTCAACAAGTCTTGTTTTGTTAATTTCGTTATAAAGAATGTTTTGCTTTTATTCTTGCTCACCCTTTTACTAATTTATTACATTTATATCTTTTTTAATAGTACTCAATTCATTCTATATAAATCCTTGAGATGCCCTCATTTCTGATCTCAATTTAGATAATTCCCCACTAATTGCATCACCTACTTGTTCTTTAACCTTTAAATATTTTATAAATGAATGTGAAAATTTAGTTAATTAAATCTCAAAATAAATAATTTTACTTTAAAAGGAATTTCTTGAATAATTATTTGATTGCTTGAAGATGATGTTTAGGTGTTAAATTTTTCTTTTTCTTAAAACGGATTAATAGCATCTTCAATTGGAGTTCTTGGCCTTTTTCCTTTTTTGCCTCCTAGAGTATGTTAAACTTCGTAATTTGAGAAAGAAGTATTAAAATTCTTTCCTCTTTGACTAAATTTTTAATTATTGATATCAGGAACAAACGATTCTTTTAAATTTCTTCTGTCAACAGGAACACTAGAAAATTCTTGTGAGAATTTTTCATTAAGCTACTACTACTCTCTCATCACTCTTAAATCATCTAAATCCCTTTCTCTCTTTTCTTATATTTTATTAAGTTCTTTTTACCTTTTCTTCTCCTCCATTTGGTTCATTTACTCATTTTATAGTTAAATATACTGTTCTCTCTTTCTCATTTTATCAATATCATTAGCATATTTATAATCACCTTTTAAATATTCAGTAAACCTTACAGATGAAGGATGAATACCTAAAAGCTAACCAGAGGAAGGAATTCTATTATATCCAGTTTGTATTCTTGATTGTGTAGGTATCTCAGCCAATGATGAATTTCTCAATAAGTTAGGATACAGATCTCCAATTTATTAATTTTATAACTAATTAAGTTCGTCTGGGAGATGAGGTGTCTATGTTCCCCTATTTGCCCTTTTATATTTAGTTGGTGTTACTATTCTTACCCTATGATTACCATTATCATTTTCTTAATCTTCATCATCATCCTCATATTAATTTTAAAATCGATTATTGTATTATTGTCCATTATCTTGGTATTAAAGGTCTTACTAACTATTGAATCTTTGGTTATAGTTATTATCAAATGTAATTTATTGCTTTTATTATCCATTAGAAAAACTAAACTGTAATGGTCTCTTATTCTTGTTTTCAAAATTAATTAAGTTTTACTATTATCTATAGAACGCATCAACTTAATGTGAATGAGGATTTGCAAGGTTTTATTTTAAAGCAGATGTTGCTTGTTCAACTATAGGAATGTCTTCTTCTTATATGTATTTTTGATTTATATTTGGCACAAAAGTAAACCAATCTTATAGCTAATAATTTCTATTACCAGGTTAACCTCTAGATTACAAAATATTACCATATTGATCTCTTATCGGCATATTATAGCTGATCATATCATTTTTTTGTCTCTCTAAGTGTAATTACAAATTATGTTTATTATCAAGTATCTTTTTTTCATGATCTAACTCTTTCTTTATTTATATTTATTACTAAAGAAGCTAAGCATATTGATTCTTTTTTTATTTATCAACTACAAGCTCATTCATAGATTTAGGATTAAAATGGCTTGAATGGTTTCCAGGTTTGAAAATGTTTGGTTATATTTACTGAGAAGATCCTTAATTCAAAAAATCTCCTTTTTTATTCATATTTTTTACTGAATCAAATTTAAATTTCTCTTTGTCTAATATGTCTTCAAAATCCAGATCATTTTAGCTTTAAGCCCTTTTCCTATCAGCTCCTGAACTATTATAATTACCATTCATTTAATCATTTTAATTGTTTGCCAAAGATTAATTTGCATTGTTAAATTAATTAGGCATCATCATCATCTATGGTGTCCCTTAAGGGATAGTTGGCACAGGGACCATAGGATAATAATAAGGCATCGGAACAAACGGCTATTAAGGAATCATAACAACTAAAATAACCAACTAGTTTACTCACTAAATATACCTTTTTACTTTAAATTTAAACAAAAAAGTTATCTCAGCAATCTGTAATGATATTTGTGTTAACTTATTCTACAGCAAATAATTTATAATTTGGATGATTTTGTGGGAATTATTATAAACTAAGATATATTGAAATTTTATTAAAAGCAAAAGCCAGTCATAATCACAGAAATAAATAATATTAATAATTCATTTGCAACAAATAGAATGCATTTTTTATCTATCCAATAATTATTAGAATTAAAGGTAAAAGGAACATTCAGCCTATCATTTGCTAAAAAAATATGATAAATAAATAAATAAATTTTAGTCATTTTCATTTCTTATTTAGCCATTCTTAAATAAAATTATTTTTATCACATCATTTATTTATGACTAAATTAATAAATTAAAACAATTAATTTAATATTTAAAATTAATTTATTTTTTTAAATAATGCTTTTAAATTTTAAATTAAGAAATTAAGATTTTATTATTAAGGAAGTGGAATATAGAAATATTAATTAATCTTTTATGTTTAAATTAGATTGTTAAGAATTCAAAATTAGATAAAAATTTAGAATAGAAATGCATGCAAAAATACAAAAGTTGTAATACGAAAAATAAATAAGTGATTTATGGAATGATGAATTCATTAATTAATAATTATAAGTTGTATTCATAATAACATGAGAAAATTTTGCTTGTTTGATTAATCTTAAGAAATGAAATCAAATGGATTGAAAGATTCTAACAAATACTTTGATTAAATCAAAAAAAACAAGAGAAATAATTTAAAAATCAATTAATGAATTTAATGTGAAGAGAGAGGTTATCAGCTAGCTCAAAAGCTATTAAACAAACAACTATTATAGTTTTGAAAGAAGAACTCTGTTAATTATTGAATATATACAAAATATTATTGATTTGATTTTTGTAATAAAAATTATCAGTAGAAAGTTTTATTGATATATAAAAAATGAAATCAGCCAAGCCAGCTATTATAATCCCTCCTGTGTCTTAAAGAAAAACAAATAAGTCAGGAAAAAGGGTCTAAAGTTCAGATAACAAGAAAAAATTCACTGCTAGTGGGTCATAGTTTGCTAATAATAATTCATTTTTATCATAAAACTCAAATTCATCTAAAAATGGTTAAAAGGATAAATTAAACACTTCGCTACAAGAGAAAAAGAAAAGACTCGAAAAGCTCTAAACATTGCTAAAAGGAGAAAAAGTTAATCTTAAATAGGAATATGATAGCGAAGAAGAGGAAGATTTTGAGTTTATTATGAAAGAGACTGCATTAAAGGAATTTTAAAAATAAGTCAATAAATAAGCTTTACTTGAAGATGGAACATAAGTTGATCAACTTTAAAATTCTACAACTATAAAAAAAGAATAGCTACCAGCGTACTTGCTTTTAGCAAATTAAAGCTTGTAAGAGACTATAAATTTAAAATAAGATCATCTAAATAAAGAAAATATACAATCATCTAATGATGATAAGCATAGCGGATATGTAGCTAAGAATCCTAGACCTCAAAGAGAAAGTAGCAATGCACTTGTTAATAATTTTATCTAAGAAGAAGATGAAGAAAAGCCAACAGAATAAAAATAGACTGCTGCTCCTTCAGCTGTTTAACCAAAGAGGGATTTTTCTAAAAAAAGAATTTACACTGCCTAGCAAAGAATCTTCATGTGCGTACTAATTCAAGCAACATTTAGGATGTATATATAAAGAAAAAAGTATTTAAAAGAAAAGTAACGTTTAGAATAACTACTTTAAGAGCATAAAAAGGAACTTATTAGAAAAAGGGAAGAAAATGAAAAAGAATAAGTAGAAATTGAGTAGGGAAAAACACCTCTCCAAGGAAGACATATTATTTAATTTTAAGGAATAGATAAGCTATTACAAAATAGTCAGGTTATAAAAAATTAAACCTTTTAAAGGGCAAACAAAAAAAGAACTCATTCAGAAGGACCATTTTCTATGTATGAGCATATGAAATAAAATGAAGAAGAAGGTATTATAGATCAAGAAAATGAAGAAAATAGACGCTATAAGCTTTACCATTCGAAATTTAACCCTTTAAGAAAATCAAGACCTCCTCTTCCAGCTAAAGTACCTCTTAACAACAACTTTTTTAGTGATAAGGGTATAGTTGATTGCTTTGTGAAGAAAAATAGAGCCAATCTTCCTAATTCATTAAAAAAGAGCTCATCCAGTGGTGAATCTTTCAATTTATCTACTTTGCCAGAGTATAATGAGCTCCTTTAAAAAAGTAAGTAAGCTATTAGATAGCCATTAATTCAGTAAAAATAACCAAAGCAAGAAGAAGATTCAGTAATTTATTCAGATACTTTCGAAAAAGAAAGTATTGATGCTTCCCCAGTGCAAAAGAAATTTTAATTCAATAAATCTACTCCTTAGAAAAGAAACTCAATTCATTCTGTTTCAGAAGAAGACTACTTAAGAGAATCATTTGACATTGATACTCCAAAAGAAAGTATTAAGGAATCAATTAGAGAATCTTTCAATAAAGAATCAAGCAGGTTTTAATCATCATTTAGCATGTCAGCCAAAATAAAAGAGGATATTCCAGAAGAAAGTATGATAGGTAAATTTAGAGTTAAATTTGTTTATATTTTAAATATTCTTTCTAATCAAATTAAGGTGAATCTATAAATGAATCTTCAATAGTTGATGAGACTGAATAGCCAAAGAATAAAAAGAAAAACACTTCAATTTAAGAAGATATCATTTAAACGAGCATTGAAGATGATTATTAAAATGAAAAATTTGAAAGTATATCTGAGGATTTAAATAACAGTGAATAAAAGAGTATGATGAAGGAATCAATCGGTGAAGATATTGCAGGCATGAGCTTTGAAAGCAGAGGTAAAAGGGGAAAGAAAAAATCAGTCACTTTCAGTAAAGAGAAATCAGAATAGATACAAAAATAGCTTGTGGGTTAATCTCAAACTGCTGCAGCTGCTGTTTCTTAGTTTTCAAAAGATAATATACAAAATAATAATAGTGGTATTTTAAGAAGATCGACTGACTCTCTAAGTGCTGATCAAATGGTTTAAATCAGTCAAAAAAGTAACTATTCTAGTTAAAAACTTAAAGAGAGCAGTAATTAAGCTACTATGCAGTAAATTCATGAAATGTATTTTGGCAAAGATGGCGTTTCTGATACTTGGAAGAAATTTGAAAAAATTAGAAATAACTATGATGATGAATCCCATCTAAAAGAACTAAATAAGGAATAGATGGAGCTTGGAAAATTGCAAAAAGACATTTATTCTATGTTGTAAAATACTAAGAGTCTAGCTGACAAATGGTAGGAAGAGCGTGATAGCTTGTTACACTCTGATAAGAATGCTTCTTAAAAGGCTGAAATGGTTTACTAAAGATATTAGTCTGAATTTAACAGAATTTTACAATCAGCTCCTATGCTAAACAGATTCTCACTCTTAAAGAATTATTTAGAATATCGTGATCGTTAAATGAAAAATATTAATCTTTTTAAAGATAATAATATTTAACGTCTACCTACTTAGGCTGACACAGCTGCTATGATATAAAAAGAAGTTCAATCTTAAATTGAGGGTATGGTGAAAAATTTGGAATAAAAGTAAGAAATTATGTATAAAGTTTTAGTTCAGGTTGTAGAAAATCTTTAAAATTTAAGAAATCCTGGTTTTGAATTTGAAGATATGAAGAGAATCTAAGGTATGATAGATGGCAAGATTGATCAAGTTTTTGCCAATTAAGAAAAAATCCTTAAGTTCTAATTTGAATAAGAAATGGTATTTAGACAAGACTAACTGAAACTTCTTTATTCAGGCAAGCCAATAACTGAAGAGGAGCTAAAACTAATTCGTATTAGATAATTGCTAGCATAAAATAGATAAGAATAAATTATTCCTTTCTTATAGCTTGATAAAGCAAACATAGTACCTAATATAGTAGTTTAGTCTGGCTAATAATAAAATGTATAAGCAGATGATAAAAATCGCTTAAAAGATGTAAGTTTGTCAAGTAGTATCGATATGGAAGCTATGTCAGATAGTAAAATAAGTTGGTAGAGTGGATAGGAAATTTGGGATAATTTAAATGAACTCGAAAAAGAAAAATTAAATGACTTCAACACTGAATAAGTAGTTAATTTCTTAAGTGAAATGCTAATGCAAGAAATTCAGGATGATTTATTCCCTATGCGTATGACTACTAGCCACTTACAACTCAAGAAAAACGAGAAATAAATATAAGAGAGAGCTATGGAAAAGATAAGCCCTCCTAAGCAACATTCTCATTAATAAGCTGATAAGAAATCAAAAATTTAGTCATCAATCTAAAGTACTATGAGTCCTGTTATTAATAAATCAAACAGTTAATAAAAACTTAAAAGCGATAGGACCTTAACTGAAGAAAGTTAATAATACGAATTAGATTTTGATGAAGATTCAGAAGATAAATTTGGATAATCTCTGCAATCAAACCGCTCCAATAATAAATCTTTCTTTGAAGATAGTGACGTCAGTGCAACCAAAAATAAGCTATAAAAAAAAGATAGTTAAGAAAGATTAAATAATAAAAACGCTAAAGAAGATACTGAGGATAAAGTTTCTGAACATTAAGATGAAGAAGAGCAAGAGTATGAAAATGACTTTGAAGATAGCGTTGAGAAATCAACAGGTTAAGTCTCTAAGAGTGCGTAACTATCTTCACTATAATAGTAGAAGAACAGCAGTTAAAAGTAAGATAATGACTTTGATGATCCAATGGGAATAGCAAACAAAGCTATGGATAGAAATGCTATCCTTGCTGAAATAAGTGAAAATGAAAAGAAAAATCCCCCAAATGCTCCTCTTCCTAAATTATAAGGCCAGGCCAAAAAAGGAAAATCAAAATAATTAGATGATGAAGACTACAAGGGTGACAATGATTTCTTTAAGCCTAGCTCTGAAGATTTGGATGGAAACGTTCAAAAGAACCCAAACAAAGACTTATATAAAAATGAATAGACATATGAAAAAACAAGTAGAGTGTTAAATAACTTGAAAACAATATTAAAAAAGAAAAAGAAATTGAAAATAATTAAGGATGTCCTTGAGGCTATAGCTCAAAATAATGTTAAAGGAAAGAAATTAGATTAATTCATAGGAAATGTTCTAATGGAAAAGGCTTAATTCCAACTTTTTGAAAGTCATGATTGCAAAAAAGAGGATGAAAAAGTTATAGGATTAGCCTTATAAGAACACTTCTATAATAACTTAATTAAAAATATATAAGACTTAGAATAATTCCACTTTAAGTAAGCTTTCAATCGCAAGGAAATTTAGCCTGAAATAGTTGTCCGTTGGGATCACATTTGTGAAGTAGCAGCTCAATAGACACTATAAATCCTAGAAAAAGTAGTTCCTGTAGACTATTACTCTGATGTATAAATAGATAAATACACTAATTTTAAAAGAGTAAAACGTTTCTGTACAATCAACAAAGTAGCTAAAGAAGACAATGAGTTGTTTGAGTTACAAAACTATGAATTGTACAAAGAAGAAGTAAATTACTAGAATGAACTTTCAGATTAAGTTTTATAAAAGATAGTTAACCAACTAGCCAAAGACCTTATTTCTATATAAAATAAGCAAAAACAAAAAATTTGAAAGCTTCCAAATAAATATTTTTTTTGTTCATAACCAAAATTTCAAAGAAAGAAAATAATTCTTATTTCATACTGTAAATCATAATTTATAAATAAATAAATATTCATTAAATTCAATTTCATATAATTTAATTTTTACTTTTTATTATTTGTAAAGTAATTGTTTGTGTTTTAAATGATTAGAAATAAAAGAAACATTTATATTTTTTAGCAATAAGTTGAAAGTAGTTTATTACTCAATGAATATTATTTTTATTGATATATAAACACATCAACTTTTATAAATAACTATTAGTCAGATAAATATTTTTATCTATACTATTTGAAAATAAATAAGTAGCTAAATATGTAAATAAATAAGTTATTTGACTTATAAAACTATCAATCGCAAATAGGTGAGTTAAATTAATATTTTGTCCCCTCATATTAGATTTTATAAAATATAACTAATAAAATTTCAAAAAAATCATATTTTTTTTATAGTAAGCTAAAATAAGTTTGAAAAATTTTTAATTAATAACCGAAATTAATTTGTATTACTTAACAATCTTGCAATATTAACTGAAGATATATTTTATCAGTAAATTCTATTTCATATAAATTAGTCTTTTCATCTTATTCTTGATCAATTTATTAATTGTTTGAATTTGTGTGATTTTAGATTAAATAAACATTTTTATAACTAACAACGAATTAAAATATTTACTATCTCTTAAATGAAAATATTAACTATTACTAACATCATTTTTAAATTACCAAATTTTAAAGGGTGAGTTATAAATTTTGTAAATTTAATATTAAAGTGTATTAAGCTAAAGCTGTAAAGAGATTTTCCATTAGTTTTTTATAATTTTTTAGCTCTCATTACTTATTATAGTATTATACTTACCAAAATCAGATATTTATTCGTTAATTAATATTAAATATTAATTTAGAGAGATAGAGAGCATAAACATTAAATATTAAAATTCGGAAATTAAATACACACATACATACATATTTAGCTATATTTCAGTTGTCTCATTTTTTATTACGAAATGAATTAAATTAATGATAGTACTGAAATCCTCCATGACAGACCTCATTAAATTTCAGATGCTTATATATTGGAAACAGGCGAATAAAAAGACGCTTAATAGCTCAGTAAATTAAGGTAATCAAAATTCATAATATGATATTATGTTAAATAATTTATTTAACTATAAAGAAAATAACTATAGGATATTTACGAGCAGAGTGAAGTTAATAAAAGTTAAAGTTAAATTAAATAAAAAGGAAGGTCTGAATCTTTGAACAATTCTTACAAAAAGGCATAACCGCTTGTAGAATTCTAAGGATTTAAAAGTAATTATTATGTAAAAGATATATTTTAATTTAGCTTACATAATGATTAAAGAATGAAAGAATAAATTCATAAGATTTCATTTTCTAAAAAAGGTACACAGAAAAAGAAGAAAACTTGTAGAGTTTTATAAGAAACTGGCAATAATTTTTATGGGCCTATCTAGCAAACGTAAGTGAATCAGAAAATATCTTCTATAAAAGATAGTATTGCAAGCGCATACCTTTAAAAGGAAAGCTCTTTATCTCCATTCATTCAAATATACTTGAAATAGGCTTTGAAATTATAGAGTAATCCCAAAAAAATAAAACAATAAGGATTGCTTGTGAAAAATTACACATTTGAAAGTGAAGAATCAATGAGTGAAAATAACTCAGAAAATAGAGATATTTAATTAGCAGATTTTCCTTTAAAAAAATCTAATTTTTTAACATAGACTAATAATTTAGTTGAATCCGAAGCTGGTTAATAAGAAAATAACTTACAAATCTAGCAATAAATGGATCCAAATTAAAAAAGTTATTCGCCGTTGAAAAACAAATCTTAGTTTATTAAGGTAAAATATTACTGCATTTAAAATTAATAATTTATTTTTTTACTATTAGGATAAACTTGAGAGAATGCACTCATTATCAGGAGATTATTTAATTGAACCAGGTTTGAAAAAAGTAAAAGAAAATATTTTAAATGCACTAAATAATTAGTAAAACTCAATTGAAGATAATACTATGGAGATTATTGGTGAATTTAGTACTTCATAAGAAAAACTAAGGAATAACTTGAAGAAAAAATATTAAAGAAATAATTAAAGGATTAAAACAGCTACTGATGAAGATTTTTATAGTAAAGGTCACCCCAATAATTTGAGCTTTTATGATAATAACAATACAAAAACACATACTCGTTACACGATAGATTCAAATCGCTTAAAAACAGATATATCTGATTAAGGAAATTTGAAAAAATAAAATAACTTTTGGCCTACAAATACTCATGATTTATAAAAAAAAGGGAATTAGGTAAGTGAATACAATAGAGTTAAAAGTAAAGATACTGATTTGACTATGTAAGAATCATTTTAAGAGTAAGTAAGCAGAATTAATAAACCTCAGAGAGCTCAGTCTTAAGGTCCTAAAAGCGGCTAGGCCGTTTAATGCATATTTTACAACGCTGATCCAAATAATACTATGCTTAAGGTAATAATAATATATAATTTTTTATTTTGAAATATAATTATTTTATTATATTTAATACAAGGATTTTTTTGGAGAAGTTGATTGTATTAATTTGAATAATATATTTGTGAATTAATTGGGAATTACAGATGAATAAAAAAATTAAATGCTTGAAAAAATGGATCCTGAAACAAAGTAATAGATACTCAGAAAATTTGCTGTTTAAGATAGAATTTTCAAGTTTAGCAAGTTTTCTAACTTTCATCACGATGAATTTTACGATTCATTTAAGAACAATTATTAATTTATACAGGAAGAAATATAAAAAAATAACTACCCTGTTTCATGTATGCATATTAGATAACTTTAAAAAAGTGTAAACTCTCATGTAAATACAGAGTAAGAGAATAATAGAAGTTCATCAAATCAAAGAAAGAGAGTTACAATATCCAATAAAGCAGATCCTGAGATATTGTAAAGATTTCAGACACCAATAAATCTAAGTAGGCTAGTTGGTCATTCCCGAGTCAGAACAGAGACTGATGTACTTGCTGACATTGGATATCTGTAAACATCTAAAGCAAAAAAAGAAAATCCCCTTTACATAAATAGAATAAACAGAGTAAGATTGTAAAGCTACAGCTCTTCGAAGGCTCAAAGAAACGAAAATAGTAGCCTTGAACATCATAAATAGGAAAGAATCAACACAGCTTCATAAGAAGATAATTAAAATAAGAATATCAAATCTTTCATAGACCCAAGAAAAGTATATCGATAAAATCTTGAGATTTACTCTCAACAAAATCAAAATCTCAAATCTTTAAATACTTAATTTACAGAGTAATATTTAGCTGCAACCTAAATAAAAAAATAAAACTAAAATGAAGAATCTAAGTAGAAAGTTTTTTTCTAAAATTAAGATTTGAAAAGAAGGCTTTAGATATCTAATCTAAACATAAATATTTGAGTGTTTAATTAATTTATTTATTGTATGTGTGTTGTTATAATTGAGCCATATAATAAAAAACTATTTGCAGGTTGCTTAGATTTCTTTCTTTTTTAAAAGGTCAAAAATAAAATTTATAAAAGATTTGATTTGTTTAATTTTTTTTCTTAAAAAATTTACAAAAAGTAAATTTTATTTTTTTAGAAAATAGATCTTTAACAATTACAAAAAGCTAAAATAAAAAATATGTTAAATTGTTTATAGTTGAGATTCTTTTATAAATCCTTTGTTAAAAGTATAAAATTAAATTAAAATTTAGAATTTAAACCCAATAAAAAAAATCATAATTTCATAATTCAATAAAAATTTATTAGATTTGAGAATACGATACTTAATTTTATTTATTTTTATCATAAAATTTTATAAAAGATAATTGATTTTTCTTTTCCTTTTTTTTCACAATTTTTATGTAACAAAACAAAATAATTAAATAATTCAAAACTAGAAAGAAACCTTCTATTTTTTTTCTAATGCTTATTGCATATAAAAGAAATAACCTGAAAGTTTTTTGAAAATTCTTTTTTAATACTTTAAACAGAATCTTAGGTTTATAGTGATCGATTTTTCTCTACAATCTTTGATACAGATTTTGCGGATTGTTAATTAAAAAAAAAAATTTAATTAAATTGAAAATTTAGAAAAGTTAATAATATTACACGATTTATCAAAAGCACTATAATATGTAGAGTAAGTAGAGAAAGAAAAACTTTAATGATTGTTACGAAGACTAAATTCAAATAGACAACGAACTATCTGATGAAGATGAACAAATAGGAAAATCTAGCAAAGCTACTTAGGACACACCAAAGTAGAAGGAAAAGGAGAGAAGAAATAGTGATTTGGACCAAGAATAAATTCAAATGGACGATAAACTAACTGAAGAAGTAGAACAAATAGGAAAATCTAACGAAGCTACTTCTTAGGTTTATCTAAAGAATGGATTTAATAAGAGTTAAATCCCTGTGTAGCAATTAGAGAAATCGAAGTAGAAGTAACCTATAGTGATTGACCTTTAAAAAGCATAAAATAATGGAAGATATGTTTAAGAAAATAATAAAGTAGGCAATTAAGGTTAACAGTAAGCAACTTAGCATGAATCAGTTACTTTGAAAGACAAGTTGTTGAACATATTCACAAATGTAAATGCAAAAAGTAATCCACCAAAAAATGTAAGCCAAAGTAAATCATATGCTCTTCAGCTAGAAGAAAATTTTGTAGAAAACAGAAATAAAAAAGGCGAAATACACCATTTCAAAATAGATAATGATATGGATATCTTTGAGGATGATATTAATGATAAAGAAAATTAATAGAATCGAGAAGAGGAATAAAAATAGAATGGAATACTGCTCTTTGGTCATGAAGATGTTGAGAATCACCCAGAAATTGAAATTGGAAACAACAGCAGAAAAACATCTGAAGATTATATTCAGCTACCCGATTCTAAATAATAAAATTTCGATTTGCTTGGAAGGTAGTTGACTGAGTATGAGCTCTAAATGAAGAACGCTTAGGAAGAACAAAAAAAATAAGAGGTTGACTATAAGCAAATATAAGAATTACTAAGTCAGTATGATAATGTAAAAATAATTAAAATTGAGAACTTCAAATAGTCTGATATGAAAGAAATTCACGATCACCACTTAAATATATAAAAAGGAAACACCTTAAGTTTTGATGAAAACTAATTGTATAAAGGTAGCAAAATTCCAGTAAAGAAGAAAGGATTTTTTGATTTTATAACTAACAAAGTTACTAGATATGCCCTTCTACATAATGAAAATTTAGTTTTCTGTGAAAGAATCAAGAAAAATGAGTTTAAAGTCCATAGCATCAATCCTCTTTCAAATTTATTCTAGATTTATAATGATAAAAACAGTACACAAATAAGAATGTACTTCATCAACAAATAAAGAAACTAGTATAGCTTACCAATAAATAAAATGTATAATATTGATAAAAAAGAATAGTTTTTAATCCAACTTAGAAAAACCATCAATAAAATAGGTTTAGATTATTAATTATCGTGATTTAAACAAAAGTAAATAATATAAAAATAGTTAGTTATAATTTATAATTACTCTCAAATGATTCTAAAAACCTTAATGCGTATTTTAATTTAACAATATTACTTTCCATTTATTTGTTTGTTTCTTTATTTTAATATATGTAGTAAATTATACCATATTTATTAAAAATCTTTAATAATTGTAGAATTTTTTAAAATTATTGTTTAAATATTTTGTACTTGTTCAATACAGCATTTATATGTTATGATAAATTAAATTCATTTAATTACTTTTTAAATTATAATATTTATTTCTCTTACTTTTAACTTACTTTTAAGACTTAAAAGATTATATTTAATAAAAAATTATTATTTAAATCTCAAATAAATAATAAATTTTCATCATTTTTTATTTGATTATAGGTTTGAATTATTTAATAAATATCTAAACTTAGCATAATTACCACAATTTATTTGTTTTAATTGAGTAAAAAATTTTATAAACTCATGATAGGTTCATATAATAAAGCCTTTATTTTAAAATTTGAAAATTCATTTAATAAAAGCATGATTTTAGATCAAAAAAGTGATTTTAAGTAGACATTTTAAGATCTAAAATTACTTTTACTGAGTTTTCCATATTTAATCTATATAATTTTTAATATTTTAAACTTTTAAAGTATTTATTGCTTTCAGTAAAGTTAATATCCATTTATTATCTATTACACTGGTTGCATATATTAATAATTATTATTAAAATTATTATTATACGATTCTAAATTAACTAATCAAATAAATGAATAATGATTTTCTCATCAGTAGATTTTATATTTTTACTTTTTTATAATTATTAGTGTAAAAAAATAATTTATGTGATTACAGAAGCAAAAAATACACTCAATAGCTTATTTATTTTTATGGAATATAAAGAAATTTAAAAACTAAAAATAGAGATTTAATTAAAAAAGATAAGTACCATATTCATAATATATTGATATTAAATATATTTTTAAGGATTTGAATGGAAATATAAATAATTAAAATTTACGTTTTTTCACACAAAAAAAGTTGTGTTTTATTTAATAAATTAAAAGTTTATATTCTATTCTTAATAAGTAAAATATATCCTTAAGGTTAAGCATTTCCTCAATTTTTTGAGAAGTAAAATTTGCAAACATAATTAATCGTAAAATACTCAATATTTAAAATGACCTCTTTTATTTAATAAATAAATAAATAAAATAAACGATAAATTAGTAAACAATTAAATTTATCTAAAAAGTTTTTGTTTCAAGAGATTTTAGTTAATTTTCATAAATTTTAGTTCATTATAATATGATAATAAAAGATAAGTGATTATAATCTTTTCTAAATAGTTATTTCTAATCTAAGTTACTGACACGTTTAATAATATTTATAATATAAATTTTAATAATTTGCTACTAATCGATATTTTTAAATTTTATTTTTATTCTAATAATTAATGAATAAATTCTATTTCATATTGATAATTAATTACCTCTTCATTTTTTAAATATGAAATAAATAGCTTAGAATTTGAAATATTATGCTTAATAAACTATATCATCAATTTATTTAGCTTTCTTTGAATAATTTTATTTTAGAATATAAAGAAATCAAAAAATACTTTGATATTTTCAAATCAAATTTTTAAATAAATCTTTTTTACTAAATTTGCAGAGTAAAGAAGTTAAAAAGAATTTAATATTTAATTAATTGATTATTTTAAAGTAACAAATCCTCTTTATTTCTTGATATTAAAAAAAAGATTTTTGAAAAATTATTAAATTTATTAGTTATAGAGGTGAAAGTATTATTTATCTAAACGTTTAATAAAATATTAACAATATAAGAATTTAGTGATGTATGTATATATACATGTAGAGTATAAAACAGAGAGTAAATAATTTAATGAGATTATATGTTATGATATTTATTATACACATTTTCAGAGCTTTAAGCAAGCGCGCTTTGTTATTTGTTATGTTTTTGGGGATAAATGAAGAAGATATTCTTATGAATTTCCCAACAAGGTATTTTAAGATTTATTACTTTGTTTACATATATATTATAAAGATTTTTAAGATTGCTAAGGGGATTGAAATGAGTTTTTTTTAGCACTAATATTTCTAGTTGCACTCAAAGGTAATTAAGGTTTTGAGGATTGTTTTTAGAGGTATTTTCTTTCTGTAGATTGACTTCTGTCATTATTCATTATTTTATACTATAAGTTAATGATTTTATTTTTAGAAGGAGTAAGTCCACCTTTAGGAAGGACTTAATTTTACTTATTTAAAAATGTAGAATTAGGTATATTTGTTAGTGAATTACTCTCACTTATATTTAATTCTAAATTACTTAATGAGCTTACATAGTTCAAACTTTTATGCGAGCTGCTATTGTCTTATGTTAAAAGGTCAGTGATGCTAAAGGTTTTAACTGGGACAGAACTTTTTGGAGTCACTGACATATTTAATGATACTAACTTAGTGTGACTTATTGAATTAATTTATTTTGCACCTTTGGTTAATAAATTTTATTGGCTCTTTTAAGAAGTCTAAATTGGAGTAGTCAGCATTTATATATCAATAGTCTTCACTTAAATCTATTTACGAGTTTGGCATATCATATTCTGATTTTCCTCCTTTTGTTCAAATGACTAAACAAATGACTAATCAAAATCTTCATTTTATAGCTACTATTTAGGTGTTTCAGCCAATTTATTAGTAGGAGTTTAATTCTAACTCAAAGAAGGCAACTATTAAAAGAGCTTACAAGTATTATCTAAGTATGTTTATTAATTCATCATTTCTGTTAACTTAATAGGCTTTTCATAAAATTTAGAGATATTGCTAACTTCCTAGATAGTTGTGCTTCTTAAAACTCTATTGCGCTAGTAGAGTTAAGACCTTATACTATATAATTAGTAAAAAGTAAAAGGATCTCCATCTTAATTTAAGAAATTTTTAGTGTCGATACCAAATTCTTAAGCGTCAGAATTATCCCAAATGCAGTGTTCCTCTTCATCACTATCATCACTATAGCTTTCGTTGTTTAATTCACTTATTTCATGACAGTTATCTTCTTTTTCTTGCTAAAAGTTTTGCATAAAATCAGAGAAGCTCTGTAAAGATTTTTACCCATTATCTTAAGGGGTTTTTTACTTATCAACATCGCTAAAAGACCCAATATGTCTAAGGGAAGGTGAAGGAAATCTAGAAGATCCTTAAGAGTCTAATGTAGAAAAGCTAGTACCACTTAGATCCTTAATTTTCTTATCTAGCCAGGAGTATGAATTTTATTTGAGATTATTCTTAAATGCCATAGATAAATTCTTATGTTTAGTTTGGTTTGGTTTTGTTTTGTTTGGTTTTTGTTTAGCCAAATAATTATTATGATTTTTGAATTATTATTTTTTTATTTGTTGATAATTCGATAATAAATTAATTAATAACTTTAGAAAGTGGTATTTTAAATTATTTAGTTTTATGATAAAGCAAGCAAGCAAGAAAGCACTTATGTAGCGTTAGCAATTAATGATAATAAAAAATCAATCAAATTAATTTTTTAAAAGTTTATTCATTGATTTATCATCGGAGACTAATAGATCCTCTCAGCTTAGCATATTACAATAAATTAAATAAATGAATACAAAAATTTTAAAATTAAAGTAAGCCGTTTTTTATTGAAAATATGATATTGTCTATAATAAAATATAGCAAATAAGTATACATTTCGAAATAAATAATAGAAAGCAAAATTATAAGTAATCTATCATTCTGATAAAATTGAAATAGCAATTATGATTTACTTTTATTATATTCTATTAATTATTTAATTGCTTGAATCCAAAATTTAAAGAAAAAAAAAAACAAAATTTACCAGATTCAAATTGTAACATAGGGCTTAAAGATTTTGATTATTGTATTTATTAAAATATAATAAATCAATAAATTAATCTATCTAATTTTAGATCATTATTTTTATATTAATCTTACAATAGCAACATTTCTTTTCACAACATAAAAGCATGAATGGGTAGGTAGGTAGCTGAATTAATTAATAAAAGAAACAAAGAAACCAAATTCTGTTCTTTACATATTTTTTTATATTATGATATCTATATTTTTTAAATTATATTATTATATTCTATTTCCAAAATAAAAGCAAAAATAGTAATAATTTGATATTTTGTAAATTCCCTTATTAACCTTTAAATTATCTTAATTATAAAAAAAATAAATTCTTTTACACTTAAATAAAAAAAAAATTTTATGCTCTATTGTATTAAACATATCGATTGCATTTTATATCAATTTTATATAATATTAGTTATATTTATATATTTATTAAATTTATTGAAATATACTGTAATAAATGTAAACATTAAACATTTTCAATAATTAATTATATAAAAAATAAAAATTTTTTATTTTATTAAAAAAATTTAGTATAAAATAAATACATTAGGCATATGAAGAGAAAAAAATACAATAAGGTGTTAGAGTGAAAATTTAAAATATGTAGGTGCTGTGAATTTATAGCATTTTATTGTTAGTGAGAAATAAATACAATATATAAGAGGAGTTAAATAGAATAAGCAAGTTAAAGAGTTAAATAAATAAAGGTTAACCTAATTCTCTAGTATATTGAAATGTATATATTATTTTAATATTACCCAGGTTTAAAATTTCCTCTAATCAACATAAATTGCTGAAATGATTGATTTGATATCATATAGAAGATATATATAATTCATGAATTAGTTAATAAATGAATAAACTTTTTTTTAAAGTAATTTGATTATGTATGTATATATATAAATAAATAAAATATTTTACAAATTTCAAATTAAAAATTTTCTTAATATATTCACTTGAATTTAAATTTTTTTTGAGTTTGTTTTTTATCTTTTATTGACTTTGAGCTGATAATGTTTTATTAGAATGATTTAGTTGCTCTTAAATACGATGGCTAGTTAAAATTAAAAGTTTATATTTATTACTATTTGCTTTATTTTTGTTAAGGTAACTCTCTATTTGAAGGATAATCTAAACTTTCAACATAGTTGTCACTTAATATGTTTGTGATATGTAAATCTTCTTCAACATATTCTATTTCTTCTATATCTTGCCCATCTACAGATTTTACTGAAACTCTTTTAGGCGATTTAAATTTACCATCTCCTTTGTATTATATATCTTTTTAATAGTACATAGCTCTCATAACCTCTTTTTTGAGAGCAACTGCTATTGGAGATATTTAATTAGGTTTTTGTACCATTTATTTTTAAATTCGAGAATTTATTTTTTCTTGTAAATTATTGGTGTTTTATGATGCTTTTGAAGACTTTCTTTAGTTACCATTAAGATTTTATTATAAATTTAAATCATTACTGAGCGTAAATATTTCTGATCCTAATAAATCTCCAAAAGATTTAGCATTATATTAAGTAGGATTAGAAAAATAACCTTGCTAGCTGATAGCTGCCATTCTAGGCGATGGATTAATTGAATTCAAAATACTCTTATAATTTGTATCTAGCTCTAATCTTGCCTCTATTAGCTAATTTTATAGCTAAAGTCTTTTTTCTTCTTCTTGTCTGTATTGTATATCTTACAAAAATACTTGGAGATCTACTTCACTTCCAAAACTGTTAAATCCTTACTAAGGAATTGTTTTTTCATTCTTGTTTATTTATTTCAACTAATTTTAAAGCAACTTTTAACTTATCTGTTCTAAGTTATTAGAGTTCTAGCTGTTTCTCGTTATTTTTTCATTTTTTATCTCTGGAGATTATTACATATTATACTCTTTGTTATTCTAGCTTTTCTAATTTTAATCTTAGTCTTGATCCTTATTTTATAGGTTATTCACTTATATAGGTGAATATTCATGAATATTAAATTATTAATTTTACTGTTTAAGTAGCATATTATACTAATTTTCATTCGTCTTTCGATCACTCTCTAATGGTTAAATATCACTTATGGTAATTGGGTTAAAGAAATTCTATCCCCCATTCCCTGTTTTATCATTTTTAAGGGATACTATAGACGATTATAAAGATTTTTCTTTATTTACTAAGTTATATTCTTTGGTTTATTTTTGATCTGGAGTAAGCATTAAATTTTAATTTTAACTATTTTATATCTAATTAGCTTTTTATAATCTTTTTTATTAGTCTTGCTATTACTCATTTGAGCTACCTACTTATTTTTGACTATCTTTTTATTACGTTATTTGCTATTAGTTTATCTTATTATTATTATTATTTTATTTGGTTGATGTTTCTTTGCTTTTAAATTGCTCATGTTTAATCTCCTACAACTATTCACTCTTTTCTTGCTAATCTTTCCTATTTGCTTTCTAAGTTTTATTCTCAATTTTATTTGTTATAGGAAAATAATTTCTAATCATATTCAATGAACTTTCTTCCTTTTAATTGGGAGATTCTTATGAATCTTCACTTGAACTAAATGTTTCAACTGAAGATAAATTTTAGCCCTATTACTATTCTTTTTGGCTGTTTGATTAAGCAAACTGAGGGGATGGTAAAATTTTACTATCTTAATCTTGTAGCACTTCGTTGACACAATCTAAAGATCGTTTTAAAAACACATTATTCTACAAATTTATCTGTTTAATTTATGGAATATCCACTTTATCTATTTTATTTATTTTTATTTAAGGAAGAGGACTATCTGATTTGCTGTCTGATAGATAATCCTGTAAAGAAGATTCTAACTTTTTTCTTCTTGGGGACGATTAATTAGAGAGTGAGTTTCCCTAACTATTTTATATAACATAATCTTTGTTCTCTTCTTCTAAATCATCTAAATGCTCTAAAGAACCTCTAGTTTTTACTTAACGAGTATTTAACGATTTTTTATCACTGCCCATTTCTGATTAACTATGAAATCCATATGAAATATCTGGAAGAGATATTGTTTACATTTTCGAGCTAGCAATAGCATTTTCGTTTTTATTAGTATTTTCTTGCTTGGTTAATAGTGCTTCTTTTAAGCGAGCTCTATCTTCATTAAAACGGTTACTTGTGATAGAGTTTCTTCCGTATTGTTGATACTTACTTTTTAATAATCTATTTGCTTCTGTTGAAAGATTTTACTTGTCTAAAGATGTAAGACTCTAAATATTTGTTTGATTTTTTGGAATTACTTATAATTTATGGAAATGTTAATCCTTTAGGCTTGCCAAGCTTCCGTTTTAGCTTAACATTATATTATTTAGTGTAGATATTGTGTTTCTTTTAATTGCGACATTTGCAGAATCTATTCTTACCTGCTACTAAATACTATTAAGGTCTTAAACTATTTAATGAGACTTTAACTAAAACATTTCTAGTGCTGATAATCTTCGCTTTTCAACAGAATCCTTGATTGAATCTTTATTTAAATTGCTACTGTTGTTGCTAATTGTTCCTTCATTTTTAATATTGTTTGCAACTAAACATCCTAAGGCGAATTCTGAACTATCATTTGTTTATATCATCTGCTTTTACTTCATATCTTCAATTACTTTTTATATTTCTGGACTGAAAGCAGAAGTTGGAGTTAATAGTTTGCTTTCTCTATGTATTGCTTTAACTTGTTTGTAGCTTTTAATTTCAGGTTAATTTATTTATTATTTAGGATGAGGTTTCCCATTTGATCCTTATCCATGCTAACTATTTACAGTTGAGTGCTAATGTGATTAATTATTACCAAAAGCCTATAAATTGTGACTGCTTAACTAGTTTTAGCTCTAAGAGTTCGAAATCTAAGTTTGGCTACCATATTTACTTCCAGGTAGAGAAGAAATAAATAAATAATTTTGTGGGTTTTTTGGATCTTCAGAATAAGGGGGAGACTGTAAATTTTATGTATCCTAAAAATTCTTAAACATTTCAAGTTTTTGGTAAACTTACTAACAATTAGTTTGATTTATATTTAAATTTTAGTTTGTTCCTATGGATTGCTAATTTAATTATTACTATTATTGATCTTGATGCTGCTACTACTAATTTTATTTTAGGATTGGAGATGTAACAATATCAGAAGAGCTATCTTTAATTTAAATCTTGATATTAGCTTTCTTTTCTTGACTTAAATGATCTTAGTTGAAAACATCAAAATGTTTACTATCGCCTTGCTGTGATGGTAAATATGATACTGTATTATAATTTTAAACTGCGCTCATTTTTTTGTAAATAAATAAATGCTATCAATTATTACTTCAATTAATAATAATAATAGTTATTTTTTACTGAATTTTTAAAAAAAGAATAAGATTAATCTTATATATTTATTTAAAAAAGATAATCTTTAAAGATTAATTAAAAAGTAAAATTTCATTTCAGTAATATTTTCACCTGCATTTCTTTATTTATTTCAGAATTAATGAAGATTTGTTTTCATTAAATTACTTATTAACAACAAACATATATGTTTATTAATTACCTTAATTAGTTAGTGGTGTGTTTAAATTACAAGCAAAATAAACAATTATTCAATTAAAATAAAAAATTTAAAATAGATTTAAGCATTCTTTTAATTTACTCCATCCACACACAAATCATTTAATTCATTAACTAAATAAATAAATATCACACTTTATTAATTAATTAAGAAATTTGTCATTTAAAGCTTAAAATAAATATATTTGTAAGAAAATTAATCAATCAATCAATTTTTTTATCTCTTTTTAAGAAAATCTTGACACTCCTAATTTTTTATTAGTAGATTATTATTTTAATATAAAGAAATGAAATTAATAAAAATTACATTTAAGAAAAGATTAAGATTGTTGCTCTTTTCAGAAGCTTAAAAGAACCCTTGAAGTGTAATTATTTCTGAGTTATCGAAATTTTTCAAAATGATTTCAATGTGACTCTTTAAAACTACATCAAATGGTAAACTATTTAAATCAACATCCGCTTTTTTGAGTTGAGGACCTCTTTGACATGTTTTTAAAATATTGTAAACTTATTCAAGCGCTTCTTATTCTTATTCTGTAATTTATCCTCTCATTTTACTTTAAAACAATTAAGATTAAGACTGACTCAACTACAATCCATTAGAATTAAATTGAGGTAAGTTAACTTTTTTGTTGTCTTTATCATACTTTTTTTATGGAATTTCATTTCTGGGTGACACAGAATGCTATATATTTTAAGAATTTTTATCAATTCTTGGGCTGACTGATCTTATTGATGATATAGTAATATCAGGCTTTTATGCTATTTACATTTCTTAAGGTTTTTAAAAATTACTTTTATGAAGATTCTGTCTAAAATCATCAAGCCCTGAGTCTTTCTTCTAAATATCATTATTCAAATTTTATTACTATTTTTAAGAGTTAGTCATAAATGGATCATCTGTTTAGAGTGCTGCTGGCTCTTCATCACAGTAAAAGATACTTCCATTTAGTTTATAATTTTTATTTTAATCTTAATTTGAAATGCTACTCTTCATGCTACTGTTTTTATTCTAGTTAGAGGGAGAAGGAGGCTACTGATAAAACTTTTGTGACCTCTTTAAAGGCGAGTTACTCTTTTCAGGGAATTACTTTGTTTAAGGGTTTGACTAGAGTTATTAATCTTGCTTTTAAGAATTCGCTGATTAATTCAAACTATTTTAATCTTGCATAGCTAAATATTTAAAATAATTTTAATTTAAATGAGGGTCAAATGGAACTGTCTGCTTTGGGGTTTCTTCTTCATATTTTTTTGTATTGATATGATCAACGCTTTAAAGTGAAGAAAGTCTGTCATCAATTGATTGCTTAGATTTTTTTTAAGAATTTGGTATGAATTATTATTTTAAAATATCATCATCCCTTTATTTTTCCTCTTCCATTTATAGAAATTTAAAATAGTTCTTATTTAAATTTGGATCGAATGGCACAAATTGTTTTGGAGTTTCTTCATGTGAGTATTCTCCATATAGCTTATTTTCTTTATAATTACCATCTTGGTTTGACTAAGATTAGCTTTTCAAGTACATCAAATAATCAGATGTCTAAAGACTAACATTATTTTTCTCAATCTAAGCTTGCTTTGGCGATAACTGCTGAGATATATTAGGAAAAACCTTCGATTAAACCACAGACTATTACTAAGACGCAAAGTGAGGCAATAAGCCTTTTTCCTTTTCTATTTCATCTTGCATTTATAGAAATTTAAAATAATTTTTGTTTAAATTTGGATCAAATTCAATAGGAGCACGTTCACTTTACATTTCTGATGATTTTATGCTTGTAGATTTATTGAATTTGCTTTACTGAATTTATTCTGAAGTTTACATACCAAAGGATTTTTTGATTGGTGCAGCTGGTTATTCTTAGGGCTAATTAGAAAACGATTAAAGGATAGGAGGATTTTCAGCTATTTAAGCTCCTTCTTACTCGATGTCTTCTCTCATTTAAAGATATTTGAAATAGTTTTTATTAAGATTTGGGTCAAATGGAACAGGATTTGTATTTTCAGGAACATCATTGCTTGCATTAATAAACTCTGAAGTTTAAACGGAGTGCTCTTACAATTATTTTAACTTTGATATTCTTTAAGGTTAGTATCTTTGATCATTATTATTTGGATGTTAATAGATAATTTCTTCTCTAATATTAATTTATTTTTCATAAACAGGTGCAGCTGCTTTTTATGGGGCAAAATTATAAGGGGTTAATGGATTTTGGTTATAATCGTTTCTTGGAGAAAGGTTAACTTATCTTTAATATTCAAGGTAATTTTACTAATTTTAATTTGGTGTCATATTGTTAGCATAAATAGTTTCTTCAAAAGGAATATTTTCATTAGCTTTTCTTCCTTAGCTAGCTGTACTAGATTTTAACTGGCTTGAATTTACAACAGTATAAATTGTTGCATCTTCACTTTTACTATTCTCATCACCATCTCCATGGTTATTTTGGTGATTTTTCTTACCTTTGGATTTAGATCGGAGGCGCTGATACAGATCTTTTTCTATTTATAAAAAAAAATAATATAAAATAAATTCAATAAATTGATGTGAAATTAATAAATATATATAAAATTTACGCCTCACCATTTTCTTATCCTGGATGGATCTTTTGATTCTTTGCACTCTGTTTTTAGTGGTATATTTTAGACAGGTTTCGAGAATTTTCATTAATTTGCGGTTTAAAAGTGCATTCCTTTTCAGATAAATCCTTCTTTGGCTCATATTTTGGACAAGGAGGCTCTTTCTTCTATTTATGGAGCCTTTCACTAACTTCGATTGGGTCTACTAGCTCTCCTGTATGATTAAAGAATTGTTTTTTTCTCTCATTTTTATCTTTATAGCTTTCTTCATTTGGATATTTTAAAGGTGATACTGGGTTCATGGGCGAATTAGATTTCTCTTTATGATTTTTAACAAATTTAAGCTATTATATAGGCTTTTATCTAACCTACTATTTTGAGTGTGGAGGAGAGAGTGATGGATTTGACTTTTTAGTTTTTTATATGTTTTCATTTACTTTTTGTGATTTGGGAGTAGCACTCCTTTGTTTTTAAAATTAGTTTTGATTATAAATGTTGTGAGAATGTATTTATTAGGGATTATTCAAATGATCATAATAAATTTTAAGAGGCTATTTCTCTTCACTAAAGTAATTGTCTGAATTTTCATGCTAATTTTCTTATTCTTAATCTTGATCTAAGTTTTGGTTGATGTGATTTTATTCGTTATGAATGCTGTCATTAATTTCTTTATTCTATTAAGCACTATGAGGAAAAGAAGATACCTCTTAGTAAGGAGAGGGCTGAGTCATAGATCTAGTGCTGTTTTTGTATGAACTAGGGTCTTAATAGTATTCTTCAAATCCCTTTTAATTAGGAGATAAAAAAGAATTATTGCCTTTTTTTTCAGATAAACTTTAGTCGTTAATTCTTGATAATTTCATTTGTAGCAGGTCTTAGCCTCTCTTTTTTTCTTGCTAAATTATTTCTTTGATATTTTGCAATTCTTAGCAAAGTTGCTACTGTTTTTTCATTAAAATTTAGTAATATTTGTCTTCTCTCAAATTATTGAAACACATATCTTTTTAATTTTCTACGTCTTTCATTTTTTCTAATACTAACATCAATATAGGACTAAATGATTGAGGATGCATCTTATTATAAATTATAAACTCCTCTACGATTTCTTCGGGTACACTATCAATGAATATAACCATTTTATCAGAAATATCTCTGCTTATTTAGATATCAAATTCAATAATTGGCTTTTGAATCTAAAGAATTGAAATATTTTATTATTTTTCTGCATAAGATTGCTTTTTTTTGTGAAGCTTAGAATTATTTATGCTTTGTTATAATTGTTAAATCTGCTAAGAGTCGCCACTATTCAATATATGCTAATTATATTGATAAATAGTTCCTAATTTCTATTTATTTTATTCTAACTTTTATAGCAAAGCTTTCATTTATTTACTTTATGAAAGAATTCTGATTTTCAAATTAGTCCGCAAAATAAACAGAATATTTATTAATAAATTTAATTGATTTAATTATTTAAAATTTTTTCATTCAATTCATAGTAAAAAATAATAATTTTTAATAAAAAAGATCCAATTAAAAGCTATATTTAAAGAAAAAACACAGATTATTAGTTGACTGACTCAAAAATACTTATAAATAAATAAATAACAAACAAATCATTATAATTCAAAAATTTATTTTCTATCCAAAAAGATGTTTACAGTAAAGGATGATATAATAAAAGAAATTATGTTATTTATTTATTAAATTATATGTAAAATTATAATTTAACTCATGTTTTTTCTTTTTTTGGAAAAAGATTTTGGGTATGTATCAGGCAGACATATCACATATAAAATCTATATATACTGTAAATGCTCATTAATTATCATTAATTAAGGCATTCCCTAAGTATCTTTTTTGCCCAAAAAAAAAAGAAATCAAAAAAATTAATCCTTAAAAAGTTTTATATTTATTCCAATAAAAAAAAATATGTATAAATTTTAATAATTTTAATTTAATTTAATTATATTAAAATCAAAAAATATCTAACATTTATACTATTTTATTATTCTTTATAATTTTATTAATAATTTCACAACTACATCTAGTTATCAATGTTTATTAGGAAATCAAGAAATATATCATTAGCCATTTTATTCTTAATTATGCTATTATTGCTATAAAATATTGAAAATTATTGTTGACTCTTAAATAGAAGATGGTGTTATAAATGTTATGAATAAATCTAAAAGATATTAATGTACTAGCTTTTAAACATATTACCAAATTTAATTAAAAAATCTAATTTATTAAATAAAATTTTATTCATCAAACCTAATAAAATCTATATTATAATTAAATATGATTTAACTATTTTTAAATAATTTATTTATGATTTTATTTAAAGATATTCCTTAAATTAATTAAAATAGTTAAAACATTAATTTATTTGTATTTTTTGATAATAATTTAGTTTTATAAATTAATTAATTAATTTAAAAAGTTTATAAAAATGAGGGTAAAAAATAAATGAAAACACACTTAAACTTATAAATTGAGTTGAATTTTAATGTAAAAATTATTTTAGATTTAAATGAATAAAATTAAAATCAGAATTATAATTCTTATTTAAGATTATTTGTTAAGTAAAAAATTGGTATTTGCTTGTAACCACTATTTACTTAGAATTTATTTACAATTTTTGAAAAAAAATAAGTGAAGCGATTAATTAATTAATTATAATCAATCTTTTCTTTTGTGCTTGTGGTAAAATCATAACAGAAAAACTAATAAAAACAATAATTAATTTTAACAACATTCAATAAAATATGAGAAATACAAAAATGTATAAAAATCCTATGAATAACTTTAAATCTAATTTTTAAATTATTGTTTTTCACAGGTAAAATTGTTAGCGGAAAATAGTATTATTTTTTAAATTATACTTTTAACTGCCAAAAAAATTAAAATGTAAATATTTTGATTAAAAATACTTTAAGATAAAATTTTGTCTTAGTGTTTTGGGTTTTAGTCCTTAAGAAATTAGATAGATACAAATAAAGAAAGAAGATATGTATGGTATATCTAAAACAACTAAATTATTAGTTTATCTTTCCAACGAATATAAGATTTTGATGAAAATAATTATGATGATATATGAAGAAAATCAAATTTTGGAATTAATTAAACAAATGTTAAACAGAAGTTATTTAGTTAGGGTGAATGAAATTATTAAGAATATTGTTAATACTATCATGAACTTAATTTACTTCTTTGATAAACATATTAAAGAGAAGAGAATTTCAACTTTTGGTTATTAGGGACTAAAATGTATTAATAGTAATTAATTAAAAATTCAAAATATGTTTGTAAAATCAATGAAAGTTTTATAAAATTCATAAAAATATTTAGTAAGGAGGGCATATACTTCAATCACTCATTGATTCATTCATTCATTATTCCATTTATTAATTAAATTACTAATTGATCACATAGATAATAATCGGGTTTGCTTTACATCGATAACAAGAAAAGAAATAAAATAAAGAAAAAAACTATAGTAATAATAACTATCATTGAATTTATAAATTACAAAAGAAGAAAGTGGATAAGAAAATAAACTATTAGTTATTAATTTAGGACAAGATAATTACACTTCTTTTTTATTACTTTAGATAATTTCAAAAGAAACCAATTTATATATTGATTGATAGATTCATTGATATTCCCAATAATTTAAGCAATCCACGTCTCCTCCATAAAATGAATGCATATAAGCCAAAATTTCATAAAAAGTTAATGATTTCGCCTAAAGTACTTTCATTTTACCTTATATTAACTTCCAGACTTATCTTTCTCAAAACGATTTATATTCGTTGATTATAGTTGTTTATTTTATCTAATTAACATTATAAATAAGAATGCGTCTTATGATCTCAATTTTAGAGGATTCAGCTAAGGCTCAGCTGTCATCACTCCATGTAATTAGATTATGTATATTTTTAATACGTTTATTCAATTTTGTTCTTAAACAAAAGAAGCAGAAAAGGTTTAATCTACCAGAAATTCTTTTGCTATTGATTAAAAAAATAAAGACTCAATTTTGTAAAGCAATATCAGCTAACCTGAATCAACCAAGGTAATATAAAAAAAATATGTTTTAGATAGATGAAGATTTTTTTTTAATTTATTTTGAATGGTTTCATGCTAAATAAATTAATTTTATATTGTTATAAAGTAGAATCATTTTGGATATCAAAATTAGCTTGCTCACTAGCAAATACAGCAATAATAGCTTTAACAACAGCAACAATCTCTATAGTAAATGTAGCAGTAATAATAGTAGATGACATTATAGCAGTCATAGAATTAACTTAATCAATAACATTAATAGCAGTTAATTATGATGATTTAGCAATAATAGTAGTAGCAACATGGTTAGTAGTTGCCAAATTAGACTTCTTCTAAGAAGAGTAATTAGTAGTAGTAAATGTAGTAAAACCAAATATAATAGTCTTAGTATTCGAATGTTTTGAATCTTCTTATGCAATAGTAGCCTACATAACCTCCATAATAACATTAGCAAATTTACTAAAATTTGAACAATTCCCAACAATATACCACCATGCAGTAATCTTCAGGATAAAATTATTCTAACTAATCTTTTACCACAAATCGTTAAAACTCAAACGCTAATTATTTATACCATTAACTTAACCCTCCTCAATCAACAAAAGCTGCTGATTCGAATAGGAGACAAAATAATCCTTTCAGTGGAACATATTCAACAAAGAATACTTCTGCGCCTTAATAGTTATTAAAAGATATTTTGTCTAAAATTAACAAAGAATAAGTATAACAACAATTACCTTATCAATAAAATTAGTAAGTACTTAGATCATCTCATATGATGAATAACAGCTAGAATAATAGCAACAGTAATGTAGTTATATTAAACAACAACACGCAAAATGCAAATAATTAAAATATTTATTCTTCTAACTACGTAAATACCAATCCTGATCTTAGTAATATATATAATCCTAATAATCTTGCTGCTATGAACCCATAACCTTCATCAACAAAATCTAATCGTATTCATTCACATTACTTCCCTGCAACAACTAAGAATAAAAGCAACAGAAATCCAAGTCTCGATAAATTGAATGATTCTTCTTTTTTAAGATTAAAAAATGTCCAATCACCAAAACAAGTAAAAAATTATCTATTTTCAAGCTTTTGATTTTAGTTTGATAAAAAACCAACTTAGAGTGTGTTAAATAATTTTTTTTATTTTAAAATAGAGAACAATTAGAACAATAATGCCTGGTAGTAATAGAGATAATTCTGTTGGGAATAATTCTTCAATAAATAGAAACGGATATTTCTAACGCGAATATAGTGAAAGTGGTGTAGATGCTAGTAATTAATATATTCTCCCAGCAAGTTTATTGCAATAAAAAACAAAGAGAAGTGGCAACAGTATTACTGGAGGAGTAAATAATGTTATTGCAAATAATAATAACAGCTATAACAATGGATCATATAGCAAAATATAACCTCACTTACCTTAAAACTAAACAAGATAAAATGGCACGCCATATGTAAAGAAAGATTTAACAATAAAAACAGGTAACTCAATAGAGACTCTAAAAGGTATTATTAAATTATTTTCTTAATCTCAAACTTTTTCTTTAAATTAAAAATTAATAAAATAGATATTTTATCACCTACAAATAACAATGCAAACCCTAAAACTACAACTGCTACTAAAGACTCTAAGAAGCACTTGAATAGCAATACTCTACCTATACAAAGTTACACTACTACACATGCGCAATAAATACATCAATAAAAAAGATTGCTCCAAAAGCGAGATGATCAAAAAAATAAATCAAATTTTATAAATTCTTCTTTCTAATATATTATGGCTAGTGAAAACAATAGCGTGGAAAACACAAATCGTTTTTCCTATAACGTGATGAATAATATGGTAGCTAATAATTAAGGACAAAAATTGCTAAAAAATAAAAATAATTCGATGGAAAACTAGCAATTCAAGAATTTATCATTCACATAACCTCTGAATGATTAGTTCAAATAAACAAAAGAAAATAACAACACACAAAACTCAAATAATAAAATTCTTACAGTTAAGTAGTAACAGTAAAAGCAATAATTGTAATTTATACAAAAGGGACTAGGTTAAAACTCAAGCAAATAAAATTAATCTTCTATCTAAACCAGCGAAGGAAATGAAAACAAATCTGAATCTAACTATGAAAGCTAAGGATAAAATTTAGATAACTTTGATCAACATAAGATAGATTTGTCAACAGCAAGCTAGACTCCTTTTAGAAATGGCAATTCTACAAATGAGAAAAAAACTTTAGATGTAATAAATACATTAATTATTAAAAAAATTTATTAAATTATTTATTGGTTGTATTTCTTAAAGGATAATAACACAAGGAATACAGAGAGAGATGAAAAAAAAGAAGAACCTTTAGATTGGGAAAAAGTGGTAAGAATACTTTTCTTTAATGTCAGATGCTTCATTTTTTTTAATTTAATAATAGAAAGTACCAATAACTCCTTTAGAAGTATTAGCTAAGTACTAAAAGTATTTAACACCTTAGGAAAAAGCAGAAATATTAGAGTTCAAAAGAGTAATAATTAATAAATAAATTTATTTTTAAGATTATTAATTTTTATATTTAAAAAAAGATATATTTTATTGGCCATAATGCAAACAAAGCTGCTTAAGAAAATGGTAATAATGATGATACTAAAGGAGATTATTAGTATAATGTTAATGATCACATCGCTTACAGATATGAGATTAAAGAGTTTTTAGGTAAGGGATCCTTTGGATAAGTTCTAAAAGTTTTTGACCATAAGAGAAAGGAGTATGCAGCTCTTAAAGTTATTAGAAACAAATAAAAGTTCCATGAATAGGCCTTAATTGAGTTGAATATTTTACACTACATCAAAGAAAAAGATTATGATAACTAAACAAACATCGTTAAAATTAGAGATTTTGTTATTTTTAGAAATCATGTGGTAATTAAAAAAAAATAAACTTTAAGAAAACAAAGACTTAAAATTTTTTTATTTATACAAATAAATAGTGTTTGGTGTTTGAGTTGTTAAGTATTAACTTGTATGATTTACTCAGAAATAATAAATTCTAGGGTTTATCTTTGGAGCTTATTAGAAGATTTGCAATTCAATTATTAAATGCAATATCTTTTTTGAAAGAAAATAGGATCATTCACTGTGATTTGAAACCTGAAAATGTCCTATTAAAACAACCAAATAAAAGTGGTATTAAAATAGCTGATTTTGGTTCAAGCTGTTTCGATGACTAAGTCATGTATACTTATATATAATCAAGATATTATCGTTCTCCAGAAGTCATTCTCGGAATACCTTATGGTACTGAAATAGATATGTGGAGTTTTGGATGCATTATAGCTGAACTATTTTTGGGATACCCAATTTTCCCAGGAGAAGATGAAAATGAATAAATGGGATATATAATGGAATTATTAGGTGCTCCAGATTCAGAATTTTTAAAAGTAAAAAAATTTACATTTATTATAAGTTAAAAAATAATTTTTTTTGCTTTTTTAATAAACAGAAATGCTCAAGAAAGAAATATTTCTTTGATCAAAATGATTAACCTCTTTAAATTCCTAACAGCAGAGGTAAAATTAGAATGCCAAACAGTAAAAATTGGAAAAGTGTAATCGGATGCACTGATGATAACTTTATTGACTTCATTAAAAAGTGCTTAGTTTGGGAGCCTTCTTAAAGATTGACTCCTCGTGATGCTCTCCTTCACCCTTGGATATTAGATGGACTACCTGAAGATATTCGTGTGCAGCACATAAAATTCTTGAAAGATAAATCCTTTGAAACAGCTTCAGAAAAAGAATTCCATAAATAAAGTTGCCTGTAAGCATAATATAACGCGGATGCTTAAAGTGCAGCAATGGCTTTGGCTCTACAAAAGATTTATAAGTACAATAATAAAAAAAGAATTTTAGAAAAAAAATCTACAACATAAGGAACTGTCTCTGAAGAAACTAGAAACTCTGTCGTAAATTGAACATTCTAAATTACTTCTAGTTCTTTTGAAATAAAATCAATAACATCTTTTTAATTAATCATTCATTTGTTAAAATTCAGATGGAGGAAAAAAAATAGACTGCAGAAGTGAGCCAAATGTTTAATAACTTTTTTATTCAGCCTGAAAGCACAAAAAATAATAATAAAAATAATTAGAATTCTTTCAACAACAATACAAATAATTCCTAAAATTTTAGTAACGGAAACCCTATGAACGACACAAATAAATCAAATAGTTTAAATCAAAATAATTTTTCTAACAATAACAATAATATATAAAATTAAAATAACTTCATTATTCTCACCAACCCAAATAAAATTAAAATTCCAAATGCAAATAGTAATAGTCTAACTTAAAAGAAGAAAATAACAGCTTAAATCCTACAAGATCAGCAGAACCAACACTCTTTTTAAGCTAATTAAAACTCATAATAAACTCAACAAAAATTGACTCTATAATAACAACAAGTCTAATTATAACTGTAGCTACAAAAAATAGCTTAGTAATAAAAATTATAAAAACTTTAGTGATATTTGTAAATAAAATTTTCTTTTACTATAATAGATATGTTAATATCCTTTATATACACTAATATTTATTTATATTTTACTATTTTTAAGATCATTCTTTCCTTTTATTAAGAAACATTTTTCAAAACCATTTCAAAAAGCAAAGAATTAAAACCACAACACAATTTTTATTTAAAAATTTATAAATTAAAAAGTATTTATTGAATTAAAAATAAAATTATTCAAAAAATAATGACATTTTAATATTTAATTGTTAATAGTATTGTAAGCAATTATATTTTATATCTCATCTAGCAAAATTAAAAAGAATATTAATGTTAATTATATTAATAATATTTAAATTTGATTAATTTTCTTGATTGCAAACAAAATAAGCTAATAAATAAATAACTAAGATAATATTTTTTGAGTATTTTATAATAATTAATTATATTTAGTATTTGAATATAATTAATTATATTTTTTAGTATTTTATAATAAATAATTAATTATATTTTAAAGATTCTTTTCAAATAATTAAATTTTATTTTTTAGATTATATTATAAGTACAGAGTTATAGCTTTAAATTTAACTTTATTTAAACAAATTGAATTGCTTTTTTAAATGTTTTTTGTTAATAGTAAATACAGTTACGTATTAAATAAAACAGATAAAAAAAAGAATATTATCAATTATAGCTTAAATACTTCTTTTAATAGAATAAAATGGTTTAAATTGATATATTATTCATGATTTATTTAAGTTATTAATATTTCAGTTAAAGTATTTTATCCTTAATTATTTAATTAACATTTTTTAGAATAGTGGTATTAAATTAATTAACTATTTTTTATATTTCTAATACTTTTTTTAGAATTTATTATTTTTTGATTTCTTTTTAGTAGTTGTTATAAGTAAGTTAAAGGCGTTAGAAAATGAATAAGAAACAGAATAAATAACTAGATTAAAATAACGTGCAAACATCAGATATTCCAAATATAGTCTAGTTGAAATATAAAATAGATTAGCAAGAATATTATAAAGTTAATAGAGACTTATTCAAAACGCCAAACAATTAAAAAGAAAATAAGCATTATGATAACAATAAAAACGAGGAAATAGATAAGATATTTAGGGATTTTAAGGAAAAAGAAGAACATGTTAAAAAGGAAATAGAAAATGCTTTGAAAATTTCCTTAAGCAATTCTAAATCTGTAAAAAAGCAGAACGAAGATACTTTAAATTAAAATTTATCTCAAATAAATAGAAACTATCTTCCAAGAAATGAATCTCGCAATAAAGATAGGCCCAATTCAAGTTTAGGAACATAAAATAAATCGCCTCATGTGGTTTAAAAAGATATTATAAATTTTAGTAATATTCAAGACAAAAGTCCAAAAGAAACAATTACTTTTGATGAAGATCAGGTGAAAGATTTTTAAATTTAATAGAACCACATATAGTTCATCAAAAAGAGACAATCTAACAAAGTTAAACAAAACTAAATAAATTTTCTTAACTAATCGTTTGAAAATAAGCTTTGCTTTTAAGATATCACTGACCAAATAAGAAACAACAACTACCTTTATAATGATAAAAATTAAAAATAAAATAATCCAGCTACTACTTGTAAGATTTAAGAATTGAATGTAGATAAATTGAAATAAAAAGTTAGTAATATTGAACCTATTAAAAGCTAAATAAAGTCATTAGATAATAAAAAGGAGTAATTTCGAATGTAATCAGCAAATATCTAAACAAAGTAAAATAAGAACGAAGCTCAAAGAAACATAATTTCAAATAGAATAACACTAAAGAGGATGGAAAGTCCTATGATAATTTAAAATAATAACAACGATTCGTATATATCTAACAAGGCAATATAGTAATCTAACTTAAAGTAAAAAAGACCACTCCATATTTCAGATTATTCTAGCTTAAATAATACTTTGACTTTGAATGATAAATAAAATAATCTAAAAACACCAAATTAGACTAGTCCTACTCAAATAGGATTAGAAAAGAGAAAATTAAAAACTTTAAACGACTACTCTACCTCTTTCCTCACTGAAGATTATAACAATTTCAATGTGGCTAATAGATAAAAGACAGTTAATAATGTATCTTAAAAATCCTCAGATACTCCTGAAAAACCAAGAATATTACTCACTGAAAGTTAAGAAGGAGTGTTTTAGTTGCACGATAACCTTGTAAATTTCTAAAAAACTAAAAACTAAAAATACGATAACCGCTAATTCTCTACAATTTAATATAGCTAAAGAAAAACTACCAATAATAATTACAAAGATGCAAAAGTAAATTTATTTTAAGACTCTTCTCATAAAATATCTGAAAATTCTCACAAAGAGAGCCGATAAAGAAATAAAACGTCTGATTGTAGGATTGAATAGATATCAAATTACGTAAAACCTATGCTTTAGTACTAGGCAGATATTTGTTGGTAAACCTAATACTCTTCATTTAATATAAATAATAATTATGTAAAAATTAATAATTCTCATACACTCGATCCTCTGACCACGACAGAGGACTCAGAATCTAAAAAGAAATAGATTTCACATTCATCTTACAAAAAAAAAAATAAATGTTATATAAATAATAATTTTAATTACCAACTGAAAATATTGAGGGGAACATTAAAAAAGAATTAACTCAGTCCAGAGAATATTTTGTCTCAAAAATTTAATATTGAGCTACCCAAAGAAAACTCAATTATAATAGAAGAAAACCCTTCTTAATATAATTTGTAAAGTTAAAGAAATACATCTAATTCTAATAAAGAAAAGTTAGATTCCACAGAATAATAAATAGAAGAAAATAAGCTAAAAGGCAAGGATCATCGCAATAGTTCAGCATCTCCACAATAAAACAGTAGAAACAAAGAAGTTCTTAAAAAATTTTTAACTAAAACAAAGCAAATAAAAAGCAAAAATTTTATAGAAAATCTTGAAACAGATAACACTTGTGCTGATGATAGCTGCTAAGAGTAAATGAACACTGTGGATGACTTTAAGGCAGTTTATCCAGCCTCAAATTATGATGAAATTTAAAATAGCTCATAATAAAATAATTTTAGAGGATAAAGTGGTTCTAACTAAATAAAAAAATAGAGCAAGTTATAGCCATTGCAATAAATACAAAATTAATCTTATTATCATGCTTAAAACTAGCTAATCCAAGAAGCTAAGCAAAATAAAAAGAATGCCCTTAGAAGTAGTTATTCTTAGTAAAAAGAAGAAGGAGATGATAATGGTGGGAATTAGAAATCAAATGTTAAGTAAATCTACAATAAACTAAATTAAATTTCTAAAAATTCTACATAAGAAAAAAATAACAATCAAAGTAATAGCTAAACATAAAAATTTAACAAAGGATCACCTGTTTCTTTGAGGGATTCCTTGAATGCAAATTATAGCTATAGTAATGATAATAATAAAAGAAATTCTATTAATTAAGAAGGAAATACTTTATCTAGAGATGAACAAGAAATTATTAAATACCAAGAAGAAAAAAGAAAACTAGAAAAATAAAAATTTGCTCCTTACAAAGTAGATTAGTTTCAATAATTTGTAAACAACTAAAACGTCCTTTCTCAATCTTCAAAGTATTCTAATTTATAGTAGCCCTCTTAGTAGTCTTAAATACAAAATTCTATACATTAAAATAGCAGTGATTACTCAAATCATCAAAGATATTCGTTTTCTTTTTAGTATTAATAAAACATCTAACAAAGTCCATCATAAACTTATTAATAATAAATAAGTTAATAATCCTCTTAACCTTCTTAAGTCAATACAAACCCTTCTATCGTAACATTAAAAAGTATTCATGGACCAAAAGTTCTTAGATAGATGCCGTATGGAGTTAACGACGCATATTATGGAATGCCAGTTCCAGCTAATTTTGGTATTTCTACAATGGAATAACATTCATCACATGAAAATTTTTCTCCTCATTTTTCATAATAATTTTAAGAACAAAATGAATTCAAAAAGCAATAGTAAAATAATATTTAAGAAATTTAATCTTTTGGTTAGCACAAACTAATTTCATAAGAAGGTGAAATGAAAGATACTAAATAAATTTAAGAATAATAGGCAGGAAGAATAAGCCAAATGGGAGATTCGTGTCCTCCAGCTCCCACAAAAATTACTTTAGAGTATCTTTAAATGAAGAATGAAACAGAAGATAGCTATAGAACAGCTTTTTATAATAATTAAGTCTATGTATAGTAAACTGTGAAAGAAAATTTTTATGGTAACAGTTAACATTTTTAGTAAAAAATGCAAGCAGTTATACTATCTACAAATTAATAAAACAAAAATGTTAATTAATAACAAAATGATCAAAAAGAATAGACATAGTAAGTAAATGAAAAAATAATTAAAAAAGTAGAATTTAAAGATGCTGATAAAAAAGAAGATGAGGAAATTATCATCTGAAAATGATTTAAAATAATTTCTTCTTTAAAAAATAAACAATAGAAAAAAATAAAGAAAGAAAGTAAATCAATAAATAAATGAAAAAAATCAGACAACATTTTTTCATAATTAATTATAATTAGATAGTTTAAAAATATATATAAATCTTACAATTTTGTATATAATGTAGAGTAGTTTTAGTTTTCCATATATATAATTTATTTTTATAAATCTCTATTTGAATAGTTGTTAAGATTTTTTTATAAAGAATACCAAATATATAAAAAATATGTTAAGAAATACTGTAATATAAATTTTATTACCTCAGATAATAATATTTAATTTCTTTTAATTAAAAATTTAATTAAATTTAATAAATTTTCAAAATATTTTTTTAAATATCTAAACAGCTTTTAAAATATATTTATTAACTATGACTAAAAATTATAAAATAATTAATTTTCTTACATTCTTTTAACTTAATGTCAAATTTATTGTAATACTTTAATTATAAAACAAATTATTTTGATAATAACTGTGAATATCTATTTTTAGCTTGTAGATAGTGAAAACTAAAGATAAATCTTAAAATTTAAGTAGAATAAATAAATAGGATTCCAATAATTATTTACAGCCATCTATTTAAGAAAAAAATACTTTATTTCTAATATGAATTACCTCAGTCATAATTCTTTATTTACTGCAAAAAAGTTTAATGAGAATCTATAATTATCAGAATTAAATTTAAAATTTGCAGTTAATTTACTATTTTTTTACATTTAATAAATTTATAAATTTATCTATAATAATTTTAATTATTTCTGTTAAAATCATTAAAAATTGATTTGAGGTATGAATGAGACTAGAGATTAAATATAAAAATTTCTTTTTTTGTAAATAATACATTCATACACACATAGAATTTTATTTTAATCATGTAAATAATAAATTTTGTAAAAAAAAATTGACTAATTTTTATAAATATTAGTAGTAGTAAAGTTGCCTTAAAACTCACTCCAGTCATTCATACCTGAATATATTGAATTTAAGTTTATAGTTATTTAGTTAATTATTAATAAATTTGTTAAATTAAGATACTATAGCTTTTAAAACTATATTGAAGCAAATATTAGTCATAATATTCAAAATTATAAAACAAATTTCAAAAATTGATTGGAGTTAAAAAGTATTATTTGAAGGAATATGAGTCATATAGCTTAGATGTCATAATAAGTAGCTAATATTGCAATTTAACAAGAATAAGATTAAGTAATTAATGGTTGGGTTTCATATATCGCATTAGGTACATTTCGTATAGATGATGGCCAATCGATTGAGTATTTATATCCTCCTGAAGGAGTTAGTGCAGAAGAAAAGAAGAGTATAGCTATGATTAGCTTTCCTGATACCTAAAGTCTTAACTAAGGGAACGATTTAATGATAGAATATTGCTTTAGAATGAAAATTAGAGATTGTTAATAATTAGGTTTTGTATTCTTTTTTAGAAAAAAAGATCCAAGTACAGATCGCGGTTATATACAAAAGTCGATAATTATCATAACAAAGCTACCACTTATTCATTTTTATCAGCATATATTGAATTTACTTGGAGAATTTTTATATGAAAATAAAACTCCATACTTAAATTTAATAGAGGTATTCATAGTTACAATTACATTCATTACTTAATAAGTTTGACATATTTATCTTATTGATTTTTTTAAAAAAAGAAAGCAATAGCTGACATACAATAATGGCCAGACCCAGAAAATTCTAAACTCTACAAACTTTAGTTCATGGGACAAAATTTTACTGTAAGGTTTGTTTAAAATTTAAAAGCAATAAAATAAATAAATAAATAATATTAGGAGTTAAATTGTTAGGAGATTAAATTATTAATTTATTTATTATACTAAAGAACTATTTTTAATAAGTAACTAATTTTAAAATGATTAAAAAAGGTTAGTATTCCGTAATATCTATTAAAAAATAGACCAAGCATTCAGTCAGAATCTAATAATATTATAATTAAACAAAAAGAGTCTTCCAATCAAAAGTAAAATAACATTTATTGAACGCCATTACAATTTAAAATTTATATATAAAGCTCATAAAATAATGTGAATGAAAAAAATCAAAGAGAAAACAGCTAATTTTCATCAGAAGAAATGAATATAAATTTGCAAAAATAGAAATCAAATAGCCACAACGACTTTAGACTAAAAAATAATTTATAATTAAATGATAATATGCACCAAAATATATAACTCACAAATACCAGAGAAGATTATAAAAACTTAGGAGCTCATTTTTTCTCTACAAAAAATACTAACAACAAGATAGTTTTCTAAGATCATCAGTAGGGATAAAACATATAATAATAAAATTAAGATGAAGTAAATAGTGATGCATATCCAAATATCGAAATCCGTTCAAAATAAAGGTCTAATTCTCTTGAAACACAATAAGAGTACAGCCTTAACAAATAAATAAAGTAAAAAAATAATCTCACAGAAATACTAAAGCTAAATGATGCACAGGAGGAAGGTCTTTTTCAAGAAATAAATGTATTTCGACATGTTTCTTTTAATAAATTGCATCTTTTATGGCCAATTTGGGAAATGATACTTATTAACTAACCATTCTTACTTACAACTAACACTCCAAGTAATATTTTAAGGATTTTTCTAAAAATTAACTTTAATTTCTCATAAATTTATGCTTTTTTAAAAAACTACAATCAATTATTTTTTTTTCATATTTAAGGTGAATGCTCAGCAGCTATATTAGGTTTTATTTCATTGATTTCTCCTTTATAATTTGCAGGAGACTATCGTCCATACTTCACAGTTTATGACACTGAATATAAAAAGATAAACTTGGAATACGAGTAAAATATGCTAAAAAGCTATGTCCTTGGGACTTGCAACCCACTTTTCCAAATGGTAAATAAATTAAAATATAAAAATAAAATAAATTTAAATTAACTAAAATAGACATTAAAAAATTTCCCTGTAATAATTGGTTTTGATTCAAAATCTGAATAATAATAGCTATTAGAATCAAAAAAATCAAAAAAACCATTGCAATCTATAAAGTATAATAAAGTGAAATCAGAAATAATTGCTGATAATAAATAATTAGAAAAGCTTCTTTTAAATTGTAATAGTCCAGAAGCTATGGCAATAAACAATACCTTAGTAAGAAAACATTTTAGAGTACTAACAAATTAATTTTTAGACCCTATTAATAAATACTTAGATGAATAACCTTCTGTAAGATTTAGTTTTAATTAAACAATTTAATTATATATTTTTATTCACATTAAATTATTTTTAAATAAAACAAACAGTAAATAAAAATATTTGAAGAGAAAGCTTTTATGTAATATTTAAAGAAAAAAAAATCTACTATATAACACCTATACAAAGAAAAGAATTAGTTATTTAATTTATATGAAAGGTTTCTAAGATCCTTAAACTTTATTAGATACATAAAAAATAGGCCTAATACTTATTACTAAAACCCTTTTATATAGTAATTAAGGCAGTGAATAAGTAAGTAAAGATCTAAAAAATAAGTTTAATCAGTAATTAAACGAAGTTATTTTGTTATTAATTATAAAATTCATATATATACTCATGAAACATTTTTGCAGTTAAATATTTATATATAATGTATATCTATCTATCCAGCTAACTATTCAATTTAATTATTTTAATAAAAATTTTCTTCTAAATTTTGATGAATATTTTCAAAAAAATAATTAATTTTAAATTTAATCTTATCTACTCTACTTAATATTTAAATCAAATAAAATATTCTATAATAAAAACATCAAAATTATAATTTAGATTATTTTATAAAGTAGGCGATTTCAATAATAAATTAATCTTAAAATAAAGAGCAAAGTCAGCTGTACTTTAATTAAATAATATTTTTTATTATGTCTTATTTTTAGGTTTTATTTTTGGTACAGAAAATATTTTTCACTTTTCTTTTAATAAATTAAATTAAGTTCTTGCTTTTTCAGTTCCATTAACAATAATTGATAAATGATGTATTCCAGGATAGTGTTTTCTAGTTGTAAGTTGATGAACTTTTTAATATCCCTCAAGAGTTATTCTTTTTTAGGGGAGCTTAAATTAGTTTTTAAACATAAAAACCTTTGATGAGTGTGTACCATTACTTTTTAAGTAGTCTATTTAATATTCGATACGAAGAATATTTTCTGATGACTAATCTTCTTCTACTTCGCTTTAAGAATCATCTTAGCCATCATATTCTTCATCATCTTAATTATTGTTTTCTTCTGATAAATCCTCACTCTCATTTTAATTACTATCTTTTATTTATTTGCTTTACATTTTTTTAGTTTATTTTAGATTATCTTAACTTTATATTATAATTTTCTTATTCTTTACTTTGGAATTTTCATTTTTTATATTTGCATTGCTAGAGGTATCTTCTATATCAAAACTAAATGAAAATTAACTCCCTATTCTTATATTTTTATCATGTATAACTAAATTAGTAACTTTAACTGATTCTAGATTGCCTACCCCAAATAAATCTAGAGCTTATTAATTTCCTTTTTTTAATAAAGTTCTACAAGCCCGTTTTACTATAAATTATGTAGCTTAATTGTTAATCTGTTTCCAATCACTACAAATATGAAGCACCAAGTTAGGATGATTTTTACTTATATCATTTAAATTGTTGGCTACACTTTTTTAGACATAGAGCTCTGGATCTTCTTTTAGCTAATCAAGAATTGGTAGAATTGGAGTTGGGTCTTTTACAAATTCACTCAATCTAAAGCTCCATGGTAACATAGGTCTACAACCTTCACTTGCTAGCCTTCTTACATGATGATTATCATCTTTAGACCATCTGTACATATATTGCATAGCATCTTATCCATACTTTTAGATAAAAGGTCTTACTGCGAATTCAGAAGAACTATTTACAGTAAATTGCTTTCATTTTAAAATTGTTGTTTTTTGTATAAAGATACTTTAATAAAATTTACTTTTAATGCAAACATTGATTCATCTAAATATTCTATTCCATATAGTATAACAAACTCAGGAAATACCATGTTCACAAAGTTATTAGAAAGTCGTTCATTGACATCAAGTAAAATATTTATTGCCTCAATATATGGTTTATTGATTACTTATTGAATAGTTTTAGATACGTGAGTCATCCTTTCTTTTAATTCTTTTTCTCTCCATTAATCATCAAATACTTTATTTAAAAATTCTTTTTAATTAAATTAAGGTAATGACTAATGTATTTGTTATCCAATTAATGCAATATTTTATTTTGTGAATAAAATATCTTTTAAAGCCTTAGACATTTTTTAATAATTTGTTTAACAATTAAATTATTTATTTGTAAATTTTAAATTATTGGATTACTTGGGTTTGATTTTAAAATAAAATAAAATCTTCTTCAGATTTTCTATTTTTCAAAATAATTGTCAAAAACCGCATTTTATAAAAGTAAGTAATTATTAATTGTAACACCTCATAAATCCTAATTTAAAATTTTCTTTATGACATAAACTGATTTTAATTTTATTTAACGATATTAAACATTTTAAGTTCTCGAAAAATGATTAGATAAAATATTCAAAATACAATGTATAAAAAAAATTATATTATTTTATATTTTTAAATATTTATTAATTAATTAATTTTCTTTGTAATTAATTTTAAAATTAAAAAATTAAATATGCTTAAAAAATAATTTTTATCATATCTTTAACTAAAAAGTAATTAATGATTTCATGATTCTTACAATAGTTCAAATTACACTTTTGCTTTTTCAACACCATTAACAACGATAGAAAGATAGTGCAGTCCAGGATAATGCTTTCTTGTTACAATCTATTCTACATTTTAAAAACCTTTAAAAGATACCTTCTATTTTTAGAGGGCATATTAACCTCTGAAAATAAAAATTTTAGGTGAATAACTTCCATTTTTTTTTAAGTAGTCGATTTTATATTCTATTCTCAGCATTTTTTGATGTATTTAATTTTCTTAGTTAAAATTATTGTTTTCAAAATCACTCTCATCACTAGATACATCATTATTATTTTTAGAATTATGTTTTTTTGATCTAAAATATTCATGTTACTCTTTTGAAATAAATTTAGTATCCTCGATATCAAAGCTAAAAGAAAAAGATGCTCCAATTTTCACTTTTTCTTAATCAATTTTTAAATTAGATACAATAATGGATTCGTTGCTTGCCACCCCAAATAGATTTAATGCATCCTAGTTTCCCTATTTTAATATTGTTCTACATGCCCTTTTTAAAATAAATTTAGTGCTTTAATCATTTATCTTGTTCCAAGAGTTGCATATTTGCAGAATTAGTTCTGGATGATTTTTGCTTATATCATTCAAATTATTTGCAACACTCTTTTAAACATATATTTATGGATCCTATTTTAAATTTTCTAGTATGGGAAGTATTGGAGTTGGGTCTCTAACATACTGTGGAATTTTAAAACTCCAAGGTAGAAGTGGTCTGCAACCTTCACTTGCTAATCTTCTGACATGAAAATTTGAATCTTTAGACCACTCATACATATATTTCATAGCTTCTTATTCATTTTATAGAATAAAGTGTCTTATGGCAAATTCTGATGTGCTAGTTTTAGTAAATTCCTAATGGTAATTTTAAATTTAATTAAATTTACTTTGAGATAAAATATATTTATTTATGTATTTATTTATTTAATAATAATAGAATAATTAAAAATTTTAATACTTTCAAAGCAATCATTGATTCATGAAAGTAATTTTATCCATACAATTCTACATAATATGGAAACATAAGATGACTGTAAGTGTACTCAAGTCTTTTATTAGCATCCAATAAGATATCAAGAGACTGAGAGTAAGGCAAATTCAAAGTTTGATGAACACATTCACTTACATGTTAAACACATTCTTTTATTCTTTTTGTATCCCATTCGTCATTAAAAACTGAATTTAAAAAAGCTTTATTATCAAATGGTGAATATGATTTCTTAATTTATTATCCAATTTAAGAAACAATCTCCTTAGTTAGAATTGAGTTAATTATTTTATTTCTCATTTTTAAATTTAATCAAAATTATTTATAATAAAAATTTATCTAAATTTTCGATTTCTATTTTAAATTTTTAAAAATGCTGAAGGAATAAATAAAAGATTATTTTATTTCAAATAATTAAAAAATTAGCGCTTAAAATAAAAAAAACTCAATAAAAAACTTTAAAATTAATTTTTTGAAGAAAAAATAGTGTATTTTTTCTGATAAAATCAGTCAACTTAGAAATAAAAACTGTAATACATTTTGGTAATTCTAAAGATTAACTTAATTAAGGAAATATAACAAAGACGCTTTAACCATAACAAATAAAATAAATTAATAATTCAAATTTTATAAAAATCACTGCTCTTATTCATGTAAATAAAATTCTTCTTTAGCCATTTCTATCCCGTTAACTATAATTGATATGTAATGAATTCCAGGATAGTGGATTTTTCCTATTACTTATTCTACCTTATGACGCCCTTACAATGAGTTAACTTTATTTTTTAGATTATAATTGTAACGCATCATGAATACTTTAGGTAAGTGTTTTCCATTCTTTTTTAGATAATAAATCTTGTATTCTATTCTCACTATATTTTTATCTTCTTTATTTTATGATTTTTATGTTTTCTTTTAATTTGTGCTATTCTAGACATTCTAAATATCTACTAAATTGCTTTATAAAAATGATTTATCCTATTCATTTAACTATAATTCATTAGTATTTTCTTTAGTTGAAATGTCTTCAATATCAAAACTAAATGTAAATTAAGATCCAATTTTTATGTTTTTTTCATGTATTTTAAGATTAGAAACTCTAACTTATTCTTTAGCTCCTACTCCCAATATTTATAAAGCTTCTTAATTTCCTTACTTTAAAATAGTCCTAAATGCCTTCTTTATAATAAATTTAGTTGAATTATTGTTTATTTTACTCCATTCTCTACATAATTAAATAACTAAATCAGGATGATGTCTACTTATATCATTTAAATTGTTTGATACACTTCTCTAAACATACAACTCTGGGTCTTAGTTTAGCTACTCCAAAATAGGAATTATAGGAGTTGGATCTTTAACAAGTTATTATAATCTAAAGCCCCAAGGTAAAATAGGCCTGCATCCTTCACTTGCTAACCTTCTAACATGATAATCTTAATCTTTTGTCCATTCGTACAAATACTGCATTGTTTTTGTTTAACTTCTAAGCATAAATTATCTTATTGCAAATTCAGATGAGCTATTTCTTGTAAATTCCTAAGTATATTTATATAAATTAAATTCTAGGCTAAAAAAGTGCAAATTATACTTTTAGGGCGTTCATAGATTCTTCAAAGTAATCTAATCCATATAAACTTACATATTCAGGGAAAACAAAATTAGAATAGTTAAAGCTTAGGCTTTTATTAGCATGAAGAAGAATTTCTAAGGATTCTAAATATGATTTATTTAAAGCTAAGTGTATTTTCTCACTTACATGAACTATGCATTATTTAGTTTCTACTTTTTCCCATTATTTGTCAAAAACCAAATTTAAAAAAAGCTTTTAGTCAAAAGCAGGATATGAATCATTTATCTTATTGCCTATAAATTCAATAGCCTATCTATTATAAAGCAACTATTTAAATTTTGAAGTCATTTATTTATTTATTTTCTTTTTATGATTGGTTTATATTAATTAATATTTATTTATTTACAAAAATAGTTATTTTTATTAGTTTGTTTTAAATTATATTTTAGTTTATTCCAGAAAGATTAAATTCAAAATTTAATTAAAACGCCGCAAATTAAAGTATTAAGTAAAATCAATCAAAATTTATTTTTGATATAGATAATCATTAGAATTGTTGTGTTTTATTCATCATTCATTCATAGTTTAGTGTTTTTTGATTGCTATTTACTTTTTCAATATGGGTTTATTTTAGTTCTACTTTTATTCTTTTTCCCATCAAATTTAAACCATTTAATTCTTTTATTGCATGAGCTGCCTCATAAGGCTAGTTAAAACTAACAAATCCATAACCTCGGCTTTCACCATTTTATTTTCTACAAATAGTTATTGAAATGATATTTCCATAACCTGAAAATAGCTCAAATAAGTTTTTTTCATTATATTATTTAGGTAGATGAAAGACAAAAATATTAGAGTGTGAAGGACCTTAAACAACATATTTTTGATTTGTATATTTTTTAATACCATCTTTTCTTTTATTTTACATTGTAAAATCTATATGGCAGGGAAAAAGTTTAGGTGTAATTGTGCAAGAACCATCTTCGTGCCAGATTAATGAGGAGTAAGGAGGAGTTTCAGTAGAAGAAGTATCTGTAAATGGATGGTAAAATATAGGATTAGATTCCCCTTAATTAAAATATTCATAATAATACTTCTCAAAAGGTATTGTAGAAGGCAGAGGGCCATTTTATGTTATTTGATTTGTATTTTGTTTCATATATTTTAGAATTTACTTTTGCTTTTTTTAATAACTCTTTTCTATAAAAGAAACTTTCAATTTTTTATTTTAAATTAGGTAAATATTTTATTTGTTCAAGTTCTAGACAGCTAAATGGGCACTCTCTTTCTCATAATATTTAATAAACGCATGACCTTTGCATTCACTTGTTTTTTTATCTCGTATGACTTTTAATTATTAGATTCTACCAAAATTATCAAATATATTAGAAATACTTGCATCTGATATTAAAGCAGGAAGATTTTTTATAATTAGCTTATGACTTGAATTCTCGCTGACTCCGAGTCTTTCTTCTTCTCCAGAAGCCCACTTCATAATAATTTCCTACTTACTGTTTGGAAAATGTTTATTTTTGTAGAATTCAATAACTTTTTCTGCTTCAGACATTGAGGAAAAAGTAGCAAAAGCGCATCCCTAATGTCTAAATTTTTAGTCTCTTATTACTTCAATTTATGTGATACTGGTATGTTTTTCAAAAAAAATCTTAAGATCACTTTCCTACCAATCCTTAGGAACTTGCCCAATAAATAATTTAATAGGAATTGAATTAAAAACCATCTAAATATCTATTACAAAATTAGTTAACTCATCATTTTATTTATTTTGAATTGATTTATTGTTATTAGCTGATTTTTGTAGAAGTAGCATAAGCTAATTAGTCTGCTCTTGCAAGCTATCAAAATCTACTTCAATGTTGTCTTTAGTTTGCTTACTTTAGTTGAAATTCGATATGAGATTTTCAAATGAAATCAAATCATTCTAAAATCTATAATCTATTTCGAAAGAACTTTCTTCTTACTACTGACAATTTATATTCATATTTTGTATTTATTTATTACAGATTTAAGTTTAATTTTGAAAGAAAAATCAAATTTAAAATTAAATAGAAAAAATAATTAATATAACAATTAAATTATTATTAAATATTTACAATTTTGTTAAAAGATATTTTGTTGTTTATGAAATGCTGAAATCCATGCAAAACAAAATTATAAATAGAAATTTACAACAAAAAAATCATACAAATAAAGAAAATCAAAACAAACAAATAAATAAATAAATAGAACGATATATAGATAACTTTGATGAATACAAACCAAATTATATAGTGAAAAAAAAAATCAATCTCAAATATAAAAGCAATATAAAAATTTTAATTATTTTAAAACACAAATTAAGAAATGAAAGAAAATAAATATCTAAAATTTTTGAATAGAATGGCCAAATCAAAATTGTAAATAAAAAATATCCACTTTTATTGTTTATCATTTTACAATTAATGAATTAAATAATCAGTGTATTCTGTTTAATATAGTTTCCATCTAAAATACTTTCTCATTTAGTTTAGCAATATTAATTTAATTTTCTATAGATGTTTGGAGATGTTTATCAAAAATTTAGTTTTAGCCTTAAACAACTGAATTCCACATTTGTTATTAAGCATCCCATCTAGCTCTTAATACTTCTAATTCTTTTTTTATTTCATTTTTTTATCTATTTAGATAATAAACTTCTTCTTCAAGTCTATCTTTTCTTTCTTTCTCTTCTTACATCTCTCTATGTTTTTGGATTCCCTGAGAAATGGTAATATAACCTATTACACCATATACTATAACTACTTCAATAAAGAAATTTGCAAAATTTTCTAACGCTTTCTCATCACTTAATAAAACCTCCTTCACTTTCCCTTCATAACCTAAAAATCTTCTATTAATCCAAGCTTCCCAGTTATATATTATATTTCCCCATCTAACAAGCGTCTCTCGAGGAGTGCCACCTATTTTCTAAATTCCAACTTTAAATATTACTACAATAGGCCTTGAAAATACTTTTCCGACTAAGGAAAGAGCTTTTAGAAGGGGTAACATTTTTCAAAATCAAAAATATTAATTATCGTTTTTAGAAAAATATAATTTATTATTTATAAAAACCACAAATTTAATTTGTGATTGACCAATGATTAAAAAGCGATAAATAGAAAATTAATTTTTGACAACAAAAATAGAAAAAAAATCAGAAATTTCTGTCCAAAATATAGATAAATATTGAGAACAAATATTTTTTTGTATTTTTAACTTTTCTATTAGTAAATAAATTAACACTTTCTAAAATAAAATAAATTTTTAAATTCTTTTTAAATCTATCTTTAAAAATGTATCAAACTTATCAAAAAATAATTATTATTGTTTTAATTTTTATTAGATTAAATAAAGTATTAATATGTATTTAAAATAAAACAGTACCTTAAATTATTTTAAACTTTTTTATCAATTAAATATCATCTAAATTGTTGAAAAAAAAGAACATTAAATATAAATTAAATATTAATTTGAGTCTAAAATAATTAACTAAAATTACATTTAAGATGTAACATCTTTTTTACATAAAGCTTGATAAACAAATGACAAAATAAACAATTTTACTATATATTGTTATGAGGATTTAATTATTTACATCATCTCTGTTATTTGAATTCTTTTATAGATCAACGAGCAATTGAACAATAAGTTTAAGGAGAATTTTAAATTAAAAATAAATACAATAAAAAAATTGTATATTTAGTGTAGAATTTGTTTTATAGTTAGTATATATCTCAAAATTTTTGTATTCTTTATTATCTATCAGAGATTGTATAAAAACCTTAACAATTTACAAAGTAAGATTAAATAAAATAATAAACATAGAATGAAGGAAATTATTATAAATTTTAATCCAATAAAATTGATTCTTTTTATTAAAAACTCATTGTATTTGGTATTTTTTTTAGTTAATTAAAACTAATTTTAAAAAACTATTAAAAATTTATCACTAAACTTATCTTACAATTAAAAAAGGCTTTGCAAAATTAATTATATATTAATTTGTTGTTTCACAGACTAATAAACATAAGCGCTTATTACTAAAATTGTGATCAAACAAAAAATAAATATTTTCATGATAGAAATATAGAATTAAAATGGAGGTAAAAAAGAAGAAGTATCAATATTGTTTCAAAGGTCTTTCAATCCTCTGTTTAAAAATGTATTTTTTTTATTTTATTTATATATAGATAATAATTTAAATGAGCTTAATATATTAATAAATAAAGGATGATGAAGATTTTTAAGCACTTAGAGTGAGAAAAGAAAGTAGTATTCATTCAGAAAATATGAAAGAATCAGAAGATGAAGAAAATACATAAAAAAAAAACAATAAGGATGAAGAAACTAATAAAGAGAGGAGTTTACATATAAATATTTAAAAAAATTAACAAACTTCTACTTTTATTAATGATTTAACAGAAGGTAAAATGACAAAATATTCTCCTATGCTATCTCCACAGAAGGATAATCCAAACCTTGGCTTTGATGGAGAAATTCATAGTATTTATTAGGGATCAGGTTTTTTGAAAGGCTATAAAAAAAACCCAAAAAAGCTAATGAAGGCTATAAATTTATTAGTTAATGTAAAGAGTTTTTACAATCAACTGACAAAGAACACTAGAATATTTTAAAAGCTAACTTAAGAGCAATATATTTTGATTGGAGATAATGCTTCGTTTTATACTAATAGAAGAGTACAGAAATTTAGCAACAAGAAAATTTCTCACTATTTATAACTTTTTTAATAAGGCATTCATGAGACTTTAAGATTTTTTTAAATGATTCCAATTATCTAGCCTCACACAGCAATTAAAACATTATGGGATTTTTTTTAGGGAGTGGTAATTATATTAATTTTATTATTTTTTAGCTTAGTAATAGTCTTCGGATTGAAAACCTCTCAGTACTAAGATTTTTTATAGGTTGCTTTGATTTTTTTTGGATTTGATATGTTAATTTAATTCAACACAGGAATAGTAATTAAAGGCTAAGTAGAATAATCAAGGGTTTAAATAGCCAAATAATATTTAAGAGAAAATTTTATTATGGATGTTATAGGAATTACTCCTATATTTTTGCTAAATTCCTCTCATCTTAACGAAGCCTTAACGCAATCAAGCTCTATTATATAAAATATATTATATGCTTGTGTGATTTTTAAATGTTTTATGCTACTTAGCATATATGAAAGAATAGAATAGAAATTTGGGTATTAAAAAAACTTAGAAAATTTTTTTGATTTGATAAAGCTGCTATTTAAGATAGGATCAATATGCCATTTTTTTTCTTTACTTTGGTTTGCCTTAGGTTAATATGAGATACATATTCTTGGAAAATCCAATACTTGGATTTAGTACAAAAGCATATAAGATGCTGGCATATTTACCTAATATATTTATTCATTTTATTATATTACAACAACAATGATTACAGTTGGATATGGTGATATAACTCCTTAGAATGAAATCGAAATTACTTTCTCTGTATTGATTATGTACCTCACAAGTGTAGTGTATGCTTATTCATTAAATTGTATCGGTAATATTCTCTATAACATCAATGAATCTCACAAGGATTTCAGGAGTGATATGAGAACAATACACTAACTCATGGAAGAATAAAATGTTAAATAAAGTGTAAGAGTTAAAATCAGTAACTATGTCGAATATTTATGCAAGGTAAATTTTATTACAAACAAAAAAAAAAAAAAATTTTAATTGATTATTTTAATATTAATTAATTACTTTTTCATATTTGATTCTTCCTTAAAATATTTTTTTTTATAAGGAATCAAACCATTAAAAAAAGGCGAAATAAGATTAAATTTTATCAAAGCTATCTCATCAATTACGTTCTGAACTTATGAATGAAATTAAAGGAAAATTTATATCAGAAATTCCTTTATTTAAGGATATTATTTAGCAACAGACTATTGCAAAAATTATAGAGAATATGGAAGAGTGCCTTTTTTCTCCTGGTGAAGTAATCTTTTAGCACCACGATTAAGATGACTGCGCTATTTATTATCTTTTAAAAGGATAAGTTAAGATTTCTTTAGAAGATTAAGTTCATAGAACTGTTAAATTAATAGAACGAAAAGGCTGTTTTGGAGAATTATCATTTATTACTGGTAATGAAAGAATTGGTACAGCTACAGCAAATGATTTTTGCAGAAGTTATAAAATTAAAAGAGAGAACTTTCTTGATATAATTAAATAGAATTCACAAGATTTTGAAAACTTTAAAATGCTTTATGAATCGGTTTGCTTAAAAGGAAATTTAAAATTTGCAAAGCTGTACTGCTATTCCTGTAAAAGAGGTGATCACACAGCTTAGATGTGTCCAAAGACACACTTAATATTTTCAAAATAAATACTCATACAAAAATACAATAAATCTGAACCTATAACAAAAAGAACTAACCACAGTAGGAGAAAAATTAGATATAATTCTAAAAATCTATATTAGTAAGTATAAGAGGCGTTAGTAAACATTCACTTAGTACCAGAGTATGAAGAAATTATTTAAATAATAGAAAAAATAGCACATTTGAATGATACTTTTCTTGAGTTATATTATTCTGAAGAGGAATTATCAAATTGCGATGCTGTTTCTAATAACTTTAACATGAGTTTGAAAGAGATATAGCAAGCTAGCCATAGAGAAAAACTTTCAAATTTTTAGAATGAAGCCTATGATTAATCATAAAGTAGAGAACTGATTGATAAAAATAATCTAACTCCTAGTTAAAGCTCAGAAAGTGATTATGAAGATAATAGTATATCAAATTCTTAAAGCAGTTCTCGTGAAACAACAACAATTGAAGTCAACAGCTAAAAAGAAAACTCTTAAAAATAAAATAAAAGTAAAAAAAGACCAAGAAGCACAAGGAGCTTTGCATATGAAATGAATGAAAACATTATCTAAGAATCTAGCGATGAATCAGGAGAGGACGAAAATTAAAACGGTAACAAAAAGATAAATTATAACAATCAAGTTATAAAATGGGCCTCAAAATTTAATCAATAATCAGAAATGTCAGCATTTTCTGTAAAGGAATAAAATGAAGATTTTCAATTTGATGACTAAAGTAGAAAATATCTTAAAGATTTAGAAGATGAATTTTTTCAAAAAAACCAAGATTACTAAAACAGAAGTAGCTACTTCTAAAAAAGTAGACAAAGTATGAAAAGTATAAATTAAATGAATTAAAGTAGTCCAAATGTTTTTCCGAAAAGAAAATCATATCATAAAGATTATTCCGAAAAATCTATAAATTAGCTGCATAATTAAGAAAATGATAGTCAGTATATGTTTAAAAACTTATCAAGTAGCCCAATTTATGGACACATAGATAATAAATCTTATCATAATTAATAGTCAGGACTTTCTAATGTTGTGCACTACTAAAACTAAAGTATAGTTGGATTTGGTGATTTTAATATGAGTGATCAAAATATTGAAGATTTAGATTAAACAAGAGAAAAAAAGTCAAATTCTGTTTCTACTTCAAAATTTAATAAAGATAACATTTCTGGAAAATAAGCTGTTGGTGGTTATCGCAAGTCTGTTTCATTTGATCCTGATAACTTTTAAGAAATGTAAAAAGAATATATTAAAAAATAAATTACTGGAAGTGTGAAGAGACTACATAGTCAGAGATCATAGGAGTAAAGTCAAAGACCTTACAAACCACCATCTTCTTCTTTTCAAAAAATACCCTCTGTCCTAAAGAATTAATCCTCTCTTGCTATATATCATTCTAGTTTTAATAATACTCAGTCTAATATTCTAAGTAATTAGAGTTCTTAACTCAGAAAATAATCAACCAAAAATTTCAAAAGATAATCGACAAATATTAATTAATCCTATTCAAATATGCCTAGTTCTAGTCCTGGCTAATAATAATAAACATAAAAAGGGATACTAAAAAAACATCAAAATGAGAGACGTTAGCTAAAACCAAACGATATGAGATTAATTCTTCAAAATGAAGAAAAACTAATTGAATTATACTAAAATCAATAACAGTAAGAGTAGGATGAAGAACAACTAATCTCCGTCAAATATAAACATTCAAAACTCAACTAAGATTTTGAGGATGATAAATTTGATTGTATGAAAAACTATGTTTACTACTATCCTTAATTTAATGCACCGATAGTTATATCAAACTATAATCAGCACCTTAATAAAGCATAAAATGGACTAAAAAGAAGGGTAACAATATAAGGAAAAAATTTAAAATCCAGAATAAAAAGAGTAATAAATACCAAAAAAGGATAAAACACTCCTTTTTCTGGTAATTTAGTTAGTCCTACACCTCTTCTCCTAAGTAATGCAGCCATAGATAAAGGCACATTTCAGTAATTAGGAGATAAAAGTACTAAAACAATTTAATATTATAATAACACTCACATATAGACAAACTTGATTTAATCAACAGAAAAAATAATTTCAGCAGCAGACACAAATATCAACAGCTCAAAATTTGGATTATCAACAGTTTTACAATATATGAAAGATAAGAAATAGGAAAGTAAGAAATAATGATGTCAAGAGTTTAGAATTTAATTATTAATTTTAAAATAATAAGTATCATCCAAATAATTGTATGTATTATAATCAAGTAATTTATTTTAGAATGTTAAAAACTAACTGATTATATTCATTCATCTTTAAAGTTAGATTGATAAACACTCTTATCAAATATTCTTAAAAAATAAATTTAAATATTATCTGTAGTAATAATTTAATGTCCAAATAAATGATTAATTTAAAAATCAAATCAAATTTATATAGCCAGCCATTCCTGGTAATGAAAAGTCATAAACAGGATTGTTGGTAATTTTAATTCCAGTATATATTGTTTTAAATTAATAATTTAATTATAATTAAATGACTAAAAAAATTTAGTTTAACTACAAGTCTGAAAGTTATATTGATTTAATTAATTTTTACAATACATTGTATATAAAGAGTGCGAATAAAATTTTTTAAAGTTTATTAAGTTTTTGCCTATTTTCATTAATAAGATTTAATAATGAATTTTAAGCTAACTTTTTTTTGATATCACTTTATAAGGGCATATATATATGCATTTGATAATGATTATAATTTATTTGTTCTTTTTATTCAAATTAAATTCATGTATAAATAAATTAATTTATTAAAAAATTTCTAATTAATTCCACAATATTTTTGAAAAATAAAAAAATGATAATGTAGACAAATTATTTCAATAATATGGAAGAAGTAAATATTTATTTTTTTAATAATATTATTTAAATTTAATTTTATTAATAAAATAAGTTTTTAAACTCTTCATTTTAATTTCATTAGTTTCTCCATATTGCTCTGAGGTATATTTAATTTATTAATATAATTATATATTTTTTTTATATTTAATTTTTAAGTTATTTAAAATATTATTTTTCTAATAGAAATTCTTATCTAAATTCATTTTATTAACACAATTTTTTTAAATTATTTTAATTTAATTTTAACTCAATTTTTATTTTAATTATTTATTATTCATTTTTTTTATGTTTTATATTTTTTCATCATTATTTCCTTCAAACTAACTAATTAAATTTTTATTCTTTCTTCTATATTTCAAAATGACAAATATTTATTTTGTTTTTTTTTGTGCTGAAAAATCATTCTTTTTTTTCTTTTTTAATTCAATTTATTTTTTCATTTTTAACTTTTGCTTTTATATTAATTCATTTCTTATTATTTCATATTTTTTCTTCATATTTTCATTCTAACTAACTAATTAGCTCTATATTTTATCTTCAATATTTAAAAAGTAGCAAATAAATAGATGCTTAAGGTGCATCAGACTTAGGTTCTGGTTTAGCAAACTGCACTAATCTCTCAAATTTGACACTTCGTTTTTAGTAAAATAGTTTATTTGTTTTGGATCAAGATATTTTTTACATAAGTATTAATTTAAAACAATATAATTAGCTATTCTGATTTATTTTTTAGCTTTTTATTTTATTACTTTTCTTTTATATATTGTATATTAAAAATGCGTTTTAATAGCGATGGCCAATTTCAAAATTGGAGAAAATTAATTTTTTTCACCTAATTAATTTATTTTTTTTTAAATTTTAAATTCTGGTTACTTATTTTTCTTTTTTAATAAATTTTGTATTTTCAACTTTTGATTTAATTGTAAATTAATGAATAAATTCATTTCTTTTTATTTCATATTTTCCATCTAACTAATTAATTAACTCTATATTTTTCTTCAACATTTAAAAAGGTATAATAAAATTGGTAATGAAGGTACATCATGCTTATTTTCTGGTTTAGGAAAGTGCATTAATCTCTCAAATTTGATACTTAATCTTGGGTAAAAACAGTTTCTTTATTTTGAATAGTGATATTTTTTTATAAAAAATGAATTTAAAACAATATAATTAACTCTTTTAATTTATTTAGTCATTTATTAGCTTTTTATTTGATTTTTCTTTTTTTCTGCTTGTTTGATTTCTTTTTTGTTAATTTAGTTATTTTTTTTATTTTCAACTTTTGTTTTTATTATTAATTCATTCATTCACTCATTTCTTATAATTTCATATTATTCATACATTTTTTCCTTCTAACAAACTCATTAATTAATTCTATATTTTTCTTCAATATTTAAAAAGGTATAATTAAATTGGTGCAGAAGGTGCACTAGGTTTAGCTTCTGGTTTTGGAAAGTGCACTAATCTTTCAAATTTGACACTTGATCTTGAGTAAAAATAGTTTATTTGTTTTGGATTATGAAATTTTTTAATTTAAAAATGAATTTAAAATATTATAACTAACTCTTTTAATTTATTTAATAGCTTCTTATTTGATTTATTTTTCATTTTTTTCCCCTTTCTTTCTTTCTTTCTTTCTTTCTTTGTTTGTTTGTTTAATTTAACTTGCTTTTACTATAATTATTAATTAATTAATTGATTTCTTTTTATTTTTTCCTTCTAACTATCTAATTAACTCTATATTTTTTCTTCAATATTTAAAAAGGTCTAATTAAATTGGTGCAGAAGGTGCATCAAGCTTAGGCTTTGGTTTAGGAAATTGCACTAATCTCTCAAATTTGACACTCCGTCTTTTGTAAAAACAATTTATTTATTTATTTTGGACTGTTATATTTTTAAATATAAAATATGAAATTAAAACAATAAAGTAACTCTTTTAATTTATTTATAAGCTTTTTATTTGATTTATTTTTCTATTTTTTTGCTGATTTTATTCATTTTTTCACTTTCAAATATTGCTTTTATTACTGATTTATTCATTTATTTATTTCTTATTATGTCATAATACTTCTTCTATATTTAAAAAGGTATAATGCAATTGGTAATGAAGGCGGATCAGGCTTAGGTTTTGGTTTAGGAAAGTGCATTAATCTCTCAAAATTGACACTTGATCTTGAGTAAAAACAATTTATTTGTTTTGGATTGTGAAAATTTTTAACATAAAAGCGAATTTAAAACAAAAAAAGAAACTATTTTAATTTATTAAGAAGCCTTTTATTTGATTTAATTTACTTTTTTTTATTATTTTTTCTTCTTTTTTTCTTAGTTAATTTAACTCATTTTTGATTTTCAGCTCTTGCTTTTATTATTAATTAATTATATTATTTATTTCTTATTATTTCATATTTTATCTTCATTTTTACAACTTACTTACTAACTAACTAATTAACTCTTAATTTTTTTTCAATATTTAAAAAGGGCAAATTAAATTTGTGCAGAAGGTGCATCAAGCTTAAGTTCTCATTTAGGAAATTAAACTAATCTCTCAAATTTTACACTTGATTTTTAGTAAAAATATTGCTTTTGGATTGTGATATTTTTTAATTTCAAAATGAATTTAAAACAATACCAGTCTTTTTGCTTATAACTTCGTAAGTAACTCAGTATTTTTCTTCAATATTTAAAAAGGTATAATTAAATTGGTGCAGAAGGGGCATTAGACTTAGGTTTAGGAAAGTTCACTAATCTCTCAAATCTGATACTTAATCTTTAGTAAAAACAATTTATCTGTCTTGGATTGTGATATTTTTAATATAAAAATGAATTTAAAGCAATATAACAAACTCTTTTAATTTATTTATTGGCTTTTTATTAGATTTATTTTCTTTATTTTTTCATTAATTTAACTCTTTTTTTTATATTATACTTGTACTTTTATTATTAATTATTTAATTCACTACTTATTATTTCATATTTTCTTTCATTTTTTCCTTTTAACTAACTAATTTATCAATATTATTTCTTCAATATTTAAAAAGATATAATTAAATTGGTGTAGAAAGAGCACTAGACTTAGGTTTTAGCTTATAATAGTGCACTAATCTCTCAAATTTGGCACTTAATATTGGGTAAAAGCAGTTTTTTTGTTTGAGATTGTGATATTTTTTAATAAGAAAATCAATTTAAAATAATATAATTAACTCTTTAAATTTGTTTATTAGTTTTTTATTCAATTAATTTTACTTTTTCTTATTCTATTTTTTTTTATTTATTAATTTAACTGATTTTTCGATTTTCAAATTTTACTTTTATCATGAATTAATTAACTTATTTCATATTATTTTTTCACTTCTTTTTCCTTCTTAATAACTAATTAATCATAATTTTTTCTTCAATATATTTAAAGATAAAATTAAATTGCTTCAGGAGGTGCATTAGGTATAGGTTCTGGTTTAGGAAAGTGCGCTAATCTATCAAATTTGAAGCTTGAACTTTGGTAAAAACATATTATTTGTATTGCATTGTGGAATTTTTAATATAAATGAATTTAAAACAGAATAATTACTTTTTTAATTTATTTATTAGCTTTATATTTGATTAATTCTTTTTATTTATTTGTGTTTTTTTTTTCATTTCTTTCTTTCTTTTTTAATTTACAGTAATTTCTCATATTAGCATCCACCCTCTTGCTGTTTTTTTTTATGAAAAATGAGTACTATTATATTTTTTTAATATTTAATTTCCTATATCAAGGTCTTTTGCTATTCTCATTTTTACGGTATTAATTCAAACGATTTATAAAAATTTCAATTTCGGAAGTTAATTTAGGCTGGTAATAATATATCAGGAATTAAAAAACTCGTTTTTTCATTTTCAACTTTTGCTTTTATTATTAATTTATTTGTTATTATTTCATATTAATTCTTCATTTTTTCCTTCTAACTATTAAGCATATCTTTTTTTCTGCAAATATTTATAAAGTTATAATCAAATTGGTGCAGAAGGCGCATCAGGCTTAGGTTATGGTTTAGGAAAGTGCACAAATCTCTCAAATTTACTACTTGATCTTGAGTAATTTATTTATTTTGAATTGTGATATTTTTTAATATAAAAATGAATTTAAACCATAAACTAGCACTCTTTAATTTATTTATTACTTTTTATTTGATTTATTTTTCTTCTTTATTCTGATTGTGTTTTTTATTTATTAATTTGTTAATTTAACCTATTTTTTTTCTTTTTTTTCTACTTTTGCTTATATTATTTATTAATTAACTCATTTCATATTTTTTCTTCAATATTTAAAAAGGTCTAATTAAATTGATGCCGAAGGTGCATCATGCTTAGGTTTAGGTTTAGGAAATTGTACTAATCTCTTAAATTTGTCAATTTATATTAGGTAAAAATAGTGTATCTATTTTAGATTGTGATATTTTTTAATATAAAAATGATTTTAAAACAATAATCTAACTCTTTTAATTTATTTATTATCTTTTAATTTAATTCATTTTTCTTTTTTCCTTCTTTTTTAATTTACCTTTTTTTTCATTTTTAACTTTAACTTTTATTATTAATTCATTTCATTTTTTTTTTTAATATTTAAAAAGTTCTAATTAAATCGATGCAGAAGGTGCCTCTAACTTAGGTTCTGGTTTAGGAAAGTGTATTAATCTCTTAAATTTGTCAATTGATCTTAGGTATAAACAGACTATCTATTTTTGATTGTGATATTTTTAATATAAAAATGAATTTAAAATAATAAACTAACACTTTTAATTTATTTATTATCTTTTAATTTAATTCATTTTTCTTTTTTTTATTCAGCTTGTTTTTCTTCAATATGTAAAAAGTTCTAATTAAATCAATGCAGAAGGTGCCTCAAACCTAGGTTCTGGTTTAGGAAAGTGCATTAATCTCTTAAATTTGTCAATTGATCTTAGGTATAAACAGACTATCTATTTTAGATTGTGATATTTTTAATATAAAAATGAATTTAAAATAATAAACTAACACTTTTAATTTATTTATTAGCATTGTATTTGATTAATTATTCTTTGAATTTTATTCTGTTAATATTTTTTTATTTATTAATTAACATTTTATTTAAAAGTTTTATTCAATATATTTATTTTTAGTCATTTATACTAATTTATATTAAAAGCTATAACGAAATAAATAAGTCATAATAATTGAAAACAAAAAGCAAGTACTTCAAATCAAAAAGAATAGTTGTCTTAGAAATATATTGTTGGTGAAAAAAGGAAGAATTAATATAAAATATTAGAATAAAATTATATGTTTTATTTTATTGTGTATTGTGATAAAATAAATAAAATTAAAAAATTGAAAAATTTATTATTATTTTTATATTTATGAATACCATAAATTCTATAATACAACAAGATTTTAAGCGAGGAATGATTTTATTAAGGAAGGATTAAAATTTTAAAAATAATTATTTTTTAAAAATATTTAAAATATATTTTTTTGTTTTTATTTTTTAAAATTTATCCACTTTCTTTTTAAAATAATTATTTTGTAAATTTAAATTAATATAAAAGTAAAATCAGCTAATTGATTGAGTTATAATTTGCAAAATAAATGTATAGATTTATGCTTAAAAATATTTAAATCAATTAATTAAAGATTTATATCAATCGCAAAATCCAATTATAATTAATAGTATTTATTTGTGGTGTTATTTATTTATCCATTTCAAGTTTAAATTGCAAAAAGTTATAAAGATAAAGATAAAATTATAATAGCTTAAAACCTAATTTAAAAAATATAGCATATTATTAATCTATGATTAGACCTATTTGGCGCGTGTTTGATAAATTTTGCTAACGTTAGAATAATACTACTTTATTACATATTCCACAATTCCTGTTTTCTTAATAATTCATGAAAAAGAATCTCTATTCTATCTTAGGTATTCCAAAGTCTTCAGACTTGTCAGAAATTAAAAAGGCATACTATAAATTAGCAAAGTAATACCATCCTGATTCAAATCCTTCTCCAAATTCCAAATAAAAATTTGAAGAAATTACTGAAGCATACGAAGTTTTATCTGATGATAGTAAAAGAAAATTATATGATTCTTGTGGATATAGCGATGATGCTACTGAAAATGAAGAGTAGTATGAAGGTGACACTTTTGAAGCAAAAGAAAAAACAGCTTCTGGAGGTAAAGGATTTAGCAAAAAGCGTAATCGCTATCATGATTATGAAGAAGTATTTTAAGATTTTGATTCATTTTTTGAGTAAAAAATGAAGTAAAAAGCCCGTCCTCCTACTAGAGGTGCTGATATTCATTACATTTTAGATCTAGAATTTTTAGAAAGTCTTACTGATAATGTTTAAAAAGCTATTTAATTTGAGCGTAAATGTTTATGCCCTTAATGTAAGGGCACAAGAGCTCAACAAGGAACTATGCCTTAAAGATGTTATTCTTGTGGAGGATCAGGGACTATTTTAATTCGTAATAATAGCGCATTTGCAAGTACATCAATAAATGAATAGATGTGTACAGAATGTGATGGATATGGAAAAGTAGTAAAAAATAAATGCCAAATATGCACAGGATAAGGTTTTATAACATAAACTGTGAAAGAAAATATCAAAATCCCTAAAGGAGTTAAGAGTGACCAAGTGTTAAGGAAAGAAAGCTGTGGGAATGTTGGAGAGTAAGGAGGAAAGAATGGCGATTTATTTATTAAATTGAAAGTTAAAGATCATCCTTACTATAGTAGAAATGGCAATAATATTTTATCAGACTGTAAAGTTAGCATCTCTCAAGCGATTTTGGGTGGAAGGGTAAAAGTAGAAACTATACATGGATGTGTAGAAATAGATATTCCATCTGGTACTAATGATGGAGATGTCAAAAAACTAAGTAATCTAGGTGTTGCCAAAGATAATTCTAGGTACAGAGGTGATCACATATTAACTTTTAAAATACAAATCCCTACTGTTTTAACATAAGAATAAAAGAATATTTTTGAATAACTCAAGTTATTAGATTGCTTAACTGAAGAAAAACCATTCGATACTTCTAATTTATAATATTGAAAATATAAAAAAAATGTTAAAATTAAATATTTCAATTTTTTGTATATTAAATAATCTATTTATTTGTGTATATTTTTCAGAAGAAGAACTCAATTCTTTCTTTTCAACTTTTGAGAGCTCTCAAAAAACTATTTAATTTTATATTTTCATTTATAGTTTTATCAAGTAAATCTATTTCAAAATAGTAAATTCAATTTAGGTTTATAATAATTGTTCTTTCTTTTTACAGACATACATACATACACTCTGTTAATTTTTAAAAGATTATTTATCTTTAAATTGATTAAAAAAAGTTTAAAGATTTTAAATATCATGAGTAGCAATAATTATTCTAATCTTAATAAAAACAATTATAACTTACAATTTCATGCTAATTATAAACCAAAATTTTTAGAGCACTGTGACTTTGAACTTGATTATATCAACTAGAATTAAAACCATGATTTTTTATAAAAGAGTGAAGAGCTTAGCTAAGAAATAAATATGTTTCTATATGGCACAAATGAATTATTGAAGAAAAAGCAAAGTTTAAAAAATGATGAAGAATTAAGGGTGAGGAGTATTTGGTAAAAGTCAGATAGCAAAGTATTATAACAGGAAAAATAGTAACATTTAGAAGAAAATAAATAAGAAAGTAAAGAAGAAAATTCTTTGAGCGACGACAGCTTTGACGAAGACATGCTTTTAGAATAAGTTATATGCTGTGAAAGTGAAAAAGATATGATATAATTCATAGAAATAAATGAAATGAGATGCCCAATTATGAAACCAAATTATAGTAAGTTGTATTAAAAACTCAAGAAAAGAGCAGTAATGCTGATGAGTATTTTAAAAAAAAAGTATAATGCCTAAAACAAAGAAAATAGCAATAATAAATTCAAGGATTATGAAATAAAGAATAAAGAATTGTAATTTGAACTAGATAAATATAAAAATGTATACAACAATTTAAATAAAAAGCTAACTAATTAATATGGAAAGTATGCTACTCTAGAGGGCTAGTATGTTTAGCTTAAAGCTAATTTAGAGGAATTAGAAAATTAAAATAACTTTTTTAATGAACCTTCAGTTTTAAAAATTGATTTATAAAAACTCATACAACTTGAAAAAAAAACTCAAAAAACTTTATAGCAAATATCAGAAAAAAAAAGTGAAATAATAGAATAGCTTTAAAATAGAATTAAGCAGCAACATGATTCTCATAAATCTATGTGCGTTATTTGCTAAGAAAAACCTATTAATTGCTTATTATAACCTTGTTGTCATGCGTGTTGCTGCGATGATTGTGCATAAGGCCTAGACCAATGTCCTATGGATAGGTAGCTATTTACAAGCATAAAAAAAATATACCTTAGTTGATACACTTATAAGATGAGCATTAAACACTTAATATCTAAAAAATTTTAATTAAAATCTTATTGATCTATTGATCAAAATATAGGACTACTTTTAAATTATTTGAATTAATATATTTCCAAAAATTTTGCAAGTCAAGTGCTTTGAAACAATAAACCTATTAATATTTAGCAATAAAATATAATATCAATAAATAATACTAAAAAATAGTTGCATTTGTAAATTATACAATAGTACAATGATTCTTTGATTTAGACTAATAACATAGAAATATTTAAATAATAATAAAACAAAATAAAAACTAAAACAGATAAATATATTAATTATAAATAATATTTAACTATTTATTTACTCAAATTATATATTGTTTTGTCATCTGTTTGAAAATTATATCAAACTATTTTTGCTATAAATTGAATTATATTCAGCGTTTTAATAGTGTCATCAATATCATCAAAATAGTCTTGCAATTATGTATTTTTAACATTTATTTTTTTAGAACCATAAGGCTTAGATGATAAAAGATATCAAAAATTGATTTTCTCTATTTATTTTTTGCTTATGGCGATATCATAAATTTTAAAAATCCAAATCAAATTCTGTTAAAATAAGAAATTAATTTAATTTAAAATTATTTTAGCAATAGTTTAAAAAATGTATTATTAGACATTTAGTAAAGTTAACAGTTTTCCTATATTTTAATTTTCTTTAAAAAAAAAAAAATATTATTTGATTTTAGAATGACTAATTTTTGCTAAGTTAGATATTTAGCAAGCTACAAAAAATTCTATTAATTTGTATTTTACTCAAATATTTCTAAAAATTAGCCGAAAATTTCAGTAGAAGTTAGCTAAGATTTATTAAATAGTCAATAATTAGATATCAAAAATATCTGATAATAAATAAATAAATTAACAAAATAATAAATCTAGATTGAATGAATAGCATTTGTACAAAACATAATTTAGCAATTGAATTCATTTGTTTGCATATATCTAAATCTTAAAGAGATAAAAAATGCACAAACAGACTTTTATGTAAGGTTTGTAATGAGCCATAGAACCATGATAAAAATCACTTATTGAGTACTTTTGAAATAAAAAAATTTTTGATTGAAGACATGAGTGATGTATTTTTTTTGCTATTTTTTACACGCCCACAAATACAAACTCTGTTTAAACCACTAAAAATAAACTGCTAAAATATTATTTTGAAACTCAAAGAGATGGTATAAAAGCTAAAAATACCTAGTTCAAATCAAGCATCACAGATTGAAGAGTAGCAAGTATAATTTTAAGAGTATTTCTAAACTGCTACATCTAAAATATAAAATTTTACTTTAAAAATAAATTCAATAATTGAGGATATCCATTTATACTATAGATAGCACTTTGAGTGGGATAATTTGATCAAAATTATTGAGTTATATTATGAAAAAAGATAGGTGAGCTAAGAGCAATTAAATCAGATTATTAATAATTCTCTGTAAAATATTCACTGCACCTAGATATTTATGAAGAATGTCTATGTTATTGATGACAATTTTAATTAAAATCAAAGCAAACAAACTTAGATGGAGTAATATACAACTGCTGATATAATATCTTTTTATAAGTTTGCAATAAAAGAGCTATACCTAAATCTTAATCACCTAAGATCTCTGTTTTTAATTTGCTAACCTTCATAGCTTTAAGCTCTTGAAGATTAAAAAAGATTAAGTCTTACTACAAACTTTCCTTTAAATATAAAAAGATTTTTACCTACAGTATCTATGGCGAAATCTATAGGAATCAAGCTTATAAAAAACAAACTTTTAATTATTAAAGAGTTTTAATGTTAAATTATCAATATAGATGCTTCTACTCAAGAATTTAAAATTCAAAATACCATATATAGCAAAATAAAAATAAAGGATGCATCTATTAGTTAATTAAATGACAGCTTGATAACTCTTTTATGTGTAGATAATACAGCCAAAATATACTATATAAAACCTTTTCATTCTGTTTTTGATAATGAATATGCTCACGATATTGAATTAAGTTAAAACACAGAAATTTTTTTAGATATAGATTACATAAAAGCTTAATCAATAAATAATATAGAATCAGATCCCATTAGTAATCAAATAGAATCAGAAGAATAATTAGAATATGTTGCTTTAAAGACGAAAGATACAATTTATTTGTTAGAACCTGTAGAATGGAATCAAATCTACTAATTCTAAAATAAGCAAGAATTTTTCATGTTAGAGTGCTGCAACGAATAAGATATTTCAGATGAAAACAGTCATGAATAAATGGCTATAGAAAATGTAAAAAAAAGTATATTTTGTTTTTATAACAACTAATAGATAGATCATATTCATTATACTAATGCAAATATTTTTGAGTCAAACTAAATTAAAGATTTTGCTTATTCCGAATTCTTTCAGAAAAGCGTTTATCTGACTGAAAGGCAAATGATCATTTCCAATTAACAAACAAGTTAAATTACAGAATTACCATTCAGAAATAAGTAGTAGGTATCTCTAGTTCAGTTCACAATAGATAATCTCTACCTCTTTATCCTTTATGAGAATTCTTTCATTTAATTTTTTTACGTGCTTGACAATTTTGAGTTGGAATATGAAACACACCTATGGAAAAATAATTATTATATCAAAAAAGCAGTTTTCTATTAAAAGATAAATCAGTTGTTTGTATTGAACTCTCAGGGAGATATTTTTTAAATAGATTTATCTACCCCTAAATGCCTTCATTGATATTAAAATAGACTTAATTTATTTAAAATGTATTATAAATATCATTCAAAATAAACTTTATATTGTTTAAAACACTTCATTTCAATTTAAATAAAATAGCATTTTTAAAAATAAATTAGAATATGTTTTTTGTTATATTTTAACTTCTAGATTAAATTAATAAATTTATACTTTGCTCTTTTATTTTTAATTTTAATTTAATATCAAAACAATGGAAAGGATTAATTATTTTGGTTCTATTTATTTAGAGAAGAGAATCTCTTGATATGTCTACTATTATTATTTAGATCATCTCCTTTAATTTTACTTATCCTTGTCTACTCCTAATAGTTAAGCTTTTTGAATTTATATCATCAGAATTCAATATACAAAAAGTTGTTTAACTACATTAAGGTTTATAATTTATCTTATTAAATAGATAATAATAACACAATTTATCTTAATTTAATTATTAAAGTATAAATAACATCTAAATTTAAAAATATCTAAAAACTAAATGGATTAAATATAATAAAAAACAATTGACGAAGCACAATAATCATTAGAAGAAATAGCTAAGTTATGCAATTAATAATTAGAGAATCCACCAGATGAAGGATATAAGGAATCACAAATTTTATTGATACGCCATGGTTTTTCAGAATATAATTATTCTATAGATACATATCATAGATAGCATGACTAAAAAAATATCCATACTGAAGAATGTAGATCAATCAGATTAAATGTTAATGACATCGATACACCTCTTCATCCTATAGGTATAGAATAGGCTAAGAATTCTTAAAAATATGTTAATGATTTAGATGTTCACACTGTTTTTATTTCACCATTGTTCAGAACTTTGCAAACAGCAGATTTACTTTTTGCTAATCATCCACAAAAGCATTTAATAAAGTATATAGTTTTACCTGAATTATCTGAAGGACTCTGCTTCAGCTGCTCCTTTGCTCCTCTAGCTTTCTCTGATATTAGAAAAAATTAATTCAATAATTTTGATTTTTCTCTAGGTTAAAAATTCAGTTAGAAACCTGCTTGGCAAATTGAATAGATTGCATGTTAAGATACTATGTCTCGTATGCAAGAAAAAATAAAAGATATTCACGATCAAGATAAATTATCAGAAATTTATTTATAAGAATTAGATAGTTTATATCCAAGTTATATTGAAACACATGATCATTTATGGATCCGTGCTTAATAAGCTAGAAAGTATATTGAAGAATATCAAAAAACAGTTCCTAAAGATAAAAAAATAATTATTGTTTCTCATTATATCTTAGGTCTATTTTTAACTAGCTCAAAAAGATCAGAAAGTTTCCATGATATGGATGGAGTTAGATGCAAAAATTCTAAATTAATTCCTTGGAAAATATGAATAAATTAATTGTATTTAAATTTTTTATTTACAAAATAAATGTTTTAGTTTAGCTTAAAACTCCAAAAAAAATTTTTAACTTTAAATTCATCTTAATAAAAATTTTTTTTTTTAATTTTTTTTTTATTTAATTTGTTTGAGATTTATTAAAAAATGTTTTATTTCTACTGCCTTAAAATAATTTATAGCTTACAATAAATATTTTTGAAATACAAACAACAAAATTAAAATCACTTTTTTATAAGATTTAAAATATTTTTTTTAATTAATTCTTATTTTAAGTTCAAATATGATTTTTAATATTAAATTTATTGAAAATGTCTTGAAAATAATGCAAAGTGAATCTGATTAGAACAAATTTCTTTTATTTTTGATCAAACATTTGATGAGAGATTAGGGAAATTAATTAATAACAACAATAATTGATTATTTTCAAGTGTTTTTTTAATGATATTTTTATACTTTAGAAAAAAATAGTTAATTAGAAAGCAGACAACAAGAAAGTTTTAAAAGAAGGTTTTCAAAAAAATAAATGAGTTAAAAATAAGAGCGCTTAATCTTATAAACAATGTATTTGTTGCTTTTCATTTCAGTTAGTTAGGCTTAGCTACAAGATTAAATACCAGCTAATAATAAAAATAGCTTTTGCGATAGTTAAACTACTTAGTAATTGCAATAGTAAAATATTGATTATGAATGCGTAGATAATAATATCATTTTGCAAAATAAACTTACAATTGAGTTAGACTTAAATTTAGTAAATTTCTAAACTACTTCTAAAATAATCTTTGAAAATTGTAATCAAGTAAAATTAAATAAAGTATACCTAAGCAATTTAAAAATGGAAAAATATTTTGGCAGTTTAATTCAATTAAGAAACATAAATAATTTATAAATACAAAATTTTACAGCAGAATTTAGTAGAAAGAATGAGGATTTGCTTAACTTAATATATTTTTATTAAGTATAAGTAACATAGATAGGATGTTTTTTAGTTTATTCAGAGTAAGAAGGCTTGGATAATCATTATTAATTTCTAATAAATTCATAGAATTTGTATTTCAAAGAAATTTTATTTTTAAATATTTATTCAATTAGTCTTAATTTTTATGGAAGTAATTAGTTAAATATAGATTAGCTTAGCATAATTTAAAATAGTTAATATGAAAAATAATCAGTCTTTTTAGGTTATTCATTTTGCTATTATTTATCTGAAAACCAAATAAATATCAATTAGATTAATGTAGAAATTAATAGCATCTTTGAAGGAATTAATAAATCGTCAATATGGTTTGCAACTATCTAAATTGAAAATAGTTAATCTTAAAATCCATCTGATATAAATATAGGCACAATAGCCTTCAAATCTTAAGATATTTAGTTTTCAAATTTAGGAGTAATTTAATTTTAAACAGAGTAAATGTCAACTTCTCTTAAAATAAAAAATATTTTTTCATAGTAGATTGACAGTCAGTATCACATTTAAATTCAAATTCAAAAGATAAATAGTATTTGGATTGATTAATTAACATTTGAAGGATTTGGAAACTCTATGTTAAACAATTATAACAATAACAACATTTTTTTTAAATTATAAAATGTGCTTGATCTGAAAATTACAAAAATCATATTTATAAAAAATAATTTAGTAACTGGAACCCTATTTGATGGAAATGTTTTTTAATTAAGTATATATAGCCTGGAGATCTAACCTTTTAATAATTTTACAAGAAGCTTAATTAATTTATAGAATTGTAATTATGTTAGAATTGAAGATTTAACTGTAGAGGAGGAAGTAGAATTTAATGATTATTTATTCACATTTAATAATTTATTAAATCTCCATTTCTACAAGTTTTATCTGAATAAATTCAGTTTCAAGCAAGAATCGCTATTTTATTTAAGCTAAGTTCATGGGATGACGATTTTAAATTTTGAATTATAAAATGTCAAAACTTATAATCAATAGAGTGCTATCATTTATGTAGATGTAACTAATTTTTTTTTTGAAACTATTTACGAATACTCATATGTTCAAGTAAATTTAAAAACAGATCATAATCACTTATAATTCTTGAATTTTTATGGGAGCTTATATATATTTACTATTGAGAATTCTAATATAATAAATGGCTCATCAATTAATTTGGGTGGGTGTCTAAATTTCTTCAATCCTATAATTTCTATATAATAATAATCTCTAAAGCTCACGAATACTACTTTATCTTAATGCTAAAGCAAATATTTAGGTGGAGCAGTTTCTGGAATTTCAGTATAATTTTAGGAAGAAAGCTAAATTATAAATTGCAGCAGTTAAATTGGAGGTGCTATTTATTAATCTTATTATAATACAGGTGATTATGATATTAAATATTTTAAAAATAATGTTGGTTTCTTAGCAGCAGCTAATTATAATTTAGAAATGATAAGTTTAAGATTAGACTCAATCTAAGAGATAACTAGTAACATAGATGGCTAAATTCAACTTATATAAGTTGATAAATATATCTATCCAGGAATAATGTATATAATAAAAATTTCAATTAATGTTGATGATGTTTGGTATTCACAATATAATTAATTAACTAAATTTGGTAATATATATGACCTAGTTGTTGATCCTACTGATAATTATATAGCAAGTACACCTGAAAATTTGTAACATATTTATTATCCATATATATTATGGTAAGCTAAAAACATTACCTTTGATGATAAGTAAACAAAGTAATTTAAGTTAAATTAAATCAACTTGGATTACAATTATGAATTAGACACAAGCCAATACAAGATATACAATGGATGCAAAGATTAGGGTATGGAAAAAGTCTATTTAAACAGCTAAAATAAATAATAATTCATATGCGCATACTGCGAGAATATGAAGGTTAGCTATACTGGAGTATGTGTGAGTTGCCAAACTGATTATTTTGTAGAGTGTTATTCGAATTACTCATTATTAAGATAAAACTATTGGAGATCAAACTATACAGTAAACACTTAAGATATTTTATTTTGCTCAAATAATCCCTAAAGCTGTGTAGGAGGTATTGATTGATATATTCTAAATTTATTCAATTAGCTATTTATTTTTAAAATAAAAATGAATGAAATAAAAACTTTATTTTGTGTGAAATTTTAATTAGAATTTTATTTATAATCTTATCTAATATTTTTTAAAAATTAGGAAGTGGAGTAGGAAATGAGCTTTGCTATTAAGGTCATGTTGGAGCTCAATGCTTAGATTGTGATATTAAGGGAACTTTTTGGGAAGATTAATACTCTTAAGTAGGATACTTTTAATGCACTAAATGCAGTGATATCTCCTAAAATACAGCTAAAATTATCATTCTACTTGTATTCCTTGCTATAAGCTTAATCATCATAATAATGTCTTTGCATAAAAGATTGAGAAACGAATTATATGCGATTTACCTATCTAAAATGGGTATATTCTTTTTTGGAAAAACCCTATAAAGGCAACAACTTTCATCAGCTTACATCAAAATTTTGCTATTTCATATTTAGGTTTTTATGGTTTCTAACTAATTTACATAAGTAGATATCATTTCTACCTTTTCTAATTTCTCTTTTCTCTTTTATAACCCGTTAAGCTCACCTTTCTTCTCGTTGAATTGTTTGATTTCTTAATATTGGCCTAATGAAAGTATAGGTTTTTCTAATATTTTGTTAACATTTCTAATACCTCTCTCATTAAGTTGCTTAATAGCTCTATGTCCTATTATATTATATTTCATAAGCAAAAAGTATTTTAGAAAGAGCTTATAAATTGCATTCCTCTCGTTTATTTATATTTTTATCACAGTATTTGACTCTATTTTGCTAGAAAAAACCCTATCAAGCTTCTTTTGTCTTAATCTGGAGAAAGACAAATCTTATTCTCTGATTGATCTTAGCTTAGAGTGTGAAAACTCAGGTGAACTCAAAAAAATATAAAACCTAAGCTTAATTATATTGATAATATTTTTAATTGCTCTTCCTTTAGTAATTTTCATCAGGTTAATATAATAAAGAAAAAGACTGAAAAAAGTAAGGGTTATGTACACATTTGGTTTTTTGTATAATGAATACAAACATAAATTTTATTCATGGGAAATTATAAGATTTTTAGTCAGATATCTATTAATTTTATTCACTTTATCCCTTAAAGAGTATCCTCAAATAGCTTTAATTATGATATGCTTACTATAATTTACATATTTTGTTGCTCTTTAAAGCTATAGTCCTTTCATTTCTGCATTTTTGAATAACCTAGAAAAGATCTCAATAATAATATCAGTAATATCTTTGCTTTCATCAAATATGTATTTGCAATAAAATCAGAATGAAAATTAATCCATCGTCGATTTTAGATTAGCTTTTTATCTAATTATTTAAATAATAAACTTAATTTTCATAATATACTGCTTATTTATTATTACAGTCTCATTCTTGGAGTAATAGTTATACAAGCTAAAAAAATACTTAAATTGCAGAATATTTTAAAAAATAACTTAAGTCGATAGTATAAGAATAAATTAAAATATTAAAAAACTAATAAGATGTGTCAGATAAATTAAACTAAGTTAGAATATAATATAAGACAATACCAAATTAGTAAGTTATTTTGAATTTACTTAAAATAGTGATTGAATGAATCTTAACTTAAAATCAAGAACTATATTTTATTTAAATCAATCCTGTCATTTCTCATTAATTATTACTACTCCCAATAATTAAAAATTTAATTTTAGTGTTAATTGTAGTTTTAATTTTCACCATAATAGTTAAATACTAAAAAATACTTTAATTTATGAGAAATAATGGTAGTTATAATAATATTTCAATAAATTAATTTCATAAATATTATTTTATTTATTTACTACTCTTACACTTCATGTTAATATAAATAAAAAATTATGAAATCAACTTTTCTTAATTAAAATTTGAATATCAATTTTACTAACATTTAAAAAAGATAATTCAAAATGTTTTTATTCAAAGCAAATTTATTTTAAATAAACTAATTGTATTAAAGTTGGTATTAAAATAATGTAATTTTATTATATTTTTAAATAAACAAGTTAAAATGAATGAATGATTTATATTTTTATCTCATGGTGCTAAATATTTGAAAATATCCTAAAATGGCTTAGAAAACTAAATTCCTCAAAATAAATATACTCTTTTTCTATATTAAGTGAATACTTATAAAGCATATAATAAAATATTTAAAATCCTTTTAATTTAAAGTAATTTAAAATAAATAACAAGTATGTAAGTAATTCAATAAATAAATAAAAATCATGTGGAATAGATTATAGAACGTTATTTCTTCTACTTTAATTTCAAGGAGAATGATTACGATTCGTGAATTACTTTGTAATTATCTTTTGAACCTAAATTTAATTATTGATTTATTGATTGATTGATAGTAATAGTAATTCGTTATTGGCTTTAATATTTATGTGAAACAAAACTTTATTTCAATATTTAGGTATTAAATATTATTATTTAAAAAATCATAATCAATTATTTTTACAAAATCTAAGTTAATAATTAAATAATAAAGAAGTGAAGAAAAATGAGAAAGAATATCTCAGTAGCAATTCTTTTGATTGTTGTCTTAAATTGTGCTGTGGCTTGGGAAAATTATTACTATAACACAGAAGGAATTGAAAAAAGAACTTTAAAGATATAAGATTTGTGCACATTTATTTCTGAAGATCATAAATAGATAGAATGCTAAATTTAAACAGGCAGCTTTCTACCTGAATCTTCTCTTTAATCAAACGAAATCAAATCATTTGATTAACTTAAGGTGGTTGAATACAATATTGACAGAAACGGTTTTGGAGGAGATGGCCCCAATGAAAAAGGTATTTAGCCTATAATTGATGCTCTTAAAACTCTTGGAGACGCAGATGTAATTATTCTTAGTGAAGTAGCTAGAGATTGTCCTTAGTGGGGTTCTTATAACGGTGCTGAAGAAATTGCTCGTGCTTTTAAAATGGATTGGGCTTACTCTGTAGAATTTTTAGAATTAGATAACAGTCTATTTAAATTGGGGTATTAATGTACTATTGGTAATGCTATATTATCAAATAGACCTTTGAGCAACATAATCTAGAAATAGTTTAAAACTCAATGCTGTATGTTTAGCGGCAGAGCAGGTGGTAGAGTAGCTATTAAAGCTACAATAGAATCATATAATATAACTCTCATTAGCAGCCACTTAGAATCAGGAACAGGATTTGAAGATTTTATAGATGCCATGATAACAAGAGAAAAGTAATCTTAAGAATTAGTGGATATGATTGATCCTATTGAAGAAGAAAATAAACTAATTATTATTGGTGGGGATTTCAATTCTCCTCTGAGATAATTCAATAAGGGAAAACCCTTCAGAGAATACTAAGATCCCTTTATGTTTAAATATTTATGGCCACATAGAAATACCTGTGTTGGTGATACTTTAGGCTACTTTGGATTAAGTGCTTTTGATTACTTGTATTTCAAAAACCATCATGGCTACCACCTTGATAGTTTTATCTGTAAGTCCTAAGCTTGCACAGGTTTTAGTGACCATTTCCCAATTTAAGTTAATATTAGTAGAATGTGATAAATTAAGAAAAATTTAAGATTATAAAATCATACTTTGCAAAAGTGAAAAACTTAAAAATAAAATTTCAGTTTAACAAAGGAATAAAAAAGTAAAAAATAAAAAATATTAAAATTAAATAGAATATATTTTGCACTATTTATCTATATATTCATATATATAGCTTTATTAAATTATAATAGAATTCATTCAACATTACACTTCTTAAGAAGAAAAAAAAACTACAAAATAAAATAGAAATATGTATGGTGTTTTCTTTTTTCTATTTTAGTTTACATACCAAAAAAAAAAACAATCATATAAAGTTTCTTATCACTTTACATTAAAAATTTTACTCTTGTTACAAAATTTTTTATTGATTCATGGTGAATTGATAACTTTTATTTTTTAAAAATATTTCAGAAAGTAGATATAAAAAAGTTTTGCCATAAAAAATCATTAAGAAATAAAATTAAATTTTTTATAACATAAAATAGAATTGTGTTCATAATATGTAATCCATGCTAAATTAAATTCATTTTATTGAAATAAAGATTTTGATTTGTTATAATAGATATTGTTTACCATTGATAATACTTAATTTACTTAAAAAAGCACAAAAAAAACTTTAATTTTGTTTGAGAAATAATGTAACTTTTATAAAAGAATTATATTTTAATCAACACTTATTTATATTCACAAATTCACTAAATTATTTAAGAAATCAAATAAGTTTTTGAATTACAAAAGTAATTTCTTCTTGAGCAATTTAGAAAAATTGATAATTAAATTGTTTCATATCTAAGCTTTTAATTGTTATTATCATTAATTATAATTTTTTTGTTGTTTTTCGTTTGATTAATAATATTTATATTTGAAAGAAGGATTCAACTTTTTTTAAATATAAATACCTCTTAAACTAAAAAGATAAATTTTTTTATGAAATTAAAAATAGTTTAACATACTTTAATATAATATGTTTATAAAACAAAATTTAGAATCAAATAAAAATTAAATTTATTTTAAAAAAGCTAGTTTAATTAATTTTTGAGTATTTCAATCTTCGTATATTACACCTACAAATACCCAAACTGATATAATAAAGTTGGGATAGCAATAGCACTTAGTATCTAAGAGATATTCTATATCTTTTTTAAGAATTTCATGAATTCCGGTTTATTTTATTTCTTCCCAAACTTTTTCGATTGATGTAAATGGTATATTTAATGGAAATCCATACAATTATTTAGTAGCAGGAATAAATTCTTCGAATTGACTTTAAATTTATTCTAAGGTTTGTATTGCACTTTAAAATTTTCTTTTTAAATCGCTATTGTGTTCATTAGGTTAGCTTCCTGGAGCAGGGAATCCTTAACCCGGAGCACCAGGGAAACCTTATCCACCCATAGGATTTGATTATATTGGATTTATATTATCTATTTAGTTACTTAATTCAGTCTATAATTATAATAAAAATAAATAATTAGTTTTAAAGTTTATTTTAAAATTTAAGTTATTTATTTACTCCTTAACCAAAGAATCTGAGTCTATATTTCATTGATTCTAATTAGACAAGTAATTAATCTTTAATTATACTTCTATATTCCTAATGAACATTTACTCTAACCCCTCTTAACTCAGTAATTCTGTTAATTTAATTAAATAGTATTAATTACTTTGATTATATGTTAGTTAAGTGTTTGTTTACCTATTTTATATGTAGTTTTATATCGTAATAGATAACTAATCAATTGGTTTTTATGGAGTGACTTCATATTACAAAGCATCTTCATTTTTATAAATAGGTTCTATACCTTATTCACCAAATATTGTTTCTATTTGCTTGTCATTTAAGAATGGTCTCCATAGCTTCTGATTTTCTATATTCCAGTCTATTTAGCCAGGAGCACTGCTTGACTGAATGTTAGCATAAATATTTTTTTCATCAATTACACAACCAACATCATAAAGGGGACATGCTTTATCATATCTCTGGATAACTGACTATTTATTTTTACCTATTGTAAAGCACATAAATGTTGTCCCTTTTATTTCTGTCGTCATTACAAATGGCTCACCTGTAGAAGGATTCCATATTTCGACCTAAATATTTTTATTAAAAATCGTAAATTTCAGGTTCTTTATAATTAAATCAAAAAAGTATTTGTTTTAATTTAATTTTATTGAAATTATAAAATTTATTTTTAAATTACCTTATTATTTTAACAATCTCTTCTTAATACATAAAATGTCTTTCCTTCAGGTATAGCATGACCTAAAATTACATAGCTCTTATAATTAATTCTACCACTGTAGTAATCTATATAGTTAAAGTAGTTGCATAACAAGAAAGCATGCTCTTCGAAATCACCTCCCTTTAAATCTATGAATTATTGAGAATCACAGTGGACATCTGGGATATCTTTAAACAATTCTGTATCATTTTTAAATGGAATTAGAGATACAAAACGTGCAACTTTTTCAATTGCATGCAAATCACTCTTTAAATCTTTATGATCTATTTTTAAACCCTAAGAAAAGAGATTTGGTGGAGCTAGCTTAGTGAGATATCTTGGTAAATAAAATGAATTTTATTCAATATCATTTCCGAAGATTTTAACATGTCTTTTTGCTATTTTATGTATGAAAATTAGTTATAAAAGATTTAAATAATAAAAGCATACCAAAGTTTTTATTTTTTCTGTAATCTTCTAGCCATTTAACAGAGTAATATTCTAGTCTTTAATCTTATCCGTCTCCATAAAAGATATCGTCATTTTCTTAAATAACTTCTATAAAGGGATCTATATGTATGGAGAGACTCACAGTTGTTGGAATACTAGGATCTATTCTGACTTTAGAATTTCTTATTTCTTGTGCAAGTGGATTCATCTAATAAAAAATATTAATTTATTTATTGTAAATGTAAAGAATCAAATGGTTATATACATCTTGTTAATCTAAACCGAGCAAACTAGTATTATCAGTATAGTAGCCTAGGATGATTACGGGTCTGCTTAATCTAAATGTGGCTTAAAACTTCTAATTTTAAAATAAGGTGTACAAAGGAATAGATACACTTCCTATTTAAAAAAGAAAATTTAATAAAATAAAAAATTAAAATTATTATTTGATTTACCTAAAAAGAAATCATGCTCAGTTTTAATCTGTTTCTTTTTGTTTTCTCTACCAAATCTACGAATATATCTTTTATCAAACAAAGTTACTATTAAGCGATTTGACGAGTCAAACAGCTCATAATTTGAAAGCTTTTTATTTTGGAATTGAGGTAAGAATAAGGCTCTATCTGAACTCCATTCGGGATTGTTTCCTTCGAATGGCTTTGATTCTATAAAGTATTCTTATTTCTCAAAAACAAGTTTGATCTAAATAAAAGAGTTAACTCTTTCAAGATCTTGCAGATTCTTAAAATCAACTCTTTTTTCTTTATTCATGTCTGAAGTTAAAAATAAAATAAGTTTAATGAAAATAAGTTTGATTCATAAGCTAATTATTATTTACTTTAGTCTACCATCTTTTATGGTTCCATCATTTACATTTACCCCATGCCGAATTATCCGAATTAGCCATATTATGGCATCATGAATTAATTAGTTCTAGTCTTAATGAGTGCATTAATTTGCTCCCTTGTCTTATCATCATCTCTAAGGGGAACATTAGTACCATGTGAAACCTATTTTTTAAATAAATTAATTTTTAGGATCAAAAGATATTTATTCACAAAAAATAAGAAAAAAAATACATGGAACAAGATATTGATACCATCTTTAATGTCCTAAAGCCTGATTTTTTCTTCTTTCTTTTTTTTGGGCTACAATCTTCTCTATTGTGTGAAACATTATTTGATAAGTTCAAATATAACGATTTCATTTTCTCCGATAATGTATTCATTAACGACATTTTTAAGAGTTAGAGGAGCTCCATCTTTATTATTTTGCTTTCTCAGAAGTGCAAATTTTTATCTTTTTCTAAATTTATTGGTAATAATAATTTTTTTAAATTTATTTAAGGGGGCTATATAATAATGTATTACAATAGAATTCTTTTAATGTTTTCAATACGCTTTTTGGTTTCTACCTTTTGATATTCAAATACTTCTTTTGTTGTGATTGCAACATTTTCTAAGAACATGGGCTTTTTATCGTCTTTTTATTCCTCCAAAAGCAATTCTTCTTGCAAATACAATCCTTACTCTGTTTTCTAAAAATGATTTAAATCAATTAAATTTAAACTAACATATTAATTAAAAGTTTAAATCTTACTTCTAATAATTTCATCAATTCAGTATTGTTATAGATTTCATCTTCTTTCATAGGGATGTAAGTGATATCAGGGTTTATCAAGCTGCATTTTATAAGCCTCTCTCTAAGTGAATCAATATGAGCAAACGGTAAAAATATGTCTCTAAGTACTTTTGCTCTTTAGTCTTTGAATCTTATATTTCTGAGCTTTTCAATTTAGAGTTCATTTCTTGGGTCATTCACATCAAAGTGAAATCCATCATCGTCAAAATCTTCGATAATTTTATTCACTTCATCGTTTGGATCTTTAAATGCAAGCATAAGATCTTAATTTGTTGCTAATCCTTTACCAAAGTTATCAATATTATGAGGAGGCATCTTATCACCCTAACCAGTCCATTCACAAAGAACACTAACCTTACCTATAATTTTTTATTATTAATGAATTAATTACTTTGTATTAATAATTACCCCTATGAGTAGCACTATCTCTAGCTTTTTATTCTTGTAATTGTAGCTATTCCATCTTTTGTTAAATCATTTTCTTTTCTTCTTCCTTTCTCTTTTCTTCTAGCTATTAAGGAGTTAAAATTTATTCTTCAACAACATTTTATTTATTAGGATCTTCTTCTTGCTATTACTTTTCTTAATTTTCATCTTTTTTAGCTTTCTTCTTGCTGTTAGCCATCATGATTTCTTACTTTTTTTCAAACAAATTAATTTAATTTTTCAATTAAAATTAAAATTAAAATTACCTTTTTAAGCTACTCTCTTGCAATTTCATCCTGCTTTGCTTTTAGTAGGAGTTTCTTTTTTTCGTTTTCTATTTCTTAGAGCTTTTAAGCCCTTCTGGCACTCTATCCTTAGCAAAATTCTACTTCACTCAAAACCTAAGATGTGGCTGTGATGGTTTTTGATTTATCTCCTGGAATTTCTAAATCAATTACATCTATAATTTTGCTTACTACACCATCCTGAACGATTCTTAGCTGCATTGATTTTGGGCGTGTAAAAAGTAAAATATAAAATTATTCCATAATCTTAACTTCAAAGCTAGGCCAGTCTATAGGATATGCCTAACTCTAACCTGCCTCTTAACCATTAACCAATAGCTAAACAAAAATTTTTTCTTTTCTAATAGTATTACGTCTTCCTACTTCAGATCTGTCAACTTCTTTATCATCTGTATAATTATCTTTAACTAAAACGAATTCAATTTCCTAGCCATTATCGGCATTTCTATATTACTTGGCATACAACTTGATAGGATTGTTAACTCTATTTAAAGTTTACCTATTTATTTAGATTTATTTCCATCTTTCAATTATCTATTTTTAGTTTAAAATACATTATTACTTGAGTTGAAAAAAATATACTGAATTACATCATCAATCAAACCTTTGATTAGGTTTGCCTCATCTGCAACCAATCTTTATAATTTGTTTCTTTCATTTTCAAGAATAGCAATCTATTTTTTAGGTTGTTTCATGGCTGAATGTTCAAGATAAGCAATTTCATTTTCTATAACTTTTATAGCTTAGTCATAGTGAGGAATAAGAGCCAGATCGCATCTTTGTTTATATTCATTTACTTTTTGTATTAATTCTTAGATGGAAATCTCTTCAGTAACCATTTTGAAGTGTTTAGTAATTTAAATTTTCCCTACGTAAACTCTCAAACGATAAGGTATATGTTTATTTTAATTCAATCTTTCACACATTACTGCAGGTCTTCTTTTTATAGCCAAAGACTAGTTAGGTCTCTGAGAGATAACTCTTATTTTAGAAATCTTTTCATCAAAAAACTCTTAATCAATGACTAAATCACCATTTTTCTTGAAAAATTTCATTAAAAATCTGTCATTATCTTTCATGCGCTACTTTTATAATTGCTCTTCAAGTAAGTAGAGCCATTGACTTTAGTCTGTTACATATAAACCATCTTTTTTCTATTTTAAAATTAAATTATGTTCAAAACAATTTATATCATTCATATTGATTATTTAATTGTCTGTATTTATAATATTATACTTATAAATCATCCATTTCAGATTTTGGGCGGTTTTTGCTTAAAAGTTCATCCTTCAAACCTTTTTGCTCTTATTCGCTTCTTCCTTCTAAAAATGCTTTCCTGGCTACATATTTTAAATAAAATAATATAATCAGTAAAAGCTTTCTCAACTTATTGCTAAAAATGCTTAAAATATAAAATTAAAACGTGATCATATTTACCAATAATTGAATCATCTATCTCTTCCATAATAATTTTAGATAAACCCAAAAAACCTTCCTTCTTTATTTCAGACTTTTGAATAACAAAAATTAATATTTAAAAATATAAATACATCCATGTTAATTATTTTACTGTTATTTCTTCATAATCTGCCTTTCTATCTAAATCTGAATAAAAATCACTTCTTACAAGTTAGGTCAGATTAATTCTATTTTAAATTCTTAACTAAGATGGAAGCTGAATTTTTTTAAGCTCGCCTTTAACTTATTTATCTTCCTGATTAGGTTAACCTTTATCATCAGGCTTTCCAATATTTTATGGTGGTTATAACCTAGAATTCTAGTTAGCTAATTCAATATTTTACTAAAATTGCTATTGCTGCTAAGGTTACGAATCAAACTAATTATTTCTATTTAGTTATAACATTTTATTACTATTATATTTTAGTTAATTATTTAAAATAGATTCCTTATTTATGATTTATATATAACTTTAAAAAAAGAATTTATTTAATAATTTTTATTGTATCTTCAATGCAAAAAATTAAAAATAATCAAAGAAACACTGTTTGTTATAATTTTTATAGAATAATTTGAAAATTTAAAAAAATTAATATCAAAAAATATGCATACATGTATAGATATATAGATAGATATCTAATAAATTTTGCTGATCTTTTTATCATCATTATTATTAATTAATATTCTTATGTTTGTATATTTGCATTGCTATTAAATATGCATTCATTATCATATTAAGAATATCAATATTTATTTATAACTTAATTTGCATTTTTATTCCCGCAAATTTAAATTTATAATTAAGCACTGATTTATCGAAACATAAATCAAATCTATATATCCTTATACTAACATTTTTAAAAATTAGATTTTACTGACTTGTGTTTTTGTCTGTATTTTTTATTTATTTATTTACTTTTATCTAAAATCATTTGTATTTTTTTATTTAATTATTTTTCATTTAGTTTTATTAATTAAAATTGTTTTTCGACTTTAAATTTTATTTAAAACAACATGTTTTCATTAATAAGCTAATGAATAAATTTAAAATATGTAAAGGAAAAATAGTTTTATTTGAATTTCAAGTATAATAAATATCTTAATTTATAAATCAAATAACTTTGATACTTTATAACGTTAACATTATGTAATTATAGTTACCAATTACAGAATCTAGTATTTTATTAGAAAATACTAACTCTGTTTCTGGTTTTCTGCATTCTTAGCAGTGAGGAGTATATCCTTTAAAGCAAGCATCACAAAATGAATGACCACATGGGGCACATGTCTTAGCATCTTTTATAGTCTGTCCACAATAGGAGCACCCGAATTAAGCTTCTGCTGCTTACTATTTTTTAGTTTATTTTAAATAAAAATTAATAATTATAATTCAAAATCATTACTGCAGCATTTTCAATCTTAGCAACTGAACTTCTTAGAAGTTTTTCTTTATCCTTTAAATCTTGAATTTATTACTTTACCTTGATAGGATCCTTTATTTTATTAATTATTACATTTTATTACTTAAAATTGAATAAAGAATAAATATTATTACTAATTCTTCTAAGTTCTTCTCTGCAATAGCAAGTTTACTTGTTAGTGTTTTAATATCAAGGTCTTACTTAAACAGAAGTGAATCTTTTTCTAAAATTAAATTTGATTATTTAATATTTAAATTTCATATTTATTTTACTTGAAATTTATCTGGAATTTTCATCTCTTTCCTCTTTTAATTTTTCAATCTAAAAAAAAACAAACAAATTCTTTAAAGAAAAAAAAAAAAAAAAATATTTTACTTATTATTAATATTCTAAGGACTAATTCAAAAAGGCATCTTTTTAAATTATTGCATTATTTAGCTCTTAAATCTTTTTTTCATAAGAAGCCTTAAGAGATTTTAGATCTCCATCAAGTTCTTTTTCGTTTTTTGAAAGGAGAGAAATCTTTTCTTCATATTCATATTTGATCTTTTTTAGATCAGCTTCTTTATCTTAAAGCATAGTGATGAGTTCTTTGTGGCTCTTGTTCAAAGCTTAACTATTTAAAATTTCCTGTTCCATTCTTTGCTTAAGTTCTTCTATTTAATTCTACATGGAAGAGAGTTATGTTTATTCTGACTTTTAATCACTAGTTAACTAACTATATTTGTCTTTCAACTCTTTGTTCTAAGAAGAAAGTAATTAAATTTATTATTCTAATTTGCTATTTTATTCTTCTAATTCTTTAGTCTTTTACATCAGCTGACTGTTGTCTGACCTCAAAGTTTAAATATTTTAAACAAACTCCTAAAGTTTTTCTTAATTTTTATTGACTTCTTTTTATAAATTATCTATTAAATTATCTTTAGACTAAACCATTTAGAAGTAGTTTTACTTTTCTTTTTCGAGCATGTTTTTCTTTTGCTCGTATTCATTTAAGTTTTTAATTAAGTTTTAATTTTACTCTGCTTATTTATTTAGCTCTGAGTTTTGACTATTTAGTTCTTACTCTAACTTTCTGTTTAAGGCATTTTTTTGCTCTTCTGAGATACTGAGAGCACTTTATATTTAAAGTTTTTCATCATTTAATATTTAATTCATATTCTTTTCTCTTTCCAGCATTTCCTTTAACTAATCAATTTACTGCGAAGATTGTCCCTCATACTCTGATAATCTTTGTCTTAGATTTTATATCTCTGAACTCATTATTTATACATTATCTCTGAGTTCTTTAGTAACTTATTAATTATTCTTTACTTCGAATTTAGCAATTAAAATGATTTCATCCTAACATTTAGATTTCATTTCTTCATAATTATTAATCAAATTTAAGTAGTTAAAACATTTGCAGTTATTTCTTTCTTCTCTCAACTTGCTTAATTCTTCCTAATATTTTAAAAAATGTAAATATAAAAAATAAAATAGGCATGTTTATTATTACCTCTAGTTCCTTGTTTAATTCTTTTAGCTATGCAGTTTCCTATTTTATTGATGACTCATTGTTACTTTTCATCTTCAGTAAAGTTTATTAAGATTCATGAACATTTTCTAGCTTTTTAAGCTGTATGAGTAAATCACTTTCTCTCTGTTTTAATGTTTATATTTCTTTTTTCATTTTTCTATCATGGTCCAATAATTCTTCCTTAAGAGCCTCAGAATCTTAGGACTTGTCTTACAAATCATTTATCCTATTAAGTGCTTTATCTAAATTTTCCTCTAAAATTTTAACCTGTCTCTCACTTTCTTCTTTTTAAATCTAAGTTTTTAACATGTTAAATGTCTAAAAAAGGATAAATAAAAATATACATTTAACTGTTGATTCTAATCCTTTAAAGTTTGTAAATCTGCTTAAAATTGTTTTTTTTCTTTTTCAAAGTTTTTATCTTGGTTTAGAATTTTTTAGAGTTGAGAATTTGTTTCTCTAAGCTGTTGATTTAAATCTGTATTTAAACTATTTCTTTGTTCTAATAAAGATTCCAATTCTTAAATTCGCTTATTGGCTTTAGCTAGCTCATTTTAAACCTTATTCATATGAGATACTTTTTCATTTGCTGCTTCATTATCTTGTTATCCCTTAACTAATTTACCATTTGCATCATCTAATTTTCCTTCTATGTCTTTTATCTTTGACAAATAATTCTAATTGAGATCTCTTAATTACTGAACTTCATTTTTATATCTTTAAGTTTCTGATTTTTCAGTCTTAAACATTGTACTTAAGCTTTCGAAATTTCTCTAAAGTGCCATTACACTCTAGTTACGTTATTCTAATTCTTTCTTTAATCTCATAACCTGCGTTCTTAAATCTTCTTACTTGAAATAATATATTTTTGATACAATTTTAATCTTAAATTTCGTTTTATACATCTTCAGTTGGAGGAGGAATATCTTTGAAAGAAGTCCTAGACTTTCTTGTTTCTTTGATGAAATTATAATTTTCACTATCATCTTTTTTAGGAGGTTTATAATCTATTAATGGAAGAGTAAACTTCTTATCAAAGTTTTTTGACATTTCTTTTAAAATTTTATCAGAAACTGATAATTTAGATTTTTAATTATAAATTTTTTGAAAAATTAAATTAAAATTGTTATTTATGTCAAACAAACAAACCAAATCAAAAAAAAAGAATAATTTTTTTTTTGAATAACTTTTTATAGTGTTTTAAAATAATTTATTTAAGATATTTAAAAATAAATTTCTAAAATTGTAAATTATAAAACAAATAGACTAAATTTAGATTTAAAATGTCTATATTATGTAACTCAACTTTAATTAAGCTATTTCATAGAATCTTTCAAATTATGTAAGAAATTTGTATAAAGCAAAGTTATTAATCCTGTTAAAATTTAAAGGTTGCGAATATTTGCAAATAATATAAATTTTCATACAAAAAATTAAGTTACTATAGACTTTTTCAAACAAAAATTAAAAAAGGAAATCTAAGAATAAAAATGGATATCGAAGGAAAGACAATAATATTATAGAATCCAGATGGATCTATCTAAGTAGCAACATAGCCTCATTATAAAGGAAAAAAGTAGTTATAGTGTTATAAATGTAAATGCAGATTAATTTATGAGGGAAATGCTCTTAAAATAAAATGTACAAACTGCCAATCATTAAATGGTGTGCCTAACTAGCAAAGTTAGTAATAAATGTAGTAGCAAAGATCTATATCATGTGCAAGTTGTGGAGCAAGATGTTAATTATTAATTATTGATAACATGTTGATTGGAAATTGCAATTCTTGTGGTAATTTATTTATAATTTTATTTGCATTACTTAAAAAATAATAATTATTCTATTTTTATCAAAAACATTTTATTTATATTTTGGGCAAACAAATAATATTCTTACAATTAAAAAGGTGCTTTAACAGGTGTATATTGAATAGGATAGAGATAGTATAAGAAGAACATAAAATGAAAACCTTTTCTCAAAAAATCTACCAAATCTAGTTATTGTTAATTAATATAATTCAAGCTAAAAATTAGTTTAAAACAAACACTTAAAATGCAAAGGAAATGTGATTTAAAGCTAAACCAATTGATTGATTGATATGCCTTAATTTATTTTAATTAATCTTTGGTATTATTTTAGAAATTGAATACTAAAAATAATTTATATTTCCATTTTATAATGATAAAAATTTAAAACAAAAGCAAGAAATTTATTTATTTATTGTGTTATTAGTAAAATATAATACTTGTAATTTATATTTTAAAATATTTTATAAGTTTTAAAAATATTTATTTAAAACTCAGATACTTATTTAGAACTTTAAAATACTAATTATGTATGTAGATAGATGCTTTAAACTGCTTTATCTATTTTTGATGAAACTTCAATAAATTATATTTATAACTAATTATGGTATTTTTTTAAAAGGATTTAATTAATTTTAATTTTATTATAAAAACATTGTTAATATTTTATAAAAAAAATAAAATGAAAGAAGTTTAATTCTCTATTTTTTGCTAAAATTTATTATTTTAATCTTTCTTACTTAAATAGTAAAAAATTATAGCAGTGATTATTTGTTTAAAACAATTGATCCTTAAAAAATAATGTATAATTATAAATCATTAATATATCGAAATAAAGAGTTGAAGTGTTATTAATTCTTTTTTTACAATCAATAAAAAATATCTTGTTTTAAATATATAAGAAAAGAACAAAAAAAATAAAAAGAAGCAAGTGTAGTAAGTAATTCTCCAACAAACAAAACGAATTCATTTTATTGAGAAAAGTTTTTTATGAAATCTCTTTCATAGCAAGCAATACAAGCTATTTAAAATCTTAAAAAACTAGCAGATAAGCCAATTGTAAATAGTGAGCCCAAAGCAGACTAGATAAGTAATTAAAAAGACAATTAATAAAAATAAATCTTTAGCCTGCAAGATATTAAGTCTCTTGAAAAAAAAGATATTTGGCTTGAAGTAAAGGAAAAAGCTGAGAGTTTGGAGATAGGAGTTGAATCAAATTTTATGCCAATTATAAAAAAGACTATTAATTTATTGGATTTAATAATAGAAGCTGGCTTATAGTCATTTAATTCATAATAGATTACTTTTTATATAGACGAGATTTTGTTTACAGTAGTTTAAAATATAATTCGGCATAAGAAATACCAAACAGTGGAAAATTATCTGATTGCAGAATAGATTATTATAAAAACACTAGTGCTAATTAATTAGTCAATTTAGCTCGATATTCCAAAGTTGTCAGAAATATCTGCTTATATATTTAATACCTAAAGAAGATAAACACTTAAAAATGCAAAGGAAATATGATTTAAAGCTAATCCAATTGATAGATAGACTTTAATTCTAATTAATCCTAGGTATTATTTTAGAAATTAAAAACTAAAAATAATTAATATTTCAATTTTATAATGATAAAAATTGAAATAAAAACAATAAATTAATTTATTTATTGCTTTATTAGTAAAATAAAATACTTGTCATTTATATTTTAAAATATTTTATAAGTTTTAAAAAGATTATTTAAAACTCAGATATTTATTAAGAGCTTTAAAATACTAATTATGTATGTAGGTGCTTTAAACTGCTTTATCTATTTTTGATGAAACTTCAATAAATTATATTTTTAACTATTTTGGTGTTTTTTTAAAAAGGATTTAATTAATTTTAATTTTATAAAAAAACATTGTTAAAATTTTATAAATCAATTTTTTAAAATGAAAGAAGTATTTTTATTTCCCTTTAATTTGATGAAATTTCTTTATTTTAATCTTTCTTACTTAAATAGCAAATATTTATAGTAGTGATTATTTGTTTAAAACAAATGATCCTTAAAAATTATCGTAGAATTATATTTTATTAAGAATAAAAAATTAAATTAAATAAAAATTAAAACACCAAAATAAATAAAAATATCAACCATAATTAAAAATTAATTATATTTTTTTTATAAATGTATACCCTTAATATTACTGATGTTTCAAATAGTTTTAGATATAATTATTTATGAATGATTGTTAGCAGTCTTTATCCAAAAATTATTATCAAATTTTAATCTTTATAAAAATTTTTTTAATTAGAGATCAGAAAGGCAGTAAGAAATTAACAGATATTACTTATATAAGCATATGACTATTAGACTTTTTCTTCTACAATAAAATTATATATTAAATTTTATTCTATTTTTTATTTATATGGAGAATGCTTATTAATTAAATATACTTAATTTGAGAAATATGTTTGGCGTTTATATGTTTTTATTTGGTTTTTCCTAAAAAATTGTTGGAGAAAAAAATTTCTATCAGACATTTTTGTTTTTATGAATGATTTTATTTGTTTAAAATCAAAAGAATTATTTATTTGTAGAATAGGAGGAGAATAATAATATATGAATTGGTTAACATATAGGAAAGAAGAGAGAATAGGTGATATTAATAATATCAAATAAAATCATTGAATCCTTAATATTCTTTTAAAGAAAATAATAATTAATCTTAAAACTACTATTTGATATATCAAAATAAATAGTTGAAGTGTTATCAATTCTGATTTTACAATCGATAAAAAATATCTTGTTTTAAATATATAAGAAAAGAACAAACAAAATAAAAAGAAGCAAGTGTAGTATCTCTCCAACAAACAAACAAACAAATTCATTTTATTGAGAAAAGTTTATTATGCATAAAACTCTTTCATAGCAAGCAATACAAGCTAGTTAAGATATTAAAAAACTAGCAGATAAGCCAATTGCAAATAGTGAGCCCCAATCAGACTAGATAAGTAATTAGAAAGACATTTAATAAAAATATATCTTTAGCGAGCAAGATATAAAGTCTCTTGAAAAAAATATTTGGCTTGAAGTAAAAGAAAAAGCTGAGCGTTTGGTGATAGGCTATGAATCAAATTTTATGCCAATTATAAAAAAGACTATTAATTTATTGGATTTAATGATAGAAGCTAGCTTATAGTCATTTAATTCATAATAGATTACCTTTTTTATAGACGAGATTCTTTTCACAGTAGTTAAAAATATAATTGAGCATAAAGAATACCAAACAGAGGAAAATTATCTGATTGCAGAATAGATTATTATAAAAACACTAGTGCTAATTAATTAGTCAATTTAGCTCGATATTCCAAAGTTGTCAGAAATATTTGCATATATATTTAATACCTAAAGAAGTTTATATTCCAAAACTATTCTACTAAAATCGCCACCTTAATCAGACTACCCAGTAATATTATTTTATCTAAAAAAATAATTATATTTCCAACTTTTTCAAAGTATTCTCCTAGCATATACTTTGTAACAAAACAGTCTTTATAGTTTTAGACTTGATTAAAGAAAAGAAAGCAAATATTTGATCAAACTATTTTTTGAAAATAACTATTAAAATTTAAAAATCCATCATAAAATTAAATTTTTCAATAAGTGGTGGGTTTTCTTCCATATTTCTGCTTATTTTGTATCATTTAAAACACTTAAATTTTAAATATTTGATGGCTTTATTGAATTTTTTACAAATTTTATAATAAAAGCTTGGTTATGAATTTGATAGAGACGAAAATAGAAGATAGTGGGAACAAAATTTAAAAATAGGAGATATAATTGATTGCATAAAGTTTGAATGTTATCAAAAGAGATAGTCTTGGTCAAGAGCACTAATCGAAAGGATTGACGATACAAGCGTGAGTGTTAAATATTTAAATGATTAGGTCGATGATAGGTAATATAATTTCCAAATAGAAATTAATATAAACGAATGAATGAATTATAAATAAATCAATTAATTAATAATTTTTTAATAGCAAAAATTATATCAGGAATAATTTTAAAACTGTGAATAATAATTTTTTGTCAAAAAATTTTTTTAAGTGAAAACAAATGAAAATTCTTTTCATAAAAAAGTTAACTGAAATCTAAGCATAATATTTTATAATTCTAGGATTTTCACTAAATCTTCTTACTAGATAGCACCTCTTGGTACAAAGTCTTTAGATTTTGAATGGAGAGAGTAATTAAAAGTTGGTGATGAAGTTGATTTTGTTGATTCTTATAATATTTGGAGAAATGCAACAATACTGGAAATAAAAGAAGTTGAAGTAAATAATGGGACTATTGTTAAGTCAGTACTTGTTGGTAATAATATATTTTGTTTTGGTTAGCTAGGTATTAATTAATATTCAATTATTTATTAAGGATTGCGTATTTATAGAGAAGATGGTAATAGATTAGATGAATAAAATGGAAAATCTTATTTTGGATATGACAAATAATTAGATGAGTGGGTAAGTCCTCACAGTGGAAGATTATAAAGGTAAATTTTAAACAATTTCATTAGATAGCTATATATGTCCTTCTAAAATAGATTTAACAGATTAGCTAGAAAGCAAGTACAGCAATAGACATTAAAAAATTATCTTGATTATACAGATGATGCAAATGATATTATTTTTGAAATTGAAAATAAAGCAAATAAAATTTATGCCATTTAAAGGACTGATAAAAACAATAATTTAGTTCGATATATAAATTATTTTGGAGAAATTGGAGGCTTTGATAATATCCTGAAAAGACTCTAAAATTTTTCTAATTGGTGCCCTTTGGAAATAACATAATATTATTTAGAGGGAATTCATAACATCCATATATTCTTATTTTTAGATTTTGTTCGTGAATATATACCTCAAATGTGGAAAGCTACTTAGTATTTGCTTATGAATCCTTCAGAAGCTAACTTAAGAACATATGATAAAGAAAAATTAGAAAGCATAATAAGCTCTTTGGAGGTTTTATTGAGTAGAGCTTTTAGCTACTCAGATTAAGTTCATGAAACTGAAAAATTATCAATGAGTTTAGCATTGAAATGCTATTAAACGGATGTGTTAAAGCAAAGGTTAGCAGGTTTAAAACTAATATGTGAAATAATTAAATATGTTAAATAAAATAGCTACAAATCATCTGATAATTTAATAATTAAGCCTGCAAAATTCGTAATTTATCAATATTAACTTAATTATTTCAAAATAAATGAATTATTTATTTAAATAGGTTGAGTGGATTAAAACGAATAACATTATTGAAGATTTATATTTGAATAATATTCATTCTGAAATGATTAATAGAAGTGCAGAATTCTTCAAATTTATGTTATCATAGAATCTTTTCACTGAATAGCTAGCCAGAGAAATGTTTAATGCGATTGATAAATAAGATTAGATGACTAAACGAGGATTTTTAAAGTTATTAAGTGAAATATCATCAGAACCAAGAAGAACCCAAGCAAAGTATATTATATAAAATATTTAAAGGACAGAAGCAAAAGAATTGACAATCGAGCAAATTGATGTTATTTATGAATTAGCTTTAAAGCATTTGCAGAATATTACAATTTGCTCAGATGATAAAAAGAGCGAAATCGATACACAATCTGAGGAATATTTGTTTGATACCAATCCTGTTAATAAAAATACAATCGATTCACTTTTTTATTTTTATGATTTAACTGTTGGTAAGGACTTTTAAAATATGAGCGCTGAATTGAAAGCACATATAATTGATAAATTTAGTTGTTTGATAAGAACTGATGATGGTCGTCCTTAAAGAGTTTAATTCCTCATTAAATGCATTGATGACATCAAAAAAAACGTGTCTGTTTATCACTTGCTCAACATTATAAAATAAATTATCAGCACCTACTATACAGAATTATAAATCAAAGGATGCAATAATAACCCAAATACAAATAATTAAAATTTAATCATTAAATTAAACCCTACTACTGATGAGAAAGAACCAAAATTAAATGTTAATGAAGATAAATAAAATTAAGAATCAAAAGATTCAAAAAAGAGAAGCAATAGTGAAAAAGACAATTCATAGTCAGCCTTTGAAGAAAACTGCGACAACAATGATAATGAATCTCCTTAAAAAAAGAAAAATAGAAGGGATGGTACTCTGGTAAATTCACCTAAATAATTATTAGAATTCCAATAAAATTAGAATGTGGCAAAGTAAAATGAAAATATAGTTAACATTAATGGAGATAACACTGTCAAAAATAGCATAGATCTAGGTCAGCCTAAAAGTAAAATAGCTGATATGCTTGTAAATGAGTATAAATTAGTCGAAACAGTTTTATCAAACATTCGCCAAGTTAAAGTAATCTATAAAAAAATGTTAGACTCACCAAATACACTTTCCTAAGATAGAAAAGGGCTTCTTACATAATTCAGATTTGAAGTATCTGAACGTATTGATTTTATTAAGTTCATTAATTCTATTTTAGAAGATGATAAAAAAATTATTACAACCTCATTTTTAACATCTATTTGGAAAGACATAGTCGAAAATCCCCTGGATATAGACGAGCGTGATCTTCTTTTTAAATGGTTGAGAGAATTAGCTGATGAAAAGGGAGGTCTTGTACACGAAGTAGCTTAATTTTTCAAATAATAACTTCTTTTAAATACTGAATTTGTAGAGCATTTGAGCTTAGAAGGTTTCTTATGCTATAAGGTTATGTTCATTTCATTAAATCTATAAAAAAACTATTTATAGCAGTAGTAAATACCTAAAAATAACTATACAACAAATGTTTATGGAGCTATATGCTCGATGTCTGGAGGTCCTATGAATAATAATTAAAGCTCAAATGAAGATTAAAATAACGAATTTGAGTACCTCGTTTTGACTGAGCCTTAGAATTTAGAGGGTATGGATTTACTTTGGGAAATAGTTTATAAAAATGGTTAAGAAAGTGTAATAGAAAATTGTATAGATTTCTTAGTTAAACTCCATCTTCATATATCAGCTACCTCGAATATTAATTGCGGATAGATTAGAAAAAATTTTATTGATCACTGCATGGAGAGCATCATTTCATCTTACGGGTAATTTTGAAATATTATATAAATTTTGTTTACTTATTTAGCATCCATAAAACAGTAGCAATATAACAAAAGTGAAAAGGACTCTTGATATTCTAAATTGCTTATTGAATGAAAGCGAGAAAAAGGGTATCGGTTATTTAAAGCCTATTAATGGGTTGGTAAAAGGAGAAGTATAAAACCTAACAATAACTAATGAGATTAATGCCTATGTTTAGGAGGGATAAAAGAAGTAAGACATAAAAATTGAATCTAACAAGACTATTATTGATTTAAAAATTTTAATTGCTTCTAAGATCAACACATCTTGGGATTAGGTAATTATTTTATCATAATAATATTATACTAATTTTACTTTAATAATGAATAGATTAAGATCAAAAGAAGCCCTAACTTCAAATAATTAAGAGACTCCGATAATAGTAGGACTATAGGAGAAATAAGATTTAAGAGCAATGAAAATCTCACAATTGAAAAGAGATAAACTCCTCCTATACCAGAAGCAAATTTATTGAATCAGGATGGTTCACTAGTAGAAAAAGCAAAATAAATCTTTACTTCTTGGTTTGAAACTTTTTCTACTGAAGGATTCATGGATGCTGAAAACTTAGCTAAGTTTATTCATAGCTGCACAAACGATAGCTGCAGGCCTGATGATCATAGAGTTACAAGTACTATTGCTTAATATGATCATGATAATGATGGAAAGCTTGATTTATAAGATTTCTTAAACTTTTATAGAAAGGCATGTTAAGAGAAGAAAGCTGTGGTTTGGAAAAATTTACAAAGCCACTACTATCGTAACGATTTGAAGAAGCTTAGTGATGTAGGCGAAGACGTTGAAGTAACAATTTAAATTATATATTACTAATTCATCAATTTATTTTTTTAAACTTTAGGATATTGAAATTTTACCAAGGAATATTATTATGAAGAATCCCTAATGCTACGAAGTATTGATGAAAATTTTAGATAACGAATAAGTTTCTGAAAACGCCATCAATTTGCTTAACAGGTTACCAGCATCGCCTGATTTAGTTAGAAAAGTCTTAAATTTAGAAGGAGTAAAAGGAAATAACCAACCTGATTGGAGCTTAATATTAGACACAAAAAATAGCTAAAGATTGTTGTATACTCTGACTATTATTGAGTATCTTATGGAAGATAATTAAGTTTTATCAAATAACTCAGATGATCAGAATTAATCTTAACAAGAATAAAAAACTTAAGAGGAAGCAAAAGAATAATAACCTAATTCAATTAAAGAGTAGAAAGATCAATAAAATCAAAAAGATTCAAAAACCTAAGATCAACCTGAAACACCTAAAGAAGATATATTAAAAAATATTTACTCTGATGGAGCCTCTATTGATCCTGCTAACTGGAGAGAAGAATTCATTTAATGTGGAGGATTTGATTAATTGTTTAAAGTTTTTATTTAATACTCATAATAAGATTATTCAAAGCTAACTATTAATACAAAAAATATTCTTTCATTTATTTTGAGAATTATGAAAAACTATTTGACTGCTGTTTTTGCTAACAAGGTATTTTAATTTTTCACTAAATTTATCTAACTAGCTATTTCATTAACAAATAAGGTAACCCACTTGTACAAGATTAATTAGTATGCCATATAGGTTAAGTACTCGTTGGATGTTATAAATGAAAATTTAAAAAAGGCAGAAGAATAAAAAAATGATGAAGAAGAAGAAAAAAAAGAGGAATCAAAAGAGAATAATGACGCTAAATAGCAAAAATAAGCTTAACCAACTCCTCAAGTAACACCATATCATCCAAACTTACTTGAATAAAATGTTAACCAAAACATGAACAACAACACTAATGAAAATAACAACAATTCAAATGCTCCAATTGTTGGACCTTATTCAAAAATCAACTTTACTTCTATTTGGGCTAACCGCTCTAGAGTGAAAGAAACTCCAGATTTTTTAATTCTAAAAGAAAAACTAAGTGGAAAATTAGGTTAAAAAATTATGGACACTTTAGATATTGAATCTATGCTTACTAAGATCATAGAGATTTTGTTTAATGTAGTTTCTCTAGATTCTGAATTAGAAAGTGAAGATAGAGTCATTATCGATTTTTGCTGGTGCATTATTATAGATATTGTGTTATATGATACAAAATAGCGTGAAATCTTAGTAAAAAAAAATTTTGAGTAATTCTCACGTCTCATAATGAAAGGTTTATTTAATTAAAATTTGAATGCTAGAAGGGTATTTTCACATGCCCTTTACCTTATTAGCCGTTAGGATAAAGGAGTTTTTTCTTCATTTTTGTTAGATTTACTCATGAAAAATGTCCCTTCATCAAAAGATGTTTCTAAAAGTGACTGCAATCAATACTATGAGCTACTTTGCAAAATTATTGAGGAATCAACAGACTTTGAAAATATTTAGATTAATTTTTAGGATCTTATGGATTTTATGGTTTAAAATATCAAAGATCATATATCATAAGAATCAAGATATAATGCTAAAAATGATAAAATGCTTATAGGTTTCTTAAACATGTGTGAAAAGATTCTGAAAATTGAACCTAATCTTGGAAATAGCTTAGAATAATTTGCTGAATATCTATTTGATGTATGTTTATTCTGTAAAAACCCTGAAGGCTTACTTGATGATAATCTTGACTTCGATTAGATTCAATAAAATTAAGTTTATGAATTCAATCCACCATATTATGTTAAATGCAAATCTTCTGATTCTCGTAGGGGAGCATACAAAATTTTAAACAGTATACTCAAAACAAATAAGAAAATGGTTTTAAATATCATTAAAGATGGTCTAAATGTTCTAATAGACACTCTAATCCCTCCACCATCTTGGAGTTATCGTCCATCAAATGAGTAAAAGTGCCATTAAAATTATTTGGGTATTAAAAATCTTAGCTAAATATGCTACATGAACTCCATGCTACAACAGTTCTATATGACAAAAACATTTAGGTAATATTAAAAATTCTTAAAATTCAAATAATTTATGATATTTTTTTTAAATTAATTTTATTTATTTATGAAAACAGGTATGCGATTTTAGCAACTGATGATGAAAAAGAAGCTGAAATTGTAGAATATAGAGGTATGTATATCGATGATAACATTCTTCATCAAATTCAAAAAATGTTTGCCTTTTTAGACCTTAGTGATCGCTAGGATTATAATCCTGTAGGTTTTTGCTTTTCATTTAAAGATTTCTCAGGAAAACCAGTTAATGTTGGAGTTTAATAAGATGCTTAGGAGTTCTTGAATATGATTTTTGAAAAATTAGAAACAAGCTTAAGACCAACTCCATTTAAATATGTTTTGGAAAGTGTTTTCGGTGGTTAAACCATTTCATAAATGACTTGCTCATCATGTGGTAATGTTAAAGCAAAATATGAACTTTTTTATACATAGTAACTTAGAGTAGAAGGATGCAAGAAGTTGTCAGATTCTTTCAATAAAATGATTGAAGGGGAAACTATTTCTGATTTTAAATGTGATGCTTGCGAGAAAAGATGCGATTAGTTTAGAAGAATTTGCTTCTCACAACTTCCTAACATATTGATAATTCAATTACAAGTAATTAGAATTTAAATTAATTTAAGATTTTCATAATTTACTTTTTATATAAAGAGAATCGTATTTGATTTGGACACTTTTGTAAACAAAAAAATCAATACCAAGCTAGAATTCCCTCACAATCTAGATTTAAAAGAGTATACTGTTGAGTATTTAGACAGCAAAGAAAATGAATTGAAAGTAGAAAGAAAAGAATCAACAAATTCGGATTCACATAAATAATAATAAATATCGAAAAAAGATGAAAACTATGTCGAAGATAATGCTAACGTTCACCCTCCTGAGTATTACAAATATCGCTTAAAAGGAATAACAGTGCATCAAGGAACTGCTGAGTTGGGGCATTATTATTCATATATAAATTACAAAGAAGACAAATGGCTTGAATTCAATGATTCTAGAATTAGAGAATTCAACCCTCAAAATATTGAGCAAGAATGTTTTGGAGGATCATCTTCAAATTATTCTGAAAATTATTGGGAAAAAGGCGAGAATTCTAAGAATGCTTACATACTAGTGTATGAAAGAGAGCTTAAAACTCCACTTAAGATTGTTACAAAAAACGAAGATCAGAGATTATAAGTAGAGAATAGCTTGAACATTAAAATTGGTGAGCCTTAATAGAAATAAGAGGAAGAATAAATATCATATGTGGATTATTACAGCATAAACTAGTAGTTATTATTTTTTTATTTTAATGCAAGATATTTATTTATATTAAAATTTACTTAATAGACGCATACCAATGAACCAATTCAAGTCAGCATGGCTGGATAATCATAATTTCATGCTAGAAAAACATGTTTATTCTCTCGAATTTATACAATTCTTGAAAGAACTCATTTGGATGATTGAAAAACCAAAAGACTTCATAACCTCTTTGACATCACAATCATTCATATATAAAAATCATAAAGAAATACCTGAAAGAGATCAGCAAATTTATTATAACTCTTTGCAAATGTGTGCAAAGCTATTTTTCAATATTTTCTATAAATCAGCTGATTTTGAAGTAAAATTAGTTCAAAAGTTTTAACAAGATTATTTATTTATTTATTTTGTTAATAATTGAAACTTTAGATTCTTAAAGATCTCCTTGTTCACATGAAAGGAATGCTAGATCTTATACCTTAGTATACTTATGAATTTGCTAAAGAATTCATTTTCAGCAGATTTAAATAAATAGAGTCTGTTTTAACTTCTTGCTCTGAAAGTGTAGTTAGATCTTGCTACTAATAAATAATTAATTTTACAATTAATAATTTAATTAATTATCATAACATTTAGCTCAATATCTCTGAAAGTTTCGTAAGATATTATTCTTAAATTAAAAAAAACTAAAATTTTTTTATTGCAGTTTATTGGTAAAGATGATGATCAATTCACTGAAGCTGAACTTGCTGAAAGAGATATTAATGTATTCTTAGAAAGATTATTGGATATTATGCATACCGAAGTATCTAAGAATTGGCTTAGAATGCAACAATACTTGGAAGTAAATACAAATTTATTTTGAAGAAATAAAAATTTATGTTAAATTAATAAAAAGATATTTAGAGACTTCGCTTTCGGAGGAGATGTTCAAATTTAATGGTGCTTTAATAAAGAAATGATAGCGAGGTTAATTGACTTTTTCTTAGGTAATATATCCCCTTTGAATTGCTATGGTTAGAAGAAACATGAAATTGGCAATAGATTTGTTTAAACTCCATTTGGTCCCTTATTATAAAATGTTTGTTTCTTGATTTAAAAAGTAAAATGGAATATGAACAGTGATAAAGTAATTTTTTTAATAATTTTAACCTAAAAAAAATATTTACAAAAAATAACTAAAGACTTATACATTTTCAGAGAATGATCAAATTGCTTTGAACAGCTAGGAGTTTTATTGGAAGTCTATGTAGGAAAACTATGATAGCCAGAGCATTTGCTTAATAGGATAGTTCTTGAGTCACAAAGAAAAGATATTTAGTTAGAGCTTCGGTAGTCTTATTTTAAGAGGAATTAATAAGACTAATTGTGATCACGTAAAATAATACCTTGACTTGATGTCTTCGTTTTTGGCTATAACTGATGAGCATTAGCAGATCAGGATAGAATGGATTTTTGGTTATGCAAATTTAGTTGTATGATTTTTAGCACATTTTATTAAATAATATTTATACCAAATTTAAAAAATAGATTAACCCAAACGATGGCTACGAAATGAAATAGAATTTAGAAGAACAAGTGGTCATTTATGAAACTAGATTAAAATATTATGAAAATGTATAGCCTGTGTTAAATTTATTATATCATTATCGCAAATTATAGGAAAATCTTTGTCTGCATATTTTACACAGAGTACTTCTTATGTGTAAGAGTGACTAATTCTACAGATTCTTGCATTATCTTATGAAACTTCCTGCTCCAAGCTATTCTTGTTCCCATTACTTGAGTTGGGTAAGACCTCACTTAGAAAGTATAATTAATGATAATCAAAAGAATTACATGGCAAATTAAAAAGAAGAATTAGCTAAATAATGCTTAAGTATATATGAAGATATAGAGAAAATCATAAATAACTATGCAGTATAGAAATAAGATGACCCCAAGAAATAGTAGGAAGAAGCCCATCATACAGAATAAAGCATCAAAGAATCAACTTAAGTAATTGAAGAATGCTCAAAAACATCAGAATCTTCTCCTTAAAGTCATGATAAATAAGAATGTGAAAGTGCTAGAAAAGAAGATAATTAATAATAAAATTTAAATAACTAAGAGGCAAATATTGGTCAAAAAGGATTGATGAGCCTATGGACAAATTATATAATAGGTAAAACCTTATAAATTGGTGAAAATAGATGGATACCTGTAGGAGAAGAGAATGAATAGCCAATTTATTTAAGAGAGTTAGAATACACTACATATTATACAGACTCTTAACCTAATGGAAATACAAATTTAATATTCCCTGATGTCATAAAATCTGGTTCTTCTATATAACTATCATCTATCAAATTAGAAGAATCTAATATTAATGATTTTCTTTATGTCCCCACATAAAATAATTCTGGAAGTGATTTCTGTTAGCTGACTTTAAATATTGATAAGAGTAAATTTTAAAACAATTCAAGCACATAATAGATTAATTAAGAAAAAAAATCTAATTCGAGTAATTAAAAAGTCTATTTTAAAGTACCAAGGAAAGTATAATAAGAAGCTAAAAGAATAGTAAGTGAATATTCAGATAATGAATATGAGGATGAAAATGAAGTTTTTAAAAGAAATAAAAAATAAGCTGGTAGTAATGACACATAATAAAAAGAAGAAGCTTTAAATGATAAATAATTAGATGCTAGTGATAATAATGGTTAAGATGATAGCATAGATAGTTTTAAAGCTAATATTGGTGAAGAAGTTAATCACTCAGGACTGCCTTCTTCATCTAATTATGGTCTAAACTGCAACCAAAATCAAGATGATAAGGAAGTCTATGATGTTTTAAATGTAAATCTAGATGAAGCAACTTAAGATTAAAATTCCTAAGATCTAAATAAAGAAAAATATGTAAAAACTCTATAAAGTAACACTAAAAATTTATTAAATTAGTTAGAGGAATTTGTTGAAAACCAGAACAAAGATTCAACCAATGATTAGTCTTAGCAACAATAGCAATAACCTATTCCTACTTCTGACGAAGTAGATTAAAAATAATAATGCAGTGAATTAGTATGTGTTACTCACATTATAAATTTGAAAAAAGAAATAGGAAATGTTGTTAGAAGATTTTAGATTGAAAATAATAGTGAAAGCCACATTAAAGTTTTGGTAAATTTCCAATTACAGGATGAAAACACCCAAGAAAACATAAACTAGCATATGCCATTTGAAATATACGTTTAGGTTGAACCTAAATCCACAATTTCCTTCTTCTCTATGCGCAAAATAAATCCAAGCAGAGATTGGTCAGATTACTCAATCTCTGTTTAATATGAAGTTATTGAAAATATTAAGGTAGATTAAAGTTCATAAAAAAAGAATGACAATTAGAACGATTGTTAATTTAAGAAAGCATCAACCGTTAAAAACCAACAAGAATAATCTAGTAAAACATAAAGTAATAATTAGAAGTAAGACCAAGATAACTAAACCGATTAAAAAGAATTCTCATTTAAAAATGACAATAATTAAGATAGCAATTTGAATAACAGAGATAATTATGAAAATAATCCTTATGCAGTTAAAATAGGACCTCAATTACCAGACAAATTAGATTAAGAATATTATGGAATGGAGGCGTGTCCAGTATGCACATATTTACAGCCCTCAATAAATGTATTATGTGAGATGTGCGGTTCAAGTTTAAAGTGAAAGTGAGAGAGTAAGTATTTTATAGATTTAAAAAAATAAATAGCAGTAAATCAAAAAAATTAAAATATTGAATGAAATTAATAATTATTTTTAAAATTTTAAATGTATTTTTTTATTTTATATTTATTTTTATGTAAATTCAGATTTTTATCTTAAATATCTCTTTACTTACTCTTTTCATAAATGACAACAGAAAGATGTATATAAATTATAATCGAAGAGTATTTTTTATTAAAATAATGTTTGAATAATTATATTTTAAATTATTAAGATTTTATATTAAATATAAAAACTAATTTTAATGATAGATTTTATAATTAAAATAGGAGTCTTTGATAATAATTTAAAGATAATTATTTATATTAAACAAATTAAATAATAATTTTAATGATACAATTAAAATAATTAATCAATTTATTTTTAAATAGTTATATTGTAAATTTTAACAATTTCTCACATTATTTAACTGAAAGTTTAATTTTTTTGTCTTTGGGAGAGGTAAATTCGGCAATAAATATTTTTAATCCTTTTTTTTTACAACAAAATTTACAGTACTTATTTTAATAGTTTTTTCCTTTCAATTTTCCCTTCTAAAAACATAACTTTGAGAAATTTCATTTTAAATAAATAAAACAAAGCAAAAATGATCAAAAATGTATTTAAGTATATTACAATCAGATTATTAGAAGAAGTAAAAGAAAGATGAATATTATTTTTTGATTTTAAATTTTTATCTGGTCAAATATGATTTAAGAAAGAATATTTAGTTCTAGTGGATATATCAGCAATTATATTAGAAATCGTTTAATAACCCAAAAATTTAAATTATCGAATTATTAAGATATAATGAATAATTATAATATCTATTTTAAAGAAGTTACTGAAGGTACTTATAATATTTTACAATTTTATTAAAAAGTAGAAGACATTTTTTTAATTTTTCTTATATATTTTGATAAATGACTCTTCAATTAATATAATTAATAATAAAAAGTTAACTAATTAAGAAATTAATAACCTGTTGATCTTATTTTTAATAATTTAAAAGTAGATAATTTGTAAATGATAGATTAAATTATAAATCATTAATGAAATGAAGATAGCTGCTTAATTTTAAAGGTATATATATTCATAAGGATATTACAGTAGAATATATATAGAGAAAATAAGAAAAATAAAAATAAACGTTGCTTTAATATACATTTTCATAATATTTTTCTTATTTTTTAATTAAATCAGTATTTGAAGAAATTATTGAGAGAAACAAAAAAAAAAAAGGATTCCAAAAATCCAAAGTATGGTAATTTTTAAGATTAGTAATAATAAGTAAACTTATAAACTATGTTAGAAGGAATATAAAGATGAGCCATGCCACTTCTTAGGTACTATCTTAAAAATTGCAAATATTTGCAAAATGCAAAAACTGCAAAATCTAAAATATGCTATAATTGTCATCTATGACTGATTAGATAAGTAGCTATTTATCTAATTTCAGATAAGGGATATTACTTAGTTTTTAATAGATTTTCTTTTTTTCTTAAAACAGTCTCCATTTTCTTTTTTTTTATCTTAAATCTAAAATTTGATGAAAATATTACTTAAACAATTAATTATAAGAAATTAAAGAAATCTTTTAAATTAAATTTTCAATTTTCAAATTAGAAATTATGATTTAATAGATAACCAAATAGATTATTAATAGAAAATTAAATTGTATATAATTGAATAAATTATCAATAGATAAATACCAAATTTAATAAGTGCTATTAATTTTTTGAATTATTTTTTATAATAAAGAAAATATTAAAATTAAAAAATAATAAAAATAATAAAAATTTAATGAAAAATATATGATAGAATATAAAGGATATTGGGAATACTGCGTCAGAAATAAAGTCCACCATTTTTTCACTTTTACACGTTTTTATAGGCTAATATGTAAAAAATATTGTTATATTTAAAAATTAGTGAGATATATTAACTTTATGTTGATATTTTATAGTTAAACTATTCAAACTTCAATATAAAATATATCAATTTATAGTTATATATTTTTCAAAATACTTAGTTTGGTAAATTTATTTATTAAAACTTATTAACCTAATTTTAAATAAAGTATAAGAGTTAGCACTTAATCTATAAAATGCAATTTTTATATTTAAAAAAAATGAATAGTGTGAAAATAATTTTTAATTGTAAGATAACAAATAAACAAACAAACAAACAAAATAATTTAGATCTTTAAATTAAATAGTGCATTTATTTTTATTATAAAATATTTTTACTCAAATTTGGATTATTTATATCAATAAAAATCAATGTTTCTCTTGATTGACTGAGTGTCTTTTGTGGTATTTCCTTTTTCTGAGATGTCTTAGTCTTCATCCATTCTAATTTAAAAGATAGAGTTTGGATTATTTATATTTTAGTTAATTGCTAATAGACTGCTTATCCTTGCATGCTCATTTCTAGGGGCATGGTTAAGAGCTGTCTATTAAAGTACATGAGCAATATCTCTGTCTAACTAAGCATTTTCTATATTATTTATTTGATTACTTATAGAAACACTTTTAGCTTCTAATTACTTTTTCGTTGTTATTTTCTTTTAGATGAAAACAATCAATAAATAAATTAATTCTATGGTCAATAAGCATGCATAGATGAAAAATGGAAGCTGGAGATAAAATTAAATTTATTTAATTTATTCTTTTATACTTTTTAACAAATCATAAGTGATTTAATCAACACATTACTGATCACATAAGCTATCTATGATATTTATCATATTGTCATTAATGTAGTAAATAACTCCTATTTATATTCCTATGTTAACTACTGACAAAATAAATTTATATACAATTATAGCTTTCATTCTTTGATTACTATTTTTGTAAAGTTAAATTAAAATTATATAGCAAAGTGCTAAAATGCAAATTATGATCTCGTAATACCATAGATTATTTATATTAATCTCATTTAATAGCAAATATTTAACCCTCTATGTTCTGCACTACCAGTTCATCTTGGGAAATTATCTAGCAAAAATAGAAAATTAATTGATGTTATCATTAAATAAATTTGGTAGTTTTTAAATAAAAGATTCTTAATGATTGTTAATAATTAAATCTTTTTATCCTATTTAGCTATTAAGGATTGGATAAAAGTTATTATCTAATTAGCAATCATTTACTTGTATGTTGTAAAGCTTATAAGCGTATTTATTATCTTTTTTATAATTTTAAATAAGTTAAAATTTATGGCTATTAACAATTATTATAAAAAAAATTTACTTATTGGTTCAGGCCAATTACTATTTAAGCAAATTCCTTTGCCCCACTGTACTGATATTTAAGACAAAGGGTATGCATTTGGATCACGTTTTACTTAAAATTTCATGTAATCAGATTAAGGTATATCTAGATAGTAAGTATTTTAACCTTATTGATACTAAGTAGATCGAATATCAATTATTTTGAAGGAGGTTATAGGGCAATTTTAGTAAGTTAAATTATTAAAAGAAGACAAATTGAATAAATCATACTCCTTATTTATATACTAGCAACTATTGCTGTTATTGATCATTTCTTAGCTATGTAAACTATTACTTTCGTCAAATTTTACATTAAAACTATTTAAATAGTTATATTCAGTATTATATAATCCACATATTTAAAAAGAAAGGAGTTTTGTATTTTAGTCGTTATCAGATTAGCTAGTATAATTGTTATTTTACGTTTAGTTAGTATTAATTCTTAAACCCCAATTTTCCACCTAAAATCCTTCTTATTTGTAAACATTTTCTCCATCTCCTTATGGTGAGCAAGGTTTACTTCCTTTAAAAGTTTAGTTACAAAGACTCATTTTAATATCTCCGTTTTTACACACGCATCCTTCACTCTTTTTAATTTTTAAATATACAAATTAATATGTAGCTAAATTGCTATTAATAAAAGAAATCTCAAGGTAAAAAACTAACAAAATCAATATTATGTTATTTAAATATTTTACTATTGAAGGAAAAGAGAAATTAAATAGTTTCTACATATTGTAATGCTCACAAGTTTATTGACTGTCTGCATTTATTATTTTCATGTCTACTAATGGATACTTTTAAAAACTTTCTTAAATTTAGCTAATTTAATTAAGCGATTGATATAGCTGAACAATTGGAAGAGTGGATAGAAGTATAATGCTAATCGAATATATGCATGAAAATAATGCTAATATCTATTAGATACTTAAGGCTTTATATTACATAGTACCTAAATAATTTACTGACTGAAAGAGAAGTATTATTTATTTTTTGAAATAATTTATTTTTTAATCAAAAATTAAAACATAAAGATTACTTAATTTAAAATGAAATTTAGTTGGTAGAAATTAATTAGGTCAGATTTTTAATTATTGCTTTATGCTTTTTTAATAATTTATAAAACAAAAAACCATATAAAATTTATTTTTTTTGTTTATAGCAGCTTTAAATGAAGTAATATTTAGATTGATCAACAAAATATAAAATTAAAATAATTCCACTCTATTTATTTATTTATATATTTTAGTTAAAAACTAATATTATATTTCAAATTAATATCTAATATACTTTTAATATATATATACTTCCTTCTTTTAAAAATATATTCTAGAAATTTAAGAGTGATCCATCTATCAATAAAGTATTAAGATAAAAAATGTTCTTATTTTGATTAATTAGATAAATTTTGATAAAAAAGATAATATAGGTGGAGAAGATATAAAATTTTATTGATTTAACAAAAATTATTTGAAAATATCAAAATACTTGACAGCCTTTCTTATCAAAAGATAATTGTGTATTTTTACATTTAGTCAAAAGAGTTAAAATTTTTATTATTTGAAAAAAATGTAAATTTGTTAATAAATATATTTTTGGTAATATTTTCTTATTTTTTAAACCTAAAATTTACTGAAAGGATATAGTTGGAAGATAGATAGAAATAATGAATGATAAATGTTAATTAAAATGATAGTCTTATAAAATATTATTTTTAAAATTTTAAGAAAATTATGAAATTAAAATAATAGATTGTTTTTTTTATTATTTTTTATATTAAAGAATTTATTATTAATTTAATTTTATTTACTTATTAAGAAGTATTCAAGAAAGATAAGAATCTTCTTTCTTATGTTTTAAAATTCACTTTTAATTTTATTTTAGAATTAATTTAAATTAAAATATTTAGGAAACACTTTGAAATAAAAATGTATGTTTAAATTTCAATTAAATTTATATTTTTTGATAGTAGTACCAATTAGGTAATTGAAAAACAAAGTGTATTACTTCTTTTATTGACAATACTATAATTAAATATTATACTTTATTTTAATAAATTTAACTAATACTTTGTATATAAATTGATTACTCAATTTAGATAATTTTGATTATCTCTCTAATTATAAATGTATTTTGGAAAGCTCACTTTCTGAGTTCAATAATTAATAATTTAATATGTAAATATTATCGTCTGAGTAAAGTTCAATTTAAATAATAATTAAAAACTATCCTTTTGATTAATTTCATTTAGATAAACAGAAAATAATAATAGTGAAGTAAAAAAGATTGAAATGAAGGTATCTGAGTAGGATTAAAGTAGTGAGAATAAGTAAAAAACAGAATCACTTAATGAAATATAACTCGAGAACAATAGAAATTAGGTTTAAAATTAAAAAGATTTATAAAGTAATTCTAATCTTTCAAAGAGCAATTTGGATGATGAATTAGGATTTTCATTCAAGATGGAGGAAAATCATTCTTTAAGTAAGACAACACAAAATAACTTAGAAAGCAAGCTAAACATAAAAAATTAGACTTCAGAGCTAAGAGACAGACCTTCAGGTAGAGATATGCTATACATTTATAGTAAATAAAGACAAAGCAAAGATGTTACAATTTACAAAGATGAATTTAAAGATAAATTAATGTTGTCGCCTATTAAAAAATATGTCAAATATAATAAATTTCCTTATAAGCTTTTAATACACATAAGTTTAATCATTTTTACTTCTTTACAAATTGAGTATACTCACTCTTAGTTTACTCCATTTAGCAGATAACAAGATTACGAATGGGTATCTCTTTTCTATAATGACAATTAAGCTGCTGATAATAATGGCATTTATACTTATTATGACATAAAAAGCTTTTAAAGTCACTTAAATAGCTTATTTATAAATATAGCGACTTATAATTAGAAGTATTTTCAATAGATTAACTTAGAAAAGCTAAAGATTTTCCTATAGTATGCTCCTGAGCCGATCACAAAAAAAGATTTATTTGTTAAATTTGAAAACAATCCAATAGATCCTTTTATAGGCATTACTTATCCTTTTAACTAGCATGACATTAATTCTATTAAAAAATTTTTAGGATAAACTAGAAGATTTAGCATAAATGTTAATAATTTGGCAGTAACTTTAGCACATGAAAAAGAGCCTTACTCTTGTTGGAACTTTCAGTTATAATATTAGTACATTTCAACGATATATTTATAATCTGTTCTTCAAGCGGATGGAAAAATGTGTGATGACTATGTTAAGGTCACAAGAAAATTATCAGAAGCAACCATCCTTTTTAAAGGTTCTTAAGTTTTGATAAATTCAATTATAATAGTATTAGCATCTGTTAGCTTTATTTTAGGATTAAAATACATTTTTGATATGATAAAAGATTACATGCACTATAAAAAGTAAGGTTAAATTCTAAAGCCAATAGTAAACAAGCCAAAAAAGAAATAAGTTAATGATATGGATGAAGAATATCTTCCTGATAATTTAATTTAAATTCTTCATGAGCAGCGTGCTTGGGATGAGCTAACATTTAGTGAAAAGCTCAAATATTTTGATAAATGGTTTATAATCATTTTATTAGGTAATCTTTGCTAAATTTCATGCTGTTTATTCATTTTGCTTTAAGACAAGCACGATAATTTGGTTTCAAGGTTAAGTGAGCCATTTAGATGGTTACAAGGTTTAGGTAAATTTTTATAATTTCGGTTTTAAATGATTTTATAGCTTTAAAAAACTTATTTGCTAAATAAAATTTATCTTTTAGAAATCACATTTGTTTTATTTTATACTAATCAAATTTATTTTTTTATTTTATGTTTTATGATTTTAATTTATTTTTAAATCTATCTTTAACAAATTTTAATGATTTAAATTTATTTTCAATTAAATTTTGGAAAGGTTGCTCATTAGCATGGCTAGCTATTTTAAAATATTTTGATTACTTTTCTAAGTTTAATATCACAGCAGATATTATGAGGTATTCTTTTCCTAAAATAGGGAAGCATTTTATAGGGTATATTCCTATTTTGGCTTCTTTTATTATAGTAGGAAGAACTGCTTTTGGGGGAAGCTAGAGATTTGCAACTATGAGAGATAGCTTTGCTACTTTGTTTTCTTTACTTTTAGGTGACTCTATCAATGACATAACTCATGATCTAGAGGATAATGGAATATCAAGACCACTAGCAGTTATATATATCGTTAGTTTTATCATTCTTTTTATTTTGGCAGTTAATAACATTATGATCGCAATCATTCAAGATGAAGGATCCAGACGTAAGGAGGTGATAAAAAGAGACTAGGAGTACAAAAAATTAGATAAATACAAGAAAAAATTGGAAAAAGCAAGGAAAATAGAAGAATAGAAGTTAAAATAAAGAATGGAAAGTGATTATTTAGATGAACAATCTTAACAAGGCAGATTTTAAAATGAACAATCAGAGGTGCATTCATTTAGGACATCTCAATAGATTGATGAAATAAGTAAATCACATTTTTCATATTTTTACTAACACTTTTTTACTTTTGAATAATTTGTTTACAATTTTAACTAATTTAAAAATGTAATTTTTTAGGTATAAATGAATAGTAATAATAAAAAATAAGGAGCTAGTTGTAAAGTTAAAAAGAATTGAGAATCAATACAAGTAATTAAGATTCTTTATCCAGTAGTATAAGTTAAAGAGAGAGGAAAGAGGGAGGTACAGTGATATCTTCTGAAACAAATCAGCTACAATAATATAATTAAATTTAAGATATTTTATAGTAATAAAGTAATCCTTTAGATCCTGTTGTTGAAGACTTAAGAGAAAGCTTATAAAAAGAAGATGAAGAAATGAAGCAGTAAGATGAAAAAACTGATTAGCAATAAAATGCAGACTAATAAGATTAAATTAAAATAGAAAATAGTTAATAATTGCATCAGAATTTAGATAGCATTGAATTTGAAGGTTCATAATAATCATTTTCTCATCAATAATCTCATTTGTAACTTACTTCTAAATAGCATTCTTAAAGAAGCAAAATAGACACGAATTCTAAAAAGAATATATCTTTCTAGGCCTTAACAAAAATAGCAATTCAGCTAATGAAATCAAAACACAATGCTTAAGAAAAGATAAACCTAAAAGATGAATTCAACAAAGAAGTTGAGCTCTTAACTGAACAACAGATGAATTATAAAGAATTTTATAAATAGTTAAAAAAAGGTTTTAGCGACTTAACTTAAATAATTGATAAACAGTCTTTTGAAATTAGGGATAACTTGTATCTATATCAAATTTCAAAGCCATAAAGAGGGGATATAATTAACGAATTCTGTGATATTCTAAATTATTTAACACTGCGTATTAAATAATAGCAAAAAAAGCTGTGAGGATATCAAATTTGTTAATTTTATTTTATAAAAACTATATTTTTATTAATTTATCAAACATAAACTACGTAATAAAATTCTAATGTCATACATCTTTTGACGGCAGCAGATGATGCACAAATGTTGAAAGTACTGCAATTTAACCTTGTCAAAAATGCGATTGAAGTCATCAATTAATTGTTTAGTTGTAAATCCAAATAAACAATTTTGATTTATTTCGATGGAGGATAGTTGTCAATTACTATTATATAAATTCTATTTAGTAAAAACTGATCTTTTTGAGGTGAATTAATAAATGAATGAATTAATTAATTAATGATGCAGCAATAGCAATGTATGACATATTTAATTATATTTAATCTTGTAACAAAAATTGTTTTTAATTTATAATAAGCATCATTCCCTTTTTCTAAATTTATACACATTTTTTATTAGTCGTAAGTATTTATTTGCATTTTTTGATTTCTTTTAAACCACATTTTTCAATACCTTTAGATAAATTATAAACCATTAAATTGTAGTAAAAATAATCAGAATTAATTTTCACAATAATATTCTTATTTTAAAGTTCAAGATATTTTTAATGAATTTATTTTTTTACATCAAATACACCGTATGTAATATAAATATTTGCAGAATAAGGAATTTGTTAAGAATGGTTGTTGTTGTTTTTATATATTTTAATTTTAATATAAAGTCAATTTAGTGTTATTATTTTATAAAATTATAATTAATATAATTTAAGAAGACAGTCGTTCGTTGATATTTTTAAGTGGGTTGTTTTATTTTTGCTAATTATTAGGCAGATAAAGAAAATTAATTTTGTCATTAATATTTTTTTGATTGTTAATAATTTATTTGTATTTGGATCGTTCATTCATGTTTATATATGTAAGTTATAAATAGTATGATAAAAAATAGTTATTTTTGCATGACTGAAGAGTGAATATTTTGTATCTATCAGTAGTATAAGTCCCACAAGGATTAAAGAGGCATATATTATAAGTGAGGAGCAACGTGTTGTTTATATACTTAAAGACTCATGTAGAGACTTTTTTTGTGAGCAATTTCTTGTTTAAGTAATTCAATAGATTCATCACTTTATTTTTAGTAAAGTAAATTAATATTTTATTTATCTAAAAATATATGTTAAGCTTCTACAAAAAAAGGTGAGTCCTTAATTTGTAAATATTAAAAACTTAAAATTAAAGAGTAATTAGATTACTTCAAGTAGATGATTAAATTAGTTAAGCTGTTGGATGAACCAAGATAGCTTGAAATATTTCTAGCGCCTTTTTCGTCAATTTTGTTTCTTCTATTGTTATTTAAAAATTAGATTAAAAAAATCTAAATAAATACAAATTTGTTTTTTTTTACCCTGTATAAAGATTAACAGTTTTAATGTTTTCTATTTTAGAAATCTGCTTAGCTAGAATTTCACCGCCAAGATTTTGGATTGAGTTATATCTAAATTTTATGGAAAATAAATTGAGATTTTAGTCATACTAATCTAGTACAAAACTGTAAATTAATAAATTTTTGATTGTAATTTTACCTCAAATAAAGATCAACACGGGTAAGATTTTTGAATTAACTGATAGCATTTGCAAGAGAGATAATACCTTCGTCACCAATGTTGTTATTTATGACGTCTAAACGTAATGATTCAAGTTTTAAAAGATTAGACCAGGAATTCGATAAATTCTCCATACCAGCACTACGGATTGTGTTTTTACTATATTTAGAAAAAGAAAAATTAGAACTCTAATGTGATTAGGTGTTTTTTGAGCATTTAGGATGATTATAAATAATTATTTTACGCTAATTGTATGGATAAGTGGACAAGGTTAGTTAAAGAACCAATAGATTTAAAAAGTTGCTAAGCTCCTTACTCTGTGATTTAATTGTTCCTTTTTTAGAAATAAGTCGTATTAATAAAGTGAAGAGACTTTAATGCGTATTGAATATCAATATGATTATATTTTGTTAATTATTTCTTTTATAAACAATTTTAAATTTTTGTGCCTTTCTGCGAACATAGGTTCGTTGAATGTCATTTTTATAAAATCGAAGACAGTCTTAAGTCAATTTTTTGAAACATGTAATTTTAAAATAATAATAATCATTTTTACTCTAAATTAATTGTGAGAGAAGTAAGGCTCTTTAGTAATTATATTGAAGAGCTGATTTCTGTGATACCACTGTTTTGTAAATGCAAATTTCTATTGATTTGTTTAGTAAAATAAATTAGAATTATTGAGTTAAAGATTAAACTTTAACATTTTATTTATTTATTAGTTTATATTTTTGAAAATGAAGAAACCAGTTTTTTTTATAAAATAGAAAGATACAGTTTATCAAATTGCTTGATATTTGTAAGAATTTCAAGCTTGTAAAATTAGAAATTTGTCTCAATTAAATTATTAAAAAGTATTTACGTTAAATCTATTTCAAGTTCCTGGAGGGCATACAGGGAGGAGATTTTCTCAATAAATTATTTTATTCCATTTGATGTTATGTTGTTATGTCTTTTAATAATAGTTAAATATTAATACATGCTAATTAGTAAATTAAATTATAAATAAATATCAAGGGTGTAAAATAAATACTTTAAGTAGAGTTTTAAGTTTCTTGTTTAAGTAAAGCGACTAAGTTTGTCACCAATTTGTAAGAACTACTCATCGCTTAAGTGGTTATCGCTATTTTAGGTATAATATTTAATATGAGAAGACAATTAAATTAAAATTAATATACTTTATGTTGAATGTCAAATCATTTACTGAGACATGTTCCTATAGAGTAGAAATGAATTCTTTGAATCCTACATTACCCAAATTTTGTTGTCTATATAAGAAAAAGAAATATATCAGTTAAATAGCTCTTTTTAAGCAAAAAGTAATTACTCGAAATTGAGATTTATTGACTTTTATTTAGCATCTATGTCGTTGTGCTAAAGATTGTCAGCAGTAGAGGCACTGGCCTGAAGAGAAGAGGACAAGACTTATAAAGGCATTTAATTTATATTGTAATATTAATTGAGGAGATTCAGAGATATTGTTTTATGGATTCTATATAAAAGGTAAATAGATAAATCCTTCTAATTAAATATATCTGTTTAGAATTTTATTTAATCTTCTTTTTGTATTTTTTCTTATTAATTTTTTTGAATGAATAAAGTTTTGTAATGAAAAGAAAGAAAAGCCTTTTTGCGCTTATAATCAGATCTTGGGAAATTGTGAATTAATTAATTAGTTAATTTAACTATTTATTTAATTTTTTTGTTAACATCATAACATGAAATATTAACTCATATGTGAGCGTCTTTTTTTCCAAATCTCATAACTAAAAACTATACTCGCAAATTAATTAAAGATAATACGTCTTTATGTTTTTAGTTTACCCCTTGATGCATTATGCTCACTCGATTGCATTACTTACTCCAATTTAAGGATTATTTTTTAAATTTTCTTTACTCAATATTACTTGAAGGCACAAATTAATTAGTATCTTTTAAGCCATTTTAACAAAAAAGAATTAAATCCACAGTAGCTATCTTTTATAGCATATTTAAGCATTGGTATTTCATTAAGGAGAATTTTTATCATCCTTGGTTACAAAGTGGAATATTCAAGTAAAAAGTTTAATTTTCTACTTCAACATAATAAATTCAAATATATAGACAATTTTATATTATTTTCAACCAGTCTATTCCTTGGTCAATAAAAAATTAGATTTACAAAAACAAATGTAGACTAATTTTTTAAAAAGTAGAAGAATCCTAAAATTAGTTCATTAATTCTTAGAATAATATAAATATTTTATGTTTTTAGATACTTTGCTGAATGTTGTATTTGATATGTTTGATCTATCAAAAATTCCTTTGCTTTTAAATTTATTCAGTGCTAATATACATATAATCTTTTTCTTTTAAAACTAAGATAGTATAGTTAATCCGTCTTTATGTCTTAACTCTTTTATTTACCCTAAACCTATCTATTTATTTACTATCTAATTGATGATGCAATTTTCCAGAAATATACCGTAATCAAATAGACAATTCATAAAGATAGTATTCAAATATTATGAATTTTTTCTAGTTAATTTATAAATTTTTATATAAAACAAAATATATACTGACTTTAAATGGTGACCATTTCGTGCCTTTTAAACTCAATAAACATTTCTAAATTTCAATATTTTTATTTGATAATACTTAAATAGTTAATAAAAGGAAGAAAAATATCTAGTAATTATCATTGATAAATTTAAGTAATATGCCATTAAATTAGTGTAGTAGAAGCTCCTTTATGATATTTTTTCCATTCATTAATAAACTAATATTTTAATAAAACTAAAAGATCAAATCAATCATGTTTAAATATACATATTTTACATATTTAATTAAATAATAAAGATAAAATAGATGTTAATTTAAAAGATGATTGAAATATTTATTATGCAATTATTATTTGCTATTTTATTAAGTACATCATATTTATCTTAATATAGAAAGCGCTATGACGAATTATCAAAAATATTACACAATTAAAAAAGATTAATTATTTTTAACTCCTTAACTAATAAAAAGTATTAATAATTTCAACTTAAATTTGTTAAATATCTTCTATACTAAGTAAAATATTGTAATTAAATTAAATTTCCATTTTATTCCAAAACTTAACTTCTTAACGAAACTTAACTATATTGAAGAACTAATTTACAAATAATTTTATACTTAATCCCTTTAATCAAGTGTACTTATACCTGTGTAACATTTTTCTTCATTTTGAGATTTTTATTATTCTGTAAATAAATAAAAAATATATTACTCAAAAAAGAAAAATATTAGAGTAAGGTTTCAAGTTTTAAATTTTCACATCAGCTATTTAATTTTTTATAAGTCAGAAAAAATATTTTCAATAAAACTTTTATGATTTTTAAAAGTAAATAATAATCGCCTATTATTTGAAAAAGAGCATGAGGTAAATTAATTAATAAATTAATTTAAATATATTAAATTGTTAGAAGATTGATTAGGCAATAAATAGTCTTAATTAATTTATATATTTTAATTTACTTAAAAAGCAAAGCAGAATTAACCATTATTAACAAAAACAAATTTTAAAAAATATCATTTATATAAATATGTCTTTTTTTGTTAATAATTTTAATTTTACCATGAAAATTCTGAAAATTAATTATTTCATTTTTCATTTTTAAAATCTAAAATAAATTATTTAAAATAGATTTTTTTATTTTCTTCTAATTTTATATAACTTTGTTAATATTCAATATTTTTTAACCTTTTAATATATTTAGCTGATAAATATTTGAGATTCAGAAAAAGTAATTATTTGTATTTATCAAATCTTTAGTCATGATATAACGTTTTATAAAACCTAACGAAATGTTTGCTAACTAAAAATAAAATTAATACAGTGTTTTAATTATTTTTATTGCTGATTGTTTTATTTATCTTACGCTTTTTGCACTATTAATAGAATTCACCAACTCTAAAGAATCAAAAAACGATAATATGTCATATGTTTTAGCTTTTCTTAATTTAAATATAAAAAATCAGATAACAATTTTGTTGATAGATAGTGAGCTGAGATATAAATATCGATTAAAAAAAAATAATTTCAACTTATTGAAAATAGATGATTCTTAATACATTTTAAAAGAAGAAAGTTTTTATAAAAATTATATTTTTTCAAATTATATACTGATAAAGCAGAGTATGGAAAAGTTATTAACAAAAATTATATTGATATTTTTAATATTTTTTGAAAATAGTTGTTAGGTTGTATGTTTTGTGATATGAGCAATATTTTGGTGAAGGAGTAACTAAGTTAAATAAAAATTCCTTTTGCTCCATGATATCTTAAACTGTGTGAAAGTTTGAAAAAATTAACTTCTAAGTTTGTCTCTTAAAAAATATATTTAAGATAATTAATTATTAAAAAAATATATTAATATTTTTAGATATATTCAACCTATGAACTAAAAATAAAATAATTTTAAAAAATAGGAATTAAAATTTATAAAAAGCTTTGGTATTATAGTAAATTTAAATAATAAAAAACACTTTATAAAGAATAGCTTAGCATGCTATTTGAATTTCGGCTGAAAATACGAAATGTCAAAATTTATTTGCTTTTTATGTAATAAAATAAGGGTATTAATAATTCAAAAAGTAAATAAAATATACACACCAAAATCAAATTTTTATTAAAATTTTATTTCTTGGTTGTTTGATTGGCATTTTATTACATTTTTAAAAGGAAAATTTTACATAAATTCCCTTTTTATTTATTTAAATGTTATTTATTAAGCACATTAAGAATAAGGATTTTGTAAACTCAAAATTTATAAACAAAAAAATAAAAAATAACTCAATTAGTAAATAAAAATCACAAAAACAATTTTAAGTAATTCTCAAATTTATAAAATGGATAACTAAATTAAAATACAAGAACTTATTGTCAACAAAGTTACAAAGTACAATAAAATAACATAAAGCTAACGCTTTGAACTCCTCAGCTTGGTTCTGTTTAAAAAATTCACTATTAAAAAGGTACATTTTATTTACTATGATTAATTCTTGTTATAGTGATGTTTTTTTTGATAAAAATTGATATAACGAGTTTGTCTGTTTAGATTAATATTTATTTATTAGCATCTTACCACTTTAATAAAAAATTTTTTTTTACTTAAATAAAAAGGCAGCAAACAGGTTAGACATAAACTACTCTTCAGCTAAAACCATTCTACATACTCATAGAAAGCGCTAAAGATATAACAATATCTCTAATCAGAAAAAATTAATGCCAATTTGCTCAACAAAACCTATTTAAAAGCTAAAGAAACAATTCTAAAACTAATTTGAAATAGTAGTTTCTCAGGGAGGATAGATAATAAACAAGCCCAAAGATGGAGAACAAATCAATTACAAGAAAATTATGGAAAATTTTAAATAATAATTTATTCCATTGCAGCAGGTGATAGAAATTTAACCAAAAAACAGGTCTATTATCTAAAGGAATTAGGACATACTTAATCAAAACAATGGCATGAAAACACAATATTATTTTATAAAAATAGAGAAATAAGATGAATAAAACCATCTCTGAATACCATCAAGTTATAAATTTTTATAATCATATTATCACTACTACTTACTATTATAAAGTACTCTACATCATTTAACTTAACTAGCTTAAAAATTATTTTATACTTCTATATTTTTTATATGTATAGCTTATAAATCTATTTATTTCTTATATTTTGTTTAAATTTCTTTTAATTCAGTAGCTAATACTACAAAATAAGAATTAACACTATTAATAGCAAAAAGACTTCTTTCTATTGTTTATTATAAGTCAAGTTAGATAAAATATAAAGAAAATTAGATAGAAATTAATTAATAAATATATTAAAAAAGTAAAAAAGTAATTAATTTATATAAAAAAACCTTTCAATGTAATAATTGTAAGACTTTCTAAATTCACATCATATTTAAAAAATAAATAATAAACTATTTAATTCATAGTAGATTTTAAACTAAAAGTAACAAATATTCAAAAAAGTATATAAACAAAACTGCATTAAATAACTTCACTCTCAATATAAATTTCATTTATTTTTAGAAGATTTTTGATGCTACTGCTACGCTGATTCAATAGCTTTCTCTAAAATTTTAATAAATTATTTTTAGTTTACTTCTCCATTTTAATATATGTCAAAGGAATTGTATAGAGCATCCAATTCTTTTTGTGAAATTTGATATTGAAGAGTTTTCAAACAGAAATTTTTTATATCTGATTATTTTAATACCGTATTATGCTTTATATTTATTACTTAATAAGTATCCTCAGCTGTGAAACCTTTTAGAGAGCAGCGATAAGCGAAATTCAGAAGGACCTCTAATTCGATTGTTCTTGAGTACGAAGCTGAATCTTCAAAATTTATTCCGTAGGCTGAAAGGCATGTGTGCATTTCTTATTTAGAAATATACCCAGAGCAGCCTTCGTCTAGCAAAAAAATTAATCTTTTAATGTCATTTTCTTTAATATTTTTGGAAAGAATATAAGTTTTTAAATATTATTCCAACTTTTCTGATTTGATTTATTATGCATTTTCATCATCGAGAGCCCTAAATAGCATAGCTAGATCTATTGAAGTCTTTTTCAATAATTATTTATTTATTTTTTAAACAGCTCTTTTGTTTAATTGAGAATCATTTATTTCATAGTCTTAAACTTAATTTTTTATAGGCTAAAGGGTACTTGCTTAAAAGTCCTGCAATTTCTTTAAAAAATTAGCACGAGTTCTATAACCTCTCCAGACTTTTTGAATTTTGGTTGTGCCCTAAATCATCTTGACAATTTAAGTCATTTCACTATCTTTTGTTTATGATTCAACTTATGATTTTAGATTATCATATTTTTTAAGCAACTCTTTTTGTTTTTCAGAGAGCTTGTTAATCATCCCTTTCAGTTGCACCACATCTCTTTTGTAATCTTCGATAGTTTTTGTAGAACTCATTGCTTATCAATCTAATATCTTTTTTACCAAACCTCTAAAAAATAAACTAAATCTATAACTTAAAATGTAATATTTATAAATTAAATTATCTTTGTTTGTTAAAAATTTTTGATTTATTTGTGATGCAAAACTCATTCAAATATATAATTTTAGTTAAAAATCGATAACCATACGAAATTCGAATAAACAACATAAAGGCGAAATACTATATATGCTGTTACATCTTATAACATGATAAATAAATAAGTCTAATAATTAATTTTCTTTTAAGATTTTATTAATAATATTGACAGACAAACTTTCAGATAGTCGAATAATCAGCTCTTTATTACAAATTTTGTCTGAGAATTAAAATTTTTCTTCTTTATAAATAATTAAAAATAATAGAAATAATTAATAAAATTGACAAAACAGTAACAAGGTATGTAAACAAAGCTTAATTTTCTGATTCCATAATTTACTATTTTTCCTAAGTTGTCCCAAAAATTTGATTATCATTCATTTAATTACCGCATTCAAGATCATAATCGTTAACTGTAGAGTATTTTAAGGCTTGACTAAACTCCTTCAAGTAGCAATACTTTTTAGATGATCCACAGATACTTTATTCAGTTCCATTATATAGTACTTTAATGAAATGCTCGTTATTTTTATCTTAATATAATTCAAAAATAATATTAGAGCTAAATCCTGGATATGTATATATACAATTTTTAGATACATTTTACTACAATTTAACTTATTCTAAGCATTCCCAGCTAGTAAAATTCATCCCTTAAGAAATCATAGCTATTGTTGTGTCATGAGCTGAAAGCATAATCCACTTATAATATTATTAATTATTGATATAATTATTAAAATAATTTAGCAATTCAGTAAAAAAGGGTGTAACAGATGTTTTTTTCTATTAAGGAGTTTTGTACAGAGACAAATGAAGTACTGTCGTGTATAGTAAATTCATTTAAACCCACATTTTACTAAAATTCTCAGGAAGTACTAATTATTCTTAACTTAATAAAAATCCATCGACATGCTCAGAAATTTCTTTATTTTTTTCAACATTACCAAACCATTTTTCAGATATTAAAGTGTCAACAAGATTACTAATATCATATAGATTAGCATCATTTTTTAAACCAAAATACTCATCTTCTATTAAAGCATCTAATAAATCTTAATATTCTTTCTCAATTCTTACCCATTCTTCACTTTTATGATTTTCATTTTCCCACATAGAAGCTTTATAACAGCTATCCATATATCCTAAAAGCTATTTCTCATCTTTAAGATCTCTGACATGAATAGGTATAGGTTGGAATCCACCCTCTAATGCAAATACAGTCTCATTAATTTTAGATACATTTTAAAATGGTGGCATTAAGAATTAGTCACTCACATTAGATATTTTTAAACCGTATTACAAAGGAAAAATTCCAGCAAGTTAGCTTGCTGCTGACATTATTGTTCTAATAAAAAAAGTATTTTTATTAAAAAAAAAATAAAAGCAAAAAAAAGTGTTTATTTTAATCAAATTAAGTAAACCCTAATACCTGTCATAATTAGTTGATTTTACATAAATAAAAGTATGATTATATGTCTTTGGTATGTTAAGTGTGATAGAGTATTTATCATATAGAGTTTTTCCTAGCAAAAAATGCATTCTTTATCCATGGGCTGTTAATTACCCATAATTTATTTAATTATTATCACTATAGGAAGAATTATCAATTCTATATCTTGCTCCGTGTCTAAAAATTTCAACAATCTGAAGAAGCTTTCCTTGAGGTTGTTTCTTTGAATAGACTGTTGTAAGAAATAGAGCTAATTGTAATAATAGATAAAATTTGTTAGAAAGCATCATCTTTTCTTTAAAGTTATTTTCTACTAAACGATATATCAATTATTACAATTTCTAAGATGCTTTTTAAATTTTTAATAATTGATCAGAAAATTAGATAGATCAAATCAATAAATGAACGAAATAGAAATATTAATCAACAATTTTAAAAAAAATACTTGTAAAATAACAAAAAAAATTTGATTAGAATTAAATTTTTTATCCATAAATTTGTAAATACGAATGGAATATAAAATTATAATTAGTTTAAAGAATGAAACACCATATTTATTTTTATAAACATATATTTTTTTTGATGCAGGATTTAAAAGGTCTTTTTATATATATGTATGTATGCATACCTTTAATACCTACTATTAATATTTTATATATTGTCTTTTAATCTCAAATAACATTATTATTCAATTTTATAAGACATCTATTTCATATTTTTATAAATTTAGTAAATTAAGTTTTTATATCAAAAGAAATAATCAGGAGAATAAGTGTTTTAAAAATCATAAAATTAATCTATTGGCATATCAAATTAGTTGTTAAATTAATTGTTGCTTTCATTAGAATTTATAGAGTTTGAGTTTTAATCCTAGGGTTTTACAGGAGGATTTGTTGAGTTTTCTTAATTTAGTTTGAATAATGGTTGATTTATTTACATTTGTTGATTGCTGAATTAAGGTAGTTTAAGATACATTGGGTAATTTAAATTACTTTGGTTGCTTCTATCTTAAATGTTATCATTTGTTTAGTTTTAAAATAAAATTTTACTCTACGACTGACTACTCGATGGAATATTTAAATTTAAAAAGCCTTAATTGTTAGAAATTTTTATTTTTTCTTACTCTTTTTCAATCAAATTGGGAATTTTTTCAGTTTTATTAAGATCATTATTTATATAAGGTATGGGAGGTTGACTATTTTAAGTATTTACAGCTTTCATAGGTTTAAAATTTAGAGTATTATTACTACTGGTATTGCTTTAATTTGCATTCATAAAAGAAGGATATTATGAAATATAATTTAGCATTGGCTTATTTGGCATTTTCATTAAGTTTTTGTTTTAAATTGGATTTGAAGGTAATACTGGTTGATTTAGTGAATAGTTTTAGGATGGCTATATTAAAACTTGTTATTGTTATTATTATTATTTTTATTACTCTTGTTACCCGTTTAAGAACCCAAAAAATTTTTTACTACTTGTATAGTCACTGTAAGGATAACCTCTGCCAAGTTTGCCTTTATTTTTTTCCATCAATTCATTTAATTACTTTTCAAAATTAAAAAGTTTCTCTTCTGTGTCTAGCTAATATTTCTTAAACTCTTTTTTTAGATCTGAGTAATGTCCTAAAACTGTTTTTAAGCAGTTATGTGTTTTCTTCTCTCTTGCTACATAATTAAATGAACATTTCTTACACTTACAAACTCTGTATTCACATTTTTTTTCATGGTCATCCATTTAATATTACATAACTTAATTTCTACAGAACTTGCAAGGAATGGCTTTGTATGAGCAAACAGATTCATGAGAAATTAAATCAAGTATTTTAAATGTTTAAAAGCAACCAAATTATTTAAATTAGCAATAAAAGTATTACTGTAAAACAATTTTATCTAATTCTGTTTCTGAGGGTTTAGAGAGTTTCCATTCTCCTGAGCAGCCCTAAGGACATTCATTTTTCTTTTAAATCCATTCAAAAGCGCATTTAGCACATACCATTTATGTACAATTTTAACATTTGAGAGGTACTATTGGCAACTGTAAACATATACTACATTATTGCAATTCTCTATCATTACCTGAATTAGAAACAATCCTTTCTTCCATGTTATGAGTAAGTTTGCTTTCATTCTCTAAAATTTAAAAGAAAATTGCTTCATTTTAATTATATCTTTTGTAAAATCTGCTCAAGTAATCATTGCAGTTATTTCCTTAAGGATGCTTTATATTTTTATTTAATTATTAGCTTTTATCAGCCGAGTTCGGATTATCATATTGGTTAGAATTAATATTTAAGCCAATTAATCTTTTGTTTCCATTATTAAAGCAATTAGGAATTTATATCTCATCATAATTTGAAATAGATTCATCAAACATATTTTATTCAAAATCTAAAAAATTCTTCCTATAAGAGTCTTTATCAGATTGTTTTCCAGTTACCTTTTCTTCACTGAAATCATCATCAACCACTTATTTCAGCATATTTTTCAAGGTTTAATTTTTTTTTTTTAAATATTTAGACTTATATATTGTCTTCTTTGAAGCTGCTCCAGTTAGCTTCATAACATTTTTCTCAGCAACAATATCTAATTATTTATCTTCGTCTTGTTCTTCTGAATTTTCTATAAAATTATTGTTAAAAATAATTTATTCAAACAATTTTTGAGAAATTATTTTCAAAGTAATGAATTGAAATAAAATTATAAATTAAAAATATTTTTATTAATGATACTAAAATTATAATTGATTCTTAAAATTGTATTCATTACCATCATCATCATCCAAATCAATATCAATATCTTCTAGAGCTTCTTTTTTAGATTTTTTATTTATCAAGGTTGCCTTTTCCTCTAAAAAAGTCCTTACTAAATCCATTACCATTGTGTTTCTTTTCTTTCTTAACATCTAAAAAAACTAATCAAACTTTGCTTTCTCTGAATTCTCTTCTATTTTTTCTGGAAGCTTAAATTTTTTGCTGATCTAGCTTTAGAGCTAAGTATACAGATTATCATAATCTTCATAGCTAAAAAGATAATCTTTCATCAAAATCCTACTAGTAATCATTTATTTTTTATTATTTTTGGACTTGTCTCCCATTTTTCCAAGTAAGTTGCTTTAACTAACTAATCTTCCTGATACTTTTACTTATTTTTTTGTATTTCTAATATTCTTTGAAGCTGTTTTTCAATATCTGATCTAATTGGTTTTAAATCAAAAAATTTTGTGTTTAGTTTCAATTATCACTTAACTATTCTTTCTAATTTTTTAACTAATAAATAGCGGAAACTATTTTTTACTTTTCTTTATACTTGGCATATATTAAATAATTATTGCTTGTGGAATTCATTCTTAGAACCAGAAAAAAATTTTGTCACCTACTAATTAGTTTGTTAATCTATATTAATCAACTCAATTATCTTAGGAAAAAAGTAAAAAAAAATATATTTTATTTTTTTAATTATTTTATAAACTTAATTCTAATAAATTTCAAAAAGTGCTTTTCAAACAAAAATTATATTCAATCATATTTGTACTATTTTTAATAATTTCTTATTCGAAAAGTATAAAAATTAAATAGAAAACACAAAAAATTCTATTTTTATTTGGTTCGATTTGCTATTTTCTTTGATAGAAAAATTTATTAAAATTATTTATTAAAAAATTTTTTTTATTTGGTTTTTGATTATAATTTTTTTATTTAGCTTTTATTTAAAAAATTATTTTCAAAGAAAAATCTTTATTATGTACTAAAGAAAATTACTTGGTCTATGTTGAATATAAATTATTTGATTAGTTTCACTTGCGTTTTAAATCAAAAGTTGATTTTAAAAATAAACGCCATACCATTATTTTTTATTTAGCTTTTACAAATTATACCAAAAACAATTATTTCAATTTATATATTTAAAAATAGATTCGCAATATAAGCATAATAAATCTAAAAAATACAATTAAGAGTAGCACTAAAAACTCTTAAGAAAGGAGATAAATACACAGATTAACATTTTAAATCAGATTTAAATACATTTAAAAAAGGCTTAAAAATAGAATATTGCTAAAATGATATTTTTTATTCTTTTATCTTTGATTCTTTCATAAAATCTGAGTAACTAATTTCATTAAATTCATTATTGATGTAGAACAAAATTTATTTAACTTTGCACTAATTATAAAAGTTGTTCAGGGCTAAAATGGGATGTTTAGTTAAATATTTTAAAGTTATGATTTTAATCTAGCTTCGAATACTTAACTCAGTGCAACTATTACAAATTTAAATGGCCAAATTTTAAGTAACTTTTGTCAATTTAAAATATATTTTTTGCAATATAATCATTGTAATTCAATCAGATACTAACTTACTTGATGTTGGATTTTAAGGATGGCTTAAAGTAACTAATTTACCATAAAGTGATTCAAGATATTTGATATCATCATAGTAAGCTAATTCGAATGGGGATCTTTTCCCATTTAATTTTTAGCTAGCCATTTAATCAGGATAATTGTCATTTAATTGCGATATGGGTACTCAAACTCCTTCAAAAGCTATTTCAAACATAAATTAGTAGTAATGGCTTTTTTTTATGTGCTCGTTTGATGTACAAAATAACTATTTGAGAATGTATGTATATTAGTAATAAGTATCCTAATCAACTGCCGTTACTCCATTATAGTTTTCGTCTTAAATTACATTTAATAACTGGATAATTAATTATCCTATCCCAAACTAATCTTAAAGTTAATGGAATGGAAGTATAAGATATTTTACGTTGCTATACAATATTAACTTTTCAGAATTCAGTACCTCATTTTTAAGTCTAGTATTTGGAGACTACTAAATGAAATATTTTATGCCTTTAAATAGTCGTTAGGGAAATACTATTTATGAAGTTAATGAAGGGTTTTCATATTAGCTCTAATATAATCAACTTTCTATACCCAGCTTTGAAATTGATGGTATGGGAATGACATATTCAGCAACAAACCAAACAGCTGTTATTGATAACTTATAGCTATCTAATTCTATTTTTATTTCATTTTGGATTAAAGTAATTAAGTATTTTATTTCTTTTTAGCTTACTAACAAATTATTTTTTAATTTTATGAAAAATCTGAATTAAAAAAAGTTAAATAAATTTCAACAAATAATAACAGAAAAGCAAAAAAAATGTTTAAAAAATTATTTTAACTTACTTAATTATTTTTAATAACTTTTAAAATTAATGAAATATAATTTAAAATAAATAGCCAACTATCATAGCATCAAATCTTGGTTTAGATAGTAATTATGAATATAAAGTAGTGACTTTGAAAGACACTAATGAATAACTTTATTCATCTATTTCTATATAGTCTAACAATTTAGTCTTTAAATTTATTGATTCCCAACCATAGACTTATGTAATAGGTCCTATTGCTGATAGTTAGTGGCACTTTCTTTATCTTTCAATTTTTGTTTCTAATGCTGAATTTTTGTTGATAAACTCTTACTTTTCTTCTTCTTTTAACTCAACAAGCACTAATAAATTTTACAACTTACAACTATTTGGAATCAGCTATACTACTTTACTCTATAGAGTTAACTTGGGAGGAATTATTACATCAAGTCAAGGAGTATTTTCTGCAAGCAATTCATTTGTAGGCACTATCAAAGATTTTTAAATAAGTTAAGGTGGATCAAGCTATGATAGTACAGCTAGAAATTCTTTGCCAACTTGGAATTGTGACATTATGATTGGATTTAATTCTAATAATATTAGATGTTTGCTTTGTAAAAACCAAAATTATCTAGTAGATAAAATTAATAACCCCCCAAACAACTGCTAAAAAAATTAATGCCCATAAGGATATTACAAGTAACCCAAGAATAGATAGTGTGAATCTTGTGATCCAAAATGTAAAACTTGTACAGGTGGAATATTTAACTAGTGCAATTAGTGTATAAGCGGAAATTACAAATTGAAGACAAATTGCTACTAAACTTGCCCATAAGGTTATTATAACTCCTTAACAAGTTTTGATTGCTACTGTAATTTAATTTTCATTCTTAGAATTTATTAAAAATAGCGAATTATATTAATTTACATAGAGTGTGATTCGTCTTGTCTAACTTGCAATGGAAAACTCCCTACAAATTGCTTGAGTTGTTAACAAAATTAGTTTTTAAATTTAGGCTAATGTCTTAGTAAATATTATTTTATTTTTTTTAAATTCTAATTGATTTTCCTTTCAAAGACTGTCATAAATATTGTGCTCAATGCTTTGGTCCTAAGAGTAGCTAATGTACTCAGTGCAATAGCTCCTATTTCTTGCTTTAATCAACCTGCTTAGCAGCATGCCCAGATGGCTATTTTGAAAACAGCCAAAATTAATAATGCACAAGTAAGCAAAAATAAATTAAAATCTTTTTTTAGTTATATTTTTTTCCAAGTTTTTATTTTTTAACTTAACTTGTTATTATAATTTAAATTTTCAAAGAAGTTGATTGAAAACTTGAATTTTTTTCATAAAGAATATTAAATTCATCAGATTTTTTAATATTTTCAATACTTCAAATTTAAGCAAATGAAAAAGAATGCTATATTAACTAGTTTTATTATATAAAAAACTAAAAATCTTTAAAAAATTATTAATTTTTTTAAGAATGCGATAGCAGCTGCCTTACTTGTGATGGATCATCAACAAATTGTAATTCATGTCCATAGTCAAGCTTTTTACTTTAGTAAGGAGCATAGCAATAGTGTTAGCCATGTCATCCTTACTGCTTTTAATGCTTTGCATCTGGTAACAATTCATGTATTAGCTGTAATAGTGGCTATTTTTAGGATGGCAATTCCTGTGTTGAAGTCTGTCCCACTACAAAATACAGAGATTCAACAAACAATTATTTGTCTTGCCAATGTAAGCAATTTTATGTTATAAAAATTTTTTAATTTTATTTTTTTAGTTTGTGTAAGTCCTTGTAAAGAGTGTTATACAAAAGAAAAGTGCACATCATGCATACCTGGATATTATTATGTTGCTTCTTCACATTAATGCTTGTCTTGTTCTTCTGCCATCTAATATTGTGGTGCATGTGATAGCCCAACTAATTGTACTCAATGCAGCTAATATTACTTAGATACAGGTTCAAAAACATGTGTAATTTAATGTAGCTAAGGATTTTATGCTGACCCCGTCATGTAGCAATGCAACAGTAAAAATATAAATTGCTTAAACTTACAATTTTGATTCTAACTTTAAATTTTAACAATTTATATTATTACAATAAAAAGGCTGTGATCCTTCTTGCACTTAATGCACAGGACCAAGGGTTTCTGATTGCTAGGCTTGCTCTCCTGGATATTATTTAGATACAGCTTAAAGCACTTGCAGGCAGTGTCCTGATAATTGTTTAAAATGTGGTGTTGATCCTAATATATAAAATATATAAGTTATTCAATGTTTGAAATGTAGCTCAGGTAACTATTTAAATAGCATAGATAGGGTCACTTACAAATAGGTGATTTGCTTGCCTTAGTGCGGTTATGGATACTTTTTAAATCAATAAAGTATTGATCTAAATCTTTAGTTAAGTCCTTCAGACACTGATGGTAACATGTTGCTTTAAAATTTTATTAACTATAGTTTTGTAAGCGGTAAATCCTTCACATATTGTTAAAAGTGCAGCGATGTTTTAACTAATTGCTAAAGTTGTGATACAAATGTCTCATCTTGTCAAGGAAGTTTTAGTAAACCTATTCGATGTTTAAGTTGTAATCTGACTTTTTACTTAAAAAATTGTTCATGTTAGCCTTGTTCTTAGAATTAATGTGAATAGTGCATTTCATTAAATGATGGCTCTACTTAATGCACTTCTTGCCCTTCATCATCCTATCTGCTTAATGGTAAATGTGTCTCTTAATCAGAATGTGAAAGCGGAAAAATTCGCTTTGCTGATAACAATTTTAATGTATGTTCAACATGTAATCCAATATGTTAAACATGTAATGGAGGATAAGTAAATAATTGCTTGACTTGCTATATTGGATATTATTACGATAAATTAGTTTAAACTTGTTAGGGTAAATTATTATTTTATATTTTTTATAAATATTTCCAAATTTCAATTTAATTTTCCAATAAAAATTTTAATAAAAGTTTGTCCTTTTTCATGCTCATAATGCACTGATTCTACTCATTGCTAAAAGTGTAAGACAAATTATTATTTGGATCAAACAAACCCTAATGTTAGTTAATGTGTGCTGATATGTCCTAATGGCTATTTCGGAGATAGTAATGGCAACTGTACTAAATGTAGTACATAAAATTGTTAATAGTGCAATAATTAAAATAGATGCTTAGTTTGCAACTCAAGCTATTACTTATCTAACAATTCATGCACATGTTTTTTTTTTATTTTTAATTTTTAATTTATTTTAATACTTATTTTTGTTAAAAAGAATGTGATTAATCGTGCTTTTAGTGTTAAGGAGCTGCTAATGGATCTATAAAAAATTGTACCTAATGCTACCCTGGAAAGAAATTGTACCAAACAAATTGTATAGATTAATGCCCTGCCTAAACTTATCTAAACAGTAGCGGATAGTGCCTTAGTTGTGATCCTTCTTGTTTAGTATGTACTGATAAACTTAACACAAATTGCTAATAATGTGCTGATGGATTTTATTATAATGATCCATCTACATGCTTACCTTGTGATTCTAGTTGTAAAACATGCACCGGACCAGGAAATTCAAACTGTATTTTATGTTCTAAAGGTAATAAATTTTATTTTTTCTAACAAATTTAATAAATTTGCTTAAATTATAAAGGATATTATAAATTGGGTGAAGCTACTTGCATTTAATAATGCATTGATGGGTACTTCCCAGATTCTATAAATTATATTTGTATGCAATGCTAAGATTCATGTGGTAAATGTACATCTCTGTCTTCTTGCTAGCAATGTAATATAGGCTATTATTAAGTCACAAGTTCAAATAATGGTGTTACGTGTGCGAAATGCTATTCAGCTTGCTCATCTTGCCTTTCAGACTCAATAAGTAGCTGTTTGTCATGTTCGCCTGGATATTTTTTATATAATTAATCTTGCTTGAATATTTGCCCTAAAGGTTATAGAGGAATAGATGGGTTGTGTGTAAAGTGTACTGATTCTAATTGTGCAATATGTGATTCATAATAATTAAGTAATTGTTCTGTATGCCTAAAAAACTATAGTTACGATCCATTGATTAAAGCTTGTGTCTAAAATTGCTCAAATGGCTATTATCCTGCTGCAGTTTTAGATTCAACAAAAATACCATCAGACGCTTCTTAATCAGTTTGTTAAAAATGCAACATAGCTTGTTCTTTATGCAGTGGCCCTCTTCCTACTTAATGCAGTGGTTGTGCATCAGGCTATTACTTTCATCCAGAAATAAATACATGTTCTTTGATATGTTTGTAGGGATATATTATAAACACAGCAGTATAAAATTAGTGTAAGATATGCTAAACTTCTTGCCTTTCTTGTATATAATCTTAATACCTCTATAAATAAATTTGCTATACAAATAGTTGTCCTTTTGGAACAGAGCCCATTTAAAATACCAATATTTGTTAAGTAAATTTTTATTTTTTTTTTTAAATAAAACAATTTATTTTACTTTTCAAAACTTAGAGTTTTGATAAAAACTTTTTAACACTTTAATAAAAATTGTTAATGAATGAATTGAATATACTTTTAGATAATAATGATGAGATATTGGATTGTCAAATTAATCTTCAAAAATAACACTTTTAGTATTTTACATAAAAAGCAATAAATATTTTATCATAATAATTTAAGCTGAATATGTAAAGTTTTCGATTTTTTCAATCAATATTTGACAATAAAAAATATCAATATAACTTAATTTAATATTCAAAAACATTAATTTTTTGTGATATGACTAAAAAAAGAAAGAATATTTTAATTTTTTAAATTAATTTATATTTAAAATAATTAATTAATAATTAAACATTTTAAATAAAAATAATTTAAGGCAAAGCTTGCTCCAAGTGTTAAAATTATAACTGATCCAAATAACCTTTAATTTTAATCAGATGTAATTATATAAGCTTAAGTTACTTCTCAAATTAATATTATAAATTAACAATGGACTCTAATATCTCCACAGAAGGAAGCGAGCAAAATATTTTAGAATGTTTAAACAACATTTGCTACTCTGATTATTCCAGTTGATAACTTTAATCTTAGTGAAGAATATATATTTTAATTGGTAGTTGAGAACTTAAAAGGATCTGTGAAACAAACATTCTAATTCCACTCATCATAACTTATTTAAGTAGGAACTTATGATATAAATTCAGACTCATCCTAGTTTTTATCTGGCTCAAGCTTGTTAACTCTAAATCTGTAAGGGTGGAAGTCTAGTCAAGGTTTAGAATTAAAATATGATGTATTTGTTTATAATAAAAATTAAACATAATATACATAAAATGGTTAATAGTACTTAGTTAATTCTCTAACAAAAGTAAAGGCGGCTGGTTCTGGACTTACTTCAAATAAATAGTAACTTTTAATTATATGTTTTTTCTTTGAATAATTATAATTTATTCTCAAATATTTTTTAGGATAACATTTAAAACGCTTCCATTGGTTTCAGATACATAATTGACCTTTTAGATTAGAGCATATACCACTTAAAAAAGTGTAACAGTAGAGAAATAAATATTAATTTTAGCTAATCAGAACTATCAGAAAATGCTGATAGATTAACAAAAAACTGTCCTCAATATTACATCAGCTTCTTATTTTGGAGCCGATGATAATTTTTACTTAAATTTCTTTGGCACTAATCTTCCATCTGAAACAGAAGATATTGTTATATAATTTGAAATAGCAAAATAATTGTTAAGAAATAATTCTTATGTTCAAGATGCTTAATTTCATGAAAAGGAAATGTATTTTTAAATGCTGCAGGTTTATAATGCCACATAAATACCATGTCAAGATTCGATAGACTGTAATGGAAATGGAAAATGCTATTCTGTAAGTGTCCCTTTTAGCTGGACGCCTTTGAACTCTACAAATTAAACTAATTAAGCAAGTTCAACCATACAATTAGTTGAGTCATATCACAAAATTCATCATTTTTGTAATTGTAATCCTCTTTTTAATGGCATTACATGTAATTGGTAGAGCACTTTTTTCTAAAATATAACTTAAAAAGTTAATGAAGCTACTATTTACATATAATAATTACCACAAAACTTACTAAATCCTGCGAGTATTTTAAACTTATTTGCTACTATGAGTGAATTTAAAGATGTAATAGTAAATAACATTTAATCAATTTTAGTTAGCACTACTAATTTCCTAAAATATGTTGTGGATTAGCCTATATACTTCTAATTTGTCAATGAAATAATAATGAATTATATAGACATCCTAATTAACTATAACCCTAGCATGGATCAATCAGTTATTAAATAATATATTATTAATCTATTTTCAATCCATTAAAACTATACTCAATAAACATCTTAGTATTTGTATGAAAAATAGGGGATGCTAACTTACACTAGCAACGTTTACTAGCTTGTACTTTCAGAAATAGATTAAAAGTAAATTTTTATTGATTAGTTAAGCATATCAAGTTAAATTGTTTAAATAGGAATTTGCTTAGTTAAAGCACATCTCAAAGACTTTTGAAAAAAGATGCATACAGGCAAGAGGAAGAATTAGATTTTTTCTCTGAAAAATAATAAAAAGAATTAAATAAATTAAATTCTTAAAAAATTAGATATTTATAAAGCGATTTATTTGAGTTTGGAGATGGTACAGATATTCTCTTGCAATTATACTCGATACCTTCCATTTCAGTCAATGCAAATAAGATATAAGTTTTAATACCAATTTAAACTATCACTAATCCTGGCAAGATAGTTATTAGAGTTTAAAATTTTTTGATTAATCCATTTGATTATATGATTAATTGTACTTTGATTTAGAAATATCAAGTATCCTAAATAGCTTAGGTTGATATATTTAACTAAAATCAATTAGTCCCAACCATATAAATGAGTGCCCCAATTACTATTGTGTTAAAAAAGCTAATTCGTGCTTCTCCACCAACTTCTCTCAACATCACAGTTTCAGCTTACTAGTACTTTTTTTAATTCAAAAAATATCATTTAATTTATTTATTATACAGATGTATGAATTATATGTAAATGTATAACAACTGGAATTCTACAAACTGCTCAGTTTAAAGTGAAAATAGTACTCATATCGCTTGCTCTTGTTATTCTTTACAAGGTCCAGTTGTTGTTATCGCCTCTATTAACAACACAGCAACCCCAGTAACTTAAAACAGCATATTATTGCTCAATGAATTTTTGAATCCTGGTATTGAAAGCATGAGAAAGAATTTACTAATAAGCTTAGGTTTACTTAATCCAAATAATAACAAAACTGACGTAAATAATTACACTCTAAAAACTTATTTTTATTAAAAATTCATCATTTCATTTTTCATTTATCAAACACAACTTGATAATATCCTTTTAGAAAAATCAAAAATATTTTCATTTTTTTATGTTTTGAAATTGAAATTAACAAATTATAAATTCTTTATTAAATTAATAGTAAAACAATAACACAAATATAAGCACTCCTACAAATATTTATCAATTTTAAAATTATTATGGTATTTACTCACTCTGTGTTTATTGCTTTGGAATTTCATTATTAATATTCTCGTTTGCCTCTTCAAAAACTAAAAATGATGACTAAAACTCAAACATAAAGCAAATAAGATACCCATACTTGCATTTTTATCCTTTATATTCATTCTTTTGTGGTCCAACAAACGTATTTGTAAGTAACATCTCTAGATCATTTATTTTATTAACTGTTATATCTTCTGTAATGTTTTATCCTTCTATTCTGATAGCTATTCCGAATGTAAAATCTAAGTTTAGTTTTATTTAAATTTCTCTAATATCGTGTGCTGCCTCAGTAGGAACATCATGCATCCTTTTTGCCTTGCCAACTTTTCTTAAATTAGGTTTAAATAACTTAAATGTTAAAAAAATTAAGAAAAAAAAATGGGCCTTTGTTGGTTTCAGTTATACTTACTTAATATAAGTATTAGCTTTGCTTTATATAATAGGTAAATTCAATTTTTTACTTTACTTTTTAAAATAATAATATTATTCTTATTATTATTGAAGTAACTTAATATTTTGTTCTTGTGATAGTTGGAAGCTATACAAATAACAATGATATTTCTTTATGGCTATAATGTGCAGGCTTTGCATACTTATTTGAAAACGTATTGGATATTTTAATAGTTTTCTATGTGATGGCTAAAGGAATTTAAGATAAATTATCACAATTAATAGCTTTAAGGGGTTACGTTTTATTACCTGAGGAGCTTCTAGTTGATGCAGATGCCAGTGAATAAACAGATTTTAATGATGATGATATTTTCGAAGATTAAAATAAATTTTAGTAGCAAAATATTTAAGCATAAGATTCTTAAGTCTATTAAGACAATTCAAGCTCAGATGGATCCTAAAATTCAATTGAAATAGATGACATGGATGAAGAGAATAGATAATAAAATTAATATAATATCTAAGAGAGTTAAAACGTAGAAAGTAAATAAGATTCAGAAGATGAGGAAAGTGAAGAAGAATATGATGATGAAGAAGAAGAAGAAAATTAAGAAGATGAAGAAAATGATAGCAAGCAAAAAGAAGGTAGATCAGAAAATGTAGAAGTCAAATTGGAAACTGATGATTAAAACAATAATAATAATATTCTACACACTTAAGAATATGAATTAGAAGATTTAAAAATAGAGGCTTTCAAAAATAATGATAGAAGCTGAGACTTTATTAACATTCAACTAATTAATTATTTATGATAAATTTGGTTTTGAAAAAAATTTTTTAACATTTATGTGATTTGAACAATGAATAAATATATTTTTGATACTCAACTTTAGATAACTTTTTAAGAATTAAATTTTCAAAGATTAATATAAAAATATTATTCCTTTATCATCAATATTTGAAAATTAATGTTATGGAACTCACAAATAAATATTTAACAATTTTATCTTAAATTAATACATTTTTTGCATTTTAATTTTTTATTAAAAAATTTTAATTAAAATTTTAAAAATTTTTAGTTTAAAAATTATTTTGATGAATAAGATCAAAATTTAACTTGATTATTTTATTTATTCAATTTTCAAAATTTAAATTGAAAAAAAATAAATTTTTATGAAACTCATAGATTTTAATAATTCTATGTTAAATAATTAAAGTTTTTAGAATTTATTTCATTAAAATTTTCACAAATTTATTATTTTATCATTAACCCACAAAATAAGAATCAATAGTTCATTATATTTAAGCTAAAATAAATACAAAAATGTTTGAAAAATGTGCTATAAATACCAAATTTCTATAAATTTAGATAACTTATCGTTTTCTTATTTGCTCTCAAATCAAATTTCGTCATCTTTTATTTTAGTAAATAAAAATAAATAATTAGAATTGAATTTTAAGAACAAATTATTTTACAATTGAGAGTAGATCCTTGACTTTAGGCTTTTGCTTATTAGGATGAAGCTGTTTCGGCTTGTTATAGGGTAATTGCAGCAAGAGCATATTCTTCTAATCTTAATTCTTCTTATCCCATAGCTACGTAAGCTAAACCGTTTAAACCCCATTCTTCTCCCCAAGAGTTTTCTATTATCCAATAGTAGTCCTTAGTAAGAGGATCAATATCCCAACCAATAATTTTAACTGCTTATTGACCTTTTAGTTTTGCTGCATTTTCTAAAACACGGTAAACACCTGACTTGTAAACTAAGAAATCAGAAAAGACGTTCATTAATGATACAACAGGTCCATTTAACATGATTTCACGTTTAATGCTTTCTTAACCTGCTGAAACACAATAATCATAAATCTTGAAATGTTCACATTTATCAATAAGTGAGCATCCTTCATTTGAATCAGTACCATGATAAGGTAAACATTCTTCTTTGACAAAACCAGTGGTCTTTCCTTTTTAGAAAGTTTTAGATACATAACCACCTTCACACTTGTATGATTAATTTTCATAACAAGAGATGGTAGGTTAAGCACTAAGACCGAAGTTAAAATCTCCCTCAGATGCCATACAGAGTCTATCAGCAACAGAAGAAACAGCGGCTATTGAATAAGAAGCACTGCAATCTTTTCCTTAATTTGCAATTGGACGGACGCACTAGGGATATTTAGTATGGAAATTAAAGGACAAATCTATTATATTTTAATCCTATTCAGAAGGACATCTTATTAAAGATTATTTATGTGAAATTTAATTCAAAAACAATTTTTAAGTTGAAGCAAGAGTAGTGTCCTAAGTTTTTAAAGAAATATTTTAAGTAAATTAAAGATGGTTGTTATGAATTTATCATTTATCAACTTGAATTTATTTTTAATTTTGTTTAATAAGATACCTTAAAGATTGTATTAGGACCTATTTTAAAAGAATAATTTTATGCATTGTGTTAAGCTATTTCTTCTTCAACAATAACATTTTCAGTTAATTTCTTGCCAGTTGGTATCATTACTGAAATAATTGCACCTAACAAAAGGGAACCAAACAAAGCAACACTAATTTAAGTTGAATACTTGCTAAAAAATCCTAGTGAACTTCCTTTTTTCTTTTAGCGGTTTAACTAAGCTTGCTTAGCTGCTTCGCTTTATTAGCTTGTTTATTTTTAATTCTTCATATTTATCTTGCAAATAACAGATTAATTTATTTTTTAATATATTTATTATTTATAAAAATATTTATGATGTGTATCTTTAATAAATAATTTCAATTCTACTCAATCCTAAAAAGATATTTAAATTGATGAACAATAAAAATTTCATTTACAATTGGCTCAATTTTATAATTAAAACGTGTTCGTTCGTTTAAAAAGCTAATTATTTTAAATTTATTTTTTTTATAAGCAAAAAAGTATAATTAGAAACTAACATAAAAAAATGAATAAAATAAGATAGATTTTATTCCCTAAAAAGTAAATACAAATGCTTAATGCTAAAATATTAGCAATAATACTTACTTATCTTGTAATTTAAAATATCTAAAAATAACAAATATTCACAAATTTTTATATTTTATAAAATAATAAGAAATATATTTTATAGTTTCTGAATAGAATCTAGTTAAAATTAAAATTAATTTTCAGTCTATTATTTTTAATAAAATATTCTTTATAATTTAAAATTATAAAATTGAAATAAGAAAAATAAATAAAATAAAAAAAACTTTTTATCAAATGTAATAGAGTTGTGGAGAAAGTAATATTTGAAAAATACATTAAATTAAACTGAAATAGATTTATATAATGAAGCTCTAGAATATTAATAGCTTGTATAATTTTTTAAATTTAAAATGATTTATTTTTTAGGTAAAAGTTCTTTTATTTTATTTGTTCATACATAAAGAAAGCAGCTGTTAACATTCAATTGAGTTTGAATATTTTAATATGTGACTATTATCTTTTTTAAAAAGAAAGGTAAGCTAAAAGATAGATTATTAATTAATTATTCGTTTTACTTTTTAATTATTAAATATATTTTGAAAAATTATACTGATATATATTATTCTCAATTTTTAAAAGAAATGGTAGATTATTCGAATTAAAAAACAAAAATCATTTTAAATTATGAATTTTAAACATTTTTAGGCTCAAGATATTAATGCAGATGACCAATTAAAGTAACTTTCTGCTTTAGAAGGTGCAAATGGATACGTTATATTCAATGAATCTGGTAATTAGATATATTAATTATTTAATATATCTAAATAAAAGCAAATAACATAATTAGGTATTCCTTTGAAGAGACACGAAAAATCTATTTCACATGAAAAAGCAGTTCATATAGCAGCTTTAGTATCTGATTTATGGAATGTTTCCAAGAAAGTTATACAAAGAGATCTAAAAACTCCTGAAGTAAATTCGTTATATAACACTTGATAATTAATAAGCAATTCATGAATGAAAATATAAGAAAATAAGAATAAAATAATTTTAAAGACTTTTAGATTTGTTTTTGAGAGAGTTAATAAAATTGTAATAATTAAAATAAAAGAATGATATAGAAGTTATTAGATTGAGAACAAAGCATTCATATGAATACATCATTACATAATGTAAATACAATTCATAATTAGATCAAAATTTAAAGAATTTGTTAAATAAACGTAGCTGGAGATTTTACAATGCTTGCCATTTAATTATGCGGTAAAGCAATAGAAGAAGCTAAAAAAGCTGCTGCAGCTGCTGCCGCTGCCGCTGTTGTATAAGAAGAAAATAAGGAGAAGGAAAAGAAATGATAAGATTGATATAGAAACAAAATTAATTATATAAAAAATTAAATAATAATTTATTATATATAATATTTTTTAAATATGTTTTTTATGGTATAATTTTAATAAAATATTTCTACTAATTTACTTAATACTTACTATATCATTCCATATATTATTCTCAATATCAAAATATTGTAGAATATAATTTGATTTTCAAAATAAATGTTGAAAACTATTTTTTATTCTAGTTTTACTTAGAAATGAATTTTTAAGATTGAGCTAATAAATTGTAAGTAAAAATCAATTAATTATTTAATAATACAAAGATTATTGTTTGCTAATAATTAAATATTAACTAAATTTATATTGTATTGCTTATTTTTAAATTTTGCAAAAATTAATTTCAAAAAATTAATTATTTAAATAAAAATGGATAATAAGCAAGAATCTAAACAAATTGATTTTGATATAATTATATTAGATGAAGTAGGTGCTTTGGCTAATGATTTGATTGTGCTTTTTTCTAAAAAGTAGATGAATTCTAGTGACCGAACATTTAAAAGGACTATTCCTGTTGCTTAGCATGATGCTAAAATAATCCTTAATTTAAAGAACAGGAAGATGTTCAATTTGAATAATTAAAGCGAAAGAGAAGAGTATTTTTTATGTGATGGAGTAATAATATGTTTAGATTTAAGCTCCATGACATCAATAGAGCCTTTAGAAAGACAAATTAAAATATTAAAAAATTATAACAGCTAAGATGTATCTGCTATAGTAGTTGCGTATTCTAAAAATAACCAAGATTCTAAATTTAATTTTTAAGATATCTAAAATTATTGCAATAATCTTAAAGTTTAGTTTATTAACATTAATCCTGAAACTAAATTAGATATTTCTTAGATATTTATTGATTTATTTGCTTCTTCTAAAGTTTTTACCCAAATCTAAAATGGAGACTATACAAAAAAGTTAAAGACAAAAAAAACGAAAAAATTTGATGTCAAAAATTTGATCAAAAGAATCACAACAACCTTCATTTTTTATTTAATAATTTACTTTTTTTTCCCAGACATGTTCAGTAAAAAAGAAGATTAATAGTAAAAAAGTAGTTGATAAAAGCTAAAAATTTATTATTCATTGATTATTTTAATAATTCTTATTGTTATAATTAAATTAAAAGTATGATAAAAAAATAATTTTTAATAAAAACTAGTTAGTGACTTAAAAATATTATTTCAAACTATAAATTTTAATAAAATTGATCTTAAATTAAAATTAATATTTTGTTATTTTAAGCAATATTTATTTGCATTTGTTAAATCATACAAACATATAAAAGCTACCATATTAATAATTTTAAATGTACCATTTTTAATGTTAATTCTTAATTTTAATTTTACCACTAAAATTATTATACTTTCATAACTTATAGTATATTAAATGATCTTCCTTATTTGAATGTTTATAAGTTTTAATGCTATTAATATCTTTTTATTGATTTTAATTTTCTAATTTTTTTTAATTTAAAAGTAAATATTTGAATACTTTTGTCTTCATCTGAAAAAATTATAATTTATTAATTTATTTTAGAATAATAATTCTTTTAATTTTATATTTATAATATTATGTGGTTAGTCATTATTTTAATTGGTACTTATTTATTAGGCTAATAAAACCAATAAATTATTTTATAGTTTAATTAATATTAGATTTATTTTAAAAATAGCTAATTACCGTTAATAACCTTTGAAAATTTTTTATGTTGAGTTAAATATTAATTAATAAATTCAAAATATAGAATTGAGGGAATATGTATTAAATATGTAGGTAACTCAACCTAGATGTATGCATATATAGTGTATTTTTATATGAAAAAAAATATAATTATGAAAAAGATTCAATGATTGTTTTATTTCAATTTATTTATTAACTTAACTATTTAGAATCTATTGTTATCAATAACTTCCATCCATAATAAATAGGAAGAAAAAATATTACTTGAGAAATATGCAAAATATAAATAAAATACAACAAAAGATAAATAATTATCATAACTTAAACTCAAATCAAAATCAAACTAAAGAAAATAGGTTCAGTTTTTGAAATTAAAATTTATAAATGATTGGAGAACGTAGCCCTGAAGAACGCTTGAAAAAAGGCAAGCAAATTGAAATATTATTCCTCATTATTGCTGTAAAATATTTTGTTTTTAAATAGCGTTAACAAGATTTTATTTACTTTATCTTCGAATTTAGCTGATTTTTAATTATACTTTGCCATTATTTTTTGCATTATTGCTAATATAAAAGTTAACTAAAATATTTTTATTATTTGATAGTGGATAAGTGCTGTCTGTTGCTTGATTAGAACAGATTTTAATTTTGCATTCGCTCTCTTTGGTTACTATTTATGGATTTCCAGAAATGATAAAGCTAATTCTATGATGGTAAGTTATTATTTTGTATATTTGCTGATTCAGCTTTTAATTACCAATCATCACTTAAAATAAATTTAACCGAATATCAATATTTTGAAATGAAATACTAGGAAATATTAACAAGAATATAAAATAGAATTTCAGATTAAATCTACTGCAAGATATTTTAACCATTTTATGAAATATTTAAAATCTTAATCTAAAAAAAAATTTTTTTAGCAATCAAGATTAAAAAAAATATATTTAGATGATGTTTCATAAACATAAAAGTATTAACTAATTTAATTTATTTTTAATATAACAAAGTTAATAATTATGAATGGTGTTTTAGTTTTAGTTGATATTATTTGGCTTATTGCTGTTGCTAATGTATGGACCTCTAAATCTAATAACCCAGCCTGGGATAGCTTACACGGTCTTCACGTTTTTGCCTTGTTGCTCTCTATATTAAATGTTATCTTGAAGGTAAATAATATCTTTGCTTCTATGAGATATTTTTAACAATATCTTTGCAAAACAAACAAACAAACTATTCAAATAACAATCAATAAATTATTTTTAATCTCTTTATTTAAAATAATTTTTAGGCTGTCATCATTTTCTTAATCAACTCTTACAAGAATGGTCAAAGTAATAAATAAATAATATTTTATTTAAATTCATTTTGATTTCAAATTATTTTTTTTCTTTCAATTTTGCTTCAAAAAATTTACTGATTATAAAATTTTGAATTATTTAAATAAATTTTAATTAGATGCTGAAAACACAAAGAATATGGCTGGTTGAGATTGAAATTTTAAAAATCTAAGGAAGCTTAAAGATAATACAGAATTTTACAAAATATTTAGTGTTTCTCAAAATAAAATTTTATTATAAAAAGATATTTGATATTAATTTACTGTCTGTTCATATTAGTGTATGTATACTTTTTAAGCATTAATCTCTCAATTAATTTTACTAATTCCATTTACATTTTATAAAACAAAAGTAAATTATCTCTAATTTAAATTTGTGTTAATATATTCTTTCAACATTTAGACTTCAATTTAACTGTTAAAGTCTATCTACTAAATAGAATTTCATAGGACAGAATTACATTTCTATTTTTTACATATTCACAATTTTTTTAAACACTAAAATTTAAATTTATTTAAGATTTATCCAGTGAATTATAAATAATTATAATCCATTAAAAAATTTCAAATATGTTTTCAAATAAAAACAAACAAATTAAATTTCTTTCTTCTCTGATTTTCAATAAAATTAAGTTAAACACTGTTTGTAATTACTAAAAAAAATGAGAGCATAATATTCATTTGTTTCGTTTAAATATTTATGAAATAACTTTAAATCAATTCTTCATGCTAATGAATTAATTTTAAATATCAATGCTGTAAAGGTTCATATATTAAGGCCACCTCGATATCCTTTTAGACATCTCACTTACACATATTAAAAATTTTTTAAAAACCGACCTTAATATATTATAGCCTTAGTAAATGAACATTTACAGTATATTATATTATAATCCTTTCAGAGAAGGCAATAATCTTAAATTAAATTAGAAAATATAAAACAAAATTATTAAGTTCAGATATTAATAAAAAGAATCTTTATTTATATAATTTGTTTTAAATATGTATTAGCTTTTTAATATATAGATAGATAGCAAGCAGTTAAAGTTTCTGAAATTATTTACAATCTTGAAAATATACTTATAAAAATAAGCAAATTTCTTAAATGCACTCTTTAGTTTTAAATTTTTTATTTTATATAATATTAGTGGAAAAATATATAAATGATTTATATTCATTTTACAAATCTACTAAATTTGTTTGGCAATTGAGATTTGGTGTTTACTGAATTTTACTTTTAAAAGCTGGATATTCTATTTTTAGGAGAATCTATTGCTGAAATTTATTTAGGACTATTGTCTTAGTAGTTATTTGAGGTTTGTGAGAGAGTGGTCTTTGAAGTCAAATTATTTTAATAAAGAATATCTGTATAGTTTTACGAATAGTTTTGTGAGTCTAAATGTGAACAAATTGCAGAGACATCTTTTGATTAAATATTTTCTGTTATTTCTTATTTAGGATTAATTGCCTGATTTGATTAAAATGAGTAAGTTTAACTTAAAGCATCTTTAAATAATTAAGAATGTTCATTTTTAGTTTAAATTTTTAGAAATTCATTTAATTCGTTGTTCTTATGATTTTTAATATGATCCTAAGCCAATCTCATTGTCTAACTGTTTTATTTCTTTTTTTCTAGAGTAGCTTCAAATAGTTTTTCAGGCTTTTTGATAGAAATATGATTGTTTTGTGAAGTTTGTGTTTTACTTTAGATAATTCTATTCAATTGAATTTTCTACTAAATATTATAAGAATTTGCAGAAAAGCTTAATCTTTCAGTGCTTGTACTTTAAGTCTTAAAAGTTTAAGAAGGGGTTATGCAAGGGTTGGTTTCTATTATTTTTTGATTGCTTGAATCTCTATTAATAGTGGAGCTTGTAAAACTGTTTTAGTCTTTTTTATTGCTTATTTATTGTTTGTTGATATTATGTGTGTTTTATTAGCTTTAGCTAGAGGTTGCTGAAAGTGTTTATAAATTTTAACTGCACGAATAAGCATGCTCTAACTTTTTAGGAGTAATTTAAATTGAAATTGGTGTATCCTTAATAACACCAACTATGTTAGATACTCTGGCTGCAGAGTTTACTTTTTTAGGAGTTAATGATTTTTTTTGTTTGCTAGTTGTTGGATTTAGAATTCCTGCTTCTTAAAAATGTTTTGAAATTAAATTATTTTAAATTTCTTAATTTTGAGGTTAAATATGATAAAAATACTTACTTTTTATGTTATTATTTTCTTATTGTTTAAAAAAAGACTTATTGTTATCCCTAGGTGTTAATAAACTTGTATTTTAATTATTTTCAGTAGGAGGCAACTTTTAAGTAGAGTTGTGAGTCTATAGACTGAAATTTACTGAAACTGGTTATGAATGCATACTCACACTTCCATTAGCTTTATTAATTATATTAAATTGTTATTATTGTTACTCTAAATTTTTTTCATTTGAAGTTTGACCAAAATTCTATTAATTTAATTATAATTTTTTAAAGTCATTTTCATATTAATTCTAACTTGATTCAAGTTAATTTTAGTTTTTTACTGAGTATTATTAAATTGACTCTAAATCATAGATATTATTTTGATATTTGTTTTCATTTAATTCATTGTAGATATTTTCAATTTTTTATGTTTTTTAATCTTCTTTTATGAATTAATTTTAAGTCATTTGATAAAAATCTATTTAAATTGTAGGATAGCAGGCCTTATGCTTGATTGCTTGAGGTGTTGAGTTCTCTTAATTAGTTTAATTAAAATTCATTCTTGGAATTCTCACTTAAGCAGTTGATTAAGAAGGGAAATAAGCGATTGGAGGAACAGAGGAGACTTATGCCTTTTCGTTTTAATTATTAATTTATTATTTTTTGTTGGAAATTTTATTTTATTAAGATTTTTTAGCAAAGTTTGCTAGAGGAGAAACTTTTTTTTTCAGCTTTTGTTAATTTTATAGAAAGCTGTAGACATCAAAGATGCTTTTCATTAGGTTAACTGAAGAAGAACAATTAGGCATTTAATTAGAAATTTACTTATAAAAGTTTTCTAAAAATTAAAGTAAGTTCTAATTTGGAATCAGAGATATCAAATCCAATATTTTGGTTACAATTAATTAGTTAGAATTTTTCTCAGAATTATATCTTATAACTGATTGGAGATAAAGAGGTAGGTAATCAAATAAAACTCTTTGGTTAATACTTTTTTCATCATCTCTCGAAGAAATAACGCTCCTGCTTCTTTAAGTATTAGAGTCAAAAGAAGAAGTATGGCTGGCTGCTTAATTAATTTTAGTCAACTAGAGTAGCTTTTCTAAGTCTGTGCTATTTTATTTTTGCTGTTAAATATGCACAGAAAGTAGCTGCAGCAGTTAGAGTTTCAAAGTTAAATTTATTCTTTCATCAATTAATGCATTTATTGATTATTTTAGAATATTTTATAAATTTTTTTCTGTTTCTGATAGCTGCCAAAGCTAATTGTTAGTTGACTAATAATTTTATATGCTAAACTGATGCATTTTAGAATGCGAGCTAGAGTATTCTTCAGGTATATTATCATCAGAATTTTCTATTATTTCAAAACTATCATCTTAATTATGTAAAATCTTTGAGCTTGCTAAAACATTACTGTTTTTAATTTTGAGTCTATCATTTTTACCATACCACATATTTTTTATTTCTTCTTGTTCTAACAACTCACATGAATTATTCTATCCTTCTGTAATTGATTTCAGATGAGATAATCTATCAGTATTTGATGAAAAATCTGTTTTTTGCTTTTTCGATTCTAAAAATAATTCTGTTGAATTAATTTTCACTAGATTAATAACTTGTTAACAGTAAATTTCTAACTCATTCACTAAGATTAAATTTTATTATTATATAGAGTATGTTTTGCTCCTTTAAGTATTATCTTGGCTTTTTTATCTTTCGTTGTAAAAATCTAATTAACTATCTCCATAATAATCTCTAAGAAGAGCAAAATTTTCCTTCAAGCTAGGAACTTTTGCAAACCTATTATCGTATAAATTACTTTAAATATTTTATTTTTATTCCTACTCTAATTTGATGTTTCTCTATTAAATTTATTTAGAAGCTGCGAGTTTTTCTTCTATAAGCTGTTCGTATTTTTCAATTGGAAAGCTTTTGTTTTCAAGTAAAAAGGTAGACTTAAGATGTTTAAATTATTTGTTCCTTTTATCATCAAAATTACTTTAATTTTATTCTTCGCTTAACTGCTTTTACTACATATTAAAGTGCTTTTTAAAGACATCTATTTCCTTCTTTTTGAGTAACTTAGAAATCAGATTATTGCTTTAACCTAAATCTCTTGCAATTTAATTACATCTAGAAACTAAAAGAGGGTCAACTTTCTCAATAATAACTTGTATTATCTCTGTGTAGCCAAGTTTCGATGCCAAATGAAGCAAGCTAAGCTATTAATTACCTCCTTAGATATTCCAATTAAATTTTTCACCATATTTTTCATAGCTTGCTATCCATTCTATAGCTTCTACTTGCATTCTCTTGACGGCTAAGTGAAGTGGACTCCAATTATCAAAATTTTTTACGTTACAATCAGCTCCATTTTAGATTAATAGCTCTATAATTGAAGCCGCCTTTCTTTTATCTTTTCTAAAAATACTAAATATTAAATGCAAAGGAGTGTTCCCTTCGAAATCTCTGCTATTTGCATCACCTCCTCTATTTAAAATTTGGTTTACTATTTCAATATCCATCTTTGTAACAGCAATATGCAAGCATGTTCCAAGCTTTCCTAATATTTTCATAAATACAATAATATAAAATTAAAAAATTAAATAAAAATAATGAAATTTATTGTCTTTAAATTTAATAATTCATTTAAAACATTTATTTATCTTTTGCAAATTATTAGATAAAAGATTTAAAATAAATATTTAAAAAATTATTTTTTATCATTTTAAAATTTTTAATTTATTCTTAATAAATATTTATGTATTTATTTTTTAATATTTGATAAAAAATTTTATCTTTTCTACTAATTTTAAAAATTAATAAAATAATTAGAAATATTTTATTAATAATAATTTTAATCAGAATTTTCTCTTTGTTAAAAGTTTGGTCAATAGAAAAATTTAATAAAAAAAGAATTACCTCCACCTAAAAGTGGATCAGCCCCAAAGAAAAGAAGTATTTTTGCACTTAAAAATTTTTCTTCTAGGAGAGCTAAGGAGAGAGGGGTTTGATAGTCGTCATCCATTTAATTAATGCTTTAAGGGTGCAATTAGCAAAAATTGGCTGCTTTTATTATACTAACTTCTTAATTTAAAGCACTTAAATGGAAAATATTTCTTCCTCTAACATCTGATTTACTTAAATAAGAAATAGGATCTTTAGAAAAGAGAGTTAAAAATTATTAAAAAGATAGGTCATTGGTATTATTTAAGTATAATTAATTTTTATTGTTGACTTCTTTTGTTGCATATTAAGTCTGGATGTTTTGCAAGTTTTTTATTTTAGAATTATCAGAAATATGTCCTGTGCTTTCAAAGCAATTACTATATTCGTCTACATCTATCATTACATCAGTCCCACGTTATGATGTTTGAAAGCTTTATATACATGAATTTATTTAAAGCTAATTCAATTAAACTTCACTTAATTACTAAGAATTTTCTTAAAGCTTTTGTTATGTTAGGTTATTTGGTAGAGATTGATCCTACATACAATAATTCTATATGTACTATTATTTTCTTAATAAATAAAGTCTTTTGCATTCATTTTTAAGCGTTTAAATTGTAAAATAGTCTGACTAAATCTAGTTCATTGATGGAAAAGTATATTTGAACCATTCTATAGAAAATTCTTATAGGTTTTCTAATAAAGCGAATTCAAGAGGCAAAGAAATAAAATAGTTATTTTATATATGCAAAATGACTAAATTCTTTAATTTGCAGATTTCTTGAGGGAAAGGATCCAAAAAGTTTTTAGAAATATTTAACAAAATAAGGCTTTGAAGTCCTTCAAAACTACTAGGCAATGAATAGATTTTATTATCAGATATTGAAAGCTGTTTCAAGTTAACTAATTTATTGATTTCTGATGGTATTTTTGTAATAGCGTTTGAATCAAGTTTTATTTTTGTGAGTTGTAACATTTAACAAATATCTTAAGAAAATACAGTGAGTTAACTATTTGATAAGTCAATTTCTTATATATTAGAAGTATGAGATATTAATTTTTTATTATCTGAAATAGGCATTTATAGTATTTACAGCTATCTACTCATTTGTTATTAAATTATTTAAGAGGAGAGCTAATTATCAACTTAATTATTATATGGTTAATTGCTTCCATTCTAAAATTGATTACAAGATTATTCATTAGTAGACAAATCCTTCTTACTTATTTTATTGCAATCTTTAAATAAATGAGATGTTGAATAAGTCTAATCTTATTAACTGTGATCTAAGCTAGATTAAAACTTGATTGCATCATTTAAATTTTACAAACCTTGAAGCGTTTTGTGCTATTAAAAAGCAGAATTAAAATCTTTGGTAATATTTTAATTTAAATTATTATGTTATTCTTTCTAAAGAGCACTGCCATAACTAATATGACTGTAAATTTAAAATGTTTAGCTACTAATACCTTATTTTTCTTAATTATATGAATTTAAAACTTTTTCATTATCAATTGGTGACTTGTTTCTTAGGCCTGATTTCATTTGCTCATACCCTTAATGAAACTATCTTTTATATTATAGGAATTATGAGTTTGGATGGTTTTGAACTAATTCATCGCAACTTTCTAAGTTAATACTGCTCATATATCTAAAAGAGCAATAACGTTTAGATTGTCTTGTCTTGTCTTGTCTTGTTTTGTTAGATTAATTTGTCAAGTGTATAAGTGAGAATGTATTTGAAAAATATTTATTCTACTATTTATTTTACTTCTATATTTAAATATGTAATTTACCAAATAATTAATTTTTAAATTCTCATAAACAATTAATGAATAAATAAATGAACGAATTAATGAATAAATAAATGAACGAATTAATGAATGAATGAATAAATCAGATATTTAACAATCAAATTAATCCAATATTTTAGAAAAAGCAATAATAAATAAGTAATTACTCACCTCTTTATAAATAAATTAACTGCATTATTCAAAAAATATTTTGAGTAAAATTAACAATGCCAAAAGCTCTTTAGATAGTTTTAAAGAATAAACTAAATTAATTTTTTACAAATTTTATAATCAAAGTCTTATTATCTTTATGAATAGCTAGCTTACTTATAAAAAATTATTTACTCTTTCTTTGTTTAAAAAATTATTGATTTTAGTATTCAAATTAAATATAAAAAGATCTAAGTTAAAATTCATGAATAAACTCTTTAAAAAATTTAATAAAAAATATTTGATTTTTATCAAAATAATTATTTAATCTTTTTAACTAATTTTTAATTCAAATACTTACATCAAATCAAATCAAATCTAATAAAAAAATAAATAAACAAATAATTTTGTAGGTCATTTTTTATGATATAAATAAAATTAAACAGAGTTTTTATGATCGATTATACGCACAAATGAATACATTAATTTACTCAAAATTATTATATTTTTTGGTTTAATAAATAATAATATAAAATTAAAAATTACAAATAGAAATAATTTATAAAATTTTATCAGTGACCCATTCTTAATATAAATTCTTTTTTTAAAATTTCTTTGCCTTCCTAATACTCTTATTTTGCAAATTTTGCATATTTTTTAAGTAACTCAAAATGTAAGTATTTCATTTTTATTGTCTTTTATTAATCTATCTTTTCAACATCAGCATATCTATCAATCATCAAATAAGAAGTCTTAAATTATTTTTAATCTAAATTTTCTAATACATCATTTCCATGATACATAACATCTAAAAGAGCATGTTTTTCAATAATTTCCTCAGGAGTTATATCTCTAATTATGCTACCTTTAGGAGGATTGACATATAGCTCATCAGCTAGATGTGAAATATCTCTTTGAAATAAATACTAATGGATGCTTTCGCTTTATGTTTAACCTAAAAAGGCTGTCATTCTTTTATATTTCTATGTGGCAATTAAATATTCTATAAGTGTACTCATATATTTATCAGAGGATGACAAAAATAACTATATTTTAATTTCAGTTAGGTCATTTAATTAATTATATATTTGAGGTAGAAAACAATTAAATAAATTTAGACAATTTTTTATTAATTTTAAAAATAGTTTAAAAAAGTGAGAATGCTAAAAGAAATTTATTTACTTCAGGGAATATTTAATAAGACATAGCTAATGGAGTTTATGGGTTAGTATCTGGATTTTAACCAAGATAACGAGCAGCTCTTGTAAAAACATTTTATAATTGCATCAAAGTATGAGTGTTAGCTATATTTTATCTGAATATTTGTTCCGGCTAATCAACCAAAACTACAGGAATGTTATTTCTTTCGGCATAAAAGCAAGCCACAGCTATAGCTTCATCGCTAAGCCTCTCTAAATGATAGTAATCTTTATTTTTACTCTCCAAAATTGTCTTTTTGTAAACATTTTAATAATAATCTTAGTCTCTTTCTTTTACAGAGGCAAGTAAAATATTATTTTCTTTTAAATTTTTCTTTATTTAGACTCTGAGGTTGGCTCTTGGCATTACTTCAAAACCTTAAATTGAATGAGAAAATATAGTTTAAAATTAATTGTTGCAATTTTTTCTAGAAAAATATTTAAAAAATCAATATTTTTAATTTTTAGTTATCATTAAGCTAACAAATACAAAAACAAGTTTTAAGAAATTGAAAATATAAAATATATTAAAAAGGAATCAAGTAAGTAAGCGTTTAAATTACCTGTTCTAATAACTTGTTAGGCATAAAGAGTTGAAGAAAAATACCCTGTTTCAGGATTATTAGTACATATTTTAAAATTATCAAGAAGCTAATCTGGTCTGATCTAAAGTAGAATTAAATCTGGTTGAGTATTTGTTAACAGTTTATAGATATTTTTAATAGGTAAATTATGAAAATTTGTTCCTACTAAAGTCATGTGAGTATCTTTGTAATCGAATACATTAACTCTCCCTGTTTTTTTAAATAAATTTTACATTAATTTGCATTTTTTGAAGTTTTAGTATTTTCTTTCTAAGAAATTCTTTAAAAGATAAAAAAAAAATTTACCATGCTTATAAGCCTAAAAGCTTTCAATATATTGTTAATTTGAAAAAGTGTAATCAATATCTTTTTCCCCTTTCGCTGCTAATTATAAATCATCTTCATTTACTATATCTAATCCATAATTTTTCTTAAATTCTTATGCATCTTATTTTGTTGGTAATTAATCTATCTTTTAGCTCATTAAAAAGTCTTCATGATTTTTTCCCAATTTACGAATACTTTCATTAATTATTGATGCTCCTATTAAATTTGCTTTGGGTTTAAATGTTAGACTCTTTACTGCTTACTTAAGAGTTTATTTCATGTTTGCTATTTTATAAATCTTGCTTCCTTATGTTTGTTCTTAAAATTTTTTGTCTACTCTTATACTACTACTTCAAGTTTATAAAAAATTTATGATCATAAAAATTAATTAATATCCTGTATAATTCAATTTGATGTAAATGATAATCAATTTAATTTGATATCTTAAAAAAATCAAGTTAAATATTTTTAACTAAAAATAAATATTCATCATCATTTTATATAAATAATATAGAAATAGAATAAGTTAACATTTTAAATATTTATAATTAATTAATAAAATAAATAAATAACTAAATAAGTAATTTAACATATTTAAAAATAAATTTACCTGAAAATGCAAAATACTGGGGTGATTTAAAGATTATTGTTGTATAAGAAAACTTTTTGCTCAAAGTTTAAAACTTACTTTTTTTTTCTAGTTTGTAGGTAGTTAATAACTTATTTTTTTTTATAATGGCTTTCGAAGAATAATCCTATTTTTTTATTACCAAAAAGGTTAAATAGTGTATACATTCAAAAGGTTAGAGTATTATTTAATATATGATTTTCAGTAATTATGCGTTAAAACTAGTTGTGATTTTATTATTATGGATAATAAATTGAGTGAAAAATTGAGGATATTTTATTTTAAGAATTGATAATTAATAATTACTCTTATTCAAATAATTATTTAAATATAAGTTAAAGCAAATAAAAATGGCTTGTCAGTATTTATTTTCGGGCTCCCAAGAGAGTTAGCGTACCTTTGTAGAAGACCTAGAATTTATGAAGCTAGCCTACAAAAAAAATTCAATTGATTATGCTTTAGAAAAAAGAAGGCAAGAAGATTTATCATCAAACATTATTAACCTTCCTCGCGGAGGTTTAATAATAAAAACAAAAATAGGAAATATTTAATTTGGGTTACCTCCAGAGACAGTAAAGGACTCATTAAAATTAGGATTAACCGTCCCAACTTATTTTATCATCCCTTCAAACAGGTTCGATAGAAAATCAGGCATAAATGTTGCAGAATTTGAATTTCCAGCTTATTTTAATTTTTTTTGCAACAAAAAACAAATATGTCTCATATGTACCAAAAGTGCAAAAAAAGATATATAAAATATATTCTAAGAGACGCTAATAGGCCCTCTTTCTCACGAAGTAATGACTTTAAATTTAAGCAACCTCTAAATTTAAAAAACATATTGCAAAATTTTGTTTTTGAAGTTTTCTGAAACAATTTTTGATTGTATTTAGCTTTTTAAAATTATTTAAAAAATAGAATTTAAGTGATGACTTTTACCATAAAGTACCCTCAAGCTCTTACCCTGACTTTATCAATGAAAGAAAGATATTTTCATCAGTAAAGATTAATTTTTTTGTTTTATATAAAGATTTTTATTGAGGTATTTTTTAACAAGAATTTAAGCATTGATATTTATTTAAGTTACAAATAAAAATGAACAAATGAATTATTTAAACTTTTTTTTTCATATAAAAGAATCCACTTAATCCATCTGAAGATATAAAAATTGACACTCTTTTAAACTTTAAAGTATTTGATGACATTACGAAAAGTGTAATAATTTAAGAAAATGGCTTCACGATAGAAATCTCTCTATAAAATTAAGGATTTATTGAAATTAAGCAGGATAATGAGATAATTGCTTATTTCTAAGATCAAGTAGAACTTACTGATTCAAACAAATCAAGTTCTTCAAATTTAAATTTAGAGATGGGAAGGTTATACAAAAAAAATAGTATGTGCTGTTCTCCATGCTTTGAAACAGGATTAAAATTAGATGATTTTCAAGAAACTCCCTCACCTATTCAAAAATTTTAAAGAAGTAACACAATAAAAAAGAACTCAATGCTTTAAGTTGAGTTTGTACCGCCTGATTTTGGTGTCACAATATTAGGGTCTTCTCATGGTAGCAGATTTATTTTTGCAAATATGAATGAAAATTTAAACAAAAAATAAAATAAAAAGGATTTGATCCTAATGGAAGTACAAGTGGATTCATTATTTGGATTTATGGAAGAGGTATTATGGTTGATCCTCCTCCTTTTTCTAATGATTATCTAAAAAGTCTTGGAATTAACTATTAACTTATAAACGGTATTATTATTAGCCACTGTCATGCAGATCATGATGCAGGAGCATTTCATAAAATAGTAGCAGATTAAAAAATAGAAGTAATTCATTAAATATTTAAAATTAGTGCTATAATTATTTTAATTTACGGAAAAATAGGTTATAACAACAAGAACAATTATGAATAGCTTTTTAAGGAAATATTCAGCAGTCTCTTAAATTGATTAAGAATAGCTAAAAAGACTATTTGTATTTAGACCAGTTATAATGGGAACAACATTGAAAATATATGGTGCAAATTTTAATTTTTTTTATTCGTTCCATACAATCCCTTCACTTGGATTTGAAGTTGAAGTCAATAATAAAATATTATATTTTTCTTCTGATACCTATTATAATCCTAAGCAGTAAAAAATTTAATTTATCCTTTCTTTTTTCTAATAGCTTTTTTAGAATTAGATAATACTGCGCTGATGGCAGAATATCTAAGGATAGATGCCAGTAATTAGCAGATATAGATTTCTCCAAGTACGATTTAATCTTGCATGAAGCTGGTGTGCCTCCTATTCACACTCCATAATCAATCTTAGCTGATTTACCTGAAAAAATAAAAGAAAAGCTCTATCTGATCCATATAGCTCATAAAGATCTCCTTCCTAATTCTGGTTTAAAAATCCCTGGTGTTGGTATTTAGAATACAATAACTATTATAGATTAAGATACTCATTCCGAAATTAGAGTTTTGAAAAGATTAGACATATTAAGTAAAGTAGATCTTTTTGAAGATTTGTCTATTAAGCACGCCAAGCATTTAATTGATGCTGTCTAAGTAGAAGAATATGAAAAAGGTGATATTATATTTAAAGAAGGAGACATTGGCCATAAATTTTTCATCATTCAGTCAGGAGCAGTGAGGATATATACTGACAATGAGAACATATAGTAAAATTTTCATTTTTATTTTCAGAAATTCAATATAAAATAAACATTTTATTAGAATTGACAAGGTGTTTAAAGTTGGTGATTATTTTGGAGAAGGTTCTCTTTTAGACTCATCTAATAAAAGAATAGCACAGTAAATATCTAAAAAAATTAATCCATATTTATAATGTTTCTTAATTAACTTATAGGGCTGAAGCTATTACTGACTGCTAGTTGCTAACTCTAGAAAGGCATGACTTTCACTTTTTATTCGGAGGTTCATTGGGAGGAAAAGGAATAGTAATTTAAAAGCTCAAGTAACTGAACAAAGCTAGAAACTGTTAAGCTAGTGATATTGTGAATAAGTAATAATAAAGCTAATTAAATTTTATTTTATAAACCTATTTGCTCATTTTAAATAAATATTTATCAACTTAAAATAAACATATTTACTAATTAAAAATAAGCAATTTAATCTACTTCCCACACTATACTATTAAATAAAATACTATTAATTAATAAAATAATATTAGGAACTCGATATTCAGCGAATTGGAATAAGGATAAAAAACTTAGCTAGAGATGATCATGAAAGAGGTTGTGTTTGAATCAAATTAAATACTGTGGAGGTAAGGAGAGCAACCTTAATATGCTTTTATTATTAAGGAAGGTTTGATTTTGTTTTTTAAATAAAACGATGATGTCCTTAGACTTTCTGACGAAGAAATATAAGAAATAAATAGAACTGGAAGTTTTTCTTGCATTTCTGATAATGTAGACACTATCATAGAAAGTGAAGAAAGTATTCATGGTCCTTTAAAATTCATATTATCAACAGGGGCTTTTATAGGAGATACAAAAGCCATTCATTCTCAATCTTCTATGAGAAGTTATTGTGTGTGCAAAACTAGAGTTAAAGCATTTTAAATTTTATGCAATGATTTCTAAAATTTCTTAGCCCATAATCCTGGCTTAAAACTACTCTTTGAAGAAAAAGAATTTTTTGAGTGATTAAATTATTTATTTTAGATATCTTCATTAAGCAGTTAATAATAAATATATTGTTATTGCCCTTCCTTCACACTACATAAACTAAACTCAGCTTTTTTACTTTTAGACCTAACAATTCTTTGAAAATACTTGAAGAGCATAACTAAAATAAATATTTCTATCCACTAAGTCTTAATCTTAAAGCTCTCACTTAAATCTTTTTCTCTTTACTTTTTTCCTATATTGCTTTTATGTTAAATTAACAAATATATAAAGCTTTATTGTAAAATTGATATCTTTCGATTACTAATTTTGTATAGACCATATGTATGTATGTATATTAAATTTACTTAAAATATTTCTCAGCTAATTATTTGTAGCGAATTATTTAGATTATTTTTTAAATAATTCAAATTTATTGATTTAACAAAGTACCTTAATAATTGGATCTATCTCTTATTTTTTAAACTGTATCTTCCTATTTATAAATATGATTCTAAAAATTAGACAACAAATGCATAAAAAATGAAATTTTTTAAATAATTTTTATATAAAATTAAATTAAAAAATAAAAAATAAAATAGAATAAATAAATGGAATTACTAGATTCAGATATAGGCTCTCAAATAAATTAGTAGGTTGAAGGAAAAAATTTTAAAGAAGTGGAGGATATCTATTTACAAAATATACAATCTGCTAAATTCACCTCGGAATACAGAGAAAAAATTTAATCTTTCCCAAATTTAATATGCTTTAGCCTCACTAACATGAATTTCAGCAAAATATAAGATCTTCCTATTTTAAAGAGACTGCTAAGATTAGAGATATGTTATTGCACCTTCGATATCAGTAGTCTCAATTAAATTTACATTTAATTTCCAAGGCTTGTGAGTTTAAGGCTAGTTGGATGTAATATTAGCTCATATTCATAAATTGAATGTTTAACAAGCTTGCCAGACTTGGCCTAATTAGATCTATTTAATAATCCTATTTACAAATTTAATTACGAATATCAGAGCTTTCATTAAAAAATGTTCGAATTATTTCCTAAATTGATGTATTTGGACAATCTTAAAAAAGATTTCTCAAGAGCTTGTACCATTCCTATAAATTAGATTGATCCAAAATAACTTATTCAAGAAGTTGAAATCCCTAAATTTGTAGATAAACTCAACAGATCAAACATAAACTCTTAGAATAATAGTTTTAATTCTAATAAATTGACACGTAAAAATAATATTAACAATCCAAACAAAAGAAGGGCTGACAATTCAGACGAAGAGGATGATGACCTTGATGAAGATTACCAAGAAGATAGTGATGAACCATCAAATCAAAGACATGGCTATCAAACTAGAAAATAATAGAAATTAGCTGCATACAAATGACTGAATAAAATATAGTTGTTAAAGTTTCAGCAAATTATAATAAAACATATTTATCATTCATTAAAAATGTTCTCAAAAATTAAACAGCATATAAAATCCATGTTTTATTTCTTTTTAATTGACTCTGAAATAAATTTATTTTTAAATACTTTTTCATTTTATGTGATTAATTTATTTTTAAATATTCTAAAATAATTTTTAAAATATAATTTGCTTTGTTAAGTTTGAAGTATTTAAGCTCAGATTTAATTCATATAGAAATAATTCGTTCATTTTTTTTTTCATTTTAATCCTTAAATAAATAAATAAACTTTGAGTTTATCTTTTCTTATTTGATTATTTTTTCAATAAAAATTGGTCAAAATAACCTTTTTCGCCTTACTAATGAAAAATATATATCAAATCATAAAGAAAATAGAGTTTTATTGAAAAATAATTGTTTTATAATTTCGAAATATATTGCAATATCATAAAATAAATATTGATGTTTCTTAATCACTTTCATATTGTTATAAAATAATCAAAATTATGATATGAAGAAAATTTTTGAAATAAAAATCATTAACAAATAATATTAATTGATTGATAAAATTCATAGAAATTAGTTACAATATTTCGAATCAACAATATAACAAAAACAAAGATAAACAAGTAAATAATGTTTTAGTCGAGAATAAGTATTGTTGATGCCTTTTTAGCATTTTATATGTTTTTAATTTTTTGTAATGAAAATTTGGAAAATATTTAGCTTATCAAAAGCAAATATTAGCAAAAAAATTTGTTTTTTGGAAAACAATTGTAGATTAATATTTTACATATTTAATTTAAAAAATATATGGTTATTGTCAATTACATTTATAATAACGAGAAAAATAAATAAAGATAGAATTATTTGAACTATTAAAACCTAATTTAAAAAAATGATGATTCTATTTTTTTATCTAACATCTTACTATTCAATTTAGATAAAAAACTAACCTAATTTAATCTTCTTTTTAAATTTCAATTTTTAGCAAAAGGTAGATACAAGTCGAAATAAAATTCTTAAAAAATATAATGAAACATCTTTTTTAAGTTACACTTAACTTTCATAAATATTTTTAAATTTAGATTGTTCATTAATTTTGTATTATCTTAAGAAAATATTTGGATTATTTCATAAAAAATATCACAAATATTTTTCGAATCATAAGCTTATCTTATTATTACAAAATGACATATGTTAGTTATTATTGGAAAACGAGTTATGTAATTATAAAAAATGACTAACTTTAGATATATAGCTGAAAAAGATAAAAATAAAATTTTTAGATATTACCCACTTTCATTAGCTAATTTAGAAATAAATATCTTTTTTAATTTAATATTTTCTAATATATTATATATACTTTTATTTATTTACTTATTTATTCTTGGTTTTCTGTAAACAATTATGCTGAATAAGAAATCGCTCTTTGTCATTTTAATTACTATAAATATCACAAAAGCTTAATAAGGTAATATATTAGATAATACTCAAATATAAAAACTGCGTCATCATTGTCTTTTAAAACTTATTATTACAACATTTTAATCTGCATTAACAAATACAAGAATGTTAAGTCTTAAAATATAATACATTTCCTATTTTTTTTATTTTTCGAGTAGTAAAATAATTCAAATTTTTTTTTAATACTTACTTACTTAACCACCACTATTTTAAACAATCTTTAATACAATATAGTATTAATAAGCTTTTCAGAGTTTTAATAAGCTTTCCAGTATAGGTCTTTTATTTTATTATTACCATTTCAAACTCAGTATAAATTAATGTCGATTTGCTAAAATAATCATAAAACCAGTAAAATCTATTTATAATTATTATTTTAAATGACATATGATATAAATAAATAAACAAAAGAATTTCAATTAAAATCATCGCAATTTTAAAAATGAATGTTTCTTATTTAATTTAAAAAAAACAATTTTTATAAATAGTTTGATGCTAAATAACAGCAGTATCTCTCTACGTTGAATAATTGAAGTAAAACAATTACTCATTTAAAATATTCTCTTAGAACATAAATTAATTAGATATTAAAAAATAAAACAAAAGATTGTTGACGTTATTTAGTGTTTTAAAGAATAAATTTTATATCTAAGGTATGTGTATCTTCATTTACGTAATTAAATTTTTTCTATTTCATAACTTACCTCAATTAAATTGAATATCTTAATGATAATCTATTTTTTAATTTTCCTTTAGAATAAAGCTAAGAAATTCATAAATAAAAACAAAATTTATCAATCAAAATCAATTATATCAATTACAATGCTGATGTTATTCTTTTTTATGGATTTCAACATAACTTTGTCAAAAATACATTTAAAAGCACTGAATTTTATCAATATATATATTTAACTATTACCATAAAAGTATCCAGCAATTTATTGTTTTTTATTTACTACTTATAACATTCAAAAGTAAAATATAAAAAATAAATAAATGTACATTTTTTAAGTTTATTGAGAAAAAAATAAAATATTTATAATTTTATTTGATATGGTTGTAAATTGAGAGTTTAACATTTGATGTTTATCAAACTATAATTTACATAGAATTTTTTAAAAATAAAGAAAGAATAAATTATTTATGAATGTATATATATTAATCAATCACTCCTCACCTAAGTAAATCAATCTTTTAATTTTAAAAAATATTAATTAATGATGTAAAGTTTAATGATAATAGTAAATATTTGTGATGATTTGGAATTGATTGATAATAAAAGATATGCATTCTTAGAGTATTTTAAAGACCAGATAATAATATATAAAAAAAACAATAATTTAAAAACCAAACAAATTAGATTTAAATACAGAAAAAATCATAAAAATAATCAAAATATTTTTAATAAAAACTAAATCAAAATCAATCACTTTTTTAGATAATATTTTTTACACAAAACATCATATTGCAAATAAAAGCGAATTATTTTTATTGAAATAATAATTTAGAGCTTAAGAATACTAAGTCTAGTTTGTCAAAAAATAAGAATAATTCATTCGCGTTCAAAATCTTAAGAGTTATAAGTCGAAAAATCATTAAGATATTCTACTTTCTATTCATCACAATTGCTCAATCAAAAACTTTAATTACCAGGAAAAAAGAGGAGCTAACTAACTTACTTACTTACTTACTAGTGATAATAAATTTTACAAGTAGCAATTAAAAAATAAAATGGAAGATAAAAAACTCACCATCGATGATTTTGATCTGAAATATGTTTTAGGAAAGGGTTCTTTTGCAAAAGTGGTGCTTGTGAAAAAGAAAGATACAAAAAAATTATACGCAATGAAAATCTTAAAAAAAGATTATATTTAGCGCAGAAGGTAAGACTAAAACGTAATGGTCGAGAGAAATTTATTGGTTGAAATGAATCATCCTTTTATTATTAAAGTTAAACACACCTTTCAGAGTGAAAAAAAGCTTTATTTCTGCTTAGAGTATTGTCCAGGGGGTGAACTCTTCAATTTACTTTATAAGAAAGAACGCTTCAACGAAGATTAGTAAAAATTCATTAAAATTTATACTTCTAAAAGATTATTTACCTTAAAATATGAAATGGTTCAAGGATTAAAAAATCCAATATTCCATCTAGAAATCTTTTCAAAAAATATATACCTAAATTTGCTTAAATAAGCTTTATCAAAAAATATCCCAAAGCTCCATAAAAAGTTTTATTATTGTATTAACTTGAGTTATTTTACATTTAATTTTTTAAACAAATTTAATCTGATAACATTTAAAAATTCAATCACAAAAAAATAGAGAGTGAGTGATAATTTGATAGATCTATTAATTAGGTTAATTTTTCTGGTTATAAAACCTTCACCGCTTAAAAGGAAAAGGCATAGAAGTTTTCTTTGAATCTATTTTTACATATTCCTTTTAATTAATACTCTTTTTTTATTTTTTTGTAAAAGAAGTGCATTCAATTTTCTCAATTTAATACTCTATTGGATTTTATACTTAAGTTACTATTTACATATTTTATTCTTTGTTAAATGCCATCGCTTACATCAATTACTGAACTAATTTACTTTCCTTTCATTATAACAAATAGGATGATAATGATTTTTAATTTTCAATGATAAACAAACACAATTTAATTAATTTAATAAAATTAAAAAAATAAATTCTATGGAAATATATCAATCACTAATAATTCACTAATTTCTTGAAACCTATGGAGAAATCAAATTCATTTTTTGTTCTAGCTTATTAAATCTTAATAAGATCTTATTTTAAATTAAACAATTTAGTGATGATAAACTCATCAAATCATTTAGCAAAATTTAATTTAAATTAAATTATTTTTATAGAACAAGGTTTTATGTTAGCCAAATGATATTAGCCATTGAATTCTTACATGAAAAAAATGTTATTTACCGCGATTTAAAACCTGAAAATGTGCTTATAGATAAATAAGGCTACATTAGAGTAACCGACTTTGGTCTCTCTAAGTAAAATGTAAAGGGTAATTATGAAGCAAAATCTGTAGTAGGTACTCCTGAATACTTAGCTCCAGAAATTTTAGAAGGAAAGGGTTACGGAAAAACTGTAGATTGGTGGACACTAGGTTGTATTATTTATGAACTCCTTACTGGACGTCCCCCTTTCTATAAAGATGAAGGTAAAGAAGATTTATTTTAGCAAATTCAATAAAACAAAGTAGAAATTGAAAAAAATTGGATCTCCGATTGTAAAGATCTTGTCCTAAGTCTCCTATAAAAAGATCCAAAACTGAGATTAGGGTTTAATGGAGCACATGAAATTAAAGATCACCCATGGTTTATGAGTTTAGACTGGGATGTGCTCAAAAATAAAAAATATACGCCTCCATTTGTTCCTGATATTAAAAACGAAGACACTCCAGGTTATGTAGACAAATATTTTTTAAATATGAATATATAAAGCGTGGAATAAAACTCCTTAAAGAACGATTATAAAGATTTCAAAGGATTTACCTATGATAGTTAAAGTTTCTAAGTTATTGGAAATCCTGTATTATGAATGATATTTCTTGCTAATTAATGCTGTTGTATGATAGCAAAAAAACACAATTTTAGAAATAAAAACCTACTATCTATATTAACAAATATAAAATTTGATTAATAAATCACTATTTATATATTAAAAAAAAGTTTAACTCTTTCTAGGAATAATTGACTGGTTCCATCCAATTACTCTTTTAAAGTATTATAAATTCATATTAAAATTTTGTAATTAAATAATTAAATAAATAAAGCATACCACTTTTAAAATAATCTCTGCATATTTTTTATTTTTGATCACAATTAATTATAAGCAACACATTTAAAATAAATAAATTTTGTAGAAATCCCTCCAAAATTCTATCATTATTAAATATAAGTTAGAATATTTTTAAATATTTGAATGAGGGGTAGATTAATTGAACATTAGCTTTTTTTACTAATAAAAAACATAAATTTAGCAATAGTTATGTTTAGTAATTCATTTTTTTAATAAGAAAATAACTTATTTAAAACATTTCTTTAAATAATTACCAAAAGTAAAATTTTTAAAAAGAAAAAGAAAAATAATTTAGACAAATCATCAATCAATCGATTAATGGGTTTATTTATTTATTTATTTATTTATTATTTATTGTTTATTATTTACCAATTGTTTATGAATGTATTTTTAATTAGAATGTAAATTTGTAGAATTTGATTTATAAAAGATTTGTTATATAGTTTGAATTTAAATATAAATTTGTTACATTATATAATATTTATTAAAGTAAAGAATTTATCAATCAATCAATCACTAAATTGTTATTTTCTTTTAAAATAGAATCACTATCTTTGTATAAGTATTTTTACCTAAGAGCTTAATTTCTATTAATTTCACTATTATCATAGACGTTTTCAATATTTGATATATCATTATCTCCTTAATTATCATCATAATCTTCATTTAATTTAATATGAATAGAATTAGATATGTCCGAGTTATTTTCCTAAATTTTATTGATTGACTTTTACATAGAATTTAGATTTATTAAAGAATCTTTTGAGGCCAAAACTTAACTCTCTGTGTTTTTATAGCAGATTGAAAAGGGATTAATGGAAAGATAACCATATACTATTGAATTTAAAAATCCATTTAAAGCAACAAAGTTCAGGTCAAATTTGTTTAGCCAAGTTATTTCCTCACCTCCATTGAGAGATTCAATAACTCTTTCTGCAATCAACCAAATCCATGATAAAAGCAGAATGGAAGGGTATAGAGCTAAATTTCTAACTTCTTTTGGAAACTATTCTTATTCATTATTTCTATTTTGATAATATCTGTAGCATATTTTTCCAACGTAGTATACATCTAGGCAAAGTACTATAATAAAAGTCATGTAGTAGAATGATGTTCTAAAAATAATACCTAAGTAATCTGTTTACCCATTACTCTCATCTAAGACAAGAAAACACATAACTTACTCAATAGGCGGGATATATCCATATCTATTGAAAAACAGCGGGCTTATTGATAAAACATTATTATAAATTAAAAAAATTTTCTAAAATTAGCCTTTAAATTTTAACCACATATATCGAATAAAGTGCAAAATAATTAAAATCCTTCTAATAAATATGAAAATTATGTGGTTTTACAATAATCTGAAAAGCTAATTTAATTTACATGAAAGAAATGATGAATGGGAGCACTATCGTGTATCCTGAAAAGTATATTATAGGATTTTTAGTTTAGATCGGAATCTTTCTTATCAGGAATGTATACAGAGTCCAAGAAATAGCTAAAGCGCTAAAAAAAGATCCATTGGTGGTGAATAGTTTAACTATTCCTTAAAATTTGCAGGCAAAATCTGATATTGCTGAATCAGGAGAAGCGAAATAGTAGATCATAGGGATAGCAGCATTAAGCGCCCATATAAAATCAAATAAAAATATAGGTAGCACCAACTTAAATGAATATGTCCTTGACTCTTCTTTAAAAATGAAGTAAGCAATCAACATTCCTGTTGATATTAATGTTAATAGCAAACAAACAAAAAGAATTATTTCTTAAATCATAGGTTTCTCAGTACTAGCTCGATCTCACAATGAATACTGAGCCTATCTTAGTAAGCTAATAGACTTGACAAGAATTAAGAGGTTAACTCTAAATCTAAATTTGAACAAATTATGAAATTTTGAGCAATTTTACTTACTTGGAATAGGGTAATTTATTAGGTTTTTAATCTCTTTTTTTATATATTGAAATTGAAAAAAAAATCTAATAAATAAATAAATATTTAAAGCATTTTGATTTTATTTTAAGTATGTTAACCAAGTAATGATTTTTTTAACAAGTTCTATCAAAAATTTAATCATTAACATTCACCCGATTCATTCGTGTATCTGTCACTTAATTTCAAATACATATTTTTATAAAATACTTAATATATCCTTTGATGAAAAAATCTTAAATTTAACGTTGTAACTTTCATTTGTCAAAATTCGATAGAATTTCTTTATATTTTGTTTTATTATTTTATAAATAATTCGTTTCTTTAATGAAATAAATTTCTAGAATTTAGGATCAAGTATTACATAATAGGTATTTAGTAATTGTGATAATAAGAAATGTCATTGAATAAAAATCTAATCAATTCTTTAAAATGTTTGTTTAATCATAAAAATATTATTTTTTAAATGATTTCAAAATGAAAAATATAAAAACTAGTTAAAAATTCATATAAAAATTAGCTTACAAAAATCATTTTATTATATTATATTATATCTATTACACTAAATATAAAATGCAGACTTATTTTGAGTTTATACTTCAATAACACAGAATTTTTGATTTTAATTTACAATCAAATCATACTCTGATATAATTTTTTAGTTTACATATTAAGAAATATTTTTATCTGCTAATTACTTATAAAAATGTACTTTGATTACTCTCAAAAGAGACAAAATTAATTAAATATTGAATTACGTGTGTGTTTTAAAACACCTCTCTAAAAACTTTATATTTATACTATTTTTATTATACATCAATAGATTTCAAATCTATCTTTAAGTAAGCAGTAAGAGATAAATCTAAAAAAAGAAATATGAAAATAGTCAAAAACATACAATCTAAATAATTATTCTTTTATTAAATTAATAGAACTTTAAAATATCTTTCATATTCTTTTATAAAATTCAAAATAAAAATGTATTTTTTATCCAGTAAAACTTGAGAATACTAAATTAACTTATCTACCCAAAAACCTATTTTATCTCACTCTTCTGAAAATTGATCATTTTAAATTCTTAAGGAATATAAATCTTATAAAAAAAAGAGCTTTTCTGATATTTAATTATTGTAAATTTATAGTTATTAATTAAATGAGAGTATTTTTATAATTAGCCTAACTAAGTTCTAACTATAAAATAAGTATTGAAAAAATATGAATAATATTTTTGTAGAAATTAATAACACAATCACGATGCCAAAAGTTATCTTATTCTTAGATTGTTTAAATAATATTTTAAATTATAAATTTCTAAACAGCTCAGAATTCTATAGCTTAACATTTTTTGGATAATATAATATTTCTCTTTGATTTTTTCTATACATAAACAAATATAAAATAAGTTTTTGTAGCAAGTATCTTTACTTTTCTAAAAATTCTTTCTTAATTTAAAATTAGAATTATTTAATCAAGTTACAAATTGTAAATTTTGTAAAACAAACAATTTTAAAAGCCTATTATTTATTTTATTATTCACATATTATAATACTGAGTAATAATTAGAAAAACTGAAATTTAGGTATTTAATTTGAATTGAATTTCCTTGATAATAAATATTACTTTGAATATTTTATATTTTAAATTTCCATTATTTAAATTCGTTCAATATTACATTTTTTATTTATTTTATTAAGAAAAATGATAATCTATAAAAATTTTATTGCCAAAAATTCTTCAATATGTGATTTTTAATTTTGCTATTTCATAATTATTTATCTAAAATTTAGATTACATTGATTCTTCAGTAACCTAATAGTTTATTAATTGAGAAAAAGGATAAATATTTATTTTATTACTAAAGAGAAATTTTTCAAAATATTAATTTACATATTATTTTTATGTTTAAAATAGCAATTTTTTTGAAAACAATATTTTAATCTTTTTATTGAACTTGATTTTTGTTTTAGGTTCATACAAATTTGTTTTATAATTTTTTTTATTTTCTTCAAATTCAAAAATCGCTGATTTTATTCATTCATATAAATATTTACCTTTTTTCTAAGATTTGTTTCGTATGTTTCTTTATTATTTTATTTATTGTAAAATAATATTTCTAAATTTATTATTTTTTACTTATAAAATAAAAAATGTAATCTTACTTGAAATACAATGACCTAATTTTAACATCTTGAAGTTTAAAAAAAAACTTCTTCAAATAAAAAAAATAATAATATAATATATTTTTAAGTGATATTTTATTTTTATTAATATTTCATAAAGAATATGCAAAAAAGGAGAAAGAAGAAATTTTCATTTTACATTGAAATTCTATTGTTACTTCAACTCTTAATTAATTTATTAATATAAATAGCTTTAGAAAATCAAGGAAACAAACAAAACAGCCTTTTCTGATGTTAAATCTTAAAAACTTTTTAAATTCATTCTTAAAAAAAACTAAAAAAGTTGTGATTTTACACCAAAAAAAAATAAGAGCTTGCTTTTATTTTTGAATAAAAAACTTTAAAAGCAAAAGAAATTATTAAAGAAAATTTTATTAAATTATACTTTTACTACAAGTCTTCATTAATTTGTAAATAATTTTAGAAAATTAATTTACAAAAAATCTTCTCTACTTTCTTTTACTGATATTAAATTAAATTAAAGTAAATTAAATAATTAATATTGTATTGTGTCCATAAAAAATAAATTTTTGGTTTATCTTGTAAGATAACTTAAGTCAAGTTGAATTAGTTAGCTCACTAAGATTAATCAAAAATTTATGTTTTTAAGAAAAGCTAATTAATTATTTTATTTATATACAAAATATAGAAAGGTAAAAGAGAGAATCAATATAAAATGCTTAATCCTTATCTGCTACATTACAAAGATTAGTATTTGTGCGAAGAGTATGAAAACCAAAGAAAACAACAATAGCGTAAATTCAACTAACTTATTGGATGGAGCATAATAGGATTTTAAGCTGTTTAATGGATAAAACTATCATTAAATGGGTATACTTCTACTTAAGATTTTCCTTTAATCATTTTAACATGCATGACAGTTCTACTTTGCTTGTATGGATTTTACTCAAACTAAAAAAATAGCTTGAAAGCAATAAAATATTTTTTTATAAGCACCATTTCTCTCAATAGCTAATTTGTTTGTTCTTCTTATACAGATTATTTTTTATATTAAAAATAAATATCTATGTTGCTCTAAGGATGGATTTTTGGATACTCTTTTATTATATAAATGCTAGTTCTTCCAAGCTGGTATTAAAAGCTATTAATAATTACACAAGCTACTACCATATTAGCAATTAAAATCTCCACATTAGCAGAACCAAGTTCATAAGACACGTAGTTTGCTGAGCTTATTTTAGTCTCTTTTCTTATAATTGCATTATTTTATTTATATGAAAAATATGAGAAGTAAAATTTTTAAAACTTATATGAGTAAAAGAAAAGCTTGTAAGAGTGGAAAAACCTGCTTAATTTTACTATTTCTTCAAGTATTTTTGTTATTGTGCCTGAGCAGCCTAACAAGCATAAGCTGCGCTTTTGGAATTAAACATTTCATGAAAAATTTGGATAGATTGAAAATAATGAGTTTTTTAACATTATACAAAAAATAGCAATTAAAGAACATAAATTTTGTGGCTAATCTAAAAAAGGTTCTTTTACCCAAAGTTAAAAAGACAATAAAAATCACAGTTAATCAAACACAGATTTACAAAAAAATATAGTTATAGAAAATGCAGAAAACAATGAATTTCATCCTAATAGTTCGTTTAAAAGCTCAAAAAACTATAAGCATATTCACCCAAATTCTTCTTCATCATCTTCGTCTGTTAATTCTCAAGGTCAAGGATCATTTGCATCTAGTTCTTCTAATCTCCTTAAAAAAATAGATTTAATTTATTAGCAATTAAAATAAAATAGAATGAATGAACAAGAAAAGGATTAAAACGTAAATACAATTAAGAGTTTCTGTCCATAAATTGAAGAAAAATACCATAATTGCTTATTCAAATACAGTGTTGTACTAAATAAAGATTAGGAACAACAACAATAAGAATATAATAATAAATATAAAGGAGATTGCAATAACCAATACAATAAATAGGTCAATAATAACTCTAAAAAATCTTAAGAAACAACTACCAAAGAAAATACGACAAAAGTTAATATTAATTAATACTACGATATTAAGCTCATAGGATGCTATTGGGACAACTAAGATGCTGTTATGGTAATAATGGATGATATTAGTGAAAAAATTATTAATGAAAGACTTAAGGAAACAGATGAATACAAGGATTAGATGCTCGCTACAGTCACTCACGATCTTAAAACTCCTCTTAATGGTATTATTATAATGATTAAAACACTTATAGAATCAAGCTAGCACACTGAAGAGGAAATGAAGGTTATGAAAATGGTTTTACAAAATGCTAATCTACTTTTAAGCATGATCTAAGATATATTAGACTATTCTTAAATTAAAAGAAATGTCCTCAATCTAGCTCCTGATAGGTTTAAAATTGAAGAAGTACTAGAAGAAGTATACGAGTTATTTTCAATTTAAGCTCAGGAAAAAGGTTTAGAATTACGAATAGTCAAAGACGGAGTTCTTTGTAATAATTAAAGTAGTTATCAAAATTCAAACTAAATACAATATCAAAACAATTTCAATCTGTAAATCCAGAGCCCATAAGGATCAAAACTTATTTCATATTTTAGAAACTAAAATAGGTAAAAGACTATTGGGTATAAAATACAACACTTGAATAACAATGAAGATTAACAAGGAAGTCATGATTCATCAATTAAATTTTTTAGAAATACTAAAAAGAAATTATCTGAATTTTATATAAGAGCTACAAGCTAAAATAATAGCAGTAATAATGATAGCTCTTCAGTGTTAATAAAGTAAAATAAAAAGAATAGTCCCAAAAAAAATGAAACAGATAATAAGGTAAATAAATAGTTAAAAAACAACCAAAATTAAAATAAAAATTATTTTATTTAGACTTTAAATAGCTTTTAAATTCTCAAAATAAAATCATTTTATTAATTAAATTTAATTATTAATTTTTATCTTTGATTTGAAATATGATAAAAAAATTTCTTTAATGAAAATCAAAATATTTTAATTTTAAAATAATAATAATAGGGTGCTGGTATTTTACCTCATAACCACTAAAAATAAATTAATTTATTAGGTAAATGATTTAAAATTTTGTTTTTTATATTTTTGAAACTAGATATGAAATAAATTATATTTTAAATTAGAAAATGAACTGAAAGACAGTATTATCGATAATAGCAAATAGGATAGTGTTTATTCATCATAATATGGAGGTGTTATGAACAATAAAGAGGTTGAGAGTGAAGCAGAAATCACATTAGACCATAAATCTGAATTAATAGAACAATTTAACTTAAATGATGAAAACACAAAGCAAGAAGAGTAATCATATGCTACTTACCTTGATTAAAAAAAATATAATCCAAGGTTTTAGAATTAAAGTAGCAATTTGTTAAAATTTAGTATAGATTTAATGAGCAGTGGTAAAAATAACACAGAGGTTTATAGCGATAAGCGCAGGATTAAGCAAATACTTATTAATTTAGTAGGTAATGCTTTGAAATTTACTGAGAGAGGTTCAATTAGTATAGAATATAATGTAATAAGTGATAGAAATTTAGTAGAAATAGTTGTAAGAGACACTGGTGTAGGTATTTCTGAGAGTCTTTAACCTAAATTATTTAAAGTATATAGCACCTTTGATCATAATAATGGATCTAACAGACACGGAGTAGGTCTTGGGTTGGCTATATGCAAGAAACTGGCTTAATAATTGGGGCCAGAAAAAAATATAAAGCTTACTTCAACTAAAGGAGATGGTAGCTCCTTTTCATTTTTAATTTATCAAGACATAGGCTTGGCAATAAAAAAATATAAATAAAAATTGAATACTTATTCAGAAGATGAAGAAAGTTAATAGATTAATGATCAAGTAGTGGAAAAATAATAACTTAAAAATTCTTAATCGAAAGATATTATGGAAAATTAAGATAAATAATAAAAGCTAGATGATATTGATGGAGTAGCTAATTTAAAAACGAAGTGTGAAATTTCTCCAAATTTGACTGCTATAACTAGTGATTAAGTTTACGAACTAAATACTAATTATACAAACAGGCTTAAGAAGAATCTCAGTATTGTTTGCCCTAAAGTGTCTTTTGAAGATTACACATTAATTAGTAATTCTCAAAGATAACTTGTTAATGATAAAAATAATTTAGATAATCTAAATGAATTTCTTAAAAATTAAGACAAAGAAAAAGAAGGCAATAATATACAATCTCATAGAAATTCAAAATATAACTCTCATAACAATACAGAAATCGGTCAAATGAGTTATTAATAAAAAAAATTTTAATCAAAAGATGAAAATTATTAATTTGGATCTGAATTATAATTAGAGTAAAGCTGCATCTTTGACTCACTAGATATAGATGAGCATAAAACAGATTAAAAGTAAGCAGTTATTCAATTTTAGCATTAACTTGGAATGATCAACGATTAAGTAAATAAAAATATTAAGTAAAAATATTCTCTGAACAAGATTTCCTAATAATCCTCCATGTATTTACAAGGAAGAGATATAAAAAATTTTCAATCCTCAACTTTTTCTGCCTTCATTTAACAAAATGAATAAAATTCACCTTAAAATACTAAAAACTATAGACAAAATTAAAGTGTGCAGCAATTCGATCAATTTCTAACTTTAAAGGTACAACATTATTAAAATATTATTAATTTAACTTTAATTAATACTTCTTTAAAAATGTAAAAGAAAATTACATTGTTTATCACAAGATTTCTATTTAAATTTTTATTATTTAATTTTAATGAATTTATTTAGTAAAATAATTATTTTATGCAATCAATTTTAAATTTAAATTAGTAAAATGTTTAAAACTCTGATACACTTTCTTCTCCTAAATCATGCTTAACGTTTTATAACTTCTCCAATTTTAAAGGGCTACCCCTTAATGAATAATAGCAAAGTCAGTAAGCTAAAGTATTTGACAGTGGGCTTAAAATTACAAGGACCAATTCATAGTCAATTCCTTCAGTTTAGTTAACCTTTTAGCAAAGTTAAAAACACAATTCCAAGATATCAAATTCTCAATCAAGTTTGCATTATTAGCATTAGTCATATATATATGAGTTCAAAAGACCTGTCAACATACTAATTGTAGACGATACTACATTTAACTTAATAGCATTAAAAGCGATGCTTAAAAAAGTTAGAAACATAAACCTCATAGTAGATGCCTATAATGGAAAAGAAGCTCTAGAAAAATTTAAACAAAATAAATTTGATTTAGTTTTAATGGATATTAATATGCCGATTATGGACGGCCAAGAATCAATGAGGCACATGAGATCATACGAGAAGGAACAATATTATAAAAGTTAAAAAAGATATAACAGTAAGCATTCAAGTTATTACTCACCTCTTTAGAAACTCAATAGTAGTAGAAATGAAGAAGGAACTTTTACATAATATCAGTAATCTATTATTTATGGAGAAGTTTCTGATAATTAAATTGCTGAGACTAACGATGATTTCACAAGCAAATATAAAAAAGTGATTAACTTATGCTAAAACTAAGATTAATAAAATTAGATAGGAATATCTGAAATTCAAAATAGAAATATTCAAGACTAAAATGCTTAAAAATAAGAAAATGCATAGACAAATAAGTAACCAACCTTTTAGGGTCTCTCTCCTGCTTATTCAAACTCTCCCCTAAATAGAAAGGGTTAAATTTTAAAGCAAGGACAAAGGTAATCAAGAAGAATAAAAACTGCTACTATCGAAGAAAGTCCTAGAGCTATATTTGAAAATGGCTCTCCTGGGTTAAACTAGCAATTGATGCTACAAAAATAGATTTAAGGACACATATAAACATCCAGTTAGTCTTTTTCAAGGAATAATCTAAACTCAGGAAATAACAGTAAAGTCTATTGGAATGCTATTATTTTTGCAGTTACTGCTTATGATTAGTAATAAGATATATAAAAATATTTACAAGCAGGGGCAAATGCACATATATCTAAGCCTATTAAATTAGAAAATTTATTTTCAGTAATTAATAAATTTTTTTGATTATTGATTTTATGCTACAAAATCTAAATTATTTATTTAAATAATATAAAAATGTTATATAATTTACATACGAATACATACAATTTATCAAATTTTGTAATTTTAAATGTAAAATTAAAATAATTAGTTTAAATTAGGTACACTTTTAGAAATAAATGACAACATTTAATATTTATTGACTTATTTTTTTAATTGTTTAGTATGAAAGTTATTTATTAAAAAATACAATTTTTTTTGTGTATCAATGGAAAATTTTCTATATATTTTCTTAGTCATTATTAATTGTAATAAATAGTATGAATAAATATATATATATAGTAACAAAAATAGCGAATTTATCTTTTCTTATAATCAATATTTAATAAATTTTACTGGTTAGATCTAGCTGTTTGTGTCGATCGATCGATTATAATAACTTTAATTAAAAATTTTTATCAAAATAAAATTCACATCTACAAAATTTTTGAATGTAACTTATACAAAAATAGATATATGCAGTAAATGTGTAAGGTCAGCATTCTTGGAAACATACTTATTTATTTTATAATAGTTGAAAAATATCATTTTGAACATCATAGTTTGATTTAAAGAACAAAGAATAAATAATCTTTATAAATATAATAAATTATGAATATTCAAGCAATTCTGGGAAAAAAGCAAATCATAATTATATGGATAGTTTTGATTATAAATAAACAGTAAATAAACAAAAAAGAAATATAAAAATATATATATTAATGATTTATCAAAATAGGGCGTGTTGAAGCTTAATAAATGTTAAAATTATATAGAACTTTGATTCTTTTAATAGATAAATGATAAATAAATCGATGCTTTAAAATAATAAGAATAGTAAATAATAATATACCCTATAAATTACTAGATAAATAATTAAAATAATGTTAGATAACAAGCAATATTAATTATTATCATTTATTGTGAGAGAGCCAAGAGCCTACCTAAATTTTGTTTATTTAACTAAAAAATAATAGAACTCTATAGTTTTGCATATTTACATTAATAATAAATAATAAATCGCTCAAGATAAAAAGACTATCTTACAATTAATAAATAAAAAAATTTGCAATTTTAGGGAAGAGGGAGACAGAAGCAGTAAAATTAAAAAATAAATTTAACGCTAATCATAGTTTCCCGATACCTGATATAGCTTTTTTTGATTTGCGTTCTTTAGGTAATAAAGGTACATTGATTTCCTTGCATAATAATAGTCTCTTAAAAGAGAACTAACAAGGGTTAACTTGACAATAGTAGCATTAGCTTTAATCAAAAAAAAAAAAAAATAGTAGAAATTTGAAGGAAATAATAGAAGGAAATAGTAGTAAACAAGAAGAGGAGCTTCAGTAAAACAAAAAAAGCACAATTATCTTTGTATAGAAGATCCAGAATTTTCAATGATATTTCATAGGTTTAGCTTAAATTTTAAGAACAAGCGATATGAATAAGAATTTCAATGTTAGAATGAAAAATATCAAAAAAATATAAACAAACTTAACTGCGTTGTGTTTATGATATTCTCTCTTTGCATCAACCTAGAAGTTTATATTTATACAAAAGATGCAATAACAATTATTACAGCTGTATTTCCTATTTTGTTAGCAATGGCTGCTCTTTATAAAAATACTAAAAAATTAAATTAAGTAAAGGTTTTCATGTTCTTAGCTATTATATGCCATGTCATATTATCAGCATCTATACAGTATCAGAGGTTTAGAAATAAGATACAATCTGATCAAAATTTTGTATTTGGAAGTTTAACTGGAATTATTATTGGAATAGTGGCTAGTGGTATGCAGCAGTGGTATCTTAAAGAGTTTATTATTTTAATTTATATTATGATCACTTTCTGTTCAGCTATCTCTTAATTCACTTTTGAGTAAATAGCACTATTTATACCTATTATAGTTATAGAGATCATTCTTAGTAATATCATTTCATATTACAAAGAAATGCAGTCAAAAATGTAATTCTATGACTAACTAGTTGCTAAAGATACAATTTATGATTTAAAAAATCTCCTATAAAATAATATTCCTCAAAGTATTTTTGTTGTTTCACAGAAACCAAAGAGGTAACATTAACCTTCAGCAACTAATTGCAATAACAAGCAAGGTAATGAAGTAGTTAATAGCAGCTGTAACAATAATAATATTAACAATAACAATGAAAATAATCACAATAATTTAGATCTAGAGAATAATGACCACTCAAGAATCAGTATTGATTGCGAAGACGAGTTAGTAATTAACTTTTAAAATAAATATTTCACAGAATATCAAAAGAAATTTAACTTTTCTTATGATGTTACATCTTTTTTAAAGATGATTAAGATATAGAGCTAATCTTAAGTTTAGGAAGCTCAGCCTCCAGCTTTAAAAGTCTTAGAGAATTCCAATATGCCTAAGAGCTTAAATACTCCATATTTTGGTACTAGTGGATAGTAAAGCATACTTGATGTTATAGTTTAGTAAATAAAAGATACAGCAACTGACAAACTAAGTTAGAACGATCCGTTAATACGATAACGCAGGTAAACTATTGCTTAGGATAAAGGATTTTAGCTTGATAACATTAAGGAGTATTTTAATTGCTAGTATAAGCAAGATCCTAGTGTATTCATATAAAATAAACCTATGGAACCTAACAAAGAAAAAAGGTTGTCAAAGAAGAAAAAGAAAAATTGTGTAATGTCGGAATTTCGTCATTTCGGCAGAGCCCTCTCTTAGATATCCTTTAAAAATACTTCTGTAAATAATACTCCAAGAGGTACAATTGGGAACGGATAAAATGAATAATCATAATAAAATCCAAATAATCTAAATATTAGCAACATTTATAATGCTACTAAAAAGAGATAAAATTCTAAATCACCTACTCCATAAGAAAATGCTGCAGCTGCTATAATTGCTAATCAAGCCAGTTAAAAAAATGAAAAAATTAGAAGAAAATGTAAAACTGTTTCTTTGAATAGTGATAATTAAAAAAATATTAAGTAACGCCAAATGTAATAGCTTCAAATAAAAACAAAAATTGTTAACTTAAATTCTTAAGTATTAAAATAAATTTAAAACCCGTCTAATCAAGGCTAAACAAGCAATTCAAAGTAGAATAATTCTGGACTGGTGGACAAAAATTAATTACAAGTTCAACAAATTCCTCTATAAAATATTTCAATTTATCCAAACTAGACTTCTGAAATACAGTCTTTAAGCTATCAAGAATAACTAAGTAATCTTCCTTCGGCTTAAATCAAATAAACCTGCAAGTTAAACTAGCACCATCAAACTAAATAGGAGGCTGAAAGTAATAAATAAAGTAGATAGAGTATAAATAGCTAAAATTTGCAAATTAATTTAAAGCACTCTTCAATACACAAGTCAATTTAAGTAAACAACAACAACGATGCTCAAAGACGTTCTACATAATAGCCTTCATAAACAAATGGAGGATATCAGATGAGCAGTATAAATAATTTATCCTATAAATATACAAATAAAAGTGAAAACAACTTAAAAAGTAAGCAATACCCTATTCTTTATTTTGATATTTAGCTTGTGAAATGCCAATGGGAAGAAAATGATGCTGTTATGGTCATCATGAATGATATTAGTGAAAAAGTAATGAATTTAAGATTGAAAGAGGGTGATAAATACAAAGACGAAATGCTAGCCACTGTTACTCATAATTTAAAGACTCCTCTAAATTCTATGATTCTTTTGATAAACAAATTGTTAAAAAAGGAGAAAAGGAATAAGGAATTGAAGATTATAAGTCAGAGTTCAAATATGCTACTCTCAATGATTATGGATATCTTAGATTATTAATGCATTAAACGGAAAACATTTAAATTATAAATTGAAGCCTTTGATATTTTGGATGTGATAAATGAAATCAAATAATTATATTAGATTACTGCTGACATTAAAGGATTGGAGATAAATATTGTAAATAATATTTAAAATCCTGATATGCAACTAGTTTTGCAAGACATGGATAGAATAAAGTAAATTCTAAATAATCTAGTTGGTAATGCTATTAAATTCACTAAGAAAGGTAGTATAACTATAATTATTGGTTATGACACTACATACTCAAATGATTCTATTAAAAAGGAATAAAATTCTTAAGATTAATTAAAAGATGAGAACAATACTCCCGAATTATAGGCTAACAATAATTCTATTAAGACTGATGCTGAAAAATCTGTTAAATTAAATAATTACCAAAGAATATTTTAAAATAATGGTGTTATATCAATATAAGTTAAAGATACTGGATCAGGTATAGACCATTCTCTACAGCAAAATTTATTTAAAATTTTTGCTACTCATGATCATAACGATGGATCAACAAAACACGGTGTAGGATTGGGTTTGACTGTATGCAGGAAATTAGTTAAGCTGATAGGGCCTAGAAGAAGTCTTCTTCTTGATTCCACCCCAGGAATTGGATCTAGTTTTACTTTTTTTATTTATCAAAATTTGTTAACTTCTCCCAAGTAATATACAAGTGAACTAAAAAACCAAATTAGCCCTATAATTATCAGTTCATCTTAGGAAAATAATTCAATAAATTTGTAAAACTAATTTTCTTAAAACTAAAACATGAGCTAAGGAAGTGATAACGAAACCCATTAGTAGGTTCCTATTTTTTAGAAATCACAGATCCATACTAAATAATAGCAAACACCACCTCATAACAATTCAGCTGCAGATGAAATAGCAGATACAAAGAATATAATTATATCTTCACCAAAAGGTAGTGAAAAATCACCTAAAAGAATGAACTAAATTGACTCTCCTTTATACAAAACTGATAATATTGATACAGGTGTAACTCCAAGGAATTAACAATCAATACAATTTCGCTCTTCAGATGCTTCTCTTAATCACTTGATCAAAGACGAAAAGCAACAATAGTCTAAATTTGGGAAAAATGATTAGAAACCGAGCAGGAAAAAAAGTAACAAGCTATTCTAAGGTAGTTAAATATCCTTAATTCTTGATTTAAATAGTCCTCTCTAGGAACAAAAATAGTTTGAAAAAAATTATTTGAGTTCCTTTTTAAATTTTACTCCTCGGTCAAATGCAAATTACCACCAGCAAAATACAGTTTCTACAATAAATAATATAAATTAGAAATTACTTTCTAAGCGAGACAGTGATAACTGTCATGAAGGATCAAGCTTAAGATTAATAGTAGGAAATAATAATTTAAATAGTCCAAACGCTGTGTCTACTAATATAGTTTTTTCTGCATAAAAAGATAAAGACTTTTTTAGTAAATAACAATTAAGATTAAAGAATAAAATGACTTAATAAGAAGATTATGATGATGCACTAATAAGATCTGGAGAAATAAATGATTATATATTAAGTGAATCATATAATAAATCACCTGATAAGATTTTCAATTAAAATTTAGATTTTAGTCCTAAGGGATTCAGACCATTTATTTAAACACCCAAAAAGAGTTTATTTAATTTAGACTCTAAGCATTTAATATATTTAAAAACAAATAATCAGATAAGTATGAATAATATTCACATATTGCCATAAAGTTCAACAAGTATTAGCATAGATAAGCACTTTAGTCATTATCCATCTAATAATCTCTTAGCTACTTTCCATGATTACAACAAATGTAAATCTTAATAATTCTTTTAAAATTAGAAAATTTGTTAAAAAAATTAAAATTTTTGTTATAAAATAGATGAAGAAAAGTTCCAAGATAATTTTGAGGATGAAGATTTCAGTAAAAATTATTTTAATTTAAAAAAATTTTTTAATTTCATTTTTAATAATTTATAGATTTTAGACCTATGAATATGAAGTATCTCGAAAGTTAAACAAATATAGGGTTAGAGTAAAATAGAATGTAATAATTGCCTGTCAAGCATAGTTCAAGTAATAAATCTGATTCTGATAACTAAAACTCACTTTAAAAGTAATTTTATATGAGTGAGTCTCACGGGGCTTTCCCATCTTTAGATAAATAAATTATAGAAAAAGATGGTGAGTCTTATTCAGATAATGTTTAAGATGACAGTTAAAATTTAAGTAGTAGCAGTAGCTATACTGAAGAAGGTGAATAATATACAAATGGTGAGGGTGAGTAAAACTTAGGAGATGTAGAAGAAGAAGATGATGAAAGCAAAGAAGATGAAGATAACATGAATTTAGAAGGACTATTCTCTAATACTATAAATGCATTGATAGTAGATGACACTCCTTTTAATATATTTGTCCTTAAATCATTTTTTTAAAACTGCAAAAATATTAAATTTTCTCAAGCATTTGATGGAAAAGAGGCCTTCGAACTATACAAAGAAAACAAATATGATTTAGTTTTTATGGACCTAAACATGCCGATCATGGATGGATTTGAAAGCATAACTCTTATTAGGTAATTCGAGCATCAAAATAACCTAAAAGAAAGCATTATTTTTGCAGTAACAGCATAAGATTAAATTAAAGATATTTAAAAATGCATTGACTGTGGAGCTAATGGCCACATTCCTAAACCAGTAAAGTTAAGTTTATTGTATTCGTCTCTTTATTAATATTTCAAGAGAAGATGAAAATATTAAATGTAAAAATTTATAATTTTCTCTTTTATATTTACGAATTAAAGAGTAAATAAAGAGTCGAACAACAAAAGAAATAACCTTTCCATTTTACATAAATACAAGCATTTGAATTTAAGAAAATATTTACTAAACTATTTTAAATTTATTCAGAGTCATTTAAAAATTCTTATGCTTTTAGCTAAAACAAGCACAGATTCTCTAAAAAAAGTAGTTAAATTTCACTAAATTAATATCAATCAATCTTTATTTCAATTAGTTATTAAAATTAAGTATTAAAAAAAAACCAAACAAACAAACATTATTAATTATTTTATCATTTGTATATTTATATAAAAACATACTCACTCCAATTAGTATTTCCTTAAACTAAGTATTATTATTATTATATAATAATTGAAATATTAACAAAGAAAATAATATTATTATATACTTAACTTTAAAATGTAAGTAAGTAAATAAATACTTGTAAGTTTGAATTCAAGGTTATATCATAAGAACATAAAATACATGAATTTATATTTAAATGACATTTTTATTTTCTAATTAAATAGTTGAATAACAAAAGAATTTTTTCATTTTACATAAAGAAACACAATTTATTTAAGTAAAAATATTTTAACTGAAATAAAAGCTTAAAAAAAAAAAGCATAGTTAATATAAATTCATTAAATTAATATTAATTTATATTTCAATTAATAAATAATTCATGTTAGATAATAACAAATCAAACAAACTTCATTAAAAAAATTACTAAAAACTGGAAATATTTTATTTTCTTTATTATAAATAATAAATAGAAGTATTCAAAGTAAAATGGTTATGTTTAATCAGATTAAATAATTTAATTCTTAAATTTATTCAAATAAAACAAAAAATAGTTAGTTTCCTTTTGCAAAACAAGCAGTAGCTTTATAGTAAAGTTATTTAATAAATTCATTAAATTAATATCACTCTTTATGTTAATTAGTTACTAAAATTTAGTATCAAAAAGCAAAAAATCGTCATTAATTATTTTATCACTTGTTGTGTGTTTATAAAAAATAAAAATAAATAAAAATTATTATTTTCTTATGTTATAAATAATAAATAGTATTATTTATTCTTTCAAGCATCTAGTTACAGAAAGAATAATGCTTATCTTTAATCAGATTAAATTTAATTCTTAAATTTTTTCAAAGTAAAATAAAAAACTCTTCTTGATTTTAGATAAAATAAGTAGCAGAATATTTTTATAATAAGTAAAGTTAATAAATTTAATTATTTGATATATCAATCTTTATTTCATTTTGTTATTCATATTAAGCATCAAAAAATCAAACAAACACCACTAATAATTTTATTGTTTGTTATGTATTTATCTTAATACATACTGAAAAGATTATTATTTTCTTAAATTATATATACTTATAAATTATAAATTATGGTTTCCATTCTTTCAAGCATCTACTTACAGAAAGAATTATGCTTATATTTAATCAGAATAAAAAATTTAACTCTTTTTAATTTCGCTAGAGATTTTACATTTAATAAATAAATAAATATAATACTTAAAATAAATTTGTAATACCCAAAAATTTTTAATGGATTCTCTAGATAGTTAATCAAAAAAACAATAATAAGAGGAGTTAGAAAAAACACCATTTAATGTATGCATTGAAATAGGATCATCTAGAGTGAAAGTAGGAGTTTAGAACATAAAAACATAACAATTTGACTTCTTTTCTGAAGACACAAAATTCTTCTTTTATCCTTTAGATAGCCTATTTGATAAGCTCAGTGAATTTTTACACTAAAAAGGAGTTTATTTAATATAAAAAATTGGAATAAGCACTACAGGAGAGGTTGACTCGGAAAAAGGAACTATCAAATAATGTGGTACACTTAAAATCAGATCTAAATAAAAGCATTTTTAAGATTTTGAGCTTGTTGGATTGATTAATACTAAATTGTAACAGAAAATTTTAGAAAAAGATTTAACTTATTTAATTAATGATGGTCATTCTGCTGGTTTAGGAATTTATTATTATGCAAAAGAAAAACATGATTTTCCTTTTGTATCTCTGAGTCTTGGAACTTATCCTGCAGTCTCAGTAATTACTGATAGCTTTATAGCTACAGTTGAGGCAAGAAAAAATTTTATAAAAGGAAAACATATATCAGCATACTGTGCAAAATCTCTAGTAGAAAAAGACAAAAAAACTGACCAAGAGTATACATAAAATATTCTTGATATTATACCTCTACTTAATAAAATTTCATTTAATATGACTGGAGAAAATATGACCCATTTATTTATATTGGGTGGTATGAGCAATCATATAACAGATGACCTTTTCTTCAAAGATGAAGCTATTAAAAATACCACAACTATAATAAAAGACGATTAAATTATATACAATTAAATCATATTTCCTGCTTTGCTAAAATACCACCCAAAGCTAAGTGCTGATGTTTAGATAATCTCCAAAGAAGATTTTTCTGTTGTAATTGATTGAATATAAATTTTCAAATCTTTATCTTATGCTTTATTTTAAAATACATTTTGATTTTGTTTGTTTGTTTAAAGGTAAGCAAGCTATCATATACATTTAAAAAAATTAAAAATATGTTTTTTTATTAGATATCAAAACGTATGTAAATATTTCACTACAAAAAAAGTTATTAATTCTTTATTGAATTTATATTTAAATATTTATATGGAGATTTGAAAGTAAAGTGGGGAATATATTTTGTTTGTTTGTTTGTTGATTAAATATATTTTTAGTAATAAATGTATATTTAATCAATATCGAAGGTATATTTTGTTATTCAATATAAAAAAATTAAGAAATATGAATGGTTATAAAAATAACATTTCTATTATTAAGTAAATTTATTGGATCTAAATAAGTAGATGGATGGTATTTTGTTTACAAAAAGCGCAAACAATAATTAAAATAAAAATGCATAATTATATATTAATCAAAGCTATTCTTTTAATAGTAGCTTGTCAAATAAAAGTGAATAAATAAATAAGTAAGTAAGTTTTTTTCTTTTGGTAGTTGGAAATAAAAAATTCTTTTTTGATCAATAAGATATTGCTTTTCATTCAATCCAATTATTTAAAAATATTGCTTCTAAATAAATTTTATCTCATTCGTTTTCAATTTTATTTCTTTAGATTGAAGGAAAAAAATATATTTCTAAACTGTTTTTTTATCACTTGAATTATTGTTACTATTTCAATATGTCGCTAAATACTACCTTATAGCAAATAGTTTTTCATGCAACTAAAGTTGATTTTGAGTTTGGTATTTGAAATCTTTTTCTTTTTATTCGAAAATTTTTTAAGATTAAAATGATCACATCAAAATTTTATTTATTGTTTTTATTGAGCTGAAATGAAATAGCATAAACCAAATAATGGGAATTTATGAATAAGTTAAAACAATATTTATTATATTTTATTTCGTAACTGATTTTACATTTTCAGATAAATAGTAATTGCTTTTTATTTAAAAAAAATAACTATCTTTTCTTGTCAAAGGTAGATATTTATTTGCAAATTTGTTTAACTTAGTTCTTTTTGACTTTTTAAGTTTCAAAATTTTTAACTGAAAAAGCTAATAATAGGTTTTTAAATATTAAAGAGATGATAATTTATTATACAATTACTCAAAGAAATTCAAATAATAAGAATAATTTAAATCCAACATTTTATGAATTTCTTATTCGCTTTTGCACTTTTGTTTGAATTTATGAGAAAATAATTAGGAGGTATTTTTGAATTCAAAAAATATATCTTTAAATTATTCAAAAATGGTATATTTTTATTTTAAAAAACTAAATGATTAGCTTGATAGAATTTATGAACATTCCACACAATTTGCACAAACTATTTTATAATCGCTACTACTTTATAATTTTATTTCAGTTGTTTCATAGCTTGCTTATATTTATTTTAAATACCAAAAACACTAACTCGAATGCCTAAAATAGCATACTTTACTTTTTAATAGCTAACTTAAAAAATGAATGGCTCAAATAGATAAAATTAGAGCATTTTGATGTTAAATAATAATGAGTAAAATAAATCGTTCTTCTATTTAATCGCACATGTTTCAGATAAGATGTATAATATAGAAAAGAAATTTTTCTTCAGCCTTTAAAAGATTATTCACTATAATAAATAAGAGAGTAATCGGAATAATATTTGACTAAAAGCTAAAATATAGAAGACAGAATTCATAAGGGTACCTTTTATAATCGCGTTTATTATAATAGTGTAAATTAAATAATTTGTGCTACTTGGAAAGTCAAATTTAGACCCTAATGCAGTGGATTAGTTTTAGTGAAAAGATACATTTTACATTAATGGAATTTATTTTAAATGGTATGCAGTGAGGAATTGCATAGAAAATAAATTAAATCAATCAATGTCCTTCTTTAATCAAAATTTAAAAAGAATTAGTGATTTTATTTAGGAAAAAACAATTATATAGTTGAAGTAAAAAAAATAGTTGAGGATTTTTGATTTTGCAAATTGTTTTTAATTAGTCATGAAAAAAAAAATCTGTTAAATATGTGAAAATATCAAGCGAACTGACAATTATTAATTTCTTTGTATTTTTTAAAGCTGTTTATTTGTTGTTTGGATAATTAGATCTCTCTCTTTCTATCGTATTTTGCAATAATAGGTATTAACTTTTATACTGATTGTTAGTAGATGCCTTCAAATTTTCTTTTTATTTAAATTCATATGCTATATCTTTTAAAACACTCCACATTTTATTGTTGCTAACTGTGCTATTGATCTTTAAGTCAATAGCTGCTCATTTTGTTGAACTCCACAGAGACACTAAATTTGTTTATTTTGATGGATGCTTTATAATTAAAGTTACGTAATCTGCTTGACATTTAGCCAACTATATAAAAAAGATCAAAATGTAGCTTAAATCTCAAAAAATCATCATAATTTACTATCAAATTATTAAGAAATTCATATAATCACCACTTTATTGACTTTTATTCATCTTATAGAGTGATAGTAGAGTTGAGCCAAATTGATACTTGTTTACGTTGTATTATTTTGAAATTTTAAAAAAATGAAAATGAGAGAAAAATTTATTTAAATTTGAGCTTAGAATCTTTAAGGAAGATCAAAAATGGGCTAACTAAATGTTAGAGTACGAAGACTGTTCTTGAAATAAAGTGTCATCCTTTACGAATCAAGTTGCTACTTTAATGAATAATAGAATTTGAGGTAGAGCTAAAATGAGAGATATAGTAATGCTATTGGATTATATTTGGTTTGTATGATGGTTTTTCTTTGGTAAATGAATGATATAAATGAAGAGTGGCAATAAAATTAATTGAAATTGAATGAAAAAATGAATAGAAATTAAAGAAGAGTATAATTTTATTTTTGAATTTTATTTAAATTTTAATGCGTGTATTTATTTGGGTGATGAAAAGGGTAAATAAAGGGCGTTGCACTTTTCTCAATAGTAATATTTAAGAAGAGAGGGATTTAGAAGGAAAAATCATAATCAAATAAAAAAAATAAAAAAGTTTGAAAAAAAACCTTCAAAAAAAATAAATAAAAACAAAATCACTCCTTTAAGCAATTAAAAATGAGAGAAATCGTTCACATCTAGGGTGGTCAATGCGGTAACCAAATTGGTGCTAAGTTCTGGGAAGTCATTTCCGATGAACACGGTATCGATCCCACTGGTACCTATCATGGTGACTCCGATTTGCAATTGGAAAGAATCAACGTTTATTACAATGAAGCTACTGGTGGTAGATACGTCCCCAGAGCTATCTTGATGGACTTAGAACCTGGTACCATGGACTCCGTCAGAGCTGGTCCTTTCGGTCAACTCTTCAGACCTGATAACTTCGTTTTCGGTCAAACTGGTGCTGGTAACAACTGGGCTAAGGGTCACTACACCGAAGGTGCTGAATTAATTGACTCCGTTTTGGATGTTGTCAGAAAGGAAGCTGAAGGTTGCGATTGCCTCTAAGGTTTCTAAATCACCCACTCCCTCGGTGGTGGTACTGGTTCTGGTATGGGTACCCTCCTTATTTCCAAGGTCAGAGAAGAATATCCTGATAGAATCATGGAAACCTTCTCCGTCGTCCCCTCTCCCAAGGTCTCTGATACCGTCGTTGAACCCTACAATGCCACCCTTTCCGTCCATCAATTGGTCGAAAATGCTGATGAATGTATGGTCATCGATAACGAAGCTCTTTACGATATCTGCTTCAGAACCCTCAAGCTCACCACCCCCACTTATGGTGATCTTAACCACTTGGTCTCTGCTGCCATGTCTGGTGTTACTTGCTGTCTCAGATTCCCTGGTCAATTGAACTCCGATCTTAGAAAGCTCGCTGTCAACTTGATTCCCTTCCCTCGTCTCCACTTCTTCATGATTGGTTTCGCTCCCCTTACCTCCAGAGGTTCTCAATAATACAGAGCCCTCACTGTTCCTGAATTGACCTAATAAATGTTCGATGCCAAGAATATGATGTGCGCTGCTGATCCCAGACACGGTAGATATTTGACTGCCTCCGCTCTCTTCAGAGGTAGAATGTCCACCAAGGAAGTCGACGAATAAATGCTCAACGTCTAAAACAAGAACTCTTCTTACTTCGTTGAATGGATTCCCAACAACATCAAGTCTTCCATTTGTGATATTCCTCCTAAGGGTCTTAAGATGGCTGTCACCTTCGTTGGTAACTCCACTGCTATCCAAGAAATGTTCAAGAGAGTCGCTGAATAATTCACTGCTATGTTCAGAAGAAAGGCTTTCTTACATTGGTACACTGGTGAAGGTATGGACGAAATGGAATTCACTGAAGCTGAATCCAACATGAACGATCTCGTCTCCGAATATCAACAATATCAAGATGCCACCGCTGAAGAAGAAGGTGAATTCGAAGAAGAAGAAGGTGAAAACTGAGCGAACTGAATCGGTCAGCTAAACCAACCAATCAACATAATAAACTTTATTATTTTTACTTAAGCATCTTACTGTTGTTGTAATAGTAGAGAAAGAAATACCCAATTAACTTCATTCACATAACATTAATATCTATAAACATCTTTTTTCTCACATATATACAACTCTCTAAATCAACAAATAACTTTTTAAAAATAATGGATATATATTAACAAAATAATATATCTCTTTTTACAAAATAGTTCTTATATAAATACGTATTCTGCACTCACCCGCATTTTTCACAACAAAAACATACCAAAAAAATTCTTACTTCTACATGTTTCCTTTCTTATTATTACAAAATTATTTTATAAATAGCATACAAAAATAAATACAATAAAAAAATAAACAAAATCCTTTTTTATTTTGAATTATTTAAAACAAATATTTTCAATCAATCAGTCAGTCAGCATAATATTAAAGCAACAAAACAAACCCAAGTTGTTTTTATAGTTTTTTAATTGCTTTTCAGTACTATAAATAAATTTGTTATTACTTCAAGATTGATAAACTTCTTTTTTAAATTAAATATCTATGAATGAATAAATAAGTTGATATCTCTTTTTAACTTGTTTTCCTCTCTTTTACTTACTTGCCAATTTTTTTTTTAAATTAAAGAAATATCTTTTTATTTTTCAAAAACAAAATTTATTTTCCCTTGTATACAAAAACCCCTTTATTTAAATAAAATCTTTATGCCCATCAATAGCCACATCTTTTTGAATTTTATTGCTTATACTGCCTTTCTTTTCTTTTCTTATGATAATACTTCTTTTTTCTATGATTATTGGAATATCTTTTTTTTCTTAATCGTTTTTAAATAAAATTAAGCGGCAACATATTTTATTTTCTTAAAAATATAATATTTTATAAGTAATAAAATTAAAATTTATATTCAATTGGTTTCTGATTTTATTTTATTCACTATTCCAATAGATTGCTTTTATTTTTAAAACTAGTTTGTTTATTTATTTAATAAATTTTTAATACTTCTTTGAATTTTTATATCTTAGTTCTTTAAAAAGCGACTTATAGCAAAATAAAATGTATAACTAGGAATAGCTGAAAAAATCTTTAATATTTAAATTATTTAAATAGGAAATATTTAAAAAGTAATGTTTTTGAATTTTTCAAAATTAAACATAAATAATATGCTTTCTTAAATTTTAATTTAGACTATTTTTTACTTATTAATTCAACTATTTAAATAAAAATAAAATGCTTTTTAAAAATCAAAAAAGCTTTTATAATAAATAAAAAAATGCATTAAATTTATATTTTTTTTGCCCATACAAACAAATTTTTTAAATTTAAAAACAAACTTTGCTTTTTTATTAAAAAAATAAGCAAAAAATTTTTAAAAATTTTGTGTTAAATCACAAACAAAATTCAAATGTAAATTAATTAGCTTAAAAAAGGTTTGACAAAGAATATAAAAAGAATAAAATAATTAAATTAAAACTAAATATTATACTATTTATAAGTTAAAATTTATTTAAAAAAAAATATTTTTAATAAAATAAATTAGATTTTTTAGAAGTAAAATAATATTTAAAAAGGATTCATTTTAATTTTGAAATTAAAAAATGTAGATTTGAATAAATTGTTTTAAGTCAAAGTTAGAGTGAGAACTGAATACATGCAAATATGAATGAATGAAATGTATCTTAGATTTTTATTTACAAAATATTTTTGTTTGTTTTGTTTTTTTGTATAATAAAATGTTAAAATAGTTTATCGAAAGTGTTATAAGTTATTTTCGTACCTTTAAGCAGCTTTTATTAATATTTAAGAATATGCATACATTTTGTGTAACCAAAAGATCTATTTATTGTTAAATAATATTATTTATTTATTTTATATTTTTATTAAATAAATTTTGATATATATATTTTGATTGATATTGTGTGTTTGTTTTCTAAGAAATCAAAGAGAGAGAGAGATAGATAAGAGAGTTATTAAGATAAATAATTAGTTTTTCTATTTTAGATTAAAAGTTGAAATTTGTTGTTCATGTCTTTAATATTTAGTGTTCATCTGTTAAGATTAATTTTAATAAATATTATAGTTTAAAGTTAATTATGATTATTATTATTATTATTATAAGTTAAAGGAGGATGTATGTGTGTGTGTGTGTGTGTGTTAATTACTCTTTTTTTATTTAATAATTTTAATTTTTTGATTATTTATATGTTGGTTATGTTTTATCAAGAAATTAGAATGTAAATAGAAACTAGAATCAATGTGCAAAATAAGTGTGTATTTTTTCAATCATCAATAGTTATAGGATTATCTTCTTTTCCTATGTTGGTAATTTTTTCATATATTCTCTTTTTACTGAGACCTTCACTGCTATTAGAATTATTTTATTCTATGCTATTTATTAATATTTCAAAAATAAATATAAGTTAAAAAATCAAAAAAAATTTAAATAATTAATAAGTAAATTAATTGTAAATTTAATTTACATTTTTCTTTTTAAGCTATTTTCAGAAGGTTACTCAAATTGAATTTGCACTGTTTCTGACTACCCAAAATTTTTTAATCTATTTAATAATAAATTTTATGAATTTTTATAACGATAATGCTAATTCCTAAAAATCATTTTTTATTTTACTATCTTTATTTCTAATTCTCTCTAGCTTAAAGAGTATCTTGTAAAGCATGTGATAAAGACTATTAAGAAATAGGTGATGATGATGAAGAAGAAGAAAGATGAACTTATTATGGTTTTTTTAAGATAATATTTCTCTTATTGTTACTTTTTAATGAATAATACTTTGTTTGTTCTAATTCATTACTCATTTTATTTTGAGTATCTTTCTACTAAAATTTGTTTTAACTGCTTTCACTTGTAGATTAATAACTTTAGTTACTAAATTCTACATCCATTCTTTTGTTAGTTTATTCATTTCTTATTTTTTTCTATTAGTCTACAATTTTATTGATTATTTCTTTTTGCTGTTGTTTAATTGAATCCTTTTATTCTAAGTTTGCATATATTTTTTCTGTTTATGCAACCTAATTAGAATTTACATCTTTTTTTAACTTTTTACTTTTACTATTCTTTGACTATTTGTAATTTAGAGATGATATTCTTAATTACTTTTGAAATCCTATATCTTCCTCAAAAGTATTTGAATCTTCATCCTAACTTATCCTATATCTATTTCTCTAATAATTATAATTCCTTTCTTGATTAACCTGGTGAGTGTTAGAATTCTAACTATCATTTTCATCACTATCTTATTCTTCTTCTTCTTCTTCATCATCATTCTAATAATCTCTATCATCATGCATTTAAATCTCTTCATCGCTAGAAAGAGGAAATAAAGGTAATTCTGAAAAGTATTTAATTAAATTTTATATCTACGTTTTAACGATGATGTTATTAACCTGAGGATTTTGTTGACTCTTTTTAGAACTACCTTGGTTACTTCCGCTAGTGCTATTGTTTAAGTTTTATTTTTGCTTGGATGAAAGATCTTAAGAACTACCAAATCTTATATTTTGTCCCTAAGCACTCATATAATCTTCAAAATATTAAATGCTAAAATCTTGACGTTATTCTAAAGACTATTCTTTTTATATTCTCTTCCTTTCAATGTTTTGTATTTCTTTATCTGACAATACAACATTTTGATAGCTCTTGCTTTAGTCTCCACTCATAGATATTTCTTCCAATTTTTAAATGTGATCTAGCATCAAGGGCTTCTAACTATTTGTGAGTTGAATCTATTTTTAAATATCTTAACTACTAATTCCAATTTCAGGAATTTATAGCATATTAATTAACTTCATTGCATTTTAATTTATTATTTATTGTTGCTGTTACTGCTATTACTACTATAACAACTTCTAAACAGATATTTATTAAAGAGTGTCTTCTTTATGTAGATCATCGGATTTCGGACTTTCTATTAGTATTGGCTAGTCTTGATTTGATGCTATTCTTTTAGGGTTAATTTATTATTTGGGTTATACTTAAATTTAATTGATCTATTATTATGCGTTTTAAACAATATATTAATAGTTTTATTTTTATAATTTATCTATTGTCTGCTGCTTATCCGTTTGCTTTTTAAACACTTTTGAAGATGTAGTATCATTCATGGAAGAAAGACTGGCTGTGCTTGATGGTGCGTTACCAGCGTTATTTCTACTTGTTTGAACTTCTCTCTAGACTTCTTCAGAATTCAATTTCTACTCTTTGTTGTTTGAAGGTGTTTTTTATTAATTGTTGTTATTTTTATTTGTTTAGTTTTATATTTTAGAAGTCTCTTTGTTCTCTTCTTCACACATTACGGTTTTCTTGCTTTTAGTAATAATATTTTTAGAAGATTAATTTGAAGATTAATCTTTATCTTTATTAATTAGGGTAATCGTTTAATTAATATTTTATGAATTTACAGTATTTAACCCAGCTGTATTGGATGTCTAGTGAGAGTTGGCGTTCTGTAAATTTTTGTAATAAACTCCATTTAAGCTAGCAGCCTGATTCAGGTTCATGAGATTAGTATTTTAATGGATACTTATGCCAGATCCATTCTGGACGTTTGCAGGAAAATTATTTTAAGGAATATTTAAATGGTGGTGGTGGTGAGGTTAACCATTTTATTGAAGTGCCTGTATTTAGAGAGGAACTTATTGAAGAAGTTGCGCAGGAGCGGGAGCAACAGTTTAGGCCTTCTTTTATATTGGAGGCTCCTCTTCATCACTATCAATAACTAAAATTTAATGCGGTTATGACTTCTTTTTATTTCCACCGCTTACTTGATCTTAAATTTATAATTACTAAGATTCAAGAGCATTGCTGTTGGAATGGGATTCTATATTGACTCCTTTTGGATTGTTGTTACCATTAATAGGAGCTTTATTGATCAATTAAGCTTATACAGATTGGATAGGCACAGCTTAGTTTGAATTAGTGGGAGATACAGTAATAGGCTATGCGGCTGCAGGAGCTGGAGCACTTGCTTAATTTTATGAAGGCTTCTTAACTATTGGCTTGGAATCATCATCGTAGTCATCGTCATCATCTGAATATGACTATTGATCAAAGGAGTACTAACCTTTACCATCGAATTTGACATCAGTCACATTCTTAATTTACTTTTCATTTATTTCTTAGATAATTTTAAGAATATATTCATCAATAATGATGTCGTAGCATTTAGCCTTGCAGATATTGCACTTCCATTTACGAGGATTCACTGTTTCTGTGGTGATGATGAAGTTTTCAAGAGAAAAGCATTAGAAATGCTTGCAAAAACGACCTTTTGCAGGTGTTTATATGAGTTTCATATCTAAGCTACAAGTTAGAGGGACACTCAGACTGTCAATGCAGAGATCATCATCATCTTCTTCGTGGGAAGATTTCTTGTTTTGGCGATGGAAGTAGTCTTAGATTTATTGCTTACACTCATCAGCAGGACGGGTAGATTCTCTTCTTATATTAGAAACTAGCTAATCTACAGTGAGTCTACGTATAATAAAGACGGAAATGCAATGAAGGGAGTTTTCTGTTATACGCAATTACTACTTTTCAATTATATTGCAATTGAATTCTGATATTTGAAGGTGATTTATTCCTTCTTTTAGATTCTTAACTCCTTTAAAAGTATGCTTTTCGTCTTTACGCTTTTTAAGTGAGCTATTATTTTGGAGGGGTTTGAGTTCTAATATGACTTCATTATTCATTCTCAAATTACCAAAATCTGGCCAAGTTGTTTCGTATATATTTTTGGTTCCATCTATTCGGATGCAACGAATTTCTACGGAATACTCGCTGTGATCTTTTATTTTTGTAAACATCTCTGTAGTTAACTAAAAATCAAGCTACTTATTGGGAATACCCATCATTACTTAGCAATCTATCAAAGTTTGTTCGACATGATGGAGAGGATCATACTTTTTTAATATGCAGGAAGGGCATTCAAATTGGGTAATGCTTTCTTCATCTTTAGGTGAAATCCTCATACAGCTTAGATGCAGTTTGTGTTCACATCCTTTATTCTTACACTAAATTAATTCTGATTAGGAATTGCGCAAACGTGGTACTTAAGCGCAAATACAGCTTTTGATTGCTTCTGTTTCTATTATTTTTACTTAATTTGGGATTGCTCCATTCCTGTTTTGTGGATACACATTATAAGTGTTGTTCATTGGTATTTAAGTTTATTACAGCAAGTTAATTGCGCTGCTATTATTGCTGGACTTAGATTTTGACTTTGAGCTAGATGAACTAGATGATTGCTTCTAATTTTAGGGTGTTATTTCAGATACTCCAAGCTTTGAGCTCTTATTTGATGACGAATTATTCGCAGCTGACTAAACTTGTTTATTGCTACTTCCGCTTATTGCTAAACCGAAAGGTTGATTAGGTTAAGATATGTTGGGAAGAGTGCTACTGCTAGATGTCTACTACTTTTATTTTGAAGCTGCAGGTTGAGCTGTTTACCTCTGTTGGCTTTATGCTTATAATTATTGTTATTGAGGTAACTATGCTTATTACTAATATTATTACGAAATTTAAAATTATTATTATTATTAATTTTGAAGGGAATAAGGCGCTTGGATTTATTTTTAAGTCTAAACAATCTTTTGTTATTAAGGCTGATTAGCAGCTTAAATTTGCATAAGCTAGTCAACTTGATATTAAGTATTTTCAGCTCCCTTAGCAAAACCATTAATATTATTGAAATAGTTATTAAAGTTTCTTGAAGAATCAATTTAAGTCTAAGTCGCTGCAGCTTCTGCAGCCTATTATTAGTTAATAAATTGAGAACCATAAAGGCTCTATGGAAGAGAGTTTACGAACCCAACTTATTATCCTAAATTTAGTGAATTTATGTAGCTTTAAGGAGTAGTCGTATAAGCAGCAGTATTAATACCAGAAATATCATGAGGCTTGTTATACATATAAGTTTGCTGTAGCTAAGGCACTCCTTAATTACTTTAAGGATGCATAAATTAATTAGGAAGTTGAAAATATCCGTATGGTAAGCCAAGGCTTTCAGTTGGAGTGCTTTACTAAAAAGATAAGCTGTTAAAAAGAGGATTCATCACACTAGGATTATATTGTAAGAATGGAGTTTAATTTGTAGGCATTGAAGCCATAGACATTCCCATTAAGCTCGAAGTATTACCGTAATTCATTTACTGCAAGTATTTTAGTTGTTATGCATCATATCTAATTATAATTTAAAGATATAAAATTTTAGAAATGCATTAAAAACTAAACATATCAATAAATTAATGTAAACTACTAATCAATTAGAATAAATTGTAGACAGAGCTTGGGTTGTAAAAAAATTATATTTGAATGTTGAAATTGAATTTCAGAAAGCCAAAGAACGAATCAAATAAAGAATGAATGAATGAATTGAATGAAAAAATATTTGGATAAAGTAATTTATTTTTGAGAAAATTCAATGAGGGATAATAATTAGAAGGTTTCAAGATAAAATTTGCTCTGAAAGGTAAATAGAAAATTGTATCAAGTGGGGAAAAAGCGAGAATAAAATAATAATTAAAAATTCTATGAACAAAATCAAGCTGAGATTTTTAACTAAGATTCATTCAAAATGATAAATTAATTAATTTCGAAAAAAATTTTTGTACTTAATAAATTTATTAATTGATTTTGTACAGTATAATGCACTCACTCAACTACTCACTTTAATTTAATATCCTCAACATATAAATAAATAAGTAAATAAATTAATAGATAAATAGATAGATAGAAGATAGATAGATATATAGTCATTTTCTATTTGATTCTTATCTCTTTGAAATAAATAAAATAGTGCGCTTAGATTATTACGAATAAAAAAATTTTTTGATTCATTTTTTTAAAACTCAAATTTTTATTTGAATCTGAAAAGCATAAATAATAAATGCTTGCATAAATATATTTTTTTCTCACTTTCTTTCTTTAAAAATTGGGAATATTGCTTTCATTTATTTTGATGAAGAAAGACTTAAAACGCTCTATTATTTTTTTCAATCAATTGTTTATTTATTTATTAGTAGTTAAATAATTAATTTGAAAATAAAATAAATGTTTACTGTTGTTGTTGTTGTTATTGCTGATAGAAGGCGGCATTACTATAATCGCTCTTCATTTTTGCCTCTTACTATTATTATGGCTTTATAGCGTTTTCGATATAATATTTAAAAATTCCTTCAACTTTCACCTGCACATTTTTATTAAAATACTCACTTAGTTACTTTGCCTAACCATCTCTTTCAGGATGTTTTAAGTAGAACTCTACTAATTCTTTAGCAAGTTCAGCTTCTCCTTGCGCCTATTGCTTACTTATTTTCCCCTTCTTAGCTAAATCTTACCAGATTTAAGCTCTCTCTGATTTTTCAAGCTTAAACTAAACAATTCCTGCTTTCATTATTTTTAAGTAAAAGTTATCCATATCCAATTTTTGTATATTCTAATCTATCATTTTTTTTCTTTAAAACTCTATTCTATTTATAAAAAAAAAATAAAATTTTAGCATACTTTTAATATTCTTATTAGCTTGAATCAGTTAATTTATCTTTTAGCTAGTTATTACACTATAAATAAGTAATTAGCTCTTTAAGTTATATTTTTTCCACTTTAACAATCATAATAATTAGGCTTTTAAAAGTAGTATAATCATCATAATAATAATAATAAATTTTGAGAAATGTAAAAGCATAAAAATGATAAGAGTAGCATCAAAAGTAGCATCTAAAATAAAATAAAAGCCCTATATTTAATTTCTATAACTTCTTTCCAATATAAAATGACAAACTTTACTTAAATAACTTATAGAATAATAACTGCTTGCTTGTTTACTAATGGAAATAGTGATGCTTTAAAAGGAATTATTTAAATAAATTAATATAAAGTTTTACTTATTAGTGATAATTCTTAAAAGTCTTCAATTTAGGCCTTTAAATTCAAGTTCTAATTCCGAATTGTTATCTGCTTCTATACAATATTTAAAATAACTTATTATATTTATGTTAATATTTACAGATTTAGTTACTTCTAAATATTTATAAAAAAGTAAAGAAGTAAATTAATATTTAAAAAAATTAATGCAAGAGAAAATAGTAAAATATTTAGCAAAACTAAGACAATCAAAACAGATTAAAGAGTAATAAATCTTCTATTAATAGAAATTAATTATTTATCATTATATTTTAAACTATTAGTTGCTTTTTTCCATTAAAATTAGTAAACTTTATAAAACTAGTATATTTATTTATGCTTTTTTAATTTTAGTTTCTAAAATTTTTGAAAACATATCAAGGCATAAATTGCATAAAGGTGCTAATTTCGATTAATAAATTCTATTAAATTTTTTTAATTTTGCATAATTGAAGAAAGTAGGCATTAAAATTGGAATTGCATTTTGTATGTTTTGTATAGAGAGAGTTTGCTTTTAAATTTTGGTTTTGCTTATCAAAAATTAGCTATTTATAATCAATGGGAGAGAGCTAATATTTTGGTTAATCCAAATAAAATGATATTGAACCAATCAGATGACAGAATTTGATAATCTTTAAATTAAATTCGATTGAAAATAAATAAAGTAGAAGTCTGTCTGTCTATAAATTTTTAATTTTAAAAATTATCATAGACATCAACAAAACAAAATTTGCAATATTAAGTTTTCTTGTATGCCAAAAAGTAGAAAAGCTAATGAAAACAAAATAATTAGATTAGAAACTTTCCCCATTTATCTTATAAATTTTTTAGTATTCATTCAATTAAAAACTTTTTGGCTCATAATTTATTTATTTTATTTGTATTGATTTGCTTGCTGAGTGCTTGATAATTCAGATAAAAATTAATATCAATTCCAAATATTAGAAATAAATCTATTAATTGAATATTTAAACTATTAATATTAATCAGATATCAATACCACGTATTTTCTCAAATTTCTTTTAATTTATCGTCTACTCTAAAATTCAAAAAATTTTTAAACTAAATGCTACTTCTGCCATTTCCTTATTTCATTATTAAGGATTTTATAAAATTATTTTAAATGGTGCTTTGCTTTTTGTTTAGCCTACTAAAATAAAATATGTTAATATTTCTACTTTGATCAACCTTATAATTTAGTCTCTACTCGAATCTATTTCTTGACGATTGTGTGCTTCTTTCTCCTTTTGCTTTTTAACCTTTTTCTCTTACGCTGCGCAAAAAAAAAAAAAAAAAAGAAATTATTACTTAACCCATTCTCATATTTTTCCTTTTATATGCAAGTTATTTTATGAAATCGATGACGTAATCTTTTAATCGGATGGACCTGCTTCAATCTCACGAAATTAAATGATTACCACTCCTTTATTTTCGTTTGAAATATTATTAGCTTCTTATTTTATTAAAATTAATCCTACCCTAAGTTGCAAAAAAAAAGGATTAGAAATAATCAGCAGGCATAGAAGTAAGCAGAAAATTCAAAAGTAGTCTTTTTTTTATATCAGATTAGTATATCACAGAGCAAGCACCAAGTCAAAAAAAGATGTCACTAATATCTACACTATTACTAGTGAATATTTAATAATATTTTATATTTTTTTAAGATTAGATTTCATCAGAAGAAGCTTTACTGGTTAATTTGTAAGAGTGTTAGCTTGAATGTAGTGGTAGTGATCAATTATTTAAATAATACGTCACTAAGCAGAGAGTAGAGTGTATTATTATGTTGATCAATTTAGAGAATCTATAGCCTGATTTTTAAATCTATTTAGTTATCGAAATGCAAAACAGAATTATTTGCACAAGTAAAACAGATATTATAAAGAGTAATTTTTTTCACACATTTTCTTCTAAAAAAAAAAGTTTAAATAATTCAAGTCTAATTGAGAAAATTAAATAAATTAATTAAGCAAACAAGCATTTTATTAGTCAATATATGTATTTAGTTAAGTGCAAGGAAGAAGCAATAAATTAATAAATTTATATAAATTTGAGTATCTAACTAACTAACTAACTAACTAACTAATACTATTCAGATTAGAATTTTCGTTTGAAAAAATGAATCTTTCCAAACTTCTATTAATTTCTCCCTCCTAATAAAAAAATTTAAAACACAATTTGATTTAGCACACACACACTCATGATAGGATTATATATATTTTTTTATTGGAAGACGTTTCAACTATTATCAAGCACTTAAAAATTTTTTATACTACAATTATGAAAAATCAAAAGCATAGATAAAGAGACTTAAAAATTAATTCAAATTTAAATAAAATATATGACATGAATTATTGTTGCATTCTTAATGTTTTTCACATAGCTCTCACTGCTCATATCTTAGTTATTAATAATATTCTAGACTAAAAAAAATAATAACAAAAGTGCCGCTGCTTTGCGTAATAATATTTTGCTTTAATGCTTTAGAAAAATCCCCCACTCTTAATTTTAAATAGACTATTTAGTCTATAATTATTAATTTAAAAATTATTATTCTTGCTTTAGAAAGTTTATTACTAAGTATTATTGTTTATTTGCTTGCTTGCTTGTTTGCTTTTGAAACAAGCATTTGAATATAGAGATAGCTTACTAATTACAGATTATAGTGATTGTTATAAACTAAATTTTTTAATAAATTAATTTAAAATTTCAATAATTTAATTTTTCCATATACTTTTTTCTCCGCCTCTTTTCTATTTTCAATCTTCCTAAAAGCCTACCCTCTCTCCATCACTAATTATAATTCTTTTATCTAATATACCATTACCTTTTTAAAACATAAAAATTTGAAATACTCTTATTACCACACAATTCTTTGTCCGTAATAGTTCGCGATATTTTATAGAAATAAAGACTATTATTTAGTTTTGCACTCTAAGCGAAACTCATATTGATTCAAAATTATATCAGAGCCAAAAATAAGTTAGCGCTATAATAAACAAAGACATGTTTGGTAAAAAATTATTGTCCCTAAAACCGTAGCTCGATAAAATAACTTATCAATCAGTTAGGTTTGTGTAAATTAATAAATAATTCTCATAAATAAAAGTAGAAAAAAGCACTATTTATTTATTTAAATTCCAACAACAAATGAAATTTAAAAGTTAATACTAACTATTTATTTTTGGAATAAAAGATCATTTAATATATTCAAATTTTTTAAACTGTTTATCAATTACTTAAATCAATTAACGCATTAAGCTCAAAATAAATCAAGGCTGGCTTAGTAAAATAATGAAATAAGCATTTGTTTAATAACAATTTTTATTAAATTTTATAAATTACAATATACTCGTTACTTTTTACTTTTTTCTTAACTAATACATTTAATTAAATCCACTCTATTTATTTATTCACTCGTTAATTTTGCATTCAATTTTTTCTTTATTTTTTATTTATCAAGCAAATTGTTAACTAATAAAAATTCATCAGCAAGCAGGTATCATATTTACATCTAAATAATTTTTATTTATTCTCCTCATTTTTCTTACTTTTTACTAAAAGCCAAAATCACTAAATTTTAATTATTATGAAAATCTTTGAGAACCTCGTTTCCTAGAAACAAACAAATATACTTATCATTTTAATAGCACTATCCACTCATATTTTTATAGCTCATTACAAAATTATAATAATCAATTTTTGAGATTTTTTAGATTAAAGGAAGTATTAAAAAAACTTATATTAGATTTAAAAAAGATTTAATAAAAAAAGTATTTAAATTTTTTAATTTAAAACTAACTCTTTGATTGTTTGTAATAAAAATTATATAAACTAGTTTAATATTTATTATTTTATATTCTAAATGCTGTTTCTAATTATTTAAAATATATTCTATGAAAAAATTTGTTAAAAAATATATACCCTTTAAAATATTTAATACTTTTCTTTTGAAATAATTGCATTTATAGCTTGATAAGTAAAATTAATATTCCTTAAATTTTTTTTATTTCTATAGTTAACATTTTTTTTAAAAAATATAAATATTTTTCCCCCTAGTTGTATCACTTTGAATTACTACAGCTTTTATCATCTTAATTAACATAGTTTTTTTTGAAAAAAATACAAATATAAAAAATATGATTTCTTTGTTTTATCTTAATTACTTAAATAAATTCATAAATAATAAATGTATTATCTATACACTTAAAAGTCATTACAAGTAAACACTCAAATAAAAATATTAAACCTATTTATTATATTATTAGAATACTAAGTATTTTTACATAAATAACCTCAATTTTGTTATTAAATGTGTTTATTTCAACAAAATTAATTATAATTTTTAAATATAAATTAAAATAATTTGTTTTACCTTTATAAAAATTTTTTTCTCATCAGAATTAAATGAGATACAAATTTAGTATTTAATTCATAGATAACTTTTCTTAAAATAACAACTATTTCTGATTAATTAAATTTTACATTTTTTTCAGAATATTTTTTAAAATAATTAAATACAATAAATTTAAAAAAGATCTACTGATTTTCTGATTCAAATATACATATTTTTTGTTATCTTTCATAAAGATATATTCAAAAACAAAATTAATCAAAAAAATATCAAAATTTCTATTTATTTATCTAATTTATAAAACTCGGTTTAATGAGTGAAGTATCAGCAGAATAGATCAAGCAATCCCAAAGAGAGGAAGATGTCCAACATCAAGTTAATTAAGTTTCTGAACCTGTGAATCAGTAACCATCAAAATAATTTAAAACTACTGAGTAATTAATATGACTTATAATATTATTAGGGTTTAAGAATAATAGCACTAGGAGGAAGAAGAAAGAAAAGAAAGTACTATTCCATAGCAAATTCAAAATGAATAATTATAAGCTATTAACTAGCAAGTTTAAAATCTAACTTTAGATTAGTAGCAAACAAATTCTCAGTTAAGTCCTATTAAAGAGTTTAATCCAGAAGAATTTAAATAATAGCAACAACAAATTACTCAAAACAATCCTAAGGAAATTACTATCCCTAGCGAACCAAATACAACAAATAATTAGATTTATGAAGAAACATAATCAGGAAGTTATGTTTTTAAAGGTCATGATTAGCAAAATTAAAATTATCATCAACAATATTAGCAAGATTAAGGCAGATACAAGGAATAATGGAGTGAAATTTACGAACATGAAATGATAGCACATTCATCTATGGACAGAAAGAGATAAAATTTGGAAATGCTTCGTGAATGGGATAGAAAAAGAGCTTACTTTTTGAACATTCATCGTTCTCTTATCGAAAGTATTATTGCATAAATCGATATTAAAATGCAAGCTTCAAATTAGTTTATGCAATTTATTATCCACTATTTCTAAAACAAGGCAAAGTAAGAATTGTAATATGCTCGCTAACCTATCCCTAAGCCCGAAGCTGCTTTAATGAACAATGAATTAGCTAAAAATATCTATGGCCATTTAAAGAAAGGACTTTAACTTCTTGATGATGCTAACTTTGAACATGCTAAAAAAGTATCTTAGTTTGCATACACTATCGAACATGATATACTTGAAGAACTCCTTATGGTTGACTACAATTAATCAATAGCAAGTCTTAGCGCTCTTGTCAACGAAATTAATCTGCTAAAACGCTAAATGTCTCAGTTGAACGAAGTTACTTCTAGAAAAAGTGGAAAAGTAGCTTAAGTTTACAATATGTCAACACCAAAAACTGGCTACAAAAAGATAACAACAAAACCAAAAGATCTTTACAGAACTCAACTTAATTTCTTAAGAAACGCTGAAATTCAGACAGAAACCTAAAGGAAGCTTGCCCGTGCTGTGCTATAATTCTGGGAAAGCTCTAAGGAAATAGAAAAAAATCGTGGAAAATCTATCGCTAAAGCTCTCAAACTATTTTAAGAATAGTTCGTACTGTGTTATGGAGAAAATACTTAAATTAAAGAGTCTGTTGAATTCTTATCAAATGGATTTAGTGAAGAAAATATAGATGAGTAGTTTTCTGTATAAAGTATCTTTAATTAATAAGATATGGAATTTTTGACAGAATAACTCGTGAAAAAAGAGGAAAATCCTTTAGCTGAAGGCGAAAAGCCTAAGCTCAGCTACAACGAAATAATTCCTTTCTTTGAAAATTTTGTTGTAGAAAAATTTGACAATCGTATGCTCATATTGAAAGACTTAAAGACTCAAAGACTATAAGGAGGAGCCTAAAATTCTTAGTATAGAGACTCGCATTTAGTTATAACTGCAGATAATTACCTACATTGCTTTGATAATACTGAAATCACCTCATAAAAGCTTGCTAATTATTTCTAAAAGCCTAATTTCACTCTTTCTCTCAATAAGTGCTTATTAAGAAGAGTCAGTACTTAAAATTTCCTAGTTGAGCTATCTATTTAATAATCTGGCTTCCTCAATTACCTATAAGGTTCAGAGAAATTTTTCTTCAACTTTAGAAATAGTGACGAGATAGAAGAAATGGCTTAATTTATAAATTCTTTAAATTGATAATATCGTTTTAATCACAAAATAATTGATTGTCTCTCTTTAAATTGAAATTAATTTTACAAAAATAATTAATTAAGTTCGTTAGTTAGTTAGTAAATAAAAATGTATTTTATTTATAAATTTAATTTATTTTCATTTTTTTAGCTTTTAACAAATTATTTTAAAATACTTTTTAATAATTCACTAATTTAATAAACACTATTTTGTTCAAATGATATTTATTTATTTATATATGCTTATTAATTTAAATTATTCAATATTTTTTCTAATAATAAATTAAATTTACAATATCATTTTATGATTTAAATTGGTTTCAAAAATTTTAATTATCTAAATAAATCTTATCTTTTTTACATTAAAAAAAAAACTAATTTTAGCAAGTACAATTCATTCTAAATAATCTCTATTTATGATGCATTTTAAAACCTTAATAGTTATATTTAATATCAAAAATTTTAATTTCTATTTTAATATTTAGTTACCAAACAATTGATTAATTATGTTTGTAATTCTACATAATAATAATTTTTTAAAGCGTAAAAAATAAAGTATTTATAAATTAATTTTTTTTAGAGTCTATAAAATTCATAATTTACAAATTTTATGATATTCTATCTTTAAATTTCATGTAAATTAATTTTACTTAAATTATTTTTATTTTTGTTAAAACTTTGGTATTAAATTAAATTTATGAAAATCTTCTAAATAAAATAAATGACTAAATTTAATATTTATCTTAATGCAATTTTATCATAAATTCCAATAAATAAAAATGCAAATACTGATAATAAAAATTATTTATTATTTTTTAAGAATATTAAAAATTATATTCAATCTTTAAATAAAGATAGAAATTTTTACATCTAATAAAAACTTTAGAGTTAATATTTTAACATAAACTCATATGGTATAAAATCTTCTACAAAATATTACTTAAAAATTTGTTTATAAATTTTAAACTTTTTATATTTAAATGATCTATATCTCACACAAGCTTCTTATTAATTATTTAAATAAGTATTTTAATTATTTTAATAATTTTTTTTATGATAAATTAATTTTGTAACTATTTTTTAATCAACCTATAAATAGATAATAAATATGAAATCGGATTTTAATTTAAGTTCATAAGTAGAAATCTTTCTTCTAAATCAGAAAAGAATATTTTATCTATTTCATATAAGGGAAAAGAGAGCTTCAATAAATAATAATAAATTAAACAAAAAAGCACTCATTCATTTGATTCTTTAATTATTAAATTGTAGAATATAAAATCAATAAATAGTATTAGCAAATAGCCTTAAATCTACTTTTATAAACATTTAAGATATAGCAGTTTAATTTTTTTTTAACTCAATTAAATGGGAAATTTTTTAGGTGTGAGATTGACTAGGAATTAAAAACAAAGCAATGAAAATATTGACATAATTAATTTTTTGAAGAAAAAAAAAATGAAAGACATTTATGAAATTGTGGAGATAATTAGAGACTACTACCCTACTAATTAAACATTTACTTAAGATGAATTTTGTGATGCATTTCAACTTCTACTTGATGAGTATTGTGAAAGACTGTTTTTAATATTAGAAAATTAGCATAATCCAGATGGCGCAATAGACCTTTATGAAAGTTTGGCTACATGCGTAATTCTATGTGGAGACGAATTTGATCTGAAAATAGAATTTGTATTTTAACTTTTTGACTTTAACAAAAATGAAACTATAGAACTAGATGAACTTATCTTAAACAATTAAGCTTCTATTCGAGGTTTATGTAAAATTGCCTCTTTACCACCTCCAACTCTCAAGTAAATCGAGGAATATTCGATGGCAATATTTAAAGATGTGGATTCCGATAAAGGTGGTACAGTTTCATTAGATGAATATAAAAATTGGATTAAATTTAATTGGGAACTTCAAGATTTTTTTTTAAAATATGCTAACGTCTAAACTTTTGAAAATGCTGAGCGTCGTTGCACAGAGTTTAAATTCACTTTTGAAAAACTTTTTAACACAATTGTTGGCAACACAGCTGAATTTGTTGATGCAAATATTTTAGATTCTATTCTTACATAAGAGCTTAAATTAACACAAGATGGCAACATGAACATACTAATGAATGTGCTTAAAGCAACTTCAAAAGTCGACTGTCCAAATATTAAAGAGGGGTAAATTTATAAAAAGTCATACTTATCTGTCATGAAATCGTGGGGGGCATTTGATTCCACAGACATTAATGGAGACAACAAACTTTCAATTGATGAAATAAAGTAAAATAGGCTTACTTAATTAAAAAATATTAGAAAATTAATTATTGTTTTTTATAAGATTTTTTTGATTTACTTAATTTAATTGAAACTTATTTATTTTTTTATTTTTAGATATTTGATATATGCATATGAAGGAGATAAACCAGATGAAGATAGATTGTAGTATGAAATGGAGTAGCTAGATAAAGATAATAGCGGTTACGTTTCAAGAAAAGAGTGGATAGAATATTTATGTATCGACCCTAACAATGCTTCAAAAGCTGCATTTCGTTCTGACTTGAAAGTACTCTTTTTGTAATATGATTAAGATAGGAGTGGATTTCTCACTAAATAAGAATTACTACAGCTTCTTTAATAACAAATGTCCTCATATACAGCAATTTACCAAGCAAAAGGTGGTAAAGATCTTTAAGATTATAATGGAATGGTAAATTCAATTACTGAAACAATCATGGAACAAATTGAAGGAAAGTATTAAACTGGAAGAGTTTCATGGTCATAATTTAAAATATTTATGGAAAAAGCTTATGTTGAAATGGAAAACTTAAAAGAATTCCTTAATAGTCTTTTGTGATTTTCTATGTTTTAAAAAAAACCAATTATCTCTATTTTAATTTGTTACAAAAAACTTATTATTGATAAAAAATTATTAAGGGAAATATTTTATTCATTAAAATTATATTAAATTATCTTAAATTATATTCATAAAAGAAATATGTTTTGCAAAATTTTTATTTGCATATTTGTTAAAAAAAGGAATAATACAATATTTTATTCATTAAAAAGTAATATTTTTAATTATCTTTTTTTCAATTTAGCATTAATTATTATATTGATTAAGATGTTTTATTTATCAGTTAGGATTAATTATTTTTTACAAATTAAATCTTGCAATAATTTAATTTTTTTGAATAAAAACGTTATTAATAAATAAATAAATAAATAAAAGATAGAGCCCAAAAGATATGAAGATGATTTTTAGTTGATAATTTTTCACAATCATCCTTTCCTCGGTGCATTAAAAATGCTGCTATAAGTGAATCATGCTACCCGGTATTAGTTTTTTAAAAAAGGTGTTTGGGAACACTCATATCGGCCCGTCATCTATCTTAAATTTTCATATCATTCAAAGAATTGCAATCATTCCAGAACCCAATCTTGCAATTAGGCTCATCTAAGAAGGTTCAGGACACAAAGAATTAAAGTAGCGAAAGTATTAGCGCTTTGGCGGACTTAAATTCGAAACTAAGTTTTTTCAGCAGGATCCCTTATTATGGGCTAGTAAAAGTCTTATACCCCTTCATAAAGCCAATATTAACCGTGCTGAAAGAAGGTTAAGTTAAGTAATGCTATAAGATGGCCCTCTCTTCCCTTAAAAAAAAATATAAATAGGTAATTAATTAGGTAACTTAAATGACAGCTAGACACTAAAGAAGACAAAGAGACTCAAAAAATAAAATCAAATAACATAAATAAAAAGAAAAAAGAATTTTTAAGGCTTGAGATGAAATTTTAAACAAAAAGATCGAGAGATCGAGAGGAAAAAAATAAAATAAAATAACTAAAAAGAAATAAAAACAAAAAATAAAAATTAAAAAAATAAATATAAAATATATTAAATAAATAAAATAGATTAAATAAATAAAAAAAAATAGATTTGAAAAATGATTATAATAAAATATAAATCAACTTAAAAACATGAAACAAATAAAAATAGATAAAAATTATAAAACAATTAAATGCAATAACACTCACGCTTTAATTACAATTATTAATTGATTAGCTTCTAACTGATTAAATACAATTTTTTTTCAGTTGACAAATTAATTATTAAAAAGTATAAGTTCATGAATGAATATTTTAATTAGAAAAATTTTCAAAATTCAAATTTTATTTTTAAATTTTAAAATAAAAGAAATTCTAAATTTATTTATTTATTGTAATATTAAAATTGATATTAAATATGTTTTAAATTACTTTAAGTCAATTTTATTCTATAGTTAATATTTAGTTGATTTTTTAAAATTAAAAAACTAAAATAAATAAATTCTAATTTAAAAACCAAATAAAAGTTAATTTTTTATGAAATAATAAATTATCTTCTAACTTTTACAATTTTAGAAACTAAATTTTGAGTATCTTAATTGCTATTTATTTATAAAACTTAGTTTATTATCAATAAGGTTCATCCATATTTTAACTTTTATGGAAGCATTATTTTATTATTTTTATTTTGTATTAAAAATAAAATTAATTAATAATTTTTTTTTTTTATCAAAAGGATAAAACATTAAGCGCATTTTATACAAGCTTATTAGAAATTTATTTATTAAATTGATTTTTTACTTTTTAAATAAATTTATTTTCTTAATTTTAATATCAATTTTATTTATAATTAATAAATGTTATTTTTCTTTGGAAATTAAAATTAAAAAATTTGAATAAATTAAATTGATATAAAAAAATATGAAAAATTCTTGATTAATGTATTAGATTAAATAAATTAATAAATAAAACAAGCAAATCTTTTTTTGGCAAAATGGTTGAAAACTTTATGAAAATTACTTTTAAAAAATAAAACTAATTTTGACTAATTAATAATTATTAATATTATCGATTATTTTTCTTAATTAATATTTACATCTTTTTCCCCAGTCTATTTCTATTATTTTATATAGAACTCAATTCTTACTTTTGAAGAAATTTTTAGAAACAAAAATTTTTCAATTTTTTTATAATTAATTAATAGTTTCTAAAATAATTTGAAAAAAAATCCTTTGGTAAAAAAGAGGAAAAAGGAAAAATAAAAAAACAAGATAAAACAGATAATATTTAATAATGGAATTATAACTAAGTTTTTTAAAACTCCAATCGAATGGATCATTTACTCTAAGTTTTTAAACAAAATTAAATATAGAATTTCATTTATTAATATAATCTTGTTAATTATTATCTTAAGTAAAATCAAAATGCCATCTGCCAAAAATAAATGATGAATGTATTATCTTTATTTGAAGGCTTTTTCTCCTGTCCAATTCTATATTAACATATATAAAAAGTATTTTTTAATAAAGCTAGCTGCTAATATGATAGATAATTTCGATTGACGCTCTCTCTCTCTAATAGCTGCAATAGATTAAAAAAAAAAAAATGAAATATAAAATATTTAATAAATAAAACATAAATATAAAAATAAAATTAAAATTAATATAAAAATAAAATACAAAAATAAAATTAAATAATTAAAAATAAAAGAAATATAAAATAAACACCAAATAAAAATAAACAAAATAATTCAAATAAAATGGAGAAATAAACAAATTGTAATTTTTTGAAAATAATAGAATGACAAATACTTTTTTTAATTTGCAAATATATTTAAAAAATATTGTTGTTGAGAGGAATTAAATAGCTTAATATTTTATTTAATCACCTATTTTAATAAAAAGCTAATAAAACAAAAAAATATTTTTTTATAAACATATAAAATCTACAATATTTCTCAAGTTATAAATAAATTTTTAATAACAAAAAATTTAAATTGAATAATTAAAATATTTATTTTAAGCAAACATCAGAAACAAATATGAGATAAATTTTATTTTAACTACTATTAAAAAAATATTCAAATATTAAAATAAATCTATTTTATTTGTTGTTTGAAACATTACTCATTTTATATTAGAAAACAGTATTATAATAAGTTTAAAGTGATAATAGTTTAAAAAAATTTTTTTAATTCATTTATTTTAACTTAATAAATTAATTTTGTTAAATAATTTATTGATTTAGATCAAATAAAATTTAAAAAATTATGAATGAATGATTGAATGAAGTAAAAGGATAAAGTAATACAATATATATTTATATATATCTAGGGATGTAATAATTTTTTTTATATACTTCTAATTATAAAATTAATGAATGACTATTTCAAAATGAAATTTAATATAAATATTTATTTCAAATAATAGCATTTAAAATTATATTGGACCATTATGATAATATATGTATTTATAGATAGATAGTTTAATTTTACTCAATTTCAGGCGAATCAGAAAAAATATTCACAGAATAAAATTTCACCTGCTATTTGAGTGCGTGCTGCTCATAATACTTTTTTTCTTAGTTTATTTTCTTTAAAATATTATGTGTAAAATTTGTTTTCATTAATTAATTTTAATTTTTAATATAATTCAAAGTGGTTTTATTGGTAATTATATCTATATTTTTATATAAGAATAGATTTTATTTCAAGAGTCTATAAATGATTTTTTAATTGTTTCGATAAATTTTTTAGGGTGAGATTTAACAGAATTTCTCAGATTTAAGTCTTGCTTTGTTTGCTATTCAATCATTTAAAGGTCAAAATTAACATCTGGTTCATACTATTACTGACCATGCCATTATTCCAAAATTGATTATTTATCTTCTAAAGGCAGAAGAAAATGTCTGGAGCCATTTAAGTTTGTGCTAGAAAAAGTAGAAAAATTTCTAAAGTCTCTTTTTTTCATGCTGATTTCTTACTCATAATCTTAGACATTTGAATCAGAAGAACAGCAAAACTGTGGAGTAAGAGCATCAATTATGGTTGATAAAAAACTTTTTTAATTTTTATTTTTTTCTTATTATTATTTTTTTAGGGAATTCATTTATTATCTTTATAAAGTAGCTTATCTAACTAAGTATTCTTCTCCTGTTTTAGAATCATCGATTTCATATTCCCATCTTCTCTTTTTAGCTTTTAAGTCATAACTTAAATTCAGATTCTTGATAAATGGGCTTTTAGTTAATATTTTACTCAAATCTACTACCATTCTTTATATAAATAAAATTTGTTTTTAGTTAAAAAATTTAATTGATTATTGATAAAAATTTAAATAAAATTTTAAAAAACAATGATAAAAATTTAAATAAAATTTTTAAAAAACACAAAAATTTCATTTTAAAATTATGAAATTGTTTTATTTGATAAAAAAGTAATATTTTAAGTGTTTCAAAAAATTTAAATTAATTTATTAATAAAAATTAAAAAGCTAAAAAAAATGTTTAGTTTAAAATAAATTGTAAAATAAGCTAACCTGTTTGTGATTTTGTAATTCTGTGAGTTTAAAAGTATTTATTCTTAATTCATACTTAATCCCTTTTTAATTATGTTAACTATATCGTCTTCATCTGCTGTAAATATTGTAAACTAAGCTTCCTGTATAATAGCTAAGGATATTTGGAAAAGAATTTTCCATCCACTGAAAAGGAAAAGATCTATGACTCTGATAAAAAATTATCTAGGAAAATCATAAGCAAACAAGGTATTAAACCAAGAAGTAGCAAATAGACCAGTTTGTATATTTTTTTTGTTCAAAAAATCTGCAACATGAGGAAAATAAAGTTTTATTAGATTGTCTAATATTTTAACAGCTTATTGTAGACCATTCAGATCTTCAAAATAGCAGTCTTTAAATCCATAATTTTTTAGCATTGAAACACAAATGTAAAAAGATTCCTTTTTTTAAAATAAAAATTTTAATTTTTTTCTCTTATTATTTATTTAGTTACTTCCTCATCTGCATAAAGAAGAAGACTTCCAACAACATAATTTAAGCCTTAACAGTATTCCATATCTGGTAAGCAGAACGAAAGAGCTCTTAGAACCTTTTATAATTTAAAAGTCTTTTCTTTTGTTTTAAACTCTTTAATATTTGGAAAAGTTCTATCAATATCTTAAACTATTTCTCTCTCACATCTTGGCTCACAAACACTCAATGTCCTGTAATTTTCTGGAGTAAAAGTTTTTTTAAAGTCGTTTGCTCTTGAAATGTGTACCCAATATTTAGCTCTCATATTTTTTGGCAATAATCCCTAATAAAATAAATAAATAAATAAATAAGTAAATAGATTTATTAATGTGTTTTTATAATATTAATTTACCTTAATCATTAAAAATTTGAGTTATTTATTAATCAACCTTCTCTATCTTTTTGAGCGAAAAAAATTATGAGTGCAACACAAATTCAAGCAAGATTTTATATCTAAGTAAGAAATAATCTACTTAAATGCAAATTAATTATCGTTGAAGAAGTCAAACATGTTTCTAATTTAATAAATAGTTTTTAATACTAAATTTAAATTTAATTTAATTTGATTACATATCATAAAATATTTAAGTTTGTTAGATCGAAATGCTGAAATCTTATGATGTTTGAGTTATTTTCCTAGAATCTAAGCTGCAGTTTTTATAAATTCTAGATACTGAAATTGGCAAGAGAGGAGAAGAGGGGTAGAGTCTATTTTCATTAGAATCTTCTAGTGTTAGATGCTCATCAACATTCAAAATTTATTTTTCAGCATATTCATCATCTATCTTTTTTAAATTTAAGTCTAACTGCTATTGAAAGAATTGTCTATTTTTTTATTTTTTTTGATTCATACTGTAAATATTTTAAGAAAACTTATTAATTTCTTGATCTTAATTGAAATTTCCTGAACTTTAATTATTAAAATCTTTGTCAGGAGAGGGCTCTGTAGAAATGAAGTTATTCTGGAGCAATTATTCGTTTTATGCAGTTTATTTACTATTATAAGCAATATGGCTTATTTAATCTTAATCGAGAATTCCTCGATTAGTTCTACCTGTGCTTTCTCCAACTTCGGTTGTAATATTCAACGAATTTCTTACAAAAGAAGATCCGTTAAGTTAGTTTTAACTAATATTCAAGTTTTTAGAATCTTAACAGCTATATTTAGATATATTTTATAGTGTATCTTGCTACTTTTAGAAGCTACTTCTTAATATGCGTCTCATTTCGCTACCTTAAAATAAAAATAATTAATAAAAAGCTTACTTATATTTTTTATTTACTTCCTAGAGACTGTGATTCTATGCCTAACTTTGTTTGACAACGTGAGCTTAGTATCTTTTGGTAGGATGTAGTTGACGCATTATAAAATTTGACTTTTCCATGATTAGTTTGATTCGGTAACCCTTATTCTTAGTTTATTTTGCGAGATGTTAATGAACCAAGATTAAGTAGAGATTAAGAGACAGAAAAGTTGTTTTATTGTGAATTTTTATTTTTTAAATTAATTGAACTGCTTTAAATTCCTTTTTAGCTTGATTATAATTCCTTTAATATATCTCCTTGACATTAATTATGTGTGTCTTAAAAATTAACTAATTTATTGCCTCCTTATGATTTATTGCTTATGTAATAATTATTAAAATCATTTTTCTTTTATTACAAGCTTCTGTTGGATTTTAAGACAGGCGATTCATCAAATTAATTTTGACAATCCTAAGTGTTAATATTCTCTTTATTTCCTTAAAACTTAGATGAGATTTTAATTCTAATAAGATTTTTAAAAATAAAGAGATATAAATTAAATAAGAATGGAAATGAATTCTTTTTACGTTTAGTGACTTTTTAAACAATTTTTTTTTTACTCATGCTGCTGAGTTTGCTAAGGCTTTTTAATGCCAAGATTAGAACTCATATTTATTTATCTAAATGACCTTTTATTTGGCTTTGGCTTATTTTGGTTTATAGCTATTTTAATCTATTGGTCAATTTATTAATATTTTTATTTCAAAATCTAAACACAAATAAATAAATGAATAATTAATTTTTGTGAGTTTTTTTCATTGATAGTAATTAAATTTTTGAATTAAAGTACTAAAATCGTAGAAAAAAATCAAATGTTATGAATTCCTACTTATTATTATGAGACTAATGTAAAATTACACATTCATATTTCTTGTTCTATTTCCAATAATTGAATTTTCTTTGGTTTAAATGAAAAATCTTATTTTAATGTTTAAATAATAAAAGCTATTGATGGATATTTCTTATTCTGTTTCAAAGGATTTAAACAAGAGACGATTCATCATTTAATTTATTATAATTTTTTCAAATTATTTCATATTTACTAATTGAAATAATTCAAAATTATCCAAAATTAAACTGAAACTTTTCTTTCTTTTTTGATATAAATCAATTTGATTAACAAATTTGCTAAAATAGATTTATTAGTGTAAATTAACATTTTTCAGTTAATTTTTTAATTCACATCAATTAAAATACATTTATTAAAGAAATTATTTATTTAGCAAGCATAATTTTTGAAACTTATCTTTTAATAAAAAAATGATCATTTATTTTTTAGAATTAATTGATTGCTAAAATAAATAATTATTTTCAAAAAATTATGTTTTTATTTAATTAAATAAATAGTTTTTTATTAAAAAATTTGTTTTTTTTAAATAAATTGTTGGGAATGCTAGATTATTTATTCAAACTGTAAATTTCATAAAAAATATCAAATAGAAATTTTAAATTTTAAATAATATTTTTAAAAAAGAAAAGTTTGATCTAATTTAATTTTACAAAGTAGTGTTTGTTAGTTAGTTAGTTAATAATTATTCTAAGTAAAAAGCAAAAAAAGAAATTTAATTTACATCCATTTTTTTAATACTATAAGAAGTAGGATATATAAAGAAATTCACTAAACAATTTATGCAAATAATGAAGTAAAAACTTTTTTGAGAAAAGATTATTTATTTTTAAAATTTCATAAAATTTCATAAAAAATTTAAGAAATAAAATACAATAATTTTATGTAGTTTGTTAATTTTTTAAGAAGATTTAAAATATATTTGAAGATAAATACTTAGAATTTTTTATTTTTATATTTTTATTCTATTTAATTTAATTTTAATAGTTAAATTTCAAAAACTTAAAGTAATAATAGCTAATGATTTATAGATCTTTACATGAATTATATGTACTACATTATAAAAATAACATTTTTTATTTTATATATTTAGAATTGACAAAATTATATGATCATAAAATGCAGTTAAAGATTATTTGGAGACCTTTAATAAATTCTTCCTTTTCTTCTATTGTTTTAGCTTGTAAATCTATTGTTCTGTCATCTAAAACAAGGGAGAATGAAAGATCCTTTTCCATTTAGTTACTTGTTTTAAATCTTTTGAAATTCTCGGTGTTTCTACCATGAATGATATATGGCTAAAATTTGTTTATTGGGAAACTTCTTTTGAGCTCTGGAGATTTATCACCCTTCCAACAAAAGAACCTGAAATCACTTGAAAAAAATATTCTTCTCAATTATCCTTTTGTAGAGTTTTAGCCATATTTTTTCATTATAAATAGTTTTTCATCAAAGTTTTTTAATATTTTTAATAGATTTTCTTCTTCATCAGTTCTTTGGCTATATTAAGCCATTTTGTACTTATTATATTGCAATAACTTTTGCTTTAACTTTTAATCTTTTATTTAAGACATACTAAACTCTGCTTAGTCTTCTTAGTAATCTTCAATATTTGGATTTAATTCGTTAAATTATCTTATATTATTCTCTATATCTTGTGACACATCTCCAACTTCTTCATCTTCATTTTCTCTCTTTATAAAAATTAATTTGAATTTAAATTTGGAATAAAATATTTTACCTTTATTGTTGAAAACTGCTTTTAATTATTCAAGAAAAATCTTTAACTAAGGTCAACAACATTCTATTTAAGAACAGAATCGTGATTTGAAAAGCCTGAAAATATTTGAACTTCTTATTTTTCTTTTTGATTTTGACAATAACTAGCACTTTTTTGTTAAAATTACTCACTATTTTCCTCCATGATTTCAGCTAAACATTTTTACTTTTACCTCTATTCATTCTCTTTAGTAATATTTTTTTCTTGTTCGAAGGAATTCTGATCTTTTTAATTAAAAGGAATAGGGGATTGCAATGTATTATCATATTTATTTTGTTAAGATTCACAATTAATCTCTTAAAACTGAGGAGTCCTTAGTTTTTATTTCTCATAGTCTTACTAGTTATTAGATTAGCTTTCTTAATTATTTACTGAACTAAATATATCATTTTATTATTATTATTGTTATATATTGTAATTACCCTAAGTCAATCTTTTGCTTGAAGGAATGTACTCTTTATCGAGTTCGTATTTAATTTCAGATTTAGATTCTTCTTGTTCTCCTTCTCCATTTCTTTAGTTCTGAATATCAACATCTGAACTAAGAGCATTTTAAGAATAATTTTAAATTACAGGTTAGGAGTTTATTATTAGTTTTGAATTTAAGTCTTCAGGGTCATCCTTAAGCTAATAAATAAGCTATATCTTATTTTTCAAATTTTCAAGGTGATTTTTTTAAGTAAAATAATCGCAATTTTCTGTTGCTGAACCGAATTACATAAGAATAATCTTGTTGTTTAAAGAAGGCTAGTTCTTATAGGACAGTTTGAGATATATTTTGTTTTATGGTAGATTTATGAAATCAAGCTAATCAATATTAATTTGACAAACAGGTATCTCATCAATTATAGTTTATTCTTCGTCTAAAGAATACAAAAGACTTGAGTCGAATGTGAGTTTGAGGCATTGATTATTAAAAGAATAAATTAATTTGCATTTTGCGAATTTTGACTCCTCACTTCTCTGGCTATTTGTTAGATTATCTGATTACTCATTCCCTTTTTTATTGCTATGAGTTCCACTTTTATCAGTTAAATATTCTCTAAACTCTCTATCAGTTAAAAAACTTCTTGCTTTAACATTCCCTACAAAGAATTAATCTTAAGTTTATTATGTTATATTTCTGCTTTCAATATACTAGGCTTAAATATGATCTTAAAATTCATTTTATTCATTCAAAGTTTGTTCTTTTGTCTTAGTGTTTGTAAGTATTTTGTCTGAAGACTCATTTTAGCTCTTTTGATTTTCTTGATAAAGCTATCTATTATCTTAAAATTTCTTTTCAATTTGATTTTGCTATTGAGCATTCTTAATGATTTCTGATCCAGTGCTTGATTGAATCGTAATGTGTCTCTCAATAATCTTGTTAATATTTTCCATGTTTTGAACGCTTTACTTAGAAACAGCTAAATTACTCTAGCTTCCTCTTTGGTTAGAAGCATTATTTTTATATTAATTTTCTACATCAGAATCTGAGTACTAATTTAAGATTATTCTGTTATTTTTTTATTCAAATCTGCTATCTATAATAGGTACACCAACTTTTTATTGAGTTCCATTCTCGTAACTCTGGTTATTACTTTTGTTCATTTAGTGATTAATACTTTACTAATACATATTATCTATTTATAAATTATTGTTTTTGGTTTCTTAAACATTTTAAGCTTCGTCTTAGAAATATTATAGTTATTAATTGTTATGAATTTAAGATGATCTTTAGCTTTCATCAGAATTTTAAAGTTATTCTTCAATTATAGGTAAATTTTCTTATCTAACAGATTAATTTTCAAAGTCATATTAACCTCTACTTTGGTTTTACAAATATTACTTCTTTTATGAAACTCTTATTTAATCTTTTTCAGAAAAAAAGGACTCACCCTAATTGACATAAGTATGACTCTAGTCTATTTGGTATTAAGCTAAGTAATTGTTATTATTAGTGCTAAAAAGCATTGATGGATCTTACTCAGATATATAAAAACTTTATGTATCTTATTTCTATTGACTGCTTATCATAGAATTTAGGTCCTATATTGGCTGAGGATTACATTTATAATTGAATAGTATATTTTCTCCTTACACTTATAATAGTTCATTTTAATCTGTTTAACATTTACTCTTATCTCTAGAATTATTCATAGCTTAAATGTTAGCATCTTTAAATGTCTTAGAGTTATTTAAAGAATTATTTTAATTCTAGATATTTTAGAAGCTGTTTTCATGAGCAAAGCTATCAAAATCTTTATTGCTTTAAGTAGGAGTATTTTGTTTAATAGATAAGTTTTCATAACTCTAATTTTGGATTATCTCTCTTAAATTAATTAAATAAAAATTATTTTAATCAGAAAAACATTAAATAAACTTCAATTATCTAACGATTATGAATATCAATAATGAAAAAATAATAATGCAAATAAAAATGATTGTGAATTTCAAATAAAATTGATAATTTTTATTTTTATGTTTTTTTTAAATTAAAAATCTGAATTAAAATAATTTTTATTTTCTTTGTTTAAAAAAAATTAATCAAATAATGAAATTAAAAAAATAAATTACTGATTTTAGTTGCTTTTATGTTTATTATCATGCTGTCTATCAATACTCTAAGCAGATTAGAAGTTGAATTCAGTTTAGGAATGCAATCCTTTTCTAGATTAAATATCATTTAAGTTTTCAAAGCGTGCAGTTTCTACTCTTTCAGAAGGAAAATATCCTTATTGATACCCATCTGGAGAGTTTAATTTTACACTCTAAATAATATTTTCAAAGTGTTTATTATGGATTTAATAATCTTTTACTAATTATTCTGGATTTTATTTTTAATGATAAAACATCTACTCATTTTATTCTGGCTGAATTTGCGAATAAAAGTATTGGAAATTTGTTTTGTTTTCATCTAGGTCAGCTATCTCTGGCATGTTTTAGGTAAAGTCTTTATGATCATCTTGTTTTTTATTGCTCAAAAAAACACTGTTAATATCGCTTTTGTTATTTTTCTAATCAGAATTAAACTTTCTACAATGATAAAATTTTGGTTCTTGATAATTTTGTTAGATATTAGCTATAGAATTAAACTAATTACTTTCTAATTCTTAATCCTTTTAAGAATCTTCATTGCAAGCAGAATATCTTGAACTATGGTTACTTTCAGTAAGTTTTTTCTTTTGACTATTCATGATATTTGCCCAAGGCCTATTGCTTTTTAGGCTCTCTTCTAACTTCTCATCATGTGGATAATTTGGGTTTGAAAAATTATTCTATGGTGTTCTTTTTATCATATCTTCTTCGTCTTAGCTTTATTCTCTTTCCAAATCAGCTTGAATTTTATTATTATTGTTATCATTTGATGTATTTTATGGAAGAGGTTATGTAAATTTACCCTCTAAGTTGAAGGGTGGATTTAACTTATAATCAAGCTATGAATCTTTATTATTTAAAATTTCTTAAACTTAAACTGAAGGAATTTATTATTAAGAATTAGTTTTTTAGGCTTAACACTCATTAATTTTGTTATGACACATTTCGATTGTAAATTAATTGTTTTTATTCTCATAATATGGAGATTTTTAAGTGTATAGCGATTAGTTTCTTTAATGGCGGTTGTATGAAGGAACTACTTTTTTATATTGATCTAAATTGATTTCTTTATCCTATTTATGATTATCATTATACCAATTTTTCTAGTCATTCTACTTATCAGCATACATACTGTATGGAGTAGTAGAACTTTATGACTTATTGCTTGAAATCGCATTTAAATCTTATGGATAGTATGAATTATTATTTTCAATTATTAAATTTGTTGGAGTTTAATAGGAGTAAATATTCTATTAGTCTTCTGCTTACTAAGTTTAATATCCAACTTAGCTTTATTTGTTTGGAGTCAAATATTGATTTGTGATATTTGAATTGCTTGGTTAGCAGTAAAAATCATTATTTTGATACTTTTTATGCTCTTGGGGATTATCAGCTTACTTAAAATCAGTAAAGTGCTTACTCTGATAAAAAGGTAGTCTGCTAGCTGGTAAAATTTCTCTCTCTTATTAGCTCTGATTTTCAATTTCAATGATCTCTGGTAAATCTAAAGGTTTATTCCTAACATAGGATAGAAGCTATGAAGCAGAATTACTTCTCCTTAAATTTAAAATTTTAGAAGCACGGTTAGGGTCATAGTAAATAGAAGGCTTATATTTAGTGTGTACATTCTTTAAATCTTTTAGGTCATTCATCTCAATACCTATATCAGTAATTTTTCTTTTAATTGAATCTATGCCTTTCATGTTTTTTGATTGATCCCAATTATTTTGTTTGATAAGTGATTAAATAAAGAATATTTCCCTATTTTTTTCTCTTTTTAAATCTTCAATCATCATTTTAAAGTATTTTTATCTTACTAAATCTACTTCAAGCAATCTATTTTCTAACATTTAGATTTGAATTTCTAAATTTTATTTGATACATTCAAATTATAATTATAAGTCTAAGTTAGAATTTTGTTAAGGCGCATACATATCTTGGTTTAGTTATTGATTTTATGTGCTTCTATTGCTTGATATTTAATTGCCTGCAAAGTCATGATCAAATGGTATAGCTTGAGAATAATTAATTTCTTCAGCATTAGAGCTTGTAGAGTGTCTTTTTAGTTACTGATTACTATCTTTATAACCATTGTTATACTTCTGTGAATCTTAGAAAGTAGATAAATCTATTGTTTATTCTTTATAAATATATTTATTTTTATTCAAAGAATATAAACAAGCATACCTTAAGACTATATTTTGTTTTATCCAACAGGAGTTTAGAATTATTTTCCATAGTCTGCATTCCCTAAATTTTTTTCAGCTAAGTCTAAAGGTGTAACAATATTATTTTTTTTGCTTACTTAAAGAACTTATTTTGGTTATGTTATTGATAAATTGTTGTTTTTGAGTGAATTAGGAGTTTTTAAGCTATTTAGCAGGCTTTCTTTCTAAACAGGATCATTTGCAAAACAATTATCAATAACTTAGCTAACTTTATTGTACTCTGATTCAACCGATATCTAGCAAGGCTGGTAAAAAGGAGCTTCTTTTACTGTGGAAATGGTAGATGATTTATTTGAGAATCCATCATTTCTATTCAAAAAGCATTCACTAATTTCTTATTTTTTTGATGATAAAATAAGTTAATAAGATTTTATAAAAACTATATACTGTCATAAGAATTTGGGATATAGTAATGAGAACTTTGGTAGGGAGAGACCGGCGATATTTGAGAAACAGCAACTATTTTATCATAAAAAATAATATTAAATTTAAATTTTTTTGCTTAGTTCTACTTTTATATTTAAGAATTATTAATATAGCTTAGATATTCTTAATATCAAAAATAAATAAAAATGTTAATTATTTTATTGTTTTACTCTGACTTCCTGTTGCTATCGTAAGCGGATTAGCATTTGCACCTGAACTGTTTAAATTTGTAAAGTGTTTGCTCATTTTCTTATCTTAGCACTTATATTTTACTTTTTTTATGATTTAATTAATATTTTGCAATTATGAAATATTAGCTCAAATAGCGAGTATTTAAAGATGCAAATTATTATTTCTAATAATTAATTAATTATTTTTTATAATTTATGAAAAGATACAATCTAATAAGATTCATTGAATTAAAGATACCAAAAAAGATACTTCTACTTATTTTCACTGAAATTTTTAAATTGTCTATTATTTGCTATCTACTAAAAAATATAATAAATAAATAAATACTATCTTTTTTAAAATATAAGCATTAATTTCATTATTATAAATTATTTTATTAATTTATTAAGACAAGTACGTACGATAAAATTCCATTGTTTGGTATAAAAAGGATATTTCATATTTAATATAATAATTTAAACAAAAGAAATAAATTATAATTTATCGATGATTATAAATATAATATTTAAATTATATTAATCTCTCAAAATTAATAAATGAATTAAATAAATAATTAGCTATTCTTTATCACGTAAATGATCTAACATGTTCTTTTGATTTCATTTTATTTAAAATTAATTTATAGAAATAACACTTAGGATTTTTATTTTAAAATATTTTTGAATTTCTTAGATTAAATATTTTTACTTTTAATATTTTATTTTAAAGTGATTAAATAAAAAAGAATGATTTTAATTAGCAATTTTAGAAAGCTAGTTATCGTTAATGTGGATAAATTCAATAATTAAAAAAATAAATCCTAAGACAATTTCTAATTGATTCAAACATTGGTTAACTACTTTACTAAATACTTAAGCAAGAGTTTCTAAAAAATGAAGTAAGCAAAATGAACCAATAATATATTTAAATTAATCTATTTATTAATCAGAACTCTATTTAAAACATTAATATTATGATTAAAGAATGAAAATTTAATTCTATAAATTTTTATTTAGATATTACCAATATGCTTATTTGTAGGATTGATTGATTGATTAGAAAATTAATGAATAAATGAATACTACTCGTTATTGAAAATGAGCCATGAAAAGATGAAGATAAATAAGTGAAAATAGTAAGACTTATTCACTAGTGAAGCGATGAATAAAATAATGAATGAATGAAGAACAAAAAAATTATAAATTGTTTATTTATCAAAAAATAAATCAAAAGTAGGTAAAAAATGCTTAGAGTCAAATTGCTAATTTTAAATTACAATTATCAATTAATTATTGATAACCAAGATTTGTGTTTGAATTATAATCTATAATAATTAGAATAAAACAAATCTTGTTATTTTTTAATATTTTTTAGAGCTGCAACTTATAATTAATTAAAAATACCATAAAAAAGGATAAATAACTAATGGGAAGCTCTGCAAGCCAACAAAATACTAAACAAGTCAAAATAAAATCATAAATAAGCAACTTTAGTAAGTAAAGAGAAGAGAGCCCAGAACATTTACAGTAAAGAAAATCAGTGAATGGAACTCCAAAAATTGGATATTAGAATTCACCAAATGCCAAAAGGAGCCCTCTTCTAAAAAGCTCAGAAAGAGTGCTAGAAATATTCTCTCCTAATTTAAATGACAAGCATTGTGGATAATCATCAGTTCAAGCAAGCGAAATAAGCGAGCAAGATCAAAGTTAAATAAATAATGTTTTTAGACCTAGAAAAGTCTCTAGATTTTAGGAATAAAAGTTAAATAATGATATTCATGTTAGCAATTTAAAAGATCATATTCCTCTGAGCTCTCGAAATGATATTGTTTAAATTTAAAAGGACGTTTAGACTTAAAGATCTATATAGATAAATGACAGTAAACGAAACACAATAAAGTTAAATTTAGACTCTAATATTGATGATAATAATTAAATTCATAGTTTGAAAGACCATGATGGTGGTTTTTAATTTCATAATGACAATGATTTTCATTCCAAATACAGTAATAATGACACACTGAGGCCACATACTGACAGAGCCATTAACTCTAATATTTTATCTCATATTTAATAGTTTGGACAAAAGCTGACTAATATGAGAATTAAAAATGAACAGAATTTATTTTCAAATGAGTCAGATATTTTCTTTAGAAAAAAAGATTACCAAAAAGAAGATGAGGTAATTAAAAAAAATTTCGCTAATTTGCTTAATTAATTTAACTTATACCTTAAGCATTGTTACAATTACACAATCAAAAAAATAAAGGTATTTTGTGGATAAGAATATTTTATAATCTGTCAATCAAATCCAATCAAATTTATTTGTTTCTAAGTCATGAAATTTATAGTTTAAACTTACAGCTTTTATTTTTTAACTTGAAATTTAAAGATTAAATTTATTTAGAAATTATTTTTAAAAAAAGAAAAATTTAACTAAGATTAGTAATTCTTAGTAAGGAACATAGATTGTTAATAACATGCATTCATAAACTATGACTGATCTTAATTAAAAGAAGCCAAATAGTTTGCAGGAGATTTCTAAGAGTTTATAAAAAAGCTCATAATCAGTGAGTTAGCTTGAAAGTAATTAAAACTAATCAGGTCTTGAATAAATTAACGGAGATTTATTCAAGCATGAAGTTATTTAAATTTCTAAAAGTAAAAATAACAAAGAATTCTTTAAGAAAGGAAACGTGTATCTTTTGGTCTAGGACGAAAATAGTAGTCTGTAAAAGAAGTTGAGTAAGAATGACCAAGAAAATATAATTTCTGACTTAATTACAAATAATATTAGTATTACAGATTTTTTAGTGAGCGAAAAAGAAGACATTCAAGAATAAATTCTTATCAATCAATAAAAGAAGAAGCTTTTGTTGCAATAATAGTAAATGCAAGAGAGTAAAGTCAAATAAAAAACAAAAAGAAATTATAGAATTGAATATGATAATCAACAGCAGTCTTCAAGCTCACTAAGCGATATTCAAAACTAAGAGATTTTGAATAAAAGTTTAATCACACAGCAGATGAATAATCTATCCTAAACCTAACTATAGAAAAATATAATAATTTCATATAATTAAGAATGGGAATAAATGAGAAGCAGAGGAGCTTTTCAATCAAGTGTAAATTGAATAACATAAATAAATAAATAAACTTTTTAAATTTTAACATAAACTAAGTGAATAATCAGATAGATAGATAGAAAAATAACAAAAAAAAGTTAAAAAGCGTTTAACAAAATTAAAAATAAATTACAAAAAAGAATGACAAAAAATTAGAAATCATATTTTCATTTGAAATATAATGGTTTTAATTTATATTGTCAAATAATATTATATTACAAAATTATATTAATATATTTCGCAATTAAACTTATAAGTAATAATCACCTCTTCCATATTTGAATATATAATTTCACATTATTTTAAAGCTCTTAAACAAAAAACAATAAATTATCTCAAAATTAAAAAACCTATAAATATGCAAATCATCCAGCTGGTACTTCATATAAAAAGAATTATATGCAAATTTTAGATCATTTTTACTTAAGCTTTAAATATTTGTTGTTATTGGTTTATATTATGGTATTGTATAAAGTTTTTTACTCGTGAAAAAAACATTCTATTACAGAAAGTGTTTAGAAATTATTGAATTTTATTTTCAAATTGTAAATCATATAACTTAATAGTTTTTTTTCCATCAATTTAATTTTAAAATTAATATCACAACCAAACAATTTTTATGATAAAAATAATAAACGCTTGAAATATTTACTGAATTCTGGTATATAAAACATTCATATAAGAAATATGTTTAATGTCACCTTTATTAATGAAAGTATACAGAATATTTTAATTATAAAAATATTTACAGTGAAAAAATTAGAGTTGCTTTTAGATAATTAATTATAAATACTAAATATACAACCTAATTTAAAAGAAATTATTTCAAAAAAATTGAAAAGTTTTTTTGCTAATAATTACTCAATATCAAAAAAAATAATAAAGATTTATGATTCGATATTTTTTTCTTTATATTATTATTCTAATACTTATACTTAGCTTATTATTCTTTATGTATTATTTAGAATAGTAATAGGATGATAAAATATATATTAATCAAACAAAACTCACATTAATTAATATTATCATTTAAATGAAAAAGATTAATTAAAATTTATTAAAATAATTTATTTATTTGATAAAATAAGGATTTAAGGTTATTTTAAAAATATTTTTTTTTTATTTTTAAATATTTTATTAAATATGGATTATTTTAAAAAATATTAGCTTTAACTTAAGCATTAAAAATAAATTAAAAAAATGTTTTAAAAAATAAAAGTGAGTATTTCTGAGTTAATTAAAAATAGTTGGTAGAGGATGGATACTAAAATCAAATATAAGATTTATTAATGAAATAAATTGAAATAAAAGTTAAATAGCTGATAGTGATTTGTATTCATTGAGTTGTTTGGAATTAAAATGAAAGCAATAAGAAATTTTATAACTTAAGAATTACTTTATAAAAATTTAAGATGTTTTATAAATGAAATGCATGCTATTGTATAGATGCTTGTCATGCATATTTATTTGATTGTTTGATTTTTAGGGTTTGATTGATTGATTATTTGCTTGTTTGTTTGTTTATTAGCTTTTTATTTAATAAGAAAAATAATAACAATTATTGCATTCAATAGTTTCTCTGAAATAATTAGTAAATAAATAGATAACTTTTCAATTAATAACAAAAAAGATTATCAAAAAATATTAAAACAGCAAACACAAAATAACATAGAAGAACAGTTTTTACAAGAATGAATCTCGATAGTATTTTTGAATGGTAGAATGAATAATATAATTTTAATCTAGTTTAAAATATCAATTAAGCATAAGTCAGAAAAGATGGTGTTTTTAATAAATCTATTAGACTAAATTGTCTCATACTTGCTTAATTGAAAGAATTTTAGAGGCCAATGGCTAACTAACAAATTAATTAATTATAAAACATAATAATTATTATTAAATTTGCTAATTATATTTCTATGAATATAGGATTTTAAAGTAGCCTATTAATTATCCAGGTAAGCATTAGGATTCACAACCCAGAACTAATCCTGCTTATAAGCCACTAGAAGCCAAAGCTCAAGTATGATGCAGTTCTTAAATAAAATATATAAAACTCATGTTAATTTTAGCAGAGTGAAAATTGCAAATTAATTGCATTACAGTTAGAGAAAAGCAAAACTCATTAATTTCTATTTAATATAAATAGTTCCATATTATATTTAAAGCCACTGGTGAATATATTAGAGAAAAGATGCTTGATGGAAAGGTAAATTTAATTATTATAATATAAATTGGAAATTATTTCTTTGTTTTAAATAAGATGTCAAATTATTAAAATCAAAAAACAATTAATTTATTTTACCGTTGCAGATGAATAATAAAATAATATAAATTAATAAAATAAAGGGTGTTAACATGAGAGATTTTGGTGCATTCACTTTTGAAATATTTTCAGATACAGTAAAACCTGCTTAACATTCCAATTTCGATATTGCCAAGGACTTAGATGAATAGCGTGCTGATCGTAAGCATGTTCACAGAATTAGGTAAATTTAATTTCATTTTATGAAACCTTCAAAGTTAATATAAATCTAATTTAAATAATAGACCTTGCTTCGTACCCGATAAAAAATTCAGATATTCCCTCGCTCGTTATGCTGGAAAAGAAGAAATTTCTGGTAATAATAAAAATATATTTTAAATGGATAAAAGAAATAATAAAAATGTTTATTTTTATTGTTTGATATATAGCTAGTTCTTTATAAAATTTAGCTTATCAAATTATTATTTCGCACAATAATTCCAAATAAATAAATAAAAAAATATGAAAATTTGAATTAAAAATGGTTGCTGGCTCATCTTATTTTAGCAATTTAACTTTCTTCATTTATATTTTTTAATGAATAATATGAATTATATTAAAATTAATATCTTTTATTAATTCAATTTTTTTATAAAAATAGCTCCAAAGAGTCAACACTCTATTTATCAAAAGGGTTTTGGTATGATGTTCTGCAATGCTGGACCTATTGCTGCTTCTTGGTAATTTAATATAATTTATCAATTGGAAATAATTTTTATTAACAAATTATTTACAAAAAAAATAAAATAAAGTTATCTTGGTAAAGATGTTGTCTCAAGTGCTCATAATGCATTCATTTAGGCCGTCTCCGATCTTACAACCTTAGGTAAAATATAGCTTATCAACACAATATGAATTAAATAAATGTTTTAATAATTAGGACATGGATTAAATATTGATTTTGGCTTCGTGAAAGTCTACGTATAAGATAGAGATTTAAGATATAGTTACAACTAAAATTTTGCAAATACATTGAATAACAAAAACTTTGAATACAGAGTAAATAAATTACATCACTATTTTATAATGTATTGATAAATTATTAAATATAAAAACAGCTCAGAAAATCTGATACTCCTACTTCAGAACACTGGAACACAACTTACGAATCAAAATGGGCTAAATCTTCGTAAATTAGAATTGAATTAATAAATTTATTAAAAATAATTTATCTAAAAAAATAGACTTAATAGTTTGTTGAAAAGACCCAACAGCAACTAGGTTAGAAACTATTATGAAAAGACCTTAGCTTTAAAGATTATGTCATTGGATTTGAGTACTGCTGAATAAACCAACTATTCTAGAATCAAGCCTAAACCACAATAATTGCCTCCCCTCAAAAAGTGAAATAACTAGTTGAGTTAATTAAAAAGGAAGATAACTTTATAGTGAACATATCTTTCTATTTATAAATGAAATCATTCAATTTAATAAATGGATTTATCCTCTTCATATATAAAAATATATAAATAAATTTGTAATTTGTATACCAATAATATAAGTAAGTTAGTAAAAATCTGTCTGTTTTTACACACTCTTTATAAATAAAACAAATTCTTCTTTTAGAAATCTTATTATCAATTCCCCTGTCATATTATAAGCAATATCTATATAATTTGAATTCAAAAATAAGTTTACTTAATTAAACAAATTAACAAATTTAAATGACAAAGCTAAAATAACAAACATTTTTAATCAGTTATATTTTATTTATTCAATATACTTTTAAAAAAAGTACTTAATATTATAATAACTTATAATCATACTGAGTTATTTACCAATAAATATTTATTTAAAATTGAAGATGAATTAATGTTCAGTTATCAAGAATCATTTTTAATAAAAGAAATTAATCCTAATTAAAATAGTTTGTCTTAAAAAAAATAGCCACTTTTTTATTTTTTCATAATTTTAAGCATTAAATTTTACTAATTGTATTCATTTTTATATTAAAATATATTTAGATTCTTGTTTTTTCTCAAAAAAAAATTTTATTCTCAAAATAAAAAATGAATGAAAACCTCAATAAATCTAAAATTTTTTGAATTTGCAGGTTGCGAGTTAACGAGGTTTTACGGTATTTAAATTTACTTCCTAATCTCTTTTAGACTGTTTAATTTGATAGGAGTAAGTAACTCTATTAGATATTTTTAATAATTCTTGATTTCCAGTAATACTTCTCAAAATAATTCTAAAATTTTGTAAAATATTCTATATTAATATTATGAAAATTATAAAAACTGATCCCTAAACTTTATTCTAATAATTTTAATTATTTTTTTCTTATAATTTATATCAAGATAAGTAAAAATAGAAAGTAAATTACTATTTACTTTATTTTTCTTTAGGCTTTACTTACTACTTTTATTCATATATATCTTGTTTGATTGCATACACTTTTTTTTAGATCAATAAATCTAATTTTTAAATTCAAATATTGAAGTAAATTTGTATTATTTATACTTATTTATTCTTTTTAACTTTAGCAAAAACTATTAAGATTTAAATCTAAAAGTGTATTAGAACGTCTTTAAACTAATAAAAAAGTATTTTACTGATGGGATCATATGCTAAAATCTTTAAATATTAAAAATAAAATATGTAGACTTTAAACAGTATATGAAAAAAAATAATTACATTTTTGCAAATTTATTTGATGTTTATAAAAATTAAGGATTTGAATCTAAAATTAATATCAAATCTAACAAGCAACTTTTTTCCATAAATTTTCCTAATGCATTTTTTATATTAATAAGAAATCTTTCATGTAAATTTCATATTATTTATTATATCCAATATGTTAATTATTATTAATTCTGACTAACTTTATTAAAAATAAATTAGTTTAAATTCTCGATTGATATTATCATTATGAGTAAATAAATAAGAATAAATTATTGCTTTCAATTTCAGTAACAAAAGGTAAATCTTAAAAGAGTCTTTTTATTAAATTAAATTGTAAAAAAGTCACAATTTTTATTCAGTTGCCCGTTTTGACAAAATTAAATTTGTAATTTTAGAAGATCACAAAATAAAAAATTCAACAATAATTGATTACAATTTTTTACTAAATTGTAATTTTATTGAGACAAATTTATTTTAAGTTATTTGCTTGATTTTTCAAGCTTGCGAGAGACTTTAAAAGAAATGTAGAGTTATATGAGTCTAAACATAATATATTGTATGTTGAAAACTACTAGAGTATTTATACATTTGAAAATTACTGATAACCGAAGTATTAAAATTAATAAATAGATTACATTCACTCTGTTTGAGAAGAGTATCGCCTAGTAAAACTTATGGATATAAGAAGCTTTTCTTTAATAAATAAATTAAGAATTTATGGATGGATATAGAGGTAGGGATTTGTATGAAAAAATACAAACATATAAAATAGTAAAATTTATATAAAGAGTATTATTAGAATTTATGGATATTACCATAACTTGTAAAGACTTTTTCAGTCATATTCATTACACTTCTTTATCAAAGATTTTTTTATAAACAATCAATAATCCTTTCAATCAAAAAATAATAAATAAAACAAGAGAACCTAAAAGATAACAAAAATTTAATTATAAAAAAACAATTCAAAACAAAAATTAAAAAATAAATTTTTTTAAAGCATCAACCATTTACAACATTTATTAATCTACTTTAGTTTATAGAACAAACATTTTCTAAAAAGAAGATAAAATCAAATTTTAATAAATAATAATGGGTGCTTGTGCTGGCTCTACCAAGAAATAGCCTAAATCTAAAACCTCAGGATCTATTTCTACATGTTAAGATTCTCCAGTGAAGCGCTAAAACAAATTAAGTACAGACAATAATGAAAAGCAATAATACAAGCTTTCATAAGATATAGATCCTTACTTCACTAAATTTTAAATTCACGAAGCTGATTTTAAGCAACACGCTAACTTAAAAAGCCAAAGCTATTACATGATCTTTTACAAATTCAAAATGCTATCGGATTAAATTGGAGATATTTAGTAATAAGGAATATCTTCAAGATTAACAAAAAGTTTAGCTAAAATTAAATTACTTAGAGAAAAAATAAAAAGAGACTTTAACACAGATAGTTATAGCAAAGCAAGTCCTACTCTTCCTATTCTAAATGAAGAAGTTTTAATCTATACATTTAAATACACTCAAATTATGATTGATGTCTTTGAATAACTAGAAAAAGATCCAAAATATGAAGAACTATATCCTATTATCAGCTTCAGCTTCAAAGAAATGAAGAATAAACTTCGTGATATTTTAATAGATGCTGATCAAGTCAGAGTAAACTCATAAGCAAAACACAGAAGATCAGAAGAAGTACCTTAATCTTCTTTAAAAAATATAGAATCTTGAAAAAAGTATAAATCAATCTCTGATTAAATAATAAAACAATAATAACAACAACAACTATCTCTCTATTTATCTAATTATACTAGCTATTTTTAATTTATAATTTATTAAAATAAACAAATAAAATGGAAAATCAGAATTAATTGTTTAATTAAAAATTGAAATACAAATTACTTTTGTTTTTCTAGAAAAACTATTTAACCTACTAACAAACAAACAAATATAAACTTATTTGTTCTTCTATTTATTTAGTAGCTATGAAAACAAGAGTGCATACATATATGCATTAAACAAATACTAACTAAATAACTAACTAAGTTGTCTGTAAATAAAATATTAATCATATATTCAATAAATAAATCAATATTTGGTAATTATATATATGTTCCTTGCTTTTCAAAATAAATTTTGTATCAAATTATTAATCTTCCAAAATCATTCATTTAAATCTCCTAACAATCTTTATATTATTTTTAATTAAAATATATCCTAATTAAATGAGTGGATTTTTTTTATACAAATAAGTTAAGACAAATTTCCCTAATATTCATGCTTACTAAGTAATAGAATCCTTTTCATTTTAATAAATGAATTTTTCTAAATTTTTTTTCCTTTTCAGGTTTTTTCCCATCGACCAAAATATTTAATAATATATTTATTCATTTATTTATTTATTCATTTGTTTATTTATTTACTATCTATTTATTTCTTAAACAAAAAGAACTCCTTAATTGTATTAGAACAACAAGAAAATACTTTAGATTACTTATTTTCTAAAATAAAAAATAAATCTTATTAGTGAAGTTGATACTTGTACTTCTATTTGAAGAAAGTAATAATATTGAGTTACTACTCTTAAATATATAATAATGAACTGTAAAAATTTGTTTTGAATAAAAACTTTATAGAAAAAGATTTGTTTATCACAAGGTAAAATAAAATTGAATGAAGAATTTTGCTAAACATTTAAGAAAGAATGAAATCAAATTATTTTGTTTTTGGAAATTTATTGTGAATTGATCAAATGCATTTTACAAAATTATATATACACTATGCAGATAATAAAAGAATAACTTTAATTACTTTCCAAAATTTAATTGACTGTGTTACATAATTTAAGACACAGACAAGCAAGCAATTTAGAGTTGCTAAAAATTTTAGCAAATAGCTCTATTTAAGCTTGATTCTTCAATAGTTTAAATATGCCTACTGAGCCTTGTAAATTAAGAGGAGATAATAGGAATTTATTTATTTAGAAATATACTTTATATTATAAAATTAATTATTTTCTATTTATAATTTATGTTATGTTATTTTATTTAAGGAATTTAAAAGTATAAACGTCTGTTTCTTTTAGAAATTTATTGAGTTTTAATTATCACTATAACAATAGTATCAATTCATTTTATAGTTTTTGATCATGTTATTAATTACTTCTGCTGTTTGCATTTGGGAACTTGTTTTTTACTTCAAATAAGCATTCTAAATTTATTGGGTGTTTCCTTGTTTATTTATTATTTACTATTACTTTTAAAATCCATCCATGCTTTAGCTACGAGGATTGTTAGAACCAGATTGTTAATAAGCTATTTATCCATTATTGATACTTAAATTTTAGGATTAATTAGATGCTCCAACTATTCCTTACTAGGGCTTTTACTGTTATTAATTAAACATAAAAAAATATATTAAATATTCTACGTTTCATTTAAAAAACTAAATTTTTAGTTTTAAAGATTTGAATGATTTCAAACTTAGATTAACTATTACTAACAAAAACTTTGTTTCAATCAAAAAGTAATAATAAATTAATGCATGCATGAATTTAAGATTTAAAGTATCTGTAAGCCAATTAATTATTACCAGATTTTTTATAAAAAAAAAGGCTTGCTAAGAATTACTTTAGCATATTTACTTTATTTATAAAATTTAAAATACTAACTAAAAAATTTGAAATTCATTTCAACTAGACACAATAAAAATTCTATTGATTGATGAATTCATAAAAAAGTTCTTCAAGTAAAATTATAATAAAATTTTTTGATAAAAAAGAATCAATATAATTAGCTTACATTTTGGATATAGGGATTTGACTTTTCAAACGAAGAATTTGGTCTTTGAGATTAGATAAACTGACCATATTTAGAATTGCTAGATATTTAGGTGTTATTAATTTAATTATTAGATAATGAGCTTTTATAATTACTATTGTTATTATTATTATTATTTGTTGATGTATTTATTTAAGATGTATTCATATTCAAAGTGCTATTATTTTATTCTTTTGAGCTATATTAGTTCATACTTATATTATTATTATTATTATTGATGTTATTGGAGCTAGCATTCATGTATGATCTTTAACTCTTATTTAAATCAATATTTTGCTACAATTATTGAGTGTTAGTGTAAGAAACCTGTTAAGTTACAGGAGAATATTTTATATTACTTGTATTGAGATTAGAAGCATTATTTATATTTGCTTAAGCAAATTATTATTAATTATATTAATATTAACCTGAATGTTGTTATGTATAACTACTATTCATAGCATTTTATTTTTCATTGATATTTGAGGCTGATTAGTTGGATGGGTTTCTCACATGTAAACCTGTTGTATATGCTGACGTCTACACATATTGTTAAGGTTAGCTTACTATAGAATTAGGCTATCTCGATGATAAGCAGTTCTAGATATCATTTAATTTATTTGTCAATGCTTACTTATTTCTTTAAGAATCCAATGTTTAATAACTACCTTCATATTAATTAGATCCTGTACCGTTTAAATTTGCTGCCTATGGAATAGCATTTGTTTAACTCAATCCACTTGCAGAGGCATTTTGTTAGTGGTGAGTATATTTTACTCTAGAACCAGAAATGTAGTTTGGTTACTATTATTGCTATTATGTAGAAGAATGCTAAGAAGATATTTATGAGGGATAAAGTTAAGTTTATTGAATAGCTATATTAGCATACTAAACTCCACTTTACTACAAATAACTTTATTATTATTATGCTATATTATTTATTTACTATTGTTGTCCACTTTTTTATTTTTATGCATTTAAATACATAGACGGGTTGTTGCCACTATTAGAAACGATTGGCATTTATACCTAATTTTAAGTCTGTTTCTAAGATCCCATTTAACTTAAATTTTACCTATTATTACTTTATTGTGCTGATGTTAGAGTGGTAGCTGTATTTGCAGCCTTTGAGTTTATCATATTATTATGAATATTTTTATAACTATTGTTATTCAAATTACCACTGTTGCTATTATTACTGTTATTTTCATTATAGTATGATATACCTTAACCCTCTTTTTTCATTAACTATTTTTTTAAAATGTTTATTTCTTTATTTTTTGACTTATTTTGAGAATCATAAAAATACTTTTTCCTAAATTGATGAGGCATATTTGTCAAATGATTTCCTGTTTTCTTTCATTTCTCCTACATTTCCAAGTCTAAAAATTATTCATTTAAAAAATACTAAGATCAATAAATTTTATGATTGAAATTTAAAATACCTTGATGAGCTTCTTTCTTAGACATGTGGATCAGTGTAAAGCCTTGCATTTTGGGTTTCACCAACTTAGTCCGAATTTAAGTTTTTGTTTTAAGTATTATATTATATTTGTGAACTTGAAGATAAAATTTATTGAGGATTGATCTAGGAAGACTGAGAAAATTAAGTGTATTTTTTAATTGTATCCTCATTCATACTACTTACAGATCTTTTACCTCTCTTAGCATCTATGAAAGAAATTTCGTTTGATTAATTTGATTATAAGTTTGGGTTGACTGAAACCATTTTTGAAGATTAGGTTGAGTCTCCTTAAATCAAATGGGAATTAAATGATGGTTATGAAGATTATTATTGCTATTATAGCCATTAGGAGTTCGTTAAATGATTGTTTTATTATTACTGCTATGAAAGTTGTAGTTGCTAAACTTGAGCCTTCAACTATTAGATTGTTTGTTCTTATTCATTTAGTTAATCTGTTTTCTAGTTATATTATTGTTAAAGCTACTTATACTCTTCTTCTTTTCTATTGAGTTGCTCAATCATCTAACTATTAGTCTTTTCTATTTACTATAAATAGTTTAATTATTAACAAAATAATATTCAAAATTATCTTTTAATGTAAAAATAAGTGTTTTTGAATTAACTGAAATAATTTTTTTACCTTGATTTAATCTAAATTAACATTTTTAAATTTTAACTCCAAATCATCTTTCTCTTTAGTTACTTATTCTAATTTTTCTTGTGTTGTCTCTGCGTATAATTTCAACTGTTGTTCAATCTGATATTATTGAAATAATAAAAATAAATTTAAACACACATATTTAAATCCAATTTTATTCTATTTTAAATGTGCTAGTTAAGTAAGCATTCAGAAAATTCAACCAATATTAAATAGTAAAGATTGAAAGTCATAAAAATAAGCATTTAGTGAAAATATATTAGTAATAAATATACTCTAATATGTTAACGAACTTCTGCTTCTAATTTTTAAAGACAAGATTCGTAATCACTACATTCATCTGAATTCTTTTTTTCAATTATCTATTCCAATTCGTGCTTTTAATTGATCAAATAACTTGAAATTTGATTTATGTAGTGTAAGACAGTTGAAAAGTCTGCATTCATTATTACACTTTTATCTTCATCAATTGGAACTACTCTTCGCAACTATATCTAAGAACCCTAAAAAGAATAATAAATGATAACTTAATAAAAAACCTTATTTTATGCTAATATTTTAATCTATCTTAGAAAACTTTTAATTTTAAGTAATGTTTTTTAAATGTTTACTTCATCTAATTTTGTGCGTATTTCCAAAAATAATTCACAAAGCAAAGCTTTTAATTGCTATCTAGTTGGAGACTAAGATTCTAAATTGCTCCTATTATTCATTTTTCAGTAGTAAATGCTAAGATAAAACCTAAACCAATTATGGGTATTTTGTACTAATGCTGACTGAATTTTGAATATGATCTTTTTGACTACTAAATAACTGCCTATGGTTGGCCTTACTTTTTTACTTTGAAATATTTATTATTATTGTTGGTAATTATTCGATTTAATTATTTGATTTAAGATTTTCGAAAATATATATCAAATTAATTAAATGTAAAAATTCTTTGGTATTTGAATTGTTAAAAAATTTGATTTATTTTTTGTTTGTTTGTTTTACAACTCTTCTTTCATCAAAATCCTAGAAGAAATGCAAAAAATAAATCTGAATGCCATTCATTTATAATGTTAATAAAATTAAAAACAAACCTTTTATAAGTATAATTTTACAATAAAAGGATTAAGGTAGATTAAATTAATTATTATTTTATCATAAAATCTTATTTAAAATATAAAATATCACCTTTAAATTCTTATTAACCATGTAATCTACACTTAAATATATATATATATCAGTTAAGGTAGTTAATAAATTAAGAGTTAATCTAAATAATTATTCCCAGATGAAATATTGAGGACGCAAATAAAAACTAGCTATAACTTACACTTGTTTGAAATCAAATCCTTAATATTAAATTTTTTATAAATTCAAAAGATAAAATTATAAAATTATTGAACATTCTTTTTTAATACATTCATTTTAAAGATAATTATTTAAATTAAAATTTTATAATGTCTTAATTATATTATGTAAAAATAATTATTTGGTAAATAAAAAGACTATCAAGTTTAAATTGAAAGATACTCTTTTAAAATTAATAATTTTGTATGGTGTGGAAAGAATTATACCAAAATTTTAATTATTTTTATTAAAATTTTTGTAATAGAAAAGCAGTTAAAGTTCCATCATCTGCTATAAATTAAAATAAAATAAAGAGGAATAAATAGTCAAAACTTCAATAGTTAAATTAAAGTTTACAGATCTGCACAAGAAATTGAATGTATATTCTTTTAGCAAATATTATAGATGATGGTTACAAAATGATATTTATGTATTGACATTTATAAGAAAATATTAGCCCTTGATTAACTAATTATTTCTAAATAAAAAGGAAGAATTGAATTGGTGGAGTTTAGTTTTAAGTATAAAAATGCAGTTATATAATAAATATACAAAGAAATTAATTGTTTAGTAAATAGAAAGAAGATCTTTTATTTCAATACATTAAATTATATGAGATTCTTAATGTTTATTTTTTAATGCTAGTCATATTAAAATATAAGATTTATTCTATAATTATTAAAAATTTTTGTCTGCTCTTGGTTTTTATTATTTTTTTATATTAATGTTTATGATGCTTTTATCCAATGAGGCACGACATATCTGTAAATATTTATCTGTAGATGGTAGGATTACTACATTATTAAATAATTTAAAATTTAAACTAATATTTTATAAATTAGGCTTATTTTTTATTTTTAAGTATATATTTTTTTTTAACTTAATATTTTAATTTCACATACTGAGTTCGTTTTAATTAATTTTTAATTTAAATTATCAATTTCAATGCTTAGAATTATTTTTATCATTTATTTAAGGTAGATCACACTGGTGATTATTATTTTAATTATTTTAGTGAGTGTTTGCATTTCTATTTTATTACTCTGTTTTGTTGTTTTAGTTGTTATTTTTGTTTTTGTTACCTCCTCCCTTTTTCTACAAGTTTTTAAGCTTATCCTCGATGTCTTTATCCAGCATTAACTTAGCTTTCATTCTATCGATTTCTATTCTTCTGTCTTGGTCATCTTTTTTTATAATGATCAATTTTAATTGAATACTTTTAAATTAAAAAAAAAATTATACTTTTTTCTTTTTCTTCAGTTTCTAAATCTAGATCCTCAAATACTTGTATGTTGTCAGTGAAAATTACTCCATTAGTGTTTCTTCTAATCCAAGGAGCTTCTGGCTTATTTTCAACCATATTAGGCTATATTTTACAAAATATATTTTAGATTTTTTAAATATTCATCGAATGGTATAATTACTGCTAGATTTTCTATTAATGATGTTTAAAAGACTGGGTGTAAGCTAGGAGGCTCAATATTTGGGATATCAAAACTCAATCTCATTTTTAGATTACTTATTGAGGAGAACGGAGGAGTGAAAGTAGGGAAAATTTCACAAAATTTACCATCACCAGGGAAAATATTTAAAAGCTCAAGTTAAAGTTCATCATTAATTGGTTCTAAAAAATAATTAAAATAATTTAAATTTATTTGATAAATAAAATAAATTTTATAATACCTTATTATTAAGGCTAAGCTACTTCTTTTTCATGGAAAATTAATTTCATTAAAACATTGAAGTAGTCTTTTGTGCTCTCTTACAATTAACTTTAGAATCTGAGACAAGTGTCATATGCATCACTAAATTTCTTCATCTATTTAAAAATATTTATATAAAATTAATTAAATTGAATTAAAATTATATAATTTTTACCATCAATTAAGCCATGGCAATGTTGTAATATATTTGATTTGAAGTCATGGAGTCTAATATTGACTACTCATAATCTTCATTTAAATCTTCAGACGAAGGAACAACGAGTATGTCTGAATCGTTATTTAAAGGCTTTTTCATGTTTCTAATTTAATCTGAATAGTCAGCCCTAGACTGTAAAGAGAGATTGAAGTCCTTTATAGCTTCTTCATAATTTCCACAATAGAAATTCAAGACACCCTTATATAGGTGCATGTCAAACTATTTAAATATTTTACCATTTATATAAGAAGCTTAAGAAAGCTTTTATAATTTTTATAACCCACTTTGAAAATTAGATAATTATATTTAAGGATCTTTTTGTTTTGGAGGATCCTCAACTGATTCATATTCAATTAAATTCTCAGTAGCTAATTACAAAGCATTTAAACATCCTCTGTCAAAAGCATAATTTCTTGATGGATTTATTTCAATAACCTATTTAAATTACAAGAAATATTAATAACAATTAATGTTTAAATAATAAATTAAATACCTTAGAAACATCTTAGTATGCAGAGCTTATATCTTTGATAATAATGCTGCATTTAGCCCTAAGAATCAATAAGGATTCACTTGTCTCTATTTGGTCAGAATGAGAGTAAGCTCTTATTGCATCTTCATAAGCTCCACTGTTAAAAAGTAAATTACCAGCCCATTTGTGAATGTTGGGATCTGTAGGTTTAAGAGATATGTATTTTTAGAGGTCAGCAAATGCATTATTTGATTCTCCAGCAAAGTGATAGCATTTAGCTCTTTCAAGATAAGATTCTGCATAATTTTCATCTAGCTAAATGGCTATTGAAAGATCTGATATTGCTTATTTATATTATTTGCAAATCCCAAAAGTGTGTCCACGTAAGTAGAAATACTTAGGAACATTATCTTCACTTTTTTCTATGGCTTTATCGATATCAGCTATTCCTTCCTAGTAATATCCTAGATAGCACCTAACAATAGCTCTAAAATAAAAAAGATTAGCATTTGTATCACTAATTTCTACAGCTCTATCCATTTCTTATAAACTATTCAAAATGCACTAGTTCTATAACTCTAAATTATCTGTATGTAACTTAAATGCCATGTTAATGAGGCTTATTCCTCTGTAGAGTGCAGGTTCCATTTTTTATTTAAATATTTTTTCAGCATTTCTAAAATGTTTTAATCCCATTTCATATTTTCCTGCCATTACAGATAATATACCATCGCAAAGAGATTTATTATATTAAGAATTTAAATCATCTTTAAGGTTGGACTCAACAGCCATGTAGTCATAAAGAGCATTTTGGTGTTTGCCTAAGCAAAAATATCCATAAGCTCTGTATACGTAAAAGAGAGGTTTCATGAAATCACCCAAACTAAAATTTGAAGTGATTAAATTGAAATTATCTATGGCATCTTTATATTTACGTTTCATTAAAAATATAACTCCTTCAGTGAATAATCTAAACTTTTCTAACATTTTCTTGTCAGTATCTAAGTAATCTGATCTATTTAAAGTATGAAAAGCTTCATAGAAATCTCTTTGTTCTATTTTTATTTTAGCTATTTCATACAAAGATTTTGTTACTGCTTTTTTTGAATTATTAAATTTTATAGATTGTTCAAAGCATAAACTGGCCTCATTCAAATTCTCTATATATTTTTAAAACAAACATATTATCAAAAAGTTATTTTTTTAAAAAAGCTATTAAAAATTTTATTTTTAATATCATAAAAAAAATTACTTTGTTTGTAATAAACAAGACCTTTAAAGTAATAAGCCTCAGAATTTTCTGGTTCAATTTCTAGTACCTTTATTTATTTTTTGTCAAATTAAACTTTTGAATATTTTTTTAATGAAAATGTTACTTCGTTCAAATCTTACAATGACAAATCAAGCTATTTATTATCAATATATGTAATAGCACGCTTTAAAAGAGCTTTTGATTTTATGTAACTTTCTGTTTAAAGAGCCATGGTGTATATATCTATAGCTTCTTAGTATCTATTCATAAATTAAAGACAATCTCCTTTTCCTAAATAAGCTATGCCTTTCTCAGGGTGTATACTGATAGCATTATTAAAATCTTACTCTGCCTTATCCCATTTCTTTTCTTTTATAAAGAGTTTTCCTCTATAGATGTAAGCATCATAATATTTAGGGTGGTTTTATAAAACTTTAGAAAGCTTTAATTTATATAAATGATGTTTAATTATTTATTTTAATCTCATTCATGAATAATAATTACCATTCTTATAGCACTTGGGATATTATCTAACTTTTTAAAAGCAATTGAAATTAGGAGGTAAATATTTTTACGGTAGTTTGGATTTTTTTCCATTACAGTTAGGAATTCTTTAACTGCCCTTTCATACTCTGTTTTACCAAGGTAGCACACACCAAGCAAATAATTTAATTCTAAATTTCTATTATCTTTTTTGAGAGCTTCTTGAAAACATCTTTTGTAATAAAAAAAAAATTGAATTTAAACAAATTTATAATTTTATGTTGTTAAAATGATGAAAATTTAAGTTTAAAATTATAACTTTTTTTTTTTCCAACAATTAATTTTAATCTTAGAATAAATATAGAATTAACTGATTGTAATAAAATATTAGCATAAGCTAACCTTAATAATAACGACATAATTGGTAAATTAATAATGAAGATTGAAATAAATAATTTTGCATTATAAATTAATATTTTTTTTACTATATCGCTTCTGAGAGGTTATTTTCTTTGAACAACTTTTATCCTTTCTCTAAAAGCATCATTGCTTCATCAGATACCAATTTTTTAGGGTTCGAAGGTGGATTGTAAGTAGAAGCTTTTGATATTGTACGAATATGATTTTGAGTGGTGTTTAAGCCTGCATCGAATGATCTATCGTTGGCTTTTGTAGTATCGAAGTGATTAGGAAGAATTTTGTTTAAGTCAAAAGGAGCAGATTTTTCATAAAAAGATACGTTGTTAGCGTTTGTTGAATCATCGAGATTCGACATAGCTGATTCTAATCTATAATGATCATTCATCGACTTATTTAAAACACTGTTTTTTTAATAATTTTAGTTGTTTATTTGCTTATTATGAGTAGAGTGTGAAGAATTTCTTGTATGTGGGATGTGATAGTTGTTGTTGTTACTGTTGCTTTAAGGCTGTAAACTAGGTGAATATTTTGTGCTAACTGAACCAGTTGCGTGTGTATTATAATTATTTGTAGATGTATTATTTGAAGGATTCAATGAATGGTTGTATCTGCCTCCTTTTCGATATTCAATTGTGCCATTCATTGAAGGTGTTGCTGTTCCTGAGTGAGAGGCACCTGCATTTCTACCAGATGTAAGCCTAGGTTTATTGGCAGACTAAGGAGTATAATTTTAAATTCCTATAGTTTAAGGATAATCGCCTTATCTGGAATTTTTTTCACTGCTTATCATAATATTCCTCAATGGGTGATTCTAGTTATTATTGCCATTTGAAGAATTTGCAGGGTTATTGTTGTGCTAAGTATTTGTATTAGAATTAGTTGAAGATCCTGCAATATTGTGATTAACTCCGTTTTGCTTACTGCTGCTATTACTATTATTTTTACTTATTTATAGATAAGCTTAACCACTTCCACTACCATTTTTGCTTATACCTCCACTAGCTAAATATGCGTTATTGTTCATATTGTTAGCACTCATTGGCATTGTGCCTGCTACATGGTTATTCTAATTATGATTATAGCTATTAATTGTACTATTAGGACCGCTTGGAATCTACCCTACTCCGTTTTAAATTATGTTATTAAGATGCAAATTGTTGTGATTGTTATTATTTCCTTTATGATGATACTAATTTACTTGCTACTAATGAGGTTGTAGAGGCATATGCTGCAATTAATTATTGGGCATATTTGGATTGATGCCGTTTGGGTTGTTATTTTATCGGCGATCATATGCATTTCTAATTAAATTAAATTTCATCTTTCTTTTTAGGTTTATAATGGCGTTGTTATCCTTTTTAGTATTGCTGGTTGGAATGCTAATATTTTCTAAGTCATTTAAGTCCTTTAAATATTTAGGGTAGTTCATCTTTAGAAGGCAAACTCTAAAATAAATTCTTGAAGTATTTTGCTATAGCTTTTAATGAATAAATGAGTTGCTCTATCTATTTTTTTAATATTTACCTTCTTTTTAATTAATATTAGAAAACAATCAATTAATTTAGGAATTTTTTTCTTTAATAACTTTGTTTGTATATCCTCCACTTATTTATTTAATTAGCGTTGGCTGGTATATTTTATATAAAATCTGATATTTTGTTTTACAGTTTGTATTTATTTATTTAATTTATAATTTTGAATGTGTTCATTTTGCTGTGAATTAATGAATGATTAATTGATATTATTGTTAATTAATTATTGGTTGAATCTCAAACTAATATTTTTTGCATGCTTTTTTCAAATTTTGTTTTGATTTTATTTACTCTCTATATATTCCTATCGAAAATAATACTTTTTTTTAATGATAAATATTTTGAGTGTGTATATATATATGTATATTTGTTTTTGCTAATTAAAAATATCAATTTAAAAATGTGTTTTGTTTGTACGTTCAATTTCATTCACTTTATAAATCTAAAATTGTTGTTAAACATAAAATTTCTTGTTAAAAATTTTTTAATGATTTTGATTTAGATTTTTTGGCTAATTTCTTAATCTATTAACTACCTATTTTTTCAATGTGTTTTTTACCATTTATTTTATTATATTAATGTATTTTTTTATTTCTTATTAATTTTTTTTTCTTTTTTTGATTATTGTTTATTAATTAACCATTCAATATTTTTTTTCTAAATGTTAACCATAAAAATACACATCAATTACTTCATTTATTAATTTTACCAGCCTATAACTAACTAATACCATTCCTTATTTATTATTAAATAAAAATTATATTTAATATTTATCTTTTAAACTGTTTTTTTTTAAATTTCTGTTTATTTTTATGTATTAAATAATTTTTATTTCTAAATTCCAATCAATCATTATAAATTCAATTTTGATAATTAATATTTAGTTTAATTTAAATTGAACATAATAAATTATAATGCTTGTTCTAAAATACTCATTTTTATAAAATGGATTAATGAAAATATACATTCAAAGAAAAGCATTTTTATCAAAATGATTTTTATAGTTTTGAAGTAATAACTATTTTAAACTAAAGCAAATATTCCATGACTATCAACCAATTATGTTATAATCATTTTTAATTAATTTTAGATTCTATTATGAAAATATTAATAATTAAAAATATTTAATTCTTTTCTCATACCAAAATTACTTTATATTTCATAACATATAAAAGTATAAATATACTATAAATATTTGTATATTCTTAAATATATATAAAAATACTTTTCTCTATTAAAATTATTTGATTTTTAACTTTTATTTAAATGAATCATTATGCCTTGATATAAAAAGTGAATGTTTTTTAAATATTTTTTACATCAAAAATTTTTAATCTTAAATAACTTTTACAAAAAATATTTACTAAAAAGCAAAACTGTATGAAAATATTATCAATTACTTCCAAATAAAATATGTAATATATAAAATAAGTAAAAAAAAAATGTAATTATTTTTTATCAATATCTAACTGGTATTAAGCATACAAAACCATAATATTATTAAACAAATTAATCAAAATTAAATGCCTCTGATAACTAATCTCTTTAATTTCATAATTTGTTCTCTAAATCTCTTTTTCGATGACTCACTTTCTTTATTACTTCTTTTGATAATTTTTAAAATTTATTAGTGAATAGAAAAAAATTTCTTTATATTAAAAATAAGAGTTAAAAGTTTCAAAGTTAAATAATTTTTAAATAAATAAAAAAAGCTGTAATTTTAAAATTAAAAAAATTCAAAATTACAAAAAAAGTGTTGCATTTATGATAAAGAAAGAAATCAAAAAATAAATAAAATATTTTACCTGAGTTCTAATGTTAAATTTGATAGAAGAGGGCATTTAGCCAAATTAAAGCTTAAACTTTATAAACCTGTTTCACTTATCTTATTATGACTTTTAATATTAAATAAAATAGTTTTTAATGAAAAAATAAGAACTACTTTTAAATTAGTTATATTTTGTTTAGAAAAGAAGTGAACAAGTTTTAAATAAAGCAAATTATGGAAACATAAAACATTTTAATAATAAAATAAATCATTTTTTTACTATTTTTTTTTTCTCTTGATTTTATTATTTTAATAAAACAAAAATAAATTAACTATTTTACCTGAAAAAAAATGTCAAAGTTGACATATTAGTGCACTTTACAAAAGCAGATCCTAAGCTTGATAAATCATCATCACCAATTTCATTGCATCTATTAATTATTGTACACAAAAATGTTAGTTTCTAAATAAATTTACATTAAAAAGTTGAATTATGAAAATATAAAAAAATAATCTTTAAATATGAAAGATGTAGTAAAAAAATAATTTTTTTTATTCTAATTTTAAATAAAAAATAAATATTACTCAATATTAAGTATTAAATTTTATAGAAAAGTATAATTCTCCTAAGCAGATGCCAAATTTATCATTCCAGAATCACAAATGTAGTTGTAACTTTTTATTTATTTTATATAAATTTTTATATTTGTAAAAAAGAAAAAATTAAACATAAATAACAAATAAAAATTTTAAATCTAAAAAATAAGCAGTTAAAAATTTAATTAGAAGCTTGACAAATAGATAGCAAAATAATCAGCTTTTACCCTATTTAAAGTTCCAAATTTTAGAGTTTGGTACAACTTTTTAAAGCAGAAACTAAACTTGATGCCCCTTATGCACCTAAAAAATTGTTTCTTTATTATTTTAAATTAGTATTTGTGAGTATTATAATAATATAATTATTGAAAAAAATTGAAGAGTAAATAGAAATGAATTTTTATAATTAAAAAAGGGATTTACATTAAGTTAAGAGACAGGTTTTTAAGAAGAATGCAGCTCGATAAAGCAGAGCCTAAATCTTATACCCCTTACTCTAGGATTAAATTGTTTCTTTTTTAATTTAGAATAAATTAATAATTATATATTATTTAAAAAAATGAACTTTAGAAAATAAAGTATTTTAAAAGAAAAACAATTAATAAATTTAAAGAAGCGATATATCAAACTAATGTGCCAATAAATTAGAAGAGCCATTTAAATTATTTTCAAATTAATAAATTATTAAAAAAAAAGTGAGTTTGTTTTACTTGAGTTCTATAGTTAAGTCTAATAGATTAGTACATTTTGAAATTCCTAATCCTAAAACTTTAGCACCCTCTTCTTGAATATCATTATTCCTTTTAATAAAAATATTAATTTTAATGATAAAAGAAAATAATAAGATACAAAAATAGACTAATAAAATAAATAATTCAATCCTTAGGAAATAATAGAAAATTTAATTATTTATTCAGTAAATAAAAGGCTCAAAAGTGAATAAACAAGATAATTTTACTCTAGCAGAAGAAATAATTTTGTGATATTTGTGCAGCTTGCAATAGCAGAACTTAAGAATGTAATGTTCTAATCATTATTTTAACAACTCCTTTAACATATATTTATTAAAAATAAATTTATTATTTTATAAATTAAATAAAAGTAATATTTCAAAAATAAGTTAGATATTTTTTATTTTTTTATTAGATTATTTTAATTAATAAAATACTGAGAGGAAATATATACATATAATTTTACCTCAGTTCAAGCTTAATACTTTAGGCATTAGAGCAGTTTTATAAAGAAGAAGCTAATTTTTATAAGCTTTCTCTATCAAGTTATCTATGTCATATTTTATTTTATTTTTAATTATTGCTAAATAATAAACAAGAAAAATCAAGGCAATATTTAACTTTTTTACCTAGTTCAATTTCAAGCTATTAGTGAGTTGATAGAGATGAGTTTATAAACTATTTGCAATAAAATAAAGATTAAGTAAGGTTTTTTAGTTAAAAATAAATAAATAACTTCTTCAAGATTTGAAAATTATCTTTTCTAATTTATCATTTTTTTTTTATTTTTAATGGTTCCAAAAAAAATTTTGAATCAAAATTGAAGTTAATAATCTCCAATAAAATATTAAAATAAAAAAAGATTAATGCCAAACAAAATATATCTTAACATAATATCTATCCTTTATTTAAATAAAAGCATTTTAGATATTAATTGTATATCATATAGCATAAAAAGACATATTTTTTTTAATTTCAAAAATATTGATAAAATTATAATAAAAATGATAAATTTGCATTTTAAATCTTTTTAACATTGAAATACATCTATAAAATTATAATTATTTTTTTTGTCATTCAAAATAATATTTAATGCTTTAAATTAAAATTTTAAACGTTTTGAATAATTTTTAAAGAGTTTTAGAAAAAAATAAAAATAAACTTTTTATAATTGTAATAAAGCTAAATCAAGTAAAAATTTTCTATTTTTTTAATAAATGCATTTAAATACTTTTAAAATAGATTATATCGCCATTTTAATATTAATAAATTTAATTATTCCTTATTGAAGTTGCTTCAATTTATTTGCAAAAAATTAAACTATTTCTATTATTCAATTAAATTTGGCTTTGATGAAAATAATTTTATAATTTAAAATAATTGGTTATATTTTTTATAATTGCTCAAAACAAGTTTTGTATTTATCTTTACTAACTACATTTAGATTATTTATGTAAAATTGAAAAAGTAAAAAACATATAAAAATATCTTTAATTATTATTTTAATTTCTAAGAAAAATCTAAAATCTTTTAGAAGACAAAATGGAAACATAGGTTATAAGATACAACTGCAAGTAGCAATACCTTGAAATAAGAGCATGTTATGACAGTTTACCTAACACATCAACTTCAGAATAGATTATTTAAGCGTGCGATGTAAATTATTTAATATTTAAACATAAATTGCATCATATATTTTATTCAGCCAAAAATTTATGCATTAGGAAAGTGCATCGAATAGGGGAGGATAAAGGATTAAGAATTGTTTGTAAAATAGAAGTTAAATGAATACATAAACTCAGATTAAAACTAAAGTAAAAATTGATAAATTTAGAATTATAAAACAGTATAAAAATGCATTATTGTGTATTGCTTAAATAGATAAATTTTTAAGAAGTAAATTCTATTTAATTAATAAAATTTTACATAAAGTATAAATGATATTTGTTTTTTAAAAGGAATCTATTGATATTTATTTTTAACAAATATATAATTCAAATATTTTAACTAGAATTAATAAATAAAAGTATTTATTATCAGTTTATATTATAAATCATTTGGATTATAAATAAATAAAAACATTTTATATTAATTATTAACCTACACACATCCATAAATTTATTATCTTAAAAAGCTCTTCAATTGTTGCTTTATTGCTTTTCTAAACCCTTTGTCAACAAATTAGATTATCCATAAAAGGGATTGAATGTTTGATTGCTTTTTTATGGAATTTGTTAAATGTTAGAATAAGGATTAAACATAAGAAAATTCTAAAACTTTTAATCTTACTAAGGCTAAGGTGGAAAAACTTATTATTAAATTACACTTTTAATTTCATGTTGGTTATCAATAGTATTGGTTGGGGTTTGGGCTATATTATTTGGGAACTATTGTAACCCGTTTTACTAAATAACTGGATTTATTATTTAGCTTGGAGGTTTTATATGTGAAGGAATTTGAAAATTAAATTAAAAATTCTCTTAAGGTTTGTTTCTCGTGCTAGTTTAGAACTAAAATTTATCTTGGTTGCTTCTAACTGGAGAGTTTTTAAATGGTTTGTAGTTATTAATTTATTTTTCTGGACTGTTGTATCCATTTCCATCTATATTAATATTGCTATTACTGTTTAATTTTTACCCAATAAATTTATTTTATTAAAGCTATTTGAATTGTTAAGTCTAATTATTGTTTCCTATCGCTTTTTATAGATAAATTAAATAAATAATTAATTAATTACTTAAAATTGAAAGAATTAATTGTTATAATTTACTTTTTGCAGCTATTTGAGGTATATTTACACTCTTATTACCGTTTTAGTGATATAATAATTTTTGTTCACTAATCCCTTTTATTTATTTAAAGCAAATATTAAGTATTTCTTCAATATTTCTAAATTAATTTTAATACTTTGATTAGAGTGGATACTAAGTTTGCTTTAGGAGTCACTCTAATTACGATTTCTAATTTAAGGTGATTAACTGTTCTTGTGCTAAGGTGAAACTGAGAACTAATTACTATTTCTTCTTAAGTAGCTTTAATCTTAGCTCCTTTTATTATTGCTTCGCTAAACACTTCGACTACTACTTTGACTTGAAGATGAAGAAGAGGAAGAAACAGATTTCTTCTTTTAATAATTGCTCTCCCAATCATTACCTTTTGGTCTACTTCTTAAAGGAGTATCTTCCTCTCTGTACCTACTTTAACTCCTCCTTTCTCCTCTCTCTGAGCTTAATCTTCTATTATACCTATAGTCCTAATATCTGCCATTATTAAAATTATATTTATTTGAGTAATTATTATAACCTTAGTTATTTTAATATTATTTTTAGTTATTCTAAAATTTATTATTTTAAATATTATTTAATTGTTTTCTATGTTCTTCACTACCCTTATTATTATAGCTTCTATCCCTCTCTCTTAAATTATTAATACTATTATACTAGGAACTAGAAAGTTATCTATTATTATCTTATTTTATCGAGTGGTGCTTTTGATCAAAATAATCATCCCTTAGGTTCTTTCTTTCTTAACTTCTTCTATTTGGCGACACAGGCCTCGAATCTTAGATTTTATTAGGACGATTGTTTGAGTAATGGTTTTTATTGCTTTCACCATCAATAATAATCATTTCCCGATTTTAATGTTGCTAATTTACAAAGTGTCTTTTATCTTACTACTTGAAGTCGTAACTCATATTCTTTTAATTATATATCTGCTACTAGTTATATCTTCTATCATCATCTTCTTTAATTTATAAACATATATTTAAAATTTAAGAAACTAACTTTTTTACATTAATTGGTTGAATACATAAAATTTACTTACAATCATAGAGAGTTTGTTTGAATATTTGTTTGCTTGCTTGTTCGTTTGTTTGTTATTTTTATGCATAAATTCCAGTTAAATTTCATTTCAATTATAAATAATAAAACATTTTAATAATTTCGATTCTATTTAAGATTTAATTTAATCGATAAAACTACATCTTAAAGGGAAAATCAAATAGCAATCGAATAATCTCCCTATATTTTATTGATGCTTAGCTGTTGTTTTTCATTTTATTTTATACAAACTCCCTATAAAGTACGAATTTAAACTACAAACACACAAAAATTGTTTAAAATTAATTATTTACACTTTCTCTAGTACGTATCATCAGTAAGATCAATCACATTTTCTTTACTAAAATCAATTTTTTTTTTCTCCTTTATTTTATAAAAGGAATTATATAAAATTATTGAATCGAAAATATAAAATTATTTATTTTTTATTCAGCAATTATTTTGAAAATATTTATCATTCTTTTATTTATTTAAAAATAAATATTCTATCCAATCTGTATTAAATCCTTTGATCATTTACATATTTATTTTATGATATTAATTAATAAAAAGTGTGTTACATTATATATACTATTGAGATAGCCTTCTTTTACACTATAAGGGTTTTTATCTAATTGCTCATTATGCTTGTTTGCCTAAATAACTTTTGTAAAATTAGGCTCTATACTTTCTATTTCAAAAGGGTTTTCAGCATGATTTTATTATGAATATTTAATGCATTACTTAAATATATTTTTTAAATCTATCTTTTCTTTATCTTTATCATTCAACATTGAAGATAACTCTTTGAGCGGGAAATTAGTAAATTTTTTATTATCTTCGTTTTAGTTATTTGTATTTTGAGATTACTCATTTTCATCTTCTTTTTATTTTAGTAGCTTGTAGTAGGTCTCCTTTTGCACAAATTATATACAATTTTAAAGATTGCAAAACGTACCAACATACTTTTAGTTTTATATTTAATATAGCATCAAAAAATAATCTTACAAAATATTAATTAATTCATCGTTTTCAGGAAAAAAATCAGTACTAATATCACTATTTTATTATGAAATCAAATAATTTAAAAACTACGTAGATATATCTTCCATTTATTTGCTTATATTAAGCTTATATTATAATCAAATCAGGCACTTAGTTAGGATTTAACTTAATTTATCTTCAAATACTTTATTTTAAATTCGCTTATTGTATTTGTATTAATGTATGAGTGTATATATCTCTTTTTTAATTTATTCTTGACTATATTTTTTATATTTTTTTAAGTAAACTCTTAATTATTTTTTTTTTTTGATGATTTTTTTTGCGAACTATTAAGAAATTTTAAATATCTAAAATTTATATGTATTTTTTTTATACAAAAATTTGTAATATTACTTTCTTATGCAAAAGCTTTTTATCGAGATTCACTATTTTTAATTACTTTTTTATCAACAAATATCTTAAAAAATACTGCTGATTAATTAGTTTTGGGTATGATGAAAACAAAAGAAGTTTAATATTAAAATATTATTTCATATAAAATTAAATAACAAAATGTATTACTATCAAATATTTAACAAAGAGAATTAGTGCTGAAAATTCTGAAATGAATTTTGAATAAGTTTCGAAATATTTAAAAACAAATATATATTTTCAATAAATAATCATTTAACTAACCTTCTAAAATAAATATTATTATATAAGAGGGTGTTCCTTTACAAATTTTTATATATCAATATACGTCAACTACTTTTTAAATAAAACAATTTATTTATTTTAAATATATTCTTCTTTGAAAATATATCTACTTACAAAAATGTTAAAAAATCTAATAAAAAATTAATAGCATTTATATAAGAAAATCTAATGAAAAATATTTAGAAAAAATGAATCCTTAATGAATCATTATTATAAGAAAGATATCTATCTGCAGCAATGAGATCAAATCATTCAATGAATAAATAAATGAATAATTTATTCCTTAAAACTAATGTATTAAATTCATTCAAATTAATTATTGAATTTTTTGCTGTTAAATTTTTGAATTGTAAGGTTTAAAAACAAAAATTAGGATAGTAAGTAAGTAATTCTATTAAGGAATTAAAATCTTTAAGTTAAAAAATAAATAAAAAAGCTTTAAACTGTTTGCAATATAAAATAAAATGATTTTTACAAGTAGAGAAGCAGCTCCAAAACAACCGAATTTTAGGATAGGCATATAATTTGATTCAGTTGAATGCCAATAAGGATGTAATTTAAATAATTAAGCTCATATAAAAAAAATTTGTATTTTATTATTGAATAATAAATGCTTAAATCATTTCTTATAAAATAGTTGAAAACAAAATTTATGCTACTTTCATTTTTACAAGTTAAGAACTGGCTAAAATGGTTGAAGTAAAATTCTAATTACTAGACAAAAATACCTTATTATTGAAATCTTTTTAAATTAGATTCCTATGGAAAGCCCTCTTTTGTTTGATGTTTTTAAAGAAGATTACAAGCAAAAACTAGAAGTTGAATTATACGAAAACAGTAGATAATTTATTTTATTAATTTCAAAAATAAATGATTTTTGTATATTTGTTTTTATAAAGATACTTCGATAGGTTAAATAGGATTGAGATTTCCTGCTAGACCAGATTATATTAATGAAATTCAAGTAATTATTTAAATATCTTAATTCTATATTGCTAAATAAGGTTTTTAATAAAGATGGAAGATATAGTTAACGTAGATGTAAATGACCACATCATTAAGATTAAATATAAATTTAGTGTGCTCAACAAGCTTATTTCTGCGCAAAAAGAAAACAATTATAAAAAAAGATACAATTCCAATAACAAAAGAGATAATAGCTTTGAAAAGCAATAGCAACACGAACGAAGTGGATAAGAATTACAAAAGATGTCTTAACATGATAGATCTGACAACAAGAAAAAAAATACATTTAACAAGGCTTATATGTCTGAAAATTCAGAAAATCTACCTCCATTAAAGTGCTCGTTAATTTAAAATTTTAACTAATAAAATAAATTAAGTGAAGGGATGAAGCAAAATTGCAATTATGAAATGACTGAATACTCATAAAAGATTTCATTCGAAGAAACTATAAACAAAATTTTGTAAGAAAATTCATAATATACAAATATGAATTACTTAAACACTAATGAGTAGAATTAAAATTTCGACTATAAAAATTAAAAAATAAGTCAGACTATAAATGCTTTTGAAACTAGTAGAGTAGAAGACTCATAATCAGATATAAAAATTTATTCTTTTCAGTAAAACAACTTAGAAAGTTAGTAGAACAATGTATTTAATTCAGATAAATCTTACAGTTTTAGTTAATAGACTACTGCTAACAAAATTAACCCAAAATATAGCTAACATACAATAATAGAAGCCTATTCAGCAAAAAAATTTGACTAAAATTTAATTTCAGCTGAAAAAAAAAGGCTCAATTTTTAAGAAAGCCCTGGTAGAAATCAAAAAAATTTTTAAAATTTAACACATCACACAAAATTAATATATTCTCCAAGATCAGATATCAAGTCTGCCAGAAAAAATAATATAGAGTTTTCTTAGCTTAATGTAAACCCTGCTAATAATCCTAGTATAGGTCCAATTGATACTACTAGAACATCCAAATCATAGGAAATATAATGCAGAAGTCGAAGAAGTTTGAATGATATAACATCAGCTTCTAGGAACAATAGATTGGAAACATAAAATGATAGCATCTTAGAAAAGAATATTCCTAATGCATAAGGAATGCTAATAGATACATTAAGATAACCATATGACATTTCATTGTGTGCAAATAGCAAAGATTTAGATGAATTTTCATAATCACAAGCTATTGAATATCTTAAAAATCTCACAGTTGCTTTGTAATTAAGAGTTTAAGTAAAAGTTTTGATTTAAAAAAAAATAAATTTTTTAATTTTATAATTTTAAATCTATTAATCAGCATTTGAAGCATGTTGAATCTGAAAATATTACACTGAAAGAAGATTTCCACAAGCTCAAAAATTTAAGAGATTAATGTTTGAAAACATCTGAAAATATTTCATAAGTATCTCTTCAAGAAACGGTCAAATTATAGCAAGAACTGGAGGGAATAATTTAAAATTCTAGAAAATACTTAGAGTAGCTCAAGGAAAGCCGATAATAGTAAAATTAAAATTATTGATTAAAAAGCTTTAAAATTATTTTAATTTAATTGAAGGATTGATGAATTAAAAAGTTAACTGCAAAATGAGTAAAATGAAAAAAGATAACTTAATCAAAAAATAAATGAATTAACAAGCTAAATCTAGATATAAAGGTAATACATTTAATTAATTTGCTTAATAAAAACTAAATTAAAATTGTTTACTAGTGAAAAGGAAAAATTAAGTCTTTAAAACATTAACCTTGAGACAATATAAAACACCTCAACCTTAGACCAATTAGTAAATAATTGTTTTAAAATTTGGTTGAAATAAATAAATAAAATTAATTATTTATTTTGTGTTTAAAGAAAACTAGAGAATTAAAAGAGATTTTGGAAAAAATAATTCGAGAAAAAAGTGAAATAACTAAAGAAAATTTGAGTATAAAAAATGATAACATAAAATTGTAATAGAGTTTAATGGAGCTAAGATTAAAATATGAAGAACTTGATTTTAAAAACAAACAACTTTCTGAGTAGATTATCTTAATGTCAAATGGAGAAGAGGTAAAAGAAGGATAAGATATTACCAAAGATTAATAATACCAAGTTTAGAAAGAAATAAATAGAAGGTATTCTTACTTTTTTTACTAAAATTTATATTGAGAAATATTTTTTATAAATGAAAATAAGTCTGATTTTAAGTATAGAGCAACTTCATGAAGAAAAGAATACTAAATAAAGAGAATTTAACAATTTATCTTCTCAGTATGAGGAGTAGATTTTATTTTTGTAGAAAAATGTTTAAGATATGGAGGCCTAGCTGAGAGAGTTAAATTAAACCAACCTTGAATTACAAGCAAACAATTTAGAACTGAGTCTAACTTTGAAGAATATAGAATGCATTTAAAAATCAAAGCAAATTTTTGAAGAAGATCTTAGGAAAGAAATTGAAAGAAATTCAACTCTTTATCTTTAATTTTAGTCCATCAAGCAATCAAATGAAGTCCTTTTCCATAAATTAGTAAGAGCAAATGAGTAAATTAAATGCTCATAAGACTAACTGACAAGCTTTAACGAATAAATTAAAACTTTAACTTAATGCCAGGAAACAGCTGTTCAATACTTAACATATCTTTCTTTTTTAATTAATGATTCATATTCTCCAGATTAAGTAAATAAATAAATAAATAATCAACGAATTTATTAAAAAAATTAAACAATTTTTAAATTTAAAGAATGACCTTTTTGATAAACTGTTAAATGAACAAGTACGATAATCTAAATTTAGTGCATTAATTTTCATCATTTTAAGAAAGCTTAAAAGCGGCTTGTATTAATTTGGTTCATAAAAAATATAAGTGTATATAGAAGAAAATATAGTTAAAGGTAATTAATTAATTAAATGTATCTTTTAATTTAAATTATTATTTGGTTTTAATTCAGTCAAAGGGCAAGACAGTGCAGTTAAGTATTTTGAGAGAAACATCAATCCTGAAATCTTAAAGTTGATATCTTCCCTTAATGCTGATAAAGAAAAGTAATATAACGAGCTAGTACTTGTGCTAAGCAAATGGCTAGAAAATAAGAATTACTGAAAAGAAACCATTTAAAATAAAAACTGATTGATTATTTATTTTGAAAATGCAATTTACAATAAATTTATTCTAATTAAGCAAAATAGATATAATAAATAGAGTTATTAAAGTGAAATATAAATTTAAATAAAGAAAACTATGTGTTATATAAAAAGTAAAATTATTTTATAATATTTTTGTATATAATTATTAAAAAATTATTAAATCTACATAAACAACAATTAATTTTTTAGTTAATTAATTAAGGATTCATTTTTATCTTTTTAAGATTTGCAATTTTTTTTACTTTTGATCTTTATATAAAAGAAAATTATTAGTAATGTTTCAATCAAAAGAGCAAAGGATGAAGTTCTAAAATTATTTTTGCCACCATTTAGCCAGAAAGATGAAAGTTGTTGTTTAAAGAGATGAAATCTAAAGCATCCCATAAAAATGAAGATACATCTCTGTCAGGATAAATTTATTCATACTTTTCCTTAGCTGCTACATATTTAGAATAGTTGCCAAATACTTCTAATGATATTTAGACTAGCTTTAATAAAGATCTGCTTTTTTTGGGAAGCTACTCTTCTAATTTTATAAGAGCATCACAAATGTGTTCTAATCCTTCTTTTTCTTTCTCCTTGATCAATATTGAAAGACCTTGATAATCTAAGCCGAGCTGAAATTCATCTAGAGCAAATTGCTGATCAGTTATTGAGCTTAATTCTAATTCATTTACCTCTAATTTAAGTCCTTCCAAATATCCTTTTAATTTTAAAGCACTAATCAATGAAATAGTTATTAAGTTTTTAAAAAAGGTTTGTTATTGAATACATTTTATTTTTCAATTTTATAAAAAGATACCTTTTAAAAACTGCTGAATATTATTTTTATCGTGGAAAATTGGATCAGTATCGGCCAGTGAAAAATTAATACCAACAAAAATTAGTATTACTAAAATCTAATAATTAAAAGCTTATTATCTCTTCATTTTTTATAGAGTTGCTTATTTTTTAATGGACTCAAATAAATTTGTGAAAAATATTATTACTATGCAATTATCAATTCCCCATAAAGAAAGTATTTAATTTTATAATTAATACATTCAAGCAATTTAATAATTTTATCATATAAAACCAAAATCCTTATTCTGTGATCAAAAGATGGAATGCTATTTCTTGAGAAAATTAAGACCAAGAAGAAATAGAATTATTATTAAGATTTCTCAATAAAATTTAAAATAATTTATCAAAAAAATATAATTTACTAGACAATTGCATATTATATTTTTTAAAAATATTTTTTTGTGGCATATTTATGTATTTGTTAAAATTATTAGATTGTAAGCTATGTTTTTTGGTTGAGTATGATTGCTTGAATATCATATAAAATAAATGAAATTTTAAAAAGCGCTTATAGATTATTATTGAGGTTGATTAATATTGAAAGATTAATTTCGGCTAAATTTATAGAAAAATCCAGTAATGTTAAATAATTCTTTTAAAAATATTTAAAATTTATTTTTGAAATGTGTGTGTGATAAAACTCTTTGAAAAAACTAATCTTTTTGATTTTATATCCTATGAATGATCTATTAATTTTTAAAGGTAAGTTGCTTTTACAACTTATTTTTAGTTTCTTGTCAAAAAAGAGGAAAATCATAAAACAAATCTATAAAATATCAATGAAAATATTTTTTTTTGTAGTGATGGTTTATTATTTTATAGCTAAATTTACAATTTAGAGCATAATTAGTAATTATTAATTCAACTTAATAGCAGCTTAATATTTATTCTATTCTAGATGCGTTAAAGGTAGTAGAGTAAATCAGAAAACTTAAGTTGGTAAGCAATAAAATAAAAAAAAATAAATTAATTAAGTTTTTATCTAAAAATGAATATTCGTAATATGATTCCAAATTAATTAATAAATATGAAGAATATAATTTGTCTGTCGATGAGTTATTTTTATTGTTTTTCAATCAATAAATGAAATAAAGATTTTTTTCGTCAAGTAATTAATTTTTGCACTATTAAAAGAGAATACTATTAGTAAATAATACATAAATTTATATACATATATTAACACAAATATGCATATGCAAAAAGAAGAAGAAAATTTATTTGATTGCATAAATAACGCAATACTTATTTATTTATTTTTAATTTAGATGTTTGTTTGCTTGCTTGTTTCTTTTTTTGCTACCTAGCTTGCTTGCTTAATTGTTTGCTGGCCTTTTATTAAAAAAGTGATTATATCCCGCAAATTTCATAATTAATAAAAAAATAATAAAATAAAATTCAATCCAAAAGGACTTCACAACATATAAACCAAAATTTTTAAAGTATTTATTATAAAACTCAAGCATTCTCCATAATAAGTAGGGCGAATAAACTCATATAGACAAGTACTTCTTTAATCTTTTAGTTTAAAATTAGCCAGAAGAAAATCTAAGCTCATATTGCTAGTCCTTCATCATACCAAAATTCTCACTTGAAATCATAAGACATTACTGCAAATGAACAAAATTATAGGAGGCTATTCGAGCAATAAAACAAATTCAACCTCTTTGCAAAGAAGTAATTCCAAGTCTAAGGACAATACAAGTCCTGTTAAGGGTCTCTAAGTTCCCAATTCTAATACTAACCTGAACAGTTCTAGAAAATCACCTGGTTAGATAAAACTTAATTTAAAATCTGATGAATATGCTACTCCAATCAAAGGAACTCTTCCCAATTCTACTAACTCTTAATCATAAGGCAGCTATTCAAATTTCGATGCAATTAATCAAGGTGGTAAAGAAGTCCTGTCCACCACTAAGTAAACAAAATAAATTTTATATTCTCTTTTTTAAAAAAAGTGTTGTTGGTTGAGTTTCTCTACTTTTAGTTTATTGTTAGCAAATAAAAAAAATAAAGAAAAAGTATGAAACTCAAACTCATGAGTCAAAAACTACTTTTATATATATTTATCTTTTGTTTATAAAAATTTTTAATTAAAAGCTCAACAAATAGAGGCAAAGCGTAGCTCCTTAATACTAAATCTCCTCTTAAATCTACTTCTATTGCAAGAACAGGTGTTGTTAACCTTCAAAAAGAGGGATCTAGGACAGAGCTGAATGTTTCAAGCTATGAGAAAAAGAACCTAAGCAATACAAACATCAATATCAATATTTAGAAAGTAGATCAAGAAGGCGCAAACGAATTGACTGTAAGCTAGAAATATACTCAAGAAATCAGCGGATTTTAAGGATAAGGAGATGCAGGTTCAAATATTTTAGATATTTCATAGAATCAACTTAAGTAGAATATTTTTCTCCTTTATTTTTTCTTTTTATTACTTTCATCCTTCTACAGAAATTTAAAAACGATCAATTTGCTAGCTTGCTTCTAAAATTTAAATTGTCCTTAAATACTTCTAAAAATATTTAATAAATTTTATATCAATTGATCCAGTAAAAAATTTTGCACTGAATCAAATTTTTTTCACAAATTAATAAATAAATAAATAAAAATAAAAAATATTGATAGCAAATTAAATTAGTTTTAAGAAATAAAATTCTGATTAATTAAATAAATAATTTTCTACCCATTATTTAATTTGATTAAGCAATTAGTTATTTTCTTAATTAAATTCAATGCAAATCTAATCAATAATAGTGTTTCAAATTTCTGATGTTTACTATTAGCAAGCATTTATCATAATCAAATTTTGCTCACTTAATTAAATTTACATATTTTAAATAAGTCTTAAGGAAGAAAAAGATAAAAAGTCAAGCAACTAAAAGTCTCAAACAAGGTTAGATGACTCTCCTCCTTAAAATAGAAAGAATTCAATTCCTAAAAATCCTCCAGCTCTATCTCTACAATCAAACTCTTCAAATATGTCTTCTAATTATGGATAAAAGAGAGAATCTGCAACTTTTTCTTTAGCTAAAAATATCCTAAAGAGATAAAATACTAATTAATATGGCGGTTTACAAAATAACGATAAAGTAAACTAATCAATTGACAAAGGTTTACTGAATTTATCTATCTAATAATCAACCAAACTCAAAAATGTTTCTTCTACAGCACCTTATAATCCCGAAGTTACAGCTAAAGAAAGAGATGGTAATGTAAGAGTATATGCACGTTTTAGACCTAATAACTCAACTGAATTAGACTTGATCAATTAAGGTTTAGGATCTAATATTATTGAATTTAATGATGAAAAATCAGTTACAACAATGTGTGATAATCAGATGTACACTTGCGATAGAATATTCAAACCTGATTCGAAATAGGTATTAATATTTTTAAATTTATTTATCGAAAAATCAAAATAAAAATCATTAGCTATTGCAATCAATTCAAAAATTTGCAATTGTTTTCAATAGATCATTTTTAATTAAAATATATTTTAAAAATAATATTTTACAATTTTAAACTTATGTTACTCAAAATATTAATTACTTAAGCTCCAATAAATTCAAATATTTAAGTTTTGGGATTTCAATATACTCTTAAAATTGAAATAAAATAAATTACAAAAAACAAATTTATTAATTTCAATCAAACTTAAAATTTTAGCAAAATAGAAATAAATTTAAAACAGCTAATTTTTTAAAAAATATTTAATTTATTTTAAAATTATAAAGGAATATGTTTACAATACTGTAGCAGTTGAAGTTGTAAATGACGTTTTAGCAGGTTATAATGGTACTATATTCACCTATGGTGTTACTGGTAGTGGTAAGACTCATACCATGTTTGGTAAAATTTAAGAAGAAGAGATGGAAGGTATCATTCCTAGAATGTGTACTTAGTTATTTGAACATGTAGAAAATGAAGAGCTTGATATTGACTACACAATTAACGTTTCTATGCTTGAAATTTACAAAGAAAATTTATATGATTCTCTTATTTAACTGAGCTCAGGAGATAAAAAGGATTTAAAAATTAAAGAACATCCTTAAAAGGGTATCATTGTTGATGTAACTAACTAAAGATTTTCATACTTTTGTAATATAAATTCAAAATTTTATTTTTTCTAGGGTTTAACTCAAAAACAAATCGCAAAAGAAGAGGAACTCTTTGGTATCATAGATTATGGTTATAACTAAAGACAAACAAGAGCTACTCGTCTTAACGAATATAGTTCTCGTTCTCACACTGTTTTCATGGTAGAAATTTAACAAAAGCTTCCAAATGGATCTGAAAAGAGTGGTAAGCTTAATCTTATTGATTTGGCAGGTAGTGAAAAAGTAAATAAATCTGGTGCTGTTGGTGAATCCTTAGAAGAAGCTATCAAAATTAATGTTTCTTTGACTTGCTTAGGTAAAGTTATCCATGCATTAACAACAGGGTAAGAGTACATTCCTTATAGAGACTCTAAATTGACTAGAATATTGCAAGAATCATTAGGTGGTAACTATAAGGTAGTTTTTTAAATTTAAAAAATAAAAATTTCAATTTATTTCTTCATTAACAAAAAAGACATCATTAATTGTTTGCTGTTCTATGCATTCAAACTTCTAGGATGATACAGTCTCAACTTTAAAGTTTGCATAAAGAGCCAAAACTATTAAAAATACCTTTAAGTAAAATATAAAGAGTTCCCCAGAATCTATGAAGCAAGCAATCGAAATACTGAAGTAAGAAGTCTTCTAAGCAAAAAATCTTTTGTAAATTTTCCACTCCAACATTGCAGATGTTAAAGAAGGCTTGTAAAGCGGTGATCCAGAAAAAATAAAATAAATTAGTAAAATATTAAAACTAATTTAAAAATAAGATTAAAATATTATTTTTATAAAATAGATAAGGCACTTGATAAGCTTTTAGAATATTAAACTGACTACAATCCTAAATAATACGAGCTAGGAGCTCTTACTGATTAAGCAGGAAGAATTTCAGCTTTAGCTTCAGGTGCTGCAAATTTAGCTGGATTTGCTGCAACAGGCAATGCAAGCATCGATATTTTAATTGCAAGAGTTAAAAATAGAGATGAAGAAATTGCTTCTTTAAAAAATAACATCGTCGATTTAGAAGAAAAGAATAAAAATTTAGAGAATGACATTTTAGAAATAAAATAATCTAACATTAAGATGGTTAGTGAGTTAAATGACTTAAAAATTGAAAAAAATTCTATTAATGTTAAATTTAACAAAGAAGTTTCAAAGAATGATTTCTTAGTCTTCCAAATAGAAATTTTATAGAAACAAATTCAAAATTTAGTTGATCAAGTGTGTAAATCTGAAAAGAGATGTGCAGAATATCTTTAACAGAAGAAAAAAGTTAGTAATAAATATTTTTAAAACTATTATTAATGACAAAATATTTATAATTAATTTTATTTTCAATTAAATAGTCGATGAAAAAATTGATAACATTATGAAAGACGATTTGACTTTCGCTGAAATAAAGCTTTCTGATTATTTTAACAATAGTATCAACTTCAACTATGAGGTAAATATTTAAATTATATATAATTTATATAATATGAATTATATTTAATAAAAATAAGTTCTAAATTGATCGTAACAGTGCTTTAAATTAAGGCATTAACCTCAGCTCTTTAACAGGTAAAAAGAAATCAGCTCACTCAAGTGCTAAATAATCTAGTGACAGTGATAGCGATAGTGACAGCGACTCTGATTCTTCTTAGAGTTTTATTTCTTCTTAAGTGAATACACCTGGTAAAAATAAAGCTTCTGCAGTTCATTCATAGAAAAAAATAGAATACTAAGGAAATAAACCTATCTTAGGAATACCTAATACATCTAGCTTCTACAGAGGATAAAATATGAATGCATAATAAAATCCTCCTTCTTCAAGAGATGATGGAATGAAAGACTCATTCTTAAACAATATAAGCTTCAACAACATTTCAAATAATCCTAATGTTGAAATGCTGAAGAGAATTATTGAAATCCCTTAAAAGATAGATGAAGCAAGTCAAAAAGACCCAGTTTCTAAAGATTTTATGATCATAAATTTAAAGAAGGCTCTTATAAAGTAAAGAAAAATTAAAGATTAAAAAATTAATTAAATTTACAAAATTTTAACATAATAGTGCTCATATCATAAACTAGAATTTACTTAGAACAATTAGTGCTCTTGAATGGAAATAAATTATTGAATATGGAAAATCATAGCTAAAAAGTAATGTCATGAAAATTTAAAGCAAACATATTGAAAGATTAGAATCTGTAATCGAAGAAAATATTGGAAACTAAAAGAACTTGCGTGATAAGATGGAAGAAATAGAATTTGAATTAAATGAGTAAAAGAAAGAAATAAAAACTACAACTTCATTCAGTCGCTTAATGCCTCGTAAAAGCAGAATTATGCTACCTGTTCCAATTTAACCTAGATTCTAAAACGCTGTTTAACAAGTTTAGAAAATAGTTTAAATAGCCCCACCTAGAAAAGATTCAATAACAAGTGAATTACAACAATCAAGAGAATAGAACCCTACAAATAGCAGCTAAATTAGAAATAACACCACAGAAAAAACAGAAGGAGATGACATGAATGAAAGTATAAATTTAATTTAATTTAATTAATTTGATTAATTATATTTTATTAACAGTTATTGACATGATTGATAAGAATGTACTTCCTTTAACTTATGAGAATGCTATTTCAGAGCTCAAGAAAAAGAACTATATTATCAAAAAATTATACCAAGAAAATTTAGATAGTAAAACACAAGTCATACCATCAGTAATTCAAGATAGTGATAAATTAAATGCACTTTCTAGAGAAAACGAAAGACTTCGTGATAAGATTATTAGCATTTAAAATGACTTAAAAGTTGAATAAGCTCAGACAGCCTCATATAAAAAATCTTTGCAAGTTGAAAGAAGAAACTTAAATAACCTAAGGAAGTTGAACCAAGAAATGGAGATTTCTCTAAGAAATAATTTAAGAGAAGAGAACGAAGGCTGGTAAAGTGTGATTAATACAATCAAAGAGTAAAACGAAAAGGAAATGATTAAGAGATAGCAAGATTATAATATTTTGAATGAAAAGCTCAATGATGTACTTGAAAAGGCTATGTATAAGTAAGAAATAGAAATTTTTATTATATTAATTATTTAAATTAATAGAGAATAATAAATAATTAAAATATTTTTAAAAAAATGATCAATCAATCTTCTTTTAAATACAATTTATTGTTCAAACAAACTTTATCAAAAAATTCTTTAAAGTCAATTTTATACTAACTTTTATTTTATTAAAAGACTTGGCGAAATGAAAACAAGAGGCTAAACTTGCACTGTAAGTGAAATTGAATAAGTTATTTAAGAACTCTAAAAACAAAAAACTTCTGTAAGTGTAAATTATGAAAATAAATCAGCAAAAAGAAGAAGTTTACTTTTTACACCAGGCATGGTTCCTCCTACTTCCAATACTCCATCATAATAATAATAATAATCATAATCATAAGGTGTTGGTGGAAATGGCATTAATCCTCATTCTCCTAAAACTTTAGCTTTACTCCAAGCATTTGCTTAATAAGCTTAGTAACATTAATGAGCAAGAGGAATTCGATTTTTTTTTTTCTTTAAAAATTTTATTACTAACTAACTATAACAAACTTACACTATAAAAAATGTAAATTTTAGCTAAATCTGAATAAAAATAGAACTTCTCTTTTAGATTATTGCAATAAAAGGCATTATTTACTTCAATAAAAAAATATAATTTAATTTAAATAATGCTACTATTATTATGTTTAGAAAAGGTATATATAAAATTGTATCTATAAACTTATGTCATTATATTATATATAATATATATATTCATGGATTTACTTACATTTTTCCTAAAATATTCAATCTCTTAATTTTTTATTTTTATTTATTAATTATTCATTTCTAATCATTTAAACATATTTTCAAGCAAAATGTTTTAACATATTTGTTTATTTAATTGATCAAACAATTTATTCAAAATTAAAATTAATTTTTCAATATCTTACCTCTAAATATATTAAGCATATTTTCTTTTTTTTTAATAAATATCATTATTTTTTATTTAAATTAAAGTGGTTTTCAAGGATTGGCAAGGAGCATAAAAATAGTCAAACCTTAATAAAAGCAAATTTTAATGTTTAGATTTTTACAATAAAATACCTTATTTTACTTCCTTAAACAAATATAATATAAATTTAAATAATACCACTATTAATATCATTAAGAAAAGGTATATATAATATTATATCTATAATTTATGTCATAATATTGAAACATATAATTTATATTTTCACATATTTATTTCTTATATTTTTCTGAATAAGTACAAAAATTCTTATATTGTTATTTTATTCATTTTTATTTATTCTTAATAATCTAAAAATATTTTCAAAAGTAGCACTTTAGTGCATTTGGAAACTTTAATAAATAATAAACTTTTTATATAATTGAATAAATAATTTATTTTTGAAATTAAATTTATGTGTTATTTCTAAATTTATTACTTGTGTTTATATTTTTTTAATGTAAATTTAAATAATTTTCAAAAGCAAGGATCAAAAAAATAATTTTATTTGTTTGATAAATTTAAGTTAATACACCTCTTTTATTTCGTTTTAATTTTTAAAAATATTATATTCGTTTTTTAAAATGCTAATTTCCTTTTTGTTTGAATAAGATCAAATCCTTTTTGATGATCCTAAATATTTAAATAATTAAAAAAGTCTAAAATATATTGTTTACTATTTGGAGACTAACAAATGAATTAAAAAAATCAATAAGATAAGTAGGATGATGCTTTATTAGAAAAGTAAAGAATCTAATAGGAAGAACAAGATAAAATAGAAAAACAAAAGTTAATAGATGGACAGCTGTCTACAAAAGAGACAACCTGCTACTGCGCGTATAAATTAAATAGAATTAAAAATCATTAATCAATCATAATTTAAAAATATAGTTAATTGGTGATTACTATCATTCTCGTTGTGGCTCTGTTTTAAGATCATAGAATTCAAGACGGATATTAAATAGTAGAAGGCCTGGACGACTTTATAGGGATTTCGTATATTGATTTTAATTTAGTTTTAATAGTTTTCAAAAATTTTTTTTAATGCTTAGGAATTTGACTGAACAATCCTTGATGAGTTTTAATAGTCTTTTTACTAACAAAATATCAGTAGCAATAAAAAACATTTACAATTCTAAAAATAAGAATCTTACTCTAACATACAACCCTCAATAGCATAATACCTTACAAAGTATCTTAGATGCCTAGCCTAATTATCAGGAATCTTAATATAGAATTTAATTCCTGAGAACTTTCAATTTGTTTTTAGGTATGAGGATCAGAATAGACTTGCGTACAATTGATGATAATGAGTTCGTTTCAAATTTCTTCTAGGTTTTATCTTAAAATCAAATTTTATTGATTGAACCAGGAGGTTATTAAGATTAAGCAGCAAAATTATAAATTATTTTGTAGAGCAATCAAGATAATTTAATATAAACTGATAACTATATAGATATGTTTTTTACAAGTGAATTAGATGTTGGAGTTGTTAACAATTTACTAGAGTTTATATAAGTAAATCATATAGATTATTAATACAATATTTTAATATTGATATAAATAAATAAAGATATAACTGAGTGACATTAAAACATACTAAGTTACTATAGATGTCTTTTCTGTCAACTTAATTAGATAAATGATTGTTTAACAAACAAGAGTTTTCACTGAAAGCGATTAAGGAGCTCTAAATTATTATTAACAAGATTAAGTAGCTATTTTCCTAAATATTAAAGGGTAAAATAATTTCGTTTTAAAAGGTTGTTGTAAAAAATGTTTTAATATATTTATAGCAATACTAGTCCTGCAAATACTCTATATGCCTCTTATCTGATTAAAATCTTTTACTTATGCTGTGTTTCACTATAGATTTTAATATCTTTTGTCCTTGTAACAAATCTATTTATTTATATAGTTTTTTATTAATTTTATTTAATGATTTAAATAGAAAGTATTAGGTATGATTGTAAACTTTATTACAACAAAAATCTTCATTTTCGATAAGTAATATTTATTTTCATTTTAAGATTCTTAAATATAGCATTTATTTATTGTTATCAATAGATTCCTCATTATCAATTTAATCCTTTAGTCAGTTGTTGTGAGCTATTTGTCTACTTGGCTACAACTTTTCTCAACTTATAAGTAAATGCAATTAGATTCAGTCTTAATATTAATACTTGTATTTAATAATCTAGCTCCTTAAATTAAAGCACTTTTCAAAGCTTTTCTGATTTTGACCACTATGCTAATTACATGAGTGCTTACAATGGTGATAGATTTTTTAGTATTATAGTTTTAACTATATAGACTATCGCTCTTGTATAGCTAATTAACTAAAAGATACCTTCTTTTAATATTATTTACTACTCTCTTTTGAATTCAAGTAGAGATCTCTTTTTACTCATGATAGTATTTATTATATTTGCCTTTATAATATTTAAATATATATTATTATTATTATTATTATTTATAGTTCATTGTTATTATGCTTGTAGCTTTTTCAGTAGTTGGAACTATTATATTCAGTGCTACTTAAATCAGTTTTTATAGTGAGATCACTGGAACTCTTTTTGAGCTTTTCAAATTTGTAGAGATTTTTTCCATATTTAGCTTAAATTTATAAAATTAAAAAAAAAAAGATATTCTAATATGGTGTTCTTGAAGAATTGGTAAATATCAATACCGGAACTGGTATAGTATTTGGATTAATCTTCATATTGTTTTTCAACTTTATATTAATTCCATACCTATACTCAGTAATTATTGTAAATTACAACTCTATAAGAGAAGCTATGTCTATTACTACTGAAGCAATAACGGCGATAGAGTCAGAAAAGCAGTTCTAATTCTTAATAAAGATTTTTAATTTGATAACGTTTGCCTCACCTTAGTAAGTAATGCAGTAAAAGTAGAAAGATGAAGAGAAAAAAAAATAAATTAAAGAGAAAGACAAATAAAGTTTGGAAAATCTGAGTGTGCATGATAAGCAAAGTCCAGATAAAAGAATAAAAGGAGGATTTCAGTCTCATATAGATCCTAATTACAGCTATTCGGTAAATTCTCCAAGAAAAAATCGCTTAGGTAATGAAACTCCTGTCACTCCAGAAAAAGCTAAAAGTTCATTTTAGAAAAATACCAGCATGAGAGGATCTCAGATTTTTGATGACGCACACTCCAGTACAAGCAGAAAAAATTCTAGAAGCTAAACAATGATAAATTTTGGAAAAAAAAATAATTAGATTCAAGTGCATGGCAATAGCTAAGAATATGGAAATACTTAATAGGGGCCAGAAGTTAAAATGAAGTGGAAGTAGTAGCTATAATTCAACTTTAAATAACTTGGTTTGAACGTAAACTTATTTTAATATTATTATTATTTAACCTTTATTGAATTTTATAAAAAATAGTTTTATGGATTCATTCCTGCTAAGGTAGAAGTATAGACAAGATAATAGAGACAAGATGAAATTGTCTAAAAAATTGAATAGTTGAAATTTGAGAAAAAGAAAGAAAAGATAAGTATTCAGAAAAAGAGAGCCAAAACTGCCAGAGAAAATATAAAGCTTACTATTATCCATATTTATTTTTTAATAGTGCTGATATTTATGGGATCTGAATAACTACTCTATGATTAGGTATTAGAAAAAAAATTATTAATTTATGAATTAATTCCATTAAAACAATCTTAATTTTAATAAATAATAGTGCTACAAAATCAACAAAGCTATTGATAATTACTATAGAAACACCCAAATAACTGTATTACAGGGTCTTGTTTCATAACAGATAACATTTGACACAGTCTCTGAAATCAATCATCTTTATGCGTGGATTGAATATGTATTTTTGCCTCCTCTTACCCCTTAATTTTCTACTAACTCTTATTCTGATAGAATTGATCAGTATAATTTGATTTTTGCAGAATTTCCAGCTCGTATGACTATTAGAAGAACAGTTATGCACTAAAACTCAGACTTCTAATTTTATAATACCACAAGCAACAAAATGAATGACCTACCTCTTTATATCTAAACTGCTGGAGACATGAGTCCTAGTTCAGGCTACTCAGATGAATATCAGTAAGATTTTTATGGTCCAATTACTTTAAATGAGTATTATTACATTCGTCCTGGACCTAAAACAACTCCATACTAAGAAGGTGGTTTTGTTTAATATTTTACAACAAAATAAACTTAGAATTACCTTTACTTACTGACCATCTACAGAGATTAAATTATAAACCATGATGTAATAAATTTTTTAACACTTTTTAGATATCTAATTAGCAAATGTAAATAAATATAAATTAGACAGGTACAGTTGTTTTAGAATGTATATTCTATAATAAGTTTGATGATCTTTACTCATATGCAATTATAAATTTTGATATAACAACGAGTGGATACATTAACAAGAAAATTAGTGTTAATGTAAAATTTCTTTCAATAAATCCAAATTATTTAAAGCATTTTCAAACAAATTAAACAAAAGAGCTTCATTGTAGATTTATATTCAAGTGACAGGCTAACAAGGATTGTATGGGAAGTACTGTTTTTCATTTAAATTTTGATTTACTTCTTATAGTTTAAGAGGGATTTCTCAGCAATATTCATGAATGAAGAGATGAAGGCTTTAGTAAATTTATTTAATAACCTTTTACTTTTACTTAATTAAGTGATATATTTTAATAGACTCCTTTAGATCCTGAACTAGAAAAAAAGAATTATGTGTTATATTTGCTAAACTATCATATTGAAGAAGGAGAGTATTCTTTAGTTGGATTGGTAAAGTAGTTCTTGACAAGAACTCTTAAATTAGCTCAAAGAATTTTAATGTCGCTTTAGATTTATTGTTAGTAAACAACAGCTAATATCTTTTTAATCCTTGGACAAATATTGGCCTTAATTGTAATCATTTTCTATCTAACATATGCATGTAATACAGACAGAATAAATTTTGATAGAAATAAATCAGCAAACTCTTATTAGCTAATTGGCTAATTCTCAGACTTCGCCAGCTAAATGGGCAAGTATAGTGCTGTCATGAGTATACTGATGTTTGTGCAATTCATGCGTATTTTGTTTTATTTTGGTTTCTCAGGTAAATTAGCGTTAGTTCTGGATGTTATTTCTAACGCTAATCTTGATGTGTTCTTTTTCTTAATTATCTTTTTTATTCTCCTCTCTGCATTTGGATTGATCAGTATTGTCTTGTTTGGAAGTGAAATTTCATAATTTTAAGACTTCCCTAATTGTATAATAGAATTACTATCATGGCTGTCTGGTGTTTAATCTTTTCCCTCTGAAAACTTTTCTGCTTCAGCCACTGAATACATCTTTTATATTATTTTCTTAGTAAATATTTATTATCTTTAATGTTCATTCTAATATAATTAATTAAAAAAAAATAGATTATTATGTAGCTAATTCTATTGAGAATGTTTATTGCTATTTTGGATGGATACTTTATTCAAAAAATAAGTGACAAAGACGATGTATGAACTTTTTGATAGTATTTATACTTAATATTTTATAAAATATATTAAATAGTAAACCAAGGGTATCATAGACTTATTGCTTGACTTACTACATACCTATTATGAATAAATTAGAAATAACTCTTAAGAAAAATAGTAAGATGAAGTAGAAGAGTAGGAAAAAACAAATAAAGGTATAGCTTTTATTAAGAAAGCAAAGGATTGTCTATGGAGGTATTTTAATAAAGGTCTTCTATTTTTCTTGCAAATTTATTTCAGCGATGAAGAGACAGAAAAGTTAGAAAAGAGGATTGGTCTTTAAACATAACAAGAAGAAGCAATAAAGCTTGAAATAAATTTCTAAGAAAATGATGAAAGTGAATAGAACATTTCATAATAAACTATAAATGATAAGCTATTAGATTTATAAACCTATATGAAAGAAAAACACAATGACAAAGACACTTAAAAAGACATACTAGATAAAAAAGATAAAAGTAGTATAAATTTCTGGATGATGTTGCTTTCTGATTCTTTGCAAACGACTACAAATAAATAGCTAAATTTTACTGAATATGATAAGAAAGGAAACATTCTTTATCTTAATGAATATAGATAAATTGAATACAAAATGGAAAACTATTAAAATGGTGTTCAGACCATAATTAATTTACCTGATGATGAAGAAAATATTATGTAATCCCCAGGTAAAAATGTAAAAGATAACACTACAAAATTTTCAAGTAAAATTTCAAGAGTACAGACAAATATGATAGGAAATTAAGCTAGGAAATCAGTTTTAATTTTAGATGAAAATGAAAAGCCATTAATAAAATATGGGAAAAAGTAAATAAAAAAAGATATTGAGTAAATGAAAAAGAGAAATAGAAATATCCATATTGAGTATAACTAAGAATGGAGAAGCTTATTTGACAGCAAAATTATGAATGAAATTATAGAATCTCTATCAGGTAAAGTCTACCTTTATGAAGTCAAGAATAAAAAAAATAAGTAAATCAATTTATTATTATTTAACACTTTTATTAACATAAAATAAATTTGAAATATCAATCATATAATTTTTTTTTACAAATTTAACAGCTAAGTGATAATTTATTAATTATTTAAAAGTATAAAGTTGATATATTAAAATAAATTTTTTTTTGAAAAGAATTAATAAAATGCTATAAAATTAAAATTGAAAAGCAAAAATAAAACATTATGTGTTTTATAAATCAAAACTACTATAAATGAAAATAATTATGAATAATCTGAATACTAATAGCAATTTATTTAATTATTGCTTAATTAATTTATTACAATTATAAACTAAGGACTTTTTAAAAATAATAAAATAGTCTGATACAACTATTCTATATCTTTAAGATTGCATTTAACAATTTAATTACTTCTAATTGAAAAATCAATTTTTTAATTCAGATCATTAACATAATTTTTATTTATTTAATTTAATAATTTAAAAAAAAATAGATTGTTTGTAGAAGAGATTAGTAATTTAATAGAAACTTGGAACTTTGATGGATTGTTAAATAGTATTTATAGAACTGCAGAATACATTATCCTTTCTAAAAGTAAAAAGAAGAATGAATTTAAATTAATAAGCCATTTATTCTATTGCCTTTTATACTTCTTCTACAATTTGAAATGCGTGTAATTTGATTAAGAGAAAAATTAAAAGATTAACATTAATAAAATTATTGATTTTGATCCTTTTGATGATGATAAAGAAATATAAGAAGCTCAATGTAAAATTGAATTTATTATTTAATATAAAATAATGTTTAAATATGATTATAGTTAATTTATCTGCTAGAGATGTAAGCACTTACTTAAATAATGTTGATTAACAGTAAGATTATGGTATCACATATCAAAACATCTAGAACACTCCATAAAACTAGAATATGTCATTTGAAATGATAAATATTTAAAAAGAACAGAAACCAGCTCATATATCTAATCCTTAGACAAGCTAATTAAAGAAAAGAGAAGGCAAAGTTGGTGTTATCATGAGTTTAAATGATGCTAATAGCAAGCATAAATTACCATAAAAAACACAAAAAGCCCTAAGCTAAATAGAATTGCTTAAAGTTTTTAAAAGATGTGAACTTCTTTTTAGTTTATGGAAACAGACATCACTATCTGATAAGTAAAAATAAAAATCCATGTTTTTTATTGAAATAAAAATTATTTATTTTTTTAAAAGGGTTCATTTATGGTTTGGTAGTGACTTTATTAATCCTTATCTCCCACATTACTTAAAATCAATCTTATGGTAACACATATCAAACATATTTCATGTTTTTATTAGTAATATGTATTTCATATATAATCAGGCACAACTCTAACTTCTTGAAAGAAACTTTTTATCCATTTCAAAAGCAATGTGATTTCGACCTAGATAAATTTATCTAAGGACCAGAAGTTTCGAGTTATGAAATACAAAACTTATGGTTGTATTTTGGTAATTTATTTTTATATAATTTAAACTAAAAATTACCATAAACTAAACTAAATTAAAGATAATTATGTGCCTCCTCAAGCTCAAGGAGTTGTCAATGACGAAGAAAAAAAGGAAAAGTAGTAAAATAATTAAAAAAACGCTTCAGGTGAGGCTAATTAAAAAGACAACATAAATCAGGAAATTAAACCTTTAATTGATCTTAAAAAGAAACTGTAAATGGAAGAAAATGGAGATTTGGATACCTTCTAAATTAATGAAATAAAAGAAATGCATTTGTTATTCATTCAAATGTTTGTTCGTGATGAAACTGATCGTGTAGGAGTACTATATAAAAAGGATACTATGCAAGAGAAATATAACTTCCTAAAGAGTTATAAAAAAGTAAAGAATGATCACAAAATGGTGATTTTCCATTTAATGACTCTCGAAGAAAAAATGAGATTAACATTTTTAAACATGGATGATGTAGTTTCTAAATTCGAAGTAATAAAATCATTTACTTACATACAATTAATATTTAAATAATTTCTTACTCTTCAAAAGTTTTTAATGATCATTGAAGAAAGCTACGAGAGTGTCATGAATATAATTAAACTCGATAAAGATTTAAATGATGAAATGCGTTAATGGATATTTGATTTTTACTATAATTTTGCTCAGTAAGTTTTATTTTATGATTTTTCACTTCTTGATATTTTTCAATAAAAAAATAAACAGATATAATAGTTACCATACTGCGTACAAGGTAAAAAAGCAATTTTAGGCCTATACAGAAAAATCAGAAGATGTCTTCTAGTAAAAAAATAATAGGTTATATTTAAATATTTATTTTTATTTTTTTCATATTATAGGTACATAAGAGACTTAGAGAGAACAATTATTAGGTTAGATTAGCTTATTGAAGATAATATTAAAATTTTAAAATAATACATTTGAGTTATTCATACTTTTTATGGAAAAATTAGATTAAATTTTAGTTTTTTTAAAGGAAAAAGAAATTGAAAAATATATATGGTAATTAATGTTCACAAAAACATATTTTTATCTTAATATAAATACATAAATTATATTTACAAAATGGTCTTATCGATATAATTATTTTATTCTAGAATTATAAGTAATAATTTTATTATATGATAAATTTAAAATATTTTTTTTTAATCACTTATGAAAAATAGTGAAAATCTTTTTAAGAAAATATTAATTTTATAATTTTTTATTACTTAAATAAAATTTAATTCAAATATCTTTTAGAAATTATTTTCTTTTTAAAATCAATAAATTTTCTGAGAATATATAAAAGGAATTTTAAGTAACCTTCTAGAAATAAAATATATTTTAGTAATATTGAAGAATAAAAATTACTTTACTTTATATTTTATTTTTGTAAACAAAACAAGAAATAAATTTTTAAAAGTTAATTATTTAGTTAAAACTATCATACTTTCTAGAAATTTTAATATTTAAATTTAAATGAAAATCTTTAAATATCATTGTAGGAGAAAACATATTTATTGGATAAAATGGATGTTTTATCAATTCTATTTATATATTTACAATTTCTATTTAATTTAATTGTAACTTAAAGAAATGTAATCGTGAGGTATTCAAATCAATAGAAATAAGATTCTAATATGAATAATTTAATATCAGGGTTTTAATTTATTAATTAAGCATTATTAATAGCCAATAATTCAGATTCTAAGAATTTGAATGATTTATTTTTACAAAAATGAGAAAATAAATTTTGGAAATTTATTAAAAGAAATTTGATGATTACTTTGGGGCAGATAGCGGGAATGGTGTAAAATTGAAAGATAAATTATTCTAAAAAATACTTCTTAACTATTTTTAAAGAATGAAAGAGTAAAACAAAAACTGAATACATAGATTAGGAGATAGATAAAGATAAATACAATTTGATATTTGCTTTAATCTGCGTATACATTTCAGAAGAAATGAAAAAAACAAAATTAATGAAATATGTAAGAGGAGACTTTGCTTGGATGCGATTGAATTTAATATATATGAATCAAGCAAGCAATCAAGCAATTAATCAATAAACAAATAAATCGCTTGCATATTAGTTATCTGCTTAAACTAATTTATATATTTTTCTTAATCTTTATTTTGAAGAAATTGATTTACTAACTTATGAATCAATCAATCAATAAATATTATAATTAACTTAAAATTAATTATATTTTTGGTAATCATATAAATATACATTAAGGGTATATTATACTCATAAAGTTAGGATATAACAACAATAAAATATAGGACAGATAGATAGATTCTTACTAACTTACCTACCCTTTATTTTTTTAAAAAAAGGCATACCAAACAATTGCAAATATATTTACTAAATTACATTCTTAATAGAAACTTTATTATTTATGAAGCCCAATCGCGAAGCAGTTCGAAACATTAGAGTGTTGTCTTAAACATCTGGAAATTAGGATCTTAATAGGCAATCATTGACTAATCATCCAAATTAAAATAATAACAGCATGAATATAGTTAGTAACAACATTAATACTAGTTAGCAAAATAATAGTAGCTTTGCTCATACTAGTGGTGATGCTTCAACATCCATAAATACAAGACCAAATAACTCTAGTTCTGTCAATAAAAGCAATGCTGCCCCTCATTCATAATAAAATTAGCTAAACTATACTAATGGATTCTCTGCCGCAGCTGATAACCCAAACAAGACTTAAACTTCTTTGTCTCCTTTTAGCAATAAGAATACTAGAGTCTTGAAGGAGACTGCTAATAACAACTAAGGCAGTCAAAACACTAATCCTATACACTTGATAAATAGCACAGGAGGTATCTCTTTTTTAAATGGATAACCTTAACTGTAGCAATAGCAACAAAGTTTACTATCTGAACAGATGAAAAAGCTCAAAGAAGATTTGCAGCGTAAAGAAAGAATTAAAAAAATGCAACAAGAAAAGCTAGCTGGAAGTATCGTTGTAGGATAATAAATGTAGCAAAATACAAGCGGTAATAAGTAGACTATTTAACAATCTTAGCAGTAATAACAGAGAAATTCTCATCAACATATTTAACAGATTATTTAGCATTAGCAACAACAACTCTAACAATAATAGCAGCCACCTCCAAAGTAAGATTTTAGGAAAGAGATTGAAAGAAGATTTTAAAGATCAAATGTCAATAAAACATTTATTTTTCCTCGAAAAAAAAGAAATGGGAATTTAAATACCATATCTGGTGGAGAACCTGTTGAAAGTAATAATAGTTCTAGTGATTCTTCTTTAGATAGCATAAAAGACGTTACTGTATATGATCTAAGGTCGTAAAATAATAAAATTAATAGTTTAAGAAGAGTTTAACGTAGCACTACAGATCATTCTCTAGGAGGTACAAGGCCTTTAGTTTCAGACAGTCCTGAAATTAAAAATACTTAAAACTAAAACAATATCAATAACCAATCAATTAGTTAGTTTAATAAAAATAGTTATAAGCAGCAACAGACAATAAGCAGCTCATCTCAACAAGTGAAAACAGAAGGTGATGAATAGCAGTAATCTTAAAGTAATAACTATGCTAGGACTCACTCATCTATTTCTAAGCCAGTTTCTATGATTACCTAATAGCATTAATAACAAGCAATATTAAACAGAGAAAATTAATAATTTTCTTCTCTTAACTAAAAATTACTTGGAAGTGTGTTAGTGGGTTAATAATTGTAAAAAAATGATTCATCTGTTCAGCAACCATTTTCTTAGACGAATGGATTTTTATCCAATTCAAATACAAAACCTATGAAGAGAGGAGAAATTGCAAAAAGTGCTAATAAATCATATGATCATAAAATTTAAAATGCTTCTACAACATTCACAACAATTTAATCCAAGAGCAGTAATTCTCGTAGACCTTAGTAGTCCTAGGGATTTGATAACACCAAAGATTACTAAGAGAGCATAACAAATCCAAGGTATGCAACAGAATTTTCTCCTGAAAAGAAATCAAACATATCTGATTTTCTAAATAATGTATCAATATAAAATAATCAATCTAGCATAAACTATGATTCTTACAACAGGTAACATAGTAAAAGCTAAAGTGGAAATAAAATTAACAATGCACAAGTTGTATTTAACAAGAACTAAGTGTCACTGTCGAAAAAGTAATTATATATTTAACATAAATCAAATTAAAGTCATTTTTTAAAAAATAAAATTAATAGTGGTGCCAGGAATACATAAAATAATATGAGGATTTTCTAAATGAAAAACGATTAACTTTAAAAAATATATAAATCTAATATTAAAAGAAACGAATATCAGTAAAATAATCTCTCATAAGATAACTATTCTGCTATGAGAGTACAAACAGAAGGATCTGAGCCTTAAAATAAAAATAATATTTACAATAAATAAGAATTATACAAGAAATTCAAAGTAAGCTAGGTACCATAATAAAATAACTTAATAAATTCAAATGTGTTCTCCTCATAATAATAGTAAATGTTTAATTAAAATAATATCTCTTTTAAGAAATAAAAACTTCCAGTTCTCTAATAATGAAATAATTTAAATTGAAATAAATGTCATAAAATAACACCTTGAAAATTTCTTAATAAAAAAATTTTAATTTATAAAATTATCAAATAAAATGAAAAAAGCCTTAAAGTATTTAATTAACTAACTAATTAATAAATAAATAAATAAACAAATAAAAACAACTTAAATAATAAATAAAAAAATACATGAATTGAAATTATAAATATAAGAATGATAAATTAAGGATATAAATAAATGGAATCATAATAAATATTGATTTTTAAATTATATTAAATGATAATAAACACTATAATTAATTATAATAAGTCTTTCTTCTTTCTTACTTGCTCGCTTGCTTGATTGATTAATTTTTTTTTAACTAACTAACTATCTATCTATCTACAATATAACACTCCTAAAAATAATTTTAATCCACTTACAAGTAATTTTGGATTGATAAAGTTGTTGAAACATATATCTCTCTCAGCTCTTTTAATATCTTAAAAAGCACAGCCTGATTACTAGCTTTCAAAGTAAGCATAGAATAATTAAATTTGTATACTCATTAAAGATGGTTAGATTATCTATTAAGTTCTTGCAATATATTTTCCCATTTGCTTTTATAAAATTATTAAAATAATATTGTTGATTGTTTGTTTGTATGTAGGAATATATGCATTTTTTGTATATAATATTTTATGTATGAATCAAAATTAAATAATAAAATTATAATCTTTAATTACCTTAATTCAAATTCTAGACCACTTTTTTCTTGGTGCAGTTTTTGCAAGATTGGATCAGTTTCATATATTTTTTATAGTCTTTCATCCTCCTCTTCTATTAATGGTAATATTCTCTCACCTAAAGTATAATTCTAGTATTACTAATCGTCTAATTTATATTCAAAATAGTTTATTTTAAATAAATTTAATTATTTAACTTACTTTGATATTTTTTTTGCTCGTTCTAATATATTTAAGACTGTTCATGCATGGATTGACTATAACTGAGATTTGAAGCATTATTATGTTGATAGCTAGATTATAAATCTGATTGTACATAATTCTAAGTTTTGTTAATTACTGAATTATTTATTTATCCTTAGTTTATTTTATTTTATGATAAAGATGTTTCAGATTAGCTTTAAATATTTTAGGTATGTGGTTAATTTATAGTTTTTTAATTATTTTAGCGATAGTTTTGTGGATTTTTCTGAAAACTGTCTTATAAAATCTGGCCTTAAATCTAAGTATTTAGTATAGGTGAAGGGGAACTACCTTAATTGGCTCTTTTATTTATTTGTTGTGAAAATGTGTTATTATTATTATAATGTGCCGCTTGTGATTATCTGGGGCTCTTCTAAAATATGCTTTGTTCAAGAAAACTAGCTTAAAGAGACTAGTTTTCATTAAATATACTGATAGTATGATTTTCATCTGGAATACTATTTAAATGATGGTCATTTTGCGGATGGTGATCTGGAGATATATTAAATACTTCGCTATCCATATCAGCAATTTCATCATTATCAACTCCAAATTATTGGTTATAACTTTATGGTTTTCTTTTGCCAATAAAATTCTCAGATTAATCATTTATCACAATATGTTCTTTGGTAGTCACTGTATCTTCATCATAAAAGAAATTTTAATGATCTTGTGAGTACTCTAATTCACTATCTCTTCCCTATTAGTACTATTGAATTTAGTTATAATTTTTAAAATTCTAATTTTATTTATCAATTTAATGTTAAGCTTCTTCTTCATCATCATCCTTGCACTTTTATAGATCAAAGTTATTTTTAAATATTTGTTTTAGTTTTTTTATGTTTTCTTTAAAATTAATTTTATTTTATGAAATTTATTCTAATGCCTTTAAGCTTTCGTCTTCATGTTTTTCCATTTTTTTATTTTTAACTTATTCATTTTTCATATTATTTTCTTTTGTTGGGATAACATTTTTTTAGTTTTTTTTATTTTCTACCTCTTCATCATAGATGAGTTTGTCATTTTTATTTTTAAAATAATCTTAATTATTTATTTTCTTGCTGGTTTTTTATTATGAATTTATTGAATTTTTAGGATTCTTCGCATCTTCTTCACTGCTATCACTTGAATTGTAAATTGGATGTTTCTTATTAATTTTTTTGGTTGCTTTAGAATCAATTTCTTAAATTTTTTGGTTATCTATTTTATTTGGAACTTATTCAATTTTTTAAGGTGATTCTTCTGTCTTTTTAGTTTCTGAATTTCTGTTAAAAATTCTAGTTTTTATTCTTTCTATTTCCATATCAGCATCATGCTCATCTATTTAATTTATAGAATTTTTGTTTTAAACTCTTGAAGGTGAAAGACGTTTTTTTATTTCATTTTTTTTATTCTCAATTAGCTTTTCTTTAAATTCTTGAGTTGTCTATGCCTGATTACTATTATATTTTACCTATTCTTACTATATATCAAATTAATTTCCTTATCTGCTTAGCCTAATAAAAATGTTTTATAAAATATTACTTTTTATTTAAAAAAAAAAATATTTACACTTTGTTTTTTATTTTTTGAACTATTGAATCTGGATTAGTTTCATAGTCAAAGCCAGAAAAATCTTATATTTGTAGTAATCTCTGGTTTTAGTTTAGTTAGCTTAGTGTAATATCACCTTAAGAATTTGATTCAAAATTTTATCTGCTTGAATTAGCAGAGTTACCTGCAGTTGAGTCAGGAATATTTAAATGTTTTTGGATTTCCTTCAAAGAAAAATCCATTTTATATTTTGTTTTCATTTTGTTAAAGATATTGTCTATTGTATTAATCACTCTATGACCCTTCGAATGATAATCATCTTCATTTTCGTAATTATCCTCTTGATAGTCTTTCTGTTGAATATTCTCTTTGAGTTTGGTATCACTTGAGTTTTATAAATCATTCTATTCCCTTTATTTCTAAAATTAATAAGAATTTCTACTACTATCATCTTATTGCTCATATTTTTTTATCTTATTTGAACTCTTTTAATTAATGATATCATGATAACGTTAATCTGTTTCTTCCTTGATTAAATTTTATATATTTCTATTTCCTTCTTAGTAAGTTCTTTAAGAAGGAGGTGATGTAATATAGGATTTAATCTATCCTTATTTGATTCCAACAATATCTGATCGCTAAGGTGTTTCCATAATTTTTGATTCTACTGAAGGATTATCATTTAATGAAATATTATTATCCCTAACAAAATTAGCTAAAAAATCTGAATGCTACTTCAATTTTTAAAAGTTATATTGCTACTTAGCAGAAATATCAGAAATAGAACTTTAATTTTCTGAAAATTAATCCATAGAGTTTTAAACATTCATTTATCAAGTTAATTAGGATTAATTACTTATTATCCAATGATATCTTTTGTATTAAATTTAAAATTTACTATAAGATTCAATTGGCTACAAACAATCAATATTACAAATAAAGAAATTAATAAATAAATAAATGTATAAATTTTCAAAAATTTTATTTTTTAAAAATACTTTTTGAACTAATTCATTATTAAAAAAATTAAGCAAAAAATATTTGATTTGAAAGCAAAAAAATATTTTTTTTTTAGTGAAAATTGAATTAATTAGCTAATTAATTATTACTCGACTTTGAAAATATAAATCAAATATAATTTAAATATTAAGCTTGAATGATTATTATCAATATTACAGGCATTTACATGCATTAATGTTATATTTTTAGGGGATTGAAAAAAATAATTAATACAAATATTAACATTGTTTATTATTTTGATTTAAAATTTGATATCACAAATTCTGTCATTTTTACTAATCAAATTAATTTTTTTTAAAATAAAGATTAAAAAAGTTGTAAGCTTATTGTTTACTATGATAAAATTTTCTTTTCAATTAGAAGTCAAAAATAAAAAAATAAATTCTTAAATTTTTTTAATTTATTAGCAAGGAGATTATGGAGAGAAAATATCATTTTAAAATTAGTTTTCTTCTTTTTATTGTTAAAATATTTTATGAGTAAATTTAATTTTTAATATAAATTTTCTGGAGAATAATTTGTTTGTAAACATTCAAAGATAGATTAAAATAGTTAAGGCTAGATTTTAAATCAGCTAAGTTTTCTATTAATACTTCAATTTAAAATTTCTGATACATATTTAGCTTTGATGGTATCAGTTAAGATTAGAACTTACTTTAAATTTATAAAATGTGATTTTGAATCTTACAAATTTATTCACTAAAAAAAAATATTTATTTCATTGATGTATTTTTTATTTATTCATACTAAAATAGCCATTAATTATTATAGCCATCAGCCTATAAAAAGTTTCTTGGAATCTTCCCATTATTAAAAAAATATATGTAATTTATTTAAAAGCTGTCCTTAATTTAAATTTTCCAAATGTCCTCTAAAAATTGAAAAAAATTTACTGATCATTATTACTTTTGCTAGATGTCATTTAGTTGTTGCTAAAATTTATTAAAATTTTTTTATTTAATTTAAGAGTATGAATAGAGATAATAGTTAATAAAAATAAGGTATTTTTAATTATTACTGTTAAAGCATACAACAGTATATAGAGTTTTTTATTTCCTTACATACTACTGTTCAGTTATCAATATTTGTCTGAGGTTCTTATTATTGTACTTATTGATCTATATAGATAGAATATATTTCTATAAAATTGCGTTAGATTTATTATTAATAACAATCCTTTAATTAATTATGAGTACATTAAAAATGAATGATTATAAAAAATTTACAGATTATAGATTTGCGTTAAGACTCATTAGTATTATTGTTATTATTTAATCAAATCAATCAATTTATATGTGATTATATTATCAAAAATAATTTGCTTGAAAACCAAATAAATAGGCATACTAATTTTAGGGCAAAAATTATAAATACCAAATACCATTTTATACACTCTTAACACTATTAATAAATTTATTTCTTCTTGATGACTTCAACTATGACTTTATCTTCCACAGATATAACCTAATAAGTAATATATCAGCTTTATAAACCTTTCATTTCGCACAACAAATCACCAATTTTTATGAAATCGATTATCAAAGATACATATTTTTATTTCAATTAAAACCTCAAAATTCATCAACTATTTCAACCTTTGTTCTCATGGAAAATAACAGCTTGCTAAATAAAAGCATAGTGCTAATTTATATGAGGATTAAGCTTATCTTTTATAAGCTAGTCATCAATTTGAGAATTTGTAATAATTGCTTTACTAATTTTAAAAATAGTCACCTAGGCCAAGCTGTAAAAAGAGACCTTAGCTTTCATTGTAGGTGAATTTTTTAAATATTTAGAAGGTGGTTGATAAGGAGGATTAAGAATAAGTGATTTCTAAGTCAGCACATAAAATATAGAGTATTGATACCTTCAGCTTCAAAGAGATCTAATCTGCAGAAACTCTTAAAAATATCTACGATAACTACCATTTCTTTAAGACTTTCTATGATACATCAATGAGAAGATGCAATAGACCTTAAATGGAAGACCGTGTAATACAATTTTTATTTTTCAAATAAATAAAATTTGAAAATATTTTTTATAATGATTTTCCAAGATTTGAAAAAGTTTTAAAATCATTTTTTTTATTAAAGTATTGTGCTTTGCTGTAGTAAAAATAAAACCAGTTCAAGGAGAGCTTCTTTGGTGTCTTTGATGGACATAAAAATTACGAAATATCAAACTTTTTGAAGAATAATCTATATTAATCGATACAAACTTAAAATAGTTATGAATAAAATATAAAAGAGAGTATTATATAAGGTAAAGATGTTTGTCTACTTTGAATTATTTAATTACACTAATAAATGAGTCATATTAATTAATTTATATATAATAATTACAGCCTCTTTAATGCTGGACAAAGAAATATAAGAGATGATTAAAGTTAGAAATTTAAAAGGAGGATCAACAGCATTATGTGCTCTAATAAGAAATAAAACAATAAATTTATTAAATGTGGGCGATTCTATTGCTGCTATTGTTTCTTATGATGGAATCAGATAAATAAATGAATAACATCGTCCTAGCAACCCTAAAGAATAAGAAATTTTAATTCAAAAGGGAGCTGTGCTTTTAGAGAGAAGTGGAGTATCAAGAATTAATGGCGAACTAGCAATTTCTAGATCATTCGGTGATAATGAATTCAAAGAATTCATCACTTCAATGCCTGATGTATACAGCTTTGATATTCAAAGCAATGACTAATATTTACTTCTTGCTACTGATGGATTTTGGGATGTAATTTGAATCAATATTTAATAATCAAAATAATTAATCCTTATCTTTTAATTAAATAGGTAATTAATTTAGAAGAAGCAAATTATTTTATTAAGCAGTGGGAAGTTGAAAAACAAGACAGAGAAAATATTGATAATCTATCTTCATTTTTGATTAATCAAGCCTGCACAAAAATTACGAATTTCAAGAAGGATAATATGACTGTTTTAGTAGTAGATTTGCAGTACTTGAAATCCGATTAACCTTTACTACTTTCAAGATATAGTCTGGAATGAAAAATAATTAATTTTAATTATTTTCTCTTAAAATAGATAAAAATTTATTATTATTATAATTAAATAAATTTCAATTTCTTTTTTTCAAAGAAATTGTAAAAAATTTTGAAAAAATATTCAATTTGGATGATAATATACTTATAATTAGACTGCATAGCAGGAATATAATAGTTTATTTATTAAGCAATTTTCTATTTACTTTTGCTTAACACTTAAACAATTAATATTTTAAGATTGAATTTATTCACTAATTTTACTGACTGACTGACTAACTGAATGAATGAATGACTTCCTATAAAAATTATGTTATTCTCTTTAATTATCTAATCAATAAAAATCTATATTCTAATTATTATTTCGATCTAGTGCTCTGCAAAAACTAATAAAAAGAGTTATACCATTCTTTAAATTAGTTCCCATAATTTATATGCCTAAATTTTATAATTAAAATTAAATTAAACAAATTATGTTATAGATAAAACTCTAATCTTGTCTCTTATTATTTACTAACTGTAACTTTAGATATTCATAAAAACTATTTGTTTTATTTTTATTGATTCATTAAATAAATTATTTTTAGATTTTATTTTAGAATTTAATCATTCTTTTAAAATTTCTTTAATTGAAATTAAAAAATCCATCAAGATTAAATTTCACATATGAATATTTTTATAAAAAAGAATTATTTATTATTTATTTATAATAATTTATTTTTTACCTTTCCTTAAAATTTATTATTTCAAAACTAAAAATAATAACTAAAATTAAAAAAAATATATTGTTTATTTTTTTTATCTTTTAAGGATAAAAACAACAATAAAAAATCGATTTATAATAAAATAGAAATTATAAATTATGTTTTTATTATAAATACACATTTTAGTTATTTCTAATATTTAAATTGCTTTAATAAACGAATCAGAATTTGAATAATAATAAATTTAATAAATTCTTAAGGAGCATTCTAATTTTTTCTTCTAATTTTTAGTTCATACTTCTAAAACTAACAATAAATATTATATAACTAAAAATTACATCAAGTATTTAAATTAAAATCACATTAATTAAATATTAAACAAAATAGCTGTAAAGAGAAAGTTAGGAAAACCTTTTTTTTTTTTATTTTTTAGGGGAATAATTTTTAAAATTACAAACTTATTTGTTAATATTTTTTTTTAATTTAAGTGGATTGCTAATCTTAAATCATTTTTTGACCATTACATCCATACAAAAAATTAATTAATTAATTTATCCATAGAGAGAATTTAAAAATATATGCCAACTAAAGACATTCATTACCCATAGTAAATAGTACTATTCTTAATTACTTAATTTTATGATTTTATATGATTATTATTGTATTTTGGCTTAAGTTAATAATTGAATATTAGCTCATTTTTCATACAAATAGTTTACATTTTAAAAATTTTTGCATTGAAAAAATAAATTGATTAAAATCTCTTGTAAAATATTTCTTAAAAGTCAAAAAATTGAGATTATTTTTTATGAATTTTAAAAAATGTAATAGATAAAAATAATAACCATTTTTTTAATAAAAGACGGAGTTCTTTATTTTAGATTTTAAAATTGTATTTGTATGTAGTTAAGCTAATTTTTTTTATAATGTTTTAATTGTTGTGACGTAAAATCTGAAGTTCCATTTAATTTTTTAAGATTTAATCATGTAAATGAAATATAAATTACGGACAGTCCTGCGTCATTTGTATCAAAAAATATTCTAATTTTTTATAAAATTTTTGATTTTCTTTACATTCTACATATAGTTAAAACTTGTTTAGGTATTTAATGACGAAGTGTATTATGTACTAAATTGATTAATTAATTATTAACTAATATAATTGCTAATCCAGAATTTCTACAGCTCTACTTTAAAAAATAGAAACAACGATAGGAAATACAAATAAATAATAATATATTAATAATTAAAAGAAATATTAAAAGCAAAATTTAAAAATGCCTGGCTCCATATCGGATACTACTTGTTCAACTCCAGAAAACGATACAGTTGAGAGAATTATTAAGAATGATACTGTTCGTTATGTAAGAAAAGGTATAGCTAGCTTATAATTTAGCTTATAAACATGTGTTAATTATTTTTTTTTTTAATACAAAAGGTTATGGTCTCTTCTTTGCTATAGTTATTTTCTTATCATTCTTTTACTTTGGTCCTATTTTACTCAAAGCAGTTTGGCCATTATATCTTTCATTAGGAGAACGTAAATATTTCAAGTTTAAACTAGTAATTTTAAAAACTATAATAAAAAACAGCTAAATATATTATCTTCTTTGCTTAATTTTTATTCCCATCCTTCATGTACGCCTTAGCCAACTTAATCATGTGGTCCATATACGTTTCTGAAATTCCCTTCTTTGAGCGTTACCGTATCTGGCCTGAGGTAATCAATCATCTTTTAAATTTAAAATGATTTTTCCATTAAAATAGCTCTGCGTATGCATGATTTTGATATATAAATTGATTAAATAATTTAGCAAGAAAGAAAGCAAGCAAGCAAAAAATAAATAAACAAAGCAATATTAATATGCAATTTAAGCAAAAATATTGGCAAAATTTACTCTGTTTCACGATTTAAAAAAAAAAGTAGTTTTCTACTTATTTTTAAATCAACTAGCTATTTTCCATTTCAATTAAAAAACTTTAAAACTTAACTAGCAAATATTATACAATTTTATAATAAATTGGGTAGAGCTGATATTAAAAAGTGTAAATTTCCATCAATAATTAAATCAACTTTTTTTGCCATATACAATATAGACAATTATAATCTATTATTTCAAAACCTCAAAACCTCTTTTTTCTTCTTTTTTTCTTTCATTTTTAATTTAATCCATTTTCTCAAAAATATTATGAATAATAGTTTTTTTTCAATGTAAAGTAATTATTAAAATGATTATAAATCTTTTTCAATTTAACTTGATAAAATGATTTTCATTTTAAAGATTAAAATTAGAGATTTTTTATATTAAATTTTTTTATTTTTATTATGTTTATAGAAATAATGGCCTTGGTAAAAAGACCCTGTTGCATGGAGAGCAAAGTTAAGATAAACACTCAAAAATATCTTTATTAACTAATTTGTTGTAGCCCCTGCAATGGCCGCTTTTGAATTATTCGTGACAGGATCAAAATGCTAATATTCTTTAGAATCCTTCCCTGATCATATCACTATCATTAAATAAATTACCTTCATGATGATTGTTGAAGACTTTTTCTTCTATTGGGGTCATAGAGCTTTACATACTCCTTATCTTTATTAGTTAATTCATAAAACTCACCACGAATATTACAATGCTATTTCTATATGCGCTGAGTACGCTCATCCCATTGAATTCGCTGTTGCCAATGTTTTGACTACATCAGCTGGTTATTTGATACTTGGGTCTAGCGTTCACATGTCTACCTTCATTTTATGGTAATTAATATTAAATTTTAAACACTTTTAATCCATTCCTAAATAATTTAAAATATATTTTTGAAAAAATAAAATACTAATTTATTAATAAATGATTAATCATAAATTAACTCATAGTTTAAATATAAATTTTTAAAATATTTTTTAATTTAAATTAATAATGAAAAATTAGCTTAAAGCATAATTTATTTATTAACAATACAATTTATAATATAAAAGGTTGGGTATTAGAGTTTTCGAAACTATTGATGGTCACTGTGGATATGAATTCTCTTGGAGTCCATACAGATTACTTCCTCTTAGTGGATCTAGCGAGTATCACAATTATCATCACTCACATAATGTTGGTGTATATGGATCATTCTTCACTTATCTAGATACCATTTTTAAAACAAACAAAGACTACTTTGCATATAAGGCTCGTAAAGAAAGAGTAATTTATTTTTTAACATATCTAGATAATCAATTAAATAAAATTTTATTAAAAATATTAGAATGAAAAGGCTAAAATTGAAAGCAGAGAATTTTCTAAAGCTAAGATTGATCCTAATGAGTTGAATGAGAAATTAAGCAGCTTAAGTAAGCTCTAAGAATAAAAAAGTTAATGATTGAAAAAGTTTAATAATGTTAATAAAATTTATTTTTTATTTAAATTGTGATCTTATTCTTATTCATGTTGTTTATTTCTCTTATAACTACTTAAATTATTAATTAAAATAAACTAATTCCCTTGCTTTCTATAAATTATTTTTTCTTAAATTGTGTTTCCAGCATTTAGAAATGCTGTGTTTTAGAGATTTTAAAATTTTATGTTTAAATTGTAAATTATTATGGAAGGTAATAAATTACAAAAAGTTGCATATTTACAGTAATTAAAAGGGTAAAAATGATGCTTCTTTTTTTAAAAAATTAGATTAATGTTGTATCCCTTAAGAAAATAATTTATATTTGAATTATTGATCATTTTTTAAAATATTGTCTTAAGGTCAATCTAAATATAGTCTCATAAATTCAAATATATTCAAAATAAATAATATTTCAAGTAGGATTATTATTAATTTGAGTATTCGTTTGAATTTTACAAAGTTCATTCAAATATAATCAATGATTGATTAATTAATTAATTATTTTTGGAGTGTTAAACGAATATAATATTGAACATAGATTTTTAAATTTCTCCTTGCAAAATTTTTACTTTTTGATCACTAATTAAAAACGAAATTTATAATAAAGTAGAAGAAAAAGATATAAAGAAAGATGGGTTGCAACTAAAGTTAAGATAATCAATAAGCTTCACATTTTTAACAATAATAATATTAATATTAGCAATAGCAATACATCTAAAATTAAGAATATTAACAGTAAATTAAATTATTATGGAATAACGAATAAATAAGTAGGAATAATTCTGAAATAAATTTGAAAAATGTTAATGATCAGATTCCGAAATTACAACCTGATAAAAATAATCAAACTTTAGAGAAAAATAATAGTGAATATCAATTTTAGAGGAAGCAATCTATCCTCAAAAAAACATAAAAGATTATCTAAGAGAACTTATTATGTTCTCAATAAATGCAAAGCAACTAAGCTCTCACTACCAGAAGAAACTATAATCCAGAGAGATAAGATACTTAGTTTAGTGAATATAATAGATAGATAACATAACCAAATATTGAAGATGACACAAGCGAAGAAGAGTATGATTACAATTAAGAAAATCATAATCCTAACATACCATAAAAACAAATTTTAAAAAATGATTAAGAAAAATAAAATTGTAAAAACATAAAAAATAGCCACTTAAAAGCTCCAAGTGTTTATACTATACAAGATAAAATTAATGACCATTTGAAGTAGTTTAATAATGGAGGATATGCAAACTAACAACATAAATAAAATTAGAATAAAAATACCCATAAAAAGAAATCTTCAGTAGTTCAAAATATAGTACAGAATTCTAACTTAAGCAATAATGAATAATAAGAAGAAATAAAAATTTGCTAACCAAGACATATTTAAAAGATTAATCCTACTAAACCCAAAAAATTTATATCAGAAACTTAAAATATTACAAAAGTTGATTAAGAGAGAATAATCTAAAGTCAATAGTAATAAGACATGCAATAATAATAACAAAAATAGTAGCAGTAAAGAGTTCTCAATTTTTAAAACAATCTACACTTGCTCACTATGAGAAAATACTCTTCTAATGAGAGTTCTTAAAATACTTCATACCAAAAGATTACATAGAGATATAATAATTAGCTAAGCTAAAATAGTAGCTACATCTTTAATTAAAGTAACAGCTTGCTTAACTTCAGAACTGGTAAAACATAAGAATAATGTCGTCAGCTTTACAGTGAGGTAGAAGAAGTTGTCAAAAATAGATGCTCTGTGCACTAATATGAGGCTTATCATAAATTTAATACTCTAATAGATAAAATAACTCAAAAAAATGGTGAAATCAAAGTATTTATAATTACTGATACATCGTCTTAGTTCACACTTTCTAATTATTAATCAACTTAAAAAACTCAGAATTAGACGAAGTTAATGGGCACTGGTCTAATTTAAAAAATATAAAATGAAATTGTAAATTTTGAGTAGTTTGATTTAATTGAGAGTTACCTTGATTAAAATTGTATTTCTTACGATAGAAGATTTTTTGCCAAATGCGTCAATAATGTCAAATAATTGGCTTCTCTTATAACTCAAATTAATTTCGTATTTAATTATAATACAAAGAATGTGTTGAATTAGTCATCATCATAGAGTCGCTTTTATAACAGTAAAAGTAATATCACCACATATAAAGTTGGAGAATCGTTTTCTATAGAAATTAAAGTACAGAGACCATTTGAAGAAGAGTAGCTTAATGCATTATCAAAGCAGCACACAGAATACGAAAATATTTATGAATGGTATAAAATAAACTAGGCAAGTGCATTGGGATATGGATTTGTGGTAAACTCCTGCTTTAGAGATGAAATTTACACTTTTTACATTTACCATGATGACAAAAATGTCAACTTATAAAAGGCTCTCTCTGCCTTTTCTATGTATGGAGCTTCAATGAATTATCAAGTTTAATAAAAATTAGAAGCAATCATCCCTTGCAATGATTTTGATATTGATTTTCACTTTAATGAGTTTGGACTTGTAAGTTTAAAACTTAATCTAGGAAAACTTTCATCAATTAATGAAAAATAACTTTTAAACCTTTATCATACTTAAATAAGTAATTGTGGATCAGTTAAATCTTTCAGGGGTATTGAAAGTACCTTTTCCTAAATAAATAACTTTTTAAAGAGTCAACATGAATAAAATTCATTAAAAAGTTCTTCAAACAAAAATTATTCAACAGGAACAGTACATGGTACTTCTCAATCAAAAAATAGCTTAAATAGTAAATAATCCTCTTTTTCTAAAGAAATGCTCCTCTCAAATTAGCAATTCAACATTTTGAACACTCTAAACAATAATTTTAATTCTAATTCTCATTATATTATTGAGTTTAACAAGTCAGGCTTTTAATTATCAAAGTCAGACTAGATAGGGCAAGATGATTCTGCCTCAAATACTCAAATTCTTGTCTGTGAGTAGTTTAAATGATAATCTTATTATTTAATTTCGTTTTTATGTTTCATAGATTAGTTTTGTATTTTTTTTCTCATAAATCTTGTTTTAAATGAAATAAAAAATTTAAAGTATAATTAAAATACTGTATCTCTATCATATTATTATATGGTATAATCAAATAGGATTTAGTATTTTTGAGGAAAAAAAATATTATTTTTAATTAATAAAATATAATTTTTTAGATAATATAAATGCAGGTATGTAGGTAAATAAATGCATAAAAAAAATAAATTAACAAATAAAATTACATTTTTACATGAGTCAATCTAAATATAAATCTATATGAGAATATTAAGTTTTAAATTTTAAATAATTTTGAATATTCTTTTGATAAAAGTTTTACATCATTTACATTAAACATATTCTCTTCCTCACGAACTTTTTTTAAGAATTGGAAAATGCCTTTTCCTAATAAATAAATTCCTTATTGATATAGTATTGAATCACTTGCTGAAATTATGAAAGCTCAAAAAGACATAACATTCTATTCATTTAAAGTGTTTGATGGCAAATAAAACCTCTATCTCTATCTTCCTAATCTAATCTACCTATACATTCTTAGAGCTGATAATTTAAGTAATATTATCTTATTTCCTTTACCAAATCTAACTCTTAGTTATTCATTTTAATCTTTAATTTTGTTGTGTTTTAGATTATTACAATTTTTATTTAAAATTTAGATGTGAACTAAAGATTTTTGATATTTAACATTAAATAAATCCATAAAAAAACAGATAACAATCAGATATTACCTAATCAAGTTAGATCAAACATTCTAATTATTTTTATAAAATTAAATAAATCCATAAAAATAACATATAACAATCAGATATTACCTGATCAAGCAAGATCAAATATTCTAATTATTTTTACTAAATACAAGATTGAAATATATAAGTAAAATTAAAATTAAATATAAATTATTAAATTATTTAGAATATTTCAAATTAAACTTTTTATTCATTTCACCTTATCAAAGGTTGCTAAGTTTTTATTTTTTTAATAAAAACAGATGTGGAGATTATTATTATTTGTATTGATTTTTATGATTATTTAATTATTTATATTTATTAAAACAATATTTTAACATTAAACGTTATAAAATCAATTTAAAATTTTTTCCTTATATTTAAATATTTTTTTCAAAGCAATTTTAATTTTGGAGTTTACAAAGCATTAACATTGTCTTGAGGTTAAATGAATTAATTTTCACTCTTATAATTTTCAACATACTATGCAGAGTCAAAGAGTCCCATTTAAAATTAATTTTCATCCTAATATTAAAGCTACTTTTCCACACCTATTTTACTTTATTTCTCATTTGTATTTTAATTGTATATTTATCTTGTCTTATTAAAAACAAAGGAAGGAGTACTGTCAATCTTTTATTCTTTGTCGTCTTTTTCTCTTATAGGACTAAAGTTTATAGATTTATTCTTGGAGTTTTGAATTTAGTTTGCTTTTTGATTTTTAATCATTAATGGAGTTATTCCTGTTTTTTGGTCTTTCTATTTTTCTACATGTGAAGAATTAGTCAAACATTTCTTAAAATTATCTTCAAAAAGCATTTCTTGTACGCTTTGTTAAAATTCAGAAGTATTTTATTAATTAAACTTGCTTTTATCATTAATTTATGGAAGTATTCTTTTGATGTCATCAGTGAAGCTCTCAGAAACTTCTTACTAATTTAACTTTTGAAGTTCTCTTGAGTTTTGTACAAATTTAACTTTAAAGTACAAACAAGCCTAATAGTTATTAATTTTACTCTGAACTATTTTAGAAGCATTATGTGTTAAACAGCTGCTATTTACTTCATAAACACTTTCACCTATTTTTTCAAATTTAAAATAATAGAAAAATTAAAAAAACACTTAAATAATTCCTTACTGAAATATATTTCTTTATTATCAGCTTAATTGAGCATCCATATTTCAAATTTGATTACAGAATTTTCTGCATTTGTGTTAAATTCATAGGTTTTGTTAAACTTTAAATCCTAAAATAATTTAAATTTAAAAAAATGTTTAAATTTTATTATTATTAAATAAAAATTTTACATTAATAGGAACATTTTATGTTTTTTATAATTGCTCATTATTTAAAAATATTTTTAAAAATGAATGAGTTGCCTATATTTTCTCGAAAACTTTATCAATTTTTAATCCAATAATGCAGTCAATCTTGTGTAAATAAATAAATATTTTAACATAGAATTACTTTAAATTATTAAAATTACGATAAGAACTATTTTTGCATTGTTTTGGTTTAATTTTTAATAAATCTTTGGAGTACTGCTTTCATCGATTGATAGTTATTGCTGAGTTAGAATATTAGAAAATAACTTTGAGCTTTACTATTATAGTAGAAGCGATTATTCTTATTTGATAAAACTTTAAGTTTTATTTGAATTCTAGTCAGAAGGTTTTTAAGGAGTTTCTTGCTAAGGTGAGGAAAATTTTTAAGCTTTTTCCTATATTTATTTTTAGGGTAAAAAGTTTTTGTGTAAAATATCTTATTAGCCTGATTTCATATCTTTTTTAATTTCATTAATTTGTAATTAGATATCTAATAATTATTTCTTAGCAAGTTCTAAATCTTAGTCAACTTTATGCATTAGTGCTATAGTTAAAGATGATTAATTCATTCCTTACTAATTTTCCAAACTTAAGTTTTATTTGGTAAGTTTTGTATAGTCTTAAATAATTTCCAAAAATTTAGTTTCAAACTCATAATTACTTTGAATTATAGCAATCTCTTTCTTAAAGTTTAAATCAGTCTCAAAGTATTACCTTTCTATGATGTTAATTTCTTATAGCTTATTGAAATTAGAATTTTATTTTAAACTTTAATTCTCATAAGAAATGATTTTTATTTTTTAATCCATATTATCAATAAGATCAATCAGTTTATCAAAATTTTACTTATTAAATTGTATATCTTTAAGCTACAATTCATCATACATATTTACCTCTTATTCTATAATTTTAAAGTACTAAATTTTTATTTAAAAAGTATTAAAATAAAAATATTAATGAGATTTGTTTACTGATTTGTATTTGCTAATAATTGAATTGAGATCATCAATATGATTATTCTTTATTTCAATTTCTTATTTTTGATTCTCAAGGATTCTTGTTAAGTTTTCATGAAAATTATCCTAAGTTGAGCATGTTTTATCAATAGTTTTTAATATTTACTAGCACAAATTCAATGTATTTTCCTCATTCCCTTGTATTTTATGCATTAAGTTATTTACCAAGTTATCTTTTATCTTTAGTTCATTCTCCAAAACAAATATCATTTTTTTTGCAGTTGGAGACTCTATAAATAACTCACCTAATGGTTTTGTGCTTTCAGAATTCGATAAAATATTTTAAAGATGATAGTTTTTTTCTTTTAAACTATTTAATTCATTTTGCATCTTATATTAATTTTACTAAACATCTATGAGCAAGAACTCTTGATTTCTAATTTTTGCCTATGAACTTTCTACAAGATCACATATTTTTTGAATCAAAAGTAATTAAGTGCTTGAATATTTTTCAGACTAACCTACTTTCTACATATCATTAATAAATTGAAAATTAAATTTTTTCCAAAAATGAAAATAATCAATTGAAAATTAAATATTTTATCATATTACAAATAGTTTTCCAAATAAAAATTTTTGTGTAAAATAAATATTTTTACTAGATCTTTTATGTTTATTTGTAAGGCTTTATGCTGGCTATTAGATATGTTTGCCTAAATTTCAGTTAATTTCTGAGCTATAGTGCTAATAAACTGCTCATTTTGTGAATCTGCTTCAGATTTCTTAAATATGAAATAAAAACAGGATTTTTAGTAGTTTATTAAATGAAATAAAAAGTAATTTTTACAATTTGCAAGGCTGAATACAAACACTGCAATCTTTCAAAGTTTATTTTGTATTATTTTATATTTTCAATAAGCTATTTTTTATCATTATGAGCTTCTTGAAGCTATTCTTCAAGATTAATAAGCTTAGTTTAATTTAATTAATCATGTTACTATGTCTTTTACTATTTCTTAGAAGAAAAGAACATCTTTTATTGTTAGGTTGGAGAAACTCGCTTATCGTTTTAGCTTTTTATTTTATTGTGTAAGCTAGAAAGGACACCTTAGAGATGATTTCCTTGAATTTTGCATTAAACTCTCTATTACTCTAAATTCTAAATCTATTCAAGAGAAGATTGTATTTATGGATTTATTTTAGAAGGGCTTGCAGAATTTGTTTTTTATTTCTAATTTTTATGAAATTTTCAATTTTTATTAAATAAATTTTTGTGCTAGATGAAGAGAAATTAATTAGTCATCAATTACAATTTAATGAAAAATAAATGAATATTTAATATTCTTAAAATAAATAGATAGTAATAAATTTTGTTTATAATTTTTTAGAAAAATTAAATTAAGGCGTTAAAGATATAATTATATTTATTGATTGATTGATTAGGTTTATAACAGCACTATCATAATATTTTTCAAACAAAAAAAATAATTACTAAATGTGTATTCTGGATTTGTCTATCTTCAGAGCGCTATAATGGATTATTTCTTTTTTTTAATTTTATTTCAGGAGATATATTTTCAATATCTTCCCATCTTAATCTATTTCCATTTTGTGGTGAAATAGCCTAAGATTTAAATATGCCTGACATTTTATTGAAAGGACTTGTATCAATTTATTTATTGATTCTAGGATTTGGACTTTTAGAGTTCTTTAAATTTAACATTAGAATAACAGATTAATTTAAGATGTTATGAATAATAAAGAATTTTAAAGAATAATTTTACTCGTACAGCATTTTAAGAGAGAGTATTTCTTCTCTAGGAATTGTAATATTTATTATCTGAATTCACAAGTACCTTAAAACTCTAACAATTTTATAATAAAAATAATGTAAACTAAGATATTTTGCTTCAAATTGCTAAAATCTAAAGCTATTTATACTTCATAATTCACAGGTTGCTGTCTGTAATTTGAAGTAAATTTTTTTTGTGATAGATAAGGCTAAATATTCATACTATTTATATTCAATCTCCTTAATTAATAATATTTTACTTATAGTATTTGTCAATTTAATTAATTTTTGTATTATTTATTGATGGTTACTAATTTACGTTATTTACATTTATTTTTATTAAAATAAACATAACAAAATTAATTTAATTTCCATCAAAAGAAATATTCAATAATAGGTGAGTGATTTATTTATATATAAACAAATAAATATAAAATGTTTTATAAAAAATAAATAGCTCATAGTAAATGAATGAAACTTGAAATTAAAGTAGTAAGTTAGTTTTACATAGAACAAATCATATAAAGAATATTAATATAAATAGTATAGATAGATAGATTATTTCTTATTTGTTAAACTTCTTAAATAAATATTTTAATTTCCTGCAAAAATTTTTTCATTCATTCAGTTTTAGCAAATCTCTACTTTTCCTTAAATTAACTAAAATGCTATTAAATATCTGTAGTATTGGGTATCTGTTTATTCAATCCATAACCTTAAGCCATTTATACCAGAAGATCTGTAATGTATACCTTTTAGCATAAATACTCCACAATCATATCCGTTTTATTAGAATCCTGTTTCGCCATTTATTAGCTCGTATTTTTTAATATTTTCTTATGCAATTCCATCGTCTTTTTATAAGTTTTACATCAAATCTACAAAGTATTTTGTATAATTAAAATAATCTCTGTCATCAGTAGCGAGAGAATCATAGTAGATGATTTTATTTGTTTCATTATTTACTTCAACAAATGACCAATGAGTTCCATTAATATTCATAGGTACAAAAAAGTTTCCTGATTTATAGGTCACCTTTTTAATTATATATAGATTAAAGTTTTCAAAAAATAGTGTATTTATTATAGTTTACTTTATTTTTAGTTGCTATTCTTTTGATTTTATTCCAAGCACTGTTTTTTACCAACTCAGGATAGAAAAAGGTATTTAATATGACTGCATTTGTTGATTACACTATTAATCTTATATAAGCATTGATAACTTCATCATTAAGCCAATTAGGCTACCTGAGAGTCTATAAATTGCTAAAAGTAAGTCTTTCTAAGATGTGTTAATGAGTTACTACATCCTAATTCAAATTGAAGCTTCTTTCAAATACATCCTAAACTTCTTTAAGTTGCTTTTCTTCAAATCTCCAAAAAAGTTTTTTCATCTTTTTAGTCTTTAAGTCATAAATTTAGTTAAATTCCTCTAATAATTCTCCAACTTTTCTGTAATTTAAAAAATAAATGAATGAATTATGCTCTATAAAAAGAAAATAGAAATGCTAAAAATTACGATTTCTTATGGTATTATTTTATAAATATAATGTCTGAATCTACTTAATTATTATTGCCATTCTTTTTTCTTCCTTCTTCTGTTTTCTCTTTTAATTTTATTTTTCATTACTAAAATCATTGCAAAATAATTTCTTATTTACATTTTATTTATTATGTCTATAAGTCAAGCTTAGCCATTTTTTATTCGAGCAAACCAAAGTCATTCGAAATCCATTCATCGGTTATTTCTTTGAATTCCATAAATTCTTTTGGGAGTTGGATTATTTCCAAATCTAAATTCTCTCTTTACTTTCTATCTTATTCAATTTAATACTGCGCTGAAGACGGTCTTCTAGCTAGCTACAATTATTTATCTACAATTTTTTAATTAAAATATGAATGACTACTTCAATCAATAAATAATAGAAAATCAAATTATAAATTATTATTTTTTTGTTTTTTTTAGTTATTTATTAGTATAAAAACTACTTCTATCTATTAATATTTATTGTTATTATATTTTTATTATTAAGATTATTAAAAGATACCTTAATTATGATTTTACTTTGCCTACTCAATTCCATCCTCTTCTATCACAATAAACTCCTAGAGTTATGCTTCCTTCTTTCCATTTAGCTAAAATTCGTTTTTTTTTGAATTCCCATTGCATTCATTGAGCACAATTACTTTAGGGTTAGGTTAGTTTTGCAACTTTACTTTCGTATTCGAGTTTTCTTTATTATGGTCTATTATGTCTTTCTTATTAATCTGTTAATACTATGCTTCCTTTCTAGGTGATGTATTATTTTTTATAGGAATAACTGAATGGATGATTTAAGGCACATCATCGCTCGACTAATTTGCACTACTGCTGTTATTATTATTATTGGCTAGTTTCTAATCGTTGGAAGAACTAAATTGATCGCTTGACTTAAATACTTTTTTGGAAGGATCAGGAATCCTTGGATACTCTCCGTCATATTCGCCAATAGAAATATCGTCTCTAATTAATATTATAATTTAAAATTATGTCCTACTATCATTGCTATTTTTACAGTTGAAATGAAGGAATGAATACTCTTCATTATTTTACTTTAATGCCTATAGTATCATCCTTTATTTTTATGAATTTTAAAGCTTTTTGCTTACCGCTTTCTTTTTTTAGGTCCTAACCAATTTAGAATATTATCAAAAAGAGTGTCTAAAAACTTTGATTTCATATTATAGCTAATAATAAATAAACTATTTAATTAAAATAAATTAATTACTGAGAATTTGTCATCGTATGCATTTTTTGCCAATTTAACAATTAAATTTCATACTTCAATACATACCCAAATATAAAATATTAGAATGTTTTTTTATTTTTAAAAATCCATCTCTACTCATAAAATATTCATAAAATATTATTTTTCTATTCTTTTCTTTGACTTCTAAAATTCGAATTAAAAATATCATGTAAAAAATATTCCTCAAAAATAAGGATTTTTTAAAGAATTTCATAAAATATAATTTATATAAAAAAAGTAATTATTATTATTTGTTATTTTCTTCTAAAACATTTACTATTTAAATTTATTCATAAATTATACCCATATTATGAAAAATAACTAACATTCAATTTAACTTTCTATAAAAATGAAAACAAAAACAATTAAAATAAAATGTTTTTATATTAATTAACAATATATTTATTTATTTAAAATGATCAAGCATATTTAACATTTAAATTTGAGAATAAAACAAAATTCCCTACCTAAAGAAAATGTTCAGTGTATATTTTTAAGGCTTATTAATCAAGTTACAAAATTCTTCATTTTAAAAAATAAATATATTTTACTTCAATTTTAATAAGCTAAATAATCAAAAATATTAATTTTGCTTCAACTAAATTTATAATAAAATAAAAATTTTTTTAACTGAAGTTAAAATTGCAATAAATTAGCCTATCCTAGATAATTTTATGTTTTGATAATAAAATATTATTTTTCTATTATTTTCTTTGACTTTTAAAATTCGTATTAAAAATATTATGTAAAACATAAGGATTTAAGGAATTTCATAAAATATAATTTATATAAAAAAAGTAAATCTTATTTTTTCTTATTTTCTTCTAAAACATTTACTATTTAAATTTATTCATAAATTCTATCCATATTATGAAAAATAACTAATCTTCAATTTAATTTTATTAAAAACATAAACAATTAATATAAAATGTTTTTAAATTCATTAGCAATGCATTTAATTATTTATTTAAAATGATCAAACATATTTAACATTTAAATTTAAGAATAAAAGTAATTCACTACTTAAAGAAAATGTTCTGTGTATATTTTTAAGGCTTATTAATCAAGTTACACTATTCTTCATTCTAAAAAATAAATATATTTTACTTCAATATTAATAAGCTAAAATAATCAAAAATATTAATTTTGATTCAACTAAATTTATAATAAAATTATAATTTTTTTAACTGAAGTTAAAATTGCAATATATAATTAGTATATCGTAGATAATTTTATGGGCTTTTAATCAAATATCACATCATTTTCAATTTAAAAATAGCATCTTATAAAAAATTTATAATTTAAAAAATTAAAGGATTGAAAAAAAAGCAATTGATTTTTAAAATAGATAAACGATTAAATTAATTAGAGGGATTTCTATTTTTTAATAAATAAATAAAGAAGAGAGATAGATAGATGACTGTAGTTTGTAATATATAATATAAAACATAAGCTTAGATACTTATAATAGGTTTTCTTATTAAATTTTATAAAAAATGTTATTTTATCATAAATCTATAAGCTAAAAAACTGACCATTAAATTCTATGTACTCATTAAAATTATTATTTAAGCTATTTAACAAAAAATAAAAAAAATTATGTAACAATAGACTATTAAAAGTTATTCATAAAATAATCAGAATACTATTTTTTAAGGGCTTTTATCCTGTTGTTATATCCCAAATATTAAAACATGCTCTTTTTCAACTGATAAATAACCTTAGTAAGACTTTCTTACTCTACATCCCTACACAAAAAACTGGATTTCTTTAATTCATGACTGTAATTATGTTTCAACTTTAAATATTCCTGGGACTCATTAGACTATGGCTTTAATAGGAGGACCTGGAGTAACATTAGCTTAATGCTAAACCTGGAATTTATAATCGTAATTGGAATGCGGGATAAGATATTTAGATATAAGAATTAAAAGGACTAAAGATAATAGCATGCCTATTTATCACGGCATTGTCTTTTAAAATTCATATTTTGAAAAAGACGTTTTCCCTGTTGTTTAAAGATTTCTACTAGAAAATCCTAATGAATTTATCATAATGAATGTAAAATCAGAAGGCAAACCTGAAGCAGGTGCTTTAAATTTAGAAGATATTTTGCAACCTTTTATTAATTAACATAAGGATTTATTCTTTTAAACTACTGGAGGTATACCTCTCGTAAAAGATCTTAGGGGAAAAGTATGGATACTACCTTATTATAATTGGAACTTAAATGGTTTCTCTTTAGAAAAGCTAAAGTTGGAAGATATTCTTCATCATTAAGATGCATTTGAAGCTAATTTAAGGGATAAAAAAAATTAAATAATTGAACATCATGTGAAGGCTTTCTTCAATAAAGATCTGAGATCTTAAGGCAAAAAACTATTTATTAATAATATAAATGCAGTAAAATGGTATAAGTGGCCATCAGAATTCGCTAAAGCATTAAATTAATTTGTTTTTGACAAAAAGTACTTTGAAGGAATCGTAGCTTTAGATTTCCCAGGAGAATTGTTAATCAAAGAGGTTATAAAATCTAATTTTCCTGAAAACTACTTTAAATTAATTGAAAATTGAATGGATTAATTCATTATTTTTATAAACTAATTATTTATATATATTAATTAGATGATGATAACTCAATTCATAAATATTAAAAAAGAATTTAAAATTATTTATTTATTTGTCTGTTTATTTATTTATTAGTTAGCATTATGGAATAATTAAATAATTTCTCAAAATGCTTAAATTATTAAAATTATTTTATTTATCAAAAATAAATCTTAATTTTAAAAATTAATTTTAAAACAATATTGCAATCATAAAAATTTAATTTTTTATAAAGAAATAAATTCATATATTTATTAATGCATTTATTGAATAAATAAATTAATTAATTAATTAATTTAGTGTTAGGTTGATCAGTAAAAATTTTAAACAGAAAAACTTGTTGTTATCAATTATTCATCATTAAATTGTATTACCCACAAAAATTATTATAAAATATTAAATAATTTAAATAAAGTAGGAGTAAAAAAGTTTTAAGCCAATTAACAATAACTTTTTAAAAATAAGAATGCAGGTCTAAAGATAACAACAGCATGTAAAATTTAATTCTCTATTAGAATATTATTTGATATTTCCTTTTTTTGGATAGGACCCTTTTCTATCACCTCATAAGTAGGATGAATTTGAATCATCTAAAGAATAGGAATAAGGATCTCCAAAATAAACCACATTTGGATCATCAATAAGAAAAGTTAACGATTTTGAAGTTTAATAAGCAGAAAAAACTTTTTTGACAGCTCAATCAGGGGAAGATGTATCAAACGCGCTCGAGCATGTCAAGAATACATATGTATACATTAAATTTAAAAATACATTATCATATTTAAAATATAAAAAGGAACTTATAAAAGCTGCATAAGTAATCTTGAATTCTTATAAAGAAGAAGTTTAGGAATTGAAGGAAGAAATTAGTACAATAAAGCCAGCAACAGAACCCTATCAAGAAGAAATTGTAAATTTATGTAAACCTAAAATAGAAGAGTTCTAATAGTAACTAGAAAAGAATCCAAAACATCAAGATGAAATTAACAAAATATTTTAGCTTTCCATAGCTTAACTAAAGAAAGAAGATAAAGCTATTGATCAAGAAATAATAAAAGTTATTGACAGAATACAAATTTTAGAAACTGTGCTAGGAAAATATAAAAAAAGCTATTGAAGATAAACTAACTTATATACAAACAAACACAATTATATATATAAATTATATTAAAAAATATATAATAAATAATTAAACTTAACTGATTTATTATTTTTAATTTGTTATTATAAAATTATATTTTTTAAAAACTACTTACTAATCCTAAATAATCTCCATAAAAATACATTTCTTCTTAAAAATATTTATTATTAAAATGTGGTTTACTTTGAGAAATTTTATTTAGTTGAATAAATAACATTTAATATTTTATTCAAATTCTCAATATCTGTACTAAATATAAATAAATTATTTTAACTTTATTTTAAAGTTTATTATATATTTTTTTTACTTTTAAAGTTAAAATAAAGAATTAAATTTATGGTTAAAATAAATTTTAAGTTAATTTTAAATTAAATATGTTAAATTTATTATATAAATTAACTTATAAACTTGATATTGAATAACATGAAAAATTCGGTTTTATATAAACTATTTTATTAAATTCAACTTCTTAAAAAATTTTGAAATAAATTAAATTTAAAATTTTAATTTTTATTAAAAATTTATGAAAAAATAGATTTAAATTAAATCTGATCTAAATAGTTAGTATTTAATATATTCAATAATATAGCATACTAAACTTTAGTTTAATATTTACCCTAAATAAATTAAAATAAAAGTTTTTATTATCTAGAGTATTTCTTTTATGCACTACCTTTGTTGATTTTTTTTGTTAATACTTTTAAATATTTAAATTAGCTTAGTGTGATAATATGATCAATCTTATAAAAAATTAATAAAGAAATCTTTAGTTTATGGGTATAAATAATATTTTTTTTTTTCAACAATACATATAATAATAAAAAATATTAAAATAAATATTAATATTTAATTGGTTATTTATAATACAAAAATAAATCTTTTGATATTAAATTTTTAATATACATTATTTTGTAAACAAATTAATAATATTCTGGAATTCATTGATTGATTTATAAAATAAAAAAATAAAATATTTTATTTATTATTTGATTGTCTATTTTAATTTATTTTCTATTCTTTCAAAATTAAATTTTAAGTAAAAGTGTTTTATGTAGATAGCTAGCTTGTTTAATATACCTATTTTATTTTAATTTTGCTATGGTGACAAAATAATCTTAATAATTTATCAAAATAGTACTGTCTATAACAATATTTAGAATTAGATAGCGATTTCGAAAAGCTTATACTAAAAGATGGTTTGGATGTAGTAAAAGAAATATAAAAAATATTGGCTGGCTATTTTATCTTTTTTTAAATTATCTTAAAATAATTTTATTACTTCCACCTATTTATTTGTAAATTTATTTATTTATTTATTGTTTTTTTTAATGATGTTAGAAATGTAGTAGATAAAAATATACAGAGTTATTGTCTAGAACATAAGAGTTTTGTGAAAAATTAAGTAAATTTTTAGAAAAGAATACTTATTTATTTAAGGAAACTAGAAAGACGAAGATAAGTGAATAAATACACTATATATAAATGTTTGCATATTAAAACAGACAGAAATTTTATATTATTTTAAATTATAGATATTTTTATTGAAATAATACATGCATGCTCGCTTACCAGTTTATTTATAACTTAATTACATTTTCTTATATCAAAAGCAAGCATATTATTTTATATTTTTTAATTAAACGAGATTTTTATATAGAGATAAAGTAAGCTGAAGGGTGAAGTTTATTTGAGCTTTATAGACAATAGGATTTTTTTGTTAGTTTTAAAAGAATCGAATTATTTTTCTAGCTAAGCTAGAATATTTAGTCATATGCGTATTATTAGATTATTAATAATTCTTTAAAATTGCTACCAGTTATTGGCTTTTTCAAAATTTATTAATTTGATTGTAGTAATTGTAAAGCTATGCCTATATTAATTTTGCCTTTTCTTCAGGAATTCTTTATTAATAAAATAAATGAGTTAAAAATAAAACTTTTATTTATGTAAGTTAATATTTCTGTTTAATAATAATTACCTTTTTTGGTTAATTAGATATTGCACATGAGCTTCTATTTAGTTGGAAGGTCTCAAAGAGTTGCTTTGGTACTTTCTTTCTTTTTAGTAAAAGTCATTTTGTAATTGATTTTATTGAATTTCAATATTTTATAATCTGTAGAGAATTGAAAATTCTTTGAGGAGCTACTAATCAAGAATTATGGGCTAGTATTGTACTCCTTCACATTCAAAATCATTCTCACAAGGTTTATGCTTTCCTCTGATCATAAGTTAATTTTCTTGTAAAAAGCAATCGTTATCTGTATTGTAAAAATCAATATCTTAATTATATTAGTTGGAGGATGAGGTTTAGCAGTATTATGCATAAGTACGTCTTTTTTGTTTTCTTTATCCATCATTATTTTTTATTTCTGAATTTATCCCAAACATTTATTTAAAATAGACTAATGTTAAAATATATATATTATATTTAGCTAGGCACTTGCTACACTTTTTTTTCTCCTTATTGGAATTTTGGTAATGTTTTTTGCGTAATAATTAATAATAATTTAGTGATTACTTTTTTTTAGAATTTAAAGAAGAGATAATTGAAGCAAATCAATTTTTGAAATTGTTTATCTTTTAGAGTCTCGAACACATTCATTCAACTAAATTAATTTCGAAATATAATAAACTCAATATATTAAATAAGGAGTGCTATAAAAACGAATGAATAAATGTATTAATTAATTAATCAAAACATACATACATACCACAGTTTTTCATTTATAAAAACTTAGAAATTATTCTAAAAAAATATATGTAGATAATTCATTCATTAGTTTATGCTTATAAATCAGAGCATTAAATTCTGATGATATTCCCTCGGTTCATAAAAATATGCAAAATATTTATTTATTGTTTTTTTTTATTTCTTTTTCTAGAAAAAATATTTTAATTATTATAGAATTTCTATTTTTCTATTATTTTTATCAAATATATTAAACCATAATAATAGAACATTATTTTATTTGTTTGATAACTGAAAGAATCAATTTTTATTCTAGATTTTTTATTTTTGTTATTCTGTAAATATTTAACAATGAGATAAAATAGTTTCTTTAAAAAAAATTAAACCGCCTTAAAATTTAATTGCAAATTCTATCTAAAAAGATTTATATTAAAAAAATACTTTTTAATAAGCAAATTTATACTTAATCAAATTTTATGAAGCAAGGTACCATTAAAAACTTCTTTGGAAATAGCCAAAAGAAAAAGGAAGAATTAGGTGAAAGCAATTTAGGTTCTGACAAAAAATGTGCTACTCAGTCTCAAAAAGGTGCTGAGACAAATGGTTAAAACTCAAAGGAATCCCAATAAAAGCCTGATGAATCAAAATCATAGCAAGAAGAATCTTAATTAAAAGAAAAACCAAAAGCATAAAAAAGAAGATAAATAATAGATAGCAGTGATGATGAAGAAGTTCCTTCATTGGCTACGATGTCTATAAGTAATAAGTAAATAAAAAAAGTGGAAAATGAGAACTAAAAAAATGAGTCTTCTAAATCAGAAACAAAATCATCCACAGATTCTAGCAATTTGTCGAAATAAATACTTGAAAAACCAAAAAATGAAGATGAAAAATTAAGCCAATCATCTAAAAAAGCAGCAGAATAATAAGGTATGTGAAATTTAATCAATTTTTAAATATGATTTTTTTTATTTATTCTGTAGATACAAAAAAGAAACCAACTAATAATTTGAGAAAACTTTTGGATAAGCACTTTGACCCTATTGAAGACGCTCCATTCTATAAGGATTAAGAAGTCTTGTTTGGTTATTTATGTGATGGATTTGAAAGAGTAAATGAACAGGAAGGTAAAAATTCAAAGGCTATACAAATTGAAATAATGTCAAAAATTTTCAAGTCGATCATATTACTTAATCCTGACTAGGTATATGAAGCTTATATGTTTTGTATTTTAAAGATAGCACCTGATTATGAGTCTAATGAGCTTGGTGTGGGTAGGGAAATACTTTAAAAAGCAATTAGTAATTGTTGTGGTAAATCAGTTACTTAAATCAGAGATAGCCTTAATAAACTTGGTGACTTAGGTAAGGTTGCGTCCGAAGCCAAATCTACCTAAAAAAACATCACAAATTATTTTTAAAAGCAGGCTAAAGAAAAGCCTCCTATTACTCTTAATAGAACTTTTAATGATTTGAAAAGTATTGCAGCTGCTTCAGGAAAGGTAAACAAACATAATTTATTTATTTATTGAACAACTCATAATTAAATGATTTATAGGACTCAACTGCAGAAAGAGAAAGAATTATTATAAAATATATGAATGAAGCAAAACCAGATGAAGCATGCTATTTTATTAGATTTTTAGAGTAGAATTTGAAAATTGGTGCTGCTGAAAAAACAATGTAGGCAGCTCTTTCCAAAGCATTCTTTGAAATTGCCCACAATATCAAAAGCAATCACGTTTACACAGAATAATAAAACTAACTTTTAGAAGAATTTAACTTCAATATCACTAGATGTCTGTGTGAGTTTCCAAACTATTACTAAGTCATTGAGACTTTGAAATAAATTGGCAAAGATATTTCTAAATTATTAGATATCTGCAAGATCACGATAGGCGTTCCCTGCAAGCCTATGCTTGCCAAACCAACAAAATCAATTTAAGTAACAATAAATAAATATATAAATTATAAAGTATAATAAATTTACAAATACTTAAAGGTTATTTTGGAAAGATTCAAAGACATGACTTTTACTTGTGAATACAAGTATGATGGATTGAGAGGTCAAATACACTACGATGGAAAAGATGTTACTATTTTTAGCAGAAACCTAGAAAATATGACATAGATGTATCCTGATATTGTAGAATTCATAAAAAAACATGTCAGCTAATCGAAAACTGTTAAAAATTTTATTTTAGATAGTGAAATTGTAGCTTTTGATAAAAACACCAACAAAATTAGACCTTTCTAATAATTAGCAACAAGAGGAAGAGTCAATGTCAAATTAGATGAAATTGATATAAAAGTTTGTGTTTTTATGTTCGATTTAATATATATCAATGACTAGAGTTTGCTACAAACAACACTTTAAGAAAGAAGATAAAAAATTTAGGAGTGTTTTGTTCAAGAACCTGGTGAGTTCTGCTTTGCTGAGCACATAAACACTGAAGATGTTGAACAAATTTAAGTAAATTGATAACCAATTAATTATTGAAAAATTAACATCTATTTTTTTTTTAGGAATTCTTAGAAAAATCTGTTAAGGTGGGATGTGAAGGCTTGATGGTTAAAACTTTAGAAACTAACTCAACTTATGAACCAGCAAAAAGATCATTTAAATGGCTTAAACTCAAAAAAGATTATTTAGATAGTGGGTTAGGAGATACACTTGATTTAGTTCCGATTGCAGCCTTCAAGGGTACAGGTAAAAGAGTTGGATTGTATGGTGCTTACCTATTAGCTTGCTACAATGAAGATATGGAACGTTATGAAACAATATGTAAAATAGGTACAGGATTTTCAGATGAAATCTTAGAAGCATGCTATAAATTCTTCTAAGATAAAATTATACCATAGCCATAATCTGATTATTTAACCAAAGATTTTAAAGCAGATGTATGGTTTAAACCTTCTGTAGTTTGGGAAATTAAGGGAGCAGATTTACAAATATCACCAGTATATACTTGTGCAATTAGTGAAACAAATTAAGAAAAAGGTATTGGTCTTAGATTCCCTCGTCTTATCAGAGTTAGAGATGATAAAGATCCAGTCGATGCTACTTCTCCTTCTTTTATATACGATATATATAAACAATAAGCTGTTGTAGCAAATGATTTTGATGATGGTGATGATTTCTATTGATTAGCTTAATTAAATAAAAAAGAATTTTTATCAATTTTTAGTCTGAATTCATGCTTCAAAATTATTTTTTGTTAATTTGAAAAAATTATTAAAGACTTTTATTTATGTTTAATAATAATTTTTAAATTATGAAAAATAAATATATTGAGTAAAAATTGATCATTCAGTATTAACTATAATCTTAAAGTAAAGTTGCTGAAACTAAAAATAAATGAAAATAATTGTAAGTAAATTTTAAATTAAAAAATCTTCTTTATTTATATTTGTGTGTAATCATTAAATAATAATATTTTAAAGGAATATTTTGTATGTAGTTTAAATAAAACAATGTAAGCATTGATTAATCGATGTAATAGAATGATATTACTAAATATTTTTTGAGTAATATTAAAATATTAATACAATTTCATAGTAATTATAGTTTTTTTGTATTCACAAATTTCATTCATTTAATAAATAAAAATAAGCAATACTAAAAAAAGTATACAAATATATTTTTTCAAAATACATTGATTATTAAGTCAGTCAGTCATTCATTCATTTGTTATATTTTAGTTTTATGGAACTTAGAAAGTAAATGAAGTAAGAAGATTAGCAAAGTGGTGAGTAAAAATATTTTACTCTCTTAGAGAGCAGCAGCAGTTTTATTGTAATTATTCCATTTAGACTCATATGCGATTATCAATCATCTTTATTTCAACAAATTTTATTAGATTGAATGTACGTAAAAAAAAAACTTTAAAATTGATAGTAAACTTGTTATCAACAAGAAATCTCAAGCAATTAAGCTATGTGGTAAATCTATTAAATGCTCCTCGAATTAAAAAAAAATTTTTTTATTTAGGATAGGATTACATAGATGATAAAATAATAAATGTTTAATAATTCGATGCGATACTTGGAGTTATTTAAATATAAGATTTCTCATTTCTTCTTGTAGTTAAAGAAAAGACAAAGGTTGCTACACTCCTTTAGCAGCATGATGTTTATGAAATTTAATCTGTTTAGTTCTTTAAAATGTCAGTAATCTTTTGCATTTTTAAAAGCTTGAAGTATTTTTAAGAGTTTAAACATATAAATAGGATTAGCAGATAACTTAAAAGATTAAAGAGTATATGGAAGGTGTATAATAAGTAATTAAAGCAATTGAATGAGTAAAAAGTTATCTAAATTTGAATTTAAAATATAGATTTTGCAGAGTAATCACTATTTTTCTTACACATACCCACTTGATCAAAGCAGGTATAGTATAAACCACCCTGTAGAAGGAGAAGATATTTTTACGTGGAATAAAAAAATATCCAGTAATTTTACTCTTTAGAATATAGATCCTATTTGGATAGTAAAAATCATATAAGGATATGTAGGACAATTTAAATATACCACTAATAAATAAAATATAAACATAACACTTATATGTCGTCGTTCTTTCAAAAGAGGAGGCACTCGGTATATTCACAGAGGTATTTTATTTTTTGATTAATAAATTTCTGATCATATGATTTTGTTTTCTAATCAAGAGCTTATAAAGAAAGCATTCTCAATTTTTTATCAAAATAAATTTGATTTCATAATCAAATTAAAAAGAAAAAAATTTAAAAGGTTTAATTTGAGCTTAACCTAGTCTTTTAAACGAAATAAAATATTTAATTTGTTTTTTTTTATAAAATACTAAATATTATTATATTTTAACTTATAAAGGAGTTGATTCTGATGGTTATGTAGCTAACTATTGTGAGAACGAATAAATAATTGAATCTAATGAATACATATTTAGCAATATATTGATTAGAGGAAGTGTACCAATATTTTGGGAACAGGTGGGCGTATAGGCTCACTTAAAGCTGACTAGAGGAGATAAATTAAATGAGTAAGCCTATGGAAAGCATTTTGACATGCTAGAAAAGATGTACTTTTAAGGATTAGCTAGAGGAAAAATTCATATTTTTAATTTAATGATGTAGAATGATAAATATGAGTAAACACTTAGCGATTCGTTTTAAGCCAATCACTTAAAATACTAAACAAAATATAAATAAATTTCTTAAAAGGAAAATAGTATGTATGATTTTTTTGATTTCCATAAAAGAGCTAATGAGTTAGATGAGTATGTTTATAATATTATGCATAATACTTACGATTATGGATATTATAAAGAAATTAAGTCAAAACCTATACTTTATCAGTAATAGGTTTGCTTCTTTAGAGTGAATTGTAAGGACTGCTTGGATAGAACTAATTCTTTCCTCATGAGAATTGCTTTTTATTAAATTGAATAAATATTAAGATAAGAATTGGGAATTACAATTATTGATTAAAATATCGAATAACAAATACACGCAAATAAATTATTTGATACTCAAGATCCGTTAATTTAATAGCTCAAGTAACTTTGGGTAGAAAATGGAAATAGTATATCTAATTTATATGCAGGAACTGATTCTACAACTAAAAAAGCCTCAAGCGGATTTTAATATAAATTAAATGCATATTTAATTGGTATGAAAAGGTTTGTCAATTGTAACTTAAATGACTCCTTTAAAATGGAATGCATAAATCTTATAACATGCCAGCATTTTGATTCATTTTATGGTAAAATTATTTATTCAACTAACCTATGTTTTTTTAAAATAATTTTTTATCATTAAGAAATATCTGAAGAAATTTAAGAAGCTTTATATATGAAAAGAGATCTCTTCTTATAAAAATAAAGAATAAAAATACAAATTTTAAGCTGGAATGTTATGAGTTTAGTCCCTTAACCTTAAATATAATTTAAAAGTAAATTTTATACATGAATATTTATTTTATAAATTTACATTAATCTAAAATAGATTTCTTTGATAGAAATAATGAAGAGAAACCTGATATAATAGTAGTTGGGCTTTAGGAAATAGTAAAGGTCAGCAAATTTAAGATATAAAATTTTTTTAGCAACAATCATGATGAAAAATCAGCTTAGTTATGGGCTTAAATTATACAAAGACACATCCATGAGCAAGTTGATAAAAATTACATGCTTATTAGCTCTTCAGATATGATGGGAAATTTTTTGTAAGTTTATGTAAACCCTTTAATTAAAGATAGCATCAAAAATGTAGAAACTGAAACAGTAAAGTGTGGGCTTGCAAAAAAAGCAGCTGATGTTGGTAAAAATAAAATTTCACTTATCAAATATTTAATTGATTTTAAATTTAAGGTGCTGTTATTTGCAGGTTGGGAATAAATGAAACTTCAGTTTGTTTTGTTCATTGTTTTTTACCAGGTGGAAGAAATAAGAAAAAGGTTTAATAAAGATTTGAGGCTATCAACCACATCCATAATACAGCTTTTCAGAAAGAAAAAAATGGAAAAACAAAAACAAATAAAATAGATTAGTCAGATTTGATATTTTTGTTTGGAGATCTAAATTTCAGAGTCGATTTGGAATATGATACTGCAAATGAGATGATTTAAAATTATAAATATTACCTTTCATAGGAACAAATAAGTGATGCAGTTAAATAAATTTAGGAATTAGTTAAAAAAGATTAGCTTATAGAATATGAATAACTTAAAAATTAATCATACCTTAAACCATATATAGAAGGAATTATATAATTTCCTCCAAATTTTGTAGATAGAACGAAAAAAAAAAGAACTCCTTCATGGTAAATATTTTACTCAACTTATAAAATCTAAAAATTTTGTAATTATAGGAGAGGAAGAATTTTATATTGTTTAAATGACGAGTTATCAACAATAAACCAAAGGTTCTATAATACAATTTAATAAAGCAATGAGTCTGATCATAAGTAAAAATTAATTAATTTATATTAATCCTAAAATAAAATTTTTAAACTTAATAAAGACCTATTACTTCGTTCTTTGAAATTAGCACTCAAAAGATAGATCAAGAAAAAAGGAATTAGATTATATAGGATTTATTTAAAGAAAAAGAAATAAGCAATGAAAAATAAAATGACCTATCTTGATTTTAAGTTCAAATCATTTTTTACAAATTAAAAAAATATCTTAATAAAATAAATAAATAAATTTAATTAACAAAATTTAAATAATAATTTAATCCATATTTAAATATTTATATTATTTAAATATTAATATGTTTTTAATATCAAATTTATAATTACAAATATCAAGTTTAAGTTATTTCTTTATTTCGTTTAAATTTACTCATTATATTTCTGCTAAATGATATTTTATTGTTTGCTAATAATTTTTTAAATTTAATTTTTACAAAAAAGTCAATTTCCCCAAAGTAAAAGCAAGCAAGCATAGCTACCTACTGTGAACAAAAATTTTGTCACAAATGTTCCCAAATAAAAAAAATTCTTTAATTAAAGTTTTTACTTTTAAGAAAAAATATTAACTTTTATAAATAATTAATGAAATTTAAGTAAATTTCTTACCTATATTTATTTATACCTCTTCGATAACCAAAAAACTTAACACAAAGAAACTCAAATATTTATCCCAAACCCTAACCCCAGTCTTCAACCCCAATATATTTCCAAATGAGCTGAGTTTGTTTCAATTAATTAATTTTATATTAAAAAATAAAATGAAAAAATCATTATTAAATAGATTATATTTATTTTTTCTTTATTAATATTTCACAAAAATTATAAGTAAATAATTAAAAATAGTATTTTTGATTAAATATTAAGTAATTTAAAATTAAATAATGTCTATATAGAAAATACATGAAACCAATCAAGATATCACTTACGTATATTTTCAAAATTGAAATAAAATTAAGTTGAGAACATTTTCACTATTCTCAATCTGGTTAAGAATTCTGAAAAATATTTTAATTTTGTTAAGAATGTGACATGATTCTTTATAATAAATTTAAAATTAAAATATTTAAAATATTTTTTTAATAAATTAAAATTTAATTTACATATTTCATAATACAAAATTAATTATTAAGTAATAAATATAATTAATTGCATTTTCATAATTTAATGTAATCGTAATTAAATTAATTAACTTTTATCATTGAGTTTTCTTAGAATAAAATTGTTTTTCCATTTAAATCATTATGTAAAAATGACATAATTTCATTTTTCTGTTTTTAAATAAAATATACAAATAAATGAATAAAAAATAAATTAATTATTAATTAATTACCTGGGTCAATAAAGTTTGAAGATTAAATTTAAACATATCTAAAAACGATAGTTTAAAATATCTAAATCTCTCATCATTTTTCATCTTAAATTCAACTTCATTATATTAATAGTTTGAGTGCTTATAGTTTTTTGGGTCAAATCCTTCAAGCAGCAGAAGCCCATTAAGCTTTCTACTATGTTAAATTTACAATATATGATTTCCCCAATTACTCTGATAGATTAAAATCCACTATAATATATTTATATAAAGGTTAATATTAATTAAATAATAATAATTAAAAAAACCTTGTTGTTGCTTTGGTCAAGCTTGAAAATTAGAAGTTTGTATTCATAAACTTCATTCAAAACAATGTGGTTTTATGTCAAATTAGTTGTCAAACTTATTGCAAAGAATAGCTCACCATCAGTATCTCTAAATGGCTCTATTGTATAAATAGCAAACTTGTCTATATCATCAGCAATATCCATAACTTCTTCTCCTGTTATAAGGTTTAAGAACCCAAATCTATTAGTTTTCATACTTGCAAGAGCTATGAATGAAGGTATCTCTGGCATGCAGCAACTCAAAGTAAACTGATCTTTGAATAAATATTATTTAATATACTTTCTTCTTTTTACATCAAACATTCCTACATGAGTTTTTGTCCCTTGTCTCTGAATCAAAAGCAATTTTTAGTTTTTAATGAATGAATTCAAAATGCTATCAAATAAATGATTTCTAACATTAAAATGCTTTACAAGCTTCAAAGATGTATTTTAATTTTAGAAATTCATTAAAGAAAAACCCTTTTTTGTTTATGGGTGCCCATTCATTATTACTAAATTCATTTTTCTACAATAAAAAAAACTCTGATTTACTGGAAGTTAAAATGGAATATTAAATACACAATTCAATTTATCTACTTCCCATATTTTTAATTAATTATTTCTTCCAATAGTTAAAAATTTTTCTTTATTAATGTAGCCTATAAGACCAATATCTTTTCTTTCTTCACTAGTAAAAAGTTCTTGGTCTATCTGTAATGAGGAATTTATTGTAGAATGAGCAACAGCATAACAGATTGGTATTAGTGCACCGTACTTAGGTGTTTCTCCGATCTATTATTTATCCTTTTGTGTTTTATTAATCTTAGAAATTTGAGATTTTATTTCTTCATTAAGTTCATTCATTTTTTATATTATTGTTTCTTGGTTGAGTAAATATACTGCAGTATTTGCTTTTTCTTTTTATGATTTTACCATAGCTGATGCATAAAAAGATTTTGCAAACAAATTTATGATATCAAATAAAGGATCTTTACTATTAAAGATATCCGTTTCTTATTCAGCCATTTCGAAGAATTAATCACTCTTTATCATTTTGAGATGTTTCTTTTAAATTTTTGATTACTTTTAAAAAAAATCCAATTACTAAGTGATTTTGTTGATTTCTTCCTTTGAGTTTTTTAAATCTTCGAATTGATTGAAAACAGTCTCTAGTTTATCTAAGTTATCTTTAATGCTTCTTTCATTACTTTCGAATATTTTTCTGAAATTTTTGTATTCTTAAAGCTCAAAGTGTTAAATATCCTTAAAAAATGTATTTAAGAGAATCGTTTTGTGTTTTTTATGACTTTAGACACAGTTGGAACAGATAAGAGCAGACTCTTGATCACATTTAGAATCTTTACAGACTGAAATAATTCTTTCCTTAAGATGTACTGTACAGAATATATCGAAACAATTTTTATATGACTAATCAGTGTCATATTCTTCTGGGTTATATCGTTTTTTACCAGCACATGAACGCTGAGGTCTCATTTTTTTCTTTTTCTTTTTTTTTTTTCCTAATTTTTTTATTAATTTTTTGGTTTAGAAATTAAATATTATAATTTTGAGAAATTTAAATAATTATTAGATAAGTCAGATCAATATAAAAATAACTAAATTTCTCACTTGGATCCTCTTTTTTTTGATTATTTCCCAGCTCACTGAATTAAAATTGATCATTGAAAAATTTATAGTAAAATATGAGAAACTTTTTCTATTTTATTATTATTACACTTCTATATGTCTTCTTCTTGTTAAAAATTTTTAAAGATATCTAATTTTTGTATGATTTATTTCATCTTTCAATATTTAAAAATAATTTTTAGCCTCTAATTTTATTTTAAGTAAAATTCTTATTTAATCTTAAATAATTTTTTGAAAATAAATACTAAATTTGAAAAAATATTTATTTTATTTTGCTATTTTTTTTACACGTACGTAATTTTCAATAAATTACTTTTCATTACAAAATAAAAATAATTAAATTCTAATTTCAAGTAGACGCAGTAAAATAAAAATTATATCTTGAATTTAGTAAAACATTGATTGATTGAGTGAAAATTTAGTTAAATCTAATTTTTTTAATAAAGTTATTCAAGTCTAAAATAAAAATTAGTATTCCCTAATCTAAAATGTATTTTAATTTTGATACATCATCATATTAATTAAAACATAAAAATCATCTAAATGGTGAATAATTTTAATTAATAAGATGTAACATATAAAAAATAAACAAAAATCAAACACGTATACAAAAACTATTTAAATTTAAGTTTTCCTTAAAAGAAAAATAATAGCATATCAAATAGAATACAATTATAATATGAATAAAATATTATTAAAAAACTAAACCAATTTATAACAAATAAATAAGTCAATTATTTGGAATCCTATTTAAATCTTAATGAAAAAAAACAAAAATCATTCAATAAATAAATATAAATATTTTTTGAAATTAAATGAATCAATAAAATATACATTAAAGTAATAAATTTTCCAAATAAAAGTTAATTAGTTAGTTTAATATAAAACAAAGTTTTGCTTGATTTTTTAAATATTTTAAATTATTAAAATCAATTTGCTAAATAAAAAGATGGTTGCATTAAATTTTAATTTAAATTATCGAAATTTTGTAACCCATAAATTTAATCATCCTTTTATAAAATAATTAATTAAGTTATTTATTTGATTTTTATAATATTTTTGTTTATAAATATTAAGTAATAATTGATAAATAGAAATATAAAATAATAAATATTTTAATTGATAAATTTGCTCTACAAAAGGAAATATACGAATGAATTAATAGCTTGTAAAATTTTTTAATACAATTTTCACATTAAATTATCATCTTTTCTGACAAATGGATTTTGACTTAATTCATCCTTATTTTGTGTATTTAAAATTGTTTTTTATTGCCATAAAGTTTTTTCATCTAATCTTTATAATCTATCTTATTCACCAAATACTATTTTTAAAATAAATAAATAAATCAAATTGAATTATCCATTTAAAAAAGCTAAAGAATTACATTTAGATGCTTTTTCTTGAGAAGGAGGAACAAATGAAGGATATTTAACACCGTGTTATATATTTTGATCAATTTTATACATAGCATTTTTAATCTAATAAATAGAGCTATTGGGATAAACCATTCCTATTGTTTTTGGATCTCTAAATACTCTTTCGTCTAAAGCTGACTGTTATTATTTTTCCTCAAGTGTTCTATCTCTTACATGCTTAAGGTTTCTAAATGCGGATATTCTAGTTTCATTTTCTTCTCTTTCCTTAAAAGGCTCAGAAATTGGAGTTAAAATGGGTTTTTCTCTTAAACCTTAAATATCGAATAGAAAATGTAATCTAGAAAAAGAATATTTAATGAAATTTACTTTAATTGTATTTTCCTTATTTTAAGACTGAATAAACAGTATCAATTCTTTTATTTAGCTTAGTATGCTCTTCGTCAACATATTTTTCTTTACGAATAATTGCAATAGCATTTAGTATTATATCAAAGCCATCGTTGTAGTTTTCTATCAAATAATATATTTAAATTTATCTTATTAAAAATTAAAATTTATTTTACAGCCTTCGATACACTTTTCTGCTGATTCCAAAAGCGATTGCTTTTCCCTATAATTTCTATCTATAATAATAAAATATTTATTGATTTATTTTTCATTTTTTTAAAGATTAAAATGAATCTAAATGTTTTTAAAAGCATGTTTTACTAATTAAAAAATAAAAATATTACTTTTTTCGTTAAGGTGCTTAGAAATTAGTTCCTTTACTTAACGAGCTTTTTTATTGACTTCTTGGTTATATGTCAGGTCTTGTTTTTCGATTTTAATATAGTTGTAAGCAAGCTTTAGAAGATAGATGGCGTTCTTTTTATTTTAATCTTTTATCATTGGATCATTGTTATCTTTTATTAATTTAATAAATTTAAACTATTTTAAAACTCAAAAATTTAATTTTTCTTTTTACCATCGCTACGAAGAGATTCCATAGCTTAACTGTAGAGATCTTACTTACTGTTATAAAAATAAAATAATCAATTACACAAAAATATTTTTTAATAAATTAATAAAATTAAATTACTTTTATCTGAATCTCATCAAAGGATGATTCAAGGCATCATGATAGTCTAAATTTTTAAATTATTGAATTAAATTAAATAAAAAAATATTGTAAATTTTACCTCCTTTTTCGTTGTCATCGTCATCATACCTATTTTATTCATAACTATTCTAGAAGTCTTCCTCATTTTCTTCTCCTATTTGAGATTTTTTATTCTTTTTAAATCCACCTAAATTCCTAAGTGCTTATTTTAGAGTGGCGTTGAAGGGATCTTCTTCAACATCAGGCTCTTTATCGATATCATCAATAACTTTATCTATTAACTTTTATCCCTCTTCATAGTCATCTATATAAGATTAATTATCTAAATAAATAAATTTAAACTAAATTTTTTTTACAATTTTTGAAATATCTGTAAGCAATGTCAACATATGCTTCCTTACTATTTAAATTAAAAAAATATTCAATACTCAAAAGGATAAATTTATATTTACTCTATGATATAATGGTTTTTGGTTTTTTTGATTTCTTTTGGTGGCTGAGGCTTAATTGACCTATCCTATTCCTCAACTATTTCTGCCTATTCTTAAATCTTCTTTAACTCATCGATTTATATATTCATGTATACTAAATCTTAGTACTTCTCGTCAAGATATTTTTTGAGTGATAAATACATTTATTCAATCTCATAATTTAAAAGTTCATCTTTTTTGTAATTCATATCAACCAATTTTATTGCTTTCATAATCATGTCAAATGCTTTCTAGTGATAACCTAATAAAGTAAAATTAAGTTTTTTAAAATGTTAAAAGGATAAACATATCAAAAAAATTTACCTTATCCAACCAAAATCTTTGTTTTCATCAAAAGCCTATATTTTCTATCGGAGGTCAAGTGTCTCTATTTTTTTTACCTTACCTTATTTTAGTAGCTTTCTTTTTGTCTTATTTTATTATTTGTTGATTTAGTTGCGAATCTGAATAATTCATATATCTTTTCGTTGGTCCTCTTAGTCTAGCAAAAGTTGCAGAGACCACATCCTCCACAACTCTAAATATTATTTCCAGAAGGATTCCAAAACTAGAAAAGTTTAGTTTGTTCAGTTTATTCAATAGCATTTCTTAAATTCTTAATTAATTTTTCAGGTTTTACAAGTAAGAGTTCGTTAGCCCAATGAGCGAATCTACATCTTTTTCCAAGAGGACATACTCCGTTATTTAAAATATTAGAGCACATTTTAGTTTTTACTTTTCTAAGAGCAACCTTTAATCTTTTTTCTCTTAATTTGTCTTCAATTTCCTCTTTATCCATATTTTAGGTATCTATTACTACATCCTCTTCTATTTCTTCTAAAGGCATATTAGGGTTAGATTTCAAATTTGTATCACGTTATTCAATCATCTCTTGCAATTCTTCTAGCTCTCCAATTTTTCTCTTCATTAAATCTACATTTTCGTCTTTTGTTTATAAAGCACGTTCTATTTTCAAATAAGTTTATTCTATTTAGTAGTTTAAGAATTCATTAGTATTTGGTTTTTTATTGCCAATAAGTCCTGTTTTGATGCCATAAAGTTCTAATTTTTGTAAATCATGCTAGTCTGCTTTAGGTAATGACTTATGCATCAATATTGTTTCAGCTGTAATTTCGCCTCCTATTTTATAAAATTTCATCATTTAATAAATTAATTTTAAAGGGAAATTCAAAAAATACCAAAAGAGCCTAGGTTTAATGCTTTTTTCCATTTATTTTCAAGTTATAATTGTTTGATTCTATCAGTTTCAACTTCTTTTCTAATTTATTCAATTGCTTTGCTAATAACATCAAAAGCCTCTTAGTATCTCTCAAGCTTATAAAAAATATTAGCTTTTTATAAACAGCCAAGCTTAAAAGTTAAATTGTCTGAGGATATCTTTTTATTTTCTTACTTTTTCTTAAAAGATTCAGTTTTACAAATTTTAGAGTTTGTAACTGAGGTAGCATTTCTCAGCTATAGTATAACATTTTTATTGAAAGTCTTGAATTTGCATTCAGAACAGGCTGTTTTTTAACTGCATCCAAGGCAGCTTGATAATTTATTACCAGCTGGATTCCAAGCAGGCGGTTTTGATTAGTTGGCACTGTAACCTTTATCAGCCACGATTTTTAAGTAGCTAAAAAGGATAGCCTTCTTTGCTTTTATTTCTTTATTAAATTTAAGTTCTTACATTGTATGAGCAAAAACGCAGTTAGCTCCTATAGGAACGCAAGATTTAATACTGCTTACATGCCAACGAGGACCAACATATCCAGGACATGAGTTTCTTATATATTTTATTAACAATATTCAAAATATATTAATAAATTTAACTAAATACCCTAAAGGACACATAATATTCTTAACAAGTTCTCTTCTTGATGCATATGTGGATTATGTAGCTGAAGAATATCTGCTTGAGCTCTCACCATCATACTTTTAAAAAGATAATTTCAATTAATATTTTTCCATATTATTTGTTAATTTATTTTTGATAAAAATATCTTAAGTATTTAAAAAAGCTAAAAATTATTCATTTTATTTGTATCATTATCTTCTTTAATTTTAGAAGACATACATAATCAAAAAAATCAAATTATTTTATTTTAACTTTTAAGTAATTTTCAAATATAAAAATATTACTTCTCCTTATTTTTTTGATCCTCCTAAGCTTTTTTGTTGATTCTAATTAATATAAAAAATATATAAATTGAATTTGATACTTATAATTGTTTACTCTGCCTTGAATAACAGAATCTTAATTTTCTTAAGAACGCAATTTAATAAGCTCTAGCATTTTTTCTTCTTTCTAAATTTTATTTAAAATAGCATTAAAAAATGTGTAATCACAAATATAAATATACTTAAGATTGTAATTTTTTTTATTCCTCTTTTGACAGTTCACCTTCAGATTGTTTCATGATCATTTGAAGCTCTATTTTTTTATTTCTTATTTCTTCAGATTCCTCCTTATCTCCTTATTATCCTTTCAGTTACTATGTCATCTATTATGCATATATATCAGAATAATTTATTTTTTACAAGAAATTTAATCATTAATTTATTTACTCTCTTTTTCATTTTGTACATTTAGATTGAATTTCTTTGATCTTCTGAAATCCTTTACAAAAATTAATCAACCTTTTTAATGATATCCCTTTCGTTTGCTTCCATAAACTATTTCACAAATATATCGTTAATTAAGATTGAGATTTATTTTATATAAATACCATAAGCTAGTCATAGACTTCTTTGAGTAACTCCCTATTACGAGGATTTTCAAAATTTTCTCTTTTAAGCTTTTCTTCCTACAGTTCTTTTTTGCCAATTGACTCAAAATAGAACTGTGAGTCTGGGTTATCTTACAGGAATTTAGTAACCTTTGGATTAAAGTGAGAAATAATGGATTTTATATGGAAATTATCACAAAGAGAGGAATAAGCTTCTTTGATATCACCATTTTATATTAAAAACCATGCTTTTTTAATGATACCTTTTCTATTTGTTAATTTATATATTTTTAAATTTTACTAACATATTTCAGAGCTTAATTTTACTTGTAAAGCCAAGGGTATTTGTCTTTAAAGTTTTCTCCCATCTTTGAAACTGCTAGCTCTAATCCTTTCGGTTTTTCTAGGAAAAGAGGAGAATTAATTTTTGATCGCAAGAATATGAATCTGTTTCTTTTATTCATTCTATATCCAATACTCGGATTAAATGTACAATTTTAAGCTTCTTCGAATTTCATCATAATTTATTCACGTTCTTTTTAGCAAATTTTGTTATCCCATACTGATGTGTCAGGTCTATCTTTATCATATACACTTTCTATATAATCTCTTGATAGCTCTTCAATCTTGTAATACATTTATTTTAAATTTAATTTTGTAAATTTATTGGCAAAAAATATACTTTTTTATTCAAAGTCTTTTAAAATATATTAAATGAAGGAGGAGCCCAAAAAGGAAGCTTTTTAGCTTTTTGCTTTTTGATAGAAGTTCTTGCATAGGCTCTTACAATTTCAAAGAAGTCTTTCTTAAATTTTGGAGGAAAGGGCTTAAATTAGAAAGCAGAGTTTTTAGCAAGACCATACCTAAATGCTGGATATTGCTTTTCTATAACTTTCTTATATTATTACTCGCATTGCTTTTTTTAAAAATAATAATTTAAACTGAAATTTAGTCATAGAAAGAATTTACTTAAAACAAGGCAGAAACAAACTCATTTAGACCTTTTTATTTTTATTCTCTAGTTTTTTTCTTTCTATCTTTTCTCATTTCAATAAATTGCTTAGCCGCTTGATTGAGATGACGAATAAGTTTCTTATTTTCTTCATTAGTTTATTTCTTTTCTTGAATAAGTTTTCTTATTTCCTCAGAATTAGTGCTTTAATAAAAATCCAATCTGTCTCTAAATATAATGGATAGGTCATCTATCTTTTCTTGCCTCCTCTATTCAAATATCATGTAAACATTCTCTGGTGTAATTGTTTCTTCAGGAGTTTTTCTCTGTTTGATTAAATCTTCTTCATCAGAATCAAAAACATCATATTCTAAGCCGAACTTGCTGAGACGATTTTACTTAAATCTTTACAACAAAAAAGCTAAATTAAATTTTATTTACATAAAATAACTTATAAAAATAAATACTCTTAGACTATCATATCATTAAGAATTCTGTCTTTGGGGAATTTGGTGTGCAGCTCTAACATAACCTATCCAGATTTGTATTTATCTTTAGGCTACTTGAGTTATTCAAGAGGAGTCTTTTTAGGCTCAAATTGCTTATTAAACACTTTTTTTTACAAATATTTCTTCATTCTTTGCTCTTCTTCCTACTAAGTCTTTTCTCTTTGAATCTCCTCTTATCTTCTTTCTTCATTCCACTATGCATAAAATTCTCTTAATTAAGTTTCAAAATTTTCACGACCTTCAAAATCAACATCTAAAAACTCCCTTTGTCTTTTCTAATTAAGTAAATTAGAGTTATAAATATTATTTTTTATCTATTAATTTTTTGTTTACATCTAGCTTATCATAAAATTTCATAAATTAAATCATAGGATCCTAGCTTTATTTGTTTTTAAGACTTTTATAATAATTTTAGTATTTTGCTGATTTATCAAATTTCGAAGACTCATTTTTATTTATTTATTCATCTTCCTTTTTTTATTCTTCAGGAAGATATCCACAACTTTAATCATACTGTCTGATAAACCCTGTAAAAACATCTCTGAAGTATTTGTCTATATCATCAAATATAACTTTTTCCTTGAATTTAGATTCTTTTACTTAAGAAAGAGCTTCGTTTTTCTTTTGATCACTAAAATTAACAGGAAAGCATTCATCTATAGCTGATTATATAAGCTCTTTTTAATCTTTTACTCTTGGCCAATATTCTTTCAACTTTTTTGGATGTCTAAATTTTTTTTCAGCATCACTATTTAAAAAAAAAAAGAAGCATTTTAAATACTTTTCCCTTTAAAATTAAATGTTACATATCATTTTTTTCATCTTACTCTAAGCCATTCTTAAAGTAATCATCCATAATGCTGTGAGCTAATTTCTTCCTATAGCACCATTCGCATTTCTAGAAATCAATTTAAGTATTTACTGTTTGGCTTGAATAATATAACCTATTAACAGCTTCTGTAACATTCACTTTTTAATTCTTTTTACGTTGCTATTCTTAATGAAACTTATCTAAATCCTTTTCAAAATATTGGCTAATCTTTTGATCTTACTTCTCAGATTTTTCTTTATCGTGTGAATGAATGTACAAAGTATATCTAACATCCTCAACGTTTAAATCTATGAATTCTCTTAATCTTCTTTACTTTTTTTCTTTTGCAACAAAGAATCTCTAAATATTTATAAAAATTACGATTATTTTAATTTAAAAATTTTATTTGAAATCCTCAAATATAAACATATAAAAGCAATTAAATACTTCTTTTTCATTGAGCTCGCTATCGTCTTTTTCCATTAACTCTTAAATCATATATTCTTTTTATTGAAACTCCTCCCTATCTTTAGCTGTTCTCTTCCTATTTTCTTCATTTTTCTTATTTTCAACTTGCTATTAATATATTCAGTGAAATAATTTAAATAATTATTTTATGTGCTTTTTAGATTAATTTTTCTTACCTATTTACGCAATAGCTAAAAAAAGTCAAATAATACTTAAGGATTTCTAGTCATTTTTACTTTATTTTTTTCATAGTACAATTGCTTTTTTTATTTATAACAAGATAAACTTACAATTTATTGTTTATGAGCAGAATTTAAAATAATTTAATATTCTCTTAATATTGCAAATACTAGCTAATAAGCTATTTAAATATAATTAAAATGCTTACGACCATAAAATCAAACAAATCCACTCCAAGATCTTAATAATTATCACCTTCATTCTCAATACTAAAATTAGCTTGATGAGATTTTTCAAAATCTTGAGTATCATATATCTCATCTCTATTCATCTATGATGCTTCTAAATTGTAGCTTTATAATTAAAAGATATGATAAATTCTGTAGAAATAAGACATAAATTAATGTTTTTAAAATTGAGGATGGCTAAATAAAGGTAGGCTATTTACCTTTATGTAACATCATAGTTAGCAAAATTGTAAATTCTCTCTTTGTTCATTTGTATCACTATTAAAAATCTACAATATCCTATTTCTCACTAATTAATATTTAATAACTGATGTTTTTGAAAAGCCTTTTGATATTTGTATGAATACTATTTAAAAATACAAAACAATTAATAATTAAGCAAATGAAACTATAAATGATTAAATATTATTTCTATGATTAATAAATAAATAATTTAATTAATTCATAAAAAAATTGATTAAATAAAGAAAGATAGATAGATAGATAGATAGATAGATAGATAGATAGATATATTTACTTATTTAAATATTTTTAATTCAAATTTTTTTAATTAACAAATTAATTTGTTAAAATTTTTGTTTAAAATATTATTTTGAAATTTAAATAACAAATTAATAATAATTTATTTTATTTTGATCAAATTATTTTTATTTATTAATTGTGTAAATTTTGCTCTTGTTAAAAATTATTAACACTATTTTAATTAGAATTTTTGGTTTTAAAAATTTTGTATTACCAAAATAAATCATTCATAAAAAGATAAATAAAATAATGACAGAACTATTTACTTTCCCTTAAAATATTAAAATCATTTATTTGATGAAATATTAAACTATTCAAATACTTTGAGTATAGAATTAATAAAACCTTGTAGATATTACTCACTTATTAACTTTTAATTAAAGTTTTTAAATAAAATGAGTAAAAACACAATTATTATTTTATTTAATATATTTTTTTAATTGCTAATTCAAATTTTGCAAATATTCAGTAAAAATGGAAAAATTTTGCATTCCTTTTTTTATAATTGTTAAATAGAAACTATAATTTCATGTAAAACTAACGCAAATAATGCTTAACTTTTGTTCGTATTGTTTTTTTCAAATAAAAATATATTGAATAAATTAATTTTGATATTATGTAACATTCAAAAAATAAATAATATGTAATTAAGAAATTACCATACAAGTTCAAAAAAGAAATAGAAAGAAAGAAAATAAAAGCTCAAATTTTATTTTTTGATCAATTTTTGTGAAAGGAAAAAATTGAAATTTATAGCCAAATATTAAGTCTAAGAATCAGATTTATGTTTGATTTTCAATCTTTTTCACTCATAAAATAATAACAGATATTATCTAAATAAGTATTTTGGCATTTATTTAAATTAAATCATGTATTTTGAACATATATGTTATCCTTCGATTAGGTTTTATTCTTAGGATTTGTCTTAGCAAAAGTATATTATAATATTAATTATTATTAAGTGGATATTTTATAAATTAATATTTGATATGGACTTTCATCATATCTTTTATTATTATAGACTTAATATATTAATCCATTTAGCTATTTACTGGCCTATATATTAATTTTGTTATCTTTATAGATATATATAATACCTTTCTAAATATTTATCAATATTTTTATTGCTTCAGTAAACTTACATAAGTGAGTGTAGGTATTAAAAATTGAGAAAGATCTGTAAAATGAATATAATGAAAAAAGTTAATTTAAATTTACGTAATTTATCCTTTTTCACGCTTTTTAATAAAAATCCTTTTGTCAAAAAAAAATAATAAGCAAGAAGATTTACCCTGAAAAACTTGAAGAGAAAGAATACGATACGATTTAGGAGTCAATAAAAACATAATTGGAATTTTGCTAGTAACAATTAATAATTATAAACAACAAATAATTTGACTTAACAATAAACAAAATATTGGAGATATGAATAATCAAAAAATCGACTTTCATATAAGAATGAGGGGATTGCAAATGGTTGATCCTACTCCAGCAGTTATTGATAAAAAAGTATTTCTACCTCTTCATAAAAGCTAGCCTTATTTGGATAAGTTATCTTATAGAAAGAAAAAAGAGCTATCGAAAGCTATTTTAAAGCAAAAAGAAAGTTACTGGTCTACTGACAATCACATTTAATATATCCCTTTTCAGAATGACTACTTAGACAAGTAAAATTCTAATTCTAACAAAATGGGAGGACATATCAAAAACAAAAGCTCTATCGAATTAGAAAATTCCAGCTCCATCGTAAGCCATAGTAAGATCCAGTCAGCTAAACTTGATAAGAAATCTAATGAATTTAAAACTTAAAAAAGTAATAAGCGTATTATTATTAATTTAGATGATCGCTTTAAAAATAAAGCAGAATTACACATGCTGTCTCATCCTCAACTTTCAACCACAAATACTTCCGATTCTGCTAAATTTGAAAACGCAAAACAGTCTCACACTGAAGAAAAGTATGAGGAAAATAACAAATAACAATAAGGTCTTTACATAGAGAATTTAGATTAGCAACGCCTTAGCATAGATAAAGGCAAACACAGTCACCACACTAAAAATAAAAGTTAATCCAATACCATGTTGGATAACAAAGTAAGAGCAAATAGCATTCACCAAAATAAATAGTAAGAAAATAATAATTTTGATAGTAAGCATAGAGCTTTCAGCTAAGCGGGTGACCAAGATGGCGAATATTTAAATTAAAATCAATAGAAGTAAATAAAAACATAATAAAATAAAGGTGGATATTAGGATTAATCATATATTGAAAACTCTAGGGTGATGTTCATAAATTCTTAAGACCATCAAGGTTCCTTTTTCGGAAATAAGCCTAAGTCATCTAAATCTTCTCGTAGAGATATTTTGGAAATAAGCTCTATGTATTTAAAGAATCCAAAAGACATTCAAGATATAGCAGATCGTATTTAGATGTTTGATGAAATTCGTAAGGGTAATGCCAAGCGTGCTAAAACTAAAGATCAGATTCGTTAAGAGAACCTAAAAAAGGTCATGACATCTAAACCAATATACTATGGGCGTGATTACTACTTTTAATAAATTCAAAATTCAAAGAAAATTGATAGAGAACTAACTGAAGAAGATCCTAATAATTTTTATACAGATGACAAAAATAAAAGTGGTAGAAAAAATGACGCTTAGATCTTTGATAAGGCTGCAGCTATGAAGAAACCTGTTAACAAAAAGAAGCTTAGAAAATTCTATATCGCAGTAAGAAGATATAAAATGGTTACGCTTTTCTGGAAAGCAATAGACCAAGCTATCAAAAAGAAACGTTAAATTAAAATAGATACATTTTCAGTTAATCTGAAAGATTCTATTTAAGCTTGCATGAAAGTAACATTACAATCAGCGCAGTAATCTCTTTTAAAGCTTTTCAAAGAAAGCGAAAATTTAGCATATTACTTATAAGCACCAGGAATGCAATCATATAATGATAAAAAAGCTAAAATTCGTCAACACTGTTTAAATATTATGGAAGATTTAGCCACAAAATCAGTGAACATCGATAAAGATTTATAATTTGTAAAATTGATAGCAAAAAACTCAAATAACTACGAATTTCCTCCATAGAATTTCTGGCCAAGATTTATAATAAATCGTGTAGAACTAACAAAAATTGGCTCTCTTAAAAACCTGAAAGCTCACTAAAAAGAAATGATAACACTGTAATTCTTTATAATTTATGGTCTTTTTAATCGTCTTGTACGTCCTTGGTCAACTTTAAAACTTGAAGAATCAGAAGTTCTTGCAAAGAATTCTCAGCTAGCTTTAAGTCTCATCTTTTATGTAATGCATGATTATTTGAAAGAGAAAAATCCTGTTATCTAGAATGAATCGCAATAAAAAAATGGCAAATACTATATTTAGGAAAGAGAATCTCCCCTAAATGCCTATCCTGATCTTCTATCTTAGGAGTCAGAAATTAATCTAAATAAGAAGCCAGTAGACCAAGTAAAACTAAAAATTAAATTAGAATAATAATCTAAGGACAACGATAATATCATTATTGGTATATGTTCACGTAGAAAAGTTGTAGACTTAGTAGAAAAAGATCAGGAATTTAAGAATTAAGTGATACAATCTTTACAAAAGATATCAGCTAGCATATAAGCAAAAGCAGAAGAAGTATATCCTGAATTAAAAGATAAACTATTAGACTTAATTTAGTGAAACAAAGAAATCTATTTATATTAATATCATCTATTATAGATTAAAATTTAATTATTAAATCTATATTTAGCATCGTTTTTGAAATATTTATCGATTATAAAATTAATAACATTTACTAAATTTACTTTTTCACATTACAAAATTATTAAAGCAGTAGTCTGCTATTTATTTATCAAAAAACTTAAGCAAATTTATAAATTCAGCAGCTAAAAATAAGTAAATGAAGAAATAGAATATATTTATATTGCATTAAAATAATATTTCATTTCATAATTTTATTTAACTGAAATCATTAAAATTATTTTTTATATTTCAATAATTAAAAAATGAATTTATATGTTTTTTCTATTTTAAAAGCTAAATTTTTTAATACATTCAGCATTTTAATTATTGGTTCAGTAATATAATAGTTCTAAAAAGCGTTTGAAATACAATTAATTTGAAGCATCAGTAACATTTTCAAACAAAAATAATTATTTGCCATTTAAAAATTCTTACATAAATAATATGTGGATATCATATTAAAATAAATAGGAATCAATCGCAGACAGATTTCTCTATAATTTTTGATATTTTAATAAATTCATAAATTAAATAAAAAATAACAAAAAACAACATTATTAAAAAAAGTAATTAACCAGTCACTTACAAAGCATATTTACAAATATATATGGAAGATCCTAAATAGTAAATAAATAATATTTTAGAGCCAAAGATGGTTTCCCCCAAAAAAAAAAAACTAGTCAAGCCTAAAAGAATAACTTATTTTGATGCTTAAAAAGTTTATGATATATATTTGAAGGACATACCTCCTCATCTTAATACCTCTTATTATAAAAATGCGTCTTTTTCATCAACTAAAAAATCACAAAAAGATATAGATTAGCTTTCAAACATGAACACAGAAGCTTCTCATAGAGATATTTCATTGGTAGCAGTTTTTAATAGATATTAAAACTTACTTCTTAGTTAGGTAGGTTCACCTAAAAAACTTTAAACTAAGAAATCTGAAAGGGCTTCTAAGCAAACCCAATCTCTTTCTAGGCTTTCAAGCAAACATTATACTGATTTAAATTAATCACCCTCCGATGATAAAAGAAAAAATAAATTTAAATTGCCTTCTGAACCATTTTTACCTAAAATAGAAGCCTAAAATGGTGCACTTAATGAAACTCACTCTACTTAGGTAGAAACTCAGCTATCACAATCTATGAGTATTGCAAAGTAACTTGGAAACAGCTAATTAACTTCACCTTCATCTACTTCAAAAATATTCTTTACTGAAGATTGTCCATACACATCTAATTATCAATCGCAGAAAGGTTCTCCTATTGTAAAAAAATAGAGTTAATCTCTCAGAAGAATAAATGTACCTTAACCCTAACCTTTATTGCAGAAGAGCTAAATATTGCTTCCTCATCTAAGTGATAAAATCAGCTTAACAAAAAGACAAATAACATTGTAAAAATAATAAGGAGAATAAGAAGAAGTAAAAAAAGTAGTAAGCTTTGCTTAAGACTAATTAATTTCATCTCATGTTGAAACTGAAAATAATCCTACAAACGATTAAGAAGATTCCTTGAATTCTTATAGCAAGAATAATAACAATAAAAGTAATACAAAAATTAACTAGGAAAACACAAAATAAAATAAATAAGTAAGCTACCATGATCTACCATCTCAGAATGATACTGCTTAAGACTAATTAATTTCATCTCATGTTGAAACTGAAAATAATCCTACAAACGATTAAGAAGATTCCTTGAATTCTAATGGCAAGAATAATAACAAAAAAAGTAATACAAAAATTAACAAGGAAAATGGAAAATAAAATAAATAAGTAAGCTACCTTGATCTACCACCACAGAATGATACTACTTAAGACTAATTAATTTCATCTCATGTTGAAACTGAAAATAATCCTACAAACAATAAAGAAGATTCCTTGAATTCTTATCGCAAGAATAATAACAATAAAAGTAATACAAAAATTAACAAGGAAAACAAAAAATATAATAAATATGCAAACTACCTTAATCTACCACCACAGAGTGATACCAAGTCTGAGCTCTTTAAGTTAATTTAATTGAAAACTAATCCTTCAGAGTAACCTGCTAAATAAATCAACAACAATGATTCCAGTTTAATGAACTCAGCCCTTACTCCATAGTAAGCTATGATTGTAGTTCCATAACCTGCTCGTTCTTCCATTAAGCCTAAAGTTGATCAGAACTAATTATCAATATTAAAATCGGCTAAATCGAAATTCAAAAAAGTCAAACTGCGTTTGAGAATACTCTTAGGGTTCTTTAACAAATTAAGAAAAGCCGCAGCCAAAAGAAGAGAACACTTTTTAAAGGAGCTCCAAAGCGGTGCATTACTTAAAGAAGCAATAATGGATATTATGAGGATTTCAATATAAGTCTCCAGAGAGTCATTCATGATGCTCTTTTAAGAAGATCATACATTAGATTTCTATAACTACGTAAAAGATAGATAGAATTACATATTGAGAAGATAAAGAATACGTTAATATACATATAACATTATGAGTGATTACATTGAGAGCTCAAATAAAATCTTATAATATAATACTTCTTTTATTAAATTTTTATCTCTCCACATCAAAAATTATAGTCATGTAATTGATGATTTCTGGCCATAATTTATTTTGGATAGACTCGAATTTACAAACTATGGATAAATAAAGAATGTTACTTAGGAACAGAGAGAAATGATATCAATTTACATGTATTTCGTTTTTGGAGTTTGCAACAGACTAGTTCGTCCTTGGTAAACATTGAAGATAGAAGAAAATTATGTAAAAGAAAAAAATGCGTAATTAATATTAAGTTTAACCTTCTACATGATGCTTGAATATTTAAAAGAAAACAACCCAGTTGTCACAAAGAACTAACATAGTTAGATACCAGAATAATACAGACCAAGAGCTAGATAAATTCCTCTTAATACCTACAATGAAATTCTCAAGAAAGATAAAATGTTCTGGGTAGGATGTGAGAATGATTCAGCAGGAGATTACATCATGAATAAACCAGATTTGGACAAAATTTAGGAAGAATTAGAATCTCAAAAGGTCATAAATGAAAACATTATGATAGGTATGCATCCAAGAAAGGATTTGGAAGACCTGATAAAGAATGACACCCAGCTTAAAACAAATGTTCAAGCCTGTTTTAAGAAAGGAGCAGTACTCCTCTTAGCAAAGGTTTACTCCTTCAATCTAAATCTTAATGAAAATTTATTTAACTTTTTAGAATGAAGAATGAATAACAATCAACAAAAAAAACTAACAATTAGTATACTAATTTTGTAATAATCTAGTTAAATGAAATAAAATAAATAAATTCTTTTAACCAATTTTATCTTATTATAAAAGTTAGTTTACAATTTTGTAAAAATTATATAAAATTTATTAATTCTATAAATCTTATGATGCGAATATAATAAATATAATAGAAAATACTTTTCTTATTAATTGTTGTTTAATACTTATATTAATTTTTATTTTGTAACTTGAAATTATTAATTTTGTTATAATCTGAATGAATGAAATTTAGAACGAATTTTATCTTGTCTTAAAGTTTTTTTTTTTAAGTTATTAAAATATCTTTAATTAATTATCTAAGTTTCAGATAAATAAATATGAATAAAATATCTTAAAAATAAATAATATTCTTTTATTTTTGATTGTTTTATTTTTTTTATATGAATGTTAATCTTTACTTTTACACTCTTTTTTTAAAAATTTTCAATTAATTTTAAAATAAATTTATTTTTGCAATTTAAATATTTAATTTCATTGTCTTTAAATGAATAAAAATATTGATGTAATTTATAGAATGTTAGAATGAATGTAATACTCATTTAATATGGATATTTATTCTCCAGGTATGCAATTAAATATTTTATTTACCTAGGCCTATAGCCTTGTGAATATTTGAACATATATATCTAACATTGTTTAAAAAAGCTTAATTTTTATGGCTTTTTAAGCTAAAATAGATAATTTTGTACACTTTACATATAGCTTTGATGGTTATTTTTAAGGTTAGAATTTAATCATATTTATGATTTAATGAAGTTCTAACCTACTCAAAAATTTTTTCCTTTTAAATTGAACAAAAATAAATTATAAACAAATTTTAGCTAATTTAGATGTAAAAGCAATTTAATTTAATTTGAGTACCAACAACAAAACAAAAAATTTATATTAATTGATTAGAAATAAATTTGAAGATTTTCATAGATTTGAAAATTTAAACTTAAACTAACACGAAATAAAATAAAATTGTATACATTTGATATAAAGTTGATTACAAAAATAGTTTGATTAAAGCTAAAGCTAATCTATCTATGTTTGTGAGAATTAAAATAATTTAGCTTGATTTAATAGGAAAATTGTAGTATAAAGTAAAAGAAATAATTAATTAAAATTAAATAGTATTGTGGATCTGAATTTAGTTGAATATTTTTTTTTTATATTTTAGTGGTTATTAAATATCTTAGCAAGAAGTTTCTATTTATATATCTATATTTTTTTCTTCATTAGGCTTTTATTTCATTTTAGCAAATAAATTTAGCAGGGGAATTCACTCTAGACAAAGAATTTTTGAATTAATTTGTTTTAGGCATTTCAATTTTTGTACTATAAAAAATAATGAATGATATTAGTTATTATTTAGCAAAAAAAAAAAAACTATTTTACTTAAAAGCTACTCTCAATTCGATCGAATTGTGGCATCTTTACATTTTTTTAGCTGTCTTTTCATATTTTTAATCAGTGAGATTGCTTTGTCTAGTTATTTTTAATAATATTTGTTTGTTAAATATACAAATTTGTTAATAATGCTTACAATAAATTTAATGAAAGTTCTTTTATATTGATGCATAATTAAATATCAAGGTTTAGTGAATCCAATGCTGCTGTAGTCAAGTTGCTAAATCTATTTAAAAAATAAAATCAAATATCAGTTTATTTTCATAATTTTTACTCGCAATTTAATGATAAAGTTTTCAGTTTTTTAAGAGTAGTTACTACTTCCCCGATCTTAATGAGTGCTTTGTCATTAATTTGATTTTTTCTAATTTTTTATTTAATAATTTGAGTTATTATTAAAAGAAACAATATAGCTTTTTATTTATTACTTAAGATTCAGATTTAGATATCTGAGTTTTTTACATGCGCTGATATTTTCCATTAATTAAAGAACTGCTTTATCAGGTAAATTATTGCATCTGTAAGATAAAAATTTTTATTTTAATATAAGTTAAATCAGTTAAAGTCATTTATTTACGTTAAATCTATTTGTACTTTTGCAACCTTGTCGTTGAATTTGAATTTATTTATTAATTCACTTAAGTTATCTGCATTCAAATTGTTCCAACTATATTAAAAATAAATGAGTTAGGCTTATGAATATAATTTGCTTCATTTAACAAATTAATATGAAAAACTAGTCTTAATTCAAATAAGATAAATGGATATTTTAAGTACAAATTTATAAATGGAAACATTCATAAACACTTGAAGAAAATTAGATTTATTTTTTTCCATTACAATAATAGATTAATTTATTTTTAATTTGAAAGTTAAAAAATTTACCCAAGACGCAAATCAATTTAATCTAAGCTTTTAAAGTAAGATTGTTATTCTTGGTCTAAAGTTTTACCTGAAGACTTGCAGTCTTTTTTAACGCATCCTCTATTTATTTTATATGTAAAATGTTTTAATGTTTTTGGAAAAGTTAAATAAATTACTATAAATCTAAGGAAAGTGTATGCAAGAAAGCGTTTTTACTTAAATAATATAAAATGTTGTTAGCATCTTGGAAAGCAATTTTGTTACTTCTATTTTAAAAAGTAAAATAGCATATTATAAATTTGAAAAGATATCAAATAAGTTTTTTACCCAATATCTAAATGTAAAATATTAAGTTAGTTCTATCCTATGGCTTCACTTAATTCTAGCAAAGAAAAGCAATCAAGATTGTTTTTTCTAAATTTAAAAAATAAAAAATGGATTAGATAATTAAAAGCACATAATAAAGCAGAGAGAGGAGAAATATGTTTATTACCTAAGGTTAAGATTCAAATCTATCAGACCTTTGCATACTTTAATACTCTATATGATATTTTTGATTCCTTTGGAAGTAATCTAATTCGCCCTTAATTAATTATAATAGAAGAAAAAAAAATGAGTCTAGCTATTAGGAGGAGTAATATATATATATTTAGTTACTCTAAGTTAATTGAAAGTCTGACTAAATCAGGAGAAAACAAGATTTCGCTTGTTTCACAGGGAGAGGACATGAAACAGCACTTAAGTATTTTTGCGTAAGTTTCAATCCCAAAACAATTTGAATATAAAGAACCTGAAATTTCATTGTAGCTATTAATTTTAATTTTAAGAATTAATCAGGAAATCTTACAAATTATGAGTGAAAAAATATCTAAATTAAATATTTGAAAAGATATATTTATACCTTAAGTCAATTTCAAGATCTTTTAGATTGCATAAATTGTTGATTGATTTCCATAAGCAGCAAAGTCCTTCATCTGTAATATTATTGCTTCTAATATTTTAATAAATGACACAATTACTCATTATTATTTCTCAAAAATCCTAAAGTAAAAACTGAAAATAAAGATCAGCATCATGATTTATTGACTTAAAATAAGATTAATCTGAATATTGTGTGAAAAATCTTAATCAGAAATAAGTAATTTTAAAATTTAAGGCAAATAAATATTTATTAAAATCTAAGTTAAGGAGATGTAAAGTTATTTATTGATATTTAAAAATTATTAGAAAATATTACTGCAGACTGATATGGAGCTTAGTCAAGTTTTTGAAGTCTTTAAGTGATTAGCAAATTAATTTTAAACCTTTGTCAGCAATTTAAGTATTACTATTTAGAAGGAAAAAGTAAATAAAAATAAATAATAAAATATTTTTAGTAATTTACTTTAAATTTATTGAAGAACAAACTATATGATCACTGTAGTCTTTTAATTTATCTGCAAGATGCTGTATTTCAGATTCTTTCAAAACAATTGATCTAATTATAATAAAAAATACAATTTTAGAAATGACAAAAAATAAGTACTAAATTAAATAATATGAAAATTCAATTTAAAAGTAAAATAATAAAATAATAATTTACTCCAGATTTATGTTGAGACTCATTGATTTATCTTTTTCTTTTAAGTCATTAATATCCTAAATTATGCTGAATGTATTATCACAAATATTGAATGAAAGATTGTGGCTTGATGAAATTCTACTCAAACTTAGACTATTTAGAATAAAAATCAAAAATATTATTATGGCAAAAAATTAATTAATTAATTAATTTGTTAATTAATTAACAATAATAATTATAATAATGTGATCAGTTATAATGAAAACTATAGATAGTTTCTATCTTATTTATAATCCAACAAACTGAATATATAAATAAATAAATGGCATATTTTTTTTTTTTTGTAAAAAGCCATCATTAACTGAATTTCGATTTAATCTGAAATAAAAGAAAACCTGAGCTTTTAGTTGACAGTCAAATTGGTTTAATCCGCGTACAAAGAATTTCTCAAAGAGTTTCCATTGATGAAAAACTCTGAGTCCTAATCAGACTTAGCGCTTAATACTTCAAAGTAGGGTTGTTTTGTTTGGATCATTTTTAATTTGGATTTTTCAGTTTTTTAAAAATGTTTTAATGTTAACAGAAGATGTTATGTAGACGAAAGGTAATATGGCAAGTATACTCAAGAAAATGAACAATTTGAAGAATATTTTAATATAAAATGGCTCTAAAACCAAATTTAAATATGTATCTTGTTTATTCTTTTTGCAAATCTTAATTGATTTGTTTATTTAAAAGGTTATGTTTTGCTTTTTTTTGTTTTTCTTTTACTTTTTTTAATTATTTGCTTGTGTAAAACTCTTTTTTTCAATTTAAAGCTTCTTAATAAGTTTAAGTCAAAAGAAAGCAATTAAAAGCTTTAGTTTGATTTTTTCTTCATGAAAAAATGAAAAAGGAATGATAATTAAATTACTCTACAATATTTAATATTTTGTTAATATAATAATTATTCATCATCATCTAATTAATATATTTGATAACCCTTTCTTTTTTATTCCTATTTTTAGGTTTTATAATCAATCACTCTTCTGATCATGATTAAATTATCATTCATAATTAAAAAAATTCGATATCATCTATTTTTAGTAGCATATTTAAATTAGCTAAATTGTATATAAAAATTTAATCAAATCCCGAAATTTATACCCAAAATGCACTTCCATTCACTTTTAGCTACATTAAAATGTTGCTTAATTATCTAAGAACATAGCTTTGTAAGGATCTTTTACAAAAATACCTTCCCACCTACATTATACATTATATTTAAGTTAAGCATTAATATTTGATCTAGCATTTTCTTCCCAAAAAAATGATATATTTGATAGTCTTTAAAAAAAAAATATATACTTAAAATCACATAGACTATATTTAGTATTAATTTTTCTTGAATAAGTTGTTAGTAATATATTGATTATCATTAATAATATGAAAAGGTTTTCTTAATTTAAATAAAAAATTATTAAGGTGTATAATTTCATAGTCAATCGTATCAAAAAAAAATAAAATAAATACCTTGCTAGATAAATAATAAAAATTAGTTAATATTATCACTCGAACAAATTAATGTTTCTTAAAATAAAAATTTTGCAGACAACAAATAAATTTTTTTGATATTTATATGAGAAAAAAACTAATGAAAATACAGCTAACTAGAATTAGCTATATTTACCAGATTATAATGGATAGAGATAAACAAGGATTTATTTATTTTAAATAATTTTATCTTAAGAATTATAAATCTATCATTTAGATTACTAAATTTATGAATATTTTTTATTAAGCCATTCTTAACTAAAAAATTAGTTAAATAAAAAATCACTAACTAATTTTTACAAGCAAAAATAAGCAAGCAAGCAGTAATTCAATAATCCAAAAATAAAGAGAATATTTTTTTTTGAATAAAAACATTCTAGTAAAGAAAATTAATTAAATTATTATTTAATTAATTCACCTTTTAAACACTGATGCTTTACTTCCTATCTAATTGAAGATTAAAATCATTTTTTTTATGTAATATACAATTTTTTATTAAATAATTTTCAAAAAAATGCTCCCGCCTATTTATAGTTATCAATTATATTAAAATTATTCTAAAATTTAAAGGTAAACAATAATTTATTAATTTTTGAATTTGTATTTTTGGCATACTTTTTATAAAATAAGGAAAATTTTTTTACAGTAAATAAAATAATTTAATTATTATTTATTCATTTATTTTCCTTCAATATAGGGTGTTGATTATATTTTCAAAGCAAAAAATAAAAAGAATGACCTCTATTTTTTATTATTAAGGTTAAGCTTTAATGAAAAATGAGATTATTTGATTAATTAATAAAAATTTTACTCTAAAAATTATTATATTTTATTAAAATCATTTTTATTAAATTTAATCTTTTAAAATAATATTTTTTTATCTACTTACTCAAATTTATCTTAAATAAATTAATTATTAAATATTTCTGATTCTCATATTCTTAATGAACTCTAAGTAATTAATTTTTAGTTAACCCTGAAGTTTAATCTTTTTTTTGTAAAAAATATTCATTTTAGAAACTCATTTGAAATGAATGTAATGTAATTCTAAAAGATTATTTTATTTTTTTATTCAAATTGCTTTTGTAAATAAAAATATTTGATTTAGCAACTTATTATAAACATGTCTGTAATTAAAGTTTAAATTTTTTTAATAAAAGTATTTTGTAAGTTGAAACTATTTTGTTTTAAAATATTTGAGTTAAAATTAAAATTAAAAGTAAAAAATAACAATATTTAGAAATAAAAAATCATTTCAAACTCATTGTAAACTCAATAAATGAACTTTTTTAACTAATAAAAGTGATTTATTTGAGAGTGAATAAAATATGTGTAATATTATTTTAGGAAGATTATTTAGTGTTTATAAAAGTAAGAATATTAAGGCAAATAACTATCTAATTTTAATGGATAAATATCAACCAATCTATAAAATTATTAATATTTATTGACTTAAAAAGAAATATAGTTAGCTATAACCACAAAACAATATTTATCTATTTTAATAAATTATACATTAATTAATCAATTTAATTATTTATTATATTATTTGAAAAGTAAAGTTATAGAAGTTTATTGAGTTTAAAATGGCAGCAGCCCCAGAAAGTAATTATTTTTAAACTAGAGCATTTTCAATATCAATAGTTAAAAAAAAGGTATCTCTCATAGTTTGCAGTCTGATAAAACAGGAAAACTGTTTAAGGAAGCAAAAGAATTAGTTTTGAATAAAAAATTTGCAAAAGCTGTAAATGAATTTGTTTATTTGCTTTATTCATAATCATTTAGCAATAAATCGATAAATGATAAAATATTCATTTGAGCATTAATTTTTTTTGTGAATTAGATCAAGGTATTAGAAGATTTGATATAGCACGATAAGAAAAATGTTGAAGCTCTTAACTTATTAGCATACTCAATAAAATAGATTTATTTGTAGAGATAAGAAGAATAGGATTTTAATAGTAATGAAGATTAAATTTAAGAATGTATAAGCCTGTTATAGCGTGCTCTTATTGTAATAATTTACACTTATACTTATTATATTTTTATCATAGAAAACTATTTGATGTTTTCACAATTGCTTAGCTTTTTTTAGAAATAGAATATGCCGTTTTAAATTATTTGTATAATCTTATTTGACATATTATGTAACAGATTGATGACACAAACCACTTGACACTTTTTAATTTAGCAACTTTTTACTTTGAAATAGAACAATATGATAAGGCAATTTAGTATTATGAAATGCTTGACTAACAAAGATCAAATGACTGTCGCATATATTTTAACTTAGCGATTTCTTATGAAAGAACTCACCAAAATGACATGGCAATGAATTATTATGAAAAAGTAATATATTGTAACTGATTGAAATTTATTTATTATCACTTGGTAAATAACTGGAAATGTTACTAAATCCAAACAATTTTTACAAAAGATAAAAAGAATAAATAAAAGAAATTACGATTGTTTAATTTTACGAGCTTTCAGCTGAATCTTAGCAATTATATATTTTTATCACATAACTTATTCTAAATAATTTATAAAAAATTAACAGGCTCTTAAAATAAATCCTTACTTTTCAGGCGCTATCATAAATTATTCTAATTTATTGACAAGGAGTTAAAGGAGTGTGTAGGCAAAGACTTTGCTAGAGTAGTATCTTAAAAATGCTCCTTTTGATGAAAAAGCAACTAATAATCTAAATATCATTTTAGCTGAAAAAAAGTAGGAGAAAAAGGCATAGGAGAATTTCTCAAAAATGTTGAGGTAACCTAATCCTAACCCTGCAACAATTTATAATCATGGAATTTTCTTATACAAATAAAATAAGTTATATTAAGCTTTAGAAGTATTTAAGCATTTCACAGAAATGAAACTAAGCCCATCGGAACCTCTCCTTTTGTTGGCTTACATCGATATTGCTCTGATATATGAAAGACTAAAGAAATTTGAAAAAGCTATTGTTATTTACAATTAAGTAAGTAGTTGTTTACTTTTGTTTAAGTTAATTAAAAATATTTTTTAAATAGATATTGGAAAAATTTGAATCAGTACTTACAAATAAGAAAGAGTTTTAAGATAAAATTGTCGAACTAAAAGATAAACTTTAGAATTCAAATTAATTTGCTGTAAATTTAGATGGAGAAAGATCTGCTGATGAAGAAACTTATAATATAAGAACTTACAAAACTAATTAATAAGCTGTTGGTTTAAATGGAGACGGTAAAATGCAAACCATGCCAAATGTTAGTGATGTGAAGAGTTATTAATACAAAAATAATAAAAACACTTAAGATGTTAAAGGCACAAATAAAAAATAGGCTGGAATAAGTTTAGATAGAAATTAATAAGCTTAACCAAAAAGTGGAACTAGGGAAAATAACGATGGATTTGCATCTCCTAAAACGGTAGGATAAAAAGAAGGAGAAAAATCACAAAAAATCTTTAAAGTTCCTGTAGTTATTAAAAATAGTAATAATTCAAGGAAAAACAGTGGAAACTATTAAGATTCAAATAATCAGCAAGAAGGATCAGGGAGATCTTCTAGGTCAAAAACAAGAGAAGATTAAAGTGGTATGACCAACTCAAAAATAATAAGAGATGAGAATGGATAAAAAATTGTTTAAATATCACGCTAGGGTAGCAATAGCGATTTAAAAAATAGCAGGTTAAGAGCTAACTCACTTAATAATAGTAAAGAATTAGGAGGATAAAACTAAAACGATTAAAATTCGCTACTAAAGCAATAACAATAATAAGACATTATGAATAAATAGATTTTAGAAAGATAAAATTCCTCTAAATTAAAAAAATAAGGATCTGGTATATAAATTGGGAATTCTGATATTGAAAAATCGAAAGGAGCTTTTCTCTTAGGAAATAAAGATAGTAGTAATAATGCTAAAGTAGTATAAGATGAGAGTAGAATTTAAGCTATAGAGTAGCTGTTGAAAATGCAAGCATAAGAATTGAACGAGCTAAAAAATAGGGTAAAAATGGAAGAAGAAAAAAAAAAATAAGATGAAGAGTAAAAAAAAAAAGAGTAAGAAGCACTAAAATAGAAATTATTGTTAGAAGAGTAAGAAAGAAAACTGAAACTAGAAAAGGAAATCAGAGAAAAAATTGAGTAGGAATAGTAACAAAAGCTAGAAATTGAAAAACAAAAATTGGCTCTCTAGTTAGAATAATAAAAGGCTTAGTTAGAACAAGATAAACTTAGATAACTTTAGTAAATATAGGAAGAAGAGGAGAAAAAGAGAAAACTTGAAGAATCTGATAAAAAAATTAAAAAGTAAGAGAAAGAGTAATAAAAAAGTAAAGAAGAATAGTTAAAAAAATAAGCTGAAGATCTAAAAAGCTAAAAAGAAATTGAAGATTAAAAGAAAAAATTAGATGAAGAGCTTCTAAGAAAAAAAATTGAAACTGAAGAGCTGAGAAAAAAATAAGATGAACTCCAGAAGTACAGATAAGAATTAGATGATTTAAAAAAGAAATAAGAAATCCAAGATCAAAAAAATAAAGAACTTGAGGAGCTTAAAATAAAATATTAAGAAGCAGAAGAAAAGAGAAAGTAATTAGAAGAGCAACAACTCAAAAAGCAACAGGAGTTAGATGAAAAGAAAAAACTGCAAGAGTCTGAAGATAAAAAACGATAATAAGAAATAGAAGAGAAAAGAAAATAACAAGAAGCCGAAGATAAAAAAAAGTTATAAGAAGCAGAAGAGAGAAAAAAATAATAAGAGGCTGAGGAGAAAAGAAAACAATAAGAAGCAGAAGAGAAAAGAAAATAATAAGAAGCTGAAGATAAAAAAAGATAATAAGAGGCTGAGGAGAAGAAAAAATAATAAGAGGCAGAAGAAAAGAAAAAAATATAAGAAGCTGAAGAATTGAAATTGAAACAACAGGCTGAAGAAAATAAGAAGTTATAAGAGGCATAGGAAAAGCAAAAATAACATGAAGCTGAAGAGAGAAAAAAATAATTAGAGGCTGAGGAAAAAAAGAAGTAATAAGAAATGGATGACAAAAAAAAGAAGCAAGAAGAAGAGGAATTAAAAAAGAAGTAACAATAGGATGAACAATAAAAACTCTTAGAAGTTTAAAATAAAAAAATTTAGGATGAAGAAATGAAAAAAAATTAAGAAACTTAAAATGATAAAAATAAATAGCTTAAAAATGAGTAATCTTCTGATAAAAATAATTAAATTGTTGGTATCGAGTTAGATTAAAATGAGAAAAATAAAGGAGAACATAGCTTAAATAAATAAAATATAAAAAATTCAGAAAATGACAATAAAAAGTAGATTGAATCAAATAATTAAAATACTCAAAATAAATCAATTTCTGCTCAAAATGTTTAATAAAAAGAAAGTTAAAGTAGTGCTGAAGTAAATCAAACTGCTAAAGTTTAAGAAGCTAGTGTAAAATCAGAATCTTAAGAAAATCAAAAAAATAAGAACTAGTTAACCTTATTAAATAAAAATTAAATAAACGAAGTAAACAGTGAAGAGGAAAAATCTCCCTCTAAATAAATTGTGGCTAATCAAAAGGATTCTAACAAAAATTAATAAAACCTTGAAAATAATAAATAATAAAAGGTTATCAGTAATAGTTAATAAGGTGCTCATGCAGAAGCTTCTTCAAATAAATCAAATAATACTGCTGCTATAATTGAAGTAAATGAAAGTGGACAAAATATTGATAAAAACCATCAAAAATCTTTATCATAAAAAAACAGTAAAGAAAACCAATAGGAATTATAAAATTAATAATCGTCAGAAAAGAGTATCAAGTAATAATCGAGTGATAAAAATATTTAAGAGAGAAGATCTTCTAAAGCAGATTCTAGCAACAAGCAAATTGCTGCTGCTGCTGCAAATGCCTAGCCTATTCTCACAAATGTAGAGTTAGATAATTAGTAATCATAAGAAATTAAAATTGAATAAGTTGAGTAAAGCAAAACTTCACCACCCCCTCCACCTATCGAAAATGAAACAGAAAATGATGCAACTCTTGAGAAGAATGAAATCAATAAAAATATAGAAAAAAAGAGGAAGTAAATTCTTAGAAATCACATGAGTATTGATGCAAATTATAGCAAATCCATAAATGATAAAACTCCAAGAAGAAATTCACACTCAGACTTAAATCGCTCTAACTTTTCAGAAAAGTCTTAGAAAGAAATTATGAACATATAAAAGTTAAAAGAATCATTTATTTCTAAAGAAGAAAAATCTAAAGGAAATAACAAAATGACTCTTGAAGAAATTGAAAATAATAAAGAATATGATGAAAAAAACGAGGTTCATGAAGTGAAAGATGGAGACGAAACTATAAATCCTAAAGATCAATCTAAAAATTAAGAATTCTTTGTTGTAAATGGTGAAAAGCAAGGAGATCAGTTAGTTAAGAAGAAATCAATAAATGATAGCTTGACTCCTAAAAAGAAAAAGAAAGGAGCTAAAGAAAATCTTTTGCCATCAGATTTTGATCAGTGGACTGAAGAGAAATGCCATCAAATGATATAAGAAAATCCTAAAAGCTACTTAGCTTACTACAGACTAGCATATATTTGCATGCTAAAAGAACCTGATGTCGATATTGAAGGAACAAAGTCAAATCTTCTCAAAGTTTAAGAGCTCAATCCAGATTTTAAAATAGAAAAGGTAATAAAAAATAATTTTAATTTGTATTCTCAATTTAATAAATTATAATCTTAATAGATTAATATAACGCTAGGAGAAATCTTCGAAATGCAGAAAAACTATGAGCAAGCTCTTGTTCATTATAAAAATTTATTAACTGTGACTTAAGACAAGCAAACTTGCTTGCTAAAGATTGCACGTTGCCATTAAAAATTAAAAGTTTATGATTAAGCATAAAAGAAGTATTCTGAAGCAATTAAAGTGAATACAAAGAATTATCTCCCATATTTAAAGTTGGGATGGATGTAGGTTAAACTCTCTAATATTAAGCATTAAGAAGCCCTTGAAAAAAATAAATAAATTGATAGTGCAACAAAGACTGATATACAAAATACTCTCAAACAAGGAATAGACAACCTATAAAAAGCACATTCATTAGAGCCAAACAATGTTGAAATCAACATTAAGTTAGGAGAAGTAAGCATATTTACTAGTTTAATAAAAAAATGATATATTGAATACAATAATTAGGCATATTTAATGAATGAAGAAGACAATGAAGGAGCAGATGAAGCTATAAGCTATCTTACTAATGCTCTTAATTTAGATGATAAAAATTATGACTGCCTAATTGGATTGGGAAAAGCTTATGAAAGGAAAGGTGATTTACAAAAAGCTATTTAATTTTCATAGCTTGCAATTGATCTACCAAATCCAAATCCTAATTTAAATTCCATTTTCTTCTTGGGAATGCTCTATTTGCAAAACAAAGAAATTAAAAATGCTGAGAAATAATTTAAGAGTGTTTTATGTAAAACTTTTTTTGAATTTTGGTTTTTTATTTATTTTTATATTTTTTTCAGCTAAAAATAGTGAGCATGTTGGAGCCCTTATTGAGTATGCCACAACTTTGAGTTTATAAAATAAATATGATAAAGCCAAAAAATATTTTAGGTAAAATTATTAATTTATTTTGATAAATTGAAATTGAATTTTATTTAATAGACATGCTTTGAAGCTAGACAAGAATAACGTAATTGCCAATTTGAGGTTGGGTAAAATATATCAGACAAAGCTTAATGATATTGATGGAGCTATATCATGCTATAAAAAGATAATAGAAGTGTAGCCTAAATTTGCAAAAGCACATTATTAACTTGGTTTAGCTTTATTAGAGAAAAAGGACTATAAAGGAGCTACAGAAGAGTTTAAAGAAACAATTAGAATTAATGAAAGATTTACTGGAGCATACAAGGCAATAGGCTTAATTTATTATGAAAATAATAATCCTTCAAATGCTTGCAAATACTATCTAAGAGCTTTAGAATGTGATCCATTTGATATGGAATCTAAGCTTGGATTAGCTAATTGTTATTATCTAATGGAAAACTTTGATGCTGCCATACAAAATTACGAAGAAATTTCTGGAATAGATTAAAACGACGAAATTGAATATAATTTGGCTAACTGTTACTATATGAAAGGAGAAATCAATGAAGCAATCAATCATTACAAAAATGCTCTCAATTTAAAACAAGATAAACCTGATTGCTTATATAATTTAGGTATTTAAAAATATTCAGCCATTTTTATTGAATTGAAATATATTCTAATAATTTATAAAGGTAATGCTTACTGCATTTAAGAAAACTTTAAAGAGGCATTAATTTGCTTTGAAAAGGCGATTCAATATGATCCTTAAAATTCAGCTGCTATGTACAATCTTGCTAACACATACTATGTCCTTGAGGATCATGAAAAGGCTTCTGACTATTTCGAAAAAGCCATACAATTAGAGCCTAACAATATAGAGTGGCATAATTACATAGGTGGAGTTTATTTTGGAAGAAATTAATTCAATGAAGCAAGGAGACATTTTGAGTAATCATATAAATTAAGTTCTGATAATATAGATACAAACTACCGTCTTGCTTAACTTAACCACTCTGAAGGAAATAACGATGCTGCTTTACATTATGTTAATGTAAGCATTTTACTTTAAAATAAAATATTAAAAATTTCTATTTATTAAAAAACAGTTTGTAATCTCTAAGCAACCTGAAAATGAAGAAGCAAACTAATTAAAAAGAGAAATAAATGAGCTTTTGAATGAAAGCTAAAGAGAATAAGAGCTATGAAAATAACTCTCTCTGAACTGATTTTCTCAAGAATTCATTTATTAAAACTATATACAAAAATTAAACTATTTATTATAAAAATAAAACTATTAATTAATAAATAAATCACTTATTTGAAATATATTTTGTAAAGTAAATGTGTTTATGATAATAAAATACATTCTAATATTCAATTACTACGAAATTATCATAAAAGCAATTTCTTTATTGTAATCTTTTGATTCTTTTTTTATGGTCAATATTTAATCAATTTAATTGTATGGATAATCAAGATATATTAATTAAAATTTAATTAGAGTAAGGCTTATATATTTTTTAACTATTCAGATCATTACAATCATAATCATAATATGATTTTTTAAAACTAAATCCAAAAATACATAAATTTTAAAAAAGAATTTTTCGAAAAATCCAGAAATATTCTATGAGTTATGAGTGAAAAGTATTTTTTTATTTGAAGTAATATGAAAAAGTAAATTAAACTTTTCAAATATAATTAAAAATTTTAATTTGATGCTTTGTTTTATAATTAAATACCACAATTTGCTTCCGATTCTGAAAGGATATTTATAAAATATTATAACAAATGATATTGATATATTACTTAAAATTTGTTAAGCTTTTGGTATTTATCAAAATTTAAAAAAAAAAGTAGATTTAATTTAATACTTTTTTTATGAAAATTGATTGCTTTGATGAGATTAAGATTAATACATCCATACATGCGATTATGTATTCATCTAATAAAAATGTAAAAGAATTTTTTTATTATCAAAATCATTCCCACATGATATTTTTATTGCGAATAATTAATTGAATATGACTTATTACTTTTCCTATTTCTTTTATTATTTGTTGTAAGATTAGTATAAATTAATCTTTTTTACTTGAATTTATGGTTCTTCAATAAGCTAATTAAATATTTTATATAAATAAAGTGGAAGAACAAAAGAAAACAAATAAAATACGAATATTATCCAATATTTTACAAAAAACGTAATTATTTTTGCTTATTTTTATGTAAATATATTTTATTTCCTTATTTAAGAGCAATGTAAACATCTAAGAGAACATCTAATTCTATATGCTAACCTCAGTCCAAAGAAAATATTTTGAATTTCCTTTGGCTTGACAACACTACTGATAATAGTATTGTAATTGAAAAAATATGTGAAAGAAATTTGTGCTCAGCTGAAGAAGCTCAATTTTAGCTGAAGGAATATCATAAATTCTTGTACTGCTTGGGTAAAGAGTTCAGACTTAATGAACTTCTTCAAGATTAAATGCTTTTATTCCCATCAGCTATAGTAAGATTTTTTCTTAAATAATTTTTGTCAAAAAAATATCATACGCACATATTAAGAGATATTCTTAATTATCATTTGTTTTTTGATTACTAAATATATAGTTTTACTTAACAAATACGTATTTTTTTTTTCAATTACTATTTCTTATGAGTAATTTAGAAAAAACTCGATAAATTGCTAATCTTTGTGCTACAAAAATTGTATCAAATTATAAATATTAATTTTTTTTGTTATTAAGATAAGCAGAATTTGGAGAATGCATTAACTCTTCACTATTGAATATCCATCTTTGTGCAGAGATTTAGGATTTAATTTTATTAGCTTCAATCCTGAGAAAATTTGCTTCTGGTCATAGACTGAAAATTAAATTAATAAATTCAGATCAACTTATGAGAAAACTTTGGAATCGTTAAAATAAGAATTCAAAGAAGATTTGAATTAAGAAATTTGGCCAAGCAATTTTGATGATATGGTTAAATAGCATTTACTCTCTTTCCATGTTAATTTGACCACTTTCAAAGCCATCGAAAACACAGTCAATAACTTGAATGGAGCTATAAACTTTTCTGAAATGTCTATTTCTGATATTAAGAACAAAATTATTCCTGAATTAAGAAAAAATCTTCATTAATTTAAGGAAACCAAATTTGAACTCGTTAATTAAGATTCTTAAGATTAACGTACCAAGGAAGTATATCAAAAAATGAACAACTTAGTTTTCCCATAAGAAATGGTTTCCCATATTTAAAATGTAAAGTCTTTAATTTATTTATTTACTATTGTTAATATTTTATACTTTAATAAGGAATATCTTTTAACTCCTGAAAGCACTCAATATCTTATTATGGAATATAAAAAATTCTTCATGATATTTTTAGTCAATAACACATTCTCTTAAGTTCCTTCTGCCTTTGTAGATGAAGTATGGCATACTCATATCAATTTTGCAAAAATTTATTCCTATTCTTGCAAAGTGTTAACTGGAGGATTTATAAATCATGTTCCAGCTACTAATTTAAGAGAAAATGAATAGGAAATAATGAAGGAGGAATTTAATTAAACTATGGAACTCTATGAAAAATTATTTGGTCCAGTCAATGAAGAATACTGGCAATTAAAAGGAGAATTCAGAGATGATCAACAAAATTTCTTTTGGATAGATCTATATTCCTTAAACAAGAAATCTTAGGCTGAATCATAAAGTAAAATACTTGTAACAAAGGACTACTTAATTTTTTAATTTTACAATTCTTTTAGATTCCCTTAATGTTAAGGTATAAGAAGGCTAAGATTTAGATGATTCAATTTCAACATAACCTAATTCAGTTAACTTAGATAGTAATTTTAAAAAATATTTATTACTTTAATTATTTATTTCAAATTACTATTAAGATTAAAATATTTAATGCACTGATTGTACTAGTGACTGTTTAGCAAGAATTACCTAAACTAAAAGTAATTTATTAATTAATTATTAATTTAAATCTAATAATTTTTTTTAATTTACAAGATACATAAAATTCTTGTGATGGTTGTGATGGCACTTGTAATGCTAATAGAACAGGAACTGGTACTGGAACAACCTAAAATAACAGTAATATTTATATTAGTATAAAATATAACATCTACATAATTTCATATTAGAGCTAAAGAACTCATGTGATGGCTGTGATGGTTCCTGCAATGCTAATGGAACTGGAACTGGTACTGGAACAACATAAAATAATTGTATTACTTAAATTCAAAAGATATTTAATGTCTTATTCTTTCATTTTTAATTAGAGCTAAAGAATTCATGCAATGGATGCGATGGTACTTGTAACGCTAATGGAACATCATAAAATAAAAGTATCATTTAGAAAAATATTCATTAGGATATCTTATTTATAATCTTTAAAAAGAGTTAAACAACTCATGTAATGGCTGTGATGGAACTTGCAATGCTAACGGAACAGGAACTGGTACTGGAACAACCTAAAATAACAGTATTATTTATTAGTATAAAGTATAATATCTAAATATTCCTTTACTAGAGTTGAAGAATTCTTGTAATGGATGTGATGGAACTTGTAACGCTAATGGAACTGGTACTGGAGCAACATAAAATAATTGTATTACTTAAATTCAAATAAAATTAAATGTCTTATTATTTCATTTTTAATTAGAGCTTAAGAACTCCTGCAACGGATGTGATGGTACCTGTAATGCTAATGGAACTGGAACAACATAAAATATGAGTATTATTTATAAAAAATTTAAATCCTGTATCATTTATTTATGTTTAATTAGAGTTAAAGAACTCATGTAATGGATGTGATGGTAGCTGCAATGCTAATGGAACTACATAAAATTGTATCTTTTAAATTCAAAAAAAAATTAAATATCTTAATATTTAATCTTTAACTAGAAATAAAAAATTCATGCAATGGATGTAACGGAACTTGTAACGCTAATGGAACTGGTACTGGAGCAACATAAAATAACTGTATTACTTAAATTCAAATAAAATTAAATGTCTTAATATTTGATTTTTAATTAGAGCTTAAGAACTCCTGCAATGGGTGTGATGGTACTTGTAATGCTAATGGAACTGGAACAACATAAAATAAGGGTATTATTTATAAAAAATTTAAATAATGTATCATTTATTTATGTTTAATTAGAGTTAAAGAAATCATGTAATGGATGTGATGGTAGCTGCAATGCTAACGGAACAGGAACTGGTACTGGAATAACATAAAATAATTGTATGATTACACATTCAAAAAAAATTAATTTTATTAATATTAAAACCTTAATTAGAGTTAAAGAACTCCTGCAATGGATGTGATGGTACTTGTAACGCTAATGGAACAGGAACTGGTACTGGAACAACTTCAAACAATTGTATTACTTCAATTAATATTAAATATTATATTTATTATTTAATTTGTAAATAGAGTTAAAGAACTCATGCAATGGATGTGATGGTACTTGCAACGCCAATGGAACTGGAACTGGTACTGGATAAACTCAAAACAAAAGTATTAATTAAACTAATATGAAATATTATAATTGATAATAATTTAACAATTCATAAGATTTAAAAAACTCATGTGATGGTTGTGATGGTAGTTGTAATGCTAAAGGAACTGGCACTGGAACAACATAAAACAAGAGTAATTACTATTTATTTAAATAGGGAATATTTTATCTTTTTTTTTAACATTTAATAAGAGTTGAAAAACTCATGCAATGGTTGTGATGGTACTTGCAATGCTAACGGAATAGGAATTGGCCCTGGAACAACTTAAAATAATTGTATGATTACACATTCAAAAAAATAAATTTCTTAATATTTAATCTTTAATTAGAGTTAAAGAATTCATGCAGTGGATGTGATGGTACTTGCAATGCTAATGGAACAGGAACTGAAACTGGAACAACTTAAAATAATAGTATCATTTAAATTCAAAAGAAATTTAATGTCTTATTATTTCATTTTAAATAGAGCTAAAGAATTCATGCAACGGATGTGATGGAACTTGTAATACTAATGGAACAGGAACAACCTCAAACAAGTGTATTACTTCAATTAACGTTAAATATCATATTTATTATTTAATCTATAATTAGAGCAAAAGAACTCTTGTAATGGATGTGATGGTAATTGCAATGCTAATGGAAATGGAACTGGTAATGGTTCTGAATAAACTTAAAACAAAAGTATTAATTAGATTAGCTCGAAATATTATTTATTTTTATCACTTAACTTCTAATTAGAATTAAAGAACTCATGTGATGGTTGTGATGGTACTTGTAATGCTAATGGAACTGGTACTGGAACTACCTAAAATAAGTGTATTACTCATATAAACATAATATAAAATCTATATTATTTAATTTTTATTAGAGTTAAAGAACTCATGCGATGGCTGTGATGGTAATTGCAATGCTAATACAACTGGAACTGGAACAACTTAAAATAAAAGTAAAATATAGAAAAATGTTTATTTTTGATAATTTACTTTATAATCTTTTATTAGAAAGCAAGAACTCATGCGATGGTTGTGATGGTAATTGTAATGCTAATGGTACTGGATCAACTCAAAATAATAGTATTTTTATTGATATTAATAAATTTGTTATAAAATGATATTTCAATAGAAAATAAAAGTTCTTGTGTTGGTTGTGATGGTGATTGTTTTGCTAAACAAACTTTTGAAAAGAAGGACTAGAGTAATTTATTTTTTTTTACTTAAAAATATAATATTTTAAACATTAAAAAATATTATTTAGAATGGTGCTTTGATTGCTTAAGCTAGCCAGGAAAAAAATAAAAGAATCAAATTCATTCTAATAAATTGAAGATCTAACAATAATAAAAAATGATCTGTAAAATTAAAATTTTTAGCAAAAATAATATTAAAATTTTATTCAAAAATTAGAATTGTGTGGAAATTGTTTTGCTATAGATGACAAAGCTTTGAATAGTAAAAAACAATTTTTAAATATCTTCTAATTTTATTTTAATCTAAATAGGCTCATAATAGAATCTTGCAAAGCTTTTGTGTATTGCAAAACAAAGTAATAATTTTTTTATTTTTTATTTAAATATTAAAGTATTTATTTATTAAACAAATCAGATAATCAAGAAGAATAGGAAGATTTTTAAAACAAAAAAAGTAAATAATTATTTTTCATAATTTTAAAACTTAAAAATATTTAATATAAATTTAAGCTGATATTCTAGAATTGGTTCAAGGAATGAACAAAGTAATTGTTTAGTGATTCTAATAAACTTAATTTTATAACAAATTTAAAAAATAAAATATTTTGTAAAAATGTTTTTAGAGTTTAAAATTTAGATACCTTTTTATGAAAATAAATATTTGTATTTATATTTGAAAAATTAGTATTCAATTTGAAATTTATATCAAAAACAAAAATAAATATATTAAAAATACATCATTAATTAATCTTTTTATAATTTAAAAATTTTTACTTGTTACTTATATTCTGCAATATGATAACAATCTACAGTAAATATAAATAAGCTAAGAAAAGTGTTAGAAATCATTTCATTCATTATTTAAATTTTTAATTAATTTTAGATTTAAGTTTTACTTTTTTTCAAAATTGAAATGAATTAATTTATTTATTTACTTAATTTATAATTTTACAAGTATTAATAGAGTTTAAAATAGTTTAATTAATTATTATGATAATAAATAAGTGCAATGATCAGAATTCATCATCTGATTCTTCATAGAAGAGTGTATTTGAGCGAACCTTGTTAAATTGGCTTTGTGATTAAAGCATATGATTTTTGAAATAAGGCTGTCTAGATTCAATTATAGAAAATTTTTAGCTGTATCTTGGTGCATTTTAAGAAATTATAGTAGTTTTTTTTTAATTTTTAACATTGCTGTTTAGAATTAAATTTGCAATTTTGGAAATTTAATTAGGGTTTGATGATCTTGAATTTGCTGGTGTAACAACATGGAATGAGGTAACATTTTCAAATCCTCTTTTTTTGGTATCTCTGTAATAAATATGGTATCTTCTGTCACGTTTTATAAATGCATTAGGCTTGTAATTTAAGAGTCTATTCAAAACAGCTGGGCAATTAAAGTCTACATAATACGATTTGAAATTTTTCATTCTGTCAGTGTTTAAGGAAGGGAACTCAAACACCATTTCTTTCTTAGCAGCTGCTATTTGTGTCAATTTTTTAGCTTTTTCATTAATTTACTGTAATTCTTCGTAAGCTTCAATATTTTGCTAATTTCCATCTTCAAAATTAATCACACCTTCTTGTTCTAAATTTTAAAGTATTGTGTTTTAAATTTGCTGCAACAATAGATTTTTTTATATGTATCGACTCTGTTTGCGCTATATTCCAATATTTTAATAGACTTCATTTATTTTTCTCAAGATTTTTTAATTTTAAGGAGTGTTTTCTGTTGTAAAACTTTTCTGTTTATTTAAAACTGGATGTTTATATGATCTCTAACGAATGTATTCGTGACTGTAAGAGGACTAATCACTGGCATTTTTATCTTCATTATTAGCTTCCGAAGAAATAGATTTATCAAAGCTATCTCCTAAAGCAGCTGCAATATCTTATATAAGCACTCTATTTTACTAAGGAGGTTTATCTAAAAACTTTACTTAGTTTCCTTTGTCTAAATCAGATTAATTATTAAATGAAATAGATGACTTATTTTGTAATCTACGTCCTTAAGACGATTTTTGCTTTTTGTGTAATTATTAGTCTATTTTTATATTCAATTAAGCAGTATTCAAAAACGAGTTTGTTTTATCATGCTTTGGAGAAATCAAATTTTTTACTTCTAAAACATTGTTTCTCTTTTATTATTCTTATTAATATCTATTAAAATCTTATTCGTTATTAATCTCTTATATTTTGAGAGGTATAAATTTTTATGTTTGCAATTAGGTACTGTTTCCTAATGGATTTTCGTTATCATCTTCAAATATAACCTACTCTTTTGTGAGACTTCCTCTTATTTTTGATTAGAAAGAAGAATAGAAATTCTGTATCTATTATTGATTAGGATCATTTTATTATTCCAAAAAGCTCTATCTCTAATTACTATTCTAAGTATTTAGTTAAAGATTTTACTGTGTCTATTGCTTTTAGACCAGAATATTTGCTGGAAATACATTTTAAATATTATAATTGAAGACATTTTGTTAAGGTGCAAGAAGAGGAGAAGGCGGAATGTAAGTGTCTTAGTCAACTATTTATGTTTACATAGTTTGCAACTATCGCAGAGTTAATTTCTTTTAATTTTTACGGATATCATTCATATGATTATTAGTATTAGAGTTAAACTTTTGTTGTGATGGAGTATTATTATTTGAATTACTATTATTTTTAAAATGAGTATTTTAATTACCTTGCAACTATAAATTATTAGCTTAACCACCTGACAATTAACTTTGATTTTACAATGTTGCTTCAATTTTCTTTTGAGCAAATACTATTTCTTTGATCTAATTAAGACACTTTACTTTTTGAACTCTCCTCCAAGCATCTTTATTCCTTTCATATTAAAATCCATCTCTGAAGTTTTATCTCAAAATGACTGCTTCTTTATCAGGTTAATAATGAATTTTATTACACTTCTAAGTTATATGACCATATCTATCGCATGAGTAGCATTTAATTTAGAGTGAATTCAAATTATCATTGTTCACTATTTCATCATGAATTTGGCAATAAATCTCATAGTCAGATGGAAATTCTTTAAGGAGTTTAATAAAATCTTTCTTTTTTATTGAAAGGACAGAACAAGGCCCTAGAGATTTAGCAGAAGCACATCTTGGCTTTTCTGTGAAAAATGAAAATTCTCCGAAAAGTTCTCCTTTTTTTAGTTCTTTTATTGGTTTTGTTGTTACTTCCTCCATAGCATATTTGAAACACTTTGTATAAAGTTAAATGCTACCTTTTTCAACAATATAAAAAGCAGTTTCTGATTATGATTATTGCAAAGTCTAAACATAACAATAGTCTTCAGTACCACTCTAAAATTATATTTATTACTAAAATGGATTTTATTAAATATTTTATCCGTTATTTTAATTAGTAAAAGATTGAGGTTCGTTGAGTTAGTTATTCAAGTAAGTTTACTATGATGATTATTAATTATTTTATGAGTTTGTTTACTACATATTGACACCAGAATATCTAAATTAGTTATTTCCATTATTTAAATTATTTTAAATTGGCGAACTTAAATTATTTTAATAATTTAAGGGCTATCCTATGTTTAATTAAACTTGACTTCCACTAAGTTTTTTATTGTGATTAGGGACTTAAAGCATATTTTATTAAGCAGATAAGTTTTAGTTAATGTTAATTAACGGAACATTCAACTAAAGAGGGTTATTGTATATTAAACCAACACTGTTAATCTAGTTTTAAGTATTTTGTTGCTATTAATTAGTATAATTTTAGTTAATGCCATAAGGTAATTGAACTGATTAAGAACCTATAAAATTTTATTACTATTAGGGATATAAAAGTTAATTTGATTGCTGCTAATATACAATATTATGCTAAACATTTTGAAAAGGACCATTATTAGAGATATTTTAAGGGTATGCATTTTAATAATATATAGGCTATTAAAGCATTTACTGCTGTTATTGTTATTATTATAGTTGCAAGTATAACTATGGTATGGGATTATTTTGTTGATTCTAAATTAAATACTGGCCATGTATGAGTGGATTATTTGTTACATAAAAATCATTTTCTTCAAAGATAATTTCATTGTTCAAATAAGTTTCCTTTTGCATTTATAGAGCTAATTTGCTCAAAAACCTACGTGAAAAATTGTTGATAAGAAAGGGAACTTGCTTAATCAATTATATATTTGCAGATATTGTAATTTTATCTCTTATATTAGGTCCTAACTTGTCTAATACTTCTTTTTCTTCTTTTGTACTTAACTCTGCTTCAGCACGATGCTTATACTCCATATATTTGATAACCTCAAGTTAAAGGTTTTTTTTTATATTCAAATTATTGAGATATCTGCTAATTAAATTGATATCTTTTTAAAATTCTGTATTCTTTGTATTAATTTCGGACACAATATAACCAATTTAGTTAAACGAATATGCAAATACACCACCTGCAAAGATCATAGTAAATGCACAGAAAGTAGCCTCGTAATTATTTGAAGCAGCTATGTCTCCATATCCTGTTGTAGTCATTGTTGTTACACTCCAGTAAAAAGAATAAATATATTTAGAAAATACAGTGCCATTCATCAAATCAGCATCTTAATTTTTCTAAGATTGCTGCTATGAACTATAATGCTAAATCCAAGTTACATTAGTAAAATTATATACTTCCTCTAATTTGGCTAGTCCTAAAAATAAGCAAGCAAAAAAGTGGCCAACGAAAAGGACTAAAAAACTGAGTTATAGTAGTTTTATATAAGGAACAAAAGATTAATTTTAAAGCTAACATAACTCGAGGTACTTCGCTAGGATAGACCGCAAAGTTATGTATTTACAGACTACAAAGACATTTACAATCCTCCAAGCACTTTCAAACTGTGCCATCGAATCAATAACTGGAAGCAATGCAAGTAAATCCCAAATAAATCCTTTCATGAAGTAGTTAACCATTACCTACTTTCTATCCATTATGCAAATACCTCTATCATAAAATCCGATATTAAAATTTAGAATTATGTGAACTATAAAAATTGTAAAGCAGAGGTATGGGAAAACTTTCCAAAAATAATCACTGTATTCTAACTCCATGTGAGTATAAGTAACAAATTCAATTGGCTGAATGAGCAAATTCAATATAATCATAGTCGAATGGATTATATCCCAAATATATAAAATTTATGATTAAGGATTGATAATTGGAACACAAATTAACGTTTAAAGTATCCATGTCATCAAAAGTGAATCCTCTTGTTTTTTTCTACCTTAGATACTGGTGTAACTTTTATAGATAGTATCTCTGGAACCGGAAAATGATGTTCCAAATAATTTACGTTTCCTGTTATGGAATGAATTTGGGTCGAAGTGAGTTGAATCATCTATCATTTCAATCTATCTTGGTGTGACCAAATTTGATTTCCAAATCGTTGAAACCCTCTTCAAATTAGAAATAAACCTCCAAGAATTTAAAACTAAATTAAATACAATATTATCACTTTCTTGAGTTAAAGTTCTGGAAAAGAAATTTTTTATTTTGGCTGTTCCTTATCTCAAGTTTAGAAATGTTTTTCTCTTTTAAGAACGTGTCATCTAAGCACCTCCAAACTCACTCCCACCTCTCCGTTATGCTGAATTGTTATTATTTATTTAAGATTCTTCTTTATTTTACTTCTCTATATTATTTTGATATTCATTAATTGAAGTTGTCATCTTATTTGAAATATTAAATTTTTTTGCAGTCCCATGCTCAATTGTTGTTTTTATTTATCTTAGCAATTTACTTCCTATAGAATCAGCCTTATTACTCTAACCAAAATCATGTGGTTCTTACTAAATTGTTGTTAAAGATTTGTTGGCTTATCTCAAGCCTTTATTTACTTTAACAGGACTCTGCTAATTTCTATTTTTTACTGAACCACTATTATATCCTTAATTTGCAGCATTTTCACTAAATCCCAATTCAACCATTTCTATATTAATCGGTTTATCTGATTTTTTAGTGTTAGATTATAATTTAGAATTTTTTTCTTGCCTTTATTCCATTTCTATTCTTTCAATACTTTCTAAATTGCTATGAAACTCTATATTATCTGATTGCTAGTAGCTATCTTATTCTGAATTTTCTTCCAAATTTTACTTTTTACTTCTATCTTAGTTTATTTAATGATCCTATTTCTCTTCAAGTGTAATTTCCTTTGCTGGAAATTTAGTCTATTACTAATAAGTCATCATTTCAGAATTAATATGAATTATTTAGCTGATTTCATCATCCTTATTATGATTTTGTTATTCTTCTAAAATTAAATCCTTCTTCATTAATTTACTTAATTTTTTAGAAGGAGATAACTTTTCATCGTGCTTTGTTTCTAATGCATCGCTTTCCTCTGACTTAAAATTTAAAATATTAAAATTACTATCAATAAGTTCTTTATCTTCTCTTCTTTCATTCTCTTCAGTAATTAAATTGCCCCAACCACCACGGTCAGTAATTATACCCTCACCTTTTTAAGGAATACTGTATTACTATTGAAGATAATTATCTTTACGACTCATATCTACAAATATTTGAAAAAGAAAAATGCAAAATTTGTACCTATTTTTGAGAGAATTTATCTAATTTAATGATTACTTATCTTTTCTTATTATACTGTTATTTTTAAATTATTTGTTTACTTTCAGAAATAAGAAAAAAAGTAAAGCAATAACTAACTTATCATATAAAATTAATTTTTGATTCATGATTTTTATTATTAACCCATATATTAATTATAAATAATTATCAAATTCACTATATTCTTATTAACTATTGAACAAATTACTCTATAAATTCAGTAATACTTTCTTTATTACTAATATTAAAATGATAATTGATTTTTCTGAACCCTTAATTTTTAAAGTATTGCAGAATACTTTTATAAATTAAAAATAATCATATTTTAATTTGCTTTTTACTAGTAAATTTAATTTTTTCTTTCTCTAATATGTTAACTTTTTTGTTTGTATTTTTGTTTAGGATTTTTTTATTTTTCAAATTTTTTGCTCAATTCTAACAATAAAATTCTATTAATTCTTTATAGACCTACACAATTTAACAAAGCAAAGTGCATATATATAAAAATAATTAACATTAAAGCAAATATTCATTTATTTTTCTTAAAATATTGGGAAGTCATTTAATTTATTGTAATTTCATAAAAAATTCCCACATTCGATAAATACAAAAAAAAAATAGGAAGTAGAATAATATTTAAGCTGATAAACATAAATTTTTTTCTTTTTTAAAATTGATTTTTCAATATAATTTATTTATAAAAAAATAATTGTTTTTTAATATTTAATTAAATTAAAATGTTTGTTAAATTCACTTTTTGCTTCTCTATTAATTATTTTAAAAATAAGTTGGAAAAATATTACTTGAAATAATAAATAACAAAATTAAATTAAATCTATTTTAATTTAACTCATAATTTTTAACATCAATTGTTTATTATTGTATTAAAAAACTTTTAAAATTTTGAAAAAAAGTGAATTCCAGTCTGGATTTTATTTTACTGCAAAAATAAATATAAAATCTTGATAGATAGACTTGATTAACTTGTAAAATTATATTAACATGCAAAGAATAGTAATTGGTATATATAAACTTATTGGCATATATTTTAATAAAAATATTAATTAAAAATAATAATAAATTTAATAGGAGTAAAATCTTAAAAAAGTTTTTTAAATAATATGATAAAAATATTTTTATTTTACATTAAATTAGCAATTTAATTAACTGCTGGATAAAAATTGTAATAATTTTTTCAGTTGCTTATTATAAATTTAAAAATTTTGGAGATAAGTAAGGGAGGATGTTAATGAGAATTTATAATATTTATTTATTAATCAGAAAAAATATATTTTACAATATTCTATTTTTAAAATTCAATTTATTTAATTAGCAATTAACTAATCATAATTATGATATTTTTCTAAATAAAATAATCATAAATTATCTATATTTTAGATTTAATTTTTCATTTATAAAATATAATTAATTATTTCAAAAATTAAAATGAAACAAATAAAATTATATTAATTAATTAGTTCGTTAGAAGGAAAAAATGAATTTATACAAACCTAGGAATTACAGTAATTAGGATTTTACTGAAAAAATGTAATTTATTTAGCTGTTCAAAACTTAATTAATTCTAAAATTTAAATATTTATTTTTTCAAAAGCAAAAAATTAAAATATAATTCAACCTTAAAACCTTAATTGAATATTTAAAAAAATTTATCTTATTTTTTAATTTAATAAAGAATAATATTTTTATTAATTTTCTTTTTTTTTTACTTTTATTCAAATAACTTATTGTTAAATTAAATATTTTCGAATTTATAAATTAAGTGTCTTTTACCTCTTCCAAGATAAAAGATCAAAGATTAAATCATCATAAGAAAACTAACCAAACTTGAAACTTAAAAAATATGATAATTGCAAGCTAAAATAAATTAAAATTTGCTATTTTAAACATTTATTATGATTATTTTTGTATAACTGTTAAAATATATTTAAATTTTTTAGCTTTATTGAAAAGCTTATTTTATTTTAAAGTAGACTTCATTGATTAAATGAAAAATCTATTAAATACATAAAGTATTTTGTTTAAAGTAACAAAGAAACTAATTTTGAAAATGTATGCTTTATCAAAAAAGTTTTATCCTATTTTTTCATGAATTATTTAAAAAAATTGATTCTTTTTTATAATAAAAATAGTTTTTTTATTAAGAATATAATGAAAGATTTTGACTAAACTATATTGAAAATATTTGTAAATATACTTTCTTGTATATGACTAAAAATTGAACTACATAAATGAAAGCCTGTTTTTTAAATGCTTCACATTTTAAAGAACAATCTTAGGATATGCCTTGGATAAACTTAAATAATCTTATTTGATATGCTTTTAATTATTAACTATTTTAATTTACTATAGGGCCTTTCATTAAAATTATTGAAACAGAGAATACTAAAACCATGTTTAAATATTTTAATAAGTAACTTATACTTGATGAACACTTAAAAGATCCAAGTTAGATATTTTAATTTTTTGAAAATTTTGTAAAAAATAAAAATTTTAAAATAGATGATATTATATGGTTGGTGATTGCTGAGACTAACTTTTAGCTAAAAAGTTTATATTGAAATAAATTAAATGATAATGAGAAATAAAACTAGTAAGCATAGGTATATATGATTAACTATAAATTTGTTGTTGCTTAAATTTAATGATGTTCCGCGATATTTGTTTTAAAAACTTGATCAGATATGCATAAATTTTATTATGAAGTAATATATCAATGTAAGAAAGATATTTATAAAGATTCACACATCAATGACGATATTTTGCAACACCCATTCAATCTAGAAATAGTATAGGACTTTAAATTTTAAACTAAAGAATGATTTGCACGTCTTTAGAGATTCTAATTTTGTAATCCTTATATTGTAAAAAACATTATATTTTTCCCATCAATTTTATATTGCGTAATCTTTTTCATGTGAGGTATTTTAAATCCATTCTATATACAGATTCATCTTACAGTTATTAAATCAATGATTAAGATTTTATTATAAGATTTGCGTGATATTAAATACATTTTTGCTCTATCAGTCATAATTTTTTTTAGAATAATTAAAAATAAGTAAAAATAACTAACACACAACAACTTTATTTACCTTATCAAAAAATTTAAAATTTAGTTGATAGAAATGGCTGAAATTTTTGAATAAGAAAAGAAAAAAATTAACTTTAACCCAAAAGAGCTTTAGCGCTTTTTCTATTTCAATTCAGAATAGATCGTTAAAGATGTTACATAGGGTTTTCAAGATTTTTCTGCTAATCCTAAATTAACTATTTAACCTAACTTCCATTCAATGAGTCGTATTGACTAAATCAAGCTCTCTGGCGAAACATTAAAGGAAATCAATTCGTATAAAGATTAAAAGTATAATTACAACACTTCATTAGGCAAAATGATTGGTGAATTTTAATTTCCCTTTGTCATTCCTTCTGGTGTCCATTAAATGATGTTTATTCCTACTATCAAGTATTTAGGAACTGAAGAGCAATGTAGATATTCAATTTTATTATAACTCCTATCTCTCTTTATTAAAATCATTTTTTTATTTAGAAAAGAAATGGCTACCTCGTATTTATTCTTACGAAATAGTTGGATGCTATTGTTAGACTGAGTTAGGACATGGTTCTGATGTTCAAAGTCTTGAAACAACAGCTGAATATGACGTCAGCACTTAAGAATTCGTAATTAATTCTCCAAGTTTAACTTCAACTAAGTGGTGGGTTGGCGAATTAGGAGTTTGGGCTAACCACGCTTTAGTTTTTGCATAGCTTCATATCAAAGGTAAAAATTATTCGCTCTTAGCTTATTATTAAAATGGCTTTTACTCATATCCTATTTTACATTTCTAATCTTTTAAAAAAATAAAATAGGCAAAAAGCATGGAGTTCATCCTATTTTGGTCTAAATTAGAGATTTAAAAACACACTAACCTCTTCCCGGAATTGTAGTTGGTGACATTGGTCCAAAAGTTGGATACAACGTCAAAGATAATGGATTTATTAGATTCAACAATATCGTAAACAATCATTTTTATATTTTTTAAAACAGGTCATTAAATAAATAATAAATAAAAAGAGAGTTCCAAGAGAAAATATGCTCATGAAATACTCAAAAGTTTCCAAGGATGGCTTGTTTACTCAAAGAGGCAATCCAAAAATTGCATATGCAGGTATGCTTGAAACTCGTTTAGGAATTAGCTGTCTTTTCCATCGTTCTCTCGGAAGAGTAAACTAAATTGATTATATTTAAATCAATAGAAAATTTTATTTAACTGTATTTTTTTTTTTTTTTAAATTTATTGTTTTTAAATAAAGGCTTTAGCTATAGGTGTAAGATATAGTTTATTTAGAAAATAATTCAAAACTAGTGATGGAGTTGAAAGATAAGTTATTGATTATCAAACATAGCAAGAAAAATTATTTATTCCTCTTGCTGACTCTTATGCTTTTTGTGCTTCTTCAAGCTAAATTATGAGCCGTTTTGCTGAATTCTAAAAAGAAATAGAAGGTGGAGACTTTTCTAATTTAAATGAAATGCATATTATCTGTTCTGGTGCTAAAGCATACCACACTGAATATCCATTGGCTCATATGGAAAATATTAGACTCTCTTGCGGTGGACATGGTTTCTCTCATTACTCTGGTCTTCCTAGTATTGTTGAAGGTTTTAAACCTTTAGTTACTTTAGAAGGAGAAAACACCATCATGTATTTATAAGTAAATTTTTTAAGAAAATATAAATTGGTTTTAAGATAAATTTTAATCAAATTAGGTTGCCAGATTCTTAATTAAAGGATTAACTGCTACTCTTAAGGGTGCTGAAAGAGTTCCTTCTTCTATATAATATCTTAAAGCTGGATTAGATTTTGTAGAAACTAAATTAGAAGCTGATACAATCTCTTAAATTTTAGATTTGGATGTACTTAAAAAAATTTTGGTTGTTAATGCAACTTATTAGATTAAGAATGTTGGAATGAAAATGCAAAAGCTTTCTCTTGAAGGTAAAACTAATTAACAAATTTGGGACACTTTGATTGGAATATAGCTTGTTGATGCTGCTAAAGCTCACATGCTTTACTATACATTCATTAATTTTTACCAATAAATTGTCACTAATGATTATCTTAGTGAAAATTCAAAGACCATTCTTAAATAATTGTGTCGTCTCTTTGCTATTGCTAAGATTAATGAAAAACCTCACGGATTAATTGAGTCAGGATTTATAAACCCATCATAAATTTCTTTACTCAAACAAGCTCAACATTCATTATACCCATCAATTAGAGAATAAGCTTTAGGATTAGTTGATGCATTTGGTTTCAAAGACGAGCAATTAAGAAGTGCTCTTTCTATCTCAGACGGTAAAGTATACGAAACTCTCTTGGATTGGGCTAAAAATCAAAATCCTTTAAATGAGAGTTACTTTGCTCCTGGATACGAAAATATCTAAAAAATGGGACAAATTACCCCTAAACCTCTTCTTTGATAAAAATTAATAAAAAATTAAGATAAATATGTTTAAATTTTAATTTATAAAAAAAGCATTTAATTTTATGATTTATACAATTCAAAAAAATTCGAGTTTCTTTTTGTAAAAGAAAAACGAAGCTTTCTATTTTTTATTTGATGAAAAATTTAAAAAAGTTCACTTTATTATAAATCAATAAAAAAAATATTTTTAGCATCACAATTAATAAAAATCATTAAAGCGATCAAGATAACTAATAAACTATATATTTATACTACTATTTATTCTATTAATTATATAACCAAATAAAAAAATTTCAGATAAACATACAAGACTTAAATTAATTTTCAATTTTCATAGTAAAATATATTGTTGAAATAAGAACGATTTTTTATACTACGTTAAAAATTTTTTCTCAAATAATGATTGTTTGAAATAGAAGTGTAAAATACAACGAAAATGAATAAGAATACTCTTAGTTTTTTTAATTTTAAATTTGGTTGATTATAAAAAAAAATTAGCATAAGGAGAAAAATATTAAATTAATCAGTTTGATTTAAATTATTTTTGTCCAATTTTGATATCCAAAGTTCTATTAATACCTTCAATTGTAATATCTTTTGATTTCTATTCTACTTCGTTATTTAAATCACCAAAAGCATTTGATTATTGAGATATTTCCATTTCATTACCATCTAATTATGAAGTTTCTTTTATACTGTCTTGTTAGAAATCGAAATCATTAATTTTATTTAAGGCATTTTATTTTTTTTCAAATACAGTGTTATCTAGTTATAATATTTCATCAGATTTTTGAATTTCGGAAGATACTTTATTTATTTTTATTATGTTTTTACTTGATAAAAGATTGTTACTTTTTTTAGATATCATAAAATTATTGTTTGAGTTTGATTTACTTTTTTAATTTGACATTTAATCTTTCGATTATAACTAGTCATCAGAGCACTAGTGAAAATTAAAAAGACCTGAATTAGATTATCTACTCTCTCTCTTTAAAGGAGAAGGTGTAATCGATTTTAATCTTATTTAAGACATTTTCTTTTTATATTCTTTGATAATATCTAAGTTAGTAATGGAAAAATTATCTCCTTGATGCAATTTTTAGTTTGTTTAAAATGAATGATTATTGTAAGAAAATATTTCTTATTAGTCATTTGAAGTTAACTCAAAGGTTTATTAAGGATTTAGATAAAAAGAAGGTTGTCCATCTAATAACGTAGTGTTTCTCTTTTTATTCGAGATTGACATCTTATGAGCACTTTAGCCTATTTAATAAAATATTTCTTTTTAAACATTGAAATATAAAGCAAAATATTAATTAGTTTAAATAATTTAATCCAATTTTTATTTTTCCTTTTAAAAAAATCTAAAATAAATTTAATTAACAATATAAAAAAATAATATTTACTAATTAAGTTTTGATTAGTTTGAAGATTATTCAGATTATTCTGTAATTAAATCAAATCTAACTTGCTACCAAATAAATTCTTTTTCACTTTCCTCCAGTTATATTAAACTCTTTGTGTGTTAATCTGAGATTGATAATAACTTTTAAATTCTTGGGGAATAATGATTTTTATTTTTTTAAAAATTAAATAAAAAATTCTTCCAATATATGTTTTTGTTAAAGAGATTTCAATAATAATTAGAAACAGTATTTTAAGGCAGAATAGAATATGACTAAATTAGCTCACTAAAATTAAGAAATATTCCTAAGAATAGCTAGCTTAAAATAATCCATTATCAGAGTATTCATTTATTTAGCTTATTGTATCAGTTATATTTAAGATAAGTATTTATATGAAGAACTAGATAAGAATAGTTAAATTACTCTAAATGCATAACTTTTAAAGCTTTTTATTCTTGAAAGGCATGTGCTTCATTAGCAAATATAAATAGAGAAGATTAAAAAGAGTAAAAATCAGGCCTTTGAAAAAGAAATTCCCTTCAATAATATTAAAAGTGAAGCAAAAAGCTAAACTGAAAGCCGTTTACAACATTGTCCAATAATAATAATTATCTTTAAATTCTACGTATATAATACCCATATAGTTTTAATTACAGATAAGATGTAATTTCTTTCGTATTTAATAAAGTTTAAATCCAATTAATACTACTGACAGTGTTGTGAGTAAACAAATAGGAAAAATTAAAAAGAGGAAATACTGAATATGATTTGGAGAATAGCATTCAAATTAAGTATCGAAAGATATCCTGTAAGTATTTCCAATCAGTTAGCACTAAAGAGGCATCAAAATTACTTCTAAAAAGCTTGAATGATACATCATAAAATATATTAGTACTACATTTATATAGAAATACTTTTTTCTTTCGGCATACTTCAGTTTGATTAGAATTTCATAAAATACATAAATAATCGCTATAGGTAGTAAAGGATAAATAAAGGCTCTTATTATTTTTTGATAAATAATTGGTATAATTGTTGATCTAGTAGGGTATTCGTAGAAGTAGAAAATAGGGATTTAAGCAGAATTAACCAACATAGAATTTAATTAATCGTATTCAGAGATATTAGTGAGACTAATTTGATGGATGCGAAAGTGCAATACATAATAGACAAATCCTTGTTTAATATAAAAAATGCTCTAGTAGTCTACCACAGATTTGTTAAGCATCATGATACCTGTCACTTTCAAAATATGTTTAATCCTGTAGCAGCTAATTCTTCTCATAGAAAAATATGCAAAAAGTCCTATCAAAATAGAAAGAGCTATGCTATACAATATTCCTTTTATTAAAACAACCTAAAATTCTATTAATAAACATATTTTAGAATAAAGTTTAATAAATTTTACTAAATGCATATCTTCGGAAATACACTCTGTTTTTGAGATTTTATAGAATTTAGTTTACCATACTTTTCCAAACTCATCGCAGCTCATGCACAGCGGACCTTTATTCAAATTTCAAAATAATTCATATAGATAATTTTTTAATTTTCAAATAAAATTTACCTATGTAGCCAGGAAGACAGTAATTTACATAGTTTTTAGATTCAGGACCAGGTAAAGTTTAATTATTAATACAGTGATTTGGAGCCTTTTCACAATAATAAATATCATCTGAATAGTAACTTTCCCTCCAATAGCCATTCAACAATTTTAAATAATCTTTTTCACAATATTCAGCTGTCTAAGGGCATAAAAGACAAGAGTGCTATTTATTGTCTGTCATTTGATATTTCTATATACTATACATCCCTAAAAATTAATATTAAAAGTATTAAAATCAAATATTCTTAAGCAGATAAAGAATGTATATTAAAATCAGTCATATATAAATAACTATCTTACCTAATTAGCACTACAAACATTCCATGTAATAACTGCTAGCAGTAGGCTGAAAGGGAACTTCTCCAATTTAGCAATCTCTAAAATTTATTTTGATAGACTTTTATATTTATCCTATGCTAAATTATTTTTGCCTAAGATCTAATACAACAGTCTAAGATGTCTACACCACAAACATAGATTATTTGAGAGGATATCCTGAAAAAGAGACATTAAATTAGAATCCTTATAGAGTTGTGTTAAACTGATCTAGATCTTTAATTGATTTACCATTTATAAGTAATGGAGCATATTCATTTTGTTGTTGTTATGTACCTTTTTATTGCTAAATTATACTATTATAGTCGACTATTTAAATAGTAAAAGATATCTCTTGATATTTAGTCAACTGCTCTAACACTTTTTAAGATATCTTTAGCTAATTTCCTTCTTCATCTAGTAAAAATATAGTTAAATTTTATTTGAGATAGGCACCACTTTAAAAATTTGCCAACTCCTTGTTGTCATACTATACTATGATACTATGAATTACCGATCCAATATTAGCACCATATAAATTTGCAGTATTGTTTTAAATATAGCTTAAATTTTACTTAGATGTTTAATTATTTTGCTCATGTGAAACAAGTTATTTACCTCCTATGAAAACTGTTTAATCATAAATAAAATCTGGAACTATATTAATATATTTAATTCCTCCTCCTACAAGTGAAGTATTATTTTTAATAATTGTGTTTATAAGTTTTAAATTAGATGTGTGAAGATAGATCGCCCCACCTTCTCCTTATCTTACAAGGTTTGATGTTATGTTTGAATTCATAATTGTATTTGTTTCTTATATTTGTTAGTTATTATAAAGATAACTATATAAACAACCTCCGCTAGAGATTTAATTTATATTTAAATTGCAAATCAGATTGTTAATAATATATTGAGAAGAAAAGATATAAATCATTGAACCTAATATATGATTTTTCTGAAAATCGCATTTATTCATTGAGAGTTCCTTTGAATCAGATACTAAAATGAGAAACTATTTGTAATCTTATAAAATATAATCCAAACTGTTATAATTTTTTATTTTGATTTATTTGATCAATTGTATGTTTTGCAAGGCTGTGTTTGCTTAAAAGTTTAAATTATCAAAATAGACTTGGGTAATTTACAAAATTTGAATTATTCCTTTTGTGATTTTGTTACTAATAAATACTCCATTTGTAAAGTTTAAAGTTAAGTTATCATAAATACTATCATTTCCTAGCACACTGAAAGCGTTACTCATTTCTATAAACTACAACTAAGAATTCATAATAAATAAGACTTAATAGATCTTTACTGTTTGTGTTGCATTAAATTAAAGAGCAATAGGAGATAAATAATTTGCAGTGTTATTATTCTAAGTGATGTTTGCTACTGTATTATTTTATATTACAATATTCTGTAAAGATACCTCGCCAACATCAATAAACGAAATTATACTGCTTAAGTCATAAATTATATTATTAATAAAAGTAAAACCATTAATGGTTACGTTTTAGCATTTTATAAAAACCAAAAGAGGGTTTTTAGTGCTTATTTATTTATAATTCATAATCATGATATTGTTAAAAACTACATTTTAAATGTTATACATACCAATCAAAAAATGATCATGATTTGTTAGATCCTAACCATCATATTCAGTTAATTCCCCACTCATTTAAATTTTATACTTGTAAAGCCCATCTAATACAATCTAATCGAATGCGACATTGTTCACATTTGATACCAAAATAGAGACTTAATCTAATTCCTATTGTACAAGTCCATCACTTATTATAAGCTCATTGAGCCAGTTATCTTAAGAATCAACGATGAACCCAGAATTTGGTGTAAAAATGAAAAATACATGCTGGATAAATAGCTTCGCCATAACTGGAGTCTCAAATGAATATGACTAAGTCACATAAATATTTATTCTTTCTTAAGGGGTAAAGTAGTAGTTTTCTATTTCAGAAGTATTAGTGTTTCGAATCAAAACAACAGTGTATACATTCTACTAGTCAATTATAAATGAAAAAGTATCTAATGTTTAGAATTCATAAACAATCCTTTAAGAAGTCCAACCTTAATTTCTATTTTCAATTTATAGTTATGATATAAGTGATACTATGTATTTATTATCAGAAACTTAATTGGATTATTTAATAGTAAATTTGCAAACATTTTAAATATAACCATCTGATAAATGAGAGTTATCTTCTATCTAGTTTGCGAATAAAATAGTTAGTGTTCCTTCGTAGTAGTTTTCTAATGAGCTTGCTATCAAATTTATTTAAACACTTGATAGTTCGTTTTAATTTGGTTGCTACTAGATTGAGTTTACCTATGCAAAAGTACCTATAATTTAGTACAAAGTGTTGATAGGATTTGTTATAATTGTTTAATTCCAATCTTAATAAATCTAAAATGCTACTTCTAACTTCATCATCTAAATAAAATTATTGTCAATAGAAAAAATTTATAATTAATTGTGCAACTCTATTAAAAACAGATTTTCTTAAAGAATATAAATTTCATCAATTTGTTGTAAAGTTGGAGAGAAGAAATTCATCATAGTAAAATCTCTTAAGTAAATCAATAAAAACTAAACTTTATTGAATACAACAAAAGTATAAAGACCAATACTTATTTTATAGTCATTATAGCTTGGAGGAATAATACTTTAAAGTGACAGATAAAAGAGAGTTTAGAATATTTCAATTTTTCCAGGTTGTAAAACAGCGATAATATATAATTTATCAATGATAACAATTTATAAAACTGACTAAAATGTTGCTATACTTTAATCATTGTATTACAAATAAAATTTCTATGGGTCACTGCTTATTGGAATTCCTTATTTTAAAAAAACACTTAAGTCTACTACAAATATTGTTCCATCACTTTAGTAGATACATGTAGTTCCTAGTGGAAACTCAGTTTAGGAAGGATAAGAAAATTAAGAGTATTTAGTAAGCTTCATAAAAATGAATTAGGATGTATCTTAGCTTTATTTAAACTATTCATAATTATAGCTAATTTTGATGTAAGAGAGATCTGCCTAGCTTAGTAATTGCAATATTTACTATTAAGAATTGTTTTTTAAGTCAAAAACAATCAATTTTTAACTTTCTAAAATAACCATCCAAAAGTATCCATTTATATCTGAAATAGTTTTTGACTCGTAGAATAAAACATCCAAAAAATCTAATTAGTTTTTATATAAAATTTGTGAAGAGCTATCTGTCAGATTTACTCTAATCAATTCATACTTATTAGATAAATATATTATAGACTATTCAAACATCGGATAGTATAACATCTAACAACAATTTTATAGATGTATTATAATTTTTTATTTAAAGAGATTTTCATTTAAATTACCAGAAGAGTCGATTCGGTCAACCTGAACGTTTAAATATACAAGCAATGTTGACTCAACCAAAATGTAAAGATTGTTTCCTACTATATGCATGTTAATTTATCCCCCGTTTTTTATTAAATCACTTAAATTATCTTATAACTGATAAATAGGTCTGAAACTATTAAGCTTGTAGTTCAAATAATTATAATAAAAAAACTAATTTTAACCTAAGGTACTATCTTCATTTTGCTGTCTTAAAACAGCAGTTGGTAGTTTATGGTAGTAAGGAATCAAACTATCATTTTATTATAATTATCTTGTTATTAGGATTTAATTCATATCAATTATTTGTAGTTATCCATTTTATAAACAAAAATATGCCTTTTCATTGGATTTAAATATTTTAAAAACGATTATGGGTGAATACAGTTTAATAACTTAAATTGTGTTAAGGCTATACAAATCTAAGATATCAACAGAATACTAATCAAATTATACTTGTATAAAGCTAAGTTCAAAAAATACATCCAAAAATATGATATCCTGATTAAAAATTTTTTAGCTGACTATAGCCTTTGATGTTAAATCGATAACATTAATGCCTAGTATTTTATTCATTAAATTATAAAAGTTAATATTTAATTTTATATTTAAAAAAAAAAAAACCTTTAAAGCTTGATATTAAATAAGGGCTTCTCCTATTAAAAAACAAAAATTAATCTCCTTTGCTAATTCCTTTAATCGAATACACTAGATTTAATTACGGAAATTTATAAAAAAGAATATCTCCTGTAGTTAAAAGTAATACCACCTAGTTTAATTCATAAATTTAATAAATATAAATAAAGTTAATAGGGATCAACGAGGAATACAAACTTAAATTATCTATCAAGTGCAAAGCTACAACATTATTCATTTGATATAACCTAATTTAATTTCAAATAAATAATTTTTTAATTTCAATCTCTTTTATTTTTTAATTCTAAAAGATAAAAATTCAATTTAAATTTAATAAAAAATTAAATAAAATTTTTTTATGCTAAAATTTTGAAATTATTTTAATTAATTTTTGTGTTTTTATTTTTATTCAAAGTTTTTTTAATTAAATTACATAAAATAATCAGCACTTGCCTAACTTATTTTAAAATCTTATATATTTCCACTAGGCAATGTATTTTATTTTGTTATATTTTTCAAAATAAGATCATATTTAAGTAATTAAGACATTCCATCAGTTATTATAATCACATTATGGTTTTGATTTAAAATAAACTAATAAGAATAGAAATTAGGTATTAAAATAGTCCAACTTGTATTCCAATCTAAGCAACTTATTAACTATATAGTGCTAGGATTACCAAAAGAGAAAGAGAAAATAGTTTAATTTAAAAGTTTTTGATCTCTGAATGTGTAAGAAGGAAATATAGGAGCAATTTCATTTGAGAAAGTAAAAGTATTTAAACTAATTAACAAAATTATTTTAAATATGCTTTTTTTGAAAAAAAAAAATTGAATTTTACTCAAAAACTCTTAAAGAGGAATCTGAGCAAACTAAAACTACCTAATTCAAATAATTATTTAAGACTAAATTAATTGTATAAGAGTTTAAACAATATCCTTGCAAATAAACTTAGCTTATATCGTTTTCATTTAAAATTAAAAGATATTATTACTGTTAAATTGGTATATTTTAAGTTTTATTTTATACTAACAAGAAAATCATCTGCTTTTAATCCAAGACAATCATTTAGCTAATAACTGAATTTTAGAGTTCAGTTTCTTAAATAATTTTGTTTGGGGGATACAAGTGAAATCTAGGGGTATTGCTATTATCTACCGAGATAATTATATTGTTTTCAAAATCAGCAAATATTTAAAAGATCTAAAATGGAGTTGTGTTATATTCAACAATTAATTATCCAGATACATCATACATTTAAACCTAACCATTTTTTCTTCCAACAATCAAAATTGACTTTTACTATATCATATTTTTTTTAATTTTTATAATTTGCATTTAATTTAGTTTAAAATCAACTAACATTTAAACAAAATATTAAAAATTTTTAAATAAAATAAAACAAATTTTGTTAAAATTACTTGGTCATATTAGTAGGAAATGACAGGACTTGCTGATGTATTCTCAAAATTTTAAATTTAGATTGGGTTAGAATTCATTAAATTAACAATTTTACCTTATTTCATAATCATAATTATTTGTTAACTTGATGTAGATATTACTTAAGTGATTAAATCCTAGAGAGCTATAGGATTTTAAATGAGAGAATTGCTATCAAGTTGATAAATAGCAAGAGTTTTTAATTTTGTTTACATTAATATTAAATTAAGATTTGAAATATAACTATAAAATATTATTTAAGAGGGTAGAGTTAAATTTAGAGTTTAAACATTCTTACTGTTCACGTCATTTATTTATAAAACTTATATGGAATCATTCTAAAGAAATATTTTATTGTCATAAATGCTTGACTTCATAAATATGTTTACTTAGTAAGTAAAAATAAAACTTCCCTATATAGTAAAGAATAGAAAATTCTGTTTATCTACAGACAAAACTATGTAGGTATTGTTAACAACTTAGAAAAAATTGAATTATTTAAAATTAATTGAAACTTAGTTAACGATTGAAAAATCCGATGAATTAAGCACTTGAAAAAATGTCTAATTTAGCATGTAAATTAATCCTTTTTCAATATTTTACTAAGCAAACTAGCAAGATGTTAGTCCAAATGTAATTAAAAAATCAAATGATGGAAAAGAATACAAATAATTATTAGAATTACCTATTAAAGCTATTGTTTAATTGAATATATTTGAAGAGCTTTCTATTTTAAAAAATGTTTAAATTGAATCTTTAAATGCATTAGTCCTCTTAATAAAATTTAAATTTGTATAAGACCAAAGAGATATAGAATTAGGAATTTCAAGGACTACTAAGTAATTTTTTATCACAGCTATTGAATTGGGATTATATATTTATACAGAAGGAAAAATATCTTAATGACTCATAATATCTGGTTGAATATTAATGTACTCTCTGCCTGAAAAGTTGTACACTTCAACATAATCTCCAAAAACATATATTTTGCCATCATTTATTTGCACTTGATAATTTTTTTAATAAGAAACACCAAACTGAGTTATAATTGTCTACATATCTTCATTGAATAAGCTCAAAGTTTTATTATTTATAATGCAAATATACTGTTACTATCCTTATGAATTTTAGTTGCTTAAAAAAAAAAAGTTTACAATTACCTAATTATAGTAGTCATTTATTATTTGTAATATTTAGGATTAATTATTGTTAGGGTTAATCAAAAATCTAATTATTTGGTTTTTAAAAGTTTACCCTACAAAACTCAGTAGCATTTAATCTTGAGTAATAACTTGCTTTATAAAGGATACCAAAGAGAATTCGAATTAACCTAATTAAGCTGAATTAGCTAAAACTTTATTGGTGTAATCAACTAAAATGTATTCTACACCTTAGTTATAGCAATAAATTAAAATATGGTTTGCTATCTTAATAAAACCAACATTAAGAGGATTAGTGATATTTTAGAATCTTTAATTAATAAATGGCTTCATTAATAAATTATTTCCATTTTATTAAACATCAAATAAGGGTTAATAAATATTTACTGCTCCTTATTAATCAAAAAATAAAGGAACTATATCACCTAAAGAAATCTCTAAGCTATTCTGATCTAATGCACTAATATCTAATTAAATAATTTGATTGTTTTCTAAGTTTTAGAAGAAATATTAATTGTCATAAGTTTTAAGAATCAAAACTTGCCAGTCATAACAAATGCTCGAGCCAATAATCAATTTATTTTCAGTAGGGATAATTTACAATATTGTCCCTGTAAAATATAACCATATTACAGCACGAAGAGAATCATAACTGACCAACAGCAATTATCCTTCTTTAATAAGTAAGAATGCTTCTACTATACTGTTAATATGAAAATTTAAACTTTTTATTAGCAGTTTTGTTTCTTAATTCCAAATTTAAAGTCTTCCCAAAGAGTCATAAGTTATGAATTATTTAAATTAATTAATGAAAACTATTCCTTATATTTAAGTATTTAAAAATGTATTTAAGCTGTAAGACTAAATTTAGTAGCAGTCTATTATCCTTTGACAATAATTTGAAACCTTATTCTCTATTTCGTTTTCTCTACAGATAAATTTGCATTTATTTGTTTACAAATCTAATACCATTCCATCTTAACATGAGCTTTTACACATTAATAGATCTACATCATAAATAAAATTTTTACTGCATTATTTGCAGGTAAACTCATCTTCACAGTAATCGCAGTTGTCAATACATCTTTTACAGATAAGAGTTTATTAATCACTAAAGTATTAAATAGGGCAAGCTTAAATGCATTTACTATCTAAAAGATAATAATTCTACTTACATCCATAGCATTAATCTCCAGGTCCATAGCAATAAAGGCACTACTAATCACAGGGCGAACATTAAATGCTCTATATGCTAGGATATTATCCTAACTCACAAATTTAAGTATTTACACACCGCGCTAAAGCAAAAACCAATAAAAGAAAATTAGCCACTTAATTAAACATTTAAAGTCTTTTTATATAAGCTCCTTCCTGTTAAAGTATACTTTTTTAAATTAGCTAAAATCTATTAGTATCTAAAATTACTTTGAATTTTGATGCACACTATAAAGCAAACAAATGTACACTTAACTTATTTGATTAATTTAAATATAAAGCCTTTCAAATTTAGTTAATTGCCAATAGTTTTTCTTTGAAAAAACTCAAAAAAAAAAAAATCTTAATTATTTAAGTAAAATAAACAAGCAAAATTATTTTCTTGTTTATATTTTTAAAAAAATAATCAAAAACTAAAGAAAATCAATCAAAAATATTCATTAGGTATTTTGAAATTAGTGATAACTTTGCAATTTTTTATTTCTTTATAACTTTTAGGGATGATAAATGAAATTTTTTTGTACTTTAATTATCTTTCAAAACAAATAAAATGATTTTAAATAATTGCAAATTTTCTTTTTTTTTTAAAAAAATAAAATTGAGATTTTAAATTTTAAAGCAAATAATTAAGAGATTAATAATCTTATTATTTACTTTTATTTGAACGATTTAAATACTAAATGTTTTAGTTCTGTTGATTGATTTCATTTATTTCAAAGGAAACAAGACCAAAGTATTATAATTTGATATTCCTTAATTTTATTAAAAAATAAATAATAAATATTTCGTAAAATCTAAATGGCTATGTAGGTTTAAATTAATAAATATTTAAATTCATAAAATAAATCAAAATTATTTAAATCAGCCAGAAAATTTTGATGAAAAAGTATTTTTATGAATTATAATTTTACATAAATTATTTCTAATATTTAATTACTTAGAAAAATATGTCATCTATCTATGATAAAAATACATAAATTAAATTATTTTTCAAAAGATTTATTAAAAAATATCTTTATTAGGATTAAATATGGAAATAATATTAAGCTTGTAATTAATAGCAGCTCTAGTAAGATATTTTTAATTTAAAATCTATTTATTTACTTATTATTTTTTTATTAAGAAAATTAAATTTAAAGCCTAATAAGTTAAACGAAATCCAACCTTCAATAAAAAAATACAAAACACTTGCTCCAAAAGGAAAAGAAAAATTATTAAGCATTACAGTGTCTAATTTTTAAAATAATAATTATTAATAGGAATTTAGATATTTGTATATTATCCTTTTTAAACTTAAATTTCTGAATTATTTTTGTAGCTTCTTTATATATTTTAATGATTTAAAACATGAATATTATTACAGTTGTTTTAATTCAGGTAATTTTTTTCAAAAATATTCTGATTTTCAATAAAAAAATTAACCGTATCCTCTCAACCTCGTCCCTCACTGTGTGTACCGAATTATTTGCCAGCTAGAGATTTTCAAAAATGCAATAGCTCGGTACAAAATGCCGAATCGCACAGTATGAGGTTTAGAAGTTATGCGGTAAATTATAAACAAATCTATAAGAAATGATAAAACTTACAAAAAATAAATGGTCATTTGCTTATATTTTTATTTCAAAAGCATTGTAAAGAAATAATTAATATTAATCACTCTGTATTATTAAGATGCTTAAGACTTTAATTAGTTTTTTCTAGCATGCTTAATAATATATGAATCTCATCTACAAGGATTGTACAATATTTATAAATAAATAACAAATTAATTAATTAATTTTCAATCATCAATTTTGATTGGGAGGTTTTTGTCAAAGATTACTTATTTATGAGTATATTGTGGATATTAAAATTTGATTAAAATATATGTTCTGGTAAAGGATAGTTTATACGAGAAAATAAGCAACTGAATAGGGAGGAAAATTTGCTGATCTAAAGTCTACAAATTTAAATCATAATTATATTTTTAAAAATAAATATACTAATTTAATTAAACTGTAGATACTCCTTTATACTACTCATTAACGCATATTAACTAACAAAGTTATTAAATATTAAAAAAATGTTTTGAATTTTAATATTGGAATACCTGCGTTGACGGAATTCAATAAATGTATATTGATTTGCAAAAATCTTGGTGGTTTTAGTTCTTATGAACATTGAAAAATTTAAGAAAAAATGTGAATTAATAAAAATTAATTGATTTAAAAAAAATCTTAATCCCTTAATTCTTCATAATTTCAATCAAAAAAAAAAATCAAAATTTTTATTTTGCAAAAGGAAACAATAAATCTCGTATTAATAATGTAATTTAACACTTTTCATAATTATAATTAAGTGTAAGAAGGCTATGCGCTTGGTAGAACATTCTAAAATGATTCAATTAACTATCCAAACGAGGTACAACCATTCTATTAATTTTAAAATGAACTTGAAAATGGGTACAATCAAATTGATTATGCTATAAGACCATAAATTCATGATTACCCCAGCTTTTTACCTTAAAACTATCAAATAAGTCCAAATGGCCAACCTATAGAACAAAGAAGTTTCTTAGAATTGGAACCAACAATCGCAGTGAGTAATATCTATGATGCTTTTAATCCTTTTGAAAGCCCTAATTATATGGGCGATCATTTGGAATTTAATGAATAAGGTAGAAATAATGAAATAAATGATAAATTTAATATCGCCTTAATGTAAGAACAATAAAGAAATTTATAATAAATTTAAACTACTCACAACTAAAACTCGTATTAATAACCCTTATAAGAAAATTCATTTACTACCATGCAAACTTAATTAAGAAATCATATTGCAGCTGATATTTATCAAAATAAAGAGTCTCAAATTGCTAATAACTAATAATAGACAACTCAAAATTTTTATTAATCTTACTAAGTTATTAATAAATAAATAAATTCTTAACAATAAAATGAAGTGTAAGTGGTAGGAAAAGAGAGTGCTAAATGTGAAAAGAAACTTGAAAGAAAGCCATCTAATAAAATATACACTTAACTTAAATATAAGGAAGACGAAACTAAAAATCTGCTTAGAAATTATGGTGATTAATTAAAGAAAGAGATAAAATAAATGAGCTTAGAAAAGAAAGATGATTCACTTTGGATTGAATAAATTTTAGATAATTATATGGATAAAAAAAATATAGACAATCAAAACAAATTCAGAGAGAACTTTATATTAAAATACAAAGATTTCAGCTTTTCTAATTTCTAAGTAGTGAGAGAAGAATGGACTGTATCCCCAAACTAACATGATTATCATTTAAAAAATGTGTATAGATAAGTGTGCTTCCACTTCTTTACTAAATAGCCTTTGCGATATATTTACAAAAACTCAAATAAAATTAACAATAAAAATCAAAGATTTACCCATTTATACTATTTGAAAGTATTTATTCAAGGAATATTAGATCCCAAGAAGTTTTAGAAATTCAAAGACAGCAAAAAAAGCAAAAAGGATTAAACAAAGGACTCATAAAAAAACAATTAAGATTGATAAAATAAATAATAAATTTAGTTAGTAACATAACAAATTAATATATAATCAATTATATATAAACATAAACTTTAAATTTGAATTATTTTGTATGAAATTATAAATTTATTTTATTATTGTTTTGTAAGAAAATATTTATTTTATTATAAAATTAATTTAATTTATCTTAATCATTTGTTATTATTTATTTATTTTTACAAAATATAGCTTTTCTTTTATTCATCAATCAATCAATCACTTTTAAGAAACACTTTTCACGATTTTATTTTATTTTTATGGTTTTTTTATTATTGCTTGCACATTATTTCTAATGTTAAATGTATTGTGAAACTTTAAAAATTTACTTGGTTTTGTTCAGTAATAAGTTATTTTTTTTTCTTTATTTACCCATTCAACCTAAACATTAGATATGTCATTGAGTTTTTGTATATTTTCTTTCTGTTTAATTACAGGCTTGAGTCTCTTGCTTATTGAGTATTTGTTTATCACATAAACATCATACTTATTAGGTTCAGGGTACTCAGGGATAAATGAAATATTTTAATAATTTGTGCTTCCTTATACATGATTCGCTGCTGTTGGAGTAAAACTTTGAGAATGAGGAGATGAATTCCCATTGAAACTTGTATTTTAATTTTGGAGATAATCGTATAGCATTCTATTATTTTTCAGATTGTCTTGCATATATTCTTTGTATTTTTAATTTTGGATCTTTTAGATTTGCTTAACAATTTCCTCTTTTTCAAATGTTTCCATCCTTCTACTTTAAGAAGTCTTTGCTCTTTTAGGCTTAAATTACATGTGTTATAAAGCCATTTAAGTCTATTATTTTCCATTTTGCTGGAATTCTTACTAGACTACTTATTTAACTGGCGTTATAGGTTCTAAATTTAATCTTTATTTATAATCTGTATCATACATCTTGCTTGTGTTAATGGGTGACTTCTAATTGCTGGTTTCTGTAATACATCTCTTTTGAAATTGATTAGTGGTGTTTAGCATGTAATTTTGATTTAATGCTACTGACTATTCTGTAGATTGTCTTAATGATTCATCAACTAACTCTCTCTTTTAGTAAGGACTAAATCTAGTTTACAAAGGAGTACTTTCAGAAGAATTGTTTATAGAGCCTTAAAAGTAATTATTATTATTTTAATTGATAGGATGCTGTTGTAATGATGAATACACTAATTTCTTTTCTTACTGATTTTCTTAGTTTGAGCTTTTAATCTAATTTGTCATCTAAGAAACAAAATCTTCATACTATTTTAAACTTATTCTTTACTAACCTTTTATAATAAAATATTATTCAATCAATTTTTTATTGTTAATTATGTATGTACATACATTATTCTTGTAGGCCAAATTAATTCTTAAAATGCTATTATTACTTGGCTTAGTTTTGGTTATTTTCAGAAAAATTGTTATGAGCGAATTAATTGCTTGCATAAAAAGTCTGATTTGTTGGACATGTGCTTTGCCTTGAACTTTATCGACTTTTACACTTTCTTGAATCTTTATTCTTCAAATATAATTATATTTTTTCTCTTTCCAACTTAATAGGCACCTTTCTTGATAAAATACCTATCACATCATTGTGGACACCTATAAGAATATAATAATAATAAAATAAATTAAGAATTTATTAGATTCTATTTATTACCAATATATTTTATGGAAACACTTTTTTAATTATTATCGTCTATTTCTGTAAGAGCGTTTCTATTCACAGGTAAGCTAGTTTCTTTATATTGAGAGTTTTTATTATGTGTTTATTATAAATGAGGTCTATCATTTTACTTTCTTTCAGGAGAATTCTAGGCTTAAGTCATTACTGCAGAAGTCCAATTTGAAACTGAATGCTTTTTAGTTTATGATAAGATGAAAAAATCATTTGTTTTTAACCCCTACATTTTTTCTACACTCAACGGATTGTCACCTCTTTGCGTTGAAAGCATGCTATTATTACAAGAGTTATTCCTTGAACGAAATATATTCTTTGGATCATTCTTTAAATTTAAATTAACGTCTCTTATAACATGTGGTATCGAGCCTTGCCATCTGTATTTTCTCTAAATTTATGATGTATCAATAATCTCTTTCTTGCATCTAGAGAAAATTTTGCAGTTATTCAACATTTTATCTGTGTTTGGCTCTTAATTTTATAGAGTCTCATAATTTGGAAGCTCCTCTTTTTACCTCAAAAAAGTAATCATTTTAAATCACAAGAAAGACTAGCCTTATTATTATTTATAAATAGATAGAAATGAGATAATCAATCTATCAATCAATCAATATTTAATAACTATAATTTTAATAAAAGATGTTTAAAATTAGTAATTAATAGTTAGTAATTTGCAATATTAAGTATTAAAAAATAATAGGAATTGCCGATAGTTAACCTTGATCAATAATTAAACAAAATCTTATTAATTATATTAGCTACCATTAATTAAATGAAATAAAATTTATCGCTAACCATATATTCAATTTTCAATTAAATTTTCAAAACTTGTTTTTTCATAAAAATTTATTATTTGTTGAAATTAATGAATGTAAATTTTTTTATTCAAAGACCTCAATTAAATAATGATAGGTGACTTAATCGTTTAATTAATCAGCAGATTTTGCTAATTAAACTAAAAAAAAACACATTCAAAATTTAGAATTTTTAATAAATATATTATTAATTCATAAATGAAATTTGGAAAATTATTAAAAATATTCAAGAATTTAAATGAAAATTTTAATAAAACTCAAATAACTTTAAAAATAAATTTTAATTCATTTTTGAAAATTAGATAATAAATTTGCTTAATTTTCTCTTTTTTTAATTGTGTTTGAGTATTTTATAATTAATAACTTACAAATGTTGATTCATATTTTATTAAATTAATTTATTTTTACTATTATCATAGAACAAATAAACATTTATTATATACTTTAATTACTTTTAATAAACCTAAATAAGTAAGAAAAGAATAAACCTAATTCATTCAACCATAAAAAAATAAAATAAATATTTTTTTAATATCTAAGCTCATATTAAAAATAATTCTTTATGTAAATTTACTCAGCATAATGTAGTAATAAATGTATGTAATAGATTTTGAATCAAATTTATGATGATGATAATAATATTGTTTACTATCAAAACATTCTTAAAGTTTAGAAATATATTATATATTAATTTAATATTCTCTAAGACACACACAAAGTTTAAGATGTAGATTATTCTCATTTATTGTTACTAAAGTGGTTTCATTGTTATAATTTAAATTAATTTTAATAATTAAGTTGCATGTTATTTATAAATTTAAATGAATTAAAAGCTTTTAAAAAGCTTCATTTGCTGATAATTTCAAGATTTATATAAATCTTTTGGTTTTTTCCAAATTATCTAAAGTTATGATCTTAATACATTAAAAATTATAGCCTCTCAGATGCTAAAATATAATCTATAAAGCTGCTAAAATACAAAATAACTTAATCATTGTTGTCTTCACCCTTACACGATATTCCTACACTTATGTCTTCAAAGTACTTTTGAAAATTCAGCAAAGATTCTTTATTGTCTATCAAGTTACTTATAGTTATTTTCATGTTATCACTAATTCCATATCTAACTTCTACATTTTTAAAGCTATATTTAGTTAGAATTTTTCTTTTTTTATTTAAAAAATTCCAAGCTTCTTTAAGATCATCTACTTAAATCATAAAATTATATTCTAAAGGGAGTATATAAATGTCTCCCATTTCATTTAGTAAAAACTATTTTAAATTCTGTATCTTAGATCTATCAATATTTTAGAAAATTATTACCTTTTAAGCAGGTATATCTACTTAAAATATTTTTTGTTACTAGAACGTAATCCTAATAAGACTTTCATGATGTTAATTATACAATTCTTACTAACTTGAGAGTACCTCATTAGCCAACTTGCATTATTTTCTCTTTTTTATATTAAAAACAACTTATTTGTGCTGAGATATCTTTGTGAATTCAATGCAGTTTTAAGCCAAAATGTTAGATATAGCTCTTGTCAGCTAATTGACAGAATCATTACAATTTTGTAAGAACTAAACAAATATTTTCTAAGTATTTTCATGGTATATTTATTAACTTTCTTTATTTTCATTATTCTAGATAGATTCTGTATGATTTTTTTCTAGCTCGCTCACATAACAAGATTGTTTAATTCCCTCAATATTTTCCTAATTTTTTAATTTTATGGTTTTAAATTTTGTTCTTTCAAATGTCTTTTACTTATTTACAAAAATGAGGTGGGATTTTAAGAATAGGAAATTTAATTCTGTTTTATATTTCATTCTTTATGTGCTCTTGTTTTAAAATAAAGCATGATGATTATCTTCTTACTGAAGCAAGCATTTCGAAATTATCAGAACTAAATGTATAAACTTCATCAGTTTTTCCTTGCTAAATCAATACTCTTATCACATATAAATTTTTTTTCCACACATCCCCCTATCTTATAGGAATAAAGGTAACTTAGACTTCATTTTTTACAATAGGATGTATAAAACAAAGTATTTTATCATCAATCTAATTGTTTTAATTTTTTATCTCATTTTTCAACAATCAACTAAAATAAATTTTATTTTACATATTTTTAAAATTCTTCTCTTTACTTAGTATTGAGTTGTATCCCTTTAACTTTATAATCTTAATCATTTATTCCAATTAGCAAAGCCCCGCCACTGCAGTTCAAAAAACTTAAAATTTCAACTGCAATCTTTTTTGTAATCTAAGGAGAAATGATAGGCCAATTATAGTGTTTATAATCAATATGTAAAGATTCTGGAAATATCATCTACTCATCTAGTTCAAACTCTGATCTACAGCATGCTCTTTATTCATAGCTATCAGTAAGTTTTATTTAATTGTATATATTGTTTCTTTAAAAATCCACACATATTTCTTCACCCTCTTCTATTTCTATTTCTCCTTCGCTTTGATTTTCTATATCATTTTAACTCATTACTTTCTTAATTAAATATCTAATTTTATCTTAAATAAAAAATTATATGTCTATTTTGAGGTATTTATTGCTACTAAAATAAAACTAGTGAATATTATAATATTAGTGCTAATTTACTTAATTTTAAAAATTTTTTAAGATATTGATCTACTTTCTTTCTACTTAAACAACCTATTTTTAAATACTAAAAGCATTTCTTATTTAATAATTTCTTTTTAGTCTTACATTATAATAATTTTAGGTTCAAAAAATTAATAAAATCCGAATGTAAATTAATAAAATAAGGCAGTGCTAATTTACATAGTTTTTAAAATTATTAAAGAAATTGATCTACTTTCTTTCTACTTAAACTACATATTTTTAAATTCTAAAAATATTTCTTATTTAATAATTTCTTATTAGTCTTACATAATAATAATTTTTGGTTCAAAAAATTAATAAAATCCGAATTTAAATTAATATTTACTGAAAACAAGCAGTTTATGAAATTTCAATACAAAAAAATTTTTTTAAAAAAAATAAATTATTTATTTATTAAATCATAATTGATTTTTATACAAACATTCTTTGGGAAGATACCCCATAAATTTTTATTCTCCTTCTAAAGATTCATCATATATTTTAACATAGCTGCTATCTTTTCTTATTTGCTATTCAAACTCGGGCTCTAAAAAGTTTTTATTTGCTTTTTCGAATTTAATTTTATAGACTTTTTAGTCAAAAGTGTTATTTTGGATTTCTTCTGCCATTTCTTTGGCAAGCTAATTTAATCTTTAAGCACGACTACGAAGGTATGCGAATTGGATTTAAAATAAGTCACCAAACATTACATAATGTCTCATTGTTCTTTTTACAGAGCTTCTTAGTACTTGAGGATTAGGATTATTTTCTAAGAACCATACTTTTGAATCTTCATCTATCAAAAAGTCTAAAGCAAAGTTTTCATTCACACGAGAGTCAATCAAAAAATCATGAGCTCCAGATCTTACCAAATGTGTGACTGCTCTGTAAATTTATGGATAAATTTCTTCTTCTAGCCACTTAGGGTTAGTGATTTTATTGTTTTCTAGTAAGTACTTTTCTAAACCTTCTAGAGCAAATTCAACTACGAATGAGTCAGTTATTTATTTACTAATTGAGGTATTGCAAACATGTCTAGAAAAATCATAATCGAATTTATTATAATCGCTGGCACATTTTTTAAGAAGGGCTAATTTCTAAACATAGATTATCAAAGGATCAGTACTTGCAATAAAAAAGTAAATACGAACTTCCAACTTCTTGTTATCATGCAATATAGGATTATTAACGTACCTGTTGCATTTAAAAATATTTTTAAATTTAAAAAAAATTATATTGTGTTTTATCTACCTTTGAACTTGATAAACTTCATGAATAGAGTCACACTTGTTTCCGTTATTGTATTTCTTCATCAAATCTTACAAAATTTAAGGAGAAATTAAATTAATTCCTTAACCACGATGAATATCTCTTCCCTACTTCATTATAAATCCTATTCCATCTTTTTTGATTAATTCCTTGTATTCATCTGATTAAAGAAATTTGAAAAAACTCTTGCATTCGTTTGAATTGTATAAACGATAAGACTCTGGCATAAATGTAACATGCTACCAGCATTTATCCTTGTTAATAAATGGTTTTTACTAGTAAAGTCTGTAATTATCTATGACTAAATCTTTTCCAGTGATAGACCATTTACCTGGAATATGATTTGCTGATTAATATGTGCAAATAATATTCTTATTAAACTCAAAAAAATGGTGTATTCTAGATATTCTAGAGTGAATCAAAGCAGTTTCGACTGGTAGATTATATACTCTTTCTTATTATTTTCTATCACTCATTTACTAAGAAACTTAAGGAAGTAAGTCAACACCAAATTGCTAAGCAACCTCTCTTGGCAATTCATTATATCCAAAATCTTTTTAAATTATTGATTTAATTAATAACCTAAACATGATATTTTAAATGATAAAATTTGCAAAGATACATCAGATATTAATTTTATTATTAACTTTTAATTAATTTATTAATATATTTTGATTAAGATATTTTTTGGTTATATTTAGGGGCATTAAAATCATCAAAATAACTTTTTAAAACATATCAGAAATATCTTCAAAAGAGGAAAAAGAAACATTTTAATGTTTATTTATTTACCTGTAAATATCAAATAGTTTTTTTAAATTGACTCAGGATGCAAAATATGATGCATATTACTTTTTTTACAATACTCAGGATCACTGATTATACCTAAAGAGGGCCTATCATAGTTTCTGCTATTTTCAAAATGTATTTGCAAATCCATTTATTTATAATTAAATTCGTTAAAGAGAGAAGCAATTCTTTCTGCTATTTTTTCCTTTCCTTACCAAAATTAATCCAAAGGTTAAGAAACTCTCTTTTTATATTTTCCAACATCAGGGTGTGCCAATTTTTTGAGATTATCTTTAAGCATATAATTTGCTTCCCCATGCATATTTTCTACATAATAATCATCTTAAGAAAACTCATTTGAATTCTGCTGCTATGGATGCAAATCGTTGTTTAAATAAAAATTTCTGGCCAATAATATGACAATTATACCTAGTATAATTTGCCATAGTTAAATTGACCTCAACCTGTCTACTAAGCTTTTTGTTTATTCTACTTTTTTTTAAGTCTTTTTTTTCATAATTAATTAACTGAGTAAATATTTTGATTAATATAAAAAGGTTTATATGAATTTTATCTTTTTTTTCTAAATACAAAAATTAATAAAACAACAACAAAAAAAGAAATGACTTTGAAAATATTTTCATTTATTAATAAAATAAATTTTTTAAAAATATTTTTTTACAAGTAAAAATAAACAATTTGTCCATTTATTTTATTTTCTTTAAACAGTTAAAGTAAAAATAATATTAATTTCATTTACTAAATATCTACCTTAAAAATCAAAACAATAAAAAAAATAATTGGATTTTTCATGATTAAATATTATTTTATATTTAATTAATTTAAAATATTTTATGATTTAAATTCAAAAATATATTATTAATGTTTTCAAATAAAAAAATTTATAATATAAAAAAAATATTCATAATTAAAAGATATTTAATAAATAAACTTATATATTTTTTAAAATGAATGAATCAATTAATAAATAAGTAAGTAAATAAGTAAATAAATAAAATAATAAATATTGTATATTCTCATTAATTAAATCTATCTTTCCTTAAAATTTTTATAAGAAATCAGTCAAATTTAATCCAAATTGAATTTTCTTAAGGTCATATGGCTCGAAATCCTTTTTGAGGAATTATAAAAAGGAGAACCTAAAATAAATAAGTAATAAAGTAGATTTTTTAAATTATTTTTAATTTATAAGAACTTAATTTTATTGCTTTTAAAATTACTCAAATATATATCACTGATTTGGTTGAAGATATGCATGCAAAAATTAAATTTTTGGAAAACAAATTTAATATGATATATGATCTTAGTTATTAGAAAGAATTATAAAAGATAGATCAACTTCAATTTTTAATAAAAAATGATATTAATTATAAAAAAAAAAAAACATATAAAAATGGTAATATTATTTTATTTGATTATTAAATTAATAAATTATTATTTGGCAAAGTCATTAGATACTTTCACTTTGATTGTTGTAGAGTTAATTGATAGTTTTTTCAAATTATTCAAGATTCCTATCTTTCTAAAAGTTTTAACCTAAAGTAATAGGATCAATAATATTCATTAGATATGAAGGTACTAAATCTAACTATAATTTTCTTGTTTCTTTTTGCACTCTAATATTATCTAAGAATAGATATATAGGCATTTTTTCTGAATAGAATATAAATGAAAGTTCTCTGAACCATGATTTTAAGAGTTTTTATAGTTGATCCAAATCTGAAGGTATTTGGTAAAGTTGTATAAAGCGGTTTCCATTAAAATTATTTTTTAAGTCTATTTATTCTGCAAATTTTTTAAATTAAACTATAAAATTTGTTATGCTCATGTTGAGTTCATTTAATTCTTTTTAGAACATATGTCTTATGCTTTTGATTGGCCAATCCTCTTCATTTTTTATTTTTCTTATAATTTATTTTAACTTTTGCATGTAATTTCTGAGATGATTTTTTGTCTATTCGCTTTTGCTAATCTGTTTAATTTAGTTTTTTAATCCCTTATCAGAAGTAGATCCCTTATCAGAAATTGTTTTTTACTTTTATTTTTATTTTTAAATCTTTTAAACTTTTTTATTTATAGGCTTATTTTCTTCTGTTTTATGTGATTCACCATCTTCATAATTTTCTTCTAAATTTTAGTCTTCAAAGTATTCACTATGCTGAATTTCATTAGTATCACTTTATTGAGAGCTTTCATTAGTGCTTTTAAATCTTATAGAATCTTAGTCTGAATTGCAACTTTACAAACAGCCAATATTTCCTACGCAAGGCTCGCTGGTTTGAATTAAGTTTTCTGAGAAATTTTATTATATGCTAAGCTAGCTACAATTATAGTTCTATGTAAATGAGCTTTCATCACTTTAGTATTAGGTCATCTAAAAGTAATCTTATTAGCAAGACTAGTGAAAGTTATTACCATAACTAGAGTAGTTTTAACTATAATTAATATTGTTTTAGCAAGTAAAAAGACTTTTTAGCTCTGCCTGATCAGTGAATTTTCTCTCTTTGTAAAAGTTATCATTAGAAATATGTTCATTGTGAGAGGTTTCAAACTCGCTTTGGTTACGTATTTCGTGTGGGTCTTGATCTTTGGAATTTTGTTTTGTCAAAATAAGTTTATGTGATTCAATTATTATTCTTTTAGAAGAGTACTCATCATGAAAGTCATCAATATTTTTTGGTAGCAAATCGAAGTCATCATCTTTAGTTAAGTGTTAAAAATAAATTAACTAAAAAAAAAATTGTTTATTTATCTACCTTCATCATCAATAATGTTATTTTAAATATAGCTTTCTCTCATAATTTTTAAATTAATTTGCCTTTTTTGTTGTTTTATTTGTAATTTGAATAATTTTAATTAAATATAAATTAAATTAGGTAATCACTTGATGAACAAGTAAATTTTAACTTACACATTAGGTAAATAGAACATAAATAAGCAAATTCTCAATAAATGATTATAGAAATTCATTTTAATAAAAATCTAACTTACATAAAAAATAAAAATTCATTTTTTAATATTAAAACAAATGAATTATGTTAATTAGCTAATAAATATTTATTCAAGGTAAAATATCAATTTTTTATTTAAAAATGAACTTCATTTTTTTTTTTGAATGTATTTATATTTAACAATATTTTTCCCCATAATTCTACCACATACATGTAATAAATGAGGGATTATAGTATTAGTTCATGCATAATTTCAAATTTAAATTATATTAGTTTAGCTTTCATTTTAAGAAATAATTTAAAAATAGGTGGAAATTTCAATTAATTATTTTTAATAAATATATTTTAAACTTTAATAAATAACTAAAATTTTTATATAAAGATTAAAGATATTACTTTTTTCAATTCAAAAATATTTATAAGATTGATTGTAAGAGGAAAATAAAAAATAATTAAGAGATTAACCAAATATATATTAATATATAATATGCAGTATAATATTTTAATGAATATCTTGCTTGAAAGAAGATTTATTTTTTTTAAATTATCTTTTCTAACCCATGTGTTTGTTACAGTTTAATTATATACCTTATTTTGAAAATGTTTACTTAAATTATCTATTTATATCTTGTTATATATATTAAATCTAATAATTTAGTATTTATTCAACAACAAGATTTTTTATTATCCTCTGATTCTTATTTTTAATCTTTATTTTTAAGCTTATTCTCTAGTGACAAAGTTTGAATATTTTTACCAAATTTTGCTATACTTTTTCTCTATGTATTTCCTGAAATAGTTGAATCGTAAATATCTATGGATTTAAAAATATAGTTAGACTATATAGCCAATATTTTATTAGTTAATTAATGTATTTATTTATTTATGAAGAATTTAATTGAATTATTTTGATTGGATATTATTTACATTTAATTATTTAATGGAAAGCTTATTCGACATTTGTACTATGTAAGGCACTAGTTTCTAAATAGGCCATGTCATATTCTTATGCAAACTTTGAAGCGGCATCTTTTGATATATTTCTTTAGTCAGCCAAATCACATTTATTTCCTATAAGCATTGTTACTATTTAAACATCTGAATGCTCTTGAAGTTCTTTATACCATTTTGCTAGATTCTCAAATGAAGTTTATTTAGTTATATCAAAAACGATCAAAGCTCCAGCTGCACCTCTATAATAAGCTGAAGTAATTGCTCTATACCTCTCTTAACCAGCTGTATCCCAAATTTGAGCTTTTATAATTTTATCTGATATTTTTATTGTCTTGGTTGAAAACTCCACCTAAATATATGATAAAAATTATAGTGATTAAGCATTATTCCTTAAAGGCATATCAAAATCAAATCAAGCTTCATTAATTTCTTAAATTTTTTACTCCTATTGTTGGTTGCTATTCCATTGAAAATTAATCTTTTGTGAATCTAGAAATTAAACAAGATTTTCCTACACCTGAATCACCTTTATATAAATAAAATAATCATTTATGATGGATGCAATTGAATTATAATTGATTTTTTTTATAGAGTCTAAATTATATCATTTAATTCTAATTCATATTTGACTAAAATAATTCTTTTTACCTATCAAAACGATTTTAAATAAAAAATCATAAACGTCTTCCTCTTAATTTCTTTACATTGCCTACAATTTACTTTAAATAAATTTCCTTAAAATTTACACAAATTATTTTTACAATTTTTTTTTGAATATAAAGTGTTTATAGTTTATGAGATACAAAATTTATTCTTATATGTAAATTTATTAACTTTAGAAAATTGATTACATACATGCTAGTTAGTTGCTATTATTTAAAATCTCTAAAAATTAAATTGAGAATAATCCTAATAATATTTTTAAATGAATGATGAATAAATTTAATCAATATATACTTCAGTAAAATAGTTATACACATAAATTTTACTAAAGGATAAAAATTGATTGTTTGAAGGTATCTAAATAGAAGAAATTATTCCAAAAATATGCTTAACTGTTCTTTTTATCAAATATTATAAATACCCAAATATTTTTATACAAATCAAATTTAATTCATTAAATTAAAATAAATTACTATTGAAATAGTCAACAAAATTAAATGTAAATTTATTGAAAGAAAATTAAGCATTTTTAATTTATTGAAAACCAAATAAATATTTTTAATTTATATAAAGCGAAATAAGAATTTTTAATTTCTAAATCTAAAAGAAAGAAAGCATGAAAATTAATAAAAATAAATTAGAATCCAATATATTTGCTTTCAAAATTATATAATTTTAATTTTCAATTTTTTCATTTTTAAGTTTTTATTTGGCTAGAATTTTAAAAATTTGCATTCTTTCTTACTTTATAATAATTCAGTTTTAGTTAATCATACTGAGTGAGGCTAATATTCTAAAATTATTAGAAACTATTTCATACATTGATTTTATAGTACAAATGTAAGATAAATTTATTTCAGAAATTAATTATAATCAAACTAAAAATTTTTTAAGTAAAATTAAAATTTTTTTTCGTATTTAAATTTAAAACGTAAAATGAAGTAAGAAAATCAAAAATATTTTGGTAATTAAGCTTTTAAAAGAAATTGCTTTAAGAATATTTAAGAATATAGATAAATAATATAAAATTAAGTACTTTAAATTTAATGAATTAATAACAAATCAAGAAAATATTTTAATATCAATTTTATTGCTGTTAAGTTATACTTTAATCATTTTATATACTAAGATTTTTAGGCGTTTCTCCGATACATGTTTATTAAATTTTTTAAGAAGATATATTCTTGCATTTTGGAGTAGCAAAGCTTTAACTAATTAGCTACTTTAATTTTCCAAAATTTTTATTATTAATTTATTTTATATTTTAGTTAAAATGTTGATATTTAGTGATTTGTTAGAGTAAATGATAACTAGAAGACTACTAGTTCGAATGTATATTGTTGAACTTTTAAGAGTTATTTTAATTGCTTTTTGCTGTTTTATCTGATTCTTTATCAAGATTCGTATTTATTGGAGTTTTTGAAGCTGTTTATGGTGTTTCATTAATTTATTTAAGACGATCCTGTGTTTAAGGGGAAGTATCAGTTTAAATGTGAGCTTGCGAGCTGTTTTAAGTATCATTGTTAAAAAATTTCAATTCATTAGTAATATACTAGGTAGCCCTTTAAGTAATAGAAGGTTTTTAGCTCTGCTCAGTTAGAATTTTGTCTATTCCAAACATTTATGACTACTATTTTTCAAGTAAACTTTTAACATCTTATTAAAGTGGAGAATTCAAAAATAAATTTTAATATTCTAACTTGTTGTTTAACTAGCTTCCTCCTACTATTTTTTCTAAAAGCTATTAACCTTTACTTTTTTTACTAAATTTACTATGAGAAACGCTTGAAGGAGTAAATAAATATTTTGGTTTATTACTATTCATATTTTCTTCTCCAGAAAACTTTCTTCTTAACTTATTTATTTTTTCTTGGTTTGAAGTAGATATTTATTTTAAGTTTTCAAAAGAGTTTGACAATAGCTCACTTTTAATTTTATAATTTCCAAGTTTAAAAGAATATTGTGAGAGCGCATTAATATTACCCTTTTTATTTAAAACAGAATATTCCTTTTTCAAATTTTTTCTTATGCTATCTTTTTCTTTGATTTTACTGTATATCATATTGCTATAGCATGAAAGAGATTATGTCTACTATTATTATTGCTATTTTTAAGATAAACTTTTAGATAAAATTTCTTTTTTAGATTTTAAATTGTGATTTTCCTTTAGCTTTTCAAGCATTTCTTATTTAAAGCTATGAAATTTTTAAAAAGTTTATTAATTTTCTTCTTAAATGACTCCTGAGCTTTAATTCAAATATATGCCATTAGATATTTTTGCACTTTAAACTGAAATACTACTGCTATTGTTGCTGTTTAAAATTAATTTTTAATTTATACTTTTATTATTTTATGTACTATGACTATTATTAGTGTTAGTTAAATTTGCACTATTTGATGCTTGGAGAGCCTGCAAAATACAAACTCCTTCAGAATTATTAGTTCCTTAACTTGCACTTTCGCTGCTACTTTTTAAGACTATTGCTTTGTCCGATTAAATCGGGCTAACTCTGTTTGCTTATCTCTTTAAAACTGCATTTTAACTATTATTTTTTTTTATTGTTCTTCTCTCTGAAGTTTAAGGAAAATTAATCTCTGAAAAGTTTTGTAAAGAATTTTTGTTTGGCGATTAAGAATACTAAAAATTATTAGTTTTTAATTTTTTTTGTTTAGCTATTAATGAATTCGAGTCTTTAAGTGAAGGTGATATCTACTAAAACGAAAAAGAGGGTTCAGAAATTAAATTTTTTTATCTCTTTTTTATTCCAATAGCTGTTTCTGATTTAGGGTTGTTGAATGTATGACTGTTATTTTTTATTGAGCGAGAAGAAAAAGTTTAAGAGACTTGATATTCAATTAATTTGTTAAGGGAGTTTTAAAATGATTATTCAAACTCCTCCTTTTAAGTAAAGGATAAAGAATTTGTTAAATTTTATTGTAATAACTTTTAAACTTTTTAATTTAAATTATTGCTTTAGCTAACTTCTATTTATTTATTTTCTATAATATTTTGTTCTAACCTGTTTACATTACCTATATTATCATATCTTTTTGTATTTAATCTTGCTTAAATACTGTTATTAATTTTTTTGTTCATTTATTATGGTTAATTTTGAGCATAATTTGATTTATTTAAAATAAACTAAAAAAGCATTTTATTTGAATTTTTATGTTCTAAATTGCTTTTTTAGCTTTCTTATTTTGAATTTTGTTGAGTGAGCTGACTTGAGAGTCCTTATTGTAATATTAAAGCATCTTTTTTTTCTTTTTAACTAACATTAGTACAAAAATTATCAGGAGAAACAGAAGGAGATGATAATGATTACTACTTTTATATAAACTGCACACTATTATAGCTATCTTCTAAGGAAATTTCCTTACATTCTCTTGATATGGGTTGTGTAGATTATAAAGATGGAGAGACAATAGTAAAGTTTTTGCCTTATTAATTTCTAATTTAATTAATTCTTTCATTAATGAGCTTTTCTTTATCCTCAACCAAAACATTAAAGTAATTCTTCAGCATAGGATATAAGCAATAAAGAAAATAGTTTTTTTGTATTGTTATAAGTTGGCCTGACACACTATTACATATAACATCAAAGCATCTTTATCTGCAATTAAAAATAATATCATCTTCACCAAATATTTCCTTAGATTCATAAACTCTCAAAGACCATCTTCTAAGCAGGGAATTTTCTTAGTCTAAGTTTGAAAAGAATATAGATTATCTTTACTAATTTATAGAATAGTCTCTCCAAAAAACCTATAATTTTATTTATATTTTAAAATATTTTTTAAAAATTAAAATTTAAAAAATAAATTAGATCTAACAAATATTTAAATCATAGAATTATTATAATAGATTATTTTTAATACAAGTAAAACGACTCTAAAAAATAATTAATTACTTAAAAACTTCCTTTTCTAACAATATAGACATAATTAGATTCTTCTTTATTTAGAAACACAGGTTCTTTATTTGAAAAATTTCTAATTTAAGAATGAAAAAGAATTTATCCTATCTAGATCTCTGAGAGATATTGTGTAAAACCATAATTTAATTTCATTAATGATATTTCTTTCTTTATAATGCTATCATAATAATTAAATATAGATGATTTATAATTTGCTGTTTGTAATTAACTTTTTATCTCTTTCTACAACTATAAATTTAAATAGCCAACTTCTATATTGTCAAATTTTTGTTTCTATTCACTTTCTCCCAGGACATTCATTAAATCGTTTTGACCTGAAATTGTAATTTTTGAACCTTCTACTTAATACTGAATATCGTAAAAGCTGAAAAAGCTACCCTTTTTAAACTCTTTTAATACTACTATACTTTTATCAATACTTTTATTTTGAATATTTTCATTTTATATAATCTTTTCAAGCGTTATTTTTCCAGATAGTAAAAGGCAAATCCCTTTATCGTCTCTTACTAATACAAAGAAAAAAAAATTTAGTGTCTTAGGTTTATATTTTGAAATATTTTTAAAAAAATCCATATTTAATTAAAGAAAAGAAATATTGCTATCGAAATACTTTTATTTTGAATGTCAATATTTGAATCGAATACCAAGTATTCTAGCTATGAAGCTATAAAATAATCTATTTTATCTTGATAATTGCCTATTTAGTATCCCAATACATTTTAAGATGAAAAGTAGTTCGGAAGAACAGATAATTATTTAATAATGCTAGAAATTTTGCTGATCTACTCTTAGTTTCTATTTTCTACTTATGTTTTAAGCAAATCTTTTAGCTAAAAAACAAAAAATAAGTATAAACTGTATAAAGAATTGACATTTATAAAAAAAATGCTGAATTAGCCATATTGAAAAGATCTTACCCCTGCAAGCTTCATTTGTATATTTTAATTTTCATTTATTGAAGATATTTTCACATTACTCATTTATATTTATGTTAAAGTTTAAAAATTGCAAATTTATCTATGTTATTTGTTAATAATAATCAAATAAAAAAATTTATTAACACTCTTTTCACCCAAATTTCAATTTTTAAGAACTATCTAAAAGTATAGTTAATAGTTAGTTATGTTCCATATAATTACATATTGTAGTACAAATGCTTATCCTTGCTATCTATCAATCAAGGAAATTCAGTAAGTAAATTCGCTAAGGTTTTTCTAATAAAATACCTTATTCAGAGCCACCAAAAAAAAATAAATAAATAAAAATATCTGCTCTGGCGAATGAAATTTAAATTACTAGAAGTGTAAATGTAACACATCTTTTTAAGATGATTATTTCTTTTAAGCATATTTTTTTTCTATTTTATTTTGTAAAATTTTTGGAAAAAAATGAGTTTTATTTAAAACTTACGATAAATTAATATTCTTAACATTCAAAAATGTAATTTGGAATTTCAAAAATGATTAAGTTCAAAAAATAAAGTTTTGAAACTCAAAAAAATTAAAATAAATCAAATATTAGTAAAATAAACATAAAATTTAGAATTACATTGTTAGAATTTATTTTTAATTTGGATAGTTTAAAATTTTCAGCAGTTAATGCAATAAAATAAATTATCTATGCACGAAATTATCAATTAAAATTAAATATTTATTTATTTATATATTGATCACAATTAATCAGTCTTTTTTGTAATAAAGTACCCTTTGATAGGTTCGTTTCTTCCTTTTACACTTACTTCATTACCTTCAGTTATATTATATTCATTGACTTCTCCTTTTTCAAGCATTTATTTGGTGCTTTCACTGATCATTACTTTACCAGGTTCACCATTAGACTCCATCTTGTTAGCAATCATAACATCCTTGCCATAAACATCGTATCTGACTACATCTGTACCCATAATACCACCAATTATTTTACCCTTAATTTAAATTTTAAAATTTACTTTTTATCTAAAAATAAAAATAAAAAATCAAAATTATTACTGTGTGAATACCAATTCTCATATTCAAGAAGGGATATGCAGTACCTTTAATAATGTTAATTGTCTCAATCATATCTAGACCCATGTTAATTACTTTTTTTAAAATATTAATTTTGTTATTTTTTTGTTGAAATTACTTTAATTTTTTTACCTTTTTTAGCTTCTTCAATTTTTTCAGCTATTGTGTCCTGTCTTTCAGCCGTGATAAAACTAAGTACTACATAACAATCACCAATAGTGTATAACTTAAAAACTTGATGTTTCACACACAGACCATCGAAAGATTCGAATAAATTTTTAAGCATAAGTAGTACTTTCTTAGGATCTACAACTTTATCAGAGAATTCTGTAAATCCTTTTATATCAGCAAAGAGGACTGTGACATCATCAAAACAATCTGTTAATCCTTTTTTATCACTAAAGTTTCCTTAGTTTCTCATTTTATTGAGAGCCTTTTAATTTTAAATTTACAGGAATTTTTAAATTATTTATTTATTTGATTAAAAATTTTATTTTACCACAGCAGGAAGGAGTTAGTCGACTAATTCTTTCATTCTATTCTTTTTAGAACTAATCTTTGACAAGAAGTTAAAGCTCTTGTACTAGGAACGGAGGTTGCTGTATGATTTTTGTAATATAAAAGCTATGTATGTAAAGAAGAAGAAGCAATAACTTAGATTAAGATAATTCCAAACTAGACCTATAAACAAGCAGCTTTGTGCAAGTGAGTAAATGACAACATCTATGAATTAGAAAGCGCTACATAAAATAAAAATATGTTAACGAAATTTAAAATAAAGTCAAAAAGTAGATAGAAATTACCATAAGTAGGAAACAGTTGTGAAGATGCAGTGCATTTCAATAATTTATATGATGATAAGATCTTCATAATCGCTGAAATCAGCTTGTATAAAAGTAGGAACTATTCCATAAAGGAATAATCCAAACATTAGATATTTGTATATTTGCATGCTATAAGCTAGAGGTTGTATAACAACTATAATGATTAAAGCTCCACAGAAGATTGCTCTTAAAACAAAGATTGCTGAAGAATTATCGATGATATCCTTAACTGTAATTAAAATCAAGGTACTCATAAAGTATAGTAAGATAAGGAGCAAGACCATTATCTTATTACTCTTGATGTTGTCTTTTTTTATATTATCTTTAAATTTAAAAACTGTTTCATCACTTACTGATTATTTAATCATAAGCAATCCATTATATTTTAAATCTCCTTCTCCAGAGAATTCATTCTCATCGAAATCGCTATCAGAGTCATAGTCATCATCGTATATAGTTTCCAACTATAAAAAATAAATAATAAGTTTATGTAATTATTTAATTTAAATATTTTATAATATAATAATAAATTACATTATTTTATTGAGTGTGATGTTCTTCTACTCCATTGATAACAACTTAATCTACATTAATATTTTTTTAAGATCCTGGCTTACTTCCATTTTCTGCATTGGCTCCATTCTGTCTAGAAGAAGGAATATTATCTAATTGTTTGGATTTTTGAGTTTTTAGTGCAGTTACTTTCGCTTTAGGAGTTTGTACAGATTTGAAGATTAAATTAACGACATTATTCTGTTTCTATGCTAAAGTTTAACCTGCACCTGTATTAGTTAAAGAGTGTCTTGGTGCCATTTGATTATTAGCAGAAGCCAATAGTTTATTTCTATTGATTTTTCCTAACGCACTATGGAAAATTGCAGATGTCTACAAATCTTTTATGAAATAAGCACAAAGTTCAGCTTTACCTTTAGGAGTAAATTTATGGGGAACTAATTTGAATTTCATGCTCTTAACTTCTTCTTTAATAGATTCTGAGACTAAAATTTCATTGGGTTTGCTTTCAGCACAAATACGAGAAGTAGTATTTACAGTATCGCCTATTAAAGAGAATTGAGGTTTGGGATTACCTATAACACCAGCCATAACTTTACCCTTATTAATACCAATCTTCAAGCAGAATGATTTATATCCATTACCATATTTCTTATTTTATGCTACATCAATCATTTCTTTTGCCATATTTAGAAGTCTCACACCTTTTCCTTTCTATTTCAAGTTATTATCTAAATCGACTTCACATTCAATAATACCAGTAGCAGCCATATAAGTTTTACCAACAGTTTCAATCTTTTAAGCACCGTGCTTTTCGCAGATGAAATCAAATGCTCTGATTTTATTAATAAAATTAATAAGAATTGATTTTTTTTGTTTAAAATTATTATATTATTATTTATTTTAAATATATTATACCTGAAAAGATCGTCAATTAGGTAAACAATGTTATTTCCTTCTTTTTCCATGATTTCATCCATATCACAAACATCAGCAAACAAGATAGCAACTTCATCTTGATCGTCAGCCATTTCGAACTTGCCAGAATTAAGCTTATTTTATACGAATTTAGGAACTAAAATTGAAAGCAAATTATCATTCTCTGTCTTTTGTATTTTTATTGTCTATTAAGAAATGAAATATTTTCTTTTCTCTCTCTCACTCTTATAGTAAACATAAACTGAAATGAGGAAGACATATACTACCATAATTATAAAAGAAGCGATAGCAAAGAACTTTCTCAATGTTGTTTTATCACTCTAACTGTTATCGTTCACATTAACTTTGTTATACCCTTCAGCATAATACAAAACCACAATACGTATGATAAAGTTTACTGAATTGAGTAGATTAAGGAATAAAGTATGAATAGTACCTAAATTAAAATTAAATGTTAAAAGACAAGTTGCTATCACAGTTGTCATAGCAATAGAAAATTCGGTCTGTATCCAATCTAGTACGATTTTGCATATTACACCAAGCAGTAATAAGAAAAATGAAAAAGAGTAGTATTTATTTTGGAAAGACTAGTGCAGCACTAAAATAGTACAGAGGAAAAAGAATATAACAAAACCTGCTCTAATAAATCCTACAATCTAATCAAGGCTTTTATCTGTAAGTGAGTCAATCAAAACATATATTGCCATAGGAAGCATATTCTTTTTTTAATAAAAGTAATATTTTTAATTTTTGTTCTAATTTAATTATTTTTTTAAAAGCTAAAAAGCAAAGATTTTTAAACAAAAATCTAAAAATTATTAAGAGAATTATTAAAGTAAATTAATTACTAAAATATAAACGAGTCTGAAAGTCTGAGAACTAGATTGGGTTCTTTCATATTTATATTTTACTTCATGCTTCTCATCCTAAAATTTAAGACTCCATCTATGCATCTACATTTCACTTAGATCTGAATCGCTTGCATTTATCACTATAAAAATATTTCAAATTAATTATAAATTAATATTTTAAAAATGTTTACTATCTCGTACTGAAGGTTCAATTGTGCTTGATTTGCTAAAAACCTTTTTAATTAAGATACTAAAGTCTATTTTTCTATTTAAACTGCACTCTAGAACTGTTTCATTGGTGAGAACTCTCCAGTCATCTTTAAATTAATTAATTAAATATAAAACATTTATTTATGAATAAATTCTTACTCTCTTCATCTTCTTGGATTTTTTATCCCATAGCTTAATACACATTAGGGAAAAAGACTTCAATAATGAAAAGATTAAAAAAATGAGATACTATGATACAAGTTATACAGTTAAATATGATTGCACAAAAAGAATCCCCACGCTTGAAAATTTAATCAGTAACGACTACCCAGTTATAGACACTAAAAGTTTATGAACCGTTGGCGAAAATAAAGCACACGACAAAAATTATTGCAAAGGCTTAACCAATCCATGTTAAGTAAGTGTTTGAAGTAAATATAACTCTAAAATTGAAAACTAAAATGATACTATAAATTGTAACTAGGGAGATCATACCAAAATCTGAAACTTCTCCAAATTTACTAACTGAACGGGACACAATGTAAATACTTACATAGTAAATAATTGTTCCTTGTATAATACCTTCGATGAGGCACTTAACAATATAGTTAGAAAAGACACGGTCCTTTTCAACCTATCCAGAAACATAGAGCGAAGGGAAAGTTTTTAATACCACAGTTGAAAATGGTCTCTCAAATATTCCGTATGTGAAAACTGTAATAAAGTTAAACAAGAACTAGTACAAAAATACCCAAAGTGATTCGAAAAGCGAAGTTCCGGTGAAAGCACAATACCAGTTAAAATAGAATAGAGGTAGACCAAAAAGAAGGCACTTGTAAAACATAAAGAAGATAAGATTCTATAATTTGAAGTAGGTGTTTGTGCCCTCAACTAAGATGAGATCATAAATTTACTCAATATTAGAAAGTTAGATATCTCCTGTATTGCTATAAATCAAATTTTCCACCTATTTATTAGGACTACTAGGAGATTAGCCAGCAATATCTTTTTAATGAACTAATTCAATAGAAATATCAGCTTGTCTCATCATGTCAGTATCCTTATATCCATCACCTATTGCACAAACAGTAGGGTTGAATTACATATAATTCTGAACTACTTTGACTAGCTCTCCTTTCAAGTAAGGGCTCATATTATAACCTATCACAACTTTGCAAAATTATAGAATAAAAGCAAAATGCTGGAGTAGATTAATATCTCTTAAAATCTTTTACAAACTATTTCCGTTTAGTTATAATTAATATTTTTATTGTCTTTTATCTGATTCATATTTTTTCAATGATATTCCTTTAATGATCTTAAGTTGCTCAGGATCAAGCTTATTGTCAGCCTATTCAAAATATTATTATTTTTAATTAAAATTAATATTGAAATTAAAAAAAGTAAAATGATGAATTTTCAATCAAAATATTTTTTTATTTTAATTAATAATTTTTACAGGAATTTAGTTAAAAGATTTCTTTATTTAATCATCGCTTGACATTTTAGCCCCTGCATATTCTGGACTCTGCTGAGCCTTTTTATCTCCCTCTGGATTAGAATCAGAGTTTCTTTTATTTTATAAATGATCTTTTTCCTCTTCAATTTATGCTAAGGTTCCTGTAGGCTTTTTTTCTCCATCTAAGTTAGGATTTGTATTGTGTATTTCTTTTTAATCGCCATGTATATTAGTAACTGAAAATAATTTTGTTTCTTTTTTGCTAAATTTCTCCTTTAATTCATTCAAAATACTTCTAGTTTAAGACCAAATTTCATCTACACCTTCTTCTGAAATGCAGAAATATTCTTTATTTGCATTTTTACCTTAGCCATCAGTCAAGCTCAAATTTCTTTTTTTGAAATTAAAATGCTATCAATTAATATCATTAAATTTTTAAAGTAATAATTTTACATTGCTGTGTTAAAAGTAGAATCTACATTCTCATAAGAAAGCAAATAAGTATTTATATTTGCTTATTATATAAACTAGAATAACTGTTATGATTTAGGGTCAATCTAATCTATCAAACCAATAGTTCCAATATATTCAAGGGTATGCTCAAACTCAATACCAAGCTATTTCATTTCTTCTTCTTAGATCTGAGGATCACTTTTGAATCCTTTATATGCAGATAAAAATTTGGCTAACTCTTCTCCTTGTAGCTATCTTCTTGCAAATATTATAGGCTAAACTCCCCTCTTTTTAAATACTGTGGAAATGCTATCAAAGTAAGAGTCATCTATTTGCCAAAGTTTATTTCTTATAATATTAGCCTCACCTCTACAGTAAATGTAATATTTCGATTCCCTGAAATTCAAGCTCTATTCACCTTCAATTTTAACAACAGTGGAGAATATTTTTTTCTCTTAACGAGGGTAGTTTATCATTTTCTCAGTTATCTTCAAAATTTATTTTCCCTGAATAAAATAAGAAAATTAAAAATTATTTTTTTCAAAAAACTAAAAAATCTATGTACAAATGCATTGATGTAGAAGTTGTTTTCATCTCTTTTCATGATAAATCCAGACTTTTGAGTGAATTAAATGATTTAATCATCAAATGGTGAAGAGGCTTCATTAACTGTTTGCTTTTCAAGGTTTGCTAACGTAGACAGCTAAACATTGTTACATGAAAGCATAGCGATCATTAGTTGAGATACAGGATCAAGAGACACCAGATCTTCAGGTAGTGAAGATAAATCTTGTATCTTTTACACAAATTTCTGAGTAGTGTAATTTCTGTTTATTTTTGAAGGATCTATAGCTGATTTATCATATGATAAACCAATTTTGCTGAGAGCCTAATTGGAAGAATTAGCTGTACCAAGTTTATTTAAAGGAGTGAGATTACTTTAAGATGAAGAAGTGGTGTTGTTATTATTATTCAATGAATTAAAAAGTCTTTTAGTTTTATCTTGTTCTTAGTTAGCTTTTTAAGTTTGTGTCCCATCTTCCTACTTTAATTGTTGCTTTTGTTAAAATTGTGTTATTTCTTTTTAATTTTGAACACTTTATGATTTTTTAGACAATTTAGATTCCTTCTCAATAGCTGAAGTAAAATCTTCAGGTTTTTAAGGGACTTGTAAAGGACTTTCTGTTTTTTTTATGCTGTCGGCCTTTATAAAATTAATTTCATCATTAGCTTCATATTCATCATACTTTTTAACATTCTCACCATTTTATTAAAGCTTTTCATCTTGTTTATTTTAGAGATATTCAAAGGAGTATAGTTTATCTATATTAACAATAATTATAATTTTAAATACAATCAATATAAAAATTTTATTTATTTATTCAATACCTCTTGAAAAAACAATTTAATTATCAATAGGCTTGCCACTTTTAACATCTCTTTTCTCGCTTCCTATGTTATGCTCTGAAGGAATCGACTCCAATTTTTCTTAAGGTCTGTCTCTGTCAGTGTTAAGTTAATTGAAACTAATTTCATTTTTTTAAGTAAAGTTGAAATTATTATTAAGCTACATATTTGTGGTGTCAACTTTATTTGCTTCAATGTCTTTGAAATCATTATTATTGAAATTTGTCTTAGTCGCAACAGGAGATTACTAAGTATATTTTGTGTCTTTAATTTTATTCCAATCTTTTTCTACTAATTCTTGTTTAAGTTCTTTTGGATTGAATATGTAGTCATCTTGCTGCAATAAAAGCTAGCATATTTTCTTTTCGCCTTAAAATGGTACACCAATTTTATCCATGAAAATGTAGTCAATCTATTTAAATTAATTTGTTAAAAGTTATTATTTATTTTTCTTTATTATTAATTTGAAAAATACTTATCCAAGGTTGCATAGTGAGTCAGAATTTTTAATTTTGAAGAAATCAAATTTATTGACGGAAGCTTATTTCATTCTTTTTTCTGTCATAAAGCTTGAACCTAATTACACTACATCTAATATGAAGTATACTGAAAGTGGTATCATTTATGAGTAAAGGATGATATAAGTGAAAAACCTGATACTATCTGAAATCGTTGGTTCTACCTTCAGCAAAAATGCAATATCCTTTGATTTAGCGACAATGACGATCATACTAATAATAGCCAATATTGCTATAAAACATATATTAGCTAAGAAGTAATAATTTGTAATTTTTTCAATATGGGAGTATTTAGATGTCTTCTTAGGTTTATTGAGCATAATTTTAGTGTCCATTCCAGTATAAACTACTAAACCGAAAATCCTGTTTTATTTAATTTTATAAAATTAACTTTTATAATTTATGTTTAAATTGATTTTTACCAATCTTTATCTTTATTCATTTCAATTTTACATCCCCTTGGAATAAAGTTTTGAATTGTTAATTCTTCCTCCTTAGGATCTTTTTTTAGACGCATGTTTCCATAAAATTGCTCCAAGTTTGGGTTGGGAGTTTCATAAATTAACTTCAAGTTCAATTTTGTTTTGTATTTATTGAAATAAGATTTCTTAGGATCTTTCACTTAACTAACTATTTTAAACAAATAAAAATTACAATTAAATGTATTTGATGACAAAAAAGCCGTTTTACTTCTTGTTAAGATACTCGCTTTTACTTCTCTGCTACATTCTTTACCATCTGTCTGCATTGTATTTATATAACAAACAGGAAGCTTATCACGGATAAAGTTTGAATCTAATAATATCATGTCTGCAGGAGCATACTCACCATGCTAAACTCTTAAAATATCACCTACTTGAACATCAGCCCATTTAACTTCTTCTACATGGCTTACATCAGTTTACTTCTGATGCTTAAATATAAAAAACAAATTTTATAACTCCTTTAAAATGAAAATTCAAACAATAATTTTTACAACTGCTGCAGTTGCAGATCTAAGGAAACCAACCTAATTTGCATTTGGATTTTTTAAAGTTTCAGTTTTAGATAGAGTATTATGTTTAGTTAATTCTTTCTAAAGCTATTTAATTTCGTTTTTCTTTTTTTTCTATTATAAGATAAAGTAAAAATATTAAAAAAGTAAGTTTCTTAAATTATAAAATTGATTTAAAAATAATTTTTATTTTAGTTTACCAAAACCTAAACATCTTCAAGAAAGCCCCTCTATTTATTTTTAAAGATAAAAAATTATTATTAAAATAAATAAATATTAATAATTAATTACTATGCACTTTCTATCATTCCAGCATTTATCGCTTTGGTAGCGCAAATATTCATAGTATCCTTCTTTCAGAATAAAAACGATTAGATAAAAAATTAAGGGCGAAATGAGAATCCATCTAATTTATTTATTATATTTAAAATTGCATATTAATTATTTCGTTATGTTAAAAATTAAGCAGTTGTTTGATTGATAGTTTCACTAAAAATTGATTAATTGTAATTAATTAAATCAAGTAAATATTACGATTTAAATGGCGATAGAGAGTTCCTTATTAACATGACAAGAGATACGGCTAGGAAGAATAAATTGCCAGTTTTCTTGAAAAATTGTATTAACGTTATAGGCAGGAAAGAAAATTTCTATTAACAAAAACAATTTAAATTAAAAAATCAGCTCTGGAAAGCAAGAGCAAATAAATTCTTGAATTAAAGGAAGTCTTTATTTCTCTTGGCTTTGAAGCTAATATATTACTGTATATAATCTTGTTGATATTTTATTTGACTTATCTGAAGAATGGTTCACCATTCTACCTCTTTTGATGTCAATCTATTTTTATTAATTACAAATTATGTAGAAAAATGAGAAATAAACTGAAACTAGTTAAAGATCATAATAACCAATTTTTTATCATTATAAAATATTTGTTACTGTTAACTTCTTTTCTTCTTCCTAACTGCATTTTGGACATCTAAATTCGTTTGATTACTAACCTTTAAACATTTCTTGAAACAAATTCTCTGTTATTTCCTTCTTCTAAGAAATGTTGAATCTTTTTTTATTACAAATATTTTTATAGAATCGATAAATTCAATTAATTTTAATCAAATTCTTTTAAAAACTACTTTTCAGAAATAGAACTACTTCTTTCAAGTAATCTCAATGTCTTATTTTTTATTTTCTCTTGCTATTTTAATTTGCGGGGCTTTACATTCAAGAAACTATGTTTCACGCTCGACTTATTTTTAACAATCAAGGAATTTATAAAAGTACTATCTCCTAAAAGAAGTTGATGCAAATCAAAAATTAAAGCAGGAAAAAGTAATCATATATGCTAAGGTTCTTTACCAGCTTAATAATCTTTTGCAATTATTTATTTGCAATAAAACTAAAGATTTAAAGTTTAATTACAATTTATTTTTAAATACTCTTCCTTTTAAACTGAAAAAAATAAATTCATAATATCTTATTTCACTATAATAAAATGCATTAGCTAGATTAAATAAAATCCCAAACATTTTAATTTATTTTTAAATATAAGTATTTAATTCCTATTAGTAACATTTAAAAATTGAAAGGAAAATTTATCGTTTTTTCAAATGACCTAAGTTATAAATTATCTGTTTTTTATTTATAAAAATTATTATCCAATACTCTAATCGTCAAAAAGGGAAAAATTGCTTTAAAATAAACAAGTTAAATTGAAAAAAAATTCTGTATTGAATTTGAATTAATATAACAAATCATTAATTAATTGGATAAAATAGCTAGCTAGAGTTTTTATAACAAACAATAAAGAAAATTCACTATTATTTTCAAGTGTGAAAAAGGCAAATATTTTTGCATAGATGAGCTAAATTTATTATTCTAAATTAATAAATACAGTTTTTTAAGTGCACGCAAAGCAAAAGTATTTATTTCCACAAAAATAATCATTTCTATTTTTAAAAACTAAAAGCATAATTTTTTTCAAAAGATTTTTATTAAAATAAATAGTAAAATTTAGATTAACTATTTTTGGAGTTTGTTTTTTAAAATTGCTAATAAATATCATCTACTGCATCAATTAAATTTTATTAGTAAAAATAATTCCAAATTTTTTTCTTTATTAAAAATAAAATTAACTGTAAAATGTTATAGTTTAATTATTCTTAAAATAAATAAAAAATGCATTTAAGTTTAAATATTTTGGAATAATTTTTTAATTATGCAGTAAAACCTGTTAAAACTTGGCACCTTCTAAATTGAGTGCTTGTTTACATGGGCAAATATTTTAACTTTTTCATTATAAAATGTAACTATAAACTGGGTACCTGCATATTTTGGGTAAAATTTTTATCCCATATGTTGCCAGTTTAGACAAGTTTTACTGTATCGTCATTAGCATCAATTATAATTTTATTTATTAAAGTATTTCAAAATTTATTAATATGTCTTTTCTTAATACTTTAATTGATGATTAATACAAAAATAATAATACTTCTATAAAAATATGTACAATAAATACTATAATTAAATTAAATAAAATAAAAAATAAAATAAAATTTTTTTTTTTAAATCATTTTTAAGAATTTTTTTCAATTGATTTAGTATGTATAAGCTGCATCAATCATATATAATTTTATATAAAAAAGTAATTCAAAATTTAATAATGTGTCTATAGATAACTTTTATTATTACTTTGGTCACTCACTATCTGCTTAAATCATAGTTTTATTTAAAGAAGTAATTAAATTTATTTAATATATCTTTCTTTTATCTTAATTTAAGATTTGTTAATATAAAAATAACGCTATATTAAAAATCAAATTATATGTACAATATAATAGTTAAATTATTTTTGACATAAATTAATTCTATATATTTATAAAATATTAAAATAGCTAGCTCAATTGTTCTTTTATTCTTCACCATACTCATCTTCGTCACTCTCACCTTCTCTAAACCCATTTTTAACTTTTTTATTTCTAAAGCATAAAAATTTTAAAAATTAAAATCTATTTATACAATTAAAAATAATTTATTAATACCCTTAGTCTTTCTTATCTTCCTCAAACTTGAGTATATAAACACTTTTATTTTTTTACCTTATTTTTATATAATTTGTTTCATTTAACTGCTATATTTAAAAATTTAATTTTTATTTTACTTTATACCAGTTTAACCGAGAGTTAAATTACCACCAAAAATAACTATTTCTTTATCAGTAAGGCAGGCTGCATGATAAAATCTGGGTCTTGGTGGTTCACCTTCTATTTAAGGTTTTATCCTTTATTTAAAAAAGTTTCTATTAGCTTAATGTTAGATTGAAATTTCGATTTACCATTCTCTATTTTTTGTGTCAAATACAAAAGTATCATTATAAAGTTGCTTGTTTTCACCTCTTCCACCAAAAATTAGAATTTTCTTTCTCACTACAGTGTAAAATTAAATGAGTTATTAAAATTATTTTTAAAATCTTACCTAACACGGAAATGTGCCCATGTCTAGGAGCAGGAGGCTATCCTTTTATGAAAGGAGTTAGATTTTCCCATTTAAGCTCAGTTTCTACTGGTTCCAAATCAATCATCCAAACATCGTTGAAGTTTTTACTAATTTAAAAATTATTTAAAAAAAAATCATATTAATAATTTCAAGATATATTTTTATTAATTAATTAATTCATTTACGCTGGGGAAGCCATTATTTTTTACATACCACCGAATACAAACATTCTATGTTTATAAATATTTGCGCTATGTGAGAATCTGGGTTCTGGTAACACAGATTCAGGTCTGAGCTCTGTCCAAGTCAAATTTTAAAGATTTAAGCAATAAAGGTCATTATAATGGAATTCAGCTTCAAAATCTTCACTGCAATAATAACCTCCAAACAATATAAGTGCTTTTTTGCCCAAAATGGAGAGTGTATTTTTTTCTCTTTTAGATGGCTTTATGCCTCTAAGATCTGCTGCATCCCAAGATCTTGTACTAGTATTGTAAACATAATAGTCTCTTAGAATTCTTTCGTTATTTAATCCACCATACATTAGCAATTTATTACCAAAATTGTTGATCCTATATAAAACAATAGATTACTCATTATTAAATTTAATAGGAATTATAATAAATAAATTATATAGTTATAGAGTTTATTTAATTAAATCTTATTTTCGTTGCTAGCAGTAAGAATTTATTGGATATTTTATAATAAATTTTTATTAAAATTAATCAAAAATAGATTTTTAGCATATTGATTTATTGCTTGTTTGCTTAAGGATATAATTTAATTAAGCTCTATGCTAGCTAGCTAGCTTTCTAGCTACATTGTTATTTGTTTATTCAATCTATTTAAATGCCATCTTCTTACGATTTAAAAAATGTTATAAATTAATATAAGCTCCTTTGATGCTTTTTCACATGATATTTATGTTAAACTTTTGAAACTATGTTTCAATCATTTTCTTATTTATTTATTAATAAACAACTCCTTCTTTTTATGAAAAATAATTTTACTAGTGATAAGCTCTCTCCTCTGGCGCAGACCCTTTGGTATCAACAATATCAACTTCATATGTATTAATATTCATTTCCCACATAGTATCTAAGTAGCTTCCTCTATATCCTCCATATATATAGATATAATCACCAACTCTGTTCATTGAATGTCCTTGAATTTGACCTCTCATTTTCTCCCAAGATACATGCTAAAATTACAGTGATTTCCAAACCAAGCGAGTGCAATCTAACTCAGGCTACTTTATTTTTGACATGCTATTAAGCATAGCGTTGCTATAGCTTACTAATGAAGAAGATGGTTATTCTACATAAATAATATTATTGTAAGTTCCGTATTGATTTCTAATGCATTTTTGATTGGGATCATGCATGAATATTCCATTACACATAAACTTAAATTCATAACGACCAGGCTTTAATTTTAATTTCGTGATATTCTCATAATTATTTTTATAATTGTTAAATTGTCTTATCATCTTTTAATCAGCTTGCCAATTGTCCCATGAGCCCTTGATCTACAAAATAAAAAAATGCATTACTTTACAAATAATATAAAATATAATGTGTGCTAATAATTTATCAATTCATCCATCCACAATTGTTTGCTATAAACTTAAAGAATAAATAAAGCAATAGGAGTAACAGATTTATTTTAAAATAAATTCCTAATTATATTCGTTTTGATTGTTTTTATTTTTTTGTGGGCTTTACTTAAATCTAACTAAATATCCTTTTTGAAAAAGATTCTAACTTTTAGTATATTCTAAACTAATAATAACTTAAAATGGGAGTTATCAAATGACATCCAACATTTTTAATTTGCACTAAATACTTTTTTATATCATCAAATCTCCTTAAAACTAATTAAATTACTTTAATATCAGGAGCTTCAAGAGTTGTTGTAATTTTTACAAGTCTACCACCATAGTCCCAATTATCAATATTCATTTGCTCTTAAGTTTTATTTTAATTACCTTCTATTTATTTTAAGATTCTCTCGTCTTCTTCACTTTCTTCAGTCTCGTCATAAACGACTAAACGAGGGACGACTTCAATAACATTATTAAAAGATCCAAAACCATCTTCTGCTGAAGGCGACGATTAATCATATGTCCATTTACCATCTACTATGAATTTATATTAATATGTCCCTGCTTGTAAGCTCATCGTACATGTAAAATAGCTTTTTTGTATAGAAAATTATTTTAATATTATGGATATCTATCTGACATTAACGCATCATGCTTAAATTAATTTATAAATAGAGAGCTATTTTATGAAAGTATTGTAAAAAAAAATCTTAAAAAATAATTAATGCTAATTACTAAGGATTCTCATTTTATTTATTGAGTTTTATTGATGTTTGCCATTAATTCCATGAACCTGTTAGAAATACCACGTTTCCGCCGTTTTTCCTATGATATAATTATATAACAGTTATAAAATTAAAAAATAAAGGTGCTGTTAATTCATTGCTCATCTCAAAAAGATGCAAATACCAATTATGATTTTCTGATAGAGGTAAAGTATTTAGAAGCAGGTAGAAAAAAAGGGAAAAAAATTTTCAATTTTGGAAAAAGAAGGGAAAATAAATGAGAAAAATTTGAATTTATTTAATTTAGTAGTTGCTCATACCATATAAAATCTGTAGTGTTTGCTGCGCATAAACCAACATGAATATAACCGCAGTTTTAACAAACTTTTTCTGTCTTCTACATGCGCCTTTTATGATTCCTATTCAACAAATAAATCCTTTACCTATCAATTTGTATTTGTTATCTTTTATTCTTGTAGTATTCTTTCTATTTTTCCTATATTAATTTTATTGGACTTACCTCTCTCTTGCTTGATATAGTAAATCATCAAAAGGGTAAATGTGAGATTATTTTCAAATCCTAAAATCGATGTAATTTTTAACAACCAAAGAAGCCAATTTACCATTATCAAGTATAATTAAATTGTGGATTTATCCAAATATTCACAATAATTACTTGACATTTGCCATTTATTTTTTTATTATATTAAAAGGATTTGTATGCAAATTAAAATTTATAAATTCAAATAATCATTTGTTTTTTTTTTACCATGAGCGAGCCAGTGCATCTTTAAAATTCATGATAATTCTTTTTTTTTAGAAAGGGATATCTTTCTTAAATTTTTTAATTTAAAGCCTTACTTTTCTAAAGCCTCTAAAATATTTTTACCATAATAAGATATTTAAATGTCTATTAAAAGTAATTAGTTAAATTGCTTCATAAATAACCCATTCTAAGATTGCTTTTATATTCTTTCTGCTTTCATGAATAATAGAACCAAGAAAAATTTATTCAAGAAAATAGGAAAAATATCATCAAAATTTTTAATAATTAATTAATTAATTAATTAAAATCTTTAAAACTTTAAAAAAAAAAATAGTAGTGAATATATATAGATGTAAGGGATTGATAAAAGAATTCAAAGCGAAATTTCAAGAATAGAAACTTATAAAAAGATTAACAGATTCCCTGCTAATTGGTCATACCTTGGTCCTCTTATAGAAAACGGGTTACCTAATTATAACACGTTTATATTCAGCTGGAAAGGCAAAGATGGAAATTTGGCAGGCGGCGTTTATACAGCTAGAATAGTTTTATAGGGTGATTTAAGAGTAAATGCCCCAAAGGTATATATGGATGATAAATTCACTCATATGCATGTTTATGGACATGGCTTAGTTTGTTTCCCATTTATTGATTAATATAAATGGAAACCTTCAATTAGTATTTTTGATATAGCAACAGAATTAGAAAAAATGCTTGATTTACCTCCTGATATTTCTTCACCTGCTAACGAAAAAATGAAATAGCTATATGAGAAAAACCCATAAGAATACTATGATTATTTAAAAGATTAAGCTACAAGATTTGCGAATAACATTCCATATCAACCTTGAAACTTATAATTTATATTAGTTAAAAAATTTAAAATTGAATAGCATCTTCTTATATTTTTTTGCTTATTGTAAATAACTCTAAGTTATGTATCAAAAAATAAAATAATTTTATATTTTTGCTCAAATAATTAATTCCAATCTTTTAATAAAAACTTTATAAAAATGCTTAATAATAAATCTAGTTTTGATTGATTATTCTGTGATAAAAGAATAAATATACAAGTGTCATTTAGAATATATAAATAAATGTATTAAAAACAATTTTTAATTATTCCAACAACTTTCTATCAACCAACAAGCAAAATCAATTATAAACTTATGGTAATCAAGCTTTTCAAATAATATATATCTACATGCCAACTTAATTTATATTCTTTAAACAAAGAAAATATAAAACGAATAAGAAATAAATAAATGATAAGTTAGTATTTATGTAAAGAAATATTCTTATTTTGACAAGTTGCATTCTTTTTTATTATCATGCAAATTACTTTTTGTACATATATCCGAAGATTAATGCTGCACAGAGACCAAAGACACCTTTGACCCACTTCTTTTCGAAGTAGTAAGAAGCATAGATAGAAGAAGCTAAACATCCAGTGAGAGAAAATCCAGTTTTGCTTGTGACATCTACTTTCATAATCTTAGAAGCAACTAAGAAAGACATAGCTGAAGATCCAAAAAAGAAAAGAGAATTAATTAAAGCATCTATGTCCTACTTAGTTTATAGTTATTATTGCTATTTCTTCTTTTCTTCTGAAACTTTGCTTGAATTCATCATTCTTCCATACACTTCTTTCTCTCTTTCTTTATTTAAATCTATATATTCTTTGTAAAGTTTTTTGATGTTTTCATATTCAGCATATATATCTTTGCTTTCATTTCCACCAGACTTAACAGCGTTTTTAATACACTCGTAAGCTCTTTCATAATCTCCTAGGTTTTTGTAGCAAACTGCACGTCTGTACATAGCCTTCAAGTTTTTAGGATCTATGATAAGTGTTTGTTCACTAATTTGAGCGGCAATTTAATATTACCCTAGGTTGTAGTAGCAAATAGCTAAATTGTTAAGCAACTAAGTTGATAGTTGCTAATACTCAATTTTTGTTTGCTCATTAATATATCTAAAGTAAGTTGGATTAGTGATATCGAGAGCTTGTTGGTAAAGCACTAAAGCATCTTGATATTTTTTTTCTTTAATTAAATCTCTAGCTTAGTCTTTGTATTGATTTGCTATTTACATTCTCTTATCTACAGTGTACATAGTGTTAGTTGCTTCAGCAGTACCTGAAGAAGCTTATTATTATTATTATTCTTCTTTTTAAGCATCTTCTTAATTTTATTATTAAACTTATTCTTACTTAACTTCTTCTTAAATTTATATTTATTCATTATTACTTGGAATTTCATTTTATATCTTTTCTTCTTATTTTTCAGTAAAAGTAACCTCTTATGACTTCAAATTAGATTAGTCTACAATAACTGTTTTCTATAAATCAATTTCTTGTTCTTCGCTGGTTTCCTACACTGGCAATTATTAGAATTATTCATTTGACTACTTAGAAACTTCAGGAGCTTCTTCTTCTTATGGATTTCCAGGAGAATTTGAAGGTGAGTTTTCAGAATTTAGTTTTTGTTCTAATTTATGAGTCTCTGTTTTTTCTTCATTATTTTCTTGCACGATCTCAACACTTTAAAAAATCTGCTTTTGTTGAAGAGCCTGACTAACTTCTTATTGCAAAAGAGCTATATTTTGAATATTTTTGAAATGATTATAATTTCTAAGTATTTAGAGTCAAATATTACTTTAAGGATCTGATTCTTATTTATAAACTATCTCGGACATTTTACTCGCTTTAATTATCTTTATAAATCTTCAAAATTAATTGATTAATTAAATTTTTATCAAATTAAATACTTTTATTTATTTCAGAATTTTGTTTCTATCTACAAACAATTTTTCTATCTTAAAAAACAAAATAGTTAATTTAGTATTCTAGGAATATTCTATGATATAAGAATGAGAAGGGAGGTATATTTATTTTTTATAATTTTTAATTTAATTTAAGATAAAATTTATCCCTTAAATTCCATAAAATAAATTGAAGAATATAAATTAATAAATATCTTTGAAAGAAATTTCTAATCAAATTAAAATGATAATTTAATAAAGCAAAAAATATTAGAAATATTTAAATGATAAATTTAATTTGATAAAAATTATTACAAATAAAATTTAATTTTACATTAAAAAAATAAAATACATGTAAAAAGTAATACGAATAAACAAAACTGCATTTAGTAAAATAAATTTAATTGCAATAGCTATTATGTATGATAAAATTATATTTAAAATATTTTTTTTAATTTTTAAGTCATCAAACTTTTAATATCAAGTTTATTTATTAATTTCTAAATAAATTAGAAAAAAATCTTTAAAAAAATCACTTTAATGAAATTTGATTTTCAGAATAAAATTCAAATTTACAAAAAAAGATATTTTTTTTATTTTAATAAATAAATTTTTTTTAAAAATATTATTATTAATTAAATAAATAAATAAATTTATATGTTTTTTATGTTTAAATAAATTAATATTTTTATTTTTTGTTTATTATTTTAATTTTTTTAAATTAATCCTTTTTAAATTAGAAAAAATAGTTAGAAATCAACAAAAAATTTTGATTAAATAATAAATATAGCCAACTTGTAAGAGTTTACAAATTATATAATAATGCATTTTGAACTTATCATTTGAAAATAATGCTTTCGCTTGAAAGATTAGAAATTAATTAATATCTATATTTATTCCTTGCAATTTGTGTTGGGAAATGGATGCAAAATTTACCTGAACTCAATAAATGGATTGTAAAGAAATAATAAAATAATACAAAGAAAAAAAATGGAAATTTTCTTAAAAATACAATGAAGATTTACTATAAAAAAAAGTAGTTGACTTTAAAAATAGCAACTAAAATGAAAAGAAGTATTTTTGAAATGTAATTAAAATTTAATTGATGTACCTATGCTTGTATGTGTTTATATATTGGCTAGGAATTTATTAACAATTTTTTATATTAATAAATTAAGCAAAAAGAATTAAATTAAGTAGAATATCTTGCTGCTTTATATATTTTCAAATTTAAGCCTAAGTAAGATTCCCATTTATTTTTTAACTTATTATCATAATGATTGCTAAGAACTTGAATTATAACAGATATTAGAATGCAATGTCCATTCTATTCAGCATTTTTTACTATGCCAATATTGCTTTGAGCATTTATGTTGCAGAGAAATCAAAAGACTACACTGGTTTCTTTACTACTTACTTTATTTTGTATTCTTTGGATAAGTTTATGACTTTTATGATTTCTAAAGCATGGTAAGACAAGGTAGGGTTCTTTGCTTGGCTTCTCGACTGTTTTAACCTTGGTTTTTTTGCTGTTATTTATTACACTAAAAAGAATTCTAAAATATTTAAAACCATTTATCGCTTGAAATTGCTAGTATCAATAATACCCATGACAATATTACAGATAGTTTACTACTTCAACTAACATATGATTTATCGTCATATAATTGATTATGATTCTATCATTAACTCTCAGATTGAAATAGCTGTACTCATAGTTAACATGATTTTTATAGGATTTGCTTTCACAAATTCTCTTGAAAAGCCTTTTATTTATTATGCTGATTATATGAATAATGTACTCAAAACTTCTTTCCTCAAATACTCTACTTATTTAATAAGGAATGTTATACATTTTATTAGCTATTATGGAATGTGGGCTATATTATCTTCACAAAATTTTTTATATTTTGATAAATTATCTTTAGCCCTTATAGTTGCAGCTCCAACTCTTGTTTTTGCGTTAATAGAAACAGCAATTGTTTAAAGCCCAATTCCACTCTTGAATATATTCTTTAATCATCCAAACCTCAACTAAAAATGCCTAAAAAACGACTTAAATAGTCTAAAATAAAATAGAATGCGTCCTATTAGATGTTTTCTCTAACTCTTATCTATGATCTTAATCTCAACCTTCTTATCTGATAAAAATCCTATTTAAAAATCAAAATATGTACCATAAAATATTGATGATGACCTGAAAAACTAATTTATATCAGTTCAAAATGAAATATATAAATTCAACATTCTTATTTATGCTTTCACTATAGTGTGTCTAATATTTAACTTAAAGAAAGTTAAGGACAGCTTAACTCAATACTGGATAGACGAAGAATTTAATGGAAGTTTGTCTACGATTATTAATGTTTTGTTAAAAAATTAAAATCTAAGATATATTTACATAAAAGTACACTATAAAGGCTAGAGACACTCATCTCTTAATGAGCCCCTTATATTTGATAACGACTTGAATAAGACTATGGATGAAGAATCTAACAATGTTGAAAATGAAAATCAATACTAACTGAAATCAGTTTTCTTAGATAAATTAATATACTTGTAATAGCAAGGAGGATTTATAAGTATAAACAAAACAATCCTCGTCAAGCCTGACGTTTTTATGGTTGACAAAGATATTTTTCACTAAAGATTTATGACAACTTATTTATCAAAAGTGAAATAACTTCCTCTAAGTCTCTGCTATAGATTATAAAAAGACAACATTCTTGAAATACTAAAAAGTAGACACAGCATTTATGGAGTAGAACAAAATTAAAATGTGATGAACTTAATAATTAACAATGAGCAATACAAACACAATATACAATTAAAGTTTACCCAAAACTATTTTGATAGTAATCTTTTATTTACTATAGCATTTGATAAATACATTTCTCCTCAATTAATAAACCTACCAGCCTTAATACTATATGATCTTAATGATAAATGATAAATTTACTATAAAAAATTATTTATTCAATGATAACTATAAATTTTACTTTACTACTTTCAATAATATATTCAAAATTCTTACTTACTTGTATTTATTCTATATATTCTTTCATATGTAAATATTAATAAATATTACTTTCTAAAAAAAATTTCAATCCTAATTCAAAAATAAGTAATGGCATTTATTCGTATTTATTTTAAGAGAAAATTAAAATTTAAAATTATTTTGAATCAATTCAAAACAAAATTATTTAATTGAATTCATTTAATATTGACTTTAACAACAAAAAAAAATGATATATTCATTTTTTCAAATAGTTTACTTAAAGTTTTTTACATTAAATTAAATTAGAAAGTAATTTTAATATGAAATAAATATTTTGTAAATTATAATTAATACTTTGAAAAATAGTAATTAATACTTTTGAATTAAGTTTCATCTAAATCTTACTTTACTTAATTAATATCTTTAAAATTCTTTGAAAAAAGCAAATCCTTACTTAAAGATAGAACTAAAATAAATATAAATTTTGATAAAGAATTACAATCAATTCATATTAATAATATTAATTATTAAAATATTGTCAATTAACTAATAAATAAAATATCTTCAAATTTTTTATTAAAGTTTAATTTTAAAAAATTTATTTTTTTTATAATTGTAAAAAAATAAACTAAAATTTACAGAATAAAATTAAAATTAAGATTGACTTTTAGATTAAAAATTATTCATTATAACTATTTATTTAAAATTTAATCTATTTTAATTTTTTAATTCATTTTTTTATCATTAAATTTTGGTAAAATTATATTTAAAGCTATTTTTAATTTATATTTCTAAAGGAGGAAATGTTTGATACATTTATACTTATTTATTTACTTAATATACATAATTTATTAAAATAATTCAATCACTTTCGTCATCACTGCTATCACTATCGCTGTCAGATAAAGCTTTTTTCTTTTATTCAGTTTTTAGAACTCTACCATCTTTACCAATAATTTTAACTTAAGACTTTTCATCGACACCTGAATTAGGAGCGACGAAGAAGTTATCTACATGCTTTTTACCAAGCTTTGGCATTTTAACTTCTTTTTCTTCATCTTCTTCACTTGAATCATCTTCACTATCTTTTTCAATATCCATTTATGAATCTTCTTCACTTTCTTCGCTTTATTCTACTTTCTTTTTCTACTTTTTATCTTTTTATTTATTTTCTAATTCTTCTTTATTCTTAGGATCGAGCTCAATCTTGTTAAGATATTTTTCCTTTTGTTCAATCTAATATTAAATAATATGGTATTAATTAAATGCATTCATTTGTTGTTAAATATGTTTTTTACTCTAGATTATATTTCCTTCATAATCTTATTTCTTAATGCTACCATTTTTTCATTTTCTTAATTAGGGAAGAGTGAAAGATACTTCTTGTCTTTAGGGAAATACTATATAAATATAGAATAAATTATTTTTTTGCACTTTTGAAAATACAAAAGCTTACTTTGATGTAGTTGTATTTCATTTATAATTCTTTTTTCTTTGCAAATAAATCATTTCTTTTTTCGTCATCTAAGGTTTGTGAAATAAGTTTTTCATTCTTTTCTAGTGATCTCAAAACTTTCTTCATTTCTAAATAGTAAAGTAGGCGTTATTTAAGTTATTTCTAAAGTAGAAGATATGTGAATAGATTATTTACCTACATTCATAACAGATTTATATTTTTATTGTAAAAATTTAACTTTTCTTTCCAATCTCTTTTGTTTCTTCTTTCTTTGCTCTAATTTGGAAGTTACTTCTTGTAATTCTACCTTTTTAGACTCAATGATTTCTTCAGCAACACCTTCCTATTTTATGAATTATTGTTAAAGATTACTAATGCAAATCGTGCCATAAATTCTAATTTGTTAAGAAAAATATCGAGTGAATAATACCTTTTCAACTAATCTTTGCAAGTCTCTTGCTTTCTTTTTAAGCAATTTTCCTTCACTTTCTTTTTTAAAGATAGGCTAGTGAAATTTGTTTAAATTCAATTTATTCTTAGGCTTCTTAATTTTTTTAGAATTGTTAGATGCAGCATTATTGTGGTGATAACTGTTGTTTGAGTTATTGAAATTCTATTTCTAATAGCTAGCTTAGTTTTAGTGAGCTTATTCACCAAAATTTTAAATTTGATTCATAGGTTCTGGAGTACCATCACTGGTTTTAAAGTTTTTTCTAGGTCTTTAAGTATTCATTTTGATAATTGCTATCTATGGTGATATGATAATTTTTAATAAACTTTGTAGATATTAAATAGTAAAACTAAAAATTAATAACACTATTTATCAATAATTTTATTGATTATAAGATTAATTATTTTTGCTTCTATTATTTATGTCCTTGAAATGCATAAAGAAATTTAAGCATTATTTCTTTATTATTAACATTTTTAATAATCCTTAATGTTCTTAAAGAAATACTTCATTCAGAATATTTTAGTAAGTTTGTTTATTACATGATATTTATAGATATTTAAAAAGTGTTCTTAGTTTTTATTCTATTATATTTGTAAATTAGATAAATTATTTAAAGTTAGAAAGATTTTTCTGGAAGTGGTAAGCATTCAAAAACTTGGAATAGAAATAAATTATTAACATATCATTATTGAATAAAAAACCAAAAAATCCCCGAATTTAATCAAATTAATTTAATTCTAATTACTAATAATAGTATAAGAGCTGTTTGTTTAAAATCCTTTCTTCTAAATTAAAGTAAAACATTTTAAAAATATGCTTTAAAATTCCATATAACTAACTAAGAGTTTTTAATTAAATATTTGAAACGATTTTATTAAATTATTTTCAAGTATATTTGAATAATTAAAATAGTTTAAGAAGGTTCTAAAAGTTAAAGCAAGTCTATTTTAAATTTGAACTTTGAATGAATTAAAAAATTAAATGTTGAATCATTTTTGTTGTAATTGCATATTTGTCAATCATTTGATTAGCAAATTAATGAAATCTTAAGTATTAACACAGCTTATAAATAAAACATATCTATTTTTATTAGTTAATATCCCTATTTTAAAAATATGAATCTAAGAAGGATTTTGATAGTGCATTAAAGCTACTAACTATCATTTATAATATCTATAATTTTTATTAATTAATTAATTAAGTAAAAATAAAAATAAGTAAAATAATACATACTATTTTTGTTTCTTATATCGAATTCAATAAAATAATAATTAAGCAAATAATTAATAAATAAATAAGTAAGTAAGTAGTCCGCAGTCAATATTAAAAGCAAAAGATTTCAAAAGGGAATTAAAAGGAAAAATGGACACAGAGTTTTAAAAAAAGCTGATTCCAAAAGTGTAAAGTAGAGAAGATATATTAAATGTAAAAAGTATTCACATTGCAATAGAATTAGCTTATTTTGAATTTAAAAAGATAACAAACATTTTATTTCAAATTCAAATTAAAAAATAAATAGAACTATTCTAAAGAAATCAACATAAAACTCGATATAATATAGGCCTAAAATAGTGATAATTTTATTTTATTAAAACAGGAATCTTATAAAAATTCTATACATGCTTTTCTATACGAAAATAAAGTTTATGATTGCTTACCAAAAAACTCATAAGTAATTAATTTATTACCAACAAACAAAAAAAATGATTATAATATTTAAAGATAATGCATAGAAACAATTTTAATTGTTTGTTTTTCAATCTAAAAGGTAGTAGTTATAGATAAAAATTTTTCTTGTGCCGAAGCCATGAATTTAGTTATAAAAAATGACTTTGAAGAAGCTATTATTTGGAATTAGGATACATCGTAGTTTGATGGAATTATTACTTATTCTGATATTGTCAATATTATTTTGAAAAGCTATAAAAACGTCGCTCTAGGCTAAATTCCTTGTAATTCATATGAAAATTAATTAATTAACGCTTTTTTTCAGCTTCTAAACCATTAAAATAAAGATTTTGGCATTAAAATTTGAGATAATTAAATTACTTTGAAATTATTTTAATTAGAAAATTGTAGATATTCTTTATTTTGCTTATTATTTATTTTTAACTTTAATAGTAAGCGATAGCTAAAGATAAACACAAGGATTTGATAAGCTTCAAGAGGAATTCAAAAAGTTTAATGAAGATGATTGTATTAATTTTATTTGCTCTTTATTTTAAAACCAAGCAACAGAATATTTTAAGCATGAAATCAATTTAAAATAGAAATGGCCGATGATAATGATGTGGGAGTTTATAGTAAGAATGAAAATGAAATGGAGGACGAAGACATTAAATTAAATAATAACAAAACATCTATTCCTATGAATCAAAGCATAAAGCTTAAAGGGTAAGAGTAAGAGTTTCATGCAGAAAACTACCCCTTTAATGAAGATTAGAAACAAATTTTTCTTTCAGATTTACAAAAACTTTCTGTAAGAGGGTGGTTTAGAATACTTAATCAAGATGTAAATAAATAAATGATTGTATTCAACTAAAAATTATTAATTATCCATTTATTTATTACCCAATAGGAGTATGAAAGTAAGGAACTCATATCTGTGACTTTAGAAGCGAAACTTTAAGAAGCTTGCTCAAAAATGATAGAACATAAAATACACAGAATCCTCGTTATAGATTAGGAAAGTTAGTTAGTTGTAGGTATCCTGACATATAAAGATATTTTGCTCTTTTTAATTAGAAATCTAACGTAAGATTTCCAAGGTGATGAAAAAGATGATTAATACGATATTCCTATTTCTTACGCTATGGATTAACTTTGCATATAAGAAGTTTTATCATGTAATCATCTTGACACTACATATAACGCCTTTGATGTTATGATGAATAAATGGAAGGTATCATCTGTACCTATTGTGGGTGAAAATAATGCAT